ATCTTGAATATCGCAACAGGTCTTCCCGGGCTCAGTTCAGTCCTACCAACTGCATTTGTGACCGCAGACCCTATCCAGGCAGTTTCATCATTGTTGGCTGAAGGAAATCAGCTACCTGGCGATATCCAAACATCCGTTCAGCCTGCTATCGCTTCCCTTGTCTCACAAGTATCAAGCGCTGCTGCTAATGGTGATGTAGTAGAACCTACTTTGATTGCGGCAATCTCGTCCGTACTCGGTGACGCAACGAGCGTAGCCAACGTCGCGACTTCGCTTGGTTTTACTTCCGCTATCAACACGATTGGAAATGCAGTGCTCTTGCCTACTTTCGCTACAGATTTGCAGCCAGGCATTTCTTCATTGTTGGCCGATCCAGCAGCATCGCCTATTCAGACTGTACTTTCCTCGCTTCTGAGCCAGGTCTCTGAGATTGGCGCGGCTGCTTCGAACATTCAGCCCGATATCTCTTCGTTGCTTTCTGGCGTTTCTGGTACACTGCCTGTGGAAACTGGAGTCTTAAATCCGACGCTTTCTTCTCTACTTGGCCAAGTATCTGACCTCGGGGCTTCAGCCACTGCGCTCCAGCCGGCTTTGACCTCTTTGGCTACTCAGATCACTCAATTACCTGCAACCTTTCAGCCTGTCCTCTCCTCTATCATATCTGATGTCAATGAAGTCGGAGCCTCGGCAGATGCCAGTATTTCCTTAGGAGCTGCGGCGAGTGCGACCGGCATTGAACCTATCCTCTCTTCACTTCTGTCTCGTGTATCCTATCTGACGGTTTCTGCTGCTAGTGGAGTAGAACTTCCTCTGTCTTCTTTGGCTTCAGACGTTACCCTACTGCCAACAGCCATCCAGTCAGACGTATCTGGCTTGTTGTCACAAATTGCGGATCCTGTCGTGACTAACCTTGATCCTACGCTTTCCTCGCTGGCATCTCAAGTCACCGAGCGACCGATTTCAGCTCAGCCGATCTTGTCCAGTATCTTATCGCAAGCTTCTGGTATTGGAGCGTCGGCGACAAGTGGCATCCAGCCCGCCCTGACGTCCTTGATATCTGATGTCACACAACTTCCTGAGTCTCTTCAGCCCGCAATTTCCTCTGTGCTGTCCCAAATCGCTGATCCTATTGCTACTGGCCTGGATCCGGCACTCTCATCATTGCAATCTCAAATCACGGGACTACCTGCCACTGCTCAGCCGATTTTATCTAGTATCTTGTCGCAAGCATCCAGTATCGCTGATTCGGCTACTGACGACATCCAACCTGCTCTATCATCGTTGGCATCAGCGGCCACGCAACTACCAGAATCTATAAAGCCGGCGATCACGTCCCTGTTGACTGCCGTCGCGGATCCGTTGGCTACTGGCATTGACTCTGCCTTGTCTTCGCTAGATGCTCAAATCACTGAACTGCCGGTGTCAGCGCAACCCATACTGAGTGAAATCTTATCTGAAGCATCCGGTATCGCCGCATCGGCCACCGCTAGCGTTGGTGTGAATGTGAACATTGCTCCGGTTTTGACCTCATTGGCTTCTCAGGCGCTTGCACTTCCAACTTCGCTCCAGCCTGCGATTACCTCTTTAATCTCTGACATCTCGTTCTCTGGCCCTCTTGCCACGAGCTTAGATCCTGTTTTGTCTTTGGAATCTCAGATTACCGAAATTCCTGAGACTTACCAACCAGCTCCATCAACAATTTTGAGTCAGGCATCTGAACTGATTAGCTCCGCTGCTCAAATCACTTCATTGGTTGAGATCGCTCCTATTCTCACCTCTTTAGCGGCCGAAGCCACAGGGCTCCCTCAATCACTTCGACCTAGTCTATCTTCGTTGATCTCTCAGATCAGCGCATCTGGACCCGCTGCAAGTGGCGTTGATGTCGCTCTGTCCTCGTTAGCTTCTCAGGTCACAGAAGTACCAATCTCTGAACAAACGACCCTCTCGTCCATTGTCGCACAGGTATCGAGTCTCATTAGCTCTCCAGTACCTTCAATCACCCCTGGTGTTGAGATTGGGACCATTCTCACCTCTTTGAACTCACAGGTCACTGCACTTCCCGCGACTATACAGCCCGGTGTCTCGAGCCTGATCTCGCAAATCTCGGCTTATGGACTCACGGCGAGTGGTATCCATTCCGCGATTTCATCGTTAGCTTCTCAGGTCGCCGAACTTCCCACAACGGCACAACTAGGACTTGATTCCATTGTCTCCCAACTCTCAAACCTAGCACCAATCACATCCACAGTTCCCACTCATGGCGCTGTCATTGTTGATCCAGCCTTGACTTCGGGCCTTACAAGCTCTATTTTGCCTGCTATATCTTCCCTGCTGTCGCAAGTGTCCGCCACGCCATCTCTGACTCTTGACCCTCGAGTGTCGTCAGCTGTATCGTCCATCGCAGCTGGTATCAATGTACCCACTGGAAGCTCGATAGCCGTGGGTCCAGCTCTCACGTCTCTGGCCTCGCAGCTCCCTCAACTGCCAGCTTCGATTCGCCCTATTGTGAGCTCTTTGCTGTCTCAAGCCTCCGCCACACCTACCGCTGTTCGTGATCCTAGAGTGTCGTCGGCGGTCTCGTCTATCGTGGCAGGAAACAGTGTTCCCACTGGAAACGTGGTCCCAATCGGACCGGCTCTCTCGTCATTGGCGTCTAGATTCCCTCAATTGCCCACGACTATCCAATCCATTATTTCATCTCTCCTGTCTCGCGTCTCGGCAACGCCCTCGGCAACCCTTGACGCTGGTATATCCTCAGCAGTCGCCTCAATAGTCGCTGGCGTGACTCTCGCCCCAAGTGCGATCAATGCCGGCCCAGCTCTTTCTTCTTTGTCCGCTCAGATTTCTCAGTTGCCAGCTTCTCTCAGATCTCCAGTTTCCTCGCTGTTGTCCAAAGTCTTGGCCAACCCTTCGGCCACACTCGAGCCTGAGATCTCGGCAGCAGTGTCCTCGATCGTTGCTGGCATTACTTCCGCACCTGTCGTTGGTGTTTCTGTCGGTGGCTCTGTTGGTGGTTCTATCGCTGTCGGTCCTGCTTTGCAATCACTGTCCTCGTTGTCAGCATACGTTCCTGCTTCCGCACAGCCAGCTCTCGCTTCCCTTCTGTCTCGAGTATCTGCTGCTGGTCCGCAGGCGACCTCCAACCCTGCCATTCAATCGGCCATCGCGTCAATTTATGGTCAAGCATCTTCAGCCTTGTCCAGTGCTGCAAGCTACAAAGCCAGCACTTCTGTTGGATCGCTGGTGGTCTCCCTGCTTTCCAGCGGGGCTAGACCTGCCAATGTTGCCGTAACGTCAGATGTTTTGGCCGTCTCGAGTGCTCTTGCGGCGGTTCGTGCAAGCGCGACTATTGATCCAGTCTTGTCGACAGCAGTCTCTAACATCCTTGTTGGCGCTACAGGTGCTGTCGGTGGCTTGGTCGGTGCTCAGCAGGCTGCTCTTTCGACCGCAATGGCTAGCGTGACAGCAAGCCCTGCTCAAGCAAGTGCTAGAGCTCAATCTGCGCTTGCTGGCGCTCAATCCTCACTCTGGGCTCCTATTCTCTCAGGAGCGTCGTCTGTCCGCGCTCAGGCCAGTAGTCTTGGTGCTTCCGGAGTCGCAGGCGCAATCTCGTTACTTGCTGTCGATATCAACTCTGCTGCTTCGTTCAACTTGCCTGCACAGAGCTCTGTTGCCGGTATCGTGGGTGCATACCTCAATCCTGCTCAGCCCACCACGACTCCTATCATCATCGGCGGACCCTCAGGCTTCCAGACTTCTTATCGTCCCACAGCTACGTTCGGAGGCTCTGCGACCGCCACGCCTACAGGATTGAACTTGCTTCCTCCCTCTGCAGGTGTGAACGCATCCACCATTGTGGACACAGTCAACGTCATCGAGTTCTGCGGTGCCGTTCTGACCTGTCATGATGGAGTCGTTGCTTCTGAGGATGTAGCCGTCGAGTCGATCGTAGACACGCTTGTCGTCGATGCCCTCACTGAGATCAACTTCTGCGGCTCGACCCTGAGGTGTGGAGACAATGGGCTAGCTCAGAACAGACACACGCTGTCTGTTGTAGCCTCCGCCGATGTGGATGTTAAGATCCAGGAAGATGTGATTGATTTTTGAGACTGATCTATGATCACAACTTTCATTTGTTGTCGTTTGACAATTTCCCTTGTCTAGAAACATTCCTTCTTGATCGAGATGATGTGCTGTATGTCGAGTTGTTGATGTCCGCCTACCGATGGGATGACCTTTATGTTGTATAGTAGACAATGATTACATAGTAATAATACTTTGATTTCAAGAGATTGTTGTCGAGCGAGAGATATCTGGCCAGCTGCTGGCCAAGCTGTGCATATTTAAGTGACGACAATGTTGAACAATAGACCCGGCTCTGAGCGAGTAGATGGGTATTGATAAAAGCTATCGGCCAAGTGCTGAGTGGATTGGTGCTGGAGTTGGTATGCTTGCAGTCGAGTATCGCATGTTAGGAGGCATGGACTATTCCCCTCGAATGCACCATTGATAGTTACGTACAATGCGGAAGATAGCGGCATGGGAAAGACTTGCGGATCAGAGATTCGAAGACCGCACGCAGTGCGTAACGCAATCATGGTATGTTGCTGTCGAAAACAGAGGGACGTCCTGTGAGATTGAAGTTACGATGGAGAGCCGAGCAAAGCCCTGCCGACTAGCCTCATCGACATTCAACTTCGTTGACAGCCAATAATTGTACTGGGGGCGCGTCAAGCAATGCAGAAGAGCCAGGGGCGTCCGGGACGGTCGATGGAAAACAAAGGGAAGGGAAATTCGAACCCTTGCTGCCTAAGATATTTTTCCGATAGCCCTCCATGGAAGGTGCGACTTGGGAACTTTTCACTTTCGCTACTTGGAAAGCTTCGAATACGATAATGTCTGGGCAATGCCTGGATCATCGATATTGAGAGCAGCAGTAACTCGATGCCGGCTATATGTGCAGTTCTATGGATGTTTTCCTTCCTTACACGACCAGAGATCTACTCCTCGCCAAAAGGAAAGTTGAACTTGAGCAGACCGTTCAAGCCACCGACCCAGTGGTCATGGCCTTCAGCTCCATTGTTTCCACCAGTCCTAACAATAGACGGCACACCACCTCCACCCCAAGTCCTCTCTTCACTCCTGACTTCTTCTCCCACGACTCTGACTTCCATACCTCTTGTCAAGCCCTTTTCTCTGCGTACTCCATCGACAGACAGCTCTATCTCGTCGCTGCGGTTCTTAGGAGACAATCGCAAGGTAATAGGTGTATTGGAGGGGAGTACCAGAGGGCGGAAGGAGAGGCTGCGTGGGCAGATGGGAGTAAGCAGTAAGGAAGAGACGAGAGGATGGACGATGCTGCCGCCAGAGGATAAGGAGTAGGCTGTCGACCCAGTGGGTGTGCTTATCAATAGGCCATCGGCTACTGCTTCAGTCAAGAAGCGACCACCGACGTAGATGTTGATGATGCTGAGATGAGGTGTGCGGCCACGGTGGAGTAGAACTTCGTTCATTGCAAAGACGTCACAGTTGTTGTTGGTCTCGCAATCGGAGGAGCACATAGGTGCCGAAGGGTCGGCGTGGGTGATGGGAGTGCCGTCTGCGGCAAAGATGCCGACCTTTAGTCTGTTTCTGAGAAGGACACGAGATGAACGTGATGGGCCCATGGACATGCCACGGACAGAACTCCAGCCTGAGAATAGGTCTTTCTCTTTGCCAGACTCTGTCTCCAGAAGGGCACTTCCGTAGCCCGCGGAGGCGCCTGACATGTAGACCTCGCGGAGGGCACGCTTGTAGTCGGAAAACTTCCACTCGCCGAGAAAGCCCAGGGTACCCATGCTGAAAGAAAGGATGGGAGGGACATTCTGGGCGTTCGCGAAGAGGGATGAGGCGTGGAGAATTGTGCCGTCACCGCCGAGAGTCGAGGTCAGGTCGACCTTGTCTTGTAAGCGAGCATCTGTTGGTTCTCCTGTCGTGGTGTAGATAGGGAAAGAGAAGTCGGTATACAGGGCTTTGGCGACCTTGGGCTCAAAGATGAGAGAGACGCCAGGATAGGTCGAATGGATGTGGTTGGCATATTCATGGACGGCTTCAGCGACAGTGTCAGAGCCAGTCTTGTGCACGATCAGGATGTTACGAGGCGGCTGAGGCCATTGCAGCGAAAGAAGGTCCTGGTGTTTGGTCTCTNNGTGATGATTCTGTCAGCGTCATGAGGTTTCAGCACGTGCGTGATGAGCAAAAGTACCTTGATACGAAGGGCGGATGCGGTCCGGCAAGGCAGCAATGTCGCGGAGCTCACGGCGGACAGCGGATTGAGAGAAGCTTCTCCAGGCGACTTGTCGCAACAGAGGCAGTCGCAGACATGGCCGTGTCATTTGTTCATGTCAGATGGTGCAAAGCCACAAAAGGGCAGTCGCATTGTGACGCTTGCATGGTGGGGCTGTCGAGCTTCCTGTGACGCTTGTTCTACTGACGCTCTTTGTTCCACCCTACCCACGTTTTATTCTTATTGTCGTCGTCTTGAATGTCTCCCTGCGTGCCATAGTCGTCCAGTCACTGTCGCACCCAGAGACATGTCGCGCATCAACACAGAGGGCGTCCGCCAACGCCCTATACCCAAACCCGACCCTGCCGCCGACACCGAGATCAAGCTTACCTCCAACAACGACAAGCTGAGGGAAGAGGACCACCCTGCTGGCCCTGTCAAGCACGGCCGCCCTATGCAATACTTCCGCATCGCCTTCTTCGTCGTCTTCTTCTTCATCGTCGCTCTAGGCATCCACTCGGCCCAACTCCTCGGTGCTCCTCTCTACTTTTACAACAAGGACTACTTTTACGCATGGCAGGCCGTTTGCAAGCAATACTTCGCCCTGGTCCTCATCACCGGCACCTATCTCTTCGCTCCTACCGTCATCCGCATCTCTGGCGATGCCTCAGTCAGCGGGCAGCTTAGACAGTTCCCCGATGGCCGTCTCGAATGCGACTTTCCCGAACGCCTTGTCCTGATCGCGAACCACCAAATCTACACAGACTGGACCTACCTGTGGTGGGTCGGCTATACAGCAGCATGTCACGGCCACATCTACATCATCTTGAAAGAGAGCTTGAAATACATACCCATGATCGGCCCTGGCATGATGTTCTACAACTTCATCTTTATGAGCAGGAAATGGGCAAAGGATCAACCACGTCTCAAGCATCGCTTGGAAAAGTTGTCCACTAGACACACCGGCCCTATTCTGGGAAGAAAGGACAAGAGTGGCTTGGATCCTGCGTGGCTGCTCATCTTCCCCGAAGGCACGAACCTCAGCCCCAACACGCGCAACTCATCTGCGCGATGGAGTCAAAAGTCTGGCATCCCGGACATGAAGCACCAGCTCCTACCTCGCAGCACCGGTCTTCACTTTTGCCTGGAAGAACTANAAAACGGAGTGGACTGGCTCTATGACTGCACAATTGCCTACGAAGGTGTCCCTCGTGGTTCCTACGGCGGCCAGCTCTACACTCTGCGCTCAGTATACTTCCAAGGCCGCGCCCCCAAATCAGTCAACATGCACTGGCGCCGTTTCGCCATCGCCGATATCNCCCTACACTCCAAAGAAGAGACTGAGAATTGGGTGTTGGAGCGCTGGAGAGAAAAAGATGACTTGATCGAGTATTATCTCGAGCATGGAAGATTTCCTGCTGACCCTGCTGCCGTGGATGCCGTTGAAAGGTCTGAGCAAGAGAAGAAACATGCAAAATACATCGAGACCGAGGTCAGACCAAAGTCTGCTTGGGAGCCGTTGCAGTTGTTCGCACCCCTACTTTCGGCCTACCTCCTGTGTAATATCCTGATCAAGTTTGTCAACTTGGTCTTGACGGGAAAGTTGAGTTCGAATTAGGCGCCTGTTTTGGCAGCATGGCATACATGGACCTCTTGAGAGAAGGCTTGGTCACTGGCGTTGGATGGGGATGCATTTTGAATCTAAGGGCTTGACATGGGACTGCCCATCGTCTTTTTACATAGGATCGGTCCGTCTGAGGATGACTTTTACATATACCCACTCTGCTCAGAATGCAACAACACAGAACACCTACACTTCCATGCAACATGTGTTTCGATCCCAGCCCAACACCATCCAAATGCAAATAAACAGTAACGAAAAAGTGCAGAAAGCAAAAGCTTTTTACAAAGCGAATCTCGTCCTGACCTTCTCATCGCCAGCCTTCCACTCCCATTCCTGTCCGCTTCTTCTCTGGATGCCCTTGTCGATTCTTCTCAACTTGAGTGTAAACCTTGGTCCCAGCTCTTGCAATCCAGCCCTGATATCCTCGACTCCCTCAACCAATTTTCCATCTGGGCCCACAATGCTCTTCTCAGTCGCGCGCTTGTCACGGAAGACGTAACGATGTCTCCTCACGAAGATGTAATCGCGCTGGTTGTGTAGAGTCACGACTTGACGTCCCTGAATCTGCGGCTGCGGAGGAAAGATTTGGCGGAACAGATGCGCCGTCAACAGACCCAAGGGCGTGCGGAAATTGTTAAGGATCAGTTCTGGATCGTGCGAAGTCGGATTTCCGTGACCGGGAAGTTTGGCGCCTTCAACCCAGTTTGAAATGCTGAAGTGGAACATGGGGCCATGGGGAAGATGCACGATATCCAGTCCTGCGGGCTTTTTCTGGTCTTCGTTTAGGATAACGACGTGAGTGTAGTTTCTGTTTGCGGCGAACGAGGAAATTTCCGAGACGGAGTATTTGTGGGCGTGGAAGTGTGCTGTGCGTTTGATGTAGACCGCGTTTGGGAACAGTGAAGTGAGGAGGACGGCTTCTTCGTGCAAGAAACTGTTTATCGATGTGGTGACCAGGACTTTGGGGTCTTTGTCGTTGTGTTCGAAGAGGCTGGGGAACTTAGAGGCGAGGCCTTCGGGGGTGAGGGAGAGGTTTGTTGCTGCGGTCGAGGGTGTTGGTGANGGGTGCGCGAGTGGCCTTTTTGCCGCTGCGGCGTCGTCTTTCTTTTGCTGTTTTGCGGCTTTGGCATCTTCGTCGTCTTCGTCGTCTTCTTCCTCGTCAAAGTCGATCATTGAGTCTGCGTCACTGTCTTTTTCCTCCTCCGCCTCTTCATCGTCGTCTTGCTCTGCCTCTTCATCATCTTCTTCAACTTTCCTTCTCTTGATGGCATTCAAATCCACACTCAATCCCAGTTTGTCGCTCTCTTCGCCATCGCCTGCGGTATCCCAAGTTCTCTTCCTGTCGATGGTTTGCGGGATATTCTTTGCTCGGCGCGCTTCTCTGAGTGCAGGATTCTTGTCCTCTGTGCGTCTGCGGCGGAGTCTGTCGTCACGCTTTGTGTTTTCCTTGGCGCGTTTTGTCTTTACGTGTTGTTCTTTGCGCTTGATCTTGTTGCCGATCTTGGTCGGGTTACGGGAGACCATGGTGGCGGTTGTGCTTGTGTGTATGTGGATTGGTAAGGTGATGGTCTTGCGCAGGAAATAAAAATCTTGGAGACCCTGGAGAATTTCTGGAGGAGTTTGTAGCGGGCGGTTGTGGTTTCTCTATGCGGCGCAAGGATGCCAAGCCATAGGTTTTCCAGCCTCGAGCACTCCCAATACAGGAGACAGTCCGAGAGACAGTGGTAAGAATGCGAAATGTGATTCCATTGAGGAGTAGTTCCAGCGAGATGCAACTTTTGTCTAGCTCTTACTGGTGTTTTGTTCTGCTGAGTTTACTTTGTGCATTTCTACAGCTACATATTTATGGAACGTCACAGAAGGAAGCTCAGACCACCTACACTTTTTCGAAGACAGTCACCGCAATCGATGAGCAAGCGCCTGAGCATACCACTTGACATTGCCAATCCACGGCTCTTTTCACCTCGTTTCTTTTGACAAGTGCCATATTTGTCGAATTTTTATGTTCAAGTACCTGCGCCAGGTCACCAATAGGCATTCCACTTCTCAAAGGCACATTACCAGAGCCTTTTCATCAACTCCCATCACTTTCCGTGCCGTCGTAAACACACGCACAAGAAACACACCCACCATGTCGACCGACTACGTTACTCAAAAGGGCCAGGCCTTTGACAGAGCTGCCTTTGAGTCTCTGTTGCGCCGCAAGGTCTTCTTGTGGCAGAGTTTCGAGCCTTATGGTTCGGTCAAGGGTCTTTTCGATTATGGCCCTCCGCTCGAGCAGCTTGAGAGTCAGGTCATCCAGATCTGGCGTGATCACTTCATTCGTTCCGAGAAGATGATGGCTCTCAAGTGCTCTATGCTTACTCCTTACGAAGTCTTGAAGACTTCCGGTCACGTGTGAGTGTTTGAAACTGATCATAAATTGATTTCCACGTTTACTGACTTGAGAACAGTGNACCGTTTTGCTGACTACATGTGTACGAACTGACCCTGAGGAATATTCATTTTTGTTAGACTGACGCTTCCCAGGCNNAAGGACCCCAAGACTGGTGAAATCCTGCGTTCAGACCACTTGATCGGTGACGTGCTCGAGTCTCGTCTCAAGTCCGACAAGGAAGCCCGTGGTGAGAAGGTCGAGGAGAAGGAAGAGGACCCCAAGAAGAAGAAGAAGCAGTCAAAGGCTGCCAAGGGTGCCGTCAAGCTCGACGATGCCGTCCGCCAGGAGTATGAACACGTTCTTGCCATGCTCGACGACTACACTGGTGAGGGTATGGGTGAGTTGATCAAGAAGTACGACATCCGCAATCCCTCCTCCGGCAACGAGGTTGAGCCTCCTGTTTCTGTCAACCTCATGTTCCAGACTCAAATCGGTGCTTCCTCCAACTCTCCTGCCTTCCTCAGACCCGAGACTGCTCAGGGTCAATTCCTGTCTTTCCAGAAGCTGCTTGAGTACAGCGATGGCCAACTTCCCTTCGCCTCTGCTTCCATTGGTTACTCCTTCAGAAACGAGGCACGTACATCATGACTACTAGCGACAGAAGTATACTAACAAGTCTTAGNNCTTTCTCCTCGCGCTGGTCTCCTCCGTGTCAGAGAATTCTTGATGGCCGAGATTGAGCACTTTGTTGACCCTGAAGGCGGCAAGGCTCACCCCAAGTTCCACACCGTTGCTGACGTCAAGCTTCCCCTTCTCGATCGCGACACCCAAACCTCTGGCAGCACCAAGCCCACATACGTTGCTATCGGTGAGGCTGTCAAGACTAAGCTGGTCGACAACGAGACTCTTGGTTACTTCCTTGTCCGTATCTTCCAATTCATGGAGAAGATCGGTATCGACATGAACAAGCTCCGTTTCCGTCAGCACATGGCCAACGAGATGGCTCACTACGCTTCCGACTGCTGGGACTGCGAATTGCTCAACAGCTACGGCTGGACTGAGTGTGTTGGCTGTGCCGACCGCTCTGCTTACGATTTGTCTGTCCACGAGAAGGCCACCGGAACTGTCCTTCGTGCGCGTGAGCAGCTCAAGAACCCCGAGACCATCGAGGAGTGGGTCCCTGTCATTGACAAGAAGAAGGCTGGCCCCAAGTTCAAGAAGGATGCCAAGGCTATCGAGAACGCTCTCGAGGCTCTCTCGCAGGAGATGAAGGAGAAGCTCCAGATCACCATGGAGTCCGAAGGCAAGGCTGAGGTCTCCGTTGAGGAGATCGCCGCCGGCAAGGTCGAGATTGACACCTCCATCGTCAAGTTCGAGAAGCAAAAGAAGACCATCACTTTCCGCGAGTTCGTGCCCAATGTCATCGAGCCCTCATTCGGTATTGGTCGTATTCTTTACTCTCTCATGGAGCACAGCTACTGGACTCGTGAGAACGATGAGGCCCGCTCCGTTCTTTCCTTCTCGCCTGTCGTTGCCCCTATCAAGGTTCTGGTTTGCCCTCTCCAGAAGGACCCCAAGTTCGCTCCCCTCATCGCCAAGCTCGAGGAGGCTCTCGACAACAAGTCCATCTCATTCAAGATTGACCAAACTGGTGTCAGTATTGGCAAGCGCTACTCACGTAACGATGAGCTTGGTATTCCATTCGGTATTACTATCGACTACGAGGCCCTGGACGATGGATCCCTCACTCTCAGAGACCGCGACTCAACTAAGCAGGTGCGCGCCAGCCAAGCCGACATTATCAAGGCAATTAGCCGCATGGTGAAGGGCAAGGAGACCTGGGCTGATATTGTCGCTCGCCTACCCGCATACGAGGGCCAGAAGGAGGCTGCTGAGTAAATGTGTCATCCCGAGCTCGGAGGGATGGTTTAAGATGTCTTATCGCAATGCAGAGAATCTGGAGATACCAGAAATTACCGGAGAGAGTGTCAAACCAGCAGACGTCTCAGTAGGCTCTCCTCGGTCTGGAAGAAGTTTGTGCATTTTAATAGCTAAAAAAAAATGTTCAAGCACACCTGGCGAGATCTAGATAGGCCAAAAATCAATTCCTACACCAAGTCATGAGTAAGTCGTGCCTTCTCCTTCCTGCGTTCCTTCAGAAATTGCGTCGTCGCTTCATTGGCCGATCTTTGCTTGGCTTGCAGTCAACCCTTTGGATTCTCGTTACACAAACCTTTGAGGTGTATCTTTCTCATCAGCACTCATGCTTCATGCCAAAACACCGATCCTCCAATTTGTGATCATTTATAAATATCAATGCGGGTTCCTTGATTCTGCATGTTCCTGGACACGTGGTCCGTGAATTCCCCAACACGTCACATTGACGAACAAGCGTTTGTACTATATCAGCTGAGGCCTGATACCTGTGCTTCGACTACCAACCTCCCTTCCAACCACATTGGTGTAAGTATCGCGACCTCGCAACGATCCTGTCAATCGTTACCATCTCGTTCTAATATTTCACCTCTACATAGCCTCTCGTTTTCTCTCGGCTCAATACAACTCAGAGCAGCAGCCGAATGTCGGATCCTGTAGCTGTTGATTCCTACGGTTGATAGGAGGCTTTTGCAAGACTACACATGTTCCTAGCCATCTGAAATTTATCACTGGAATTCATCAAATGGCTCAACTCATTCAGACATTCTGGTCTGAGATCTTACAATCGACCTCTCCTATCAAGATTGAGCTGATTGGTACGCTGGGTCTCCAATTTGGTGCTTTCTGGCTGCCATCTCTCTTGCTACTGGGTGTCGACCATATCTGGCCCTCCTTCTCCTTGCGACACAAAATCCAGTCCCGGCCGACTCCATCTTCTGTTCAGATCTGGCATTGCGTTGATGTGGTCGTTCTCAATCAGTTATTCATGGCAGCAGCGAAGGTGTTCGAGCTTGGAGGTTTACATCTTGTGGGCCACTCGTCTTTCTACCGTTTCGACCATGCCATTCCAAGTGTCTCCGAAGTTGCACGCGACTCCATCGTCTGCGTCCTCCTTTGCGAAATCATATTCTACTACTCTCATCGACTCTTACACGTCAAATTCTTCTACCAGCGCATACACAACCAACACCATCAATTCAGAGCTCCAATTGCTCTGGCTGCTCAATACGCACATCCAATAGAATACCTCGTGTCTACCATTCTCCCATTTTGGCTGCCCCCACAGATTCTGGGTTGCCATATCTTGACGTGCTTCATATTCTGGACAGCGGCTACTCTTGAAACGGTGATCGCGCACAGTGGGTACGATTTCTTCACAGTCTTCGCCAAGAAACACGACCTGCACCACGAGAAGTCCAGAGTCAACTTTGGTACTTTGGGCTTCCTCGACTGGATACATGGCACTGGCGCATGGCAACTCAACATCAGAGTCAAGCATGAGTAATCACAAGTAGAAACAGGGTCAGAACTCAGTGTACAAAAAGAGCAAAAGAACCAGGGTAATCATAAGAATCTCTGCCCTGGGACAAACGCCCTTGATGAAGAAAGTGCAAAATTTTCTTCGTCACTGATGGGAATCGAAACCTCCGGCCAACTAGTTTACAACGCACATATTAGTGTTTAAGACTTAGGCGTTTGTATTCGTGGCGTTTCAGGTGTATGGTCAAACCACTACACCATCCAGGACATTACTTGTGGGAAATTCAATTCAGGGAGGTTAAGGGGTGGAAGTTGGAAGTGAGTGTCTCAAGGCTATGTTGCACTGTGCGAAACTGATGAGATTAGTGAAGTGAGTAGTATCATATTCTATCATCTCCACGCAGAGGCTCTAGAACCAGGATTTTCTCGTTCGTTATCGATGATCTCCTATAGTTCTACGGCTGTATGCATCACAACTTCTGGCATACTGAAATTGCATCACCTCCCGCGGGAGATTTCATCTGCCCCTGATTGCTGTTTGTACGACCAAATCAGTATAGTGTTAGAACCATCCGTCTTGGCGGAGCTCGTTTGCCTCAATCTCAAGCATCGGGGGTGCAAACAAAGGAGTGCTTGCGCGGTCACAACCAGCCTTGGGAGCTCCTGTCGTTGTAGGTGATAACATTTCTCCCGAATAGACACAACTCTGGTCCCAAGTTAGATATACCGGTCTGCTCTGCATCAAGCTCTTTTACGAATCACTGCAGGCAGTGCATCGCTCTCAACCTGACAGGCTGTCAGGTCGGTATCATCGCTCTCCAAGTGTCGAAGGCACCGTTGCCATCCCATGTAACCAATCAACACTACCGTCTCTTTCACGGCGCTTTGCGCGTCAAAAAAGTTCACTTGATTCGTCAAACGTACTCTCACTCGATTTCCTCGGTCTCAGAGAATTACAACTCGTATCTTTGACCGCATTCGTGTCCAGTCAACAGCTACATATCTATTCTACCTTGGTCGCTACACAAGCAGTCGCAATCCTGTGTGGTTTCTAGAATCAAAGTGTGTACCTTAGAGGTTTACTTCTTGTGTGGAACCGTCGCTGGCACAACTAGCTATCGTCAAGATTGCACTCCAGTGTCTCTCATCGCGTCGCCGTACAACATGAGCTCAGACGGCCTCGGTACTCTGGCACTCGACATCTCCGATCTCACAACCCCAATTTTCGACATGGAGAACGCTGGCCTAGGCGCTTTGGCAAAACTGCCACGAGAAATCAGAGACACGATCTCTAGCTACGTCGCTGCTTCAGTGAATCGCCCTTTCCATCGGTCTCTAGTACATCACATGCTCCGCGAAACAGAGATGCAAGTCAGTCCTCGGCTACGTCAAGAATTTCTCGAGGCTTACTTGCAAGATAACGATTTTCTCGAGACCAAGAGGCGTCGCAAGCTACGGCCGAAAACATTCAGAGATCATACTATAGATGCTAGTTCTCTCGGGCCCGAGAAAATGTGACCAGGGATGCTCGATAGGTTTCTGAGCTCTATACGCCCTTTTGCCGACATCGCCACTCACACCAGAAGCATTGGCATAGAGGCAGACTCGTTTGTCCACTATCTTACTTTCGAATTATCAAGACAATACTCTTCTTGCCACTCAGGACACCAGCGCAGAATGCTGAGACAAGCCGAACAGCTCAGGAGTTACCATGTTGAACATGGGATTCCACCGCACCGATTATATCTCCAGACGATCACCAGCAAACCAGTGTCTCGAGTCTACATGGACTCAAAGAATTCTAGTATCGCCTCGCTTGAACGTTATTGCACATACATACAGAAGGGAACGGACACGCACTGCCCAAGGCTTGGGTCTGATTGTGAACCTCTCGGAGTACGAGTTTGTTTCAGCTCTACCTCGGCCAGTTGCAAACAGTCTGGTTCAAGATGTGGAAGCCTTGTGGTGGCTCCATAGAGACCACCACATTACAGCCTCGCAAGTCTTTATCATGGTACAACATGCCGTGCCCCAAATAGAGCTCACACAGTCATGGATACACTCTCGTCACACAGGTGGGAGCTTCTCCGAACATCGTTTTTCCAATGCCTGGACCATCAAAATCCATGTCGCAGACAAAGAAGCTTCGGCAAATGCACTCTGTGAGACTCTTATTCGAGCCGGAAATCGACTGACTGGTTTGTTGAGTGGTGACATTCGGGATGCACTGCGCGGCCCTTTGATCCTGGGAATTTATCACAGGAGGGTCTATTGCTCCTCTTTGACCTTCCAGAACCTGATAGCCGTCTTGCCTATCTTGACGTGGAACTCCAGCATTGACTGAATGGAATGCCCCCAATAAAAGTTGTAGAGGATGTTGTTCAGTAGCGTGTCCATGCGCAGATACTCTTCCTCGGAAGGAGAATTTTCTCGAAACTCGCGCAGCTTCAGTGCTTTATAGGCTGCAATTTGGGCCTTTAGCTGGGTCTTCATGTTAGCCATTGTATGAATGGAGGCTTTTCCATCGGACAATATTATGCTTGCTGCCACAGCATCAAAGTTGTGCTTCCAGAAGTCCTCCCACGTGAGAAAGCCGAAGGGCTGAACGCGAGGAGTTTCTATCCACATACAAGATCCTGGCTCACTGTAGTCCATGTTGAGGTACATGTGATCAGACGGGACACGATAGTCCTCATGAATGTCCCACAAGCGCTGCAATCTCTGAGGTAGCTCTTCGAACACGCCATCTTCGCATTCGGGCATGTATTTGTCCATGTGCAAATAGAATGTGGTTGCCTGAAGCCCGAGTGTTCTGTCGTTGCTTTGAAAATTATACTCGATGCGACCTTTGACAGATGCCAGGAGTTTCTCGGGACTTTCAGGGCATTCTTCGTCACTGTTGTTGTCCCTCTCTTCCGGGCAGAATCCCTCGGAGTCGTACTGGTCTTCACTTGGCCTTGGATGGCATTCATCGTTTTTGTAGTGTATGTCGCTTTCTTCCAGGGANATTTCTCGAATGAAGACTGCGAGGAACTCAACACAGAGCTGCTTGCTTGTAGCCAGAATAGGAGCCTTGACGAGCTCACGTACGACACAGCGATCAATAGTGGTCTCCCGAGCGCCGTGTACCACGAGTGAGGGGACGATGAAGCCGTAGATCATGTTTCTGATTTCTCTTGGGAAGCGGCTGAGCTCGCCGAGACCGTCTTCAAAGTGGACAGTGAAGCCGACAGGCTTGTGTGACGTGACAGAGGTTTTTGGAGAATGCTTGCGATGCTGGACGATGTTTAGCCTAGTCCAGTGACAGGTGCTGTGCGAGTGTCACTTACTTTCTTCATGATGAATGTTGTTGTGGCGAGATTCGTGTGGCTCTGGTGTGTTGCGGCGAAGCGCAGAGAAGGAAGCAAGTGGGATGTGAATGGGTCGCGACTGTGTTATCTTAAATGCGCAGGATTGATGTGGTGAGTAAGGTGAGAGAAAAGGTGAAAGATTCGTGAGACGACGCAAACAAAGTGGATGGTGTGGAAAGTCAGATTGATGGAGTGAATAGTAGTTGTGCTGATCACACAAGCGAATCCGTTTCGGTCAACAATCTTTGGAAACAAACAGAAGAATCCGATGGTTATGACGCGGATCGTTCTTTCTCTTACTGCATTAGAACTCTCGATGATTGCGTCTCGATTCACAAAACTTTCGAGTAACAGGAAGTTGTCATTGAGAAGTTGATTCAGCGGCTTCCCAGAACACGAGAAGTTATGTATTGCAAATCAAAAACCAAACCACTATCAGCCAGTAGATTTACTGATCCTCTACTAGAAGCCCGCTCTCAAGTCTATGTGCAATGATCGAGGTAACATCCAGATCGAAAGCAGGTAAAAGAAAACTATCGAACCCCCGAATCTAGGCATCGCGCACTTGCAACTATTATATGCCGCCGGATCTGGAAACTTCCTCAAGGTGACTGAACAGGTTGGATGGTGTAGCAGGAGTCAGTTCGACAATCTCGCTAGCGCTAAGCCATAACACTACAACGATAGGCATTGACAATCTTTTGTCCGAGTCCGAGCTGTGTCGTTGCTTTTTGTATACGTTTGGCGCCATGAGTCGATGATTGACAACTAGTGATGATACTTGTTTTGTTGTCATGGTGTGTAAGTCTCATTGAAATTTGACCAATTCTTTGTCAATGGAGTGCCGCTGAGACTGTGTATTTATGTAGCTGATTGTCATACCAATATTGCAAGAGAAAGAGCTTGAGTTGTACTGAATGTCGCAAACAGAAAGAGCAAAGAGTTTCAGGGTTGACTTTCCTTTTGAACACCTAAGCTAGTTGATGCCGCTCCAATTTTGATTCCTTGAAACCCAATGAATGTTCCCAGCTCCGCATTTCCAACCATTAAGATAGGATCAAAAATTGCTCCATCAACTCGTTACTCCTGAGCCTCTGCTGACTAAGACTCTGCAATCCTGAACAAGTCATCCAACTCGTACCAGCCATCTTTTGCTTTCCAGTAGTTGGTAACATCAGCCACGACTCTCGTGTGACGGCGCCTGATCCACGACATATCCCTCTCGATCATTGTCTCCAACTTCGATATTTGAGCCAAGTGCGCAGATGCTGGGTATCGAATGCGCATCTTCTTGATGGTCTTTCTAGCAGCTTTCCTCAAGACTTCGGATTCGGCATCGATTTCGGCGACCGAAGCATCATAGTCGTTCACGTAGATCTTGGCTTGCACTGGACGTAAAGAGAGCACGGTATGTTCATGATCCCTGTCCGGTTTTGCGAGACATGCTAGGATCGTCCAGGATGAATTTCCGTAATTGACGTCGATGGAATACTTGTCGGACGGTATGTCGTACTTTTCATGGTACCGTCTGAGCTGTTTCACGATTTCTCCGGACCAGTCTTCAGGGACATATCCAAGGCGTTCTGTCTTTCCAAATCCGCGTTGAAAGCATGAGGGTTCGTGGAAAGCACTAACACTCATACCTCTGATTCGCGGAAACAACACCCCTTTTGGTTCTTCGTTGCCAGTGTGACAGCTAGCAATCTTGAACCGACGCTTGACCAGTTCCAGGGTATCCTCGAGACCGCGCGGAATCTTGCGGTCCGAGCGAGATCCCCGAAAAGTAATGCAACTCGTAGTATACGCTCCATTCCACTGCTCTCAAGAAGATCTGGATGTACTCGGTGCAGAATTGCTTGTTGAGTGTGATCCAAGGTGAGCTGGTGAGAAGTAATTTCAAGTCGGCGGCATGAAGTCCAGAGGTGTGCGTCCATCTCGGAGATTTGATAGTGTTGCGTATCATGTACCCAAAGATCATATCGCGTATCTCTCGAGGCAGTCGGTCTAGATAGTCGAACCTGGGAGGTGTGTTTGCGCTCATCTTGATGACGGGTATGATTGGATGACAAGTAGGGTTGCCTGCAGTCAGGAGAAGTTCCTGCTCTCTACTTTGCTTCTCCCTCTCAGAAACACATTGAGAGGCAGGTTTCCAAGTAATAGTGTCTATGACCTTCCGAGAATCTACCCCTACTGCCTGAGACTACTCCCCAAGACTCACAAAGAAAGAGCTGACAGCCAACGGAATGTCAATCAAGGTCGCCAGCTCAAACAAAGCAAAGCCTTTGACGCGTGCTTCTGTCTTCCTCTTGCAATCTGCTGGAATGGATTTTCGTCTAATTCTGCGCGGATTCATACACGTTCAGATTCAGTACGGGCTGGTTAGAGGTGGCCAAGATCCGAATCAGGTAGTGAAAGTGAATCATCTTGCGGTCTAAGAGGTAGGAGAACTGTTTAGGAATCAACTCAACGGACATACCTACACGTCTAAGCCATGATCATGCTCGGCCTGCGCTATACGTCTCATTCCAAAGGCCTTCTCAGAGCTCTCTAATAACCTCACCAGCAACCCTCCCCACGAAACCAGCCCAACTGCTAAACACAACTCCCTTAAGAATAGTCTCTCCCTCCTCAATAGTCCAATGTCCAGCATCCACCAATCTCTGCCTCCACACGTGTTGCTCCTCATCATTCAACTCATGCCAATGTCTCGCTTTCTCATCTTGTTGCATATATTCCTTCTTATCTCCCATATGCACAGCAAGACTCTTACCCTCGCCTTGATCGCGAACAATGACAGCTTTGTCGTCTGCACTCTTTGAGCCGCCAGGAAGGGCAAAGTGCATGTCCAGTAGGTCCGCAATTCTGACACCAGGGAAGCGACTGCAGAGGATGCGGCAGAAACTACAGAGGGAGCGACAGAGGAGACGGAAGATGCGGCAGAGGAAACANGAAGACGCGGCATCAACGATGGGTTCCCAGCCCTTGCGACCCATACTATCAGCAATGCTTGCAGGGTGGGAAAGAGTTCGTTGCCACGATGCTGGTAGAGGAATATAGTCGGCAAGACCGGGTGCAAAGGGGTCGGTAGAGTACATGGACTGAAGCAGAATGGCGAAGATGAGGACAGCGAAGCCGATGAGGATGCCATAAGTTGTGCGTTGGCGCAGTTCTTCCGAGGGGTGCAGGAGGACGTAGCGGCTCTGGCGGTCTGAGGGTTGCGACGGGAGAAGAGCAAAAGTGTCTACTACGACGGTATTGCCCATGCTGGTGCTGCAAAGCTTGATGTATTGAGGACCCGGGTGGACGGGATTCTTGATTGGTAGGGCATTACCCTTCCTGTCTTGCTCTGGTGGAGGAGCGCGTACGGGGCTATGGAAGGGCGAGAAGCGAAGGCAAGTCATCTGTAGCGGGTGTACATCGCGTAGGGTAGTGAATCTCTTGAAGCTGCCAAAGGTATGAGTATTGGCGTTGTAGTCGAGGGTGTAGACGGGGATGGAAATGTCGTGGCCGGCAATGGCAACAACGATCTGCTTGTTCCCAGCCTTATCCGAGTCGAGACTGCAGACGTCGAGACCGACCGCTTGTTTGACATGACCAGGCAAAACCTTGTGCTTGACCTTCAATGCTGGGCCAGACGGGTAGAAGTGGATAATGCTCAGCTCGGCGCCAGTACGGTTAGGCAGGTTGCTCAAGAGCAAGACATCTTCATTGCCCAACCATCTGATGGCACGGTACTTGGGACGTATGGGCTTCTTAGCATCCTCAATCTTAGGCATGGAATAGACTTTTCGCGGGTTTGCAGGAGAGAATGAAGCCTTCTTGGTATCGAAGTTATACATGACCGTCTGTTCGTAAACATCGTAATCGGTAGCCCAGGTGATTGAAAAAGTGTTGGTCTCCAGCTCTGTGATATCCAGATCGGCGGCTTCGGCATTGTCGCGCATAGGGATACGAGCAATGATCTCAGCATCGGTGGTGGGTGTTCTCGTAGCATCGAAGACGACAATCTCGGATTGCTTGGCTAGTCCAGTCGCAACAGCTCCAATGCGCTTGTTCGGCGAGTCGCGCTTGTATGTGGGTGAGAGTCGCAGTACGCGCTGGTATGTCTCTGGTTTGGGGCCTGTTGCTGGTTGGAAGAGGGATGCCTTTCCAATGAATGAGATGTTTCCATCTTGAGCTTCACTGTCCTCCTTCTCGTCCGAAGTCTGCTTCTTCCTTGGGTACTTGATGTCGAAAGTACGCAGATGTTGGTTCTTGCCAGCCTTCTGATCCGACTCTGACGAATTGATGCCAGCTAGCGTGATGAGACCGTCCTTGGATGCAAGTGTCGCGAGCGATGTGATCGAGTCTTCTTCGCTCGAGAGCTCGATTTCGGCTGTCGTGTCCAGGGTCGAACGTTTGCTCGCATCTAGTAGCGTNCTATAGATATCAGCATCTACTGGGACATGAAAGAGGCTTCACGGGCAGCTTACAATCTTGTTTGCGACACCACTGCGACCTTGACCACCACCGCCGCCTACCACGAGGAAGCCACGGTTGTAGGGGTCGAACTCGGCTGCATACACAGGGTATGACAACGTCGTCTTTGTGAATGACACTGGTCCATGGCTCTGAAACACCATCTTGTGTTAATAATATAGGGGTGCTATCCTAAGAGTGCAGGACAGCGAAACGTGGAATTACTGCCTGCTCTTTCACATGAACGATGACGACCGTTCCGCATTGCCAAGGCCTCCACACCGCTTTCAGCCCGCTTGCTTCTTTCTGTCCCCTTGAAACACCTCTGACAAAATCAACGAGATTGAACAGATATCACAGAACGAGGGATTGTGACGAAGTAAGAAAACGTATTCGTGTCGTAAAAAAGATAACATTCGCTTTTTCTGTACCTCCGACACAACATGCCAAGTCCCATCTATCCCTAGGCACATCCCATATTCCCCATTCATCTTCATGAATTAGCTTACTCCTCGTCAATACCGGCCATCTCCTCTTCCTCCTCAAAGGTGTCGCGAGGAACGTTGTAAAGGCGGATGGTAGGCTTGTTGGGGTCCTTGACAAGCACAAACTTGGCCTCCTCCTCGTCTTGCGACATGACCATGTCGACAAAGGTGCGAACGATGGCCCAACCGTTGTTGAGGTTCAAATTCATCTGAGCGGCAAACTCACGAGGCTTGTAGCCAAGGACACCAAGGATGACGTGGTCGTTTGCTGTCTTGGGGTTGACACGCGACACGAAACTGCGATATGTGTTAGCAATTGTTTATTCTGTAGAGTTCGTCATATCATAAACTCACCCAATCTTCATCTGGTCGGCCTTTGCGAGAATGGCCTGGGTGGCCCAGCGGGCGAGCTTGCAGCTGTTGTTCTTCATCTCGGTAGCAACAACGGCACCACGCTGAGAAGCCAGCTTGGTGCGCCAGTCAAGAGCACCACCACTGCCGATGGCCTTGTTGTCAAACTCGTTGAGAGCCTTGATGGTGAGGTATTGGTCCTCGCCAGAGATGGCGTTCTTGACGACGGCGTCGAGCTCGGTACGGACAATGATGTGTAGCGGCTGCTCGTCGGCCTCGAGCGAAAGGTCGAACTTGCGGTACTTGTAGGCCTTGGAGGCAGGNGGGTCGGTCTCCTCCTCGGGGTTGTAGAAGGGGTGCTCGTTGGCCATGTCGCGCTTGGACGTTTGGCTCTCGGTGACGGTCTGGATGGGGAAGACGTGGTTGATGTGGGTGGCCTCCTCCATGAGGGCGCCAACGTTGTTGATGGTGTCCTTGGTGCCCTCGGAAGTCTCGAGCGGTGCGTCGGCGGCGTTCTCGTTGACGGTGACACGGTCGACGTTGCTGCCCTCGCGCTTGTCGATGAAGACCTTGTTTCCTTGTCTGGTGATGATCAAGTCCCATGAGTAGACGGAGCGGGGAGCGCACATCAACATGGACAGGATGTCGCTGGTAGTGAAGATGGAAGCGGCGTCCTTGGAGGCCAGATCCTGGATGATGGGGTCGTGAGAGGTTGTGACATTGTAGGCGGCGCGCTCGACAACGTTGAGCTTGCGGGAAGAGGTGGGAGCACCGGGCTGCTTGTCGAACTGGCGGTCGTAGTAATAGAGGAATCCGTAGTCTTCAACGTCCTCGCCGTCGCCAGTGTCCAGGTTCAGCTTGATGAGACGGTTAAAGTCAATCTCCTCGAGCAGCTTCCAGGTATCGCGAGGCTGGACCGAAGCCTCACGAGTGCGCTGCGGCTTGTCCCAGTCCTTCCAGCCTCCTCTGCGGCCACCACGGCCTCCACGCTGTGCACCACGGTTGTCGTATTGCTGTTGTCCGGGTCTACCACCTCCAACGCGCTGGAAAGTGCCACCACGTCCGCCGCGCTGAGCAGCGCCACCACGAGCACCACCACGGCCACGGAAAACGGTGCCACCGCCACGGCCGAAAGTGCGGCGAGCAGCAGTGCGCGAGTTGTCGACAATGGAGAAGCTAGCTTCCTCGCCGATGCCTTCGATGTTGAGAGCGGTTTGGAGACCTGCGCCGGCGCCGTAGGGCTGGTCNTGTTGTTGACTCGTCAGTCTCGCTGTTCCTTTCACTCTTTCCAAATCTTCCTCACCTCTGAAGTTGCGGCCGTATTGTTGTCTGCCTCCTCTGCCTTCACGGTCCTTGCCCTCTGTGGTCCAGTCGGCCATGCGGCCCAGCTTGTCGCCCTTGGAGAAGGGAGCGTAGGGCAGACCGTCGCGCAGAGTGTCGGTGGTGACGGGAGGTCCCCATGAGTCGGTAGCAGGTAGCGCCTGTACGAGACCAAGAATAGAGTCCATCTTGGTATGTGATTGATCTGCTAGGGAATCGAGACGCTCCCACGAAAAAGTCGGCGGCGTCGACAACATCCCGCGCAAACTTCGGTGGGCCATCGAAATCTTGGCGTCTTTCGCCTACTGTCTCTATCACCGAGCACCAGTGAACAACCATCGAGCACATGAAACCACTGAATTGTAAAATGTCTTGATCTGATGCATAGAAGAACTGCTCTAAAGGCCCGAAACAATTCTCCTTTTCGACTCCGTGCCTGTCCAAGGCCATCTCCTGCAAACGCCGGCTGATTGAGACGAAAAGCATTCCTTTTGACGAGTCGACCAGCAGCTACATGCACTTTCTCTCGACCTGTCTCGACCATCACCTATTCTGAGAAAAGTAAAGAAGCAACCAGGAAATGAACGTCAGCGAACATTTGGCCCCCTTCATCATGCATCCAAACGTTCCGCTAAAAGAAGTAAAGAAAAGAAAATGGTGGTAAAGGCAGCAGCCCGTCTTTCGCCCACTCCATACGTGAGAGGCAGCATAAAAGATACCGTTTTCGATGATGATGCAGCATGTAAGGCAAACATAAAAGATCTCCTTCTTTCTCCTCATCATCGTGGTCGTCGTTGGCTAGCTTTCCATTTAGTTATTCATATCCGCAAGTCATGTAGTGTTTTTTTCTCTTTTGTTGCTTGTAAAAGGGTATCTCGCTTGGTCGTCATCTCCACAACTGTTGCGTACTTGCAATGGCTGTCGGCTAGTACAACGTTCGTGGTATCGATATAAGCAAAAGCCAGTGCTTGGGTATCATGGGTATATGCGAATTGTGATGAATGTGGTCACGCTCAGTGGCCACTCTGCTTTCTGAATCTCAGAAGCTCGGCGAGCATGTTGGGGTTGCAGCCCGTCTTGAGAAAGTCGTGTCTACCAAGCTCCTCGGCAGTGGCACGAGACTTGACATCAACACACAAGCAGACGCTCAAGAAGCTCTTCAGTTCCTTGCTAAGGGCTTCAGGCTTCTTCAGACGTGGTGTGCCGTTGGTGGCGATCAGGTAAAGTGCCTTCAAAGGCTCCTCGTTAAGGTATGGAGGCTCGGACTCGATCATCTCGATGGCCATGATACCCAGGGACCAGATGTCGACCTTGCTGCCGTACTCCTTCTGCTTGACAACTTCGGGAGCCATCCAGTAGGGTGTTCCAACCATGGTGGCACGCTTGCTGCGCTGCTCGGTCAACTTGGCACAGAAACCGAAATCAGTAATCTTGACGTTGCCTCGCGAACTAAGCAGGACGTTGTCTGATTTGATATCACGGTGAATGATGTTCTGTTGGTGAAGGTGGATGAGACCCTTGCAAGTNCTGGAGGTTCTTGTTAGCTTGTTATCATGGGTTGATGGTTGTAGATCATCACTTACTTCGTGGCAGATGGTAGCAATCTGGGGCTCGGAGATACTGGGGTTGTTGTCAATGACATCGGTGAGTGCACCACCCTCCATGAACTCCATGACAACCCACAGCTCGTTGCTCTCCTCCTGAAGGAAAGCATCGAGGAAGTTGACAATGTTGGGGTGCTTGCTGTCCTTCATGACGATAATCTCGTTGACGATCAATTCCTTGCGAGGCTGGTTGCGGAGATCCATCTGCTTGATAGCAACCTGGGCTCTAGGGCCGTTCTCACGCAATTGCTGGCGGGCAGTGGGCGAAGTGGCAGATTCGCGGATACGAGCAACGTAAACGGATCCAGAAGCACCNTGACCAATCTTCTTCTGCTTGTTGTACGAGTCGAGGGGACGCTCTTTGGAGACAACTTCGCGCAACTTCTCCATGACCTGGGCATCGGTCATGCTCGACATGCGCACATCCTTTCTGGGTTCCTCCTTCTTAGGTGGAGCAGCAGTGAGAGCCATCTCAGCCTTCTTGATGGGGTCCATGGGCGCGCCAGTCGGTTGCTTAGAGGCAACATTGAGGGGCTTGGGAGCGGCGGGAGAGTGTTCTCTCTGTTGCGATGAGCCAGAAGGCATGTGAACGCCAGCCTGGCCGCTGGGCTTTCTCTGACTGTTGGGAGAGTGTTGTCCCTGAGAAGATTGGCTGGGTCTGGGAATGGAAGATGAGCCATTGGCAGATGGTGCTGTGGGGGCCTGTCGCTGAGCGGTCAGTTGGCGGACTGGGTTGACCTTCTGGCTTGACGGAGAAGGTGCAGAGGGAGCGGGTCTGGAAGGTTGGTATCTCGAAGAAGGGCTGGCATCACGATCGTTCGAGTAGCCGCCACCACCAACTTCTTGCTGAGCCAAGGGCAGCTTGTGTTTGGGCAGACTAGCGTTATAGTCTGCCAGCTCTTGTGCCTCTCTTCTCTGAGCATCTTCGTATATGCGCTGCTTTTCGAGCATTCTACGTCTCTCATCTTCCTTGCGTCTGCGCTCATCCTCGATGCGGGGGTCGTACTGAGGCGCTGTGTTAGTGCGCGAGAGCGATGGCTGCGAACCGGCGGGCGAGACGTTGCGGGTGGAGCTGTAGCTCTCCTTTCTAGTGTAGGCAGCAGGAGGTTGAGGACGGGGAGGAGCAATGCCGTTTCCGTGGCCCAGTTGCTTGTTGCCGTAAGCGTCAATTGGAGGGGTGGGGGTCAGGCTGGGGTATTGCTTGGGGTCGTCTGCTCTCTTCTGGAGCTTGCTTGTGTAGAATTCGAGAGCCTCAACAACAGCTTGAGGATTCTTGGCCATGTCATCCGTCGTCAGCGCTGAACTGTTAAGCAGCTTCTGCCATTCCACAGGAAGGCCGACGAAACCTCCAGTGACAGGATCGAAGCCGACGTGGATGCGGTGGGCGAACGAGGTGGGGTGGCTGACACCGCCCATGGTGGGACTCTTGTTGTAAATGACATCGATCCAGCCGTAGACATCGTTGTCCGTCTCGAACTTGCAGATGACCATCTTCTCATTTCCGGGCGTGCCTCGGGTCAACTCGAAAGAAAAGGGGATGGTCTCGGATCTGGTGATGTTGAGGACATCCTTGAGGGGGATCGAGAAGGAGATCTTGGGGGTAGTGTCGCTCTTTTGGAAGTCGAGGGCCTTTTCTCTGAGGACGAGGAACTTCTCGGACCAGAAGACACCCTTCATGAAACCACCCTCCTCCTTGACCTTGGCCCAGCCAGACTTGACGGCCGACGACTCATTGCGAGACGAGCCAAAGTCGGTCATGGAGCGCTGTAGAGAAGTTGTGGAACCGGCAGGGCCAGGTGACTGCAGGCTCAATTGGCTCATGTTGCCGGCAACATTGTTAACGTTGGGGGTGAGAGCGAGACGGGGACGGTCGGTGGGAGGACGAGGGGCGGGTCCTGGGTTCATAAAGGAGCCCTCTGAGTAGATTCTAGAGCTTAGTGTGAGTATGGCACGACGGTGGTTTCACCTGACAATAGAACATACCCGTGTGGTTGCGACATGGTGCGTGGCTGTTGGCGAGCGCTTCAGTGTGCGAGTCGACCTTTTTCCTTTGGACGCGGCGCAACACAAGGTTCGACAGCCGTTGACCAAAGCGAAGTGGTCTGTTGAATGCGCAAACTGGTTGTGAGTGTGTCGTGTAACGTCGTGGATGGCCCTTGTCGAGTGCGCAGGCGCAGATTGCGGAGTTGGTTCGGCGTCTTGTTGGCCCCCTGTGCTGCTGGCCAGAGATGGTCAAAGAGTGAAGCGCAAACAACAAAGTGACGGAGTCAGACGACAGGCTTCTTTCGACAACGACAGCTCTGCCTGCAGACGTTGAGATTAACGAGCGAGTCGACAGACGGTTGGAAGGTTTGTGCAAAAAGATCGAGGGGCTGCTGTCGCACTCTCTCACACCTGCGCCGACAGGACCAAGCCGTTTCGACAGCAATCCGTGCACCCTGGTCCTCTCACCGCCTTCACCAGTTTCCATAAACATGTCACTCTTGCCTTCTTCACTTTATTGCTGTTTTCACGAATAATCGTCTTCTTGTCTGTTCATCTTTCTATACCCATGTAGCATCTGAATGTATCCAAGACCCTTGCACGAGATACGGCAACCTCTATTCTGCCATGCACCATCCACACAACGTCACACGCGAACGGCCCCTGAACGGCCAACTCTACCGCAGTGGCTTTCCCATTGTCATGCACCTGTCGCCTTAGCACAAAGCCCCTCTGCTCTTCTCGATAGAATGTCCANCTTTCTTTGTCCTTCATTCGGCTGGCACTNCTCTCATATGGCTTCGTGAAACACTGGCTGAGCTCACTATGGCAATGATGCTCTATATCAAGTGTGCATGTGAAACGCTCTTTCTATGGCCATGCTGAAGCTTAAACTCCGCCCATCCCGCAGAGGGGTATTTCGACCATAGAACAAACAATCTCTCTGTTCTTGCATCTCGATTTGAAAGCACTCCTCGAATTGTGCTTTCTTNNGCAATAAAATATACATTTGTGGAATTCNTGCTGATTTTTGCCCAGGGAAAAACTCCTACCGAAGAAACTCGCTATGCAANNAAACAATATCTTTGTGACGCACGCAAACTCCTTGTTTCGCTGCTATGCATGTGTTCGTGTGACTGACTTGCTGCATTGAAGAGGCATGGCATTTTTGAATGCCTGCTTCTTTCTACTCCCCGTTGGCATCAGGTTTGGCGCCGCCCATGTACTTTTGCATAAAGGTAATGTAATCGTACTTCTCCAAGTCGCGATCTTCTTGCAAGTCTGGTCCACTGTGTTGTGGCATTGTCTTGACCAGGTCCTCGATGAGTTCGTCGGGGATGAGTGAGTGTCTGAGATCGAGTTCGGTAACATATGGNCTGTTTGATATATTATGGTTAGTTTTTGCTTGCTTGGTCGTATGTTGTTGGTGTAAAGTGCTGCTTACCTTGCCATCTGCAACCTCACGGAAACTCTCAAACACTTGCTCTGCCGTATATTGATCCTCGGTGACTTCGACCATGAATCGGATGAACTGCTCAAAGCTGACAGTGCCACCGGGACCATTGCTGACCTCCAAGAAGCGTTCATGCATCTCATCTTCGTCATACACGAGCCCCAAACTTGCAAGTGCGGCCGAGAACTCAAGCTCCTGCAAAGAGTTGCTGCCACCACGGTCGAAGTGTCTAAAGACAGATTCAAACTCTTCCAACTGTATGGGCGTGAGGTTGGTCATGCTGCGTGCCACCATCTGGTTTTCCAANAAGGCCAGTTTCTTTTGCACACTCGATTTGACCAAGCCCAATTCGTAGACGAGCTCGTCATATGTATATGTTGTAAAGTCGTTCTCCTCAATGTTGGCTTCTTCGCATTGCTCGTCCAGGCGCCCAATGATGGTAAGATATTCGTCGAGGGGTGGTACTGATTCTGAGATTTTGGTGATGTGCTCTCTTTGGTCTTCAACTTCGCCCTCGAGTCCAGAGATGCTCACACTCAATGTGTGCAGAGCGAGAGCAAAGTCATTGGCCTTGTCAGCAAATGTCCTCCGCAGAGTGTTTTTGATGTCGCGGATCGTTTCGTTGATGACTCTGCTTCTCTCCTTCTCGGCCTGCATCAATCCGGCCCAGGCTGCGTCGAGTGCAGCAAGGCTGAGCTCCGGTGGCGGTTCGTAGGGCCTCAAGCGGTATGTACTGAGTTTCGTCTTGATGTTTCCGAGTAGGCCAACCAGGTCACTCTTCTCTGCTACCCACTTTCTCTTTTGATTGCGCTTGTATCCCATGAACTCGGAACTCTGCATCTTGGCATCGGTATAGGAGCCCTCGAAGGTGGCCTCCTTCCATTGTTTTTGCTGGTCGGTGATTTGGCGGAGGAGCTCTCTCATACGGCGCTCAAAGCTGTTTTGCATTTCCCAGGCTCCTTGCATGTTGGAGACGAACTTCTCAACACGTCTTCCTGCATTCTCGACACGCTCCATGGCGGAGAAGGCGTGGAACCAGTAGGCAATGTAGGTCATGAGCGAACGCTCGTCGGGCTTTGCAACGTCACAAACATCGTCGACGTCGAGCAGGTCGGGGATGCCGATCTCCTTGGAAGCAATGTCGAAAGCCAATTGCATGTTTCCGCGGTGGTCGTTCTTGTCGAGCTTGTCGTAGTCGATAAGGTCGGGACGATGGATGTCGAGTAGTGCGCAGCTAAGGGGTCAGTGTTAGCATTGTCTCATCAGAGGCTTTGTGGTAGGTGTTTCACGTACAAANGCGAGACCGTCGTTCCAACTTGACGAAAAGTCTCGGACCTCGACCTCGTCGTAACAGGCAGTCTTTCTCTGACACCACAGTAGCAAGCCTTCTTTTGCACTCAAGCCCTCCTCGTTGATGTCGCTGATGGTGAAGCGGAGAATGAGGGTCCAGATGAGACCGAGGATGATTTTCCGATTGCCGTCGACAATGTCTTCTGCGCCGATATTCGTCAATTGAATGCGCCGGCCTTTGATAAAGTCCAGGGCCCTGTTGACGTTCTCGAATCGCTGCACTCGCAGTTTGGGACGGGAAGCATATCGGCCTAGTGATTCTTGGGAGAGGATCTCGAGGAGGTGGATGAGCATGACNCTGTACAGTATTGTCAGCATGAGGCCTACGGGTCTGCCGAGCACAAGACTTACGCCATCCGAGAGGTCAGTGACCAGGTCCTTGATTTGCACATTGCGGACCTGCAGTTTGCTGTTGAGCNNCTGTGTTGCAACCCTCGTCAGCTCAATGTCCATGTCGGTCGCAGGCATGGTGCTTCTCTGATACCATTTGCCGAATGTCTTCTCCTGCACCTTGACCCAGCTCTGTTCCAGCAGCACAGCCATGGCTGGCGCGCCCTGTCCTGATAAGACTGTCTCTTCAGCACCCGCCGGCGCTTAAGAGCTGTGTGCGACGATAGCGATGCCGGTCCCTCTTATCCAAAAGGGCAGCCGGTAATCCTGTCGCTGCGATAAGATGTTTCGCAATCCAATGTATACAGAAAGTCGAAAGCGGTGAGATGCAAGTGAGGGAAACACGAACCCCTCGTACAAGGTTAAAGTAAATAAACGGCCTTTGCGGATTGGGGGGGCCAGGTGCTGCCGAGAGCCTTAAGGCCCAATCGTCGCTCTCCACAATTTCATGAGGGGCAGCCAAACCATCTTTGCCGGCACCTCATTTCTGCTTGACCATTTTAATCTTATATTCATGCCAATTTCTCTATTCCTTTTGTAACCCTGCCCACCTAATCTAGAGCTTACGCGTTCGTTCTTCCGACCACTTCATTGTGTTCCTTCTCGGTCTATATTGTGCTTCGGGTTGCGACTTCCGTATCAAGCTTGTGATGGCCAAGTCCTTTTGCTAAGCTTAACACCCGGACCTCAACAATAACATTCATGTTATCGTCACTACACATCTGATATACATCCAAAACGTGATCAAATAGACTCAACATTTCGTCTAAATATTGCATGTCTATTTGTGTGAAGTTTTGTGCTAGTTGCTGTCTGGCAGACGTGTACAACACTTTCTGGGATTCGACGCTGCATTGCTGCCAACGAGTACCATCAAGACACACCCATCTTCAAAGTCTCAACATCAAAAACATGTCACGCGACATCTGCGTCTATTTCAAGACATGGATGAGGACAGGAATTATGTCATGATAAAGTTTGATTGATATTTCTGCATATCCTGTATGCATGTATCTCCTCACTCGACTAGATGATCCAAAAGAAAAATCAAACACCCCCATGCTGCTCCACGCTCTGGGTTGGGTATCCGCTAAAAACCAGGCAAAATCATGTTCCATATGACTTTTTGTTATCTTGTTCGTAGACGGCCGTGTGATCATAAACGTGAAAAGCGAAGAAAAAGAAGTGAAAAGACAAAACGAAACTGTAGAATCCCAAAGAGTTGCTCACTTATATCCAAGCTGGGTATTCCTGGAAGCCCTGGTGTTGCTCGGGCGGAGACATGGGTGGAGTGGGTAAAACGAGTCCACCGTACTTGCAATCAGTGCTAGCTGTCGTCTTTGGTGGCGTGGAGGGGGAGTCCACAGCTGTGGAAGATGAGGTGCGCATGGCGTGTTGGACGTGCGAAAGACGGCTTGGTGTTGTAGGTCTGCTGGACGCACGCCCATTCCTGACAAAACGTCCAGCAGCCTGGAGGATTGCGCGATCCTGTGCGGATGAAGGTCTGCGCATGGTTGGGAAGGAGCTAGGCCATGTTGAGGTGGGTGAAACAGGTGGGGAGACGGGCTTTGCTGGTTGCTGTGCGGGCAAAGGTGGGAGTGCTGTCTTTGGTGGCGGCAGCGGAGGGGCAGCGAAGCCTGCAGGTACCGACATGCGAACTGCTCGCGGCTTGTACACAGGGTGTGTGAAGGTGATGCCACGTTGTTTCGCATCTTCAGGAAGATAGAGAGGCGATGCGATCGACCAGCGTGCACTTCTATCTAAGGAGCGACCACGCTTGACGTTGTCATCCAAGGAAATGGAGCGATTGTGGCTAGGTTTTGTGGGACTGACTGTCTCAGGACTGCTATCGGTGATTGGAAGTTTGGCAGGTGATTCCAAGATGGGACTTAGGTCAGCACGTGAGACGGACATCTGAGGAGAATCGTGTCGGGTTTGTTCCTTGACGAAGTTGGAGCTGCCATCGAAATCGGCGAAAAGTGCCTCAACATCAGGCTGCGATTTGATGCTTGCTCTGCGCGAGGGATCGCTGTATGAGGCACGTTGAACCGAAACGCTGGTGGTCGAGTCTCTACGAGCGGAAGAGGCAGAGTCTTTGCGGCTCGATCTTACCGACTCCCAATCGAAGTCACACGATGACTCAGCCTCTACCAGGTAGCAGAAGTCAATATCGTTCTCCCAAGATTCACCAGAAGTCAGGCTGGGTACATTGCCATCAACACTGAAAGAGAGACGACTCTCAGAAGAGGTTCTGGGTACTTCAGCACCAGAGCCTCCATATGCTTGTGCAAAGGCGTTGCCAATAGGGAATGGGGTAAATACAAGACTATTCTTTGGACGAGCAGTCGAATTAAGAGGTGGCGACGATCTTGGAGAGAGCTTGGGCGAGGCAAGGGGCGATAGATCCAGCATAGCCTTTGCTCGGGGAAGCTTTGCCGGGCTAGGTCCGCAACCTTCCATCTCTTCAGGAACCGACTCGAGACTGGTGCCAGGAAGTTCGAAAATTTGGGGCTGGCTGGATGTGCGCTCAAATGTAGGTGGGGAGGCNGTGCGCAGAGCGGGATGGATCATGGTAGGAGGCTCTCTCTGCTCAGCTCCCAACGCAGCCAGTCTTTCTCGCGAGGGTAAGTCTAGTCGGGAGGAGAAGCTATGTGTCCTCGAGCTAAGCGACAATGAGCGTGCTCTCTCGTCGACGGGAGACTCGGCATCGCGAGGAGTACGAGGAGTGCTGTCGAGTTCATGCACAGACGAAGCGAAGCTCAAGCCGCGCTGTCTCTGAGCGAAAGAGTCGGAGCGAACTGAAGAAGCGGTAGATGGTCTCCTCTCAATTGCGCGGACACGATAGCTGCTATCCACGGGGTCTGCTTTGATACCGCGAAGTTCGCTTCTGGGTGCTTGGAAGGCCGAAGCAGCCCAAAATTCAGAGACAAGCTCGCTGTCGGTGACTGATGCTAATTGTGGCAGCTGTTCCTGCTGGGTGTGTGTGACATGCTGGAAGTTGAAGGGTGCCGAGATGTTCTTCTTCCTCAATGTTTGGTAGACTNNTGTCGGATGGCGTTAGTCCTCGTATGTCAGAAACATCCGTGCACACGACTTACAGGTTTCATCTGACTCGTGCACCCTGTCACAATCTGTAGACTCACGTCTCCAGCTCGACGTGCGACTGTCGCTACGTAGCCATCGCATTAAAGTCTCGTCTTTGGGATCTGAGCCCTTCGAAACTTTGGACGAACGCCTCAAGGAAAATATAGATGAGCGCCAGTTATCTGTAGGCGGTACGGCCATGGTTGTCGACTTTGAATCGATGCTGAAGCGAGACTCGGGACGGAGGGAAATTTCAGATCGACCAGGTTGGACGAAAGTGGAATCTCGAGGCGAAGAATGACCCGACGAGAATATGTCCGCTGACGAGGCTGTGGAATTACGGGCGCCGAACAGTGACAGCCGTTTTCGGGAAGACGATGAACTGCGGTCGGAAGAAGAACTCATGAAGTTCCACGGCCTGGCGTCGGTGCCAAATGTTGCTGATAGACGCGAGGTCTTCTTGGGCATTGGGTCGGAAGTAGTGAAAGCCATGGTATCTGAATGTTGGTCGGAGCTGTCATCGCTTTGCGAAAACCACTTTGGAGCCATCTAGTCCGGGAGACCATTCATGACCACAGGGCCAGAGAGATGGTTGGAGGGGTTGTCGTAGGTAGTTGGACTCGAACCGAGGCACTGCTCGGGTTGCTCGTGATGGTAGAGGGCGTGACAAGACTCGATAGCGACAGACACAAGATGGGATGCACAGTAGGTTGACAAGTGGTTGGAAGACAAAGATGAGTGATGGAGGAAGGGAAGAAAAGGCCTAGGTAAAATGCAAGCCAATGTTGTGCCTGCAAGCTAGGTTGCACGGCGCAAAAGTACAGCAGTGTGGAGCGTGTACGACCAGGAAACGTCAGCCGAATGATGACAGAAGATGCGTCCATGGTAGGCTAAATCTGGAGGAGGAATCAAACCTGGCCCTCGCAGTCAAGCCACCCTCATCAATGCCCATCACGCTAGGTGTTCCTGCAGCCAGCGCCCAGCGGCCGCATGGCACTATGGAGTGCTTCCCGTGCCTCGTGAGCACTGAACCGATCGCGCAACTTCCAACTTCGAGCCCACTGTCCGGGCACGTCGGCGTCGACCACACGCTCCGACGGCCTTCGAGTGGTGGGAGCCATCGATGTTACCGCGGCGCTTCTGTTTGCTTCGCACTATTAGCAACTTAGGGACCAAGGCGAAACCCGGGAGGGGGCTCTCAGCACTGGCCTTGCGCAGACTGCGGACTTTTTCACAGTCTACAGAGTTGCGAAAACTTAAAGTTCAAAGCCACGAGCAGAAGGAGCGGAGACGCGGGAAAGCGACGCCAGAGGTGGAGCTGAGGTGCTGCATCGTCAACTTGTAACTCACCTAGCCTTTTTGCACCAGAATCTTGCTACGCTTCCATGTTGGTGATAGAGATGCATGTATCATGCGGTCGACTCAGTCGCGCCTCCGCAATGGCTATCTGGCGACAGTTGCTGGCTGCGTCCGACCTGGTTGTCGGGCTGTAGAGAGAACTAAAACGCTAGACGAGCGGTTGCTGTGTTAAGATTACGCGCACCGTTGGAAGGCTGGTGGGTCCCCGATTGTATGCATGTCTGCGGGTTCGCGATGTTGATCCCGAGCATTTGGACATCGCGCAATCATCTCAGACTCGAGGCCTGGCTTGGTCTACACTACGACACACTATCTCCCAACTACACACGCTGTCAACAATGTCACTTGTCATGAGCCAGGCGCTTTTACACGAATGGTCAAGACTTGATGCCTGTCTCCACGAGCAAAACTAAGTTCTTGTTGTCCGAACAATCAATGTCTCGGACACGTTGCTCCCCAGATATCCAACGTCGCACATACATATGCAAGACGACAAGAAAAGATATGCAGACTTCATGTTGCGTTACTCGCGCTGCAGAGATGCATTGATGTTGTGCAACTTTTTCATCCGATAGGTATACTTTTTCGAGTACTCATCTCTTACTGCAGGCACTCGTCGTTCGACCCTGCCTGGAGCAAAGTTCATTCAGCTTATGCAGTGCACCACTTTGGGCCCGTCGCGGCATGCCGGCCGCAGGTCTCAACTCTATCAAAAACCCTCAGAACTGATGCTCGCAATGCAAGGCATATGTCCTTTTGATGTTGTTGTTTACGCGACGAAGGCCGTGACAGGCACATACACTTTCAAGCCCTACATGCTAGCCGCCGTCGTTCAGCGTCCCTGACAGCGTCAATCATCAGCTTGCATGGATGGAAGGTTAGATTGTTGTGTGCTCGACGCCCGTTGAGGCTTGGATAGGTACTGTACTGCGTGCGGCCTGCGATATCAACACTCGAAACGCTTCCCAATATCCCGATATTCCGATATCTCGATATCTTTCGAACCTACAAACTGTATCGGCCTGCATCCGCCTCAGACAACCAGGAACACCACAATCCGATGGTGGCCACCTCAACCCATTGCCATGGTGCCCAAAACCCGCTCCGAAAGCCCTGTGGCTCTCGAAGGATTCGAAGGCCAATAGTGAGGCCCATGATTCAGTCTACCCACTTCAGCCCCCATCCATGGTCTCCCATTAGCATGAAGCTGGAGGTCCCACAGATTAACAAGTGTGGTACTGCGGACAGCTTCCCCGACCAAATGCTGTGCTTATTCAACGCCCTGAGCTTTGCAAAGTTAGCGCCAATCTTAAGCAGCGAATGAAATCTCAATTTTAACCGAGTTGCTGGGAATTGCTTGAGCCGCACCAAATCCTTTGATTTCTCGTCTCGTGCGCATGTTTCTCCCAACGAGCTGACAAGTGGATGATGAATAGGATTTATTCCAAGTTTCGCATGAGATCAATCGGTCTACTGCGGCTTTATGGAGTGTTTCTACGTCAGTCAAGGTGAGAAGGCCGACTCCTGAAAAGAGGGTCGTCGATCTGGCCGAATTCCACCGATCCTGGATCTGGGGATCCACAAAGCAAAGACTTGACTTGGACAAAACACGTTCGTGCACCAAACAGCAACAGACCCATCCACCAACAACGTGCAGCAGTTGAACAACTCAAAATTGACAACGTGGTATGATGTCAAGCATTGTTATCGCACTACTTGAACTCGAGAACATCCAAGTCCTCCACTCAGTGAAACTAGGCATTGTCCACCGCCTTCCTAACTGTCTAGTTTGAGGACCGAGCTTCCGACGTACGACGGACGGCAGTTAACATGGGTAAAGACACGCGACGACGTTCGTCGTTGTCGACAGAAAGCTGTTTACAAGAGACAACACACCGCAAATCCGCCATGGCTACCCGAGACTGACACGCATACACAACAATGCCCTGAGTCTCATCCTCGGTGCTCGATCTGGACCCTCCAGGTTGTGTTTCAGGCATAAAACTCAACAACCATGACTCTATACACGTATGCTGGAATATTGTACTATTGCCCTCTGCCTATAACGAAGACCCTTGACTCGCCAACATCTCGATACTCGATTGGCTTCAGGTGAGCCACGCATCACGAACAACCCAATCGACTTGAGTCACAACCACTGGAATACTACTCAATCAACAATCAATTTGTTATTACCGGGCTGTACACATCACTACACCTACATTCGCATGGCAACACTTGAAACAACGAACATTGTGGTTTGTCCTCGATCGATTATGCATTTTCTGTGACTTCGGTATTTGTCCGGGAGCGGAGATTCATGCCTCAGCTCTCCGAATCGCAGAGGTAGGTGTCTTGCTTACAGGTATTGCCTGCTTTCGAGCAACGAGCAGACCTAGCACATTCTTCGCGGACCACATCTTGTGTATTCGAACCCACACTAGGGATAATGTCGAATCTTGATTATCACGTCGTTAGGGATTTCAGGCACTGGAAACACCACTCGACACAATCGTTTGGCGACACCAAGCTCCTGCGATTGCACACGACTAAGAGTCGGTATCGGCCTCTGAAACCCGGCTCAAACCTTCCTAGAGGTCATTTATTTTTCACAAAATGGTTGTTGATGTTCAGCCAAACCCGTTTCTCTGAAAACCCGTCAATCTTCCCATCTCGACCCTATTCCTTTCACAAGAACGAAACATGGAAAATCATACTCTCGCATCAATCCTTATTCCTTAGTCTCCAAGACTCTGCGATTCTGAACATGTCATCCAACTCATACCATCAATCCTGTATCCTCCAGAAGTCTGTGATCTCGGCAGCAGTCTTCCTATGAAATATTCTATATTCCTCCATGGTCCTTGCTGCAAATATCTTTACCTTGGGGCTGATGCTTGACAACAACAAAGATTGGGCGTCGAGCCATTTGAACCCTGTCTCGAAGTTCCCCCCCCCCCCCCCCCCCCCCCCCCCCCAAAAAGACCTCAAGCTCTTCGTCCATAGCTGTCACAGATCTATCGTAATCGGTTACCCAGCTCTTGACCTGTATTTCTTCTGAGTGTGTGTCGCTGTGGCAGCTGAAATATTGAATGGTATCGGTCAGATAAACTCGATCAACAATTGGGGTTGGTTGTCCATAGTTGAGAGCGAGGGAAATTTTGTGGCCAGGAATATTGTAGGCTTCGTGGCATCGCCATAGTTTCTGTAGAGGTATGTCCATTGAGCCGTCAACCCATGCATATCTGTACCGGGCAAATGTGTGTTGGTAGAAACAGACGCCTTTAATGTAGGAAAACAGTGCCTCTCTCGGTCCTCCGCTACTAATATGCGAATTGGCAATTGCGAATCGATGGCTAACGAGTCGCAGGCAGTCTACAGCTACGTCTCCACTGGTTTTAAATCCTAGCTCGACATCTCTCAGCAAAACTCCGAGGTATTCAGCGCAGTACTGCTTGTTGAGTGTGATCCAAGGCGAGTTGACGAGATGCATTTTCAGCACAGAAGAACGATGGCTGTTCTTTTGCGGGTTTCCGAGATCATCGGTGTCCAGTGTGCTCTGTATCATGTATCCGAAAATCACGTCGCGGACTTCTCTGGGCAATTTTTCCAAGCTCATGTTGGTGGTAGATGCGATATGAGCAAACGGAATTGTGGTTGGGCAGATTTTGACAGAGACTGTTGCTCAGATGTCTAGTTTTTCCTCCTTGCAGCACACATCTTGGAGATTCTTTGTCATACCATGTTGTCTTATGCGTCTCACCTTTCTAGAACATGATAGTCGATTCTGGCTGGCGTCACTCTTGCTAGTGTTGGTGATGTGACAAAGAAAGCCAGAGTACTAAAGCGATGGTTTTACTCACCTGCATTCTTCTTGTTCCTCTCACCTCCAGCAGGACAACTTCATTCGGCAATCTTCTCAACCATGGTATTGCAAAACAACAGTGCGGTAGCCATACGATACCAGTACACCTGAGACTACATCAGATACGGGCCCCCAAACCTCGACCAAAGAAGCCACCACCCAGATTCGAACTCTTCGGCAGACTACCCCGAGAGATTCGTGATATGATCTTCAGCTGCATGATCCATGCCCGTGTTGCGAAAACAGCTGCGAGACAGCTGAGGTGTTACCACGAAGTGTTCAACATTCCAGCGGACAAAACATCCATCGCTCTCAACTATGGACATCCATTTCTCGCTATACTGGCGTATCTCGACGAAGTGGGTATCGCTGAGTATCCTGTTGGCCGTTGGAAGGATCCACCTGCCGAAGTACAAGTCAGAATATGGGTGACTGACTATGGTGCCTCGATGGCTACCATCGACCGTAGCCTCGAAGCCATGAGGCAAGCTCTGAGACGCGAATACCACCGTCTTCGTACTCAATGCTCGGATCCAGCTTCGTCGCAGCATTTCGTCACTCTGGAGGTATTGATTGAGGCAGACTTGGTTGAGCTCAGGGAACTTCATTCATATATTGTAGAGGATACGATAGACTTCTGGAAAACACAAGATGGCCAGTATGAGTTGGATGATATGTTCAGGATCGCAGAGTCTTGGGGGCCAAAGGGTCAGAATTTTATCGATCTAGTGTATCATTGATAATCTCGCTCCTTGCGTGCAATGGGTTGACGGTATCGAACACATCAAACAACATCTTCTTTTAGTTGAAAAATGGCATGGATACACTCATCGTTCATCAACAATGTTGTCGTCCGCCTGCTGAGTCTAGGACGTAGCAAGGATATAGAAATGAGTTTTTGCCATTGTACGCTGTCTGTGCCTATACTATATATCTACCGTGTATCCATGCTCCGTTGAATCAATGCTTCATTACGCCTTTCTACCACAGCCTGTAGTGTCCCTGATCATACAACGCTCCAAGAAACCTTGTCTCATCGAATCGCCTCTCGAGCAGTACATCACTTAGCAGCAAACCGACTCTTTGCTCTCAACTTCTCTCCATAAAAAAACAAGATGAAGATGCCTCCAATACACAAGGTAGTGAGTCCAGCAAGCAAGCTCACACCGCCTCCAACTCCCAATTTCAAAAACATCGGTCGAGAGAACAGGATAGCGGCAGCCGCCAAAGTAGATCTCGCAGTGTCGTTTCCAGCAAACAAACTTCCAGCATATGCAGGATACACCATAGGCAAGTAAACAAACACACACTGGAAAAGAATAAACACACCAATCATATTGATGACGATGCCAATGCAACTGACAATCCAATGGATGTGTCCGTCTCCAGTCCAGGCAAAGATGAACAAACCGATAGGGACGAGGAAGCTGGAGAATAGAGCCGGGATAAGGCGACGTTCGGGGGTTCCCATGCCGTGTGCTCGGATCTCGGGCTCGACAATGTAGTAGAGGTAAGCGTAATATCCCGCGATGGAAATGACGACGCCCACTGCGATAGAGAGAAAGACAAGTCCCATCTCGCCAACGTTGAAACCGTAGCGCTCGATGTAGACAAGGGGGAAGACTTCAAAGAAAGAGTAGAAAATTGCATAGCAGAGTGCGATGTAGAGGTCAGCGTAAGCCTGGATGGATCATAAGAGTCAGTACATAGGCCAAATGACACATGTTTCTTAAATTGAACTTACGATAGCTGGATCAAGTGCAATCAGCTGAATAGGGCGCCACAAAGCTTCAACCACCAAATCGTTGAAGCTACGTTGAGCTTGGTTGATCTCGGACTGGGCTTTCAGGTTTTGGTTTCCGGTAAGTGTTCGGAGTCGCTGAGCACGACGCAACAGAATGGTCTCTGGGTAGGTCTCGGGAAGGCACAAGAAGAGCGTGATCCAAACAGGTGCAGCGAGCCAGAGCATCTCCCACAGAGACCATCTCCAGTTCATTGCCGCGACACTGAAACCAGAGATGATGGGTCCTAGAGCAGGACCGATACAGGCTGCTGCTGCCCAGCAACAGAGGATATAAGGTAACTTGATCAACGAGAACATGTCCTGCAGACTGGCACCGCCTGTGGCAAGGATCGGAGACCCAAAGAAGCCTTGCAGAAACCGTAGCACTAGCAAGCCTGCAAATTTATCCACCAAAGCCGTCGGTACGCACAAAATGGTGAATATGGCGAAGGTGATGATATAAGGAGGGTTCCTGCCGATCTTGGGTATCTCCGACAAAGGTGAGAAGATCAGGGGTCCAAGACCATAGGCGAAAACAAAGAGAGCGATACCGAGAGCAGCTGCTGTTGCTGAGACACCGAATCTTTCCATGACGCCTTCGGCAGAAGGTGTGTAGATGGCAGAACCCGTGTAGACTGCGGTGGTATAGATACAGATGAGGGCTGTGACCATGCCTTTCTTCGTTTTGGACCAGTTTTGAGGATTTGCCTTGTCGTCTGTAGTGTACCAGTCCACAAGAATGACTCCGTCTGCAGTGCGAACAGGGACAACTGGCTCAGGCCAGGGGCTTGGCTCCGAAGCGAGGGCGAAAGCCTGCTCGAGATCTGCTCTGGTCTTTGATTGTTCAAGAACAATTCGGGAACCGACATGCGACAAAGCCGATCTGGTAGTGTTGGTCTTGCTCAAATTATGGCAGCTGCGATCGGTCTTTGTCCTTGTGAGTTGGAGGTCGCTGTCAGGCTCGAGGTGCTCCTTCTCAACATCGCCGTTGAGAGAGTTGTTGCTAGATGAGAGTGATGGTACAGCCTTGAACAACTGACTGGTCTCCTTCTCGAAGCCGGAGTGTGAATAGTAGCTCGGACAGACAAAGTCGGGTTTCTCTTCAGGGTACCGGAGTACTCTGTTTCCTGTCACATATCGAACAAGTTGCCCAATTGGAGCGTCTCGAATGAGATCGGACATGCTGATGAAATGGTTCGGATTGCGAAAAAGAGGCTGAAGATGGGAGACAGTAGAAAGCGGGTTTTGTTTTCGGACGCGAAGAATTCTGATGGAATAGAAGAATGGCAGATATCTGTCTGTACCACATACATATACTCTTCAAACCGACCTTCATACTTACAAAGCTACTGATTGCGTGCGAATGTCTTCAGTAAGCATGCCAAGTGATCTTGAAGTCTGTCATGGACCAATTCATGGAGATTAGCAATAGCAGCCGGTGTTTTGTCTAGGAATTCCAGGATCTTGGTTATTGGCAAGATACTTGTGGAATGTAGGTCTCGCTGTCATTGGTTCAAGCTGGGGTTTGTCAGCTTCGTGTCCATGGCTCGCTGACAAACGCTTTGTCTGGGGATCCTCAAACGCGACGGAACAGGCAGAATTTCAGCCGCTGCTCATGTCGACGGATGAATATTCTTGCCGGTCTTACAAAGCTATTGTTTCTCATATTCCTCTCGAGGCCAGTCCTTACTACAGGGAAACGTATGAATCGAATGCATCGTTCATTGTACCTGAAAACCCAGACACTGCCATACGTGTATGCATACTCCAGGACTGGATAATTACATCCTCCGAGGGTTTGCGCGAACCATGCTATGTCGGGTTGTGGTATGCGAATCTCGCTGAGGGCAGGGTTGCAAGCACCTGAAGGGTTCATCGCCGTCGTCAAAAGCCTGAACATGAGACAAGTGTCGACTTGAACCTCGAAAGCCTCCACGTGTGTTCACACCTTTGGTGCCGTCCTTGTCGTAGCGCATAAATGAAATAGCAGGCACGACTCTCTTACATTTCCATTGCAAGTCTGTCGCTAGTTCGCCCCACGCAGCGACTGCCTGGTCGATCGAACAGATGCCTACAACATTGTGATTGGTGATACAAGAGGGGTGACTTGACTTTGCCAGATTTTTAATGTCAAGAATCACCGTCTGAATTCGAGAACTGGTATTTTGGGAGCGCTGACTGGCGAGGGTGTCACTACCGCTCCCCAAGTCTTGGCTAGTCGCTCGACCAATCGGGAATCTTTAGGCGCCACCCGACCATACTCAAAATCTTGACGTGACCAGAAACGCGAAACAAACCACTTTCTCGAGACTCTCAATTTTACGATGCGCGCTCCTGAAAAGAGTCCTGAAGAATCCACAGTCTTCATGCCAAAAGTTTCTTCCATACCGACCAAGCTTGGCTGGGAAACATTGTTACCAGATCCGATCATTAGTCTTCTTACCGATTGTGTCAAGCAATGATATCGCCAAACAAGCATCATCGTGCAACAACGGACTCGACACTACCTCAGAACACACCAACACATCTGATCTGACCCACATATCTTCAAGAGATGTCTCAAATCAGCAGGAACCACATTCTGGCAGTAACCTCGATGATCTCGGCACTTTGGTGAGATCATCAAGAAAGAATGGTATCGTCTCAAAAACGCAAGAAGAAAACGCAGCTGGGAGTGCAGACACGTCGCGTTTAGCGGAGAGTGAAGTGTGCGATAACGAGAATGTCCAGCAAGCAAAAGCATCCTCTCCGAATACTTCAGGCTCGACAAAGATGCCCTGCGCAGTCACTCTGCCTGACAACACTATGGTCTCGTTTCCTTCGAGATAAGTCATTGATGAAGACGTACTTAGGATGGCTCAAGCTTGCTGGCATAAATTCAAAGCTCGGAAGCTATTCGTCAACACGAAAGAAGCTGTATTGACGATAGACTCGTAAGGCTCTGTCTTCCTACTACGATATAGGCTGACTTGCGAAGTGTCGACCCCTATCGAGCTTGGTTACGCATCTGGGAAAGGATCCGCCCCCATATCAAACCCACAAAGATGCATGGTTACTCATGTCCCCTCAGATTCTCTGTTAAATCACATTAGACCTTTACTTTCATACCTTCCCAAAACGGACAAAGAACGCAAGAGTCTAGGAACGCGATCTATATCCCATCGCTTTTCAATCACATAGGATGTGTGGAATCGAGCGGTAAATTATCAGTCACCAAATCGAGAATTCATCCTTTGGCACAAGATTGGCTATAGAAGTACACCTTTGTTCTTGCGACAACGGCATCACCATGAATCCTACGCCACTGACAGTCCAGATGGTCAACGCATGCCAAAGCCAACTGCCACCAAACCTCAAGACCATAAAAGCATCGACCCATCTCAGCATGTAGAAGATGCAGGCTCCAACAAGAATCCACCTGTTCAGTCAACTTACTTCTCGGCATCGCTTGCAGATGGAACTATTGTTTGGCTGAATCGAGGTCGTATCAACCAGTCTCAGTTCGCGCGCCTAGTGTTGATGATTTCTGAGATGTGGAAGCAACACTCCCACGAGATCATTCCACAGCTGTCTGTACAAAACATCGGGATCGCAGTTTGGATGGGGGTAAGCAACTCCAGAGTCTCCATGTCGATACACGATATTGGAACAGGAAATGGTCCACGCGCGATACTAGGTCTCAGATGGTCTGTCTCCATCAACAACTCGAAAGTTCCAATCTTGGCGCACCAGGGCATGGACTCGAGAAGTGCCTAACGTCCTATGCGCAAGGGGCTTTTATGAACCCTTGAGAACTATGTCGGATCCGTAGATCAGCATGATAATTTGCCAACACTCTCCTCTCCTATCACTCATGCCCCCACTCGGAATACAAGAAAAACGAAGAGAACATCGCATACGATGGCTCTTCATCTAACCCGAGTAACCTCATGTCGATAGTTTTGGGTCCAAATGCTGTCCTCAACCCAAGTCCTGGTCTCGTTACATTGATGGACCGCAGAGAGTTCTCGTCTCTCGCAGTAGCGGTTTGGCGATGGTGGCAAAGGGGAGTCGCATGAGCTAACAATCTCGTAGAGAATCAGATCCCACCAAGAACTTCCACAGAGTGGAGGCCTGGAATATGAGTCTTATCCCAGATATAAGCCTATCCAAAAGTGTTCACGCGCGTTTGTTTCAACCATTGACCGCGCTTTTGAAAGTTCAGTCGTCGAGTCTGAGGTTGTTTTCGAAAACCCTCGTCCCGGCAATGATGACACACTGCGAAACTGTGTCTTGTGGTCTCTCGGGGCCAACATCGGATGGATGGATAGTGCAGGCAAATTGATAGAGGGAAATTATCCGGAACTCGAGTCGTTGATGTTCAAGGTCAAGGACAATGGCAAGAGATCGCTTTCTCGACAATCTCAACCATCCACTTCACAGAAGACCTCAACGGCATCTGGACTACAAACTGTTCCTGGATCTCAAGGACCCAAGCTCAACAAAGAGTATAGCAGAGAGGCAATATCCGTAATGAGCCCGAACAAGAACGACAAGACGAAGCATGCTACTACCAGAGGGACCAAGGTTACCGAACGCCACAGCGAAAGACATGTGCCATCAAACTCGATCGATACCGAAAACTCGATCGATACCGAAAAGGCGGAGAAGAGTTCTCAGCAGGTCAAAAGCTCTCTATGCATGACCAGATCGCCACAGTCATGAAATTGGCAGGTGCGTTGTACGAAGTGAGCACGATGCTCAATGAGGAAATCTCAAATGCTACACCGCGAACAAACGGAAGTTTCGCGCTCGACCACATCGATCAAAGTCTGTTGAACGAACCGAATCCAGTTTTCGGGACCATCCAGAATGGCGAAACAGATATGGATGCTATCCAAAAGGCGATGTCGGACCTCAAGACTCGACTTCATAACCACGAAGATAAAGTCAATGTTCTTGCACACCTCTGCGAGGGATGGAAAGGTGAGTTGGAGAGATACTACCCACTCATGAAGGGTAAACCCCAACCACGGAACGGTCTCGACAGTCTTACACCGCCACGACCTGGAACATCCACGACCAAACGTCCTGCCGCTAAAGAAAAGATTCCGTCCAAATCACAGAAGCAGTTGTCAACTCCCAAAATTAGGTATACACACGGCCGAACCGACTTCGTGGAGCCAGGATTGGCTACGAGTCCGTGGTCACCTTCCAAACTCAGGTACACAGAAGGGAATTTCACATTCTCACGCGATTCGAAGCAAGATGAACCGCCAAGTACACAGCAAGACAAGCCCACGGACAAGGAAGATAGTAAGCGACCTCATGATCACCCTAGCAAATTTGGCGAACGTGGAGATGACAAGGACGACGGGTTCTCCATATTCGCCATCCAAGCAGTCAGATACATCTTCAAAAAAAAAATACTCTGACAGCAAGAGTCAACTTACCTCCATACCAGCTTCGAATAGGAAATTTTATCAGGGAGTATATCTAGGAACGAACTATCTATGTAGGGAGCCAATATACCTGCAAACCCTTGACGCTGGCGATCAACTCATTGTTCTATCGCTTTTCAACTAGAAAGTTCAACGTGATAAGGTCGACTGTGATATCCCTGAGGGGATGTACAGTATGCTGCGACTGAGCGATCACTCATAAATGTTTGTATCTCAGGAGAAGCCACTATCTGACTCTCAGCAACCTAATAGCAAATCTATAAAGCTGCTTTCTCAATACCAGGCAGGTCTTGAGTGAAGATTGTTGGGGAATAGTGCACAAGAATGTTATGGATTTGGGCACGACAGGGCTCAGACATCGTTGTACAACACCAAGTCGAAATCAACATGCGACCAAGCAAGCCCAGGATTCCTGCATGTTGTACCTTGCCTACAATGCCAGATCATTTCTGCGGGGTTTCGTGCTGCCAGCGCATAGTCAATTGTTGAGGAAAGGACGATGGTAGTTTCCTTGTTGGGCTTATCTGATCATCTATTGATCCGGTGGGAAAAGCGGGACCCGGTACTCTTGGCATCGGCGGTTCCGACCGCGTCTCTGCGCGAACACTGCTTCTCTCTCGCCCAAGGCCATGCTTAGATGTGAAGTATCACTTGAACCGCGTGTGACCATGAGTTCGTTCATAGCGTGAGGGAGCACTTCCAAGAGTGGTCAAACTGGAGATCAACGCAGGTCCTAGAAGTTCATTCTTGTCGACGCGTGAACACTTGCACCGGACACATTTGCGCCACAGACCAGAGGTTCCAGAATCGCTGCAGCATGGAGGAGCTTCAGAATCGACCACGGAAAGATCATGCGGTCTTCTCTTGTCAAGTGCAGGTCTGATCCACAAGATTATCGCACCTGGAGCTTTGTGGCTGCTGCCAAGCATCGAAGGATTGAGCAGCTCGGGCCCGGTCCTGTGCGTAGCGGATCTGATAGGTTATCAAATCAGATCCGTTGTCCGGATCAATCACCTTGAGGTAATGATAACCGAAGAGGGGTTCCGTTTTTGCTTCCAGATGCTGTGCTATTGCAGCAGTATGGCTTGCCCTTGCCCTTGGCTTCTCATGCTCCCAACGGTTCTTGATCCTTTTGGTAGCCCTGGACTCGACCTGTGTGGATCCAATTTTCGTTTTTTCTCTGCCTTGGAATGCATTGCAATGAATCTTGCCATGCAGGGTGTAATTGGGAGAAGTGGAGTCAGTTGAGCGGCATATAACATGCAGGATCCTCTCCTCGTTCGAGCTTTTGAACTTTCACAACCTACCTTCTTTCTCATCTTTATCCTTGACCATGAGGCTCAGGATCCCCAACCTTGTTTCGCAACCCAATGAGGTGCCGATCGTAGCAGAGACTGGCACCGGCAGCGATGTTGAAGTCGCCAATTCTCAGGAGATGAATGAGAAGGATAGGCCGCGGACTCAGGTGACCAGCAAGCTCGAAGAGGATGACGTTTCTCCAGAGGTGCAACATGGAGTTCAGATCGCCCAAGCCATCAACCAAGTTTGGTCTCGGGAGCATCTGATTGCTGCATATATCATAATCTGGGTCATCAACTTCATCCAGGGCTTCGGCAGCGGCATCACAGGTCGGACCTCTGTCTCAGTTTAGCAGAGGAAGCAAGCTGACATCGTATCTTTGCAGNGTACATTGACCCCATATGTCACTTCGTCGTTCCAGCAGCATAGTCTTACAGCAACTACGAGCATTATCTCAAGTCTGATCAGTGGCCTATGGAAGCTCCCTTATGCTAAGATTCTCGATGTCTGGGGTCGGCCTCAGGGCTTTGCACTCATGGTTGCATCGACTGTACTCGGATTTGTTATGATGGCTGGCTGCAACAACGTCACAACCTACTGTGCTGCTCAGATCTTCTACCAGCTCGGCTACAGCGCTATCGACTTTACCATCACTATCTTTGTTGCTGATACCTCGTCGCTCCGCAACAGAGCTTGTAAGAGAGTGCCTGTTCCCACCTTCCACGTAATGCTGACTGTTTCTGTCATAGGGTGGATCGCATACACCGCATCTCCTTGGCTCATAGTGACTTGGTGCTATGGACCGGCGACCAACTCTGTGCNNTTGGAAACCATCGGCTTCAGATGGGGTTTTGGTATCTGGGCCATTGTCTACCCTATTGTCTGCGCTCCTCTGTTCTGGCTCATGTGGCACAACATGAAGAAAGCTGAAAAGCAAGGTCTCATCCCTAAGTACGAAAGCGGACGCACCTGGAAAGAGTCCGTCTACTACTACGCAGTCCAATTCGACGTTGTTGGCATACTCCTCATCGCCACTGGACTCTCACTGTTCTTGCTGTCTTTCAGCTTGTACTCGTATCAAGCAGAACAGTGGAAGTCCCCCATGATCATCTGCTTCCTGGTCTTTGGTATCATCCTCATGTTTACCTTCTCCTTTTGGGAGGCCAAGGTCGCTCCGGTGACTTTCATTCCCTGGCATTTAATGAAGGACAGAACTGTCATTTTCACCTTTGCTATGGTGGCTGCCATCTACTCTGGATACAATGTCTGGTACGACTACTTCTACAGCATGCTCATTGTCGTCTTTAACACGAATGTCCGCGATGCTACATATATCCTCAACATTTACACCATTGGAGCAACTTTCTGGTGCCTGGTTGTTGGCGTTGTCATCCGCTACAACGGACGCCTCAAGTGGACCGCTCTGTACTTTGGAGTCCCGGTCAATCTCATGGGTGTGGGTCTCTTGGTCTACTTCCGTCATCCAGACACCAATATTGGCTTTATAGTTATGTGTCAAATCTTCATTGCATTTGGTTCGTCTTCGTTGCGGTATTCCTGATAAACATTATGCTAACCTCCCACAACAGGCGGCGGTACCCTCGTCATCTGCGAACAAATGACCGTCATGGCCGTCAGCACCCAACAAAACATCCCCGCCATCCTCGCCTTCGAATTCATGATTGCCAATATTGGCTCCTCCATCGGTTCCGCCATCGCCGCAGCAATGTGGACAGGTCTATTCCCCACCAACCTCGCTAAATATCTGCCTGCCTCTGCCCTTCCCGATTTGCAGAGTATTTATGGGGATTTGACTGTGCAGAGTTCGTATGCTGTTGGTAGTGCTGAGAGAGATGGGATTAACAAGGCGTATGGGGAGACGCAGAAGTTGATGTGTGTGGCGAGTACCTGTTTGTATGCGACGATTATTGTGTGGGTTAGTTTGTGGAGGGAGATTAATGTTAAGGGGATGAAGCAGACTAAGGGGCTGACTATGTAGGTGGAGAAGTAGTTGGCTGTCTAGATTTATGGATGGTAATGTTGTTTAGTGGTTAGACAAAAGTTGACTTTTTACGATTATATCTTTGATTCATGTCCTCCTCTAGTTTTGGTCCCTGCTAGTCCTTCGACGCTCCTTCCTCGCTCTCGTTGGTGCTATGGTACCTTCTTGTTATCGTCCACCCTCATTCAAGTGTGGCGTTGGTCATATCACAGAACGTTCCTACTCTTTTGACGGACACTCGTGCCTTCCTCTTGCACCATTCCTGTCCCTTCTCTCATCTTACTGTACAATGGACTGTTTCGCTGATCTCCACTGCGGATACTCCTTTCTTTCCCTACTATCTAATCTGCAAGCTCAACATATAGCTCTTGCCTCTCTTCTCTTGAACAAAGTATATCATATCCTTGATCTCTGACATGTCATGTTCCTGCCTAGTTTTTGTTCTCTTCTGCCTCTGGTACCTTGCTACTCTTTCTACCAATTGGGGCTACAGTACCAACAATGTTCGAATTCCCAGTTTCCTGTTTCGTTGCTCATGCTGTTTTTCATGTTGCTGTGCTGTATGTTCTATTCGTAGGGAACGACGAGGCCTTGATTTACTATTGCAACTGATGCAGCGATCCCCTTGTGACATAACCTGGTCTAAACAGATAGCTACATTATACAGAGATGTACAACAGAGAGCCCATTATAGTCTCTGCTTTGCCTGTACTGGGAGGCGTGTCTCTACAACAAAGTCAATGCATTTCATATGTCACATTTTGCGAGAAACAAATGAGAACCGCCTTGCAAAAAGGATAGTATGAAATGCAGTTATCAAAAGAAAAAAATCAGCAGAGAGGAGAGTGGCAGAATGTTCAGGTGCAAGATGAAGTAACAAGGTATGTGGACAAGCAAGGTTCAAATATGCAGCCTACGCTCAACAGAGAAGAGTATCAACGATGAAAATGACAGGGATACAAGATTGGATTGCCCAAGACATTGAGTCCAGAAAAGATTGAAGCTCGATCTCAAAGCAAAGGAGGCAGAAGATGAGGAGACGACAGTTTGAAAAATGTATATTGATGACCCGTCAAAGGTGTGATCGCCATTGGCAAAGCAACATAACAACTTAACTCCCGAGCCAGACAACTACCCTTGTCAACTTCCAGGAAACCTGCACTTTCGCCCCCAAGAATGCACACTACCAAGAAGAAGAAGAAGAAGAAGAAGAAGAAGAAGAAGAAGAAGAAGAAGTGAACCAACACCATCGAAAGTTCCTTGCGCCGTTCCCAAAACCTCACCGTTCCAAACTCATGCTCACCAAAAGAATTGCAACTACCCATTCACCAATCCTTGACCTCAAAACATCCATTTTTCTCTCTGTGAGCAATCCACCTATCCGCCCATCCCTTCATCCTCTCCCTCCCCTTCGCACTCCCCACATTAACAGTAGGAATGATCTTCTCCACCCTCAATGCCGTACAAAACATCGTCAACTCTCTAAAACTGCTATGCTCTGAATACGGCACTCCAAAACATTTAGCCCTATTCGTAGATCCTCGCTGCGGAGACAAATCTTTGATGGAATATGCAGATTTCCAAGACGTAGAGTATAGGATATTGGACACGTTGGGGGTATCGAGGCGTGAAGAGGGTGGTTTGTAGTTCCAGCCCGAGGGTCGGAAGCCGATGCAGCGGTCAAAGTGGTCGGCGTAGCCTTGGCGATAGTCGTCCAGTGTGTCGGCGCGAATCTCGAAGATTGGTGTCATGTGCACTTGGGCTTCTCGCGGGTCTGTGGTGAGCAGAGATGACAGCTCGGGGTCTTCGAGGGCGCGACAGATGCGTTGTTTTCTNGCCGGGGCGTAGATTTTGGACTTTAGGGCTTTGGCTATCCCGATGCAGATGCGTTCTTTGCCGATTGAATAGGTGCCTACCACGACCAACAACCGGGCAGCTTTTGTGCTGGTTAGCTTGCCGTTGTTGTGGAGCTTTAGTTCTGTCGACTCCGAAGGCTCTTGCTTGATTTCGAGATCCGAGTCTTCTTGTTTAAGAGATGGTTGTGAGTCTTTCCGGACGAAGTTTGCCATGCCCGCGCTTTCTGACTTGAGAGAATCGAGTACTAGTGGATCGTCGTTGTACCTGACGCACATGTCTGCGCATGCCTTGATGACATCTTCTTGCTCGGGGAAAGCATACTTTGGATTCAAATATGTCGTGTCGAGATAGCAGACATCGATCTTCTGCTCTTTGTTCTTCCCTGTGATATGGTCCTGCACATCTGGTCGAAGCAAGGGGTGCTCCAGATGCATGCGACATGCTCTGAAATCGCCACAATGCAGAATACGCTGCAACTTTGGATCTGGGCCTTTGCTCAACGGCTTCTCGAACAGATATAGTGATGAACCAGGGCAGTGATTTGCTGAGATCATGGTCACCATAACTCCTGGCGTACCTGGCACTTCTGTCGGCACCTCCCAATCAAGCGCGATCACGTATTCGGGATTGACTCGTAATTGCTGTTTAACCAGGTTGGCAGTGACCTTGCTGCAATAGATGGGACCATGTGACCAAGTACTCGTCAGACCGACATAGTGATCGCTGTGGAAGTGACTCAAGAAGTAGGCGTTGCAACCAGCGACGGCGCCATATCTGAAGGCATCGACAGCGATGTTGGTTCCGGGTAAGATTTTGTAAAANGGACATGTGCGGGTGTAGCTTGGTTTTCCACGAGAAGCATTTTCGGCCGCGGCAGCATTAGCCCACGCCATGTCCTCAGATCGACTGGTCATGAGCTTTGAGAAAGCAGAACTTGAGGCGTCGTTGCCAAGAGGTTGTGATTGAGCGGGTTTCGCTGGACGGACGGGTTTCTTGAAATGTGCAGATGAGATAGTAGCTGGTTTGGGTTTCTCTTTCTTTTCGGGCAAAGGCGTCGGGTTCCCATCGAGGCAGTTGTTGACGTGTACGCCTGCGTCGGCCTCTGCTACTCCAGCCAGGCTGACGCTGCAGATGGGACATGTTGAAGCATCTGCGTCTGATATTTCGAACGAGTCGTCTTGAAAACTGTCATCTTCGCCAGCTTCTTGCTTGATTTGCTCCTGCTCCATCCACAACCTCTCGACATATTCTTCGCCCTCGTCGAAAACATCATCTTCAAAGTCGTCAGTTGCCTCGAAGTCGCCAAAGTTGTCTTGATCTGCTACTGACGCGGAAGTAGGTTGGTGGATCAACGGTGGTGGCGGTTTGACCTCTGTTTTGATGGTTACCGGTACGTCGTTTGGTATTGTGTCGTCGACCCCTTCATCCTCGCTGTCGGACTCTTCCATAAAGGGACCAGATAGAACTTTGGCGATGGGTGCATCCTTGACTTCTGCGACCGGGGTAGGAGCTGGGGGCGTAGGCTTGAGCTCGTCCAAGCCCTCGATTGGCGATAGCTTCCGCCTCTTGATAGGACCGTCTTCCTCATTGTAGCGAGGCTCTTGCTCTTCCTCGATCTCTATCTCCTCTACCGCATCTTGACTCTTGATTGGCGAAGATCCGGGATTGGCAACAAACAGACCGTCATCCTTCTTGAAGAAAGACAAGATACTGGCATTGGGTTTGGCAGGTGCTTTGACGTTCTTGGCTGGTGTTGACTTCTTGGAATTGGCGCTTCCTTTTCCTGTGGTAGCTAGCTTGGGCTGCTTTGAGGCGCTGGAGGTTCGGGGTGGCATTGTCCTGGTAGCCATGGATGGCAATTGGGCCGTCGGTATAGCGGGTGGCAAGCTGGTAGACGGAGTGGTGGGGGTCTTGTTTAGTGGCGATGGCGGTCTGCCTACGGATGGGAGCACATGGGTTCCTGCCGATATTGATTTGTTTTCTCGTGGGTTGCGAAACATGGGAGACGATGTATTCGTGCGTCTTGACAAAAGTTGGCGATGACGCTGCTGCCGAGGTCGTGTCACAGCGCGTAGATTGCTTTCGCGACGGGAAATGCCAAGACTTGGTTGACCAAAGAAATAAACCAAGACAACACACTGGAAGAAAGGATAGCACAAGTTCAAGTGATTAACACGATATGCTTCTTCGCATTTTGGTCTATGTGGCAAAGAACGACAACTCCCCCACTCTGTCACCAGCGTCGCTTCCCTGATCCCGCCCAACCATGCTCCATGTTTCACCATTTGCACAACGACTGACATGCCGAACCGCCCGATCCTGTCAGAGAGGCCCGAGCATTACTACTACGAGATAAGACGAGATGAAGGTTGAGACCTAGACTCTAGAGTGCCGAAAAGACAAAGAGCTGGGACGTGGGGCGTCAGTCGTGCTCCGTTGGGGGCCGTCGAGTCAGAATACTCACATTGTTGGTTGCAGCAATGGCAATGCTGTCCTCGAACGGATGCCAGCTCATGTGCAGTATCTTCTTGTTGAAATCAATTGCATCGGCATCCGTCTCCTTGCGCATTCTGCTTCCCTGGCCCGCCGGGCTGTTGGCCCTGCTGTTGCCCTTCTTGTCCTTGGCTCCGTTCATCGGCGTGGGGATTCCAACCTTCTTGGCCTTGAACGCGCTCTTATCGGCTTGCAGTACCACTTCGGTGTCTTTGCCCGCTTCTGATGGATAGATCATGAAGTTGTTGTTGTAAGATCCCGTCATGACGTTCTTGGCATCGCCCGAGAAGACGACTTCAAACTTGTCGAAGATGCTATCGTTCTCGTATGTGTCGCAAAGGCGTGGTCGGAGGTGCTCGTGGATGGGAATCGTCTTGACTGGTTGTCTCTCCATGTTCACATCCCAAATCTTGACCGTCAGGTAGTCGCGAGACAAGATGTAACGACCGTCATGTGAGAAGCGAACATCCGAGATGGATGAGATGATTTCTGAGAAGAACGACCTGGACGACGGGTCCTCTTCTTGCTCGAATTCTNNGCCACTTGTCAGTCCCTTTCTCTGTTCATTTCTTGTCGACAAAGACTTACGCTTGGCGTGCGAGTCACAAAGAGCCCTCTCACGCATGTCAGCCAACTTGATGGTTCCCTTGCTGCTGGCATACATGAACCAATTGCAGCTGAGTGGGTGGAACTCTGCAGCGGTAATGACCTCGGTCAGCTCCTCCATGTTGGCAGGCTTGATGTCGACGATGTTGAAGCTCTGATCTTGGATGTTGAGGTTCCACAGGTTGATGCGCAAGTCGTCACTGCTGATGTATGTCTCGCCATCGCTGTTCACAGAAATGCTATTGATGTGGTAAGCGTGGGCGTTGGCGTACACACGACGAGGTACGGCGGCGATGACTGTGTCGTGGTGTGTCATGCGAGGGAAGCTGAGGTCGGCGGTGCTGCGGAAGTGTTTGTTAGGGGCTCTAACGGGGCCGCCGCCGACAGCACCACCTGCACCGGCAGGCGTAAGGTCCTGCGACAGGTTGTTCTCGGCCACGACCTTGAGGGATTTCTCAAAGACCTTCCATAGCTTGATGGTCTTGTCGTTGGTCGACAGCAGGTAATGCGAGGCGTTTTGTCTCCTACACCACTTGATCTTGTTGATCTTTTCCTCGATTTCGAGAGATTTCAGGTAGTCAAACTCGGGCTCATGTGATTGGAACTCGGTGTGGAACTTGTACTCGCATGTTTTTTTCTTGCCTGTGTCAGTGGGAGAAGGCCTTTCGTCGGGAGCGGGGATGGCTGGTACCGTCTCATTACGTTCGAAAAGAACAACGCGGCCACCCTTGTCACCAGTGGCCAAGTAGTTACCTGTCTGGTCGAACTCGACCGTTGAAATGATGTCGGCNTGCGTCTTGTCAGCGGCACTGCAGGTGGTGGGGCAAGGCAACCATCACGAACCTTCTGTGATGTCCTCGACGTCTCCCTTGTCACCAAAGCATCTGTAAGTGTCGTGTCAGCGTGTGTGTTCCCGCAATGGCGTTGCAGAGTCTTGATGAGGTGGTTGGTGGGAGCGGGCAGTGTTTTCCAAGAGCAGAGCACGTGCGGGATGGCAGTGGTCAAGCGTCCACAAACGACGGTCGGATATAGAGAGCGAGGACAGGACAGGGACACGGAGAGACTCACTGGGTGAACTTCCATGTCGGAGGCTGCTGCGGGTCTCCGTCGACCATGATTTCTGCTTGTACTGGAGCAGGTGCGGGAGTGTGTCCGGGGATTGGCTATGTAGCTGTGGCTAGACGAGTCTCGCTAGAAGCTCCTGGCAAGATGTTTCGCCTGGTCGTAGCAGTGCGTGTAGAATTGGACGGAGGAGATATGGATGGGTTGCAAGCTTCAGCTTCGGATGATGTCAGGTCGGCCAAGGCAGAGAAGCAGCAGCTGTTGCGGATGGACGGCGCAGCGCAGCGGCGAGAGGGGCAGGGCGGCGAGAATGGGCGGATTAGCGGGGTGGGTATCGACAAAGGGCGACGGGAGTGTGGATTGAAGGATGGCTTGTTGTTTGGTGACGGTGTCGTCGTGTACGGGCAGGGGTTTGGGACTGCGAATTGAATCAAGGGAGAGGGCTCAATGTCTCTTTTCGCGGGGCAGACACACGCAGACGCCGCTTTTTGCTGTAGAAACGCCAAGAGCCTGATCCGAGTTCACTTTCAGCTCTGCACTCATGCACACCCTGTCTCTATTTGTTGTACGATTGTTTCTACCGAGACATTGCTGTTCTAGAGCAGTGTGCTGTTGTTGTTGTTGTTGCCCAGAGCTCGATGAAGGACCTTGCGCCTGCATCTTGTCAATGCAACGACACTTCTTTGTCCCGATCCGTCCAGCTCGTTGTTTCAGACCAAAGCTGCCATTACACACACCGCAATCGACATCGACATCACTTCTTCCCATAGAAACTACCGCACTCTGCAATACGAGTAGCGTGAATCTGTACAAGCTATTATTTCAGCCTCTTCTTTGTTGCATCACCACAATGACTGCGGGACCGAAGTTGCAAGAATGCAAGAATATTTCTTTGCCTGCTAGCTGCTCAGTCCGTGTCTTTGCTGTCTTTGAGCTCCACCGGCGCATGACGCTTTCTAGACCAGGCCATCTCAAATTCCTCGCTTTGACTCTGCGCAAGGCAATGACTGCCAGAGCTCTGGAAGCCTGACCATGGCCACACATCACCTGCTCCTTATTTGTTGACCTCTTCAGAAAAAATAAGTCAACCTAGAGTCGCCTGTAAGAAGCCAGGCGAAAACTTATTAATGAGCCTACCATATCCACCTACTTTATGAACAGCAAAGCCTAAAGCTCGATTTCGAGCGATGTTGATGACCCCTACTTTTTTTGCGCACTTTGCCCGTGAGATTGTAAGGTCAGGGTCGGGATGAATTGCCATGTGGTTGTTCTGTTTCTACGCACGAGTGGAATCGTTCCAGGCCGCAGCTGCCGTGGCTTGCTCTTCACTCTTTGACAATGGACGCCAATTTGGCAGTCCTTTCGTTCGTGCCTTCCTAGAACACACTCTGGAAGTGGTCAAGTGAGAGTCATATATGATAGCCTTAGGATACAAACATAAAGTGTCAAGGCAAGTCAATCGGCAAGTATTGACAGAAGCCGGGACGCGGATGACCTCGGGTATTCGAGGATATGACCCTCAGTGGACGTTGATTGGCCAGATCTACGTGTCGAAGTCGAGCTTCCGAGATCTGAGTTGCTCTCCACGACGTTTGCCCCGTCGCCGGCCGCGCCCTTGAACTGTCCCTTTGCCATCGCTGTCTCTTCGACACCACTCTCCCCTCCTCCCTTGTTTGTCCTGTTGCCGTCTTAGAATCGGCTTTTCCTAATTCACATTCGCAACCATGAGTTCATTCGGTTTGCGACAGTTCGCCGCTTCTTCGAGGGTGCGTCCCGCTCGAAAATCGTCCTAGAAAATTGGTAACTGACAACAGCATTGACAGTTCTCCCAAGGCCTCCACAGACAGCAGGCCCGCGCCTTCTCTCGCAGCGCCCCCGCCGCTCGCATCATCACAAACCAGCCTCTCCGCGCAAAGGAGGCTTCGCCCTTCCTCAGCAACAAGTACCCCGTCATTGACCACGAATACGATGCCCTGGTCGTCGGTGCTGGTGGTGCCGGTCTGAGAGCCGCCTTCGGTCTCGCCGAGGCTGGCTTCAACACTGCCTGTATCTCCAAGCTGTTCCCCACCAGATCGCACACCGTCGCCGCCCAGGGTGGTATCAACGCCGCTCTTGGAAAGTGAGTGACGACATAATGGGTCAATATCAAAAGTCGGGACTGACACACGACCAACAGCATGCACGAGGACGACTGGAGATGGCACATGTACGACACCGTCAAGGGTTCAGATTGGTTGGGTGACCAGGACGCTATCCATTACATGACCAGAGAGGCACCCGCCTCCGTCATCGAGCTCGAGAACTACGGTTGCCCCTTCTCGCGTACTGACGACGGAAAGATGTTAGTACAATTGCCAGTGCTCGTATGAGAAGTCAGCATATTGACTTTCGACAGCTACCAGAGAGCCTTTGGTGGACAGTCTAAGGAGTACGGCAAGGGTGGTCAGGCCTACAGATGCTGCGCCGCCGCCGACAGAACCGGCCACGCTCTCCTTCACACTCTCTACGGCCAGTCCCTCCGCCACAACACCAACTACTTCATCGAGTACTTTGCCACCGACCTGATCATGGAGAACGGCGAGTGCAAGGGTGTGATTGCTTACAACCAGGAGGACGGAACCATCCACAGATTCCGCGCCCAGAACACTGTCCTGGCCACCGGTGGTTACGGACGTGCTTACTTCTCGTGTACTTCTGCTCACACTTGCACTGGTGACGGTATGGCCATGGTCGCCCGTGCTGGTCTTCCCAACCAGGATCTGGAGTTCGTTCAGTTCCACCCTACTGGTATCTACGGCGCTGGATGTCTGATCACCGAGGGTTCTCGTGGTGAGGGTGGTTACCTTCTCAACTCCGAGGGTGAGCGATTCATGGAGCGTTACGCCCCTACCGCCAAGGATCTTGCCTCGCGTGACGTTGTCTCGCGTTCCATGACCATGGAGATCCGGGAGGGTCGTGGTGTCGGTCCCGACAAGGACCACATTTACCTCCAGCTTTCCCACTTGCCTGCCGAGGTTCTCCACGAGCGTCTGCCCGGTATCTCCGAGACCGCCTCCATTTTCGCTGGTGTCGATGTCCGTAAGCAGCCCATCCCCGTTCTTCCCACCGTCCACTACAACATGGGTGGTATCCCTACCAAGTACACTGGTGAGGTCATTACCCAGGACGCCCAGGGCAACGACCAGGTCGTCAAGGGTCTCTTCGCCTGTGGTGAGGCCGCCTGTGTCTCCGTCCACGGTGCTAACCGTCTTGGTGCCAACTCCCTCCTCGATTTGGTCGTCTTCGGTCGTGCTGTTTCTCACACCATCCGCGACAACTTCACTCCTGGACAGAAGCTGGAGGAGATCCCCGCCGACTCTGGTGCCGAGGCCATCAACGTCATCGACCAGGTCCGCACCGCCGACGGCCCCAAGACTACCCACGAGGTCCGCCTTGCCATGCAGAAGGTCATGCAGACCGATGTTTCCGTTTTCCGTACCCAGGAGTCGCTCGACGAGGGTGTCAAGAAGATCCGCGATGTCGACCAGCAGTTCGCCCAGGTCGGCACCAAGGACCGCAGCATGATCTGGAACTCGGACCTTGTTGAGACTCTTGAGCTCCGTAACCTTTTGACTTGCGCCGTCCAGACCGCCGAGGCCGCTGCCGAGAGAAAGGAATCTCGTGGTGCTCACGCCCGTGAGGACTACCCCGACCGTGACGACAAGAACTGGATGAAGCACTCCTTGACATGGCAGAAGAACCCCCACGGCAAGGTTGAGCTTGGTTACCGCAAGGTCACTGGCACTACCCTTGACGAGGCCGAGTGCAAGGCCGTCCCTCCCTTCGCCAGAAAGTACTAAGCAACTCGTTGCGAGTATGTGCTTTTGTTAGGTCGATGAGTTTATTGATACCAATAGATGTGGAGGAGATGATTGAAAAGTCATTTCTGCCAAGGTGTGAACTGACGAGCGCAATAGCAAAGTCTTTGCTACGCAACACCTTTACCATGATCATAGGAGTCTGGAGGAGAATTGACGTTACATGGAGCGACGGTATTGCTTCTTTCTTGTGTGTATGTAAAGCCTTTTTTGAATAGTTCATCTTTTTTCTTTCCTCTGAATCATTACTCCCCAACTTGTCTCTGTGATGTGATTCCATATGTTGTTTTCCCTCGTATGCGGTCTGTCATGAAGACTCAAAACTAAGAATGTTAGTCTTCGTGTCGATGATTACTGTGTATGTGCGTGCGAAGTATATCACTCGGCAGAATAATTCGATATTAGGAAGTAAAAAAGAGAAAAGAAAAGAAATAAAAGGCGCGTGAAGAGTCTTGCTGGCACCATGCAGAGTCAAAAACCCCCATCTCAAGAAGATATCTTGGGAACAAGTATACTAGCATCTTCGTGACTCCTGGACAGTCATCGCAATGCACTGGTAGGCGTTGTTGTCGAGTTACGATAACATGTCCCCCAAATCTGCGGTTAAGTGTACTGGGTATGTTTGGCGAATTTGTACGAACGGATTGATTTTGGCTTTTATCATGTTTCGACTATATAGAGCAGATGGATACTTGTAAATATCGAGAACTATACTTTGTGAAAATTGCTTAATGCTAGAGCTAGGGTATAGAGAGATCACATCGTCGTCGATGACCTTTACTACTGTGATAAATTTTGACAGGGTTGTACTCCCCGCATTACGACTTTGCCGAAATCAGCCGTCCCTACGACTCGCAAAGATTCTCTGGGAATGCAGAAGAGGTCACATTCGTGTTCTGGGTAGACAGTTCATGTTTTGGTGAGAGAGGTTCAAATACCAGATTGATAACCAGCTTCCTTGTATGAAAGAGTAACGATTATGTCTGATGAAGTGATAGACTCCGCTATCCGACAGCCCATCTATACCTTGTCTTCCATAAGACTCCTCGCCCAAAGCGCAAGCAACCAGTCCCCGCTCATCACAAGTCTACTGTGCCTTGGCCTCCTTGACCTGTCTCTGCCTCTTCTGCATCGGAATCCTATAACTAGTTTCCCAGCCATACAGCGCACCGGCCCCAAACACAAGTCCTGCACCAACGGCCATCATCCCACTCAGCTTGTGACCAAACAAGACCGTGCTCGCCACAAAACTCACAAGCTTCCTCACGTTCAAGACGATGGTGACTGTGACTGCTGAGGCTTGGGCGGAGAGTAGGTTTACGCCTGTTATGCAGGCCAATTGTGTGAGGGAGTTGAGCAGCAGGTACGCGATACCAGAGGGCAGGTTTGCGCTCTTGAGGACTGGCAGCGAGTCGGGGACGGAGAGNGGTGCAGTGGCGGAGAGAGCAGTGTATTGGCGACGCAAAGTGTTGGTCAGAGGCAGGAAAAGAGGTAGCGAGAGAAAGTGGCTGTAGAAGAGATTTTCACGCCAGTGGGAGCCGTGGGTGGCATAGGTGTCTTGGACGTAGACACCCATATATGCTGATAGAATCTGAGCGGCTAGAAGGATAAGGAGACCAGAGCTGAGGTCTATTTGGCTTGTCTCCACGGATTTGCCNCTGTTGTTCCCAACATCAGCACTTCAACTTTTGCTACACACTGGACAGGAGAAGGGGCAACTCACCTTGCTGTCTGCATCCGCAAACGCAGAAACCAGCACGCCGAAAGTCAAAATCACCACACTGCCCACTTGCAGCCAAGTGTATCGTTTACCTTGCAACGCACCCGCCAACATTGTCGTCACCGAGCCAAAAGAGCGCAGAATTATGTGCACTGGGACGGAGATGTTGAAGGCAAAGGCCCAGTTGTTGAGCATGTTAATGGCGAAGAACATGAGTGCGATGTAAGCCCATTTGCGCATGGGGACTGATGGAGACTTGAGCGTCAGGGTAGGTGTGATTTGAGAGAAGGAGGCCGCGAGAGCTGTGAATATGAATTGGAAGAGGGTGATTAGAAGACCTGTNGGTATGATGAGTTGAGTAGTCTGTAGTGTTTGACAAATAGTTACGAACCGCTGTCAGCCTCAGTCCTAGGTAAAGAAATCAGCGGAAGTCTTTGAGAATACACATGCATTCGCAAAGAAGCCTTGAGCACACTGCGTTCATTCTGCGATTCGCAGTTCTTGATGAACTCACTTGATGATCTTCTCCAGCGTAAAGACNCTTTAAAGCAGAATTAGAGGTCATTCGATGTTAGTCATGTCGTGAAGAAAACTCACATTAGAGCAACATCCTCCAAAGATAAGCCCCACTGTATTAAGCGATGCAAGAATGATTGAAGCCATGGTCAGATGTATGAAGACTCTGTATGAATGATGGTTAGTCAAGCGTCGACAGAGAAGAGTGAAAGAAAAGTGGTTCGAAGAAAAGTGGATGGTTGTCGTGGAAGTTGTGACCTCCCACGGGGAATGAGCGATGGTCGATGGTCCATAAAAATGCACAACACTTTATCGAAAGCAGGTGCGTCCACTGAGAGCAATAATTTCAGATCCTCTCAGTGGGCAACATCAGTATTATAACTGCTTTAAGCATTTCGATAGACATTAAGGGGTGATCATCGTGAGCTGGGAAACGATTCAGGTGCGCGACGCCATCAAGAAATTTGCTTACCGTGAGCTGTCTCGAGTCCTCTGAGGACGAACGAATATCTGAAAAGCGTCAACAAGTTCTTTACAATGCGTCAGTGTCGAGACGAGACTGATGATGATATTGTCGCGGGTGCATGAGAGCCAAGCACCGGGGCCAGGGAGCGACGTTGCAAGTGTTCCTCACCGCTTACCGAGAAGCGTCGCTTGCAAATGTCATGGGAATATTGTATTGATTAATTCACAGAACATGAAGAATAATTTACAAAGCACATTTCACAAAGGCAAGATCAATGATTGGGTTGTGTTATTCGATTGTGACTTGGTAGTGCTTGTCTAAAAAACAGCGACGTGCGTCACCTCAATTCCCTGTAGTATGCCTGAATCATCACCACATTAACAAGCGTCAAACCACGAAGGGTCGACACGGGATGAACGATGAGTGCCCGGCTCGTCATGCGATAGCGACCGGATCCCAGCCCCTAAGTCTACCTTCGTGCTGCCGTCTCCCAGAGCATGGTTGATGTCGTGGGCTAGGTCAAGCTTGGGTAGAGTGCGGTGTAGTTCTGGAGGAGGTAGGAGTCGCGAATAGCATCGCAAGTCTCCTGCAGCAGCTGGCCAAGCGCCTCAGGGAGAGACGTGGCGTACTGTCTGCCGAGAAGCAGAACGCGCTCGTTGATGTCAACCAGGCGAGCGCCATAATAGCCGCTCTCTGGGTACTCGGCGCTAGTGACAATGATGTCGATCTTCTGGCTTCTGTCGGGGAACAGAGCAGTGGCGTTGCCNTGCAAATGACGACCAATGTCAGTGAGTGGGTTGATGTAAAGGTATGACAAAAACTTACCGAAGACCTGATCGCGCAGGCCAGAAATATCGGCGAGATCTGAGGCAGTAGTGGTGGTAGGCAGAACACTGCCCTCAGGTGGTTCGTAAGGCATGTTTGGCAATCTTGAGTGGTGTAGAGTGAATGTGTTGTTGTGAATAGGGTGGATGCTGAGGTGGTTGCTAGTCAGGGAAAGACGCAAGAGTTGTGAAGGCAGTTGGTGTTGTTGATGATTCGTGACACGTCTTGGAGGTAGTCTATGGGCATGGCGATGAGCATGGTCGACGCATGCCGTTCTCGTTGGCAACTAAGCTTCTCGTGTGCCGATCGAGACCAGGTGAATATCTGGTGAGTTCGACATGCAATCGTATACAGACACGGATGGGAGAAAGAGAAGCATAGTAAAAGAAACCAGAACTTGATTGAAAAGGGGCATGATCATCTATGGCTCTCCGGGCCGATGGCTGTATGGAACTGCATGTTCCCAACTTGAAAGCAGATATTCGTGTTTGAAGCATAATGATGCCTTGGTGAGGACGTTATTGGGTATCTCGTGGGCCTTGACTGAGTACTGAACAGGCCTATCCTTGTCTGGCCTTTGCGGATGCCTGAGCGGCTTCTNNAGTGGACTGTCAGAGCTGTGCAGCATCTTGAACATTCTGTCATCTCCTACCTCTCCTGGTGGCATCCTCCAGCAAGGGAGTGTCGACGGATGCGGCGGGGAGGTGGACGTATCTCACAACGCTTCCTCTGATGAAGACATTCTTAACCGAGCTCTGTGAAGATGGCGCGTTCTGTCAGCCCTCATGTCCTTCTCTCTTTCTGTACCGGGTCTCTTCTCATACCATGTGAGGGTACTTGAGGTCGTCCAGAACGGTAATGTCGTCGAGCTTGATGTTGAGGTATTGGTCGACGCTCTTCAGGGTTCCACGGATCGAAATGTCATTCTTGAGCTCCACCGTGACCTCTTGGGTACTGTCAGATTTGCGCCTTCCATTGAATCCTTCTCTTTGCAGGGACTAACCGGTGTTTACGAGCGTCTTGAAGAAACTATGCGCCCATGTCAGTCCAAATCCGCAACAGCATTCCAACCGCGCTTGGGCACAAGAGACAAGCGCCGTATTTGCGAGACTCTTGCAGACCACAAACGACGTGCCATCCCCATTCCACTTACCTGAAGAACAGCATCTTGTCGGATTGATGTGATGGTCGCTGTCTCTACCGCTCGTGACAGCTTGGACGACTTGCGGCGAAGCTCGGCGCTGATTGGTCAAGCATTACGTCACGTGTATCCTTCCCAATATTACCACTCTCACTCGGATATGAACACCATCTCATCTCGGACATTGAATACTCAGCTATTTATTATGGTTGCAGGAGGGTTGTTGCCTTCAAAATCAAGTGCAAACTGTTTCTGTTGGTTCTTCGAAATCATGGACCGAGGAACGTACAGCTGCTTAGGCTTCGCTTGGCAGGAACATGACCGCATCCGTCAACAATCTCTCTTCTCCGTGAGCACAAGCAACAGGTACAAGGAGGGCAGTCTTCCGTCTACTTTGTAATCATCGATTCAGAATGCCAGAGAACCACAGTTATAGGCTTGGCTGATGAGGAGTCGTACGAAGAATGGGCCGAAGCATCCGCGGTGCACTTGTCTTCAGCTTCAAGTATGATGTCGTCAACATGGCGTAGATCCTAAGATGATGGACCTCCTTGAGGAAGCTACAATTTCCATCCCTTCTTGAGGCTTCGACCATCTTGCCATCGACATGCTTCGCCTTTTCTCTAGAACTGCTCAATCAACCGTCAGAAGTGCATTCAGACCCAATCCAACACTTACTACTATCACAAAAGCAACCATGAGCGGTATGCCTCGCCAATATTCTCAACTAGTCCCATTTGGACGTGTCTGACAATCTGTGTAGNGAAAGGCAGAGAACCACCAGCTGAAGAACAGCGACCTCTTCGATGTCTCGCACATCACCGCCGTCGTCACTGGTGGCGGCACTGGCATTGGCCTCATGATCACCCAAGCCCTTGTGCAAAACGGAGCCAAGGTCTACATCACCGGTAGAAGAAAGGAGAAGCTCGACAAGGCCGTTGAGCTCTACAGCACGGGTCCCGGAAGCATCCACGCCCTTCCCGGTGATGTCAGTGACAAGGAGGATGTTATCCGCATTGCCAAAGAGATGGAGTCAAAGGAGCCCAACGGTATTCACCTTTTGGTCAACAACGCCGGTATTGCCAGAGATGATGACACCAAGTTCTCCTCCAACGGCCAGCCTGATATGACCGACGCTAAGGCCATCTCGGAGCACTTCCTGAAGACCAAGCCTGAGCAGTTTGCCGACACCTTCAAGACCAACGTTGCCGCTGTCTACTACATGTCCATGGCATTCCTGCCTCTTTTGGCCAAGGGTCGCGAGGTCACTCCTGGCTACACCTCCAGTGTTGTAAATGTCAGCTCCATTAGCGGCGCCATGAAAGGATCCAGCAATGGTCAGTTCGCCTACGCTGCCTCCAAGGCCGCTGCTACCCACGTCAGCCGCATGCTTGCAACCACCTTCAAGGACACCAAGGTCCGCTGCAATGTCATCGCTCCTGGTGTCTTCCCTAGCGAGATGACCGCTGGCAGCTCTGGTGACGACAACAAGAGCAAGCTTGACATGAAGCCCAGCAACCCTGCAGGCAGATTTGGCTTCGACAGCGATATGGCAGCCACCATCCTCTTCCTCGCTGGCCGTGGAGGAGTCTTCTACAATGAGCAGATCATGTACCCTGACGGTGGTATGTTGTTATTGTACACCTGTGTACGTCGCCTAGCATTGACTGACTTCTCTANNGGAAACACCCTCGTTCAGCCCGCATACAACTAGGCCAACCCTCAACGACGACGATATGACCATGACTATTATCAAGTAATGCCACAATAGCCTATAATTGATCGACATCATCGAACTGTGTTGTCCAGCATGCGGGAAAATGTTCAAGACTATTGTGAATTTTCGGTGCGTTTCCAAGGCGATCAAATGTCTCTGATTGTTTTTGTCACTTGGCTTGCGACGACTTTCCGTCTCACTCCCACGCGACATTGACCCAGACCTCACTGAGACCATTCAAAGCATTCACCAATAATACGTTAAGTGACAAATTTGACGCCCCTCATTTTCATCCGTCCTTTTCTTAATTGGTTTGCGCCTTTGACCAACCAAGCCATCCAATCTTCTGCTCTTTGTTGATAATGCACAATTTCAACCACAAAGACCATCACCACCATCATGCCATCATACAAAGAACTTCGCGCTCAGGGTCTTCAAGCCAACCCTGTAGCATATCCTCTCCCTGCGCGCAATTCATCAGGTGAAAGTGTTCACGTATACCAAAGAGGCAAGTGGACTGGAAACTTCCTTGACGCTGAACTCGAGCACATTGAAGTGCCTGCACACAACTGTCCCTCGTTTACCACCACCACTCAGCCTGAGCGTCTTACCCTGGAAGACACTCCCGCCACCATGCTATATCACCGATCCTCCTTCAGCAAGCAGGTTCTTGCTGTTCCTTTCCCATCCGCACCCCAGAGAGATGAAAAGGGGTTGTTCTCAGCCACGCCTGAGAACCTCCCTACAAGACCCCAGCGACCCTCAGAAGACACGGTCCGCGAAAGGGCCTTCAGCAAGCTCATCACCACTGAAAGACCTCTCACAGTCGACGAAAAGATCGCTCGGGACAGTCAATACCTGGTCGAGTTGCAGAGATGGAGATCTTGGGCCTCGAGAATGCCTGAGGAATGGAACTTCCTGGACCCGGCCGAGTACAAGCAGCTCAACAGCATGATGCCCACAGCTTCCGAGTCGCAGGTCTACAAGCCCCACATGGACAATGACACACAAATCTTCTGGGTCTTCCTCCTGTTTGGCGTGGCCTCTTACCTCTGTGGCGCGCCAGTAGGTCAACTTGTCGCCCTCGCCTTCCTCGCAATTGCTGTCGTCCAGATAAACCACCAGAACAGCCTGAATCCCATTGCTTTGTTCAATTCCGCTGTCCTGAACCCTATCAGCGTTATGTATCTCCTCGGGTACTGGATTCTGGGGACGATTGGCGTCGTAGTGCTCGTCATTTCGTCAGTCGCGACTTCCATCCTCTGGCTCTTCAATCAAGTGGCTACCTCCTCCGCAGGTGCCAACTCCGGATCTCGTACTGCTTTCTGCGATGCGACTGCTCGCTTACGCGATGCAAAGCATGACTTCATGAGGGACGTCTCTGTATCTCGCTTGGCGCCCTGGCTCGCCGCAGTGCTGCTCGCAGTGTTGAACTACAAGATGCTTCAAGCGCCCTCGACTGCCTTCCTGCTCGCATGTATGATGCTCTGTTTCTTCATTACCATCTGTGTCATGGCGTCGTTCGTGGAGCGCCCTCCTAGCGCAGTTGTTGACGACCCTGTCATCCCGCCTCCTACCAGCCCTCCTGCTACTCCTGCTGCTCAGATTGTCCCTGCCCTCCGCGCATCGACAACTCGGACCGGGCACAGCGGTATCACCTTCGCTGACCCGCTGGCGACTCTGCAGTCAGTCAGCATAAAGTCTCTCCCTGAAATCCTTCGCCCGAAGCCGCTCATCGAGAACTTTGGCACGCCGATCCGAGGTCCCTTGAGCAAGGACTTTGGTGCTCGACGTACCCCAGAGGGCCTGCACACAGTCCAACCCTCCTTCTTCACTACTCCACCGAGGCCGACCTTTACTTGAGTGCGGCATCTCAATGCAGGATTCTTTTCAGAGAGTGCGCTTGTCTATCGAGAGCTCAATCTTTCTGGTCAAAAGAGCGATTCTCGTTGGGCAGGTATGCTTTGTGGACTAGTATTTGCATTCTGATAGCCATAGAAGCACCAGGAATGTGTTTGGGAGAAGTGTTGAAGGTTGGGGGAGATATGTTGTCAGAAGCTGGTATTCTGTAGTCTTCTCTGTCACCAGCACACTTCTTGTCGACCTATTGAAAGGCAGAGATACTCTTACAAGTTGGGCAGTGTCCGACGAGAGCACTGATGTGTTCAAAACCTCCGAGATGTATTCTTTGTTTCTTTGTTCTTTCTCTTCGGACTTTTTTTCTTGTCAAATCCTTTGTTGTCAAACATCCGCTTCCGGTGGAGACCCTGGTGGTCGACTCAATCATACCTTTTCCAATGGTGTTCCTTGCACTCTGTCATAACAGTGTCAAAAGAGTTTCTGGCACCATCAAAAGTCTGGTATGTCGCTCACACCGCAAAAGCTCGCTTTGAACAGCAGTCTTCTGGAACAACTCCAGGCACGATTTCCATCCGACACACCACCCAGTCCATCATCACCAATCGCAAAAGGCATCGCTGCACTTGAACGTCGAGCATCAAACAGGCCGGTGGCTGGTCCTTCGAACAGAACTGGATCTCCTTTCGAACGCAGTCGTACCGCACCACCTCTACCTCTTCACATGAACCTCACTATCGACACAACATCTGGAATCATGAGTACAGCTTCCTCGCCTGATCCTCTTACTGGAAGTCGTCGGGTGCCTCCGCCATCGAAGGCCAAGAGGAGGCCCNCTAGCGAACTTTTCCTGCCCACACCTCAAACAGCAAGAAGCACTGGGTTCAGATTCTCGACGATAATCCCCGAGGACGGTCTTGCAATCAAGTCAGAGCCTGTGACACCGGCCATTACAGACCGAGTACCCATTTCCTTATCGCCTCCACTATCTCCTGTCTCTGCCTCCATCGCCGATGCTATTAGCCGTGTCGATGTGGGTGCATCAGTCCAGAATGCTATTGACAATCTGAGCAAACCCGAAGCAAATCGCTTTATCTTCCCTCCATTGAGATCTTTGACTGCACCACCTGCCAGCTTGCGTCGACAGCCGAGTTTTGCGTCGATCAAGTCATCTCGATCTTTACCTCTGCGCGCACTGAGTACTCGTCTTGGCCGTTTGAGCCGCGCAGGAGGCAGTAGTTCTCGAGGTGCCGGAGTCAATCCCATTCTCTCGCCCAAGAAACGCGGCTCAAACTTCTCTGGTATTGACAAGGACATCACAGCTGACAGAAGAGTGAGCTTTATGATGGCAAAGCACAAGTTTATCTTGGAAAGCGTGCTGGCATCTCCTGTTGAGGAACAAGCACCTGTCAGGCCAGTGCTGAAGAAAGCCACAACGGGTGTTATGCCTTGGCGTAAGAAGATGAGAGGTGAAACGATGAGCATGCTGCTCGACTCTGGCTTCTTTCCGGTCCAAGAGTTTATCTATGAGAAAAACGAGACTTCGCCATCAACGGCGCGCAGTCCGAGCAAACGCAATCAGCTTGCTCTCAACATTCTGGTCAAAGACTTGCCAATTGAGCGTCCTTCTTCTATCGTCAGCACACTAACAAACTTCTACCAACAAGGTGACATGAGTTTGAGAAGGTCGACACGCAGCAGTCAACGTCGTTTACTGGGTATCCGACGCAGAATCCTTACTGCGGCTTCCGTCTCGAGTTCGCAAGTCTCACCTACGATGATCACTACCACTACAGTGACCGCACCTCCGCTATCACCAATGAGCCCGACATCGCCAATGACACCCACCAAAGCTCTTGCAGCACTGATAAGAAGCTCTGAAAACAGTTTCAAGTCTGGCCAACTTTCACCCGGGATTCTTGGAGTGATTCCCGAAGACGGCGGCGCTATTGCTGCAATCCAGACCACTTCATCATCAGTGTCACACACATCCATACGCTCTATACTTGAAGCGCCTGCTCTCCCCGACGCCACGGGAAGTGAAATCCATCTTTCCTCTGGCACAGTCCTCATGGTCAAGACACCAGAGTCCGTAGCCTGGCGTCGCTCAGTCTACATCCAGGGACCCATCAAACTTCCCACCCCAGCGGTAGTGCCACGTAAAGGCAGCATCGCCACCTTGGACCCTTTCCAAGATGTCCTCGGCAATGTGCCTGTGCCGCGCAGAAAGTCCGAAGACACAGCCATCGACGACATCTGCGATTGGTACGACACCTGGCAACACGACACCGTCTCCTTCGCCGGCGATGAGTTCAGCCTAACCGACACAGATCTCGCCAGCACATGGGCCATGCAACCACTCACCGAAGAGCCAGAAAGTCCCATCGATCGCAGTGTGCGGTTTCCCTCGCCTGTACCTCCACTGGCAAAACAAGTGGCAGTTGCAATGCTAGAACCAGGAACTTTGCGACCAGAGTCCCAAGCCATGAAACCTCGGCCTAGAATGAGTATGCCCATGGTTCCTCTACCTGAACTGCCAAAAACGCCTTCCTTGCGCACAAACACGAGCAGCGAGAAAGGGCATTCTAGAAACAGCAGTGGAGAAACTAGTTACAAGAGCTCTAATAGCGATCCTATCAAACGCACTGATAGTAGAGGCAGTGGGATGAGTGGTGTTTCTGTGGAGGAAAAGAGTTGGTTTGATGCAGCAGAAGGTAAAGGCAAGAGACCAAAGAGTGTGCAAGGAACTGGCACAGAGCAGCTTAAGGCGAAACCGAAGATGAGCAAGATGAGGAGGTTTGTGCAGACTGCTTCTGCTATTCTCTGAGGAGGTGTCCAGAAGAAATGGCAAGAGATTCATGGTTTGCAGCTGGTCCGTCAAGACACTAGTTTGCCCTTGGTTTCGTGGTCTGTAGCTGGATATTGCAACTAGCTCGCCATCCTGTCTCGTGGTTTGCAGCTGGTCATTCGTACTAGCTCGCCATCTTCTTGTCTCGCAGTTTCCTCTTGTTTCTCAGCGGGGAAGAGAAGATCGTTGACACAACCTTGTCTTTTTACAATTGGACTTCTATAGACGAGGTAGTAGGAGATGAAGGTTTCTAGTCACAAATTGAACATTTTCAACTCATCGTCAAGAGCACCTACTATATAAACACACACTAACGTGCGACCTCTTTCTCGTCTTTACTGACGACATGGTCCACAAGGATGGCGTCCTGGTGAAGAGAGCTTATTACTACTGCCTCGTCGGCTATCGTGATAAACGTGATGTTTGCCGCAACACCTGTATGTACCAGATTTCGACGACACATCTCAGGTTCTGATCGGAATGCTTTGTCGAAGGTTATCGTTCGTGGTCATGGCTCGATGATAGTCTTTGAGGTCACGCACGAAGAGTTTGTAAAGGTGTGTCGACGAGACGAAGCGTTCGTAATCAACGACAGACGGTCGGTTAACCTGGTAGATTATAGACAGGCTTTTGTGCTCTCAACTTTCAACCTCAAATAATGAGAAATGTAGGAACACAGAGTGGTGTATTAACATGCAGGCTCTTTCGTGAAGAATCATTAATTCAGAAGGTGAGACGTAAAGGTCACATACCTTATACCTAGCCCACTTGAAACAACAACCTACAGAGATACACAATGTCTTTACCACCATCTCATTGTCCCAGAGAAAAAACATCCAAAATTGTAGCAAGTCATGACCGGTAGTTACACACCCCACACAGCAAACAAATCAAACACGCTCAACCTCACTCCCCAAACCGCCCTCAGTTCAAGCATCTATCCCCGACTAACGTCTCATAACTGATCAAACTCAAACAAACCTCATCAAACACCTCCAAACATCCAGGAAACACACTCAGAAACCACCAGCAAAAAAACCATGCCCGAAGTCCTCAAATGCCCCAAATGCGACGCCAATGCCGATGTCACCAAAGACGGCAAGTGGGCACATTGTGCATCTTGTGAGTGCCCTCCACTTTTCGTCGTCGTCAAAAGTAAATAAAACACAACTGATGTCAGTCCTAGGCNNAACAACATCTTTCAGCCAAGCGAAAGTCCTGATATGAAGGAAGGCGACAAGGAAGAATCAAAGTAAAATGACATCACGGCAGACCTCTTGGGAAGGACGGGGAGCCTTGGAGCTGCATGCCACTGACGGCGAAAACAAAATGCCTTGTCGGACTATGATGGTATTTGAATGATATTCGGAAGAGGGACATTCGAATGAGATTTGGAAATGACGAACGAAACGAGTAAACCATTGTGTCACATGTTGCAAACAATGAGAATAAATATACAAAGGAGAAGAAGAAAGTGATGATCTGTCTTTGTTCTGCAAGAAAAGATATATAGGCTAGATCTACCAAATCGACGACCGCCTTCGCGCAATCGATCGCGACCGAGATAACAATACGAACTCGCAAATCTACTGGTCCAGCTCGACGTAGTTTGCAGGGAAGAGACCTTGCTGACCGTTGTAGTGGCCGAACCACCAGTCCTCGTCGGGGAATTCNCTATTTATTGTTAGCGACGTTCTTGTTCAATATCTGAGTAGAGAGTTTCAACTTACCACATCGGTGATCTTTGCGCCATCGGGGAAACTGAGCTCGTTGTCTTCGGCAGCCTCGTAGTCGTATTGTGCTGTGGCGGTTTGTCCACCAGCAGCTGCGGGAGCAGAAGTATGTGTGGCAGCAGGCTCGTCGCGAGCAGGAGCAGGAGGTGGTGGAGCGGCGCCGCCAGCAGCAGCGTCGTCATCTTCCACCAGCTCGACATAGTTTGATGGGAACAAGCCGGTCTCGCCCTGCGAGTTCTGTCCCATCCACCAGTCCTCGTCAACCATCTCGATGTTTTCGACATACTCGCCTTCGCGAAGTTCAATCTCATTGTCTTCGGCCTTTTCGTAGTCATATTGGACAAGTGCACGCTTGCCAGCAACATCGGCTCCAGGGTTGGCGTTGGCAGCAGCACTTGCACCAAAGGTAGTGGCTGAAGCTTCTTCAGCTGCAGCACGAGCATGGTCTTCTTCGTCCTCAGGCTCGTCGCGCATGTGCGACGCGGCGGCCGAAGCAGCGTTAGACATGGACTGTGTTGGCATAGGNGGAGGATCGAAACGCTCTTCTGGAGCTTCCATGGGCTCCACAGGTGCACTACGGGACACAGGCATAGCGACACGAATAGGAGAGCTAGGAGGAGAAGGTGTGGGGCTGCGAGGTTGAGCAGGGGGGAGGGGGAAGGCTGACATGCTCTTCCTCAGGTCTTTCGTCATCATCTCCCTCTTGGGGAGGAGGGGTACGGAGCGGCTAGCAAGACCAGCGTTAGGTTTGCTAGAGAAGTCCATCGGAGGAGGCATAGAAGGCGCGGGAGAGTCATCACCAACGTTGGAAGCACCCATGGGAGCAGCGTTCTTGAAACGGTCCTTGAGAGCGCTGACACCGCCGGATGGAAGCTCGGGCTCTGTCTCGCGCTCGGGTGATCTGACATCGTCCTGGCCAGTCTTTTGAGCGCTGATGTTGCTAGCACCTGTGCGGTCAGTCGAGACAGGGGCCCAGGACTTGCCAGAGTACCCGCTCTGCCATCCTCCACTAGGCTGGCTCTGCATGGGCGAAGCAGCAGCAGCGCCCGACGGAGGAGGAGCAGTCTCGCCAGCGCCACTGAGACCACGCTCGCGGGCCTTCTTTTCAGCCCATAGCTGAGCGGGTGACTTGCCATCTGTGCTGGCAAAGTTCTTACTAGCAGCACCAATGGGAGCAGAGGCAGCTGGTGGTGGCACACCGAATCCAACAGGAGTGGGAGCCTTTGTGCCGGCAAAAGAGCTTGTCGCAGAGCCGAAACGGTTGGCGACCTTGGGCTTAGGCATCTCACTCAGACGTCCAGACTGGCTAGACTGGGTGAAGGCAGCAGAGCGATCAGCCAGGGATTTGGGTGCTTGATCCTCGTCGTCTCCTGTGCGGGATTGGCTCATAGGGGCAGGAGCAGCAGCAGGCGTTGGGGCACCTTGAGCCTTTGCGCGGATAGCGGCAATGTCGACCTTACCGACGGGCTCGTAAGCTCCCTTCACGATAGTGGGCCTGTCATCCTTCTGTTCGCGTGCTTGGCTGCGGATGGCGTTGATATCGACCTTGCCGATTGGTTGGTAACCGCCTCTGACGATGTCGCTAGGACCACCATTCTCCTGCCTTGAGGGAGGTTGGAAGCGCGAGGGCTGTTGCTTCTGGCTGGTGAGTTCGGCCATGTTGACCTTTGTAGGCTTGTATGCAGATTCCACCTTCTCAAGAGTGTTGCGAGACAATTGAGGCGCATCCTCGCCCCAGCCGTCATTGTCGGTAGATGTGGGGGCTGCGGGCTTGGATCGCGAGGCAAGAAGAGAGCCGCCGGTACGAGTGGGCATGAAGACGGGCTTGGTGGCAGCTGGTGGGGGAGGGCCGCGCGAGGCCGAGGCGCCTTTGTCCGAGGTTGAGGAACCGCCGCCGTACTTGGCGCCTGATGCGTTGGACACTTTCTCGATGATGCTCTCGGGGCTGAGGTGGCTATCGGAACGCGCAGTGATCTCGACGTGGTAGCCCTGCGCTCGTTAGAGTGTTGTCAAAGGATGTTTGTGGCTTGGTCGACGTACGTGGAGGAGTTTGGAAACAGCGCCGCGGTGTGTGTTGAAGTAGCCCTTTGTCCTCTCGGGAACGCCCTCACCACACCACGAGATCAGGACGCACTTGGGGAGGCCAGAGTTGGGGTCCTTCAGCTTGGCAAAGGCGAATTGGATGCGACCGTCCGAGAACTCTTCGAGGAGCTCATCGAGCTCGCCCTCTGTCGTCTTCTGGTCAGCTNNTGTGTCTCTGCTGTACCCGGACTTTGGCTTTCACGCACCTCCGGTAGTCTGGACCTTGAGTACGCTCTCCTTGCTCGAGTCTTGCTGAAAGGCGCTTGTGAGNGGAGCCTGGACCGAGTATACAGCCCATTGAGCGTAGGTGGGCGAGTTGGCGGAGGGNGCTGGTCCGTCGACGATGGATTGGTAGCTCCTCTTGATCGAAGGCCCGTTGGTTGACAGGTTGAGAGATGCCATGTTGGCAGATGTGAGGTAGGGATATGTCGAGCAGACTGGTTGTATTCAGACTGCAAGAAACGGGAAGAAGTGACAGGCTTGACAAGTTGTCAAGTTGCTGCTTGCTGCTGCTGCCGCTGCTGCCCAGGCGGGGCACGTCACCCACGTCGGAGTCGGGCGCGCGAGTCTCCGTTCCGTACTCCGTATGCATGGGCCAGATCAAGTGGCCGTGCAACACAGCCTGTTTTCTTGGCAAACTGAGCACTTTTGATTGGCTCGAGTCTTTTCGAGCATGCGTGGCTTCCTTGCGCAAGGCTTCGAGCTTCGAAGGCTTCTCCTTCCTTTGACTTCGTTCTTTCCAAGCTCTTTTGTTGTCCTGTGTCGCGTCGCATATTCAGTCAAAAGGTCAAGTCTCCCCCTTGACCGCGCGCTGCTCTGCTTAACGACCAGTGGCTGCTGCTTGTCTCTGCAAGTATATGCACACCTTTTCCCTTACCCCTCAACCATTTCATCTTATCCTATCAACTTTCCCAAGAGTTGCTGCCCTGTCTCTGTCCCTGCCCTGTGCGAGTAGCAAGACTCTTGCAATCACTGACGGTCAGAGTCGTTGAGTCATCTGACTGCCAACCATGGCCTATTCATCTCCAGCTTCCGATACTTCATCGGACCTGTATGCAGAGGTAGATACGTCGTCGCACCTCAACTTGGCTGCGCATTCGCTCCAACAAGTTGCTGTGCCAGCGTTGGACACCATGTATCATGATAGTTCTGTACCACTTTCAGCACAGTCAAAAGGCAAGCGTAGATTTGGCGCAGAGGACCACCAGGCCCAAGTGCCGCAAAAACGGCGCAAGCTTGTACTCACCGCAGAACCTTACTTTTCACCTGCCATTTCAACTTCCGCCAACCTGCCTGCCGAAGTCTGGCAGCATGTATTCCTATACCTCACTCCAGACGACCTTAGTCGTTGCTTGCGCGTCAGTCGCTTGTTCCGCTCATATCTTGCCGACCTCACCGCCACCATGAGCTTTCGCCTACCACCTCATCGCAATGGTTTAAAGCTTCTTGACAGCGAGGCGATCTGGACATCAGCTAGGAAATTGTTTGCTCCCAACCTGCCTCGACCTCTTGCTGGCTTTACAGAGATGCATATGTTCCAGCTTCTTGGGGGTAGGGATTGCCAGGCTTGTGGTGCCCTCCCGCTGCAGCCAAATCAGCCCACCACTCCTTTCGACGCTGGACCTGGTCATGGCGGTGTGCGCGTCATATGGTCTTTCTCTGCTCGCCTGTGCTCCGAGTGCTTTGAGCTCTATTCAGTTAAGGTAGCATCGTGTTTTTGATTGTCAAAGCTTTAGTGGATCTAACCCATGTGTAGGNATGTTGATGTTGTCGTCTCCCCTGTCAACCCATTGAGAGCTGGCTTACCATACGCGTTTTGCACGCCAGATCTACACTACATTCCTGCTACTTTACAGGCTCAAGCTGCTGCTTCCATCAAGGGCACGATGTTCAAGGTGTACTCGCAAAAACATATTGATGATCTTCAACAAGAACATCAGAATGCCAAGGAGTTTGGCACTGCTGCTGCCGAGGAGTGGGTTAAGGGCCTGCCATTACTCGGAAAACAGCAGATGGCGGATGCTGCTCGTTGGGAGAGATGGGAAGCTCAACTTCCTCTGGGTTCCGACATTCCCAAAGTGCTTAGGGAATATTTCCGTCCTTATTCTGTTCCTATGATAGGTGAGACTCCAGTCGCTGTTGCGTCTGCCGCAGTAACTGCAGTGGCGACTCCCTCAGTGAGTGTAACGACACTCCCAGCGCCTCCTTCAGCCCAAAGTAAGTCTTTGCCAACTGGTGTATTTCTTTCTCTCATTACTGTCTCAATCTGCGTCGCTTTCAAAGGGTTTCCGTACGAGATTCCTCTCAGGGTCACCAACCTTTCTTTTGCCTCAATATCTTTGCGTCCTAGGACTCATTTGCATGAGACTTCATACAACACGGGCAGTTATTGATTGAATTCTCAGNTGAAACATCCTCTTCCGGCCCGAGTCGTTGCCGTTCCCACCGCCACTCAACCGAGTAACAATGCTCAAAGTCCACAACAGTCGAGCAAGAAGGAATGGCGAGCACCTCGCAACTTGAAAGAGGTCAATGAAGCTAGAGCCTCTCGAAGAGCCGAGATTGAGCGACGATGCTATATGGAATTTCAACCACCGCTCACGCCCAATGTCCTGCAACACATGGAATCCTTCCATGCTGCCATGCAGATCACAACTCCATTGACTGACAGCGCGTGGGAAGTCTTGAAACCTCGCCTCTATACTCAACGAGATGCCGCCGAGCAAATCGAATACATGAGGGAGGAACAAATGCGTGCTCTCCAGGCGACAATCCCCGATCCCGCATACCACGCCATGTATATCCAGCCTGTTGATCCAACAATTCTCCAACGTCAGTACGAATCTGCGCAAGCACCCATTCGCAAGAAGCTTGGCATGTACGCCGACGACCTGATTCGGATCAAGTGGAAGAAGGGTAAAATCCTTACTCGTGAAAATTGTCCAGAATTTGCCGTCGAAGTTCTGCTCTATGCCAGAAACAGATTCATCGAAGTTGAAAGGCCACATGGCCTGCCTCCAGACCAGATGACTGAGGAGTCTGATCCCTGGTTCGTGAGTTTGGAAAACATGCGTTGGCTCTACGACCAGAAAGTCAAGACGTACACAGACAAGTATCTACGTGAGTTGTTTCACTGTGCCGAATGCAAGTCGCTTGGCAAATCATACGCTTTCGAAGGCATGATACAACATTACGGTGCAAAACATACATCAGATTTCAGCAGGGGAAACATTGTTGTCCACTGGCAGAGTGCAGAATGGCCGGAAGAGTCTCCCCTGGAGCCCTGCAATGGTGTCATCCCTGACCCGACAATGCCTCCTAAGCCATCTAAAAAACCCGCAGATTCCGGCGATGCTAGCCAGTATCAAGCTTTAGACAGTTCCGGTGCTCCGGTCCAATCAGCATATCATTGGCCTGGGACAGAAGGTGGCGCTTATGACCAATCTGGGTATTCGGCTTACCCTCCGGACGCCCATGCTGGTTATGCTGCGTATGGATACCCTTATGCCAGCGGCACTCCGACAGACACTCACCACCAACACGGCTACTATCCTCCACCTGTCAACCCCGTAAGTTTACACCAGGACCAGATCGACTACATTGCGAACATCGCAAGGGAGATCTGGGACACCATCGCCGGAATCAAGGGTCTGGAAGAAAGTGTCAGAGTTCACACAGTACTGCACCACGTAGTCTCAAAATTCAAGGCTCACTTCGGCAGCGAGCCTTCGCTTGACGTGCTGACTGATGCTCTCGCCAATCACGACCTCATGCGTCCTATTAAAGACGCGAGCGGAATGGCCTGTATGACTTGTATTTCAAGCAATCTCGATGGCTTCGTTGCTTTCAAACCATATGCTAAGCGCATTGCGGATTACAAGCTGTATAGCACTTCCTCGCTCATCTCACACTTCAAGACAGTCCATCTTGGAAGCGACTCTGGACTAGACTGGAAAGAGGACATGATTGAGTTGCCCGAAGATGACAACATTCGTGAGCTCTTAATTGCTATTGGTATGAACGACGAGAAGCTTGGCCTGATAGCAGGAGTTTTCCCTAAACTGTTCCCCAACCCTCTGCCAAGAATAGNNGGGGAGGTCAAGGAGTCCTTCAAACCTTTACCTAAGAAGGACACAAAGTCGAATCGTCGCACAAACCAGAAGAGCAAGAAACAGAAACGCAATAGTGGACATCACCCAGCTGCTCTGACTCAAGACGAGACCTCGGAAGAGCAGTCTGATACTCTTCCAGAGGCTGCGGAGGATGAATATGATCCCCGACGTCCAGCCTTCATCGAGCGAGGCAGCCAGGGATCAAATCGAAATGGGAAGAGAGAAGGCCAACGTCAACAACCATCAATTGATCTTACACAGCTTGCACCCGAGACTCTAGAAGCACTCAGTCGACTCCGCCCAAGTGACCCAGAGGTCCAGAAAGCCCTCGCCGGTAGAACTGAACGAAGTCCATCTGTGCCTCGAGCTGGTGGCTCTCATCCTCCCCCAGTCGACGCAAGTCGTCAAAATCGCGCTGCGTTCGAGGCCAATCGTGTGCCCGCCTATCAACCGCAAGAGTCTCACGATGTCCACACTCGCTCTAATGGTCGACACGATCGTAGTGGTGTTGAAGAGCCTCCGGAGGATTACACCCAGATCATCCGTACTCCTGCTACTGGACCATACAGTCAGCACAACACTGCCGCTCCGATGCTCTCAGTCCCACCCCAAGATCGTTACGTTCGCGTCGACTCACGTGGTCAACCTATGGAACATTCACGACACGAATCAGCACCTTATGGTTATGAGTACGACCAGCGTGTAGGACATCAGGAGTACTACCCTCGCCCTGAATACAGGACAGACCACCCACCTGTTCCTTATGGCTATGAACCGAGACCAGAGACGATATACGTAGATCAGTACGGTCGTCCTGTTGAGGTCGTACGTGTGATTGAACGTCACCCTCGGCCTATGTATGACTATCCACCGCACCAACCCGAATACTATCAAAGAGAGGACCCGCACGCTCGATATGTCTACTACGAGCAGCCACCTCATGGCCAACCTGCACCACAAGCAGGATATGCAGGCCCACCTCGAGTCGACTACGGTCCACCACCTGGCCCACCGTCGAGATATGTGTATGATGACGGAAGGGCGTCTGTCCCACGCAATTGAGACTAGCGCGTTTATACGAAGGCGTTGTGGTTGGAAAAAGGGGTCACGAGGTTCTACCGTATCTGTTTGTGTTTGTATGTCACTCTTAGCAGAGTAGTGGCGGTTGCGAGTTTCAGTAGTAATGTATAAGCATCCTGCATGATACACATGTAACCGAGACATGAGGATTGCTAGGTGGAGTGTATTGAGAGAAAAAGCGTTTGGTATGTTGAACTCTGGCTGTTAACAAACAGCTTTCCCTTTAGTGTGACAACATGTGTATTTTACTACTTCAGTAACAAAGACTAACAGAAGAGATGATCTCGCTGTTGGTGTGCGTCGAGTCCGAGGAGATGGTGTTGTTTTAAGGTTTGGGTCCGCTCGAGGATTGGCGGACTCGGCCCGAGGGCCGAGATACTCGTCATTTTTCCAAACTTCCAGCCTTCCTGACTCTCACTCATTGACACAGAGCAGGTGACAACTTGTTATCTGGACTGCCTCTGTTCACAAGGACTGTCTGTAAAATCTTCTGCATTCGACATTCATCGCTCTGGCCGAGATCTTCCACCTTGCTGGCCAACTCGATGCTTTATTCGAACGCTGCTGCGGACCGCCTATCTCACCTATACCGATGACTTCCGAAGACATTACTGGAATCTTGAGCGCCTGACAGCGTGCATATACTGGCCTACGATCCAGCAGACCATGAGTCGCAATATCCTGCCAGCTTCCGCCACTGCAGACCATGCCAAGCCCTCCTCATGCGCTGCACCTTCACCAACGGTAGCTAGGTGGCAACCCGCCAAGGTCAAAAGACTCGCTGGCTCGGCATGTGAGTACTGTAGGAAACGAAGACGAAAAGTAAGCGACTCGTCTCAGCGTAAGTTTCACATGACTAATGTGATCAAAAATCAGTGTAATGGCGAACAACCATGTCCCCTATGTGTGGACAACCATCAGGAGTGTATCTATGAGGTTACAAGAACGGAAACTTCAGGTCAAGCTATGAAGAGGAAACACGCTCAGATGCAACAAGACCATGACGAATTGAAAGCTCTCTTCAACGTTCTTGCGACAGCCGACAGCCAGAAAAGTCTCGACATTCACAATCGGATCAGAGCTGGACAATCGCCAGCGTTCATTTTACAGCAACTAAAGCATGGAGACATGTTGATCCAAACCAAAATCAGCTCAGAAAGGCACGTGCGGCATGTGTTGCTTAGTAGCCTCATGCAGACAAACGCTTCTTTCGATGAGATGGTAGAATTTGTCGGCTCGTCCATTGCGAAAACACCCAGTACAGAGATTCCCTCCGCAGCACTCTTGCGACAACTCAGAGGAAAGCAAACAAATTTGAAAGGATTTCGCAACCTACTTGGCTACCCTCAGCCTTCACCGCCGCAGCGCCGGATAGCCATATCTGATCTCTTGAGCGTTCAAGAAGGTGCGCCTTCCGAGACTGGAAGCTTCAGCTCGGCTGAAGACGTGGAAGACGACGACAAAGAACCAAGGGAACCTCCTGTCAAGGTTCGGGCAAAGCCTTGGACTTTGATAACGGACGATGACGACCTAGTATCTCATCTCATCTCCTTATATCTTGAATATGTCAACCCATTCTTCCGGGCTCTGGAAGATGATTTATTTGTTCAAGCCATGCAATCTGGAGATCTGAACTCGGAATATTGTTCACCATTTCTGGTCAATAGCATTCTGGCTCTTGCCTGCGTATGTTTGACATCGTTCATCTGACATCATCACGACTAATGAAGCTATAGCNTCTATTCGGAAAAAGAAGGCGCGTTTNTCCAGCCTGATGATTACATAACTCGAGGACAACACTTCCACGATGAAGCATTTCGGCTCTGGCATCTTGAAGAAGGAAGAGCATCTCTCAGAAATCTGCAAGCACTCTCTGTGTTATATCCTGGGTGAATAACTACAAGTGTCCCGCAAACTTACCCACACTAACGTGACTGCAGCTGTATCCTAAGAGGAAAGGACAAGTTAGGCGTGAGCACGTGTGCTGTATTAACACAACTGGGTCGGAGTGTGCCAGATACACTACATCGGCCCTCGTCTATGCCTGCACCGACGCCTGAAGAAATCAGGGCCTATGAACGAGTCAGAAAGGGCTCGGCCTGGGCTGCTTTCGCGTGCGACATGTAAGAGCCATATTTCCTTTGTCTCCGTATTCGCCCGCCATTGCCTTGCTAATCATCAACATGTAGGGCGACTGCAAACACAATATTACAACCAGCATGGCATACAACTTGCAAAGAAGATTTGCCTACTTTGGACGAGCTACCATCAACAGAGACATCACATGTATGGACCGGTTATCCATATCACAACAAGAACGACTACCTCGACAAGAACGCCATGTGGGTTGCTCATTGCCGACTAATACAGCTAACTTGGAAAGCACAACGACTTTTGTATGCTTCAGATCGTAGCGATCCACAATTCTCCTACCATGTCCAAGCGTTAACTGAAGAAATGAATCACTGGAAAAACACATTACCAGACAGTCTTCATTTTCAAGGAAGACTGCCGGCACCAGTGTATGATCTCNTAGTAAGTTCTGTGTGGAGCTACATCTTGTGGCGCTGGCTTATACGAATTTGTAGCTCTTGCTATGCAAGTGTGATCATCGCACTGTACTCGCTCTTCCGGCCGCTAGGAAATGACCGACTTGTCCCCTCGGAAGAAACTTCTGAAGTCCGTCCCAGGCAAGGCTACAGATACCATCAGGATCTCACTCCACCATATGGCACGCCAGACATAACAGAAGGCAATGCCCAGGATTTGTTTGCTCGCACTATGAGTGACCGTGCTCTCGCCACTGCTCACGACCATGCGGTCAGGCTGGGCAGTTTCCGACACCACTACGGCTTGAAAATTACGCCGCCATACTTTGTCCAGGCAAATGGTGTAGTCTGCTTCACTCTACTACAAGACCTCGACAACCCTGCTTCTGCCGCTGCCTTCAAAGAGGCCTTTCGTTGTCTGCTAGGTGCTGGCATGCAGTTGCTTTGGGCTAGGGGTATGGCTAGGATGCTGCATCTGACCGCTCAAAATACCGGTATAAGGTTCCCAAAGCCTATAGAGACGATGCTGGAAGCAGTTGCAGATACTGCATGGACGAAGAGCGACACCGAGATGTTGAGTTCGTGTTGGCCCAATATTGCCATTGCCAAAGATGCAAAGGCGGGAGAGAGCGTTACCATGGAAGATCTGATCAAGAAATGGGAGAAACTTGCTGTTGACGAGGAAGAAGAAAAGGGGATAAAACCAGGGACTTGAAGGGCAGTGTGGTCAGACGAAGCGTCAACACTAAAGAAACGAAAACAGTTTCAGTTAGTTCGCCGTGACTTCACTGGATCGATCGAGATGGCCTAAAAGCACCGACGCAGGTATTACACAACCAAAAAGAACGGGCAGTGCCCAGGCACAAACGCTGGATATCATAATTTGCTTACACCAATGTGCGAGCACCACGCCACATTCTCAAAAGAGCTTCTGCAACCAGGGTCGCTAAACCCAGTCACGATTGCAGATAATGATCCCGCCGTTAGCTATCAATCTCAAATTACAAAAGAACAGCCCCTAGTCCCTGCCCCTGTCATCGGCGCTACCAACAAGAAGATCAATAAACTCCCTATAAATAAGGCTCTGACGTGAGCACCTTTAGAGCGGCCAACGCTTCGCACCGACTCGACAGTCACGCATCCGACCAGTGACACCACGCTCATCAACGTCGTTGCCTGATTCAGATGTATCGGATAGTAGTCCTACCATATTAATCTCATTTCTTGGGAAACACCGCGTCTCGAAACCATTTTCGGTTTCCAGGATACAGAAGAATCAAATCAAAATCCTCGTCTGTACATTTTCGAGTCCTCCAAGTTTCTCCAACGTTATTTCCTTTTCTCTGATGGGTTGTTAGGATGTTATCCTTTGCAACCTCTTTGTTGATGATGATTATTCTCATCGTGTTGTTGTCGAGCGATTCCGCTGCAGTTTCCTCCCATCACATCTTGTTCCAGCTTTGGCAACTCCCATCCCTCCAGTCCCTAGAGGTTCCATCAGAGAGTTCTCAACGCTGACGAGCATGATGCTGAGGAGGCAAAGGATTCAGACAAGGCGATTCATTCTCAATACTCATGCATAGTCAGAGAAAGGCGTCAAAGACAGATCTGTAGAAGCTGCGAGACGCGAGGCCAGTGTGTTTCTGAAAGGCTTGAGCTGACGTGGAGATGTGATGATTTTCTTGTCGTGGTTGTTGCTGGACGAAGGGGAGATTCTGTGATAAGGGAAATGATCTGTTGTTCTTTCTGGTTTGGGACAGAGCTGGTGCGGAGTTGTTGTGAGATGAAGATGGTTTTGTGTTTTGAGATAAAGTTTTGGTGTTACTGATCTCATTGGCAGTATTGCCGGGACGGACGGGTATGGAGTACGTGCTGGTGGTATCTTTTTCCTGAGATGACGTGGTTGATATGCTTGAAGCTGTGGTGACTCGGCAGGATGATAGAGACTTAAGGGACAAAGTATGCTATCTTCTATAAGAACGAACTTGGAAGTCTATCGACTTCAAGGCAGAGTAGGTTTGCTTTGTTACCCGAGTCTGATTTTCTGTTTCTTGTTCCTTATACAAAGAACGTGTTTTACTTCCTTTACTCCAGCAAGCTACTTCGAACGCAGGGCTTGATACACATGAAAAGTTGGAAAATCTGTAAAAAGAAACGACACGGCTCAGACTCGAACAAAAGATTGTCGGTGCCTATTGTTATGGTGTTGCGACTGCTGTAACAGGGGACGTCACCCGGATTTCTCCTACACCATCGGACCTATTCAGTCACCTTGGAGTAAACCACAGATCTGGTGGTATATGAAGGTTGTGAATGCATAGTTTCCAGATCTCGGGGTCTGGTGAGTCTACGAGGGAGTGTTTGTTTGTCTCTCTTTGAGTTGATTGTTATCTCAGTATGTTGTATGTAGACAGGGTGGGCTAAGAAATAGCAACCTGTCCATGGGGAGATATTGGATATGCTGTTTGCTCAATAGCCTAGGTTCGATCCATGCTAACGTCCTTTCAGGTGCAAAGGGGACGTCCATCATCTGAATATTACCGTCTACTCCCTTCAGTCCCATCCAGTCCCATCCAGTCCCATCCAGTCCCGTTGTCTCCTCTGCCCTCTATTTGCTTCTACAACCAGCCACTTGCACCTTCCTCTTGACTTGTATCAGCTGAAAACAACCTTCCCACTTTCCCACGCCTTCTTAAATTCCTCTCGATCTCTACGCTCGTCCGCTCGACCAGGTCGATTGCACCAGTCATTGATCTCTACCTCCACAGCTGGAAAAGTTTGAGTTCGTGCTAGTTGTAGATGTGCACCAAGCTTGTCTGGCAACACAGGAGGAGTTTTCTAGGCAGTGTGTGTAGAACTGGTCTGGGGTCAAGGGCGATACGGTGCCCAAGGAGTCCTCAGAACGAGAATCTGGTTGTTTGGTGTTACCGGGTCAAGGGCCCTCTCCGCCATGATCAAAGCGCCATATCCCTCACGCAAAGGTACCTCTGGGTGGGCGGTCTCTCGGGAGTGTCGTCCTGTGTTGTATGTTGGTGGTGCTGTGGGGTAGGCGAGGGGCTTAGTGTGTAGATGACGGTTGACGAGGATGACGATTGTGGTGACGATGGTGTTGGCTGGAGTGGTGCATCAACGTTAGACGAGGTTGTGGAAGTCGGCGTGTAAACGTCAGCTCCATCAGAAGAAGAGGCATCCGAGATGGTAGGTGTGGGATGTACTCTCCTGGAGCGCTTGGTATCCCACGACAAGTAGTCCTCATAGCTGATGCGAACAGTCTCCAATGGCGTGTACGCCACTTCAGAAGAAGATTTGGTGTCTGAGCTGTCTGGCGTATGATTTGCTTCCTCATCTCCAGACGAAGTCGTGTTGCTTGTTGCACTCGGCGTGGCCTGAAGATTGCAGTAGCTAGAGAGATCCGAAGCAGACGAGTTTGGTATCATGACTCCTCTGGGTGAAGTCGGGGATGTGGTGCCGGAGGAAGGAGCGAAGGCAGGAGCGGAGGCAGGAGCACGGCTGCCACTGCTAAGCCTTGGTGACTTCGCAGAGTTCGGACTCAGATTGCCATGCTCATTGGACCAGTTGCGATTGCTGTCTTCCATGTTCAAGACTCTGTTGCTGGCCGTAAGACAAGGAGCAGAGTCCAAGTTTATTTTCTCTTTTCTTTTTCTTTCCTCCATCTCCCTCACTCTTCCTCTTCTCCACTTGTGCATAGAGACTCTCTCTTTCCTCAGCCTTTTCCATCTCCTCTTGCTGTCTCATCATCTCCAAATCTTCCCTGATAACGTGGCCAAACATCACAATAATACGCACAAAGAAGACAAGATAGACACTACCAAAACACCACAAGAACGTCGAGATGACTGAGTCAATGTCTGCCCAGCCAACTACAATGAGCAGAACCTCAGCATGGAGGAAATAGAGTTGTGACATATCTACCAGTAAGTTTGAGGTTCCGGTGTGCCAGTGCTCCAGGGATAACGATGCTTTCGTAAGTACGATTGATGATGGTAAACAGCAAAAAAACAACAGCAATGTCATGAAAGACAGAGACAAAGATGTTCTCGGTAGCCATAGCAGAAGGATCGGGGGTATGTGTGGCAGGTTCGTCTATCGTCAATGCGAGTACGTGATTGCTGAGATGATCAAACTTGATTATGTAGGGAAAGAAAAGGGAGGAAGAAATTTGTTACTGCAAAAGCTAGATTTGAAGTGTGCCTAATTGTGGTGTTGTGAAGTGAAAGCGTTGGCGACAAAGAATGGCTGCCTGCAACTTATCAATCACCAATCCGGGCACGTCTTACTCGTCGATGAGACACGCCGCCCTCGAAGTGTCTTGTATTGTCTCGGCATCAGGCACTGGTCTCTATCCTCAAGTACGAGTCTTAGGTCAGCAGGGTAAGGAGACGTACATATCATCTGAGTAAATTGAAGTGCCCTCATTAGATGGATAGTTTGACAAACAAGCAGAAAAGAACAATCCTGGTATTCTTTAGAAAACAGCATCAGAAACCCAAGAAAGAACCCAGTAGAAATGATAAAGACAAAAACACAAAACTTCCATGAGGCATGCAACCAAAAGTGTATCAGGGGATGGTAGTGCAAGAAAACAAACGCCAAAAATAAACCCGCGCTCACAAGATGCCATTTCTCTTCCAATACTCAATCAACGACAAACAACAACCTTTACCTCAAAGACAACCTTCTAAATCCCAGCTTCTTGCTCGTTGCTATGGTGTTGGTGAAGCCCGTTTTGTCCATTCAACTGACTCCAATCGCCCATGTCACCCCCTCACCATCTTCACCACCCTCATATGCTTCCTTGGCCATAGCACCACCAGCGTCAAGCTGCTGTTGCATGACTGCTTGAGCGGATACAATCTCTGCTAGGCGCTTAAGTCGCGGTGTCTGCAGCCATGATGGTGTGTAGGTCTCAAGTGCTGTGATGACACGGGGTTCAGCGATTTCGTAGGGGCCGCTGTCGTCCATGTCGACGGCGGGGAGGAGAAGGACGTCGGTCTTGGGGTCGGTGACGCGAGAGGCGACGGCCTTCATGATCTCGCCGTTGATAGGTTGCTCGTAATCAGCGACAAGGTACTGGTTGAGAAGCTTTTGAATTTGGTTGGGCGAAAGCCTAGCGTGTAGTTAGTATTTGTGGTTCGGAACAATGCAAGAACAGGAAAGTACTTACATCCAGCAAATATCCTGGATAATCTCAATGTCGTTGAGTGTCGCCTTCTTGAGCTGCAAAAGCTTGGTGGCTTGCATGAGGTGCTCAAGCTGGAGAGTACCCTCGGGCATATCGTGACTCTTGCACCATTCCTCAATTCTGGTGATGTTGTAGTTGATCTGCAGACCACGCTTCCAAGAAAGGAAGTTGCGACGCATGAGGAGATCGTTGAATGCAGTGACACCGACAAGGCGAAGAAGCTCGGTGATGGTTTGGGTGATGATGGAGTCTTCAAGGTAGAATGCCTTCATGGCCTTGAAAACGTTGTTGAGGAGGGAAAGTAGGTTGTCCATGCTGAAAGCAGGTGCGTTGTTGGATTGTAGGAGCTTGCCAAGGAAGCGGTTGCTCTCGTTGGTGACAAAGCCGGGAAGTGATTGCGACTCAATGATGGCAGGAACGATCATCTTGTGCAACTTCTTCTTCAAGACCTTCATCCAAGTGTGGTAGATGTTAAATTCAAGACTCTCCAAGTCGTGCTTAACAATCTCGAGAAGACGATCATATTCAAAGTTGTCGGTCTTTTGTGCCTCATACCAGTCTTCAGCAAGGAAGACGAACGAGAGCATTTCGTGAACGTTCGAGAGCCAGAAAGCACCAGGGTTGACTGCTTCGTCGCCATCGTGCTGCATGACCTCCTGCTGAATGGACTGCATGACATTGGCAAGGAAGCGCTCAGACTCCTTGACAAAGCCGTTGTTCCACATCTCGGAGGTGACGAGGTTGATAAGATATGCAGGGAACAGTACCTCCTTGTCGGTAGGTGGTGGGGTGGACCCGGGAGAAGGAATCTTGAGGTTCTTGATAAGGCCCATGGAGACTTCATCGTTAAGAGCATCCTCATTCGCAAGCAAGTTCTCAAGCTCCATCTCAACGTTCTCCAAGTCAGGCCTGAAGGTAGATCCACCGGAAAGAGTCGGCTGGTGGCCAGCGGTCGCACCGAAAGCCATCGAGACTGGTCGGGGNTTGTAAGTGCCACTGAATCTGTCGGTGTTGGTAGGCTCGAAGCCAGCACTGCGACGCTTGGGCTTCTTCGAGGATGATGACACAAGGTTGATAAGACCGCTGATCTGGCTAGCAGCGCCATTGGTCATCTCGCCGTTGACAGGGACGGCACGCTTGGCATGCTCCAGCTGGTCTTGGAGTTCTGCCAACTGCTGTCTCAATGACATCTTCTCGGTCTCGGAGACTGTAATACTCTGTCTCGAGTTCTCCAACTCTTCTGTGGTCATACGGAGTGATTCGCGTAATGTCTTCTCTTCTTCTTGCAGTCTGCGCATGCTGGTTGAAGACTCCTCGTAGTTGTGCTGTAGCTTGGCCATCTCCTCTTCGAGCTGACCGACCTTGGCAGCGCTCATGCCAGCCTGGTTAGCTTCTGCTTGGAGCTCCTTTGCCCTTTGTTCCAGACCTTGGGTACGGTTCTTCCAGGTGTTGAGCTGGTTCTCATAGTTCTGAACTTGATGCTTGAGAGCCTTGTTCTCGGTTCTGACAGCGCCGAGCGACTGGGTAAGCTCGACGACCTTGTTTTCAAGTTTGTACGAGATTTGCTTGAGGTCTCTAGCCTCCTCGCGCAGACCCTTGTAAGCCTTGCGAGCCTGCTTGCCTCGCCACAAACCTTGTACGATGGTGACCTTACGTCTGTAGTCGGTCCATTCCTTACGCTGCTGACCAGATCTCCAGGCTCTCTGGATGGTACGTGCAGCATTGCCTAGTCTCGTGTTCAGAATGTTCTTGCGGCAGAGATATCCCTTGGTCGCCGCTTCGAACTGGATGAGATTGTTGCGGATAGATAGGAAGTTCTTCCGTTCCTTTTGGCCTCTCCACACCCGTTGGATTGTGGTGGCGGCTTTCGTTCGCCGCGCATCGTCTGCATTACGTCGTGCGACACATCCACGCACAAGGGACTGAAACCCACGGATAGCGCCAATTGCCTCGAGGTAGCGACGACGGTAGTACTTGGCACGGAGGTTCTTCTGAATCATGATAGCAGCATCGTTGAGACGGCTGGTTCTCAGGTTCTCGAGGAAGGCGAGCATGCCGGCACGGAAGAAGATTTTGGTCAGACCAAGCTGGTACTTGCTTGTAGCATCATTGTCAGATCCGCCAAGTGCCTGGGTAAGGATAGCATTGGCCATGCCTCTGAGCTCGGAAGTCCATAGCGTGGATGGTACAAGCATGTAGTATCGTAGGGCGAACTCTTCGTAGGTCCATCTAGTAGGATATCCAGCACAACTGATTCTGACGGTCTCAAGAACACCACAAGCACGCAGTTGACTCAAGACCATGGGACCTTCGAACTTCCAGGCTTCCTTGGCTTCGTTGGGCTTGATACAGCGAATGTAGTGCACATCTGTAGAGTTGATGGTGCTCATCAGTTCGATCAAAGACGATTTGAAGATACCACCCAGGGTAGGCTTTCTTGCTGCGGCAGCACCGGGTCTCTTGCCAGGAGCTGAAACGGCAGAAGGTTTGGCTTGAGCAGCTGCAGTGTCACGCTCACGCACAGCAGAAGCAGCCTCGAGAATCTCAGTAAGGAAGGAATTGGATGAGGCCTTGAGAACCTCCATGTGCTCGTCAGGCACAGTATCTCTGTTCTTCTCAATGAAGCCGTCAGACTCGTATGCGACATCGACAGCATAATGGCAGACGGTGAAGGCCGACTTTCCGAAGCGGGGCTTCTTGAAGAACTTTGACTTGCTGTCGCCGAAACTGGTGTGGAGCTTAGTAACGAAAGACTCGTCGGAACCCATGGGCAGTCTAGATTCTTCATCCAGCAGAGCGAGAACACCAAGCTTGCCTTCGATCAAGTCGATACAGGGTTGGTTGTCGGAGAAATCGATGAACTTCCAGTCAATCTCTTCACGGAGATATTCTTCTTGTTCGAGCTTGAAGACGTGCTGGTTGAACTCTTGCTGCAGCTTCTCGTTGGCATAGTTGATACAGAACTGTTCGAACGAGTTCTTGGCGAAGTGCTCGAAACCGTAAATATCCAAAACACCGATAAAGGAGGTGACATTTTGGAGGACCTCGGGGGTGGCCAGACTGCTGTTGAGAATCTCGACGAGCCAGTCGAACAAGCTGGAGTAGATGTACTTGGCGACCGAGTCACGAACGACGGTGGCTTGCTGCTGGGTCAAGTTTGATGTGATCTTCTCACCTCTAGTGACAAGCTGCTTCTTGACAGTCCATTTGGCAAAGTTTTCGGCATCAATTCCAAGGAGCTCGCAAGCCTTGACGACCGAAGCGTCGGAGGCGGAGAGGTTCGAGTCGGTGCGAGTGGCTATGATCTTGATGTTTCCGATGTGCAACAGAGCGGCGAGGATTCTCCAGATCGAAGTCTGCTGTTCTGTGGAAACACCAATTCTGGTCAAGGCCTCCTTGGTGTCGCTGAACTCCTTGGCGTCGTCCAAACCGTCAATCTGAGCAGCATTGCCCTGGTTGAGGTAGTCGAACTCTTCGACGGGTATCAAGCCAAGCTCATCCTTTTCAGCGTCCGAAGCACCAGCCACGAGCTGGTAGAAGATGTGGTAATTTCTCTCCTTGAGGGGTTGGAAGACCAGTCTCGAGCGCTCGAGCAGGTATACTCTGATTCTCGCACCAATGATGTCCGTCTTCTTGTCAAACATGATCTCGATGTACTTTCCGAAACGGGACGAGTTGTCGTTGCGCGTTGTCTTTGCGTTACCGAATGCCTCCATGATGGGGTTGGTGGCCAAGATTTGCTCTTCGGTCTCGCTCATGCTCTCGACGCGGCCCTTTGAGCGCGAGCCAGGCTGGTCGGGTGATTCTCTTGTTGCAAAGTAGCGCATGATGTACTTGGCCGATACGGTCTTTCCGGCACCAGACTCTCCCGAAACGACAATGGTCTGGTTGCGGCCATCTCTTAGCATATCCNNCTGGGTTGTGTTAGCGTCTCTTAAAAGCTAGAGGCATAATGGCACGTACGCGAAAGCCTCCTCTGCTATAGCAAACAAATGCGGCGCTTGTGTCTGGCGCTGCTTGCCGGCGTAAATTTGGACCATTCCTGGAACATAGAGCGAGTCGACGCGGGCAAAGGGGTTGGTAGCAATAAGGACGATACCCGAGTATGTGTAGATTTCTTTCTGTGCATATCGTAGTTTGATGGCTTGTAACACTNNGTAACATGGTGTCAGCGTTTGTCGTTGGCGTGGAAGAGAGGCTTGTTTACCTGCGGGCTCGTTCAAATGCGAAAGATTGGTCAAATCGTCAGAGGCCTCCAACATTGTCGGGTTCATCAGCGGCGGCAGTTTCGGGTCCTTGCCGTCGGCGATGGCGGCCAGCGTCGTCTCGATTGATTTTGTCNNTGCAGCAGGCCATCAGCGCCGCACCTCTTTGGGCTCTCGATCTTGTGGTAGGCATACCTCTCCATTGGCCAGCTGGAAGACCAGCGTGACCTTGTCTCCGTCGACATTCTTCTGCTCAACCTCGGAGGCAACCCAGCCTTCAGTGACATCGGGCTGCCACGCCTTGGTGCCGACATCATACGTCGCTGCCATGCTGGCGAGGGGGAGCGCGGTCGAGGGAAGAGCGGAAGATGATTAGGAGCGTGTCGCAGCCGTGGGTAGTCGTGTCCGCAAGCAGATCAAAAGTGCTGCAACATTCAGAGAATCTCAAAGAAAAAAAGAACGACAGTTGCAAACCCCAGCGACGCCTTGTCCAGCAAAAGATTAGGACTGCAGGATAGGTATTATGGCGAGGAGTCTGTCGTCTAAGGTATCTTTTGGACCAAGACCCTCTGGCTTGCCGGCCGGCATCAACAGAAGAGTCCCGTGCGAATAAGGGGCGCGCACGGGCATGCATCTGCGCAACGTCCTTCCGCCCCGCAACTTCGAGAGAAAGCATAAACACACGACCTGAAACACCCATGCTGGACGACTTCCATCTTGTGTTATTCGGTGTCTGGTGCTTGCATGCGCCCTTCGTAGCGCCTTCACGAGCAAACGAACATATTCATCGGAGCAGAAACACTTTGTTATCACTTGTTCCAATCACAAATACTATAACTCTCAGCATTACCGTTGGCTCTGTACTGGAAACGGGCTGAAGCTGCGGTGAGAACATGTCAAAGAGCAACAGCAGCCGTTTGTGGCCTAACAAGCCTTACACACCTGATACCACATATTCAGCATGGTAATTACACATTTTGCTCTCCTTTGGTATATCTCTACAGCAGTATGGGGTTCTTGTCTCCAGTGATTGCTCATGATATTGTGATTAAAAATGTGGACAGGGTGCTACTCGAGACAATCTCAAATGCCACTTGTTTCTAATTCCTTCGTATTATGCGATCCACTACTCTCGCGGACATGTAAGAGACGAGTAATGACAGAACACGTAAGAACACCAAGCACTGCCATAACAAAGATCAGTTGAGAGTCAAAGCCTGGCCTTACGCCATTCTCAGGCGCGCGAACGTTGAGGCAGACAAGCGGTCAGTCAGACAGTTGAGCCTCATGAAATCAATACCATCACCATCTATCGATAACGCATCGACACAGCTCTGACTTGTTGAATTGTTTTTATTGCTCTGTCTAACAGGCGTTTTGTAAGCCTTCTTTACATGTCTAAGAGAAAAATAAAAAGAATAATGAAATCAAATCAATCGCGGCGTGCTTTTCATTTCCCTCATGCTCCCAAAGTCGTGATACTCCATGTTGAATGCCCAATTCTCTCCTCTAAACCCTTTTTCTTGTAACCGAGTCTCTGCAAACCCTTTACTATCCATTTTCCTAAACAAGGCGAAAGAGAAAAACATATCCAGTCTAGTACAAGACTCTGGTTCTGACGCGCGAACCCAGATCTTCGAGGCTGTTGTAAAGGCTGGCAATGTCTCCTTGGTTGACATTGCTAATGTCGGCCATGAGGTATGCGACATCGCCTCTTGAGTCGGTCATTTGCTTGTCGACGTTGTGCTCGCCCAAGACCTCGTTGACGCGTCTCAACACACCAGGGACGTTCTTGTGGATGTAGATGATACGGACGTGGTTGGGCTCGTCGGCAGTCAAGCTACGTAGGTTGACCTCGGGCATGTTGACGGCGCCGACGGTGGAACCCTCGTTGACGTACTTGGCGAGTGCCTCTGCGACCTCGACACCAATGGCGCTCTGGGCCTCCTCGGTGCTGCCACCGATGTGGGGNGTGAGGATCAAGTTCTTGAGGCTTCTGAGGTCCTCGGCCCAGGTGTTCAGCTCCTTGTTGAAGTATTCGCCGTTGCCGGCGGGCTCGTTGGGGTAGACGTCGATGGCGGCACCAGCGATCTTTCCGCTTCTCATGGCCTCGACCAGGGCGGGAATGTCGACAACGGTACCTCTTGAGGCGTTGATCAGGTAGCTGCCCTTGCGCATGTAGCCAAACTGCTCGGTGCTGATCATGTTCTTGGTCTCGGGCAGTTCGGGAACGTGGAGGGTGACAAAGTCGGCGCCCTCGAGAAGGGCCTTCAAGGTAGGGACCTGCTTGGCGGTACCCATGCTCATGAGGTTGACAACATCGTAGTAGATGACGCTCATACCCATGGCCTCAGCCAGGACGGACAACTGGTTTCCGATGTGACCGTAGCCGACAATACCCAAGGTCTTTCCACGCACTTCCCAGCAGCCAGCAGAGACCTTGTTCCAGATACCCTTGTGCAACTCCATGCTGCGGTCAGCCAATTGTCTGGCGAGAGCGATGATCTCGGAAATGACGAGCTCAGCGACAGAGCGCGAGTTTGAGAAGGGAGAGTTGAAGACGGCAATACCGGCGTTGGCAGCATAGTTGAGGTCGACCTGGTTGGTACCAATGCAGAAGCAGCCGATGACGATGAGGTTCTTTGCGTGTTCGAGGACCTTGGCGGTCAACTTTGTCTTTGAGCGGATACCGATGACGTGGACGTCNCCTGAGAGACGAGGTTAGAGAGGAAAGGCGTAGGCATGGGATGCAGCGTACTTGATCTTCTCAATGAGTTGGTCTTCGGGTAGCGAAGCCTTGAGGGCCTCAACCTGGTAGCCCTGTTGTCTTAGGATGTCCTGACCAGTGACGTTGATGTTCTCAAGCAGCAGGACCTTGACATCTTGGGTGTTGAAGGGCTTCAGCTGCTTTGCAGAGACGGACTGAGAGTTGGAGCGATGGCTGAAGCTCGCTGACGGCGAGATATGGGTTTGGGTAGGGCTGGTGGAGGGGTCGAAGCTGTTGGTGACAGCAGAGGGGTCGTCGCGCTGACGGATGGGAATGTTTTGTGCGGCAGACATGTTGTTGATGTTATGAAAGCGATCAGGGAAGAGGAAACCAGAAAAGGCAAAAGAAAGCCGGGAGTGAATTGAGAGTCGGAGGAGAACAAGAGAGTATTTTTGAGCGAGCAAACAGTGGCCGCACTCTCTCTGAGTCAAGTTGCGCAACAACAATTTCTCAGCTGTTCCCGATGACGGCCATGCGAATAACGCCATCGATCCAAAATCCCACCGACTCCCGCGCCACATCTCCAGCCCCCAAATCCCGACTCCACAATTTCTTTGACTCACTGCATCGCCTTTGTTCGTCACTGATACCATCAGATCACAAACGTCCGGCGTCCTACTTTTGCGTGTAGTCACATGTTGCAGTACTCTTGTAAAACATGTCTTGATTCGAGTCGTGATGCTATCCAACAAACTTCAGCTCTCGAAAGTGCCTCATATCATCTGCGAGTGACGACCGTCTGTTGTCCGAGAGTATGATTATCAGCTATATAGGGGACAAGAGAAAAAAAAAGGACACACGTTGCCAATTGCTCTGGGGACAGAAGAAGAAACAACGCCGCTGTAAAAGGGAAAAGAGGACATCGAGCTGCGTAAGAGGACGGAATGGTGCTGCGTCAAGGAGCGTGACTTTTTGTGCTCCGATCCAGCATGCGTTGGGTGTCGACGGGCTTGCTGGAGTAGGAAGAGCAGGCAATGTACATGGCGAGACCCGTGATCCGAACGCCTGCCACTAGATCGGTGTGGTTGCCAATGAACCAAGTCTAAAATGGTGATGCAAAGGGGCGTCTAGTACATCATCTAGCTCTGCTTGCACTCGGCAGTCTCCTGCTTGGGCTTTGAGCCGTCACCCTGAGACTTGTTAGCTGCTCGTTCGTTCAAATCGTGGTCAGAAAATATGCTCACCTCCTCGTCTGACTCCTCCTCATCATCTTCCTCGTCACGGTCGTAGTCCTCCTCATCCTCATCGTCCTCGTCTTCGAACTCGTCCTCATCGAAGTCCTCGAAGCCCTGCTCAAATTGCAGAGCCTCGCCAGTGAACCAGTCAATGGCGCGGGGAATGAGCTTCTCCTTGATGTCCTCACCGAGCTGGTAGTCGAGCTCGAGCTTGGCCTCAATGTCGTCCTCAACATCCTCGTCGTCCTCGGTAGGGGGGNNGCTGGCAGGGTTGAAGAAGTCGAAGAATGAGGGAGTGGGGATGGTCTTCTTGACAATGCGGGTCTGCTTGGTGTCNTGGAAGAGATTGTTAGTATCTGTATTTCATGGACTCGAGATGACAGCACACGTACTCTTGTTGCGCTGCTTCTTGCTCTCGACTCTAACGGTGAGATCCTTGCCAGACTGCCACTCAATCTTGTCACCCTCGGCGTGGTCGTAGATGAAGTCGCCGCCGTAGCCGTTCTCCTCTTGGTAGAAGTAAGTCTTGGAGATGGTCTTGTTGGTGAAGAACTCGTTCTCGGCGAACTCGAAGATGAGGCGGAATCCAGGGCGGTCGAGGTACTCCATACGAATGTCGGTCAAGAACTTGAGAGCGCCCTCGTCACGGTCGGTGATGGTCTCGGCGAGCGACGAGTTCTTCATGGCGGACAGCCAGAACTCGGGAATACCCTTGATGTCGGCGGCAGACTTGTCCTCGGCCTCATCAGCCTCGTCATCCTCGTCGTCCTCCTCTTCGTCCTCCTTGCCAGCCTCGACTTCCTGCTCGCTGGGCTCGGTGGAACCGTTGATGATCTTGGCACGCTTCTCGTAGAGAGGGGCGTACTTGGCGAAGAACTTCTTCTCAAGGGCAAGGACCTCCTCCTGGAACTCGGCCTCAAGCTTGGAGTGCTCCTTCTGGACACCCTTGAGACCGGCGACACGTCTGCGGACGGGGGCAGGGAGCGACTCGACGTAGCCGGAAGATCTGCCGACAAGACCGCTGAGCTTGTTCTGCATCATCGAGACGAGGGCCGGGTTGGCAGCGAATATTGAGGCAGCATCCTCTGCGCGAAATGGTCAGTGGGTATTAATGGAGACGAAAAGTGTGTCGCGCATACCTTCTTTGATGCTGGAAACACCAGGCTGTTGTGCGCGGGACGAGATGGGGGCCTTGTCGAGGGGAGTGTTTTGGGGNGTACTGGTATGGTCAGTGACTGCTTGGTCGGGTCTAATGGTAGACATCCTGGCGGCGATGGAAGAGAAGAGTGTGCAGAGAGAGGTTGGGCGGCGCAGAAAAGTGGTTGATGTGTGGTGAAAGGGGATGGAGGCAGGCAAGAGGTGTTGTTGTGATGTCTTCGGATGTGGCGGCGGACTAGGGTCAAACTTACGGTGCAGGCTTGCTGCCCTTTTGGGGGATCATGTTGTCGCTCATGGTCTCGAATAACTCTGGGTGAAGAATGCGAGGACAAGGATGGTGAAGTTGGTGGGAAGATGCAGTGCGGTGGTTGAGAGAGAAGCTTGATCTGGAGGTTTTGCTCGAGACGCGGGGAGTCAAAGCAAAGGCAAACAATCCTGCACCCTCACTCGCCCCCTTTAGGAATTGAAGTTTTTACCATCCGAGATTTTGAGGCAAGTCGGCAAGATACGGCTACGAGACACTCATCCACCCGGGCCTTTGTCTGCCATGAATAATCACCTTGAATGAACCTCCCACATGTCGCTTCTTCACCTCTGCAACATGACTATCTGACCGACTCGCGCTGCCACGATCCACTGCTCCTGCCCCAGTTTCTTGAAGACCGCCACGCAAACCTGCGTCGCAACAAAACGGTAAAGACCTTTCCATTCTCCTGCTTGAGCCTCCCTCTTAATCTATTGAGGGCAAGTCACTGCCTGCTGCTTATGCGGTGGACCACTTTGCAAGGCAGAGCCTGTCAAATCTTTGACGACCATGTTTGCTCAAAAGGATGAGTGGCGGAAACACTCCCAGTGCCATTGACCCAATCTCATCAACATTCAGCGCTTTGTTCTTTTGTCTATGTCTATGATGCCGTGTAACGTGCTGCTTTGCGCAGAGATTGATATCGTTGAAGACGCCATTTCCTCAATGCTCAGCCATTTTCCATGTGACGTGCAGACACGTGCAAGGTGTCTCGACGCGCCCTACGCGGACGACAGCCTGCCAGAGACGACAACAGCCAAAAGCCATGACAGACACTTTTGCGACACCAACATTGTGTACCGTCAAGTAGAGAAAGCGCGTCCTGCGCCAATACCACGGACACTCGACGCTTTAGCGCTCAGTGGACTGGCTTCAACAGCAGCTCACCAGTCTGCAAACAACCCCAACGAACGACCTCTCCCATCTAATCTGCGCATTGCCTTGATCGACCACTACAAATTTGCTGACGTGCATTACATCGCGATAAACAGGTGCTCCACCTAGATAACCATGGAGTGCCCATTCTTGTGTGGCTTCCACACACCCAATGATAATCACGCCGAGTATCAAATCACGGCCCACATTGAGCTGCATCATACTCCAGAGTCTCAGTTTGCAGTCGAAGACAAGGATCTGGAATTCGCTCTCGCGTTACAGAGAGAAGAGGAGCAAGTATTCGCCGATGGCAAAGAACGTGACACTCCAACACAATGGACTACTGAGGACTCTGGCCCGAATAAGGAAAGCGCTGCCAACCCCACGGACGATGACTTTCCTTATGTCGAATGTCCCAAATGCGAAGACTTCGTTCACCTCGTCGAACTTGACGAACACATGAACAACCATTTATCATTACAGTATTCATCCGATACCATCGCTGGCAACATGGCTGGAATCGACTCTGGATACGATACCGACTTTTGTCAATCCTCAGCTGCCCTGCAATGCTCGAAAACAATCGCTCGTCCCCTTGATCAGCACTACAAAGCAAATCCGGCAGAGACTAGGCCGAAGAGAATACGCCTTTGTGTAAGTAGTATATGTTCCCCCTTGCGCTCCTGTCGCCCGTATCAGAGCCCCAATACACTGACTCAGACATCACCAAATACTAAACATGAGAATAGAAAAAGAGCTTGGCCCGTACGCATTCGAGAACAAAATGCCGGAAAGCTTGCTCAAGCGACTCCGAGACGGCGAACCAACGAGAAGAATCAATCGTATCACCAGGGATGGCCAGATTCATACGGACCGCATTGTGGACAACGAAGTTCCTGAGCTTGTTCCAATTATCACACGACTTTGCGTTGCTTCATCCAACCACATTGAAACCGTTTATCTCTGCCATCCAAGCGTTCAACATGTGCACAAAGGGACCAACCCAGGCCATTTCTGCGGCTATCGCAATATTCAGATGCTTGTGTCGTTCATTCAAGGCACGAAAGCCAGAGCTCATGAACGTTTTGNNGGTACGTATGGGAGGTTCTAGACAGCCCGGTTGGTGTCATATCTGTGTCAAGGGACCGAGTCTCTGTTAAGTTGTAGTGTTCTGTTCATGGTCAAGCCAAAACTTCTCGAGGGCGCGCTATGAGGCATGTTCCCAATGAAGGTTTTCGGCTTTTCGCATAGCACTTTTTAATTACAGCTAGCTGATGCAGTACCGCACTTCGCAGAAGAAGAAACCTGCTAATCATGTTTTTGACTTAGGACGAGTTTGCCCGGTGTTCTTCAAATCCAGGACTTGATCGAAGAAGCATGGGATTACGACCCAAGCAATCTCGGCAGGCAGGAGACTGGCGGTGTCCGCAATACGAGAAAATGGATTGGCACTCCCGAGGTGAGATCGATCTGTAAGTACCTAAACATCGATCACGCCGTCTACGCCTTCAGCAACACACAAGCCGGACGAGCACATGAGCACCTGCTCGACTTCGTGGAAGACTACTTTTCTCGCGATATAGAAGAGCTTGGCTCCAAAGTACACAAGTCTCATCGTCCTCCAATCTACTTGCAACAGCCAGGCCACTCGATGACGATCATTGGGATCGAGCACTATGTGAATGGTAAACGCAGTCTTTTGGTCTTCGATCCAGGATTCGGACCAGCCAAGCAGTTAACGGATATGGTCACACAACCGTCGAATGCTGCGATATCCGCAAAGACTGCCGATCGCCTTATCAGATCCCACAAGCGTACCATCGCACAGCTAGCAAGATATGATGAGTTCGAAGTCTTGGCGTGAGTCAGCAATAGAAGCAACGAAGTTTGTATCAAACTGATCATTGCAATAGGCTGGAGACACCAACACTAGCAATATAGCATGTAAGAAGTATGCTCAGCAGGATATCGGGACAGAAACTTACATATCACAGATTATCGACGAACTGTATCTTGGACGCTTTGCGCATCTTTCAACTTCGATGCTGCATCCCACAGACGTTGCATTAGGCAGTGATGTCCGAACGACCTACTGGCATGGACTGCTCGATACATGGCATGCTCAGATTGTCTCTAGTAACGATATCTTACAAAGATATGGCCGCTATCTTCTAGCTGTATCGCGCCAGGTCTGGTGGGTCCGCAACGACAATACCTGGATGCGAGATCTTTATCCAAACAATCAAGAACACCCGCCGCAGGGTTACGGACAACAAGACTGCCTAGGGACGAGCTGCGGACAATACGTCTCTATTTGTCGGCCATTGGTGGTATACCATTGCATGCGTTCACCAGACGTTCTGTCTGACTCGCCGCGCTTGCCCATTTCGTCCTATCAACACAAAACAGCATGATGGTGTTTATATTGAGCATAGCGTTCGCGCTGTTCTTACATAGTTCATTCGCTTTGCCCCATTCAGTCAGTTGCCGTTGCGTAGATCCTCCCTATGCGCTAGAAGTTTGTGACGTCCATTGAACGCGTAGACTCTTGGGTCGACTTTGAATAGACACGAAAGGATCAGAGATACAATTGCACAAAGCTTATGGCTTAACACCTCCCATTGGAAACTACCCAATTTTTGGTATGATGCCTTGCTGCCATATTCATAATGACTTGGCTATCACAACATCGGAGAAGGTATGAGACGGTAAAGGCAAGAGAGAAAGAACTGAGGTGGTGTGGCATGCGGTCTTTGATTCACCTAGTATACATTTTTGTAAGTCCTTTCTTCTGATCTAGACAAAGATGCAAGAACGCTGCAGTCGCGCTCTGTGTTGTAAGTTTACATCGTGGATTCCTTTCTGCTGACCTGAAGAACCACCTGTGTCATCTCATCAGGAATGGACCACCGAGTTTAGTCAGAAGTCTCAGACCTCACTCAGCTCATCTTCCTCGGCACCATCCTCCTTGTCGTCAGCACCGAGAGCAGCCTCAGACTCTTCGCCATCCTCAGTCTTGACCTTCTTGTTGACAGCGCCTCCCTCATCTTCCTCGTCAGAAGAAGCAGCAGCCTTGCGCTTGTTGGTGTTCTTCTTGCCACCAGTCTTCTTGACAGGACGACCCCTCTTCTTTGCGATGGGCTCAACCTCCTCCCCACTGTCCTCATCACTGTCATTCTTCTTGGCCTTGGAGGCTGCCTTGCCTTTACCCTTGGTCTTGGGAGCAGGCTTCTTGGTGGTCTTTTCTTCTTCTTCATCGGCTTCGGCGTCTTCCTCTTGCTTCACGGTTTCGTCTTCAGAGTCGGAGGTGTTCTTCTTAGCGGCCTTTCTGCCACCCTTCTTGGCAGCGGTCTTCTTGGTCGTGGTAGTGCCGGCGAGTCCGGTGATCTTCTTGCGGCGGGTCTGGTTCCAGCGGGTGCGGGCGATGCCGGCGTCCTTGTAGCCCATTTCTTCGGCAACCTTGTCCCAGTCTGACTACAGGAGGGAGAAAGGTTAGTATTGCTCTGACAAAGGGTGAGTATGGGAATAAGAGATGGGTAAGGGAGATGGAAAAGAAGGATGTGATGTTGTAACGGAAAATGGAATGAAAAGGTTGCAAGACAGAAGGAGATGTGTATCAAGATGGATATTGATGTGCAAGATCCGATCAAGGATGGGCGGACATTGAGATCGGAAAAGATTGGAGATGGAATGAGATGAGTGAAGGAACTAGACCAGGAAGAACGCGCCGATTCGAGAATGCGAATGGTGGGATTGCGGACAGAAACGACGCGCGAAAGCTGATGAGAGAAAAGAGAGTCAACATACCTGAAGATCACCAGTCAAGTTCTTGATGATGCTGATGATAAGCTTGGTCTCGCCGGTCGAGAAGGTGGAGTCAGCTGCGTCGGACATGATGACTTGGTGTTGTTGTTCGCTTGGTGTGGTATAGAATGCGTTTGTGAATGGGAGATCTTTGTCGTGGATAGTGTTTGTGTGATGATGAATAAAGGACGCAGTATCAAAGAGATGCTCGCGTATGTTGTGTATGGATGTTGAAGAAGGAAGAATGGAGAGGAAACAAAGGAGCACGAAGTTGTAGTCGGCGCACACGAGAGTGAAACTTCTAAGAATGCGGCTGCAAAGAATGATCCGGAGTCTGAATGCGAGTGAAGCAGACTTGAGTGTTGCCGCGGCCAAATAAAGTCTGGTGGATTTTAGTAGCGAATGAGAACAGCTCAGATGATACTTCAGTCTATGTAGAAGAGAAAAAAGCCCGATATCAAGTCAGACAGAATTAGAAGACTGTTAATTGATGTATCGTTGTCAAGCTCTTACTAGCATACTGGAGTGGCACAATAACAACGATCGATGAAAAATATGGATTCCATCGTGCATAGCCACGAGCTGAATATGAGATTGTTGGGCAGAAAATGAGTAGAAGTGTTTCATCGAACACTGTGGTGGTGATAGATACTGTCTGAACAAGATAAGTCACCCTCAAGTGCTCGCTTTGGATCTTTCTGATTGACCGCTTATAAAGACGTTCCCGGGTTGCCACTAAGACTACGCCTGCCCGAGACATGACACCCCGAGTATTATGAAGAAGCAAAATTTACGCACGCTCGGCGTAATGAAGCTCAACTATATTTTGTGACATGTTGTCTCTATCCCGCGATGATACGTCAGTTATCCGCGACGAAGAAATCCAGGCGATCTAAAGGCAACACGATCCATTGATCCCATTCTTATATCTGTCCATTCTGGTAGCAAATTCCGGTCTGTAGAACAGTCGAGCAAGATTGCAGCTTGCAATAGATAAGCAAATGATTCGAAACTTCTCCCTGGCCGAAGATCTCATAGAATGTCAATCAAACAAAGAGTCCCTGCGTCACTCAAGACAGACGTGCTCGCGCTTCAGACTACTGCCGGTGCCAGTTGGTGGCAGTTCGATGCGAGCTCGCTTGTTTGAGGGAGTGTTGGTCGAACTCTCAGGACCGGGAGCGGGCTTCTTCTCATACGGGTTGGGATGGGTGGCGCCGGCACGCAGGTTCTTGTCTTTCTTCATCTCCTTCGCACAGATGTCGACCAAGCGAGTCAAGATATCGCAACGAAACTGATGAGGCACAACAGGATAGCAGCCGTAGACGTTCAGGTTCCACTCTTTGCGATGGTCCTCTATGGACGAAGGCTCTTTGAAGAGGTCTGGGAACTCAAGGGCGACGGCAAAGACAATGGGCGAACGGATAAGTGTGGTTGTCTTAGAAGGAGACAAGTGCCATCCCAATCGAGAAGCGTTCTTCTTGCAGAGCAGCTCGCTTCTTCGACCAGTAGGAGGATAGTAGACGTCGAATGTGGACACTGGGACAGCGCGGAACCTTAACTCAGGCCGAAGGCATGACTTGAGCTCTTGAACCTCGTCTGAGTTGAGATTGAGCAAGATGCCAATGATGTGGTCAGGCATCTCGTCTTGCAGAAANATTTCCAGCCAGGCGTCAAATGTAGGTGCCTTGTATGCGAAGCGTTTTGGCTTCTCGCCATCATCGTGCGTGGCGGTGAGGACTTTGAACGGGGGCATGTTGAGGGTTCAAGAAAATCGAGATGGGTGACTATCGACGCAGAATCGAAAGAGTGAGAAAAGATGCGGATGAGACATCGCACTGTCTTAGATCATATCCCAGCATCTTGACGGCCAATCTGACTAGCATGCTGACCAATATCTATTCTTTGAACATCTCGAATATGATGCACAATCATACCTAATATACGAACATACTAAGGTAGGGACTGTAGAATTGCCTGTACTTTGCTCACGTTATGTATGTTTGGCCTAAAAATTATCGCTGATGTTGTCCCGCCCTAGAAGTGCGAACACTGAGTTCGGAATGCTTGGCCAAACATGACAAACCCCAGTTTTCGACGTATGCAAGCTGGTAGTGAGACAACGAGCTCTAAATGTATACGAGGGTATGTGTGTTCTGGTGTTTCATATGCTTTGTACTGAGCTTTGGTGAAACGAGACTTTATCGCCTTTGTCATAGACAGAGGGCAGGTTGTTATGTGGTTTTAATGTCTCTCCCCATTCAAGCAGCAGAGGACTGAGCGAAGAACACTCTTACTTAGTGAAAAGATTTCCACTGTGTAAATCTATGCATATACCCATGTTACCGTCTACAACACCTTTTGCATTATTCGGACTCGTGCCAGAGCCTTCGACGCTAATATTTCCGCAACCAGGTCTGTTCTCTCATTGTTCCCACCACTCGTATCATCCGCGTGTGCCAAAGTATCTAACGTATATAACCATAAAATGCATGATAGTATAGAGAAACGAAGCAGAGTTCTCCAAGATATAACATTATTGACTCTCCTCAGCGACAAATCTAGTACTGAAAGCGATCGTAAGTCTAGCAGAGAGACTCGAGCTTGTCGCCAGGATGGGGNACGACGCCCTCGGAGGCAAGGATCTCCCAAGACCAGTAGTACTTCTGAGCGGAACCGTCGTCGCCAACGATGGCGTCGCCGTCGTGCTTGCCGTTCCAGAACATACCACCTTGTAGGTACTGGGAGTATGCTTGGAGCTGACTGCGATAGAAATCTCTGCGGGTGTTGTCACCAAGGTGGTTGAAGTTGGTAGCCTGAATCGACCATTCACCAATGAAGGTAGGGTTGCTAGCGTTCTGGTAGGACTTGGCAAGGTAGCATGCACCATAGGCAGCATCGTAGGAGTAAGAGCCGCCGACGAAGAAGTAAATGTGAGTGTCGATGACGAGGTGGTCATCGACGTTGGTCCAGTAAGGGTCCCAAGTCTGGGGGCCAATGAAACCGTCTGCAATAGCTACGGGGAGAGTCTTGGATCTCTGACGAACTTCCTTGAGAGCAGCGGCGTAGTACTTGTTCAGGTAGGCGATGGAATCCTTGGTCTGACCGAAGAAGTAGAGGGCAGGAAGAGGCTCGTTGATCAGCGAGATGGTGTAACTACCGCTGTGAGGTTGTGCAAGGATGTCGTCAGTAGCTCTACGGACCATCTCGAGGGAAAGATCGAAAGCAGTCTGATTGTTCCACCAGGTGAGCTGGCCAGTTTTCCCTTGATTGTCGAGACCGTTCTGACCGCCAGGAAGGCCGTGCAAGTCAACAACAACGTGCATGTTGTGCTTGGCAATAGCATATCGAGCGATCTTCTGCATAGCCAGCTTCTGACCACCAGTGTAGTAGTGGTCACCAGCGATGGCGGGCATGTAGGCCCAGTAACCGATGGGAATACGAAGAGTGTTGATACCGTAGCTGGCGAAGTTGTCGATGTCCTTTTCGGTAATGTAGGTCTTGTAACGTTCCTCGAGAAGAGCACCACACTTTGCCAACCCAAGAATCTCACAGAAACTGTCCTCATCAATGGCACTAGGTGCGTTATCGTTGAAGAAGCTGGGCTGGATGTTCTTCTCAAGAACAAGCCAGCCGCCAAGGTTAACTCCATTGGACTTGTAGTTTCTCCAGCCAGGGAAGGTGTTTGGGACGGGATGGACCCATTCAGGGCAGGTCCAAAAGACAATGACCTTCTGGACCTTGGCAAAGATCTGTGAGGCGACCTTGAGGAAGTTCACGAAGGGACCTCTGGAGACGGAAGGGCCAAAGAGAGCTGAGAGATCTCTTTTGGACACAGAAACAGCAGGAATGTCGTCCATAGAAAGATCGGGGGCGAGGAAGTCTGCGAGGGAGAGGAATTCCTCGCTCTCCGTAGGGTTGGTGGTGAGGATAGCTGGGCTGTCTGACTTCACAGAAGTGGTGTCAAGCACCTCGGCGGGGACTTCGATCGAGAGGGTAACGTTTATAGCAGCAGCCTGGGTAAGGCTGGTGGCTTGAGANACATCCTGCAGTGAGGCAACGGAGGTGGTAGAAGTCTGAGCGACGATGCTGGAGGACTCCTGGATTGAAGCCTGAGGAAGAGCTGCAGCAAGCCCGACAAGGCCTGCGGTGAAGAATGCAGCCTTCATGTTTTGAGACTCGGAATGAAGATGTTCTGCTTGCTAGACAGGTTACGATCGAAGGGTGACTTCAAGCTTTTATACATCTCGCAATTCTGAGCCGAATAGCATCAACATGAAGTTTCATCTGTGCACCATACCCATATCGTGGCGGCGGCATGCACACGGTACGGTGTTCTAGGTTTGGTCTACTCGCTTCCTAAAAGGCTTTTGAAGGAGTGTTTCGGTACTCGTCTAACGGCGCTCGGGAGCCAGACTCGGCTTGGGCGCCTGAAGCGGCAGCAAAACATTCTGTAGATGCACCGTACTTACATGGAATGATTATGTTCCTTGGTCGCTGTGAAGGGACGCGGGCTGGGTTGTTCAACCTTTGTTTTGTTCCAGCAACAGACTGACTATCTACTCCCTACAACGGGGTAACATAGTGACGAGTATCCGCGTGTGTACGGCTCGACATGGACATCCTGACTCGAAAAACGAGAGCCACCTTGCCAAATATTCAGGACCGTCTGAGCATGCAGTTTGTCCGACTCTGAATCCTTTTGCTGTTGATACACGGGAAAGGACGCTAGAAAATTCCAAGAGACTTGGCGCACGAAACGCACCTGCCGCCAGGTCGGCAATTGGAGAAAGCATCGGGAAGTGGAGGAGATATCCAATTCGGCTCTGCCGCTCTGGTTTGTGTCCACATTGATTCCATAACATACTATCCATGGCTGCCTTCTCGATTCTCCTGGCTCAACACAGGAGACGGTGCAAGTGCGGCATTATACAAATACCAGGTTGTGAATACATCGAATCACTTGTGTTGAGGAGACCGGGTTCAGCGTCAGCAAATGCTCGCGTCACATCCTCAGAGCTTCCAGACTCGAAGCGGCTAATTGATAGAGCCACGGCCCACAGATAATCACTAAAAACAGCAGTAATACTTGAGCCGAAACCGCTCTCGCCTTCTTTAACGTCTTCGTAACCAAATTTCACCTCTTCCTCGTTGGACAAACGGCTGATCGCACGCGCAAAGGTAAACTAGAAAAGGCGAGACGTTGAACCCATTTCTCTTTCTTTATAGGGAAATGTCATCTACTCCACTGTGCTGAAGCCTGAAGGTCTAATGCACTGGACCGTGATGCATCATGCCGCTTGGCTTTCGGTTTTCTGCCCTTCAACATCAAGCGGATGCGTTGGCCAGACACTCCGGCTTACTCGGGTTCCTGGCTCTTCCCACGCTCAAACCTCTTTGTCTAGCCACATACATGACTCTCTCGGGATAGTTGCTGATGATAGCATCAACGCCGTCATCGAGCAATTTGCTGATGGTCACCTCGGCGTCCACAGTCCAAGGAATAACCTGCATACCCAAAGCATGGGCTCTATCCACAACATTCTTAGTGGTGAACGGCTCATATAGAGGGCTGTTGACAGTGGCATCACTTGAGTTTCCGGTGCCGTGGTTGGGGGAGAGGATGGATGAGCTAATTGAGTGGGCTGCGGCTACCCAGTCGCCTGAAAAGTCGTCGAGGTCGAGACCGCCGAGCCAGGGGTACTTGCTGTTCTCCAGCCAGGGGTAAGTCTTGTTGGTTTCGTCGGGCACGACTGTCGTCTCGTCGAGTAAAGCGACAATAGGCATGGCAGGGTATGCGGCGTGGATACCGATGAGGGTACGCCAATCGAATGATTGGACAGAGGTACGAGACCCGAAGCCGTGCTTCTGAAGGATGGGAATCAGATCAGTGATGTATGTGTCGATTGACAAGGTTTCGTTAGGCGCGGTAGGCGAAAGTTTGGTCTCAAGGTTGATTGTCACACCCTTGTCACCGTAGCAATTCACCAATTCTAGAACCTCCTCCAAGGTTGCGATGGTGGTACCGGGATGAACTNNGTGGCCGGATTAGATAGCAATACCTTACGAGGAATCACAGGATGACTTACGCTCTTGCTGAGGGTGAGCTGCAAGTTGCAGAGAACAATCGAGTGATTTTACTTGCTCGAGAGTCAAATTGGCGATATATTGGCCTACATAGTCGCCAGTGCACTTTGTCGGAAAGATCCAGTGCTGTTGTACGGGTTAGTCAAGTTCGCGAGAGGATTCTGGTAGAAAGCTTACATCGTGCCAGATCACCGGAACACCGTCCTTGGTAAATACAGTGTCCATCTCAAGCACGTCTACACCAACTTCCTATATTATCATGAGCCGCGTGTTACCTATCCCAAAGCCAGACCATCGACGTACCAGAGCGTGCGCGAATGCCNNTAGAAGCATATGCAGTCAGTCATCCTGATCGTCCATTGCATTTGTAGTCCACTCTACCCAAAGCGATTCCTCACTCCTCATACCGAGGCCACCGCGGTGACCTTGAACCTCAATACGGCCAGTTTTGTCCAGGTAAGGTATGGTGAATGGCATCGCATTGGCAACATGGAAAGCCGCAAGACCAGCGACGATAGCGACGGTAAAAATCATGGTAAGTACAACTCAACAACACGTGCGATAATGGTGGGTGCAAAGCAAGATAAGACAAATATTGCAAATCTCCAGACGCAGAGCAGGACACTTATACCTAGACATACCTCGCTGATCCCAGCCACGATGAAGACCGGAGTCCGCACGTGAAGACAGTGATACGCCGTTATAGTTGCATGGTTCACTTGGCATGGCAAGCCATGCAGCTCATGCGGTATCGATTTTTCCTACGTCGGTCACAGGTGTGACCTCAGCTGTTCACGTTTCGCTTGTTGCAGAGTACCAAGCGGGATGGTGATAAGCTCTTGGCCTGCTGGTTCGGAGAGGTGCGAATCTTCGCAGTAACGAATCTAGAAGAAGCGACTTTCTCGGTATTGATGATAGGGCAATGAAGATGTTATGATGATGACGAAGGGGCTGTATTTGACATAGTTCGCAAGCTTGGAGGACTGATCTACAGGTTCAACCATGCAGCCAAGTGCTTGGCCGCTGTTCTCCGCAGACCTCGGAGAAATTGCACGGAGATACGCACGAGGAAGGCGGTCAGTGTGAGTATATAGAAAACCATGCAGCTTTGTTGATACTGTTACAGCCAGTCCTCAATACTGCCCCCACGAAGAACCAAACCTTCAGAAATGAGACCAACTTCCGAAATGCACGCCGTACAATGCCTTACATCACGTTGGGATCTCTAATACTAATTGCAGATATTGAACTTAGCAACCGAAGGATCGTGATCAGAGATCTGCTGGGCCTTGGTCACCCAGGTGTTAATGTGAACATGTTCGTACTGTGCCTTTGGCTTGAGAGCCTGGCTAATGTACATGTGATCAAGCTCTTGACTGTTCATGTCGAAGAGATAAGTGTATCTCTCGAGCTCGGAGACGTTGGCAGCCTCATCAAGATCACGAAGGTTGGAGACCTCTCTGAAGTTCTCGAGAGGTTGGACAAAGGCGAACTCATTGAAGTCACCAGCGACGATAATTTTTGCTTTCTTGTCCTCAGCCAGAATCTTAGCAACAAAGTCCTGTTCGAATTTAGTGGTGGTCTTTGGTGATTTTCTTGGGTAACTTACAGCAGTCAACTGCATCTGCTCTTGACGATCCTCAACACCACCGTTGACAGGGGGACGAGCATCTCCTTCAATAGACGAGGAGCCTCCCTTGCTTCCAAAGTGAACGTTGATGGTGAAGAACGAGTTCTTGCCATCGAGAGTCTCGAAAGCAGCGACTAATGGTTTGCGACTAGCAGTCCAAGCTGCGTTTTGGGGATCGATAAGGCCGGGATTGTACTTGAGCTCAGGACCAGGCAAGACCACATTGGCTTCAGTGCTTGAGCCAAGGTTAGGCTTGCGCAGTTGCAGGATCTCTGGGTTGTAGAGATAAGCGGTACGGATGTTGCCACCAGGTGCACCACCGTTCTTGTCATCAACAGGGTCGATCTCGGCAAATTCGTACTCAGGTCCGCCCATGCTGCTGATTGCAGAAGTCAGAGTACTGAGAGTCAAGTTGGCGCTCACAACAGCGTCATTAGTTTCGCCGTTATCGTCTTGGATTTCTTGAACGAAAACAAGGTTTGGACTGCGAAGGTAATTGACGATGTGGTCGGAGATATTGACCAGATGGTCAGATCCAGCCCACAAGTTCTCCACGTTGTACGATCCAACAGTGATACCACCGCAATCACCATCAGACATAAGTTTGGTAGGTGGCGGAAGTGCAGGCTCCACGCCCTTAATGATGTCCAAGGCGGTCAGGGGGNNGAGAATAGTGTAGTATCCAAATGTGTATGTAACAACCCCAGTAATATCGCCGAGAATGTCTCCAACTCTGGTGACAACAGGATTCTTCGACCCATCGAGTGGTGAGCCAATGATGATAGCCTCGGGGTTGGCATCNTGCATACTCTTGTCAGTGACTCGATTCCATCCTTGCCAATCGTACATACCTTTGTTAACCGTAGTCAGACCACCACGACCATTCAAACCGGTGACTTTCCAGTCTCCAACTACCCAGGTGTCGCCGTAATTGTTTGGCTTGGTCAAAGCATGAGCGCCTTTAACAGTGACAAGCTCTCCGCTGAGACTTTCCCAGAAGTCCATGCCATAGTTGCGGGGGNNGATCAAGGTAGGGTTGGCCACAGAGATCAAGCTGACGTTGTTCGGCACGCCAAATGCATCTCCATTATCCAATGCGGAGAAGGCCTTGTTAGGAGGACTGATAGTATCCTTGCCGATAACCAGCGGGGTTGCAGCACTTCCAGAGGAGACCTTCTTCACCAGTTTGGGATTGATGATCTCAGTCAAGTAAACGTATGCTTTGCTTGATCTGTATTCCGAGACAGTTCCTTTGAACTGGATGACGTCTCCTACAGACAGAGTTTTGCCAAAATTGCGGTCAAACACATAGACAGATTCGGAGGTTCTATCGTCCTCGTCGGGGTTAGTAGACCGAACCCAGATGCCGTTTGGCCCTTTGGCCGTGACTAGGCCATCGACATTCGTAACGTTCTTTCCATTGTATGGCGAGAGATACTTGTTGCCATTGATCTCGCTAATGGTCTCGGCGAACACAGACTGTCCAGCAAAAGAAGCAGCAGCCAGTAACTGTAGATAGACGCCAGCAGTCTTCATATTTGGATAAGAGAAGGTGAGAGAAATGCAATGCTACAAAGCATAGTGGTTGCGTGTAGCACTGTGTTATAGCATTCTTGATTTTGACCTCCTTGAGCTTGCATCGATGGCGAATCCATATCAGCACGGCTGACACACGCGAGTTGATATGCACCCTAACACGTTGTCATTCATTGGAACGCGAGACGGCAAGTTCACCCAGCTAGAAAGCCCTGGTGCGGCATGGCAATCTTGGCAAGCCTTGGCATGGTCTCATTAGCCTCTTATCTTGACATCGTGCTGAGAGTCATCTCTGGTGATTGGCTGTTTTGTGTTATCCAAGGAATGCTGGAATATATGCCAAGATCATACCGTATGCTTGTCTGTACGGACCATACATGTGAACCTGACCAACACAAGATCACCGTCAACCGACTGATCTTTCGACTTCAACCGAGAGACCGAGGCATCACTCTATAGGCCGTAGCTTTTTACCTTTACCAAATGTAGAAGGTCATCAGCTGGAAGGATTTCTTCGAGGATGAAAATCGGAGGTCGCCTAGGGATAAGGATGAGCTCTCGAGTAATGGTTTTAGTAGGCTGGCGCAGCTTCCCACTCAGCACGGAGCATGACTTCGATTTGAGTATCCTCAGCACCAACAGCTTCTGTCATGCCACGTAGATCGTTGAGTATCCCATACCACCAGCAACACCTTCTTCGTTCACCATCCAGACGCCATCTTCGACCAGAGGCTTCCAGAAAGTCAAAATTTCGCGCAGAGCAGCCAGCGGTCGACCAGGCATCCATGGACACCATCTGTTTTCATATGTGAATAATTGGTTGTTATCTCTACCATCGATGAATGTTGCAGCGTCACTCCAGCTCTCACTTGGGCTCAGGTACAGACTTGCTCGTCGCTCGGGAGATGTCGTTTCGCGACCCCAAAAGTTGTCTGGAGACGAGGCGGCAGGGCCAGGGACGGTGGTATCGCTGGGAAACACAAGTGTGGGCGCAACATCGAGGAAACCACGCGGGTCGTGAAACTCGTTGTTGACCATTTTAGCACCAATGGCTTTTTGCGTCCACTTGAGACGTACGTTGCTTCGAAAGTCTCAGATGTCCATACGGTGACGCCAGGTGCGATCTTAAAGTTTGGTACCATAGGACGGCGGGCCTTAGTCAGACAAAAGAGCTGGAAGGACTGATCTGTTCACTTCCTTGCTACCTCTTCTTCAACAACGAGTGCTGACTCAACAGGACTATGAGTTGTCACGCTGGGTAATCTGCTCTCAACGGCAGCGAGTAACTCATTCCAGGCTCTTAACGAATGCTGTGACTCCAGATAGCCCCAAGGTCGTAGGGAATGATCGATTTTGATTTTGGAAGTCTCCCACATCTGTATCCAGCGACTCAATATGTTGACGAGTGGAAGCCAAGATTTGTCAGGGGAAAGCCCATTGATAAATCAATCCAACAAGCAAGTTCGCGCTGCTGATCGAAGAACAAGCCACCTTCGTTCGAATTCCTATCGTCCGAGAATAGGAGGAGATCATCTCCATGAGATGCGAATTGTGGCCAGCCTCGATAACCGAAAAAGGCTTTAAAATTCGGCAAATGACAAAAAGGCATGATCGTGGTCAATATGGTATTCGAAGACCGGGCATCAATCTTGGCCAAGAACGTCTGGAGGTTGGGCGAGAGCCGTGCTCGTAGTTCTGAGCTACAGAGCCTTATTGCATCTCTTGATGGTCGTGCACCATCTACGTATCCTGCCAGACGGACCAGGCGATTGTGTAGTCGGGCGCGATATAGTGGATCGAACATGAATTCTCTCGCCAGAAGACGTTATCGCGCGAACTGGAGAAGTCGGACAATTGAAGAGAGTCGCGCGTTGCAAGGCAGACGCGTCTTGCCAAGAACTTCACGCTCTGGTGCCCTCCTTTTCTCGCCGGCAGATCAGACATCCATCTCAGGCCGGCCATTGCTGTTCGTCTTTCGTTTGTCTCTTCGTAAACATCTTGCAAGGAAGAGCATGTCCGCCAGGAAAGAGTGCAGAAGATAGACCGAGAGCCGGAACTCGAACCGAGGAATTGCCGCCCGAAGACCCTCGATTCGGCAACCATTCAAACACACAAACTCGGGCTGATTACAAACATGGAGAGTGTAAACAAAGAACAGCTTACCATCTCCGAAACACACCCATGGAGAGTGATACCGTCCGTAGTTGATGGCCTTGTCCCACTGCAGCGCAAAGTCCTCCATACTCTTCTCCAGCAGAAATCTCGGAAGGAGAGAAAAGTCAACGAACTCGCTGGAAGTGTGACAACGCTCTTCACACGCAATCCTGATCATGAGGAGATAGAGGAAAATATCATCAAACTTGCACATAATTTTGCGGGAGCGAACAACATCAACTACTTGGAACCATCCGGATGGTTCGGATCCCGCAGAGAAGGCGGCAAAGATGCAGCCAGTGGAAGGTTGCTCTTTACAAGATTATCTAATTTGACATGCGTTGTCTTCTCTGCACAAGACGAAAGCCTTTTGGTCCGTCGTTTGCGTAAAGGCAAACCAGGAGAGCCAAGAACATATGTACCAGCCCTGCCTACGATCCTCGTCAACGGATACAACGCCAGTGGTCACGATTGGCAAACGCACATTCCTCCATACAACCCAAAGGACATCATCCAAAACCTTCGCCGCAGGATTAGAGGAAGCTCCAAGAGTGATATGCAGCCTATGCAACCATGGTTTCGCAGCTGGACGGGTCAGATCGCAAAAGTCGACCGAACCCATTACTCCATGGCAGGAAGGTTAGACAGAACTTCTGAAAACGTTGTAGAGGTCACCGAACTACCGCCTCGTCTATGGACACAAGACTTCAAGTCCGAGCTCGACAAACTTGCCTCCGAACCCTCGCCTACGGTTAAGAGCTACACCGAGCATCCAGCGACTCAAGGTGTACATTTTATCATTGAGCTGAACGGCCCTGGTATGGATACTGCAACTCAAAGAGACTTAGAATCCAAGCTGAGTCTTCACAAGACCATCACGACCGATAATCTCGTTGCTCTAGATGAAAGCGGACAAGTCCAGAAGTATGCTACAGATCTCGATATTCTGGAAGATTTTTACCTATCTAGGTTCAAATCTTATGGAAGGAAAAAACACCTTCAACTCTCGACCATGAAACAAGATCTGACGAAGTGGATCGATCAATCACGATTCGTCCAGCTGCTCTTGGGAGGAGACATCGACATAGCTCAGGACAGGGATACTATTGTCGGAGACTTGATTCAGCACGGTCTCATACCTGTCGAAAACTATGATTATATATTTGTAACCAAANAGAGAAAACGCGATGTCGACTGTAAGCCCACGGTCCTTGGCTATGAACACTTGTTTGAGATGACCGTGGCTTCAATGATGCCAGGCCCTATGCAAGAGCTCGAATTACTGATCACCAGCAAGAAGGAGCAGATTGCGGAGCTCGAACAGAAATCAGTCGAGGACATGTGGGAAGCCGACCTTGAGGCGGTTGAAGAAGCGTGGAATCGACAGCTGGAATTCGATCGCACGCATCCGACTCCAATCTGCAAGAGATGCAGAGGCCTTGGCTGTGTACAACAACTGTAGCACTCTATCCTTGACTAGCTCGATGGAAGCCAAAAGCCATAACCCGCGAGGCTTCTTTGCAGACCTCGAGGATCTAGCTAGCTTTCAAAGACAGCTGAATGAGCTGCGTTTCTCTTGAAGCCGAGCCGTCACCATCACTTGTAATAGCTTGATCTCACAGCTTATCAACATGACCGCTGACTCGCGAAGGTACGCCGCTCATCTTACGGCTCACATGTCTTCCTCTAGTGACGCTCACTGAGCGACTTAGGGAAAATGTCAAATTAGTTTGGTTTTGCATAGGAAGGTCCGAAGTGGAACTTGCGATGCCTTTCTCTGGGCGCACGTCGTCGATGTCCAAGAACCTTGATAACGCAGCTTCGGGAATAAGGCTTTTTGAGAGTGTTTGTGTCTTCCCCAGACTAAACAAATACTAACTGTAGGATATTATTCATGACCGACACATGACATCTATTTCAAAAGAGCGCAGATGTTGATAAGTTGTTTATCTTCATTCCATACTACCAATGACGTCCTCGATCTTGAGCCGCGGACACTGGAACCGAAAACCAAACCTTATGATTGTTTCCACGTGCGGTGTCGATCACCCGCAGAGAGTAACAAGATGATCAGGGTTTTGTTGCTGAGAGTCGGGAATAGGTTATTGCCGGATGCAGAATATACAACTCGATGTTGTGACATGCCCACATCGACAAAAGCTATCCCCGCGGAACCTCGAAAATGCTTCCAAACTCTAATATGTAGTAGACATATGCGGCTCCATCAGAATCAAAATGCTGGTCAGAGTATCAAGGACCACAGCCCCCTGACGCATCGGGTTTCTTTCTTTCTATTGAGCTGCGATGAGTTAAATTTTGCGACAGCTTGACTTATGCCTCTTGGTTCATAAGCCTGAGTCGAAGCTCAATTGTTCTAGCATCTCATCTCGTCGAAGACCATACTTCCTCTTACACGGTTCAGCTATGTATGCGATTCAGATCGGTGCCGGACTACTGCCTCCGGTGCTCGTGGGCATCATTGCATACGTCACGTATGTGGTTGTTGTTTTGCTCTGCGGTAAGACATTATCTGGCTATGTCCCAACCGTGTCTACGATTGCTGATCAAGTTACGTTGCAACAGNTGGATGTGTGGATTTCACCTCCACCGAATCAGCCTCAGAGACTGGGCTGCGCATCGGCAGTCCTATTCTTTTTTCTCTTGTTCCTCACTCTTATGGCAATCTCGTTCTTCAACACAATCTATCATGCCTATCTCGACCCCGGTGTGCTTTCCACTACCGATTCTCATTCTGTGGAGAAGCAGGCTGCTCNNCCCCCTGTTGAGAAGATTCGAGGCCTCCCCAGAAAGATTCATGCAGCACCTACATTGGAGTCATTCCACGAACAAACATTCTACGAATGTGACGAGACTGGCCAACCACTATGGTGTCAGCGCTGCAAACACTGGAAACCCAACCGTGCGCACCATTCCAAAATGCTGGATAGATGTTTGCTGAAATTCGACCATTATTGTCCTTGGGTGGGCGGCTACACGACAGCAACGGGGTTCAAGACATTCCTGCTGTTCTCTATTTACGCAGCCATGTTCTCTTTGATTACTGTCATTTCTATAACCATACCTTGGAACCATGGCGCTTTTGACGGACACGATGTTACTGGACACTTGGCCGTGACCGTGGGCCTAGGTGTCTTTTTTGTGTGCTTGGCGGGAGGGACAGGATTGAGCGCTGTACTTTTGACATCGGCAAACCTCACCACCATCGATAATGCAGTCGGTAAGAAGAAAGTGTGGCAGTTGGCCGTAAGAATCGACGACGGTATCATGGCAGAGGAAAAAGCCATCGCGGCAGCTTTTTCCGGTATCAGGGCCTTTGCTACCAGAATGCATACATATGCTATCGTGCAGACGTCCCCGGGCGCAAACCCTTATGACTCTGGAATGATGCAAAATTGGAAACAAGTTATGGGGCCGAGGTGGTGGGAGTGGGTTTTGCCTTTCAACTTGCAGCGAGAAGACGGACAGAGTAGGACGACAGAAATCACTCCTGCTGTTGCTGCAGCACTCGAGGAAGCAGGCTCACAAGATATGGACCTGGTCATGAAGGAGAGGTGGAGCAAGATGCGACTAAGACAACGTGGATTTTGGCAATTGTTGGCTGCTGCGGGAGCGCCGTTGAAGACTTTTGCTACTTGGAATCAGGCCAGAAAGGAGGGCATCTGATGGTTCATTGGTGGGTGTTTCTTCTTCCGTCACTGATCACTCGAATTTAGAACGAGAACAGCGCGTGATAAAGGCTCGATCGATTCCAAGATGGGCTACACTCGTCATACTCCAACAGATCTTTCCTTCCTTTCCCGCTACAGAATTTCTGCCAGATGCTTCAGTCTGTTATCAGGGACTTGACAGTAGTCCTCATACCTTGAGATCCGCATACTTAGAAGGCGTCCACTTGGTAATAGAGAACCAATCCGAAGTCCCATTATGAACGACCTTCAAGCCATAACGCTCATTGACATCAAACCCCNNCTCCACAAAGAAAGCGTACTCTCTGCATCGCAACATCAGCACTTTGCTTCATAACTTCCACCCCATTACTTCTCGACTTACCCTCTCGGATCAACCNTTGGGCACATCCCAAAACACATATTCGGCATGTCCAGGCCCCAACCTCAATTTAATCCAATCACCCCTGACCCAACTGAGTCTAAGCGGCCAATGCTTTGTACCTTCTTGTTTCTTGACGAGTTGGAGCGACAGGTCCATGAGTTTGTCTTGGTCCCAGAGGACGCGGACTTCTTCGCCGGGGTGAACAGATTCGCCATCGGCGGGAGTGTAGGTGACATTTATCTTCGCTGCAGCGAGAGCAGCGAGAGAGGCAAGTATGAGGAAGGTGGGAGGTCTCATGGTTGCTAGTGAGTGAGGTGAAGTATGATCGTTGATGCGTGTTTTTCAGGTGGAGGGTTGGATTGAATTTATGTGATAGTGGAATGGAGATATACTTGTATCGCCTAACAACACATTCTATCTATATGCCATTCCCAATTTAAGTCTCACATCGAGGGTGAATTCATCCTGTTGCCTCAGATGTGGAGTTTCTGGGGATTTAATCCTGCTGCCTTGGAACGATTGAGGCCTTGGCCTCAACTGTTGATAGGTGAATCCTTCATGACGCTGTAAACACTAGCGTAGCTTGGCTTTCCAAATATCACAAATGGTACATTTGATGTAGCTTCAAATGGTTGGTTTCATAGAAATCGAGTATGGTCAGCGAAAACAAAAACCCTTGATTTACAAGAACCACAAAAGTAAGATGCGGCGAGTGAGATTCGAACTCACGACCTCTGTATCGTCCTGTGATAGCGGGACCATGAGAGTTCAGTGGACCGCTCACAGTAAGAGCTTGTGTTTGCAAGACACGTTGATGCAGCGTCTTGACCACTGGACCACCGCCGCTGTTGTTGATGAAAACCAACTAACGAGATTATAAAAATGCCATAGGTTGATTGTGGATACAAAAGGTGCAAGCGCAATAGGCGCCGCACCAAAGGCAAGTGCGGGAATGGAAAGTGCATGCCTCAAACAAACCATTTGGCAGGCGCTATCCCGAGCATATTCGCCAAATTCCTTCCTCGTTTCCTTCGACCCATGTTCTTGTACTCAGCCAGGTAGTCTCGATTCTGTGTATTGAGATAGCCTCAAGGGGACTGCCTTTGTAGATGCTATTGCCGCCAAATCAAAGATTCATGTCTGTACCTTGAACACATGATATCTAGACATCGGATGGAGATCACAATATGAATCTCAAGAAGCAGTGTCATCACCCTCAGAGCCTTGCTCGGGTTTTGACATATCGAAAAATCAAAGTTTTCATGTCAAAAGAGACTCAGCATTACGATTCCTGCCTTCCAGATACTCAGGCAACCCTGCTTAGTCACATCATAAGTGAACAAAAGAAGGAGAGGTCGTGAGACAGGTCGCCTTTGGCCAGGCTTCGGTTCTCCGTTCACTTACGCCGGTCAAATAAACACAAAACAAGAGTACATACACAAGGCTGGTAGGGACAGACAAGATTAGGAAAGCAGGAAGAAAGCTGGGATGGTGGTTCGTATGTCGAACATTTCATTATCGTGGTTGCGTGAAAATGTGAGGTCGTGTGTAATGTGAATCCTCAATCCTGGTATGTCGTTCATTTCGTGTGGTTCATAGTGTCGTGGTTCGTTGCAAAGGGCGTCCTCCTTGCATATATGCTGGGTTTCGTTTGTCTTCATTCGAGATCGTTCTCTCCGTCAATCATGTCCATTGGTCATTCCAACAGAACAAAAGCGAACAAGAAGAAAGAAAAAGGAAGTACAAGAGAAAATGAGATACATCAGTCATCATCGTCATCATAACTCGTCGCTCGTGGCAGCTGTTGTGCCATTATCTTGCTGTCGCGTTGTGGCGTCTTCTCATAATCCATCAGTTTCGTCGTTCATCTGCTCATCGTCTCCTTGTCTCTGCGCGACAGCGCGCTTGAAGGCTTTTACGACGTCTTCTGGTATGGTGTCCCAGAGCAGACTCCTCGTATAGACTTCTGCCGCACTGGGTCCTCTGGCTTCTCGCATCCTCCCTAGCGTCTCGGCGAGGTTCGGACGAAGGCTTTGGGAAGGAGGTGCAGAGGCTATAGTGTCCATGTGTTCGTATGTGGTCAAGGCGTTGTACTGTTCAGGAGTCATAGCAAAAGCTTGTTCTGCTTCTTGCATCGCAGTTGGCGAAGTCAAATGCTTGTGCAAGTCGGCAATATTGGTAGGCTGTGGCCATGCTTGCTTACTGGGCTGGGAGTAGCGGTATGAAGGAGCAAGATCAGGTAGAAAGAGTGAAGCTTCTTTGGGGTTACCCTTCAGTAAGTTGTTGAGCACCTCCGTACTCGCAGCTCTAACTTCGTCAGGCATCTTTGGGATGAGATTGTTCTGCGCAGTATCTCTTGCTGTCGATGAAGATCGGGAGGCCACAAAGGCTCCACAGAGTAGCAGCATGAACAGGATACCGGAAGCGACTGGCTGCTCTGTGCTGGGCTTGGTCGCAGAGTCTTGTCGTCGCTGGGAAAGTTGCTTGGTTGGCTGGATGGTGGCAAAGGATTCAGCGGTATCGCCAAGATAGTCTGCATCATCAACTCCAGGCACATTGATGAACCTGTCCCAAGGTTGGTCTCCAATAGCCAGATGGTCCATCTCCAGGTTAAAGTCGGTGAAGCCAGTACTGCTCGGTGCGGCACTCATGGCCGGAGCAGCCGGGCTGGTTGCCTCAATTTGTTCTCGGTACCAATTTATCTGACCACGTAACTGAGAAGTCTCTTTTGTGTGGTTGCAGATCAAGTCTTCTTTCTCCAGCTGCATGGCTTGAATCCTGGCGTGTGCTTTGCTGTGTTCCGAGATGAAGAACTGTTTNTGGCTTTCGGTCGTCTCTACTTGGAGGCGGAGTTGATCGATTTGCTGGTGAAGAGATAGAAGCTTGGTCTCGAGGTGCTTTTCTTTCTGCTCGAGATTCTCAGTGTGCTTCTTCTTTCGTTGGCGTGAGGCGAGANNCTGTTGTTGAAGTCAGTATAGTATGGCAGTTGAAGTTCAGGCAACTTACGCTGCTTCTCTGTTCCTGAGCAGACGCTTCTGGGCCTTCAGCTGCTTCATCTCGTCCTCATCAGTGCAACCCTCAATCAAGTCGTCAATGTTCTCTAGGGTGATCTCGGAAGGGATGGGGATCTTTGCATTTTTTTTGCGAATGCCGTCGCGAGTATCACGTCTGAGAAGAGGTTGGTGACGAGGCTTGATTGGCTTCACATACGCTGACTTGAGTGGCCTATTCGGTCCAGTCATATCCATCCAGTCAGCGTGTGCTGGTGGTGACAGAGACGCTTGCGGTGAGCTCGACACATGGTGGGCTTGAGCCAAAGGGTGAGGTGGAAATGAGGCTCGGTCTGATGGTAAACTACTAGGGAAGGGCGAATTCTCGTACTTTGCTCCTGGGTAGCCTTCGAAGCCGGTAGTAGCCACAGAAGTCGTCGGCGACATCATCCATCCTTGAGGAGTATAGACTTGTGAATGATCATGCTGGACATAAGCACTACTGTCGCCTCGATGATACGCATTTGACGAATCGAATCCAGCACCAGGATATATTTGCTTGTGATCCCATGAGGAAGCGTCGTTGACAGAGCCAGAGTTCGTCGCGACAGAATCTTTGCGGAAGCTGTGGCTCGAAGAGTTGATCGACATCATGGCGACATTATTGATGGATTGATCTCCGTTGGGTTTGTTGTCTCGATAGTATTCTGAGGGTTGATTTGATTGTTGAGGTGTGTCGTCATTTAGGTGATTCGCATTCATGTCATAACCAAAAGGGTGAGGATGTGAAGATTGGAAAGCCATAGCGGGGAATCCTGTTGATATCCGCTGCGGATGCGAACCTTGTTCGGGCAAGAGGCGGTGAGGGTTGAGACCGTGGTATGATGATGGTGTTGTCCAGACACAGCAGCACCGAGTCAGAAGAATGGGTATGCGCTGCGGGTAGAAGAATATTTGCAAAGCGTAATGTATTTATCGTGTGCTTCGTCAAAGGGGGAAAAGAGCGTGCTTCCATAAGAATACTTTCATGTGGTGAATGACCGCGTCAAAAGGGCAGAGAGGTAATCGGCATATGAAGAGCAGGTTGAAAAAGTAGCTATGCACAAGCACGATAAGGCTGTCATAGCCCGATCAGTGTGAGTACTGTGCTTGTCGCTACTGCCCCACGTAGCCAGGAAATCAGGGGATTATTTGCTGAGAGCGCATGCGATTATTGGGAGAGCGAGAAGAGCCTGCACCCCAAGGGGTTGGGAGCTCAAGAAGATGAGTAGTGTCGTGCAGACTTGGAGGATGCACACACCGATACGGGAGCATGCCGGTTCGTGCGATTGCAACAACAACAATGATACTACCTTACCTGGCCGAGCCGCCGCTCCATCAGGTCTTTCCAAGACCGTGACACGGCATGCGGGATGCGATATACCTGTGACTGCGTGGAGACGCGGCCCTCGCCCACGCCCTTTCAGGCCGCGGCGCGAGTGTCATCCATGGGCCTAGCAAGCCCTTTCCCTCACAAGATCACGAAGGTATTCGAGTAATGCGGGCATGCGTGCGCCTCGTGAGTCGGGCATATTTGCATGGAAAGAGGCGGTGCGGGCTGGCCGTGGATTGGTCAGCGCAGGTTCGCAGCAGGTCAAAGCGACCAGCCACTCCATGTCGACTTGATCCGAGAGACAAGGTCCACAACCGAGATCACGAGTTTCGCATGCATGCCGTTCGTCCACTGTGCATGTCCTTTTGCCCTTTGAAGGATCTCCGTCCGCCGCGGCAGTTCGCAAGGATTGCTACAGCGACTTGGATGTGCTGAGACAATCTGATTGAGGGCTTCGGCTTCTCTTGCATGTTGAAAGTGAGTTTGCGTAGGCAGCGACGACCACCTGCATATTTGCCATGAGTCCGACGATCGCGCCTTCCAGACATCATGTAAGACTTTGCTGCACGTCTAATTCTTGAAGGATCGCCAAAACTCACCACCTGACCCTGATACGGCGGCTGCTGTTCGACTCTTGAGTTTCGCAACACCTTTAGCCGCGCGCAGTAAGCGAGCAAGTTGGGCAGTAAGAGGGAACCGCCAGTTCGCACCTTCAACCGCGTCGGATGCAAGGACAGAAGACCCGCTTCGAACCAGACAAAATCTTCTTCCCGTCGGTGCTTCCGAGCGCGGTATTGCTTCAGCCACGATCGGTGCACATCGCGATGGGTGCGTACAGCATTTCCTTCGCAGAAGGAGAAATAATACGAGACGCGCATCTCGTTGTCACACATTTGGAAACAGACAAAGGAGAAAAACCCGTTTTCTGATTTTCTGGTTGGATGGAAAGGGCCGCTCCCTTCCCTTCCCGCAGCCCGCTCCGCCCGAAACCTTGAGTCGTTGCTGCCAAAATCAGCAACTTCGACCCCTCGTCCGTGTCTACTGCTGATGACAGGACTTCTCTTTCGAGCTGAGAATATATTCAGCCTTCTTTCGCTTACTCGCCATCCTTCGAGCTTTTCCTTCTCTTGATGCCCGAAATGCCTTCAGATGACTCGAATCTTCTTATCACGAAGACAGATTTCTCCCTGTCCCCGAGCCCTCTGCATGACCTTCACTCGGCCAATCGCAATGTTACTTCCATGTTGTGTCTTGGGTCGTAACAACATCATTGGACGACGAGCTGGAAAATGATTTTCCTTTCTTTTGTGAATACTTGACCCCTTGGTAACTCCTGCTTTTGTGCAACGGGATGGGGGCTCAACATCTGGTAAGCTAAAGTTTTTGTGGTCCAGAAGATCTGTTTCCTCACAAGCCCAAGCCCATGCATAACGATCTTTCATGGTGGCTTTGTTTGTTTAATTGTTTGTTGCTGCCTTTTCTCTACCCACCCTGTTCACGCGGCACGAAAAGAGGCAGTTTAGGCAAGTATGGTTGGGCTTTGATGCCCAGCTCGGTCATCGCTCATGGAGATGGATGTCGTTCAGGTGCAAGCTCAGATGATCAAGCACATGAGCAAGGTAACACGACAAGATCGTCACGTTACCGCGCATGCCACGGGTCTTGTGCAACCAAGCTGTCAAAAGTTCGGCAAACAAGAAAAGTCGCTCGCTTGGTGGCACATCAACATCACCTTCTATCTTCTTCATCTCCTGTATCTGCTGCCTTCCATACTCCTGTTGCTACATCTACTGGTCGAATTTGCAAACGTTTCGAACAAGAAGCAGAGGTGACACCACCATAAAACTCAATACGAAACTCGAGGCTCAAGCAGCAACATCCGAAGAGTAACAAAAGCACCATCGTGTCGCATGCCAGTAAGAGAAGCAGATAGGCCACGGGGACATCTGACCGTCGGATAGCAGCATATTCAGCATCGCGGCAATGAACATAATTGACACTTGGCAGGCCGGTTCCACTGTGACTGGAAGGTATGGTATGGGTAACAATCATGCAACATGCAAGCCGTACGAAAAGAAGCATATCGAGAAGTACGAAGATATCAAGACAAGACTACTGGACAAGCAGGTGTAGGCAAGATTTTACGGGTATTGCCTGACTGTTTCGAGATCTTTACTCATCTCACACCATGCTACATTGCCAACTACACGTTTGTTGCCTGGTGACAGAGCCAGCGAAGTTGAGTCATCTGGATCACCAACTTCTGTCATGGCTCGCTTCCCAGCCACGATCCATCGCGCAACTCATTCAGCTATATCAGCAGCTCTGATCAGTAATTATGGACCGACAGATATCCGCTGGTGTCCAAGCCGTATTTCTTGGCCACTAGATACATGTCTGCGGCGAAGGTGGTCCAGTCTTCTGGTTCAGGATCATAACCTATATCATACATGTCATGTATCAAGGTTTCGATCAATCTAGGCTCATCTTGGCTATCGAGTACGATGCAGTCGATCTGGTCCCGTGTCAGTGCTTGGAAACAAATCTGTGTTATCTTGAGTTACAGACCGACGGAGATTCCTCGATGATGCGATGAAAATATGACGGCGAGGGCGGAGTCGCAAGGGTAATCTTATGAGCGAAGATTGTCTGGCCACAACCATACGATATGATGACGTCGGAAAGCGACTGGTTGTTGAAGAATTCAGGAGGTGTGCTAGCCAATATTCCATCAGTCATTCAGATTGCTGCAATCAAACTCCAGTACCAACCTTGTAGGAGACGGATTCATCTTCGGTTCATAGTCTTTGGTCAGCGTAGTGACGGAACCATTACTCTCAAGCGCGCTCTTACCCACGTGGAGGTTGAAAGCCAGGGCAGATTCGCTGTCGAACAGTATCCCTTCAGTGTATTGCTCGACAAATCGCCGGTCTTGTAGTAGATCTGTAAGATGCATCTTACAATGCTCTATAATCGAGCGCTGTAAGTTTTTGTCGGCAAACTGGAAGGCAGTAGGCCCGCAGACCCTCGCTATGATGAACCGAACAAACTCGTCTGCATTGCGGGAGTAATCGTGAGATAATCTAGCCTTGAATGCATGAGAAGTCTTGCGACGTAGCTGCGGAAGGTCATATTTGTCGGCGAGTATAAACGTATCAACCAGCATTGCTAGGGACCTCTCGTCCGGATGAGGCACGGAGTAGCTGAGTGTGTCATCGCGAACGTACATTGATCGTATCATCTCGCGAATCATCTCAGGATCGTCTTCATCTCCTAGATCAATGATAGAGCTTGAGGCGACCTGNCAGACATGTCAGCCAGTCCCATATCGGCATCGATATTCTTCACATACTGTGAACAGGCCAAGAAAAGCTCTTGCAAGATATACAGAATGTTCCGCAAGGATAATCTTGTGTGCGTACAATCTATTCTCGCCGTACTTGACAACGACATCTGAGAACTGTTTGTTGTTGTAGAAGCGGGCTAGATCGTTTCGATCTTTGCTAGAACCCATTGTGGCGATGATGGAGGCGGCGATGAGTGCAATCTGGGATGGAAGATACTTGAGACGGAAATTGGGAGAAAGCGGTTGTGCGAAAGTGATTAGCGAAGGCAGGCGCTCTCTCTCTCTGCGGGATCAAGCAACTGGGGCAAATCAAGCAGGTGACAGGCAGTGCAGGCGGTGGTATCGATGATGTCGGTAAGGAAGGTGGTGTAGATGGTGTCGCAGCCAGCAGGGTTGATGTTAGAGGACTATTGGTGGAGTTCTTTTGCAGTTGCTCGATGATGGAAGGGGCGAGCAAGTATGACTTGTACAGCTTAGAGAGCCGAATTGGGATTGCCTAGTGTCGTTGTCATGGATCAACAGACTCTGTTTGTGATTGTTGTCATGGTCGCTTAGTAGAATTTGCTTGTACTTGTTGTTTTGTCCGCTCAATGTGCTTTGCCCACAATTGTTATTGTGACGACTCGATAAGCTCCCTGGTTCTGCTCTGCAGAGTCTAGATAAAGTAATCATCTCTACACAATCTCGGTGGACAGTCCTTCCATAAAGAGACAAAGTGTGCAGCTTCATAGCGAGACTCGAGAGACTCTTGTACAAGAGGAGGTAGTCTTGGAAGTATGTCTTGTCTTTGTCCCATGCGGGTGTCGATCTGAGGGCTATCTACATAGCTCCCTGTGGTATATCCTTGGGTAAAAAGCAACAAACGCCCATATGGAAAACCCGCTAATGCTCCTTAAGTCTCCCTAGTAAGTATGCAACATCATCATCATCATCATCTTTTTCTTCCTCTTCAAGCACCCATCTTCAACTCGTAGAACTCGGGATGTGCGGTCTGAATCATGGTGGTGACACGTTCGACCTCTTCAGCCAGGCCCTGCACGTTGGCATCCCACATTCTCAATTCTCTGGTGCCAATGCTAGCGCCGCCCGTCTTTACACCTTCGCCATTGGTAGTGTCGTTGCTGAAGTGAATCAAGCCGTCGATCTGATCAATGAAGCCAGAAAGACGACCTTGCTCAATCATCTGTGCAGCATAAGCTTCGGCACGGTCTGCATCGACACCCAACATGGTTCCAAGGTTTGTGACGGGGATATTGGAGTACAGCCTCGAGACACCGAGGAGGTTGTGTTCGAGGACTGCCTTGTCGAGGACGGTGCTGCCATCGGCAGTCTTTGCCATCTGGTGGGGTTGTAGTTTCTCGGCGAAGGCCTTGACTTCTGCGGGCGAGAGCACACGATCCAAAAAGATGTTTTCCAGAATGGCGAACTCGTCGCATTGTGGCGTGCGGTCGTCCTTGTACAGGCGGGCGAGTTGGCGGGCGCGCTTTGGACCTGCAGGGGCGAGGACGGCGCAGATGATTGCAGCGGAGAGAGCTTGTAGACGTTCCTCCTCATCAATGACAGGCTCGAGTGAAAGGTTCAGGTAGCTGTTGGAGGCGTCGAGGAAGTTGCGCTGGGAGTCTGAGATGCGAGCTTGCGAGAGCTGGAATTGGAGTTTTGTGGCTTGGTCTTGGACGTTGTAGATAACATTCTTGACTCTGTTGAGGTAGGAGAGGGCATTTGTGGGGTCGTCTTCTTCTAGGTAGCAGCGGGTGATGCGGATCCAGATCTTTGCCTTGTCGTCGTCGGTAACGTGGCGTTGTGATGAGTCAAGGGTAATTTGCTGTAAGACCTTTGCGGACGAGGTGAAGTCTTCATTCTGCTCGTAGCTGTCGGCTAGCATGAGTTTGATGGCGCTATCCTGTTCCTCGAAGGAAACGACTTTGGGAGCGAGAGCTTCGATAGCTTGGGTGCCGACGGCGATCTTGATGTCGGCATCGGGGAGAGAGGCGAGCTTGTCGACAAAGGTTGCGAGCAGAGGACGCGAGGTGACAATGCCGACCGAGTCGCCGAGAATGGATTGGACGTATTGGATCAAGTTTTCGGATGGCTCAGCGGACTGTGAGAGGATCTTGTCGAGCAAGTCGTTGTAGCCTTGGACTTTCTTGTTTGCTTGAGCATCTTCGAGTGCGAGGAGAGCATCCGTCACTTGGGACGACGCCAGTGTGCCTGCCATTTTGAGAGATGGTGTTTGAACAAAAGAGAGGAAGGCGCGATCGGATAGAGTCCTATAGGCAGGTGAAGGGATGGTGCGAGTGTTGAGTGATGATTGATTGGGCCGACGTCACTGCCTCTTTGAGTAAATCTGGGGATTTTGTGGTCTGTGCGTCAACAATCGATAGGAATGAGCGAAGGGCAACAGCGAGGGCACCTTCCTGCCGTCGCGCATCGTCACATCATGTCGTCGTCCAACGGAATCAAGACGGAAGATGGCGCCTTCATCAAGCCCGAGCACGAGGCCGACGAGTTTGAAGATACGGGCGAGTGTCAGATGCCGCGGTCAGAGGAGGAGCAACAGGCCTGGCTCTGCAGACTGCCCAAATGGCTCTGGACTGCCTGGGCTGACATCGCCGACGACGAAGAGATTGAAATCGGCAAAGTGCGCGTTTACAACCAGCCAAACCCGGACGGCACCCAGAAGATCCAGATGAAGCTGCACGACCTGCCCAAGCACCGCGATGTTCCTAAACTCTACGACCTGAGCAGCTCCCGCGGCCAGTACAACAACACCGTCGTCTTCTCCGAGCGCGACCAGCCCGGCTTCAAGGCCTGGAACCCGAACCGTGTGAGGAAGGACACCAGAGGAATGAACTACAAGGTCAACAAGAACAAGCCCTACACTTCGTCCATTCCCAGTATGTTGCTTTCCAGCCTCGCTCGCTCATGACATCCTGCTGACCCTACTAGAANNCAAACCGCCCTCGCAGGCTTCGTCAAGGCTGAGATGGCCGTCACCGCCGTCGAGAACGACGAGTACCGCCGTCTGACCGACCGCCGCTTCATGGAAATGTTCCAACCCAAACGCACCACCCGCTTCGAGTCCGGCGCCGATGCAACCGTCCACTCCAACACCCAAGCCAACCAAGCCTTCAGCAGCTTCATCAAGGCCACACAAGCAAAGAAGCCAGTCAAGAAGCAACAAGAAAAGGCTGTCCGCGTCAGTCAGGAAGAACTCTTCGATCTGCTCACAGACTGCTTCAAGCAATACCGCTACTGGTCGCTCAAGGCTCTCAAGCAGCGCTTGCATCAGCCTGAGGCTTTCATCAAGCAAAATGTCGAAAAGATTGCCACTCTCATGCGTAGTGGTAAGTTCGCCATGAATTACAAGCTCAACCCTGAATATGAGAGGACCGTCAACATCGACCCTACCAACGTCAAGGAAGAAGTCGCCGACGAAGCTGAAGACGATGATGAAGATGACGAAGATGAAGACGACGACGATGGTTATGAGGATGTCAAGATGGAAGACTCTTGATTCACTCCTTTTTCTCTTGCTTTTCATCCACGACATGCCCTTACTCATTGCATCTATGGCGTTCTTTGACTTGCTTTTGGAAATTTGCATGCACTCTGGCGTTTTGGTCTAGACGACCTCTTGCTCGTACTTTCAGAGCCACAAATTCACTTCAAACAAGCTCTTTGATTTAACTTTTCCTTTCATCATCAAATACCCACCATACAACATGAACTTTTTTTCCCTCTTTATCGCCCAACCATGTCTTCTGCAAATCTTGATTGGGCCAAGGACCCGCCAATCACCCCTATATGAGCCTTGCAGTCGCACGTCAATACCCAGCCGATGCGATGAACCTTGTACAATGCCAGGTCTGGAAGCTCTCCTGGTACTCGGTACACTCTTCATCTCTGAAAGCTAAGGTCTCGGTTTTTAGCCGGTGAACCAGCCTTATGCAATCTTCCGCCTTGTTTTCTGGCTGCACATGCATACTTCGGTACCAAACGTGTAGACAGCTGCAATGCAGTTCTATGTCTCATGACTCCAATCTGGACGTCTGCAATGCACGATTCACCTTTGTCCACATCGAGATCCGATCATTGAACCCAATGCTGGATGTATGCAATGGATGCATGTCCGTACTCGGACTGACTCGTATGTCCTGACATGTAGTACAGCTGCAACTTGATACTTCTTTGGCGGCGAAGAACCGGTGAACATGTCTTTGGGTTGCAGAGATGAGATGGTTATACCTAGTCAACTCTTCCAGCCACCTTTAAGTTCTCCTGGTTTGAGCGGGCAACCCTGCTTCCAAGTTGTCCGGCTCGGAAAAACACAGACTTATACCTCGTCACCCACCTCGAAGCTGAGTCTTGCTTGACAAACGCTGTAGCTTACCATGCCTGCAGGAAGAGGAACGGTAGAGACCCAATCGCACAGCATCACGGTGCAATTACTGATAATGCCTTGCTACTGTTCACCAACATTCCAGACTTTTGATCAAGTCATTCGACTTTAATTGCATGATAAGAATCAGAACAAAAGGAGTAAGCTGATGGAACAAGAAAGACGGCAATCTGATTTGGTACTCTTGCTCAATCCGTACAAGAAAACTTCAACGAACGTTTATTATGTTTCTTGAACTTTTTGTCATGGGGTCTTTTCGGCTCTCTTTTGTCTCTGTTGCACCTCCCTCGAGTACAGTTCCATCCAAAGGTTGTCATTGACATCTTTATCAACATTGGTATCTTAGCATGACATTACATACGTGATCACATCAGATTCCCACATCTCTTCGTGGAGCTCACACAGATTGTTCAACATTGTAAGCGGGAAGCTGGTGCTGTGAACCTGTGACCTGAATTTTCAGCTGAGAGAATGAGAACGAGGTCGGCAGTGTCTTGTGGATCATTTCAGGCGCTGGAAAAGTGATGGTGTATATGTTACGTGTCGATTCAAAAATCAGCGTTATTTTCCTTTTCTGATTGATTTGCTGCTCAAGAAGCACATCAACAACGCGAGAGACGTGTCATTGAGTGTTTGTTGGTTTGGATCTGTAGCAGAGGAGGATCCTTGATCTGCGCGTGAAAATGGCCGTTCCTGGGATGTCTCATTCACACATTCTGGAAAGGCACAACGGGTTGTAATGCGGTAGACCAGACTGAAGTAATCTGCAAGTGAAGACAACAACTTATAGATATATAACCTGTCATGCTCACTTACTTGCGCGCAGGGGAAGGCCACGCAAGTGAAGGTCAAGTGAGCCAAAACAACTCTACATATACAGCAAACCTCGCAACTCCCTCAAGCAGCAGTCACCACCAGAGTGTCCCGTGGCCCGTTTGGTAAGTCCCTGATCTCTGGTCAAGCGGTACCTGGGTTCGAACCCCAGGAGAAGCCCACTCTTTCCGCCACAACCACATAGGTTCTTTTCCCCCAGGCAATGGTTGAGAGTCCCGGCTGTTGCTTCAAAATAAACCCCCTCGACGCACTTTGTAGATCCTCTCCCCACGAGGTCGCTAGTGTGGATTTCTCTCCCTCCTTCGGGAGCAGTTCTTTTGCTCGATGTTGGTAGGAGAGACATAGCTTTTTGAGGTGTGGATGGACTCTGCCGGGTGTCATCAGCTTGCTCTTCGCCATCAATGGCAACTGGAGTAACCCTCAGAGCGGATAGTACTTGAGTAAGTAACTCTGGCTCATTAAAGGTGAATGGACGTCACATCCAGCCTTTTTGTAGTGCCGCCGTAGTCTTGGTTTTTCTTTGGCAGTCGGGTAGGGCCGTTTTGAATCCTTATAAAGGAAGAACTTGTGACGGAGACCAAATGATCCCGAGCCAGAGCATTCGATAGTACCAGTTCCTTGGTGGTTGAATGCACCAAGCCGAATAGTGCTATGTTTTTCGTAGCCCTGCCATTAAAACCTCAACAAGCAGAGAGAACCAAATCCCGCTCAGAATGTGAAACTCCTGAAGCTTTTATATCCAGTGTTCGGTCGGGAACCTTCTTCGATTTGAACCTCGGAGCGCACGAGTATAGTTTCCGGGTCGTTTATCAGCGAGTCCTTCATGCTATCGTTGTCTCTCGAGTTTCGATCCTTGGCGCTTGGACACGAGATTTGTGTCTTATGATTGTAAGGCGCAGGAGATCTCATGGCGAAAGATTGCTGCTCGCTATGAGGGTTGAGAGTTCTCTTCCCGGTGCGGGAATGGTGGGTGCCGAAGAAAGCGATGGACTTGACGAGAGGTTTGAGGGAAGGAATAGAGCGGACGATGATGGCGATGCCGGTTTCGACGATCGACCAGAGGACGACGTTGGAGACTTTGACTGCNGGGATGTGTAAGCTGATGTTCATCAGACCTAAATAACTTTACTAACATGCAAGATCATGTGTCGCAAAGTAAGAGTCCAGGTACTTGATACGAACAATGGTCGCCGCACTCGCTCTGTGACACAGTCAGTTCTAGACATCAGAAAATAAAGGGCCAGCCACGTACAAGAAACCGAGACTCAGCATTGCCGCGACTGTAAACTTGAGCCTCTTTCTCATCTGCAGATTCCACAGGATGACGAAAGGCATAACAGCACAAGCAAAATCGGTCGTGATTGAGCATGCCGTTACAAAGTACGATATGTGTACAATGATGGCCTGACTTGAACATGTGCCTGCGGATGGATCCCAGGTTGCTTTTAGAGGTTTGCATTGCAATAATACTGTCATCATGGTGACGAATCCGTAGCTCGCACTGAGAGCCAGGATAGCGTAGAGGGTGTACAATAGGCGTTTGGCTATGACCAGACGGATAAGAGCGACGCAGATACTACTTTTGATAAAGATGAGACTAGCGCAGTAGAGTATCTGGAACGTCATGAGAGCCNNTGGAAGAAGGTCAACTGAGTTTGCAATGTCTGGCAGCAGATGTCGTACGCGCTTGATCTTTGAGTAATCACCTTCATCAAGATCATAGTCGTGTTGGCCTAAGCCTGCTTTACAACCGCAGAGGACTGCGGCAAATGTCATGATGCCAAATATCNNTGTAGCGGAATCAGCAAAGCTCAACAAAGCGTGAGCATCAGAGAGTAGTACCGTGCCAATGAGCATGAGCCAATCGTCCGAGCCAAATCCTTTGATCGATATTCTAGTACAGCATCGTAGTGTAACCAACACAAAGCAGACGACGCAGAAGAACGTGGTCACAGCGAACAGCGTGAGGCACTGGCCTTCTAACGTATCAGAAGCCATGGCTTGTCGATATGGATGACGAAGAAAACAAAGAGCAGAGGGGAGTCACAAGTCGAGAACAGAAGCCCTACCCACACGATGTGGAAGGACCTATCATTAATGGTGATCCAGATTGAAGTTCCTCACCAAGATCCACATGCATCGGTTCATGTGCCGTGTTGTCATGTACCTGGTTGAAGATAGCGTACCAGAATGGAGGCCTTTCTAGGTTGAACAATGTCGTCAGTGTATCCGGTGCTCAGTCCTTCGATAATTGACAACCATGAAACGAGCTGTCAATCTAGGCGTCAACACCAAATGCCGAGAGGTTGAAGCCTCTATTGCAAGACATTCAACAGAAATACCAGGGTTGGGCTGCGAATAGGTGCGGGAGGGTTTCAAGAACAATCTGTGCTCGTGTGTTGACGTTTCGAGAAGTCGAGTGTTGACAGTTCACGACTGAGTTTTGAGCATGGAAATAACGAACAGCGTCCAAGCAGATACTGCACAGATCTGGGGCCACGCGGGTCGAGCGGTTTGAGGGAAACAACAGGATTCTTAGGCGTGCCTTCCTGCGTCAGATTCATTACGCAAGATCTATCGTGATCAAATAGTTCAAGAGGATTCAAAGACTCATTGTCTGACTCGATGAGGCTCATAGAATAAAGTCGTCTTGTTCCCTGACCGTGGCATATCCGCGCGATGCGTTGTCGTCTTGTTACCCAGTCTACGCAAGTCGAACGACCACTCCTCACCTGCAATCTACGGCTATAGGCTGGTATTCGCCAAGCCATGGGACGAAATGCAAGGTTGATAATGCGTGTTTGGCTGCATCACAATGCGACTGCGACTTTGAGGCATCTCGTCGAGGTGCGCCGGTGAGCATGAGGGTGTTCGCCTGTCGCGACGTTTGCTGCCACTCCGATGACGGCAACCTTCAAAGCCGAGGTCGCTGCTACAGCAGCTGAACACCTCTTCGACCTTCCAACAAATCTCGACAACAGCAACGTTGCTCATATTAGTATGTGAAACGTACATCGAGGTGTATGACTTCTATCGACTGGACAGGATACAGCTCGGGTGATTTCAGTAGGCTTTTGGGACCACATTTGGTATGCTGTCAATCTCAGCCGTTCCTCCCGCGTGTGAGGAAGGTACAAGCGCAGCGCCGATCCACTCGGAGCGAACAAGCGGCGATGAGGTTTGTATATAGGCATAACGCCTGACAGCCACTGTGACTTCTTGATTCGTTTTCAAAACATCTATACTACCCACAATGTCAACACAGAAGGACCAGAAAATCTTGATCATCGGCACCGGCACTTTCGGAGCCTCTACAGCGTACCACCTGGCAAAGCGAGGCTACACGAACATCACTTGCATTGATAAATGGCCATACCCAAGTCTCGATTCTGCTGGTTATGATATCGTACGCACCACCTCGTTATCTTGCACCTGCCTCCACTAACCTTTCTCTCTTACCCTCACAGAANCAAAAATCATTAGAACAGAATACGATGAACCACTTTATGCAGAAATGGCCCTGGAAGCAATACAAGCATGGCGAGATGCTCTCTACAAGGATATATTCCACGAGACCGGATGGATTTTAACCACCCTCGGCGACCCGAAAGCCGTAGCTCACCTTGAGAAATCTTATGAGAATCTCAAGGCGAAAGGGCAAGCCCATAATATCGACTTCGTCAAAGGCAAAGATGAGATTGCAAAGTATGTGCCTCAGTTGAAGAACGCTCACGACATCGACAACTGGAGAGGTCTCTGGAACAAGCAAGCCGGCTGGGCGCACGCAGCAAATGCAATCAAGAAGATTGCCGATGAAGCAGGCAAAATGGGTGTACGCTTCATCTCCGGAGCGGCGGGCGAGATGGTATCCCTCGAGACCTCTGGCAACAAACTCACTGGAATAAAAGTCAAGTCTGGCGAAACATACATCGCAGACCGCTACATCCTATCAACTGGTGCCGCCTCTCCTGCCCTCCTTCCCGAGCTCTCGACTCAACTTTGGAGCAAATGCTGGACCTACGGTCTCCTCGAACTCACCGAAGAAGAAGCAGCTCAATTCAAGGACATGCCAGTCGTTCTTAACCACGAATTGGGTTTCTTCTTCGAGCCTAGCACCGAAGGCCGCCTGATCAAAATCTGCAACGAGTTCCCTGGATACCAGTGGCAAAAAGGAGAATACACCGATCCCGCGACAGGGAAAACAAACAAGTACAGTATCCCACGCTATGCATCCGAGTACCCCAAAGACGGCATCCCAGAAGAAGCCATGAACGCCATAAAACACTTCATCAGCACTGTGATCCCACAATTCGAGGGCAGAGAAATCAAAGGTGCAAAAGTGTGCTGGTGTACCGATTCGCCGGATGCGCACTATCTCATTGATACGCACCCCAAGTATCCTGGTGGAGAGTTGTTGTTGGCTACAGGTGATAGTGGACATGCGTTCAAGATGCTGCCGATCATTGGAAAGTACATTGCCAACGCGCTCGAGGGAAATTTTAAGCCAGAGTGGAAGTACGGAAATCGTGAGCATTTGGATAGTGGGAGACCTGGAGATGAGGTCAAGGATCTAGAAGATGTTGGCATCGGAGAGCCTCAAGCTAGGTTGTGAATTCAATAAGAAGCCTCCTATTGGCCTCCCATACATCTCTTGTATAAACATATCATTCCATTACTCGACAAAGGCCTTGGTAGCGTCAATCGGCCCTAATTCGTTAGTGTCTTGGCTACAATCATGGCAAGAGGCCAAATCTCGACGTCCCTATCACTTCTATGACAATCCACACAATAAAGGTCATACTGCTTGACCGTCGCTGAGCAACGATGGTAAACTACCACTGTTCGATCCCGCATCTTGATGCCCTTGACTAACATCGTAAACTAATCTCAAAGGCCATGACCGATCAAGAATGGAAAGCCAATCGAGAACGACTCCAAGAAGAGCGACACAAACTTCGTCTCCGCGCCTACCACGATGAGATCCAAAATCTAATCTACGCCATTGCACTTTTGTTCAAATGCATCGCTTTCTATGTTGCCGCCAGAGGCATCCAAGTTCTGTGGGCCGCAAGATCAGCGCATGTTGAGATGGAGACCACTTTGGCAATCGCAAGGGCCGCTGCGAGAAAGGCATGATTTGTTTGCTTCGGGAGTTTATATTGCAACGAGCGCTGAGAACTTATGGTACAGTGAAACCCAGTTCAATTCCTCTTTATTTATTCTTATCGTCTGGCTGATATCAGACCCGGTTCTGTAGAGCCTGTACAGATAGAAGTCAGAGCGAAATGAGAAGACGAGCACATTCGACTGACGTAGAGACGGAGCTGTGTGACAAGCTCACAGTCATTTTTCTGACAACTAGCTGGAGAGTGACTGAAAAGACAGTATGCACCATTGCCAATCTCTCTATCGAGTGTTGAGTCTGGGCCTCTTGTCAAGAGAAGAAAGGCAAACGCATGTGCAATGTCATGTTGTGCGTATACCATGACGATAGTCGGTCATGGTATGTTCCGCATGTGACGCGTTATCATGCAGCAGCATGCTGCAGGATGAGCGGTCGGTGGACCCAGTGTTGTGTATATCAGATAAGATGTGTCTTGCTTGACAGGCTCGAAAAGGCAGTGGAGCAGTCGACGTCAACGTCCCAAGTGGGACAGAATGAGAAAGCATGGTATCGTTTAGACGGTTATGCATATCATCTGGCATAACCTCTTCTAGATGTCCGATGTGAACTCGACTAGACCGGGTATAAGTGTTAAAGCTCCTCTCATGGAAGCTGGAGTCTTCTCGGGAGCTGCTCTGCAACCGCAAGAGACTGCGAGAATTCATCACGCGGCGTAAGTGTACCGCATGTATATGGTCCAATCACCGGCTGATATATAATGGATGAGTCCACGAGACCATGTCGTGAGCTTAGACTCAGAACGGATCCTGGGTGTCGTATGCCTCTTCAAGGCTTGGTGAGACCGGGTTGTTGGTTTTTGGAAGAGGAGCAGGGCTGCTCTGACTGGGCGACTGGAAGATATCATGATCTTTGAGTCGCTGTGTCAGAATTACTGTTCGAGGTATTGGAGAGGTAGGGTCGAGACGGCCCTCTGCTGTCTTCTTGATCCTTGACACGATATCCGTCATCTCTACGTCTTGCAGGGCGAGCATATATGAATCTTCGAATATCGGTGTGCATCCGAACTTGGAAGCGACAACTATGTCCAGAGCAGATATCGCTTTGGTGACCCTCTCGCCAACGGCGGATTCCTTGGCAATCGAGTCCAGGCCGCCACGCGTGTTTACCATATGCCGTAAACCCGGTTGATGAACGGTAGCAGCGATACGATGGTTACCAGCCATACTCTCGCAGAAGGATATGAAGGTCACGGCAACCAGCGTTCCGTCACTGCATGCGCGTGAAGGGTTTGAAAGCGATTTGTTGAGAAACTCAACACACTTGGACGAGAGCCAGCGGAAGAAGAAAGGATTGCTCTGAGGACTGAACTCGTGCGTTTCAGGAAGATGCACACACGACATGGCGAGAGCGGCGAAGAACAGGGCAGGATCGTTCGTTTGTACGGACAGCGCCATTGGCCATTCGATGTCTTCAAGTGCTTCCTGCCGGGTTTTGCCTTCTGGCTCAAAGCTCTCGGCCACAATGGCTGGAGCTATAGCATATTTGACTNNGAGACTTGGTTAGCGACACAAACAAGCGTCGAGTTGGGCACTGAAAGTCTTACAATAACTCGTAATGATGCCGTACGGAGGCTTCCATGGAACTGGCAAGGTAGAGAATGGGTCACGTTGAGATCCGATGGTCAATCGAAGCGGCGCATCCGCAAGGAGGTAGGCATTCAACAAGGGAGCTCTGAGTTGCCGTTCGCCTGTCGCTGTCCTTCGATAGATCCTGGATTCGCGAATCGCTCCAGACTCGTCATCCACAACTCGTCTGTTTGAATTTTCACGAGATGCCGCGGGGTCCTGATTTGGAAACTCTTGAATCCATCTGATAGCCACACGAAGTGGTTGATTCGCAGGATTTTTGCGAACGCCTGCAGGGTTGTAGAAGACTATGGGTGGAGTTGACCGGTCCATGATATTATACGGGGGATCCGATGGAAGCGATATTAATGCGGGGTGATAGGCGGATATCAGGCATGCGATGCCATGTTCAGACGGTGGTCTACTGTCCCAAGGAGCGTGTAGTCACTGCTTGAATCGTTGCCCTAGGGTTATTTTTGGGAGGGTAGTCAAGGAAGCAAGCGAAAAGAAGTCGTGATCGGTGGTTCGAAGTCACCGACACGGCAAATGCGCTTGATTCTGGTGGTGGGGTCCAGACTCGATTCGAATTCTGGGGAAGCCCTCGGTGTGTGTTGTAACGAGCTGATCTGCTTGTACAATGCTTCATACACATGCAAAAATCGGTCATTCTTCCTCACACTCAGGTGCTGACTTTGGTCTGCCCATTGTGACAACACAGAGCAGCAGACATGGTCGCTGAAAGTTCAAAGATCAAAGGCGTTGAATGCATCCACGTTCCACCAGTCGGGCGTGCCGAGGAAGTGTCCAAATCTTACCGGGCTGTCACGTGCATCGCAACGTCGCGAAGAAGCAGTGCTATGGCCCGTGTGGGCTTGCTTTCTGACTCCACCATCTTTTTCCACTCCGCTCGAAGGAATTCGATAACTTCATGCAGGCGCGCCAGTTGTGGATTCGCGATATGTCGTGCTGATCTGACCGCACGTTTCGAGCCTCTGCGACCACACCTTCTGTAGTCTTCTTCGCTTCTATACGAGGTCAGAAATAGAGTCTCGTCTCACAGCCCGCGCCAGACGTTACATTTGACTTTCTCTTCAGAGCCTCGATGCTTCTTCGAAAACACGTGCCTACGCCATTTTTCAGAGACAGGCGCTCAAAGAAGACTTATTTTCGTGTCGAACTTCCATAAGGTTGGCCTTAGTTGGAGCGGTTCTGCGGTAGATGGAGTGGGCTTAAGCCTTGATGACGGCCCTTTCTACCTATTGGGATAAGTGATATGCGGACAAGACCGACGAACACACTCTATTGTCTTGACTATCCACTAGATGCTCGTGAAGAAGCACGTTTGTTCCCTCTACGAAGGGTTTTGCTGACCCAGATCTGTCTCTCCACAAATAGTCACAAAGTAGAGCTGGAGCATGGAGAGTCACACTCTCCGGCCGGAAGATCTTGTGCATAAGATGGATGCGATCTCTTGCAAGGTAATGCTCATACTACTCCCAGCGCTCCTCTCTATACCACTTCCGAAGAACACATCTATCATCTTTGTTCAAGTCACCCTGTTGAGTATTATACTGACATATCTCTACCTCCACCTCTTCGATCCTAATCATGGTCGGGTCTATCACTACCGCTGTACTGCTTGGACTTCTCCCTCTTGCCATTGCGGCTCCTATGAAAACAACGGGCAGTTCCAACCCAACACAAGTCATCTCTGTCGACTTTGCCGATCCTGATCTCCTACAAGTTGGCACTCAATGGTGGGCTTTCGCTAGCAACAACCACAAAACCATCGCCAAAGTTGGCGGTAGCTTGATCAATGTACAAGTCGCTCACTCTCCCGACTTTAACTCATGGTCGGTGACTGGATCCGATGCCTTACCTACAGTCGGTGCTTGGGTTGATCCAAACGCTGGTAACCAAGGTGCAGCGGTCTGGGCACCGAGCGTCAGCAAGAACAAGAATGGTCAATATATCATGACTTATTCTGCTGCTGTAAAAGGAAGTCCCGGCAAGCACTGCGTTGGTGCTGCCGCGGCTACTCAACCTCAAGGCCCCTATACGCCGCAAGCCACTCCTCTTGTCTGTCCGCTTGATCAGGGCGGCGCCATCGACTCGGACAACTTCATGGATGTTGATGGAACTCAGTATGTTGTTTACAAGATCGACGGTAACTCGATCGGTCACGGAGGCGTCTGTGGAAATACTGTCGCTCCAATCGTCAACACACCCATCATGCTCCAAAAGCTAGCAGACGACGGTGTTACTCCTGTTGGCAGCCCTGTCAAGCTTCTGGACCGTGGTGATCTTGACGGTCCTCTTATTGAGGCACCTTCTCTCATGCGTACCTCCAACGGCAAATACGTGCTGTTCTTCAGCAGCAACTGCTTTGCAACTTCGAAATACGACGTTACTTATGCATTCGCCGACAACATCAACGGACCCTACGTCAAGGCCGGTCCCATGATGGTGACTGGCACCGACAACTTGTACTCACCTGGCGGTCAATCAGTGGCCGCCGATGGAAAGCACATGATGTTCCATGCCGGCGATGTCGGTCCTGCGAACATGGGGTGGAGAGCTGCATACACACAGATCGTCACTGTCGACACTGCCCGCCATGTTGTATCGTCCTAGTTCGTTGATGATGGGAATTTAATGTCTCTCCTTTGTCTCGTATATACCTGTTCTTCAGCGAGGCGTTATAGCGGTTAGACCGATCTCAACGGGCATGTAGCGTTCGTATCTTTTGAAAATGTAACGATTCCTGCATAACGTCAACTTACAATGTCTGCTAAGCCTTTCTAAAGATGGAGAACCCATGGGGTATGTTTCAATATATGTATCGTTGCATCAGAGGCGGTATTGATCTGAGGATAGCCGGGGGCAGAGTTGGTTTCCTGCCTGATATCGCGATATGTCTTACAAGGATGAGGACAAGAAAAAGCAAGGAAGCGCAGTGCGGGTGAGCCAACCTGATCACACACGGCTGCAGCTCACCGGGTCCTCAACCATTGTCCGACAAACATATATATCGAGACCATGGGTCATTGATTCAAACAACCACCAGCATTTTTGCATCCACTCGTTTTCACGCAAGCGCCATGCTGCCAGCGACAAGTCTTGTTGTTTTGCTCCTGACTTTATGGTCAGGAACAGCCCTCGCGCAAACAGGACCTCAGAACGCGTCAGTACCCAATTGTATTCGAGCCTGCAATACACAAGCAATCAAAGCATCCAACTGCACATCGGAAGACCAGTACTGCCATTGCACAAGATATACAACCATTCTCGATAGCATCGTGCCATGCGTTCAACATAACTCAACCTGTGTAAACGGTACCGCGGATCTGCTCAGTACGTGTCGTGATAGCTTCATCATCGTTTTTACTGATGAAAGTAGCATTCGAGAGATTGTTCGACAACGTCTGCCAGAAGTTCAACTTGTCCGTTCCTACGAATGTAACTGGCAACGCGTCAACTCTCCCAAGTTCATCTCATACCCCCACGCCATACACGAGTCGGGCTTCTTCGGATGGCGCGTGGCCCTTGGAGACAACTATGTCAATCTTTGCCTTTGTGCTTACTGCGCTGTACTTTTGCATCGTATTATAGAGCTGTGTACTCTAGGATAATAGTAATGTCTAGTTCTTCAAGCTCGTTGGTTTGATGCGACAAGCTCGCGACCTCGGATGAAATCGCGCACACGTCATCTGATGTTCTGCCGGGCATGAGCCGTCATGTCAACCCCACCTTGCCCACTTGCACAGCTCCTTCTACACTTCTCCGATAACGATCTTGCCAAGAAGTGAGGAAGGATTCGGAGCTGAGGGTTCACAAGATGAATGAAGATTTGGGTGACTCACAGCAAGCTTACGAAGATGAGTGCAGCTCAACAAGGCCAATTGACTCATACCGGCCTCAATATACGGAGATTGCATACGACTGACCGGAAAGTGTCTGCGAAGCATGGTAGGTCCGGACCTCAACATGTACATGCGACAGGAGGTGCGGGTGCGACACAGTCATGAAAGAATATAAAACGGGCACACTGGGACTATCGAAGAGTCCTTCCTTCCCTAAGCTCCAACCTTGACTTTCGTCTTCGGCCTCGCTGCGCAATACTTTCTTCATCTCATCATCTCCATCATCCCTAACATCTTACTTGTCATCATGGCCGAGACAAACAGGAAGATTGCATTGATCACAGGAGGTTCACAGGGCATCGGCGCCGCTACTGCCCGCGCTCTCGTCGAGAAGAACTACTTTGTCGTCATCAACTATTCCTCCAATACGGATGCGGCTACCAATCTTGTCGCTGAGCTCGGCTTTGAAAACGCCGTAGCCATCAAGGCCGATGCCAGTCTTGTGTCGGATACTAGTTCTTTGATTGATACCGTTGTATCGAAGTACGGACGAATCCACGTTTTGATTTGCAGTGCCGCAAAGCTCGGCTTGCAAGACATCTCCGAGACCACCGAGGCAGGTTTCGACGCTCTCTTCGCCATCAACGTCAAGGGACCTTACTTCCTCGTCCAGGTCAGCCTTCTTGTTTGTCCGTGGAGGGTGTCCCTTCTTTTGCTGACTTCTTTACAGAAAGCCCTCCCGCACATGCCTCCAGGCTCACACATCGTCCTTATGTCGACCACTCAGTGCCACGCCAGCACCGTAACGTCAGAGTACGTATTGTATACCATGACCAAAGGAGCCATCGAGCAGATGGCGCGCGTGTTGGCCAAGACTCTCGGACCAAAGGGCGTCTTCGTCAATGCCGTCGCTCCAGGCCCAACTGCCACGGACATGTTCCTGAACAGTGGAAGGCCACAATCAGTTCTGGACAAGATTGCGAGCTTCAGCCCACACAATCGTATTGGCGAGCCGAAGGACGTAGCAGAGGCTATTGTGTTCTTGACCCAGAACCAATGGGTCTCTGGTCAGGTCGTAAAGGTCAATGGCGGGATGGCCTGAGGCTGATGCTCTTGTTATCGAAGGAGATTCTGTCAGACTTAGTAGGAACTTCATACCTCCTGTCGCGAACACGAACTATCCATCTCGTCATTTTGTCGTTGTTGCCATTTCCACCAGAATACGTGCTAACATTCGGAAGCAGAGAAGGGTCAGATGTTGGCAAAACGACTGAGGAGCTGCGAACTCTGTTTACGCAAAAGTTGCTGCCTGATTATGGCTCAGCCACATGCAATATGAAGAGAGGCCATATTGTCCGCCCTTATTACCTGCTGAAAAGATTCTCTGATTAAACTTGGACACAGAGACGAAGTCCGGAATGGCCGCATGATCTTGCAGCGAGTTGGGTGGGTGTTTTCACAGTTCTCTTCCTCTAGCACGCAGCAGTGGAAAGGATCTCGACTGCTCTTCCATGAGGCTCTTGGGTAGCACTTGCGCCATCTTGTCAAACCAGTTCCTGACAACGAGCCACAATGGCTGGCGCAATTTATCAAGAGTGGTCTGATTTGCAAAGAAAGCGGTGAGATGACGTCGTGCGGCTCTCTCGGTCCAGATCCCGATTACCACAAGCGCAGATGACCACCCCCACTACAACAGGGCGCTGACGATTGTCCGCCTTCCGTCGCCAAATCTACTCTAGATTCGAGACTGGAAGCTGGTGCAAGAAGTTGCTGTTATTGAAAAGCAATTTTCCATATGGCCCTTCTTGCACAATATGCCCTTCCAGAATCCCGTCCTTGGATGAACGTCTAAGGTTGCCTCATCATGCCAAAGACAGATCAGTCAAAATTGTGTTGCTTCGAGCAAGTCCCAGGACCGCTTCGTTCTGCTCTTGCCTACGGTGACTCTAGCACAAAGGTAAAGACCGTTTTGTTTCATGTTCCTGAACCCAACTCTCGAGGAGCCCCAGCTGACCAAGGAACCTCCAACGGCGACAGGTGCCGGCCGACACTACAGATTGGCTCTTCCCACGCAAACGTGTTACTTTGCGCCCATTACACTTTTCTCCCAGGCAAGAAACAGTAGATGTCCAGAGGCGTTCGTTTCCGCTTTGAAAAAGGGGGTGAACTCTAATATTCTTACTCACCTTGCTCAGCTCCAGCTTGTAGATTACTCGTGAACGACTGCTCGCATCACTCGTAGGTATAAATCCAGGGCACTTCGCCTGCTGTTCTCCCTTCGCATCCATCACAATCTCCTCTACTTCCTACTAGAGTATTACCTTGCCAGATTCATTCCTCAATACTCCCAGCGTCTGACCGCGCAACAACAGGCATCATTCCATCTCCCTGTATCTCTGACACTCAGCATCAACTACAATCCTCCTATAGAAACGTCATTCCCATGGCATACGACTGGCCAAGCTTCGCCGTCGGCATTCTCGGCGGCCTCGTCATCCCTGCTGTGGGCTACTTCTACAAACACCCCGACGAAAAACGCAGGATCTATGGTCTCTGCTATCGCGTTATCTCTACCATCATTACTGCTACTCCATGGCACAGAAGCGGTGGCTGGCTCCACGATCATGTTGTCGTTCGTCTTGGGTCATCGGTCTACCAACACCTACTTGCTCTCTACAAAGGAACCCGTGCTAGACTTGGTGAGTTATTCGTATCGTCTATTGTATTGGTTGTACTGACATAGGAGACAAGACTTCCATCACACCATCCCGAATCAACCAGGCTCGCTTCGTCGTCTACTGCTCAGCTTCCTCACGACCACCACAAGCCTGTTGCACTTGGTTTCTCCTCATCGTGCATTGCAGCTACGTCAGTGGGCAAGTAATCGGTTCGGTCAACCAGCTCAGGAGAATACGCCCTCTGTTTGATTGTGGTTCGTACTAGACGTCATACAGTCTGGTGAGTCGTTTGTATCCTCATGTCATGGTGACCATACTGAAACAGAAGATAGATGTCACAACACGGTCTTCAAGAACTCTCCCGTCGTCACGACTCCTTATCACTGTCACTCGAATCAAGTCTGCCTGAGGGCGCTTCTTGCTTGTAAAGTTGTCAGATGTACAGCCCTAGGACATGCCGTCGTTGGGACCAGATATATGTCAGCTGGGTCTCACGATCGCGGTGTACCTGGTCTATCTCTTGGCCTTCACTCACCTGTACACAACACCCTCTTAAGGCTGGGTCCAATGGCTACCAGCGTTGTGTCACTGCACCTTGTCCGCTCCTCCTGCTTCTACGAGCACGGCAACTCTGGCCTCTAGCGAACCAACAGCCTTCGTCAACAGTACTAGTTGCCTGAGGGCTCCTTGCTGGCATTACGATTCTCCGCCATCTTTATACTTTCCTTCGCCTCCTGGCGTTAATGCACCACAATACTCCTTTACAATCCTCCCCTTCTTCACGACCATTATCCTTATTTTTCCTTGCAGAACCGACTACCCATCCCGAGCCCAGAAGGAGGTGGATATGAAGCAACAGAGCACACGACGAACACGATATACCTACACGATCTCTTTGAGTCTTTTTCTTTCTTTTGTCTTACCACTTCCTAATATACACCCAGTAGATAGCTTCTTTGCCCGTTAGAGCGAGTATAACAGATTTCTTGCTCTACAGACATGACGTTCTGCCCTAAGATCATGGATCTCGTGACTCATTCCAACCTTATATCCTCAACACTCATTGATACTGAACAAGCTTCCGGTATCACACTGCTTCTATCAGATCTCTGAGAGTAAGTGCTAGCATTACACTAGCTAGAGTGACTACATCCGCGACACTGCTCGAGTCTGAATTATTCTAGCTCTCACTGATACTGCCCCTCTCACCTCTTCTGCGAAGAGACTTGATCTTGTTGACTGTATTTTGTCTTGATCCTTGATGCAACTTTGCCTTTTGTGGCGGGTCGATTGTTTCTGCCAGGGGAGATAACACAATATCACAATCACCCCATGTCAGCACCCGCAGGCAAACCAACATTTCATATCAAAACTCAATGCACGGAAAAAACTCCAAATTTCCAGGCAAAAGTGTGATCAGATAAAACACTACGAAGGACTCTAGGATGTCCAGAAAGCAGCGAGAAAAAAATGAAGCAAAGCAAAAATAAATAATCTGTGGTTCTCATGGCGTGAGTACAGGACTAGTGCACCATGTATGAGATCTTGGATAGTTGTTCACGTTGATTGTCGAGACTGACGCGAATCGCACCGACCAGCAGTGTCAAGCGATGGGGGACGTCCCTTCCGAGTCCCTGTTTTCCCAATGGTCGTGTGAGCGAAATCCATGCGTGAAACTTGATCCACGGTACATGCAACTGAGCGTTGCGAACAAAACCAGAGACGGCGGGAAAGCGCGAATACGATGATCCTTTGTACCTATCCTATCTTGTCCAAAATGCTTCGATAAGATCGATCCGATTCGACACCAGACCCGAAGCTTTCCTTGAACAGTCGAAGAGCGAGGACCAATGGCCACAATACAAGAAAAGAACAACAAGAGGGACAAACGGTGGTTCCGATGCTCATACTAGACACAAGACAGATAGAGTGGAAGGAACTGCCAGACCAACGAGAGTGAGACCGGTCGGAACTCGCTTTTTCACACGAGGAAAGTTACAGAGACATAGGGACACAAGACTTGAAGAGGAAGAACAAGAAGATCATGACATTTGTGGTTTCCAGACGACGAAGGACCGCAAGTGAACAAAACAGAAAGTGGTATCGCAAAAGAAGAAGATGGGTAAGACAGAGACAATGAAGAAGAAGAAGAAACGGAAAAACACCAGGGAAAAGAATGACACAAAACTCCACACCCTCGCTCTAGGATGTCCCCATATGACCCAGCCCATACGCCAAAAACAGAGAAAAGGCCCAAACATACGAGAACCTCGTTTCAGAGGATGTATCACCCAACGACACCGTCGCGCTCGACCATCTCGCGAATCTTGGACATGAAGCTGGCAGGGTATTGCTTGACTTCATCAGGAGAGGGGATACCACGTTTGGGGTCCTTGCACCTCTCGACAACCTTGTCGATGATCTGTGCAAGCAGGTCCTCGTTCATGGCAACGGCGTTACCAACATCCGGGTACAGCCATGGGTCCGAGAGGCTGAGAAGTTGCTTTACAGTTGGACGAGCGTGCAGATCACGTTGCAAGCAACGACGAAGAGTGCCTTTCAGTGCAGAGGGCACCGTCACACCACCCACGCCCCTGTCCGGGAACTCGATGACGACTTTCGAATTCGTGATAGCCATGATACGACTGATCTGGTTGGCGATGTGGGCGAAAGGTGGGCGACCATAAACCATTTGATATAGAATGCAGCCGAGAGACCAAACATCCGAAGGCTTGCCGATCTTCATCAGCCGACTGCCGTTATTCGAGGTGCGTTCGCTGCCAGGTGTAGGTGCATTTGTGTCCAAGATACTCTCAGGCGACATATAGTTGGGTGTGCCAATGTGCGAGTCGCGGTGAACGTTGACCGTATGAGCAATGTCGATGGCATTTGCGATACCAAAGTCGATGAGTTTGAGCTTGCCTTGTACAGATAAGAAGTTGGCGGGTTTTAGATCGGAATGAACAATATCGTAGTCGTGGACAGCTTGAACACATTCAAGCATTTCTTTCCAGTAGAAACGAGTCAAGACTGGGTCAAACTTTGGGTCTGTGCCGTTGAGCGCAATTGTCAAGATGCGGTTGAGATCCTGGTCGCCCTTCTCCATCAGCACGCTGAGGATCTGCTTCTCGTTGTCCAGTTCCCAGTCGAAAAGTCGAATTACACGGTCGACGTCTGCCAGTTTCTCGAGAAGATCGATCTCACCCTTGAAACCGCGCATGGCTGATTCGTCGCAATCTTCCAGCTTGACCTTTTTCAAGGCAAAGAGTTTGTAATTCTCGGCCATGACACAGTAAACATCACTGCTGCCACCTTTTCCGACCTTGTTCATCTGAGTGAACAGCTTTCCGTTGATGAGAATATGTTGACGTCTCTTCTTGCTCTTGGTAGTGCTCGCGCCAGCAGTTTTTGTCGCGGCGTCCAGGACACTCATCTTTGGCGGTGGTGGAGGAGCAGGTCTGACAGGAGTGTTGTTGCTGATTGCGGTGAGTGCTCTACGAGGCGACTGGTGTGTCGAGACGGACATGGGCGTCTCTTCGACAGGTTGAGACCTCGAGTGCAACGCGATCTTCTCTGGCTTTCCAAGGTACTTGAAGTCATGGTGTCTGTCGCGTTTGAAGGTCGGAGGAGGAATATTTTCTTGATCCTCGATGGCGTCGTGCTGAGCGCTTGAGGTCGGGCGGGTTTGTCGTTGGTATTCTGGCGCAGGACGTGAAGCCATGTGATCGTTACTTGCCCTCCTTTGAGCGAGCCCTTCTCCATGGTTTGAGGCGGCTCGAGAATCACTACGCTCGCGTTTATGAGGCTCAACGCTAGGCCTTCTTGCTGGTCGCTCCATACTAGGGGCTCTGGTAGATGTGCGAGATGCTACTCGATGTGGATCGATGCTTGTGTCGCGTTTTGATGGAGCGGAAACGTCGCGGCTGTGATCCCTTGAACGCGCAAAGTCGTGTCTTGATACAGCAGCAGAATCAGCATTGGCACTATCTGCTCTGCTTGTGCGTCCAGCCGAGTATGCGGGCTCCTCTTCGTGGTCCGGTTGTGATTGTGATTCTGACAACGGAGCACTGCCATCGTGTGGGCTGACATTGTCGTCGCTTTCACGCCTGCGGAAGCCTCTCCTTACGGGAGCGCCTCGCAAGAAAGCACCTGGAGCTCTCTTGACGCGTACAGAGCCGGGATGTGCGGATGACTCTGCAGACGCGTGACGAGTCTTGTTTATGGTCGACGGTGGCATATGCCTTGTTGAAGCATCATATTGCGAAGCTCCAAAGTTTTGCGACGCGTCATGATCAATATGGTCGAGAGCGGGCGAGGGATTGCTGGCGGATCTGCTTGCAGACGAGCGGGTTGATCGTGAGGCGGGTGCTGGAGTGACGAACTCGAGGGCAGGAGTGGTCTCTCTGCTCGACGCGTATCGTTCGGTATGACGTGATGAGGATGGGTTTCGCTTGGTGACTGAAACAATGCGCGGCGAGGTGGCAGTTTGGCTGTGCGTTGGTGAAGATTTGCGCACAATCTTTAGTTGCGGTGCTCTGCTAGGCGTTTCGTAGTCGCGCGCGGCGTTGTCTTTCGGCGACGAGTGGTCGAGGCCCCTTCGGACTCGAGAAGGGCCCTCGTCAGAGCGCTGAACTTCATGGGCGGCGGAATCTCATCGTCGGACGAGTCGCCGACGTCGATGCGCTGCATCATGGGAGCGTTGGCAGCAAAGCCTTGTGCCGGGTTGAATACTGATAGGGGAGAGCCGTGGCGGTAATATGGGCGGGAAGTAGTGGTCATTGAAGAAATGCTCGGGGGATAATGCTTTGTTGGTGGTGTTGGTTGCTGAGGTGTCGGGTAGTCCAATGCGTGCTGAGGGTAGTCCAATGAAGGTGAAGTGCTGTAGAGGAGATGGTGGTTAATTAGAAGAGGCCCAGGATCGATTGCGCGCCATGGATTGATCGGGCTGTATGCTGAATAGTACTACTGTCGCAAAATTGCTATCGTCGGGAAGCTATGTTTTCTATGAAACATTGAAGGACAGTCCAGAAGACGCAATGCGCACATCTCGGCGCTGTCTGTTGACCCGACAACGTCTGCCAAGTCCTGTCAACACCAACCAAGACACATCAAGAATGACAATCTCCATTCGGGCATCAACCTCTACCAACCTTTGAGGAATACTCTTGGGTCACAGCAGTAGACATATTGTTGCTGAAAGGATATCATGGTCATGTTTGAATTCCTTGATCCTGCTCACAGAACAGGTTAGGCCGATGGAGTGCAAAGAGCAGGGTGTTCCTGTCAACACGTTTTCTATTTCTCCTACTGCGATGAGCTCTTCATCTCCCATCTCAATCCTTTACTTGACTCTTGCAGCTTTCATGGAACTCCTTGAAAAGTTTTTGCAAGCATAAGACACGACGGGAACCTGATATAAAGACAGCCCGGGAGCAGCGGCTCCGGTAGGATGGCGGTGACGTGAGCGGGGCAGCTGTCGGTGTTTTGTCGACCGACCAGATCAGTCTGGTGTGTTTTCTACTTTGGACATTCAAGCACATACACACAAAATGGCACCTCCGGCAATCATCGCTCCCTCAATCCTCTCGGCCGACTTTGGCGCCTTGGGCAAGGCTTGCTCAGACACGATCGGTCATGGCGCAGACTGGCTTCACGTCGACATTATGGACGGTCACTTCGTCCCCAACATGACCTTTGGAGCTCCCGTAGTCACAATGATCCGTCCTCACGTCGACAAGCCCTCCGAATCCTTTGGCAAGGGTACCTTTGACTGCCACATGATGATCGCTGAGGTCAGTCCACTCCTGGTCTATTTAGCATTCTGCCAGAAACAAGATGCTGACCATGGCCAGTAGCCCAAGAAATGGGTCAAGGAGTTCAAGAACGCTGGCTGTGATCTGTACTGCTTCCATTACGAAGCCGCCATCAACTCGACCGCCGCGGAAGAACCCTCCGCCACCTCAGACAAGAAGACCAGCCCCAAGGAACTCATCAAGTACATTCACGACCAAGGCCTCAGAGCCGGCATTGCCCTCAAGCCCGGTACCCCCGTCGACGTCCTCTACGACATCCTAGACAGCAAGACCCAAGACGAGGTTCCCGATGTACGCGGCCAAAACTCCTCTACACTGCTCAATACAAAGCTAACAAAATCCACAACAGNNATGGTTCTCATCATGACCGTAGAACCCGGCTTTGGCGGTCAAAAGTTCATGCCCGACATGATGCCCAAGGTCGAAGCCCTCCGCAAGCGCTACCCCGAACTCAACATCGAAGTCGACGGCGGTCTCTCCGAAAAGACCATCGATGTGGCCGCCGACGCGGGCGCAAACGTCATTGTCGCTGGTTCTGCCGTCTTTGGCGCAAAGGACCCTTCAGAGGTCATCGCTAAGCTCAGAGAAGCTGTTGAAAAGAGAAGATGACTGCATGCTAGGATCTAAGAAAATGAATTAGCTAGCTTTGGACAAGGAGAAGCAGAAACATAGACGCATGTTGACATGTACGAAATACACGACTTATAATATCGATTGATATAAGTCTGACGGATCAGTCGATTGGAAGCACTCATTGTAAATCTTGGTCTTGTTCGCGAGATCTTCCGGATATCCATATATCTGTGTAATGGTTCTGTTTCCATGACGGTCCACGAAATGTGGCAGTATTTTATTTTTGCGTGTAGCAGAGTATGCTTCATCTACCAGTCGCAGTGGTTTAGTGGTAAAATTCGTGCTTGCCATGCACGAGCCCCGTGTTCGATTCACGGCTGCGACAGTTGTTTTGCGACTTCTTCCAAGCTTGATACTGCTCATGGCACATCTTCACTTTTGGCCGTCGATTTGTACTGCATTTGAAGCGCTTCGAACAACAGCGTTCGAAGACTCGTGTCGTTTTGTGGGTAAGCAGATTACCAGAACGCGCAACTCAACCTTCTGGAGGTATTTGAACATACCATGGGATATCATGATCGTATGAGGCATGGGGCTTACTGGGAAAACATTGAGAAATTGCTTTCCGAGACAAAAGTATGGCGGTGTATAGGCTGCAATCTGGTTTTGTACCTACTCTGCTGCGTGCACTTCTCCAATTGTCGTCATCTTGACACTGACTAGACTGCCTCGTCTTCCCTGTGGATACTTTGGACTAAGAGGCTTCTATCTCATGATCCGCGATGTTGTCAAAGGTTATAAAACGAGAGCATCTTCTCTGTACGGATCTCAATTGGCAAGACCAATCAAGAATCTGGGATGATGCAACCTCAAATCATGATCTTTTCATAGTTGTTGAGGATAAGTTCGCGTAAGCTCGGAAACTCCAGGCCATCGAACATCGCGTGCATGCATACGTCGTTAACCAAGATAGTGCCGACGATAGTAAAGTCGAGCACAGACACTCGAGAAGCACAGTACTGACGACGAGCACGCGGCAGTTTGGAGATTGCTTTGGTTGTCATGCGATTGGTAGGCGATCCATTGTCTCTAGTTCCACGATGACCTTGCTAGAGCTTATCGTTGGCGAGTTCAGTCCATGCACTGTGCACGAGAGCACAAGAAACCAAGTCCGTCTCGCACCAGTGGTTATGTAGGTGGGAAAATACCATCGCTTTGAGTTCAGAAACATCCCGAAAATTTAGCGGCAGCCATGATTATGAGGACTAAACGATAGAGAAATATGGAAAACGCATTTGCGTCGTGTCGAAGTAGGGGTTTATTACCTGTGGTGAAGTTCGATGTGTATGTTTGTATGCTTGTCTTGAGTGAGGGCGGCGCGTGTTGCTGGAGCGTTATATAGCCTGCATATGCATGCGTCTGCATCCATCGGAGTCGTTGCCAACCTGAAACTGCGACACATCTGCCACTGCGAAAAATTCCTAAGAAGTAACAAAATCTGAGAACACGTGGGTGCGCCTTTTAGGATGTTAGGAGACGAGTTTATCTGAGAGATATGTGAAAGTGACATGTGCCACTTTCATGTGATCGTAGGAACCTCGAGGAAATGGAAGGAACGGATTGTGGTCATGGACTATGTCACTTAGTTCTCTAGACAAAAGATTCTGTTGATGGGCCCTCTAGCTCTTTTCCCCTTGAGGCGGTCCGCTTCCAGCGTAGCTGTTTCTTTGTGTTGGCTGAAGTGTCATCTGAGATTCTTCCGCTCATGATCCGCAGTGGCTTTGGGATGTCTTTGCTCTCGTGAAAGTCGTTCAGAGGAATAGCCTGCGGTTGAGATACAGACTCTGGCAGAGCACAGAAACACTGCTGATGAGAGCCAATGCCATTATGCCCATACCCTTACCTACACCGCCCTTGCAGCTCGCACAAGGTCTCCACCAGTTTTCTCCTCCCTGTTTGATCAATGAAGCTGGATCTCATCGTAGGTGATCATGAGTTGTAAAACGCCAGTGATGGATTGGATAGATAGAGATGCCTTGTTGATGAACAGCATCAAATGATCATGTCATGCAAAAAGCGAGTGTTTGCACCAGGGACAAGCTGTTTGGAGAGCCGGGTCCAAGGCTTGAAGGCAAGGTTTGCAGGTTGTATGCTTGCAAGGAAGTCTTCCAAGTGGTGCGTCTTCGTCCCAGCAGATGATGCATTTATCTTCCTCGGTGTGGGTCGCAGGTTCAAACTTCATCATCTCCATAAAGTGCTTGTGTGATGGCAGATTGAGGGATGCGAATGAACCTGGCAAGCAAACCCAGGTTGTGTAGGAGCTTGCGAGGCAGAGAGCCAAGAGGGGGTGGGAGAGATTGTGGAGGGTCAGGCATGTTGAGTAGGCGAATATGTCGCTAATGCGATGAGTCCATGCCTTCTGGTGCCATTTTAGGAGACAGAGGCAAATGATGCCTAGTGTGATGGTCGGCACAGTGCTGGTGGCGTGTTTTTGCTGGTATGAACTTGTGTTGATAGCCTTTGGGGACATGGATTGTTGACATGATTTTGTAGATATGTTGGAGTTAATGGAGAGGTTGTTGTGAAAAGGCTATAGGAGCTCAGATGGGGTCCCCGATGCTGAATAGTTGTTAGCAGGAGAAATGGTTCAGATGTCGCTCTTGAGCTCTCTTATAAGATCATCTTGCTTCATGGTTGATTCTAGCAAAACACGGAAATAGTCACAACAGTCGTCACAATGGATTTCAAGGACGATCTCCAACGGACAACAAGACGGTCCACGGAGGTGCCTGCAACTGTGTACTCAGAGTAATTAGTTGATGGATGCGGAATACAGGATCGTAAATCCTTCTTGGCATATGTCGCACATCTTTCCTCCGACTGCAGTCGACTCGCAGAAACAGAACAACGACAACAACTAGTTGAGAGTCTGTAAGCACTCATCATGTCGGCCTTCGAACAGGTGCTGGCCGACGACGTTGAGATTGTTAGGCTGCCGCATGAAAAGAGTTCCTCGTACGCAAGCGGCTTAATCGTATGCCGTATCGATTGTGGCCTTGATCCTCTCGATGGCGCGTGCTCAAAATTAGATGAACTGCCAAGAGCACGCGACAAACGTGATTCTGTAACACTGCCCTCAACAACACATCGATGGGCGTCCTGTATCCATGATCACAGTAGAGATCTATCTGAACGGCTCAACAAGGGTCTGTAAAGTCTGTAGAACCTGGTTTGGACATGCCTTGTTGAGTGAACGACCCCGCAAGAGCCGAAAGAGTCTGGGCTTGTATGGGGGCAGTGTTTCATCTTGGCTTGCTTGTTATGGCCAAAAGACTTGGTACTGCAATCCTTTCGAGCGTCGTCCAAGGACATAAAGGCAGATAACAGCCTCGTGATGGAGGGTTGCTGATTTCAGCGAGAATCGATAGCTCCTCTCACATCATCAAGAATCCTTCAAAAGTCAACTCTCACTGATCGGAGTCACACGAGCATCGAGGAAAAGTTACTCGAGAACGAAAAGGAAGAATCTCCGACGGTTCAGGTTGGTGCCGCACTAGCCAAATTTGACAGGAACAACGGCGCCTCGGAAGCAAAGCCCCCGAGGGCTGCCGGAAATACCCTAAACTTGGCCTCAAAAGCTTCTCATCTACTCTTGCCAAAACAACAGGCCTTTCGTTCTTTCTCACCTTCATATTCATATAACAACCTGCGGAGGATATCGTCGGACAGCCATGGCAGACAAGGGAGATGTCAACTTGGGAGGTGCACAATTCGCGTCGCACAAATGGGCAGAGCCGGTCGTGAGTGGACACAATTGTCCGAGAGGCACACGACCAGACTGACAATGTTTTCAAGNNTTTGTTGTTACCATTATGATTGGCTCGTTGATCATCAATCGTCGCAAAAACTTCAGTATCCTTCGAGGAGATCTCAATGCCCGCTCTGGAACTCTGTCGCCCACAAATGAGGGACGTCCCATGCTGTCCGACGACGAGGGTCACGCGGCAAGCCGACTTCAGAAACGCACCTGCTTGGGCAAGGAATTCGACATGCCCGACTCTTCAGTTTTCGCCGACAACTTGCACAGCAGAATCTTGCAAAAGTTCCCTTTTCTGATAGAAATGTTCTACTGGGCCCTCAACTATGCGGCATACAGTTTCACAAAGGCCATCGCCGCTTCTCTCTATGCGACAAAGGACGGCGTCACCGAGCTCGCCCAAGAGCACGGAATCAGCATTCTCAACTTTGAGCACGATTCGATGTTTTCCATCTTCTTCCCTATCAAGGAGGTGGATTTCCAGACCTTCTTTACTACAGGCCACCCACTCATGTTGACCTTCTTTAACCGCATCTACTCATTGGTTCATATTCCGGGAACCGTCACGTGCGTCCATCACACGAGCAAAACTTGTTGCATCATCAACTGACTCCTGACAGTTNTCCTTTCATGGTATTATTATGCCGCTCCGGACCATGCAGCTTTCGCTGTCGCTAGACGTACCATGACTTTGGGCAACTTTGCTGCATTCTTTGTCTTCTGTTTTTACCCTTGCATGCCACCACGCCTTTTGCCAAAGGAATTTGGCTTCCACGACACAGTCCGTCAAGACAACGCCGAAAGTGTCTGGGTAGGCGGCAAGAACGTCAACCAACTCGCAGCCATGCCTAGTCTTCATTTCACCTACGCATTCGTAATTGGCTGCACCTTCATCTACCATTCTGGCATCCACTGGCGTTCTGAGAACAAGGCAATTCAACAATCAACCTTTGGAAGATGTCTCTGGTTGTTGGCTGGACTTTTCTACCCTCTGTTGGTCTTGTCTGTTATTGTCGCAACTGCCAACCACTACTACCTGGATGCTGTGGTGGCTCTTTTAACGACTTCTGTTGCGTTCTTCATCAACAGAATTTGGATGCTTTTGTTGCCCGCTGAGGGTATGCTGCTTTGGGTACTGCGCCTGAAGAAACCTGTTCCTACCACCGGACAACGCCTACGAACAGCCAACCTGAAGGTCAAAGAAGATGGGATCGACTACCGTTATGAGGTTGTGTAGTTGCTGACCTTTATGACGGTTACTTCTTTTCTCTTCTGCGGAGATCCTGTACATTTAATTCATCATTATAATACCCTATCCTCGGATTTTCTACTCAAAAAGTAATTATAGATTTCCAAGAAGAATCAAGACACTGACAATCCGCCTTTGATCCGTTTCTTCTTGTCCCGCTCAACAACGTCGGACAGAGAGCTGCAATACGCTCACCTGAGCATTGCAGAATCACTGACCACAGCCGTTCCAAGGTGTAACCAAAGTATGGGGCGTTCAAAGAGTCGGGTCGACCTTGCAAATACTTTTGCTGATGCGCCCAACTACCCGGCTCTTCCAATGCCTTCATCAACCTCTCGTACAAACTCTTCTTATTCGCCCTCAACCTTGCAGCACTAGCAACAAACTGGCCCTTGTAACTTAATAGCACCCTCTGCTCTCCACACGTCTGATTGAACACTTCTTTCCAAGTCTCCTCCACAATGCCAGAATGATCTTGCCACCCAAACCTATCACCACAGTTATTGCACTCACAACTCTGGTCACTAAATCCCAAACCCAGCATTCCTGTCTGAGGCGTATAGTAGTCCTCAACTCTAGCAGAAAATTCTCGAGGATTGTGGATAGAGGCTTGCAGGAAGAAAGTCTGGGTTGCCAAATCATCCCAAGAGGAGGTTATGTGGTGGAGATAGGTATGGCCTTCCCTGCCTACATTTGGCAATTGGATGACTTTTGTGGCATTGGTTTGTTGTTGGAGGAGTGCGGTGTTTGCGTGTGGATCTTTGGTGTAGAGGACCAGACGGGGTGATTTGGAGCCGATGGAGGGGATAGAGTTGAGCAGTGACAACGTTTGGGTTATGTGAGAGGGATGTTCGCGGTACATGCTCATTACAATGTCGATGTTCGAATTTGCTTTGTAGGAAGTGTCCAGTCGCAAGTCGTGGGATGTGTGCTTCGCGAGCTGTGTTGAGAGGTTTGTGGTAAGGAACCAACCCCATGCTGCTGTTGCGATTGATAAGAGGACGAGTTGAATCATCATCTGGTGTAGAACCCATCTCATTCGTTTGCTGACTTTAGAGACCAGTTTAGCCATGGATGGATTGCTCAACTTTGTGATGTTTCCAGACTCCGTAGGCAGTTCCAGCCAGCCTTGCTCAGAGGAGTAATCATGATTAGGCCTATCAAGTCTCCCAACAGCACAGCAGGCGAGAGATATTAAGAAGGCCAGAACTTGCACGTAGCTCAAGTATACCGGCAGCCACAGTTGTTGAGAGAAGAAAGCTGTAAACCCTGCTGCTGTAAAGAAGGTGATACTGAGCATTGTGACTTCCTTGGTCTGTCCGAGAATTGATGGCAACAGTGCAATTGTAATAGCAGTAGTAGTCAAGTTGAGACACAACATAGGCACATGATCCCAAGTCAAGGCAACCTCATGATCATCTTCGAGGAACACGAAACAAGCGGTTGCAGACATGAGGGGTAGAATCATTACTGGTAGCCATGAAGATTGATCTTCATCTGAGCGGTGTGGTCCAGAGGTAGCCGTATAGTCGTGATAAATTGCGAATGCCACACCGAGAACCAGTATGCTGGGTATGCCGAAAAGCAAGCCGTTAGGTGTGAGTTTGTAGTCGTCGAACAAGACTACAAAGCACGAGACAATCATGAAGAACCAAGTGTGCTTTGTAGACAAGTCAAAGCATGAGATCAATGACTATAAATGTCAGTATCAGTGCAAGTAGGTGGTGTGCACAGCATGCATACCAAGATCATCAGAAGTGCTGTGATATTCTCGAAGTGCAATGTTGATTGTATCCACAGCGGGAAGAAGACTGCCAGACACGCAGACAGCAATACCAGTCTCGAGATTTGCTGCAAGTATCTCGTAATCGAACAGACATCGAGATTAGGTATCCGGCCAAGGCCAATCGAGATTTTGGTTTGGAACTGCAAGTCTCGGAGAGCAAACAAAGCCGTAGCGGCGATGAGCTGTAAAAGGAGCAGCGTGAATGCTGGCAATGTCAGTCAAGATAGCCATACTTTGTGTTCCACTTTTACGTACGATAATCTGGGGTTATATGTTAGCGATGGCACCAAGATTAGAACCAGAAGATTTTACGATAGTTGTTAACAAGCAGAACATGTTTACTAGAGACCATCGACACTGCAGCGCACGCAGCCCAAAGACTGACACAATTAACAACAAAGACCTTGCTTGATGAAGACAGGACACTCACAACGGCACTACTTCTGAAAACACATTCATCATGCTGCACGAGTAGTACAGGAATATCCCCACGGTGGAAGATCAAGGACAGTTCAGGGAATCTGGAGAGCAACAAAAACACTTGGAACTCGAAGAAACATGGCTCCAAGAGTCTAAGGCCGGAGAGATTGACCTTCTTCTCCTGAAAGCCAAGCAAGGACACACACTCTTACTGTGCCACATGTTTGGGAGCCACAGATGGCAGCCTGGGTTCCAAGTTATGCTTTTGATCCTTCGTGCGCTATTTATATGAGCGTTGGTGATGTGGATGCGGCCTATGCATCTGCTCAGCCTTTTGTGTAACCAACATTCTCCTGACTCAAGGCTTGGCTCTATCACTTGTTATGAAGAGTTCTGAAACCGAACCTGCGGTTGAGTTGATCCAGATTGTCGGGACGGGCATGAATGTGAAGCCCACTTACACGTTTCTATCTCATTTTCTTCTCACCTTCATGGAATCCATCGGTAGATGCATACCGTGTAAACTTCCTGACGCAAGCCATTCCTTGTACCGATTTCTCAGTTCCAGAGACAGTCCAGATTTGGTCGTAATCTCTGCAGAAGCATGTATCCAGTCGTCAGACAATAGGGGGTCTGTATAGAGATCATCCATAATGGGCGCAGCAAATATTCCTTGAGGATGCAGTGCACGACCATGCCAAGCCTAGGATACGATGGTGAGGCGCTTACACTAGAGATCTTTAAGGTCGCGCTCTCGATTCGAATAACCAAGTGTTGGGTCTAGATGCCATTATTAGACGATACTGCTCATCCTTAACCGGATCAAGCAATTGGTATGGGCATCTCAACGCTCTTGGAAGCCCCTATAGGCCAAGAAAAGTCGTCGCCGGCAAACGGCTCAAGTGAAGTCTGGTCCATCGTGTGTCATGGCTCTGTATCGCTAGACTTACGTCCGTAGATGGTCTCAATGAAGCACGTGTAGGCAGCAGGTTAATCAAACAGTACTCGAGCAAGGCCGGCCGAGTTATAAGAATTCAAGCTCGAGGAGATTTCCCGAGGATGCCCCGTACCACCATTCTTCTTTGAGCTGATTGTGGTCCTTCGACTGAGTTGTTGCATTATGTGTGAACTACGCAGTGCAGTATGATGCTTGACATCTTGATTGAAGACCTTCGGAGAACGAGAGCTGGTGACCAATTATGCGGGAAGACGCAAACAATCCATCAACTGAATCTGGACCATTTGAATCATGACAAGACATCCACATGCAGAGAGGTGTTCAGAGCAAGCATCAAACCCACGATAAGAAATGATATGAGTCCGAAGTACCATACGTTTATACACAACCAATTCCGACCATAGCATCGATCTCATTGTTCTGGCAAACAGGGACAGGGTGACACTTTTGATACCCCATACTGTCGGCTAATCGGCAGCCGAGCAAATCTGTTCTCCGCATGCACCTCCGCCTTTGGGTAGTTTGATGCTTTCATTTTGCCATGACACACAACGGAACACGGCACAATGTATCTACTTGTATACTCCATATAACGATTGCATCTCCCTTGAATCCACCTTCCATCTCGAAGTTCAGACATCAGCCTTGCCAATTGGAGCATAGTATGTCCGAATCGCGAGGACAGTACACTTTTCAGCCTCGGCACAGATGAATCACAACAACTCTTCCATCGACAATGTCGACAAGGAGAAAGACCGAATCAATGACATGAATGCTTCAGACATCAGCATAGCCGTCGAGAAAGAGTCATCGCCGGCGGCTGTTGTGAATACTGAACAACCACCCACCGACGTCATTCCTGCAGCTGAACCACCTCCTGCACCAAATGGTGGCTATGGTTGGGTTTGTGTCGCTTGTGTGGCTATCATCAATGCACATACATGGGGGTTGAATTCCTCTTACGGTGTCTTCCTCGCGTACTACCTGGCCAACAACGTCTTTCCTGGAGCCACATACCTCGAATTCGCCTTCGTTGGATCGTTGTCGATTGCCTGTGCATTGCTCGTCTCACCGGTGGCTACCATCTTCACTCGCAAGTTCGGAACCAAGACTACGTTATTCACGGGAGTAGCTTTCGAAACTGCAAGCTTGATTGGTGCGAGCTTTGCGAGCCAGATATGGCAACTGTTCCTCAGTCAAGGTGTTTGCTTTGGCTTTGGCATGGGATTCTTGTTTGTTGGATCTGTGGGTATTGTCCCTCAATGGTTTACCACGAAAAGAAGTTTGGCGAATGGCATAGCTACTGCCGGGTCTGGTTTGGGAGGTTTGGTGTACTCGTTGGCGACCGGAGCGATGATTCCTAGTATCGGACTGCCATGGGCCTTCCGGGTGCTGGGAATCATAGCATGTGTGGTCAATGGTGTTTGTGCGATGTTGGTGAAGGACAGAAACAAGGCAATCGGAAGCTCACAACTGGCATTCGATGTGCAGCTGTTCAAGCGGACTGAATATCTGCTGTTGCTAGGTNATGTTCATTGACCTTCACTACACTTGGACTATCTAACGATGTTCTTCACAGGCTTTGGTTGGTTCAGTATGCTGGCATACGTGGTCTTGCTCTTCAGTCTGGCCAACTTCGCCCGCAGCGTCGGCCTCACAGCAACTCAGGCTTCTACAGTCTCAGCCATTTTCAACCTCGGACAAGCTATTGGTCGTCCACCTATAGGATACTTCAGCGACAACATTGGCCGCATCAACATGGCGACTCTTATGACTTTCATTTCTGGCCTCTTTGCTCTTGTCATATGGACGAATGCGAAAAGTTTTGGCGTCCTCATCTTCTACGCCATCTTCGGTGGCACGGTTGCAGGTACATTCTGGACAACAATTGCTCCCGTCACAGCCGAAGTCGTCGGTCTTCGCAATGTTCCTGCTGCATTGAACATCTGCTGGTTAGTCCTCGTCATCCCTTGCACCTTTTCTGAGCCTATCGGCCTTGAGATTGTGTCGTTTGACGGTGGATATCTGGGAGCACAACTGTTCACTGGTTTTATGTACGTCGGCGCAGCTGTGTGTGCACTCTTCCTCAGAAGTTGGAAGATTGCCGAAGTGGACGAGATCGAGGCCCTACAGGATGTTGGAGACGTAAATGCCGTGGCTATTGAGACAAAAGTGGCCGAGAGTGTAAAAGAAGTCGCAAGAAAGACGGCGAGAAAAAGGCTGCTTGGTTGCATCTGGAGATGGAAGAAGGTGTGAAAGCAGGCACCCGTCAGAGCGCGTTTGCTTGTTTGCGCTTGCCGCTTGCGAAAATGGAATCTGCTCACTATCACCACGCATCGAACCTTCCCAATTCATAAATCTCGAGCATCGTGTCTGTTCTCTGCGCCTCGCGATGTTCTCGCTCGTCGCCATTCGAGCGACTTCTGATCGCGTCGCGCAAGCCCAAGCAATGAAGCGGGTCACTGCCAACAACGACGATGTGCTTAACGATGATCATCACAACTACCTCCACCTTATCTCACAACGATAGAAACAAAGAGCAAAACAAATCTCCGCTACTAGAACTCAGTCGTATAGAGCCCGTTCGCGGAAGAAAGCCACCAGTGAACTGGTTTCATTTCAGGTGTCGAGGGGTGAGAGCGTCACGGCTCTAAAGATTACTGATGTCGAGGGTCGAACCGAGGACCTTGAGATGCCAGCGGGGTCGCCAACAATGTGTTAGCGCAAGACCGCTGGGCCAACCACCGCCTGTCGGTAAAGCGATGGCGGGGATGGGAAGGAGGCAGTGAGGCTGGTATATAAAATCAAAAATCAGGGGTCGACTAGTGAGTAACGCAACATAAATTCATTTATCTTTTCGAGAGCCGACTCCAATGTAAGTATCTAGTCATTCCGGCAGGGGTCAAAGGTAAGTACTATACAGAATAAACATCTACCATGGACGAAACCCTGAGGTCCCTACGAATCCTCGGTGCGTGAAGGAGTCAGAATATGGCGTTTGTTGCCAGCTCGACACCAAAGGATGATCTCAACCTCTCATCCCATTCATTGATAAAAGTACGATCTTTTGATTGGTCAACCACGAGAAAGGGAATAGCTAGGAAAGCAAAGCCACCGTGTACGTGAGAAATCGTAGAAGTGATGTTGATTGTCTGACCCGGGTTCATTGATATCGAATCGTTGATAGAAAGCTCAGTCATTCTTCTGCAACGACATCCTTCTCCATCTCACGTAATAACGTTCTAGCAGCCTCGAAGAATGAATCTAGAGCTTCGGAAAGGGGTTCATTGAACTTTGTGGTGACCTTGTCGAGACCAGGTATCTGTCTGCAAATCCGCTCAAATATCTTGACCAATTCGTCAAACACACGCTACCACAAAGTGGAAAAGTAAGCAAGAGGCCAGTAGGTAGCAACAGTCTGAAGAAGAACTAGGGAAGCGCTCCTACCATTGATTTTGCCAACCCAGCATTTGTTTCCGCAAAGTCCACTATCAGATTCGTATACATGTACCTCAAGAGTACCGCTCCTTCGGGCAGAACACCATACTTGAGCATATACCTGCACTCTTCCACAACGAGGTTGACCAAGGATTGGACACCTTGGGCATAGCCACGAAGGACAGTGTCAAAGAGACCCATGTTCTTTTTGCTATCTGGACTTTCTAAAACGGTTGCTTTGATGGGACCGAGCATATCATGCATCCGTCCGCGAACCCTGACGACTTTCCGTGTTAAATTATTCACGTCCAGTAGTGTGGTGGTTGGGTTGCCTGGTATGGTTCGTTGCGATAGGTATTGCAGTCTTGTTTGATGATCGGCTGTCTTCCAATCACCATTGAATCTCGGAGGATTGGGGACAGATGCTGCAGGCTCGGAGCTCATGATGACTGAGAGACCTGTTCGAGAAAACGCTGCGATGGATTCGACGGGAAGAGTCAAGCCGGGAGAGCACAGAATGGCTGAGTACCGTAATCTGGTCTTGGCTGCATTTTCGAGCTCACGTGTTAGAAAACCAATTGAATGTCGCATCTGCAATTTCTTCAAAGAACTGATACCAGTTTCACAGAGTCGTGTATTCGCGGTATTCGCCATGCTTCGTGTGGAACTGAGTCGGGAATTGCGAGCTTCTTTTATGCATAAACTTTCAAATCTTCCAAGTCATCAAATAGGTGCTCGTCCTTTTAGCAGCGCAGAGACCCAAGCTCTCCCAACATGTGCCGTCTTCCCAAAGCGATGCACTATTGAGGCGCAACCATGGGCGGCTCAGCCTTGTTCTTCTTCTTCTTGTCCTCGACCAACTCAACATTATCCTCAGGAACCTGCTCATACTTATCACACAACCACTCCAAGATATCCTCGCTCAAGTCTCCTTGCACAGTGATAACCTCACCCACACCACCGGGCATTTTCGTCGCCGAGGAACCAGTCGCAAACTTTTTGCCCAGCTCCTTTGCAACCTTCTTGATGTCGAGTCCAAAGGCTTCCAAGCCGGAGACTTCGGTGACGTGTTTGCGCTTGTTACGTTCGACGCGCTTGATGATGATCTTGGAGGTGGCGAGTTCTTCGGCGCGGCGGGCTTCGGCGGCAGAGGCTTTGGCTTCCTTTTTCTTTGCGTCTTTTTCGGCGCGCTTTTGGGCGTCAACTGAGAGGGTCGAGAGGTTGGCTGCTACGGCGTCNTATTTCGCTAGGCGGTTAGTGGTGTGCTGGAGATATGGGTATCGGGGATCAAGTAGGCAAAAGAGTATTGGGAGGCGGTGAGGGTGGGTCGGAAACGGACCTTCAGAGTAGAGCTTGGTGTGTAGGTCGGGGTGCTTGGACTCGAGCCATTCTTCGCACTTCTTTGTTGTACCGCCGAATTCACAGTACTGTGTTGAAGTGCCCAATCAGTTTCCCTTGCTCTTGACTTGATGTTTTGCTGGCGCGCTGCCTAACCTACTTCTGGGGGGANNGACTGCACACTGTGATGACGGGGTCAGTAACGGTTCCGTGAAAAGCGATAAACGACACTAACCTCCGCAGTACACGACCTGCCTAGGGGGAAGAGTTGCTGTCTCGGACATGATTGTTTGGTGAGTTGCGTCTTTACAAGAACGAGGCGATTTTGGAGGGGCAGCGCTCGACGTCAGTTTGGCAAGTCACCGCGGGGTCTTGCGGCCTTGGCATTGTCTTCTCCGCATTGCACCTCACTCCATCTGCTGTTTCGCTCCTGCTTCTCTGTCACGTTCGCTCACGAAAGGCACACGAGCATCCAATATGTTTGTTAAAGTGTTCATATCTCATTCTCATCATCAAGCTGCATAGCTAGCTAGGTATGTAGGGTTTTCTGGAGTTTCTTCCATCTTTTCAACCATGTTCCAGGTCGAAAATGCCATAACAGTACAAAAGCAAATCTCATAGCAATTGCTGATCGAGGAGAGCGTCGTGTTTCAGAGGCGCTCCCTACTGCAATGCTTGCTGCGAACTGGGAACGACAATCACGTCGAGTCCTGAGTTTCTGTTGATACATGAGGGGTCAATCAGACATCAACACCCTTGCAAACGACACCCTTGTGCCATTCGTACTGCATCTTGCGAGCGACTTCGTTGGCCGACTCGTGGCTGACCAGAGCACTGACAAGATAGAAGGCAGCATCGAGACCAGTCGAAATGCCACCGCTGGTGATGACGCGGAGGCCACCAAGCTTGAGCTGAGCACGTCTAGCGTTGCTCTCACGACGAGTATTGCTCTGCTTGAAAGAGAAGCTGCCCTTGCGAGCATTGCTGGGACGACGACCCGAGTGCGAGTCGGAGCGTCTGCGGATGTAGGGGTTGTCTTCCTCTTCGTTAATGTCGAAGCGAAGGTTGTTGACGACGTAGCGCTCTTCCATGACGTCGAAGCGCTCAGACATGTCGCGATGAGAAACACTCTGGTTGAGGTTCTCCATCTTGATCATGTAGTCGGGGTGAGTGGTGGCCGACAGTCCAGAGAGGATGCCGGTCTCGGCCACAAAGAGNGAGCCAGTGCAGACCGACATGAGAGTTCTCTCTCTCATGGGGTTCTTGGTCTGAATATCGGCGTACGACTTAATCAGAGCCATGGGCTCGGTGGCCTTGTTCTTGCCGAAGTAAGGGATGCTGAGGATGTTATCCGTGCCTCCACCAGGGACGATGACAACGTCGTAGTTGGCGAGATGCTTGTGAGCCTCGCGGAAGGTCATGTCGGTCTTGAACGAGACGCCCTGAGCAGATGTGACATAGTCGGAGTCGCCGACAAAGGTGACTTCGAATGCCTTGCTTTCTNNGCGAGAAAACTGATCAGTTGCTGAACCCTCAAGAAAATGATACAATAGCACGTGATGCTCGCAATGCAACTTACCAGGATCATTGGGGTCATGGCGAGCGTGGCTGAGAACTTCAAGAGGACCGATGAAGTCGAGGGCATCCAGGCCTGAGTGGAGAGTGAACAGGACCTTGACGGGCTCGGGCATAGTGCCATCACCGTCCTCAGCGATTGCACTCATCGTGCCGGTATTGTAATGTGAGGGCGGGAAAAGTAATTGGAGGTTGTTGTTTGAGACTCAGATGAGCCGATGGAGAGAAAGAAAGAGGCAGGAGGACAGCAGGTGCCTGGCTTTTGTAGTCGCAGGCAGAGGAGCTTAGCCATGAGGAAGCTACCTTTTCTGGCTCGAGGTGAGCTGATCCATCACGCTCCTTCCCAGGTACCTGCAACTGCCCTCTTCCCCATACTTTTACCCCGCACATGGATCTGCGTGCCATAGGATGGCAACGGAAGGCGTGCAGTAGCGGGTAAACCTTGAGAGAGCTCTGAAACGTTCACATGGGGGTGCGACCTTCTCACGAGTTCAATCCAAGCAGCAAACAGTCCCACAACCAAGCAGGCAGCACTCGAACAATTGCCAGCTCATACGCAGACCAATTGCTTGACGACAACAAGTCGGAAGCTGCAAGCAGGGCGGTCTCCTGACAAGTTCCGTGATGATCTCCAGAGAAAGCAAAAGCCAGGGAAAGCTACCCCACGCTGGGCATGACATGTTTTGGGTTTAGTTGATTACGTCTGGGTGTCATGCGACACACGGTTACAAGGGGAATAGCTCCGGGGGAGGAACATGGCGAGCTCAGGTACGTACGAAGTGACCGGTGCTGCGGCATTAAAGAGCCTGAGGTTTCGGAGCTCCGAGACGAGAGGTCGCGTGTAGGGGAGCTCGACGACAGCATGGAAGAAATGATCATAAGGGATGAGAAGCGAGATGTAATTGAAGCTTGCACCTCAATTGTAGATAAAAGGACTACTATTAAGACTATCAATGCAAACCGACGGGCTTCCTGTTCTTGTTTGACTCAATGCTTTCCTTCCAGGACCTCGAATGACTGTAAACTATGGATGGCCCTCTCATACGTCCACATGGTGATTGCACTGGCGGGAGCAGCTTTGAACAAGCCAACAGTCAGGCCTCTGTAAAGAGAGCGTACGCCTTCTTTGGCTGCAATTGAAGTCAGGGTGCGGAAAACACCAGTGTCGTAGACGGGTATGTTCTTGTGCACGTATTTTGCTCTTGTAGGGCCCTGAACTTGCAATCTCTTTCTGACCGTGTCGAGTGGGAAGACGGCCGTTTTGGACATCATACTGGCCAGCACACCAGCTATGGCGTCGCCAGAACCAAGAGAATTCAGAGGCATGGATACACCAGCAAAAGCAGGCTTCAATGACTCGTAGAAAGCGAAGAAGAGACCCATGTATGGCACAATCTGGCCAATTCCTGCACCCAGGCCGCGAAAGAAGCCTTTCGGACCTTCATTTTGTGAGATGTCGCGGATGGACGACAGAAGAGAGTTGTAAACGCGGTCGTTTCCCTGAGCAGCGAAGCGGGTGCGAAGAAGATCGAGAGGGTATGTGGCAGTAGTGGCAGCTGTGCCGGCGACAGCTCCAGCAATGAAGCTGACAGCAGTGCCTGGGAGCTTGTAGTTGGGCGTGAGCTCATCGATGGCCTGTGTGGCAGAGCGGTATGCCAGAAACTGAATGCCACCATATGCCAGGTACATGCCCTCTGCGGGCACGTTGCCCTTCCATAGACCGGTCAAGCCTTCTTCACGAAGGATGGTCTTGAGGGTGAAGAGGGTGCCTTTGTATACCGGACCCTTGTGCGCGTTGTGGGCGTAAGATAGCGGATCAGAGAGTGAGTGGCTCTGTAACTGTAGGCGGATCTTGACGACGTCTAGAGGAGCGATGCAGAACCTGGCGCAAAATGTTCTGTCAGCGACTATCTTATATCGTGAGGTTGATTGTGCATACCTTGAGACGAGACCGGCTATGGCGCCAGCGGCGACAACTTGCTTGCGAGAGCCCTCATCTCGGAGCTGCTCGACCTTGTTCTCAGACATGCATCTGCCGGCTTGCGGTTTGAAGGAAAGAGCGGGTTGAGTCTGGAGAGCCGAGGAAGAAGGAGCGGACAAAGCTTGGGCGCCACGGTCAAACTCCACAGTCGTTCTTTCCTCGACCAGCTTTCTTTGTTCGATCGTTGCTTCTGTTTCTTACTTGATTTTAGAAAAAAGGCAATGAGTGCAGCGGTGCGACCAACAGCTGCCATCCTGCGCAGAGCACGCCATGTGCCCGTAACACAATGTCTCGCCCGGCGGTGGCAGACATCCGCCGCAAAGCCCGCAAGCTACGACGAGATGCTCGACCTGATGGAACAAGAATATCCTGATCTCAACAAGCCTCGCAACGATCCTCCTCGTACACCCGAGTCCCCACAGCCCGAACAATCCGCCCAACAGCAGTACGGCCAACAAGATGCTCAACACCAGATCCATCAACGGGTCCCTCGCACTGTATCCCGCACTGGCTACCGACCAGTTACTGATTCTCAGACAACCCAAGAATCTTCCAATCCGAGGACGAAGACGACCGGCAGAGAAGATGCTCGTCCATCACCCCGATTCAAGCCCACAAAGAGACGCTGCCTGGATCACAGAGAAGGACTGGTACCGACGAGTACAAGCCTCGTCGCGTACCTCCCCCAGTCTACAAGCCCTCTCCTGACCAAGTCGACAATCACACATTGCCAGAGCAGACTGCGATACACAGGTCACAACCACCACTCGAGCAATCAGAGCAGTCACGGCCATTGACTGAGCCATCAGAGCAGTCACAAGCACCTCAGCGTACCCTTGACCTCGCCACCATCGCCCCGGAAGCCTCACCAACCCTCATAGCAGAACTCAACCCAGAATCGAAAGACATAGAAGCCGAGAAAACTTCAACAAAAGCAAGAATCAAGCCACGCACGACGCCATCTCCCGTGGCTCCAGAACCACTACGGAACCCTTCTACCCGAACCAACCCGACTGCCAGGGTGGCAACTGAGGAACTCCTTTCGAATACCAATTTCAATCCTTTGGAAACTGTCAAAATTAGAGGCAAGATTTTTGACAACATCTTCCTTCGCGACTCGTGCACCTGTTCCCAGTGCGTAGACATATCGACGCGTCAGAAACGCTTTGACTCTGCCGACATTCCTTCCAACATCAGAATCAGATCCTTGGATTCTGGATCCGGGCCTGATAGCGATACTGTCATCACCTGGAAGCATGATGTCCACGGCTTTGGTCCGGATCATGTAACCCGACTGTCCAACAAGCGCCTCGTACGTTCGACGCTTTATCCAAAGACCCATGAACACACGGGAGGGAAATGGGCCTGGAACAAGTCCGTGCTGGAGGAACGCATGGTCGATTTTGATTACAATGAATACATGTCGGACGAAAAGGTGCTCTTCCGAATGTTAGAGCAACTACAGATGTTTGGCCTGGTATTTATCAAGAACCTCCCTGAGGCAGAGTCATCCGTCATTCAAACGGCCAACCGCATCGGGCCTCTCAAGAACACCTTCTATGGCGAGACATGGGATGTGCGCAGCGTCTCGAACGCAAAGAACGTCGCCTATACTGATGTGCATCTTGGCTTCCACATGGATCTGCTCTACATGCAGCAACCTCCGAGATTGCAGCTTCTGCATTGCCTTCGTGCATCTGATCAAGGTGGCGTGTCTCTGTTCAGCGATGCTTACCGATCTATGCAAGCAGTCTATGATATGGACCAGGCCGCGTTCGAGGCTCTTTGCGAGACGCCAGTCAATTTCCATTATGACAATGACAACCACCATTACTTCCGCAGTCGACGCACGTTCCAATTGCGCGAGGGCATAAACAAATTGCCTGGGAGGCTCCATGGTGTGTGGAATTTCATGGAGGCGGTGAATTGGGCGCCCCCATTTCAAGCGCCCTTCAATCACACCAAGGGCGATGTGGCATTCGCCAAGAGTATACGAGCATGGCATGAAGCGGCGCAAATCTTTCGAAATATGACAGAGATGAAAGAGAATATTTACAGCCGGCAGATGGCACCTGGTGAGTGTGTGGTCTTTGACAATCGCCGTGTTCTGCATGCCAGGACAGCATTTGCTGGTGGCGAAAGATGGCTCAGAGGTGCTTATCTGGATGATGATCCGTATCTGAGCAAGATGCGAGTGTTGGGCAGGACTTATGGAAATATTAGAAGAAGTGGCAGGGTCCGACCTACGCCTGCACCAAACTTTAGTATATAGACCAGCGGTGTAAATATTACGTGTCGATATGACTGCCTTGGGTACTTTTAGCATGCGTCCACGTTCACTGGGAGTCGATGTCGCATTGCGTTGATTTTCAGCCGAACGGACCGTAGGCCTCCTCAATGACTATGCGACACACAGGTCATACTCAAGCGTAGATAACGACTCTTTTCTGGTATTTGTAAACATTTACTCGCCAGTAATACAAGACAGAGCTTAGGAACAATGGCTGGACAATCCGTGGCAGGGTCAGTACAACAACAGGCGATGCCAAGTTTTTGAGCTTATCGATAAGCGCAAAAGAAGACCGAGAGACTTTCAGAAGTTTGCCATGCATTAGAATATTTATTCCGCCTAGAAACCCCCAAACCGCTCCTATACAACAACGATAGACAGACAGACCGCCAATATGATGTTGAGACAAATGTGCGCATATCCTGTGTATGCAGTCTCCGAAGACAGCGCGCTAACTCAGCACACAGCAAACCCAAGAACGCGCGCAGCAAGCGCGCCCTCGAAAAGAAAGCGCCCCAACTGCACGAAAACGCAAAAATGACCCTCTTCCTGCGCTACACGTCCTGCTCCGAAATCGTGCAACTCTGCATGGGCGACCTGCACTCCCTCAAACGTCCCTTGGCCCAAAAGTTCACCAAGAAAAACGACATTCACCCTTTCGAAGACCCTTCGTCGCTGGAGTTTTTCGCAGAGAAGAACGATTGCAGTCTTATGGTGTTTGGCTCGCACAGCAAGAAGCGTCCTCACACCGTTACGTTTGTGAGGTTCTTTGACCACAAGGTGTTGGAGATGTTGGAGTTGCATGTTGATGTGGATACCTTCCGGACGATTTCGCAGTTTAAGTCTGCCAAAGCTCGTGTTGGTCTCAAGCCTTTGGTTTCCTTCTCTGGCACAGCTTTCGACTCGCCCGTCTCAAACACATACACCATGGCCAAATCTCTGCTTCTCGATTTCTTCAAGGGCGAAGACACGAATAATGTGGATGTGGAGGGTTTGCAGTACATGGTGCACATTTCCGTGCCCGAAGAGGAGGATGCCCAGCCCGCGCCCAAAATCTGTCTGCGCACATACATGATCAGCACGAAAAAGTCTGGACAATCGCTGCCGAGAGTCGAGGTCGAGGAGATGGGCCCCAGAGTGGATTTCCGCGTCGGCAGAGTCAAGGAGGCTGATGTGGATATGATGAAGGCTGCTATGAAGAAGCCCAAGGGTCTGGAGGTATGTTCTGCTTTCCTGCTACTACTATTACCTACCTGCAGGTTACTGACAAACATCATAGNNGCAAAGAGCAAGAAAAACATCGAGACCGACATTATCGGAGACAAGGTCGGCCGCATCCATCTCGGCAAGCAAGACCTCAACGACATGCAAACGAGAAAGATGAAGGGTCTCAAGAGAAGCAGAGACGACGACACCGAGGGCGGCCCCGTGGTCTCGGACGACGAAGGCGAGGATGTCGAGACCGATGGCGGTGTCGAGATCAAGAAGATCCGTGTCTAAGCAGAGGGAATTGGGTGTCTGCTGGCACTAGAACATGCATGATTCATCGTGAGGGATCAACAAAAGGAAAAAAAGTACTTGTCGTGTTCTTTTCAGAGCGTGGAGTTCAGGGTCATCAAATCAAATGGTTCTTTCTTTCCGGATAAGAAGAAATACAAAAACAATGACATAAATTGCAAATCGCCTTCGTGCATGTTGATCGTTGGTCTAGTTGATGTTGTTTTGTTTTCAATGATCTTGTCATTGCTGCTGGCCTATGTCTATAAGCTTTCCGCTCCCATTCCTTTATATTTGATCAAGAACGCCATTTCCCCAGTCCCCTCCTGATATGCTCTTCTCCCTTCAACGTCCAATTTATGCAGTAACCTCCTCGACAGTACCCTTCTTCTCAATACCCTCCGCCGGCTTGGCGTCAACATTAGGGTTGTTCTGCACCATGCGCTGCAACTCGTCAGCAGTTTGATTGAGCAAAATCTCAACATCTTTGGGAGCTTCGAGTATGCTTGATGAAAGCATTGAATCGATGGGAGGGGTTGAAGTGTTTTCTTCAGAAGCAATGGGATGGTTTAATGTGTTCTCTTCCGTCTCGACGGATTTCATGGCAAGGAGTTGTGCAGGGGTGAGGGATTTGAAGTAAGTGGCCATGGCTGTGCATACCAGGAGGTTGCGGAGCAGGATCATGATTGTGACTTTGCCGACCGCGGGCACGTAGATTGAGGCGTGTTCTTTGACTGCTGGCGTGAAGTTCTGTTTGTGTTGGGAGTTCTGGATCAGTCTTTCGTCTCCTTTACCGTTCCGGGAACAACTAACCTTCTCACTGGAGAAGTTGATGCAGACGGCACCGTCTCTGATCTTCTCGACGGGAACCTTGAACTTGTCGCCAGGGACACCACTGATGACAACATCGCTGATGGCAAGGCAGTCCTCCATCGTCATGTCGGGCTTCTCCTCGACGACGTGCTGCTGGTTGCGCAGACCCTGGCCTCTGCTGAATCTCTGCACACCAGTCACGTCGACCGAGTAGACCTCTGCACCGTCGTTTGCCAACAGAGCAGCCAGGGGTCTTCCGACGACCTCACTTCTGTTGATGACTGTGATTCTTCTGCCCCAGAGTCTCTTTCCATAGTCCAGGATGGTGTTGTAGATGTTGAGGTATTCGAGAATCTTAATCATGGCGAGAGGAGTGCACGGCAGGATAGACTTTTGGGTGTTGTGAGGAGGGTCGAGGAAGCGGATGTTTTGGTACATGTTGTTGATGAGCTTGGGTGACAGGCCCTCGACGTCCTTGTGCATGTCAACGACATATTGGATGGTGCGGTCGCGCGAGGTGTTGAAGACGGGGTAGTAGACCAGAATGCCGTCTACGCTGTCGTCGGCGTTGGCATCGCGGATGGCTTCTTCGAGCTCTTCACGCTCGACCTCGCGCAGGGTGAATGCAAAGCCACTTGATCATGTTAGCCCAAGACAGCTTGTCTTGTCGCCCTCTCATGGTGCCCCTCAAGGGGTGAGTAGGGGGCTCGTAGAAGAAGGTCGGGCTCACTTGTCGATACAGGTCTTGCCGGTCCAGTCAGCGTACATGCGCGCCGCTGGATCCTTGTTTGCCAGGAAGCCGACCAGGTGAGGCTTGCGACTCAATTTAGCCAGTCCTTCGGCCACCTCCGCCTGGAGCTTCTTTGCAATGTTGGCCGCAAGGACGACCTTGCACGAAGTGGGGTTGGTGCTCATATTGATGGCTTCGTATCCAGGTCAATCGTCTTTGAATGCGGATTCAAAGGGTTTGTTATAGCTGTTGAAGCCTTTCTTTAATAACCTGCGACGAGAGTGAGTACAAACAAAGAAAGAGCGCACTTTGTCCCTGCCCTGTTCAAATCTTTCCTATGTCTTCCGAGTCACACTCCCCACCAGACCTGTCCATCATGTAAAAAAATGTTTCGGCATTGCGCCTGCCCAATCAGCGCCCAGAAACTCCGCAAAGCTCGGGCCTCCGCCGTCCAAAACATACGCACGTCATTTGCGTAACACGCCCGCCGCCCTCCAAAATCATCTCCGTCAAAGAAACCACGTAAAGAGGCAATCCAGATGGTGCTGGACTAGACCATTGACTGTAACACAACGAGATCATGTCCGACATACAGCTCTACCTGGTCGAGGCCGACAAAAACAAGGACGAGGCTAGAAGGCTGGCCGCTCGTTCTGCTGCCGCTCTTGCCAATGGAGACCTCAAGCTCGTCGAACTCATCGAAAACGCCGGAGAATACATCAATCACGAGGATGCAAACATGCGAATCAAGTCGCTCTCTTACCTGGCTGATGTCCTGGAACAAGTCGCTCCGAAGGTCTTGAAAGGTCAACAGCGTAATCTCCTATGCGGCTTTGTTCTTACCAGAGTTGCCGATGATAGCGAGGGTACAGGCCATTGTGCGAGGGCGCTCATGGCCCTGGAGAAGCTGGGTAAATGGGACTCGGATACTGCGGCCAACATTGCAAATACGTGGGTTGTTCCGATCCAATCAGGCAGTCAAACACGCGACTAATACTGGTATAGCTTCGTGAGTGATTCTCAGACTCTCAGAGACCACAAGCTGCAAAGCGAGCGTTTCACAATTCTTCAACTATTGGACCTGCTACTCAGGAACTATCGCAAGGCGCTCAAGGATCTGCATAACGACGACCATGATTTCCTGGCCAGGTTCATCACCTACTTCGATGGAGAGAAGGATCCTAGAAATCTGATGATTGTCTTTTCAATCCTTCAAGTCCCTATGACCGAGTGGGACCTTGGTCCGCATGCCCAGGATCTGTTTGATTCGGTCTTCAACTACTTCCCTATCACATTCAAGCCTCCACCAGGTGACCCTTACGGTATCACTGCACAGGATCTTAAAGGACGCCTTCAGGACTGTATTTCCGCATCCTCGGATTTCGCACCGTACTCGTTCCCGGCCCTCCTCGATAAACTTGATTCTAGCTCTATCAACACTAAGCGCGATGTCCTAGCTGCTATTAAAGGTTGTGTCACCAACTACGAACCCACTACCATTTCTTTGTACTCGGTCACACTTTGGGACTCGCTCAAGTTTGAGATTCTGAACGTCGAGGAGGAAGACTTGGCACAGGAGGCGCTCGCTATTCTCGCTGCAATCGCCAACCAATTGAGCCAGGTTCAAGAAGGCGCACTCACCGCGTATCTCAAACCAGTCATCAAAGAGTGCAACGAACATCTCGAAGATGCACCTACCAAACAATCTCAGGCCGCTGGTCGCATCATCAACAGCATTGCAAAGACCTCTCCTGAACTCGCCAACACAATGACAAAGGCTATCCTTCCTCACTTGTTCGAGCTATTCCAGTCATCCGAGTCAATCGCCAAGCGACGTGGTCTCATCGAAGTTCTCAACTCGTTGATTAGCGCGACCAAGGATGTCTCGGATCAGTGGAAGATCTACAATGTAGAAGGCGTCCTCGTGGCAGATCGTGCTGATGAGAGTGCGTTACGCGATTGGAGCGCGGAAGCTCTCGAAGCCATGCTCAGGGCTGTTGTCAACGCTCCCAAGTCTGAAGTATCATTCCGTCTTTTTGCGATCGCAGGTCTCATTGGTATGGTCAAGATTCCAAAGTTATTAGCCGATAGCGACGTTTCGCGCATCATTGAATCGTTCACGGACATCATCATCCAAGAACGCTCCGCTGCAAACTCCGAGGTCGAGGGAGCGGCTATCAGTGGATTGGCCGTGGCTGCTCATCATAGCCCAATCGTTACATCGGAGAAGGCTCTACCCACGTTCCTTGCTGAGCTACCAGACAACCCCACTTTGGGCTCGAGGTACGAGAAGGTGCTTGAGGCATTCACCAAGCTTAGTACAGAGGCACAGGTCTTCGACACGATTGTTCTGCGTCTGAAGAACAAGCTCCAAGCTGCTCTGCATCAACAGGCCAACATCACCTACGTCCACGCGCTTCTCATGGCCATTCTCTTTGCTTTCTCCAACGGATCTCCAGGAGCTGAAGATGGAGTCATTAAATTCTCATATTTCTCAGACATCGCAAAGCCACTTCTAGACCAAGCCCTGGGTCTCTCAGAAAGTGGTTCGCGCTCATTAAGCGACCACACAAGTGCCGACATCATCGGCCGTATCAGCAACATCATTCTCAAATCGCAAACAATGCATCTGCAGAATCAAGTATTGGCGGAGTATGAGTCCTCTTTTAGCTCTTTCGGAGAAGACGCATCCGATGCCTACTCGAAAGCTGCCGTCATTGCTTCGTTACATCTCAACGCTGCTTTCCAGCGCGAGGCCCTGACTCCCGAGTCAGCTACGAACATTCTCGGATCGCTGGCTCGTACCGCAAACAATTCATCAACGTTGCCAAACGTGCAACTCTCGGCTCTTCGACAAACTGCTCTAGTAGTAAACAAGTTCGTACCTCCAGCAGATCTAGAGCAATCTTTGATCAGCACTTCTACGGACGTAGCATCTCTGCTTGGGAAAAATCGCTCTTCTGAATCAATAATTCTGGCCTTCTCTGTTGCCAAGGGCTTGTTGATTCAGGGCAAGAGCAATAAATACACAACAGCTTATCTTCAAAGCTTGTTGGAACTATTATCGGATCCCACATTCGGAAGCGTTGCAGCCCGTGGCTTCGCCACGATGCTCGCACCTGACGACATCTTGTCCAAAGAGAACCACTGCTACGTTTCTGGCCTCTACAAACAAAAATCGTTCAATCAGACAGTGCCTTCCATCTCGGCCTCCAGCAAATCCGTCGACTCGGCCGTAAAATCAAACTACCTTGTCGCATTATCTGGAATACTCAGATGGCTGCCCTACACAATCATCGAGAACTCTTTGTCAACACTCGTACCGCTTCTACTGCAATCTCTCGATCTGCAAGATCAAGCCCATCAAGATGTCAAATCCGCAACCCTAACCTCTGTGGAAACCATCATCACGCAAAACGCATCAGCACTTTTCGAGCACGCTTCGTCGTTGATCTCACGTCTGCTTGCATGCACCGCCGCCCCAGATAACACACCGCAGGTTCGCAAGGCAGCCCTGCGCTGCTTAACGCACCTCCCAACTCAGTTTAAGAGGGAGGCGGTTGTCCCGTACCGAAGACAGGTTGTTAAGCGGTTGATGGGCTGTCTCGACGATGGCAAGAGAGCTGTGCGCACCGAAGCCGTGCGCTGCAGAACTGCTTGGCTCAGCCTTGACCAAGAAGATTCGGATGAGGAGTAGAGTTCTGGGGCTGGGTGGCCTCCTTGCTCCATCGTGGGGAGAGGCTAGTGCACAAGCGAAGACTGTGACCTCGAACACCCTTTCCGATGAGGGCCTGTACATGGTGCTAGTACGATTCGGAAAGTCGATGTCGCTTAGACGATTGCAGTTGCGTTGCCAACAACTGCAGTTTGGTAGTCGCCGTCCACCCATACGCACGTATAAAATTCGCTAGACCTGATTTTCATCGATAGAGTATAGACTTTTGCTTTAGCTACCTGTCAAACGTCGTCTTTGTTCGGAGTGGAGTTTGTTCTTAGCGGACGACCGGGATTGGTAGGATGAGTTAGGGTGAGGCTGTTCCAGGGCTACAAGGTTTGGAGGCCGAGTTTATCGATACCCTATGGGCCCTTTGCTACGTTGAGGCTCTTGTGGTTGGCTAAGACACATAGTTCTGGTGGGAGTCCCTTTCTTGGTCAGCCCAGTGGTGGTTCCTTCTATCCTATCTGACCAATCGTAGTCTCTTGACCGTATTCTGCTGAGATGATCTGTACATCTAGTCTCAGTCGATGCGTTGCTGGGCAAGACCGCATCCGGTTGCGACTTCCTGATGCTGAACTTCACCTGCATCGAACTTGACTTTGGTATGGCGAGAGGTGCTGGACTCGACCCTTTCACATGTAGCACCGTGCTCTCTCCACCTTACTGTCGATCTTGTCTCGATGTTCGTTGGGCTGTGTAGAGGTTCTTGTGTTTTGGCTTTCTGGCATGTGTGATTGCACGTCTTGCTGCTGACTTCAGCTGCTTGAAGAGCATATATATCAGGGAGACAGGCGCTCTCTGGTGGTCCTTTGCCACCACAGCAGGCAACTCCTTCATCAAACCATCGAGCTCAGCTTGAGCAATACCTTCGAACATCTCTTTTGCACTCCTGAACACTATTAAATCGCAACCATCTTATCATTCATTCTAATTATCGAAGGCGTCCTCCACAATGTCGACCTCAGTATACATGCCATCACAAGCTCCACGCAAAGGCTCAACAACATCACGCCACCGTCGCTCAACAGTATCTCTGCATTCGACACCCGGTCTCGGGCTAATCCGAACAATCTCGAAGGACCTGCGTACTGGTTGGCATACTACTACCGCTCTGCAAAATGAACCAGTCACTCCGCCATCATCAGCACCTGTGCCTCAAGCGTACAAGCCCAAGTATGCAGCACGAGATGCCATGAAAGGCTTCACTCCTGCTGCGCCAGGACCTGAGGACCTTCAACAAACGGCAAACTCATATTTCGACGAGCAAAACAACCAGCCCTCGCCTCGCTCTCGTCAAGACTCTCTAGCACCCATCTCTCCCATCACACAAGATGCAACGAAACCACTTGCTTGCGTAGAGGCAGGATTGATCCCTGATCATTCCTTCGACACATGGACCGCAGCTTGGGATTCTGCTTACGAGCGACGAATCAACACTTACCATCACTGCCCCTCTCCCACCTCTGCCACTTTTCCTTCGTCATCTGCGCCATCGAACTCTACCTCATCAACAACGTCGGAGAAAAAGAAGCGTACGAAAAGTACCAGACCACCACTCACCGGCCGCCTCTCAGTGACCAATGCAGAAGTGAAACGCTTCGTCTTCGGCGACAGAGAAGACAAGAAGAGAGGATTTGAGTCTCCAGAAGCTTTTCTGATGCCAAGAAGGGACAGCGAGGTGCCGAGTTTGGTGCTCTCAGAGGTGTCGAGCAGGGATAGTGGACTCGAAGATTTGGATGAGGGGGATGAGGATGAACAGGTGCAAGCAGAGATTGAGGAACATGGGAGGCCGAAGATGGCGAAGGAGAGAAATCCACGAGGGTCGCTGTTGCACCTGTTGTTGTTGATGCGGAGGTCTTGCGATAGAGTAGTCCGACGAAGATAGTCTGAAGGATAGAATATGGAAATGGTCACATGATGATACTAGACGGTCAATTCTCTGAATGGTATCATAAATCTCGCTCCATCTGCGTCTCTGATGTTCATGACCCATCAGACACACTATCGCCATCTTCATCCTGGCTCAGGAAGCGATGGTTACAACTGATCGTTCGAAACTCTGGCCTGTAACCGCAAGATCTATCAGTAGGGCAAGGAGGGCGTCCAGTTCAATGTACCCAAACTCAGGTTGCCTCTCTCCTGCACAACGCTTCCATGATTCACCCTCAAAGCAGAATCGTGATATTCGTGAGATCGCTCAGGAGAAGTACTTATCACTGACCCTGGTGCCTTCTTCCTTTGTGTGTCTCTTAAGAAGAACTCGCTCCATCCGCTACCTTTAATCCTCGAAATTCACGTTTCCCATGGGGGAAAAAGACTAAATCTCAACCTAACGTATCAATGGGCTATCTTTTTCGACTTACCAGATGGCTATCCGCAGCGTCTATGTAACTAGTCGTGATCGAGCGTATAGGAATCCGAAACGCAAGAAGAATTTTATGCAAGGGGCTTTGTCTTCAAAATTCCATGCAAGGAACACTAACCACACCTCTACCCCTATAAAAGCTAACAAGGCTCTCTCTGACATAATTTGACATCCTTCTTTTTTTTTATACCAAAACATCCCTTTTATGCCCAGAGAACCTTTCCATCTCGACACGGAGAAGGGCAGCCTTACTTTGATAGCAGTATTGCTATTGACACAATCTTTCTGCTAACTGAGATGGACGGTGACGTCGCAAACGAGGTCGATAAGTCCGACTTTTCTACTTCTCTCCCGTGTTCGCGTGGACTGTCTAATGTTGTTGCGTTACATCTGCTAAGATTCAGGAAACATCGTGGACACGAGAAATAGGAAGAAAGTAGGGGTCTTATCGACCTTTAACACAACAAGGCACTACATTGTCGACGAGGCTTCCCTCACGATAAGCACAGCGGTGTCAAAGAACGACTGAGCCAGCAAGGCAGTGTGCGGGTGGCAAAGTTGCGAATCTTGTTGTTAGTATCTTCATCCGATCGGGAAAGATGGCTATAACAAGATGAGAGTCATGTTCAAAGTCAGCAAGAACGACCTTTACACTTGAGCTTCCCATTCCAGTAAGGTATCATAGCAATAATGCTGTAGGAAAAAGTTCGTCACAAAAGGTACACGTGTACCCTGCCCCTGAGCCACTTAGGCAGCAGCATAGAACTTTTTCCTTCATAAACACAGAAGCCGCTATCACGATATCTTCCTGACTTATTCCTATGATCGCTACTTTCATAATGTCCACGAATAACTTGTCTGAATTTTGGGTATCCATACCAAGCAACTTGCGCAATGCCATCGAGCAAGCAGTCCCGGCTCAAATCCTAAAGGAGCGATTGACCATCTTCACTAATCCGATGACTTTGGTATTCAAATACACGCAATTGGAAGACCTTCTGCAAGACATGGTCGCGGCGAAAACACGACCCAGACAGCCGTCTGACAACGAAACCAGCGCCGACCAAAGCACCCCAAAAGTTTCAGCTCTATCCCCGCTAGCCATGCTCCAAACCGAGATGAAGCATTACGCTGCTGCCGAGAAATCCTGGCGTGGTCTCCTCTACATCAGTGCTCCCTCTCGGACTGATCTCGCCGCGATGTCCAATCTCATCGACGTGCTCAACCTACAGCACAAACATGCACAAGCAGAGACTTTCTCACTACGATTGATACCGCTGTTGCAGGCGGAATTGGGCGAGAATAGCCCGCAATCTTTGGGTGTGATGCGCAAGTTGATGGAGAGCTTGGTGGGGCAAGGTAAAAAGGAGGAAGCAAGACAGGTGTATCAAAGAAGCATGGAGCTGGTTGTTACCATCAGCGATAGCGATATCAAGAAGGACGAAGCCGATGCTCTGCAAGAGATGGTTAGGAAGATTGACGCATCTGGTGGTTTATTGTCGTCAGTTTTGCGAGTCATGGGATGGACATGAAGGTGGGTGTTCAGCGATCCAAGGGTCGTACTAAAGTGTGCCACTGGTGTGGTTGCAGAAAATGTGACTGTTTTCTGACCCAGGTTGGTCAGGCATGTGAGGTTGATAGCTTCGAGTGGATAGCTTCTTGATTATTAAAAGCATCGTCTATATCGTGGTTGTAGTACCGTTTTCTACTGGCGTGACAGCATAGTTCGAAGGATTTGTCCAACACCGTGAGGTTGTTAATCAGAGTGACAACGTCGTATGTGCACGGGTTCAGCAGCTTGTTAGGACTCTTTGCAACACATATTGCCAGGATCCTATGCAACACATGTTGGAGAAACTGGTTCAGCTTTTCGTCAACATCCAGAGACGTATGACAGTAGCACCAACGAGGCGCAGAGTCGGTCGAAGTAAGTGCCGACATCTATTGCTTCCCGGTACAAGGCTGACCAAGCTTAGTCGGGATGGCCTTGCTGCACGACAGCATAAATAGACAGCAAGCGGCGATGAGCAGGGAACATAGCCTGTAGGGTACTGAAGCCCCACATGATGATACTAATACAGAAGTCAGGTGTGCAAGTGTGCAGGTGGGTGCTCATGAAGTATTGGAGGTAGAGGATTGAGGTTAGTGATGGGTATATATCTCGGACCGAGATGGAAGTCGACGACTTATCCGCTATCCTAATGGCAAACGGGATGAATGACAAGCAAGTGCGGTCGTGAGAGCAGGTCTTTGAAGGAGGTTCTGACTTGAACGTGGTCGACGACAAGAAGGATCGGCGAAAAGTGCGTGGGCGGCAGATCGGAACCCCACTTGCTCCTCCGCATACACTTAGCCGCATGAGTGAGGAGAGTACTTCAGTACATCATGGAGCTCAAGGTAAGAACAGTAAGACGGCTGAATCTCTGATGTCCCATCTCCTCAGCAGAACCCTCCTTCTTCCCTCGACGTTCGTGGAATCGATTTGCTTCTTTCAACCTCTCACAATCAAGACCAATATATCGCTTTATAGATTTTGATCACTGGCGAAATGGTTGTAGCTCGTCAAGAACCTCCTTGGGCGGCGCGTAGCTCTTACTTTGCGTCGTTGTACTCCGCTCAACAAGCTGCGCAGACAGCCTCTCCACAAGTGGATGATGATGACCAGGACAACAGCGGCCAGCAATTCAGTAACAGTGGCTACGACGACCAGACTGGATCAGCATTTTCAACGGCGACTGATCTTGCTTTCGGAGCCACGACAGCGACATTGGAAGATGGTGCGACCTCAACGACAATGACAAGTACTTCTGACCCAGTTGCTCAGTCACTGACGAGCGATGGAGTCCTCACACCCGGATCCACACTGCAAACCACTGCCACGCCAAGTATGACGACCAGTATATCGTGGGCGCAACCAGCATGGCAATCTGGCTGGCATTCGTACGCTCCGTCGTATACCAACACAGCCACGGCCTCTGAGACTAGCCCTGCAAGCCTGACTCCCGGCCTGAACATTCAAAACAAAGCTCATCATGGTCCAAACACGACTCTAATCGCCGGCGTTGTTGTTCCAATAGTGATTATATTGGCAGGTGGTCTCGTGGCCTTGACTTGTCTGCGCAGACGACGAAAGCGTGCTACTGTCACCCACAACGAAGATGCCTCCGTCATCGACGCGGCGGCACCGGTTTCGATGGTAGAGAAGGTAGCGGGAAAGAAACCCAGTACCGATGTTCATCGTCCAAATCAGACGACCGTGTTGTCGCCGATTGATGAGGCAATGGCAGCCCCTCAGCTTCCTCAGCTGGTGATCACTTCATCTCAAAATGCAACTTACTTTACTGGTCTGGACACTTTCTCTGTGCACTCAGCAGCCACGACCGAAGACCCTCCACCACCTTACCGAGCACGAAGTATGTTGAGCCATACATCATCCGAACGACGTCAGCCCAGTATAGTCACACAGAGCGCAGCTCTCGCACCAATCTCGCCGGTATCGCCAGTATCGCCGATTTCTCCTGTGGCTCACCTCGCCTCACCTTTCTCCGACGCCAATGCGATAGCTGTTGCTAGGTCACCCTCTCAAAGGTCGTTCGCCAGTACATTGTATTCAAGCAATGCTAGCGTCTATGAGGCACGACCTGCCCGGCGAAGCACGGGGCCTGCGGAGTATGTTGTCAGCCGGAGGTTGTCAACTGATGATCAGATCCGAGTAAGATCGCCATTTGAGGATCCGGAGGATGAGTTTGTTGGCGAACGACGCGAGAGATTTTGAGAGCGCTGGACGGCGCCAGCGCATGAACTTTCTTTGCTAGTACGCACGTATACACGACTGACGAGCCTCCGGCTTCATGTTTCTCGGCTTTGGACTTGTGGCGTTTTGAGCGAAATAGGGTTGTTGAAAGCTTTTTGCAAATTTGATATATAGTACGTGTAATGACAACGCGACCGCGGTGAATGGTTCGTTTGCTCTACCTCGTAGGCAAAGACTTTCTGGGTGCGAATGCGACCTCTTCCGGGAGACGGAATGAAGCACAGAACATTCTTTTCTTGGGTGCAACATCTCTGACATCGAAGATGCTGAGTTCAGGGGTTTGCGGTGTGACTTCGTAGCCGATTTGCTCAGATATCTTTTTGCAGATGCTGATGCCTTCTTGTACGTTGTCATCGCTCTTGGTGTCGAAACAATAAACATGAATCATAGGGAGCTTGAAGTCGGCGGGAAGCAGCTTCCTGTCTTCCTCTGTGTACAGACCGATGAATGCAGGCAAGAACTCGATTGCGCTCGCGGGCAGGTTCATAACGTAGTGGGAGAAGGTGTTGGGTTCTTTGATGGTCTTCAAGACTTTGGGCGGCGCTTTGGTTGCCTTAGCCTCGGTACGAGTCTGCTTTGCAAGGACATGTACTTCATGCTTGGTCGTTAGAAGCTTGTGGGCAGCGTCCTTGATAAAGGCATGGCCATCCTGGTTGAACGGCCTTACGAATTGGTCGACTTTGTTGCGGCTGATAGCGTCAAGCATGCTGGAGTGACTGTCCGGGTTGAGGTCGTTGGCCCAAACAAAGACACCCTTCTTGCCTGCGGGCACCGCGAAGGGTCCAATGCCAGCCATGACATCGCAAACAGCTTCACCCTTGGCGAAAGAGTCGACAAGCCTTTGGTGTTCGGTGTTCAATCTGCTGTTCCAGTAGACCTTTGCATAGTTGAACTTGAATGTGCAGTCGGCTTCACGGATCTCGACGTCCATGTCGTCGGGACCAGCAAGAACTTCATACTTGAAGGTACGATACTCGCTCTCCTCACCAACATCATCAATCTTGTTGATGACCGTTCTGACGGCAGGATTCTTGTCAACCAAGATCTCACCGATGATGTTCTTATAAGGCATGTACTGTTCACGAAGATTCAGATGTGCGACGTGACCGACGAGTGTGAATCCAGACGGAATCTCATCGTGCTCTTGACTCTGAGGAAGTACGGCACTGGCAATTTCCTCTNNGCTGGGATTAGTGCGTGTGCAGTTGAATGTTTATCATGACTTACGATAATCCCAGTAATCATAGTCGAGTTGAACCTCATAGGGAATGATGTTGATCATGTTGGACTTTTCCAGTTCGGAGACAGTCTTGCTCCAGGGGTAGTCGGCGCCTNNACAAAGGTATCAGATGGTGTTGCGATAGTAACTGTATCATGATCTCTCACCCTTTTCGTCAACCTGCGGCCTCAGCAGAATGCACTTCTTTCCAGCCTTTGCATCAGCCTCGTCTGGATCGGGTCTGACAATCTGGTACCTTTCAAGACGGAGGACATCGTTCGCCTTGAACAGTTCAGATCTGCACTTGGAAATAGTCTTGTTGTCAACAACGCGAGCGGCCGAGGCAGGAATTTTCTTCTGGAAGAAGGAACGATCCAGGACGCGCATGGCGCGGTTGACTGGAGGTCTGAACATGTCCTCTGCCATTGAGTGAGTTCTGATGAGATGTTGATTATACCGAGAAGTACCGCATGAACCTCTTCTGAATTGCGCCTGGCGTATGGAATTATGTGGGAGGGTTCAAAAGTTCAAGTCACTACTCCATAGACAGAGCACCAGCCACAGTGTGGCTGAGTGACGCAGGTGTTGTGGGGAAAGTTGTAATCAAAGCACCGAGGGACCAACAGCAACCCATCGACAAACCGCGCCATGTCGCCTATAGTCTGGCGCACTCAATCCTCCAACTGGTCATAGACAACACACGACTCGCGACATCTACAATACCGCCAAGATGGCGCTGGGTGGCGGAGGCAACATCAAGGTCGTGGTGAGAGTGCGACCTTTCAACAGCAGAGGTACCTCCCTGTACAACTCGACACCAACGTGCTAGAGACTGACCTTGTCGTCATGCANNGAGATCGATCGCAAGGCACAATGTATTGTGCAGATGAAAGGCGAGCAGACGGTGCTCTCTCCGCCAACGAATGTCGCCAACAAGAATGCAAAGGCCGCCAATGAGGGTTCCAAGACCTTCGCCTTCGACAAGAGTTACTGGTCATTCAACAAGAAAGACGCCAGCTATGCCGGCCAGGACAACCTCTTTGACGACCTCGGGAAGCCGTTGCTGGACAATGCCTTTGGGGGTTACAACAACTGTATCTTCGCCTACGGTCAGACTGGTTCCGGAAAGTCCTACTCGATGATGGGTTATGGTCCGGAAGAGGGTGTCATCCCCAAGATTTGCAGAGCCATGTTTGAGCGCATCGAGGACGCCCAAAAGGACAACAACCTGAACTGCACTGTCGAAGTGTCGTACCTCGAGATCTACAACGAGCGCGTCCGAGATCTGTTGAATCCCTCGACCAAAGGCAACCTCAAAGTTCGCGAACATCCCTCGACCGGTCCGTATGTCGAAGATCTCGCCAAACTCGTCGTTCGCTCCTTTGCCGAGATTGAGCATCTCATGGACGAGGGTAACAAGGCCCGCACCGTCGCAGCCACCAACATGAACGAGACCAGTAGTAGATCGCATGCTGTCTTTACCCTCACCTTGAGTCAGAAACGCCATGACGCAGACACTGGAATGGACACAGAAAAGGCCGCCAAGATCTCGCTGGTCGATCTGGCTGGTTCAGAAAGAGCTCAGTCTACAGGTGCAACTGGCGCACGCCTGAAGGAAGGTGCTGAGATCAACAGATCTCTGTCTACACTTGGTCGTGTTATCGCTGCTTTGGCCGACCTTTCCAGCGCCAAGCCTGGTGCCAAAAAGAAGAACGCCCAGGTTCCTTATCGCGACTCGGTCCTCACTTGGCTGTTGAAGGATTCCTTGGGCGGTAACAGCATGACGGCTATGATTGCTGCCATCTCACCTGCCGACATCAACTTCGACGAAACGCTTTCGACACTTCGTTACGCAGACTCTGCAAAGCGCATCAAGAACCACGCCGTTGTAAACGAAGACGCCAACGCTCGCATGATCAGAGAGTTGAAGGAGGAACTTGCCCAACTACGTTCAAAACTTACCACCGGTGGTAGTGTGGGCGAAGGTGGTGCAACTGCTGGTGAACAATACCCGCCGGACACGCCTTTGGAGAAGCAGATGGTCTCCATCACACAAGCTGATGGCACAGTCAAACAAGTGTCAAAGGCCGAGATTGTGGAGCAGTTAGACCAGTCCGAGAAACTTTACCAGGATCTGAACCAGACATGGGAGCAGAAGTTACAGAAGACGGAGCTTATCCATAAGGAGCGTGAAGCTGCTTTGGAAGAACTTGGTATCAGCATTGAGAAAGGTTTCGTTGGCTTGTCAACACCCAAGAAGATGCCGCATCTTGTCAATCTGAGTGATGATCCGCTCCTTGCAGAGTGTCTGGTCTACAATCTCAAGCCTGGCACGACAACGGTCGGCAACGTCGACACGGCAAAGACTGCAGAAATTAGACTCAATGGTTCCAAGATCTTGCACGAACACTGCACATTTGAGAACGAAGACGATGTGGTTACTGTAGTTCCTAGGGACAATGCAGCCGTCATGGTCAACGGTCAACGTGTGGACCAGCCTAAGAGACTGCGCAGTGGTTACCGTATCATACTGGGTGACTTCCATATCTTCCGTTTCAACCATCCGCAAGAAGCAAGAGCAGAACGAGCCGAAGAAGGAAGCCGCTTGAAGCATTCAATCACAGCAGATGAAATCGGCGATCCCTCCTCACCCTCACCATCTGTCAGCCATGATCGCTCGTGGAGTAACGTCAGTAGACTCAATCCAGATTATGACCCAGACTCCAGAGGCACCTCACCAATGCCTATGCGTAGTCTGAGTGGTCGCGAGAACGACTATGACCTCGCGCGAAGAGAGGCTGTCTCTTCAATGCTTGGCTCAGACCAGAAGATTGCAGCTCTCACGGACGACGAGCTTGACAACCTATTCGATGATCTACAGAAAGTGAGAGCCGTTAGAAGGGGCAGACCAGAAAGCCGACTGTTCGACTTGAACGAAGACGACTCTGACTCGGTCAGCTCATTCCCCGTCAGAGAGAAGTATCTGTCAAACGGAACGCTAGAAAACTTCTCGTTAGACACTGCTCTCACAATGCCATCGACACCACAGGATGAAGATGAGGATGAGACAATACGGCTGGCCAAAGAAGGGCTTCAAACGGAACTCGAACGACAANAAGAAGAATACCGAGCACAGATACAGTCTGCTCAAGAGATGAATGTCGAGGTTGAAACGATACGTGCCGAGAAGACCAAAATGGAAGAAAATCTCAAGGCCGTGAAAGAAGATATGGAAAAACGACTTCAAGCACAAAAAGACGAATACGATCGTCAATTGAAAGAGCTTAGGAACACTACCGCCCAACCTGTCGACCGTAAGACCGGTCTGACGGAGAAGCAGCTCCATCTTGTTAAGTCGTGTATCCAGCACTGGCGTCAGCAACGATACGTCGCTATGGCTGCTGCTCTCCTGCAAAACGCGGCAATCCTCAAGGAAGCACAAGTGATGAGTCAACAGATGGACAAGAACGTTGTCTTTCAGTTCACCGTTGCTGATGCAGGACATACGTACGGATCATCATATGACCTAGTCTTGAGCGACATCAGCGCTGATGACGATATGGCCTTGCACACCTCTCGGAAGCCATGCACCGCCATCAGAGTCATCGACTTCAAGCATAATGTCGTCCACTTATGGTCTTTGCACAAGCTACGTGCTCGTGTGCGCTTGATGCGTCAGGTGTTCCAATACATGGATAGGCCAGAGTACATTAAGCATTTCCGTCTGGACAATCCATTCTCAGAGTCATGTTTACCGCAGTATACCCGGGTTGGAGACGCTGATATTTCTTTGGCCGCTGTATTTGAGTGTCGAGTGCAAGACTTTACACTCGATGTCTACTCGCCATATACCAACACAATGGTCGGCATTGTCCGACTTTCCTTGGAGCCTTCATCGGCCGAGGCACCATCGTCCATGCTCAAGTTTAATGTGGTTATGCATGACTTCGTGGGATTCTCCGAGCAGGAAGGAACTGAAGTTCACGCGCAGCTCTTCTTTCCAGGCATTTCTGAGGAAGACGGCGCATCCACCACACAGATGGTATCCGACTTTGATGAGGGACCAGTACGGTTCGACAGCGTGCATAGCATGAGCTTGCCTCTTGCCAGTCCACGCGACTCGTCTTTGCGGGTATCTGTATTCGCCAGAGTCACCGGTACACATTTGGACAAGCTACTCAGTTGGGACGACATGCGCGACTCAGCTGCCAGGCCTCAATTGAAACGCAATAATTCTCGTATAGCAGAGCATGAATACTACAATGAGGAAGGACACGACGTCTTTGCCCGCGTTCAAGTGCTCGAGATTGGAGAAGACGGATCTTACAAGCCTGTTGAGGTTGTGCAGAAGAACATAATGGACCCAGGCACATATCAGCTACACCAAGGTCTTCAACGTCGCATCTCACTCAACTTGACGCATACTTCAAGCAACATTCTGCCCCTCCAGGAAGTCACATCACTACGAGTTGGAAACGTGCATCTGGTCGATCCGTCCGGCAAGGTGCCTGATCTGAGTTCGCAGCAGACAGACGTAGTGTTGACTCCTGTATCACCACCGGTCGTCCGCACCAACCCTGATGGTACAACTAGCATCCACATCGTTACACACTGGGACTCTAGCTCTCATGAATCCCTCCTGCTCGACAGGCCGACGGCAGAGGGCTATTGTGTCAAGTTGTCGTTCGCTTGGATTATGGCTTCGCCTAAGCTAGCTGAGCCTATAGAGTTTGTGACTGATCTGGCGGTACAGATGAGAGGACGATCTTTCATGAGGCAAACATCACTATTCTCGTCGCTCTTCAGTTCTTCACGAATTGTCCGCTCCACTAGTGGAACGTTCTCCGTCACTGTCAAACCCATACCCTCGAAAAAAGCTGGAGATTTGTGGCGACTCAGCACGTCGAACACATACATCAAGGGCGAAGAGCTGCTCCAAGGCTGGTCACCTCGTGGTGTTTCACTTATCCATGACTATATCGATAGTCGCTCGAGCAAGCGCAAGATGGCCGAGATTGATGCTGCGAGGGGCGCACTAAGCTCGCACAGCCTTTCCCTAGATATGTTGCCATCACAGACAACTGCAGATGCACCAGACGAACGACAAAGCCGCCTTCTGCAGAAGATACTTACACTGTGGAAAGCCGACCCAGCTATCGGCAAACTGATCCTTACAGAGGCGAACACAGACTCACCTAGCAAGGGAGTGGCTTTTGCGTCTTCCACCAACGGGACAGGCATGCCATTGTCACTAGCCACTGTCCATTTTATACCCAAGAACCCATCTCTACTCAAAGCTGGATACCTTCTCACCCCGGATCCTGCAGCTCGAGAACCCTCACGTTGGATCCGACGTTATGTCGAGCTCCGTCAACCATACATGCACATCCACTCTGCGACCGCAACCGAACATGAAGAAATAGGTGCTATTAATCTTAACTCGTCGCGTGTAGATGCGGCTCCTCCGATTGCAAAGTTGCTCAGACGCGAAGGAGGCACGCCAACAGCCGTGGGCAGACACGGCGTACCTGCTATCGCAGCGCCTGAAAATGTGTTTGCAGTCTACGGCAGTACCAAGGCGTGGGTATTCGCAGCAAGGACAGAAAGAGACAAGAGCGAATGGATCTTCGCAATTGACAGAAGTTATATTGGGACAGAAGATTTTGAGGATGACGAGGATGAGGACGACCGTTATTAACCGAGGCACAAGCCAATGGGGTAACCCTGGTTGGTGACAACGCATCGCATCTTTGTTGCGTCAAAGTGCAGGGACAATTTGTTTGAATTATGTACGAGATACCCCTTTCACTTGTTCTTTGTCTGTATTGATATTCTTCTACCTCGTATATAAACCAGCAATGAGGCTGCCTTGTCATGGGATCCTCCATGGTGGGGTATTTTCAGGCAGCCGAATTTCTTATCTATGCTGCGCCATAATAACCGGCGACTGACACGACCAAATACATTGCATCAAGGATTAATGGCTTGCGCTATTCCCGCCTTCATTCCGTCCGCGCTGTAGAAGTAAACAGTGCCCGTGTCGCACTTTCTTTCGTGAATTAGGGACTTTACGCTGCACAACAACTAGAAGCATCGAGCACCATTGGCACCTTCCTGGTCATCGATGAACAACGATGTCTCTCGATACTGGACAACACGGCTTGTTCAATTTTGACCAAGCTGGTTTCGACTTCAACATCCCATTCGAGCAGATCTTCTTCTCCATCGTGCCATCTGTGCTCTTCATTGTCGCATCATCATGGCGAGCTGTCTCTCAACTTCGCAAGCCTACATTGGTAAAGGCACCAATGTTCCAGTCCATCAAACTCGTACTACATATTACCATCATCGCAACTCAGTCATACATCACTAACAACTATATGCCAGGCCGCTATTCTGATCTATCTGGGTCTGGAGCTAGCACTTCTAATCCTGGCGTCATTGTCCAAATTCCAAGCCTCGAGCATTTTCTGGCGGCGTCGGTTCTGAAACTCCTATCCGCATTGACTATGATCACTCTTAGTCTTGCTGATCACAACAAAAGCCCGCGACCTTCTGTTCTGCTCGGGATTTATCTCTCCTTGACGCTTCTGCCGGACGCAGCGCAAGCAAGGACTTTCTTCCTATCATCGGATGTTGCTCCTCAAGTCATATACAGCAGTGTCTTCTGCGCCGCAATTGCTCTCAAATTACTTATTCTTTTTCTCGAGGCCAAGAAAAAGTCTCAATGGCTGGCGTGGGATAAGAGAGCTCACAGTCCCGAAGAGACCAGCGGCATTTTCTCTCTCGGGGTTTACGCCTGGCTCAACAAGATGTTCATGGACGGCTACAAGGGCGTTCTGACCTTGAATGACCTCTACCCTCTTGACAGTGCCTTGAATGGAAAGACACTACACGCCAAGTTTTCCACGCGCATTGATTATGCCAAGATGAAGGGCGATAAGTATGGTCTTCTGAAGGTACTGATACGTACTCTCAAGGGCCCACTACTGATCCCCATCATCCCACGTTTGGCTCTTCTCGCATTCACGTTCTGTCAGCCTCTGTTTATCAAGAGGATGCTGGATTATCTCTCAAGCTCCGAACTCGACGCAGATATTGGCTACGGTCTTATCGGAGCCAGCGTATTGATATATACTGGCATCGCTATCTCCTCGGCTCTATACTGGTATCACATCCAGTTTATATGGCTAGATTTTAACTGACGTATGGGTATAGGTACTGCTACCACCGAGTTCGCACTATGGCCAGATCCACACTCATCACCGAAATCTTTCTTAGAACCACTCAGGTTCGTATTGATATCTCTGATGAGAACGCTGCAGTGACTCTCATGAGTACCGATATGGAACGTATCGATATCGGCTTCAGATCTTTGCACGAGGTCTGGGCCAGTGTCGTGCAAGCCGCTCTTGCCAGTTGGCTTTTGTACAAGCAACTGGGCATAGTTTTCGTGGCTCCGATCGGCATTGTGATTGCTTCCTTCACCGTTCTCGTAATCTTCATGAAGTTTGCCGGAGACTCTCAAAGAGCATGGATGACTGGAGTTCAGAAAAGAGTAGGCTTGACTGCGACTGTCATCGGTAGCATGAAAAATCTGAAGCTCTCTGGGCTTTCGCAAGCCGTTGAGAGTTTCATCCAGAACCTTCGAGTTGAAGAACTTGCTTCGGGTGCCCGCTTCCGCAAGTTGGTCATCATCGCTGCGTTCCTTGGATTTTTACCATTTTTGCTTGGACCGCCTTTGACTTTCGCTTTTGCACAGAGGTCACTGGATGTTTCGAAGACGTTCACTAGTCTCTCGTACTTGACACTGTTGACTACTCCGCTCACACAGGTCTTCCAAACGGTGCCACAAGTTTTATCTGGGCTGGCCTGCTTAAGTCGTGTTCAAGGTTATCTGGAATGCGACACCCGCGAAGACTTCCGTAAGTTGCTGAGCAAGACCCTACAATACCCGGAGAAGACCGGAGGTGGTGCTCAAGCTCAATCCAAACAACCCGAGCCACCGAGTGTGATCGAAATCCAAGACGCCAAGTTCGGATGGGAAGCAGGCAAATATGTCCTCCGCGATGTGAGCACTCACATCATGAGGTCAGCTCTCACAATTGTCGTAGGACCTGTCGGCTCAGGAAAATCAACGTTTTGCAAAGCACTTCTGGGCGAGATTCCTTTCTGCGAAGGCGATGTGACGCTAAGCAATAGCGTCCCGCATGTCGGTGTTTGCGAACAAACAGCGTTCCTCTCCAATGGAACCTTGAGAGATAACATCGTCGATTTCTCTGGTTACGACGCTCAGCGCTACGCCGAGGTGATAGAAGCCACAGCACTATCGCTCGATCTCGACACACTCCCCCAGGGCGATATGACAAACATAGGTTCTGATGGTATAACATTATCCGGTGGGCAGAAGCAACGTGTCTCGCTTGCTCGAGCCCTCTACTTACACACAGATCTACTCGTTCTTGATGATATTTTCAGCGGTTTGGATGCCGAGACCGAAGAGAAAGTCTTCAGTCGTGTTTTTGCCTCTGATGGCATACTCAGGCGACGCCAAACAACTGTCGTGCTCTGTACACATAGTGTCACTCATCTTCCTTCTGCTGACCACATAATTGCTCTTGGCGATGGTACTGTTGTGGAACAGGGCAACTTTGAAAAGCTAATGAAGCATCAAGGCTATGTTCAGCGATTGCGGTCATGGGAACCTTCGGCAAGGAAATCTCCCGTTGACAAGTTATCATCGAAGAGTGCTACGCAGAAGCCAAGAATCTCCACGCTGCACAAGTCAACATCCCGAGCATCATCTCTGACGTCCGAGAATCAAGCTGCAAGACAGAATGGCGAAGCAACTGTTTACAAGCACTACCTGAAAGCCATGGGCTGGGTCCTGGCGATGCTTGCAGTGTTTTTTGCTGCTCTCTGGGGATTCTTCACGAACTTCCCAACAATTTGTGAGTTCTAAAGGCAAAAGAATTACCCATCGATAGTTTGCTTACCGTGTTGATCACAGGGCTCACCTATTGGTCAAGCGATGTTACAAGCACCCATCCGACCCGATCTTGGGGTTACTATGCTGGCCTCTACGCATTGTTCCAAGTCTGTGGGCTCTTCTCGCTTCTTCTGCTTGGCATAGTCATCTTCATCGTCTCGGTACAAAGAGTCGGTGCTAATATCCATAAGGATGCTCTACAGACACTCATTCGAGCACCTCTGAGCTTCTTCACTGGCACAGATACAGGCGTGGTAACAAATCTGTTCTCTCAAGATCTCAACCTGGTGGACACAGAGTTGCCAAATGCACTGCTCAACTTCCTCTTCTCGGTAAGTGTGGGACGACCTGACACTTCTTGGACGGGACATTTGCTCCAAAGTACTGACATGAATGCGTACAGGCGTTTTCAGCTATCGGACAAGCAGCAGTAATGCCTACGTCTTCTCCTTACATGGCCATCAGCTACCCATTCTTGGCTGTTTTACTATACTTCGTGCAAAAGTTCTATCTGAGGACAGCGAGACAGTTGAGATTGCTTGACCTTGAGGCTAAGAGCCCCTGTAGTAAGTTACTACCCATCTTCGGCGCCAAACGCTGGTCGGTCGACTTTAATCTGTCATGCTGACACAATCACTCAAGTACACATTTTCTGGACACCGCAAAAGGCATTTCCACTTTGAGAGCTTTTGGTAAGTGTCTTGCCAATCTATACGCGAATCAGACTCCACTCGGATGACTTATGTAAAACTTGGTTCAACCTCAATCAAGTAGATACAAGAACCATTGCTGACATCAGTTTCTCAGGCTTCATGTCCGAAGAACTTGACAAGAATACTCGTCTGATTAATGACAGCCAGCGTCCTGCATATCTTCTTCTTATGGTTCAACAATGGTTAAATCTTGTGCTCGTCTTCGTGGTAATGATCATGGCTGCGGTATTGACAACTCTTGCAGTCCGTCTGCACTCGAGCTCTGGGTTCACTGGTGCTTCACTGGTTACTCTAATGGGTTTTGGTGAAAATCTTTCTGGTATAGTTATCTTCTATACTAAGCTAGAGACCTCGATTGGAGCAATCTCTAGACTCAAGACGTTCAACGAGAGTGTACGTCCTGAGGATCGAGATGATGAGGATGTAGTTCCTCGTGCTCAATGGCCTCAGACCGGTTCGATACGCTTGGACGGAGTGTCTGCTAGCTATGGGTAAGGGAACCCCATGTATTGATTCAGGAACGTGCTAACCAGACCATAGCAGTGCAGAAACATCAGATGGCGGATTGACTAATTTGGCACTGCGAGATGTCAGACTCGCTATCAACGCAGGAGAGAAGGTTGCTATATGCGGCCGTACAGGCAGCGGCAAATCCAGTCTTGTCGCCCTCTTCCTTAAACTGCTCGACCCCATCTCAGACACTTCGGCCAATATCTCGATCGACGAATTCCCGCTCCATAAGATTGACAGATCAGCTCTGCGACAACGCATACTCGCAGTTCCCCAGGAAGCCGTCTTCCTCCCTGATGGAACGAGTTTCAAAGCGAACTTGGATCCTCTCGACGTCTCCGACCTTCAAGAATGCCAATATGCACTCCAAACTGTTGGATTGTGGGATTTCGTCCTCCAAAGGGTGGTTTGACCACAAATATGTCCGCAGGGACCCTCAGCGCCGGTCAACGCCAACTCCTCTCCCTCGCTCGTGTCTTGCTGCGGAGAAGCCACCGAGCAAAACAAGGTTCTGAAAGCGGTGTATTGCTACTTGACGAAGTCAGCTCGAGCGTCGATCAAGCTACAGAAAAGGTCATGCAAGAGATCATCAGAATCAAATTCAAGGACTATACAGTCGTGGCGGTCAGTCATCGTCTGGAGATGATTATGGACTTTGATAGAGTTGTTGTCATGGACAAGGGATGTATTGTTGAGGTTGGAGTGCCCAGGGTGTTGGCGGAGAACGCAGAGAGTAAGTTCGGTGAGTTGGTCAGAGCTGCAGAGTAGACAAGATTCTCCTTGAATTAAGCTTCAGGCATACCAAGTAGTTATGTAGAAGCACGAGAATAAGAGACGCTTTCGTCACTGTAATTGGTCCTTATGTCAGCAAACACAGGCATCGTAGGCCGCCCATACAACGTGCTGAGTTAGAAGACGAGGTACGAACTTTGGTCTCAATGCCACACATGCGGTATATATGCCATCTTCACCCTTGGCAGAGGGAAGTGACCAGGTCAGGGATATTAGATGCAACGATATGTGCTCCACGATGATAAAACAGATAGTGATGTAGGAGATAAAGTTGCGTCTTGAGAAGTCACTGACCTGATTGCTTTCTCTATATTCATGACACCGTCCTTGGACTTAGAGTCAAAGATGACTTTCTCGTACTCCTAGTAGGCGCAAGTGACATGTCGTAGTACTTGTCATTGTCCCAGATATCTTTCCAAACCGTGATCGTGGCGATATTGCTTGGATGCTGATTGCTGGTGAGGCTTTGACGTCCGCTCCTTCCATTCTGTTACGACAGACTTTAGTCCTTAGAGGATATGTCGATGACTAGACCAAGTTCTGAGTTGCATTTGCCTGGGTTCTGACACATACATACTGTATACCACCATATCTTGTGATGGCATGGTATGTGTATAATGCCTTGACTTGTGTGATTCACTAGCCCTCCACCAGTTTAGTTCTAATGCATCATTGCTCGCTGGTGGATCGGCCACAGCGACCATGAGCACCGAAAGTGACTCATTCCGCTGGCTTGATTGGATAACTAGCTCTCTCATCATTGTTAAAGACTGTAGCGCTACGAGAACCTGCTATCGGCTCCTAAGATCCAGGCTTTAGAAGTGATGAGCTTATGCATAGCCGGTCTTTGACCACAACGCATGCTTCTTTCGAATCTTCTTAGATTTCTTTCACCCTGCTGTCTGGTTCTTTGTCTTTCCATGAATGCCTTTATTGACCCCTTCTGGGCCCATTGTTCACTTCATGTGATGGCCTACGGTCATGCAAAATATTAGTTCATATAAGATACTATACCTTGGCTACTGAGTATCAATCACCACCCCATTCATCATGTCTTACCGCACCTACGAGGTCACTCCTAGTCAGTCCGGCACATCGAGTCAACCCAAAGGTACTGTCCAATACGTTAGGTCTCCAACCTGCACGTACAGTTCAGTATGTCCCTGTTGATCAAAACACACGCACTGCCCAGTATGTCTCGGCTGATCATCACNNACGCGTACTGCTGGTATCGATCGCCGCCGCTCCAGCGACAGTGAGCCCTTGATGGCCCGCCGTCAACGCCGCATTGACGAAATCAACGATGATCTCCCCTTGCGGACTAGGCGTGAGTATCCAGCCACAGCCGAGAACATCTATCGCCAAGATAGAATCTTCGCGCACAGTTCGAGCTGCCGTCACTTTGACGGCCGCTTCTACTGTTATTGTGGTCATAATACGAGAAGACAGGTCGAGAGCATTCATCATGCTACTCGTGTCCACCGCGCACCGACGCCTTACGTTTGTCCGGTTTGTAGGGCTCATTGCCCTCAGGGCTTGTATCAGTACAACGCTCACCTTCAAATGTATCATCCAGGATNNGCTGCTCTGCAGTATCGCGATGACCAGTTCGTCCGTCGTGATGGATCTTACTACAGGTAAGTCTGGTTCTCTCTCCTTCGTGTCTGTAACTTGACATGAGGTGGATGGTCACCTTAGAGTCTACTTATACCCTCGTTAGTGATGGGGTAAATATCCTCTTTCCTTTTTTGCTGTTTTCGAAGCTCTGCTCTACCCGAGACAACAGTAGGTTGTTACTCCTAATAGGAGAAGTTTTACTACTGTTATTCGATGACGGTTGAGCATCTTTTGTATTACGGCGTTGTGGGTTATCATGAGGCGTTTTTGGGAGTTTGTGTTTTGCTGACTTTCGTTTTACGTCTAGCTCTTGCTTCCACCACCTGGCTTTGTTTTTGCCAGTCTTCCTATGGGGAGACTGGGCTTTCTTAGCTAGGTTTACAATTTTGAGCACTGGTTTCCTAATAAGATTTGGGTTTTTCTTAGTATAGCATAAGCAATAATATTTTTTTATTTCCCACTTACTGTTTCTATGTATCTTAATTCGTGACCTAAGACTCGAGATTATCTTTCTCTCTAATACAATCTGGCTTTTGCTTCTCTCGTGCCGAGCGTGATCATCCGTCCTAGTATATCGCCCGCCGTACATCCCGTGCAAGAGGACGAATAAAAGAATGTGACAAGTTTTGGCACACGAGCAGAGGGGATATCGTCTTGAGGGTTCGTCGAAAAGGGAAACTCAAGTACCACGTGTGCCTATCAGCTCTCTCCGATAGCTTACCGGTCAGCATGCTGACTTATACCACCGTATTCTCAAAATTACCCATGCTTATCAACGACAACGCGCTATCTCCACGGAAGAGCTGTATGACGATGAAGCTTGAATAACAAAGCCATCTTGCATGCAGGCTCAACAAGACGTGAGGAGATACAGATAGTCTATCAGCCAGCCGAAAGATGTCGCTATCAGCTCTACTTCACGTCAAAGCCTCCTTGGCGACAGTTTTCCAAGACGACAGAACAAGATGAGCTCGAACACCATTTTGAAGGAAGATGAGAGTCAGCACTTCTCGCCGTATAGAGCGGATGGCAAGCTGGTGTGACTTGACCGCGTTTTGATGACAGATTGCAAAGATGCTGACGGTCGGTAGTATGGCTTCGTGTGCATAGTTACAGGCGCGACACAAGCGATTGGCAAGGCCATTGTCCATGAGCTGGCAGGTAGGTGACCCTCACCGGCAACTCTCTCACAAACAGAGACTAATACGGACGATANNGCACACGGCGCCGCTTGCATCTATGCCTGTTCCAACCTTCCCTCTGACCCATACCAAGAACTCGCCGATGAAGTCAACGCACTCTGGCCTAACACGAAGGTCATCGGCTACCCGTACGGCTTGAAAGAGGAGGATACACTGACTCTGATCGATGATGTCTTGAATGCTTGGGGACGGTGCGTCCATAGCACCTTGACCATGTACTACGCCTGACTGACCTTTATTGCAGTCNTCGACGTCTACGTGACTTCCTCCGGTCTTCTCGGTCCAGCATCGATCGCTCAGACCGCACCTGCAGATCTCTACAAGACCTTCGAGACCAACAGCATGGCCCCCTTCTTCGCACTCAAGTACGCACCTCCCGCCATGGCAAAAACAACACCCAAAGGCAACTACACCAATGCTGCTCCTAAAGATGTAGCTTACGGCAGCATCGTTGTCGTGTCTTCCGTCGCCAGCACCTACGGCGGTTGCTGGGGTCCAGCCTTCACAATGTCCTCTCACGCCGCACTTGGTGTCGTTCACTCCGGCGTTGCCGTCCTCAAAGGTAGTAATGTGCGTATCAATGCCATCAGTCCTGGTCAGATTGATGTAGGAGTTAGCCTGCAGGGTATGGATATGAGAGGACTAAGCAATCAGCTGCCACCCAGTGATTTGCAGACTGAAGAGGTTAGGAGAAAGATTGTTGGATTGGAGAGGTCAGGCACCGCGAAAGAGGTTGCGAGGGTGGCTGGGTTTTTGGCATCTGGCTTTAGTAGTTATATCACTGGTAGCAATATGGTTGTTGATGGAGGTGCGTCGGTCATGAACCCGCTTACCGTTCCTGTCTAGATACCGCATGAAAGAGTGGGAGATCGGATCATGCTTGAGGTTACCGAAGTGGAAGTCTAAGTAGCACTCTGGAAACACGTCTTCCAGTTCATCGAGAACGTCTGCCTATGAACTTTATTGTCCATGAAGCATGCGACTGTTTCTGTCCAGTATACGTTGCAACCAATGACGTCTGTTCTCAGGCTCCAGCGCTTGCTACCAAGACTTTAGAAAATATAAGTTCGGTCGCGAATTGCTTCGGCTGAGCCAGGACACTCCCCACGACATTCACGCATACATCAAACTGGTTCCTCAAGAACTAGCTTCTCCTCCTTCGACTCCTTCAAGACAGACAATACCTTTCATATGACCGAAGCAGACGACAAGCAGAAACACGAAATGGCGGTAGGGCAACAGAAAGCAGCAGAACATGTTGCTCCTTTCGAGGCATGCCCGGAAAGCACAACACCATGGCGATACTATGTCATCTTCCGGGAAGGACACACCCCGAGGCACATGCGAAAGCCATCGGCGAGAAGGAGATTGCCCTGTTCGCACCTCACCCAATTGGACCATGTAGTGGCACGATGACGGACGAGTATAGGGAGCGGGTCAGAAGGGATCCTGGTGTGTTAAAGGTCATACAATACGATGGAGACGGCGAGTGGTTTTGATGCCGAGTTGTATTGTGCGGCGATAGAACTTTTGTCATTCGCGACGTCAAAGCCAACACCGAACTTCAACACCAATGCGGGTTTCTGTCAAATCTCCTGTATGCACCCAGTCGACGACAACAACACTGGTTGTCCATTATCGAACATGCATGATGGCTGACACTCGCTCGTCTTTTGCTTGGCTTTGGTTTGTAAGCTTTCTCTAAGGCGGTACCGCCAACGATCTTTCTCGGTCTGCTCGGACGTGTATTCCTCCGTTTGAGACGTGGCTTGGTAACTAACTCCTGCGCGAAGTTCCAGTTATTGGACACTGGGCTAGACTGTGGACGCGTAGTCGGTGTAAACTCAGAGGTGAAAGCCTAAGTCAAGGGGACGATAAATACACGGGGCTCAGCACTCTGTCGGCCTTTGTCTAAAAGGCTTCTCGAACATCCTTCACCCTTACTTCTGAACCCACACATCATGTCTGGTCTCTATATCAATTCTACTCCCTCCGCAGTCTCCGAGGCTATGGGTATCCATCTCTTGACCTTTAGCACGCCCAACGGCCAGAAAGTACAGATCCTGCTTGAAGAACTTGCCCTCCTCTACGGTGTTATATGGACGACTTCGTTCATCAAGCTCATGCAGAATGAACAGAAAGAGGACTGGTTCTTGAGACTGAATCCCAACGGCAAGATTCCAGTCATCGTCGACAACACCAGCAAAGACAACCCCACACCTGTCATGGAAACATCAGCCCAGTTGCTCTATCTCGCCGAAAAGTACGACAAGGACTACGCACTGACTTTCCAAGATTCACATGAGCGCAATCAAATGATGCAATGGCTCTTCTTTTGGCATGGTTCCGGCGCACCTCCCTACGGCCAACTCATGTTCTTTGGCAGATTCTCAAAGGAAAAGGTTCCCGCAGCCTTTGAGCGATTCCGCAATGAGACTCTGCGTGTGTTTGGTGTGCTCGAGCTTCACCTCTCGGGAGCGAACAGTGACGGACAGCCAAGAGAATACCTGGCTGGATCTGGAAAGGGAAAGTACAGTCTTGCAGATATTGGAACTTGGCCTTGGGTTGCAAAATGGGAGTTTGCTCAATTCGAAAAGAAGGATATGGATGCTTTCCCTAATGTACTTGCTTGGCTTGAGCGTATTGGACAGAGGGAGGCTGTCAAGACCGGTACTGGAGACAAGTACCAGAGTAAGTTCTGAGTGTTGTGGCGATGGATATCAGAGCATTCAAAACTTTACATAGAATCTATCAGTCATCTGAGGTGTTCAAGGGAAAACAATGAGCGACGCACACCTGATTAATCGTGCTTCGGACCAAGTCTGTACGAGGCGACCCTGCCCCCTCGCGGTCAAAGCTCGAAAACTTTTGCCAACAAAATATTGCGATTACCAAGCACCTCTCGCGACTATGTAGTCTTCTTCTCGTCGGAGCACGTAGTCACTACCACTCCAAAGAATCAGACGAACCGATCCAGTTCTATAATCACGGCACATCTCCGTTTCCGCATAATCACATTGTGGACACAAGAAGTTCAAGAACCACCAGAACAATCCCAACAAGCGACTTGCCCGGAAACCATCAATCATGTCACATCATCAAACCTTGCGGCTGAATGCCATACCGGGCGAGATCCTCGATGAGATTTGTGACTATCTCAACAAAAAGGAGCTTAAAGCACTGCGACTATCGACCAAGAGAATATCCTCCGTCGCAACCACGCATCTAGCGAAAGACTACATGTTTAATCTTTGCTCTTTGATGACCCGCCGAAGTCTGGAAAAACTGGCCGAGATTTGTGCGCATCCTCAGTTTGGACCTCACGTGCGGAAGGTACATCTTTCGTCTGGCCGCGTCCACCCCCGAGAGATGCGGGCACTTATCGAAAGAGTCGAAGACATGCAACGGCGTATCCCTCCACCAACTTCAGCTCAGGTCAAGCGGGCGAAAGCGAAAATGCAAGATGCCATGAACAGATCTACGAAAGAGTATGAACTCGAGATCTCAGGAGACGCAGTCGCGTTACTTTCCCGTACCTTTGCTTCTCTTCGCAGTTATCAGACGCCCATCATTCTGGATATCTCGGACTTTGAGGTACCGCGATGGGACCCAGTAACTTTGTTCCTCGACAGGTATAACCACTTCCATGGAGAACCGGAGCTTTGTTTCAAATCAACCATGGAGCCTTGCCTTCAAGCAATCTTCAACACCAAGATGCAGTTTACCGAGCTTGAATTGACTGTTGATGCTCTGTCAATTGATCCGGACGAAAGGGGATATGATACAGGTGGTATGCGACCAGAAGACCTTGAGCTTTTGTCTAGCCTCAGATCTGTATCTCTCGACTTTAACAATACTTTCAATGATGCTGGCACTCATTCTACCAAGCATATATTATCTTATGCTCATTCACTCGAAGATTTGACGTACAGACAAGGATGTGATGATCTTGACCGCGACGACTGGCTCACACCAGAACAACAACCACAGCTCTTGACAAACCGGCAATTTGAACGTGCCGACATTGTTCTGGGATCCACAAATTCAAACGGACTGAAATCACTTTGGCTGGAGTACACGCCAATATCGTACCATGTCCTCGCTCAGCTGTTGGGAAAGCACGCAGATACTTTGACTAGTATACGTGTTGCCCACACATGTATACGCGACGGCACCTGGGCTGAGCTTNTTTCACTTGTGCAAAAGAACTGTCGATTTGTGACCAACCTTGATACCATAAACTTGAGCCAAGCCAGACCGGATCTAAGGAACGGTGATTTTCGTCCTCTGCTTTTGCCCGAGGAATGGACGCTTGAGTCAAGTGCTGGACGCACAGGAGTGAACGAAGTTTTGGATAAGCTTGTTCTGGCTCCGTCACTAGAGGTCTTGGACATAATGGATAGACGAGCGCGAGCACAGAATATCGACGTCGACATATCAGAACTGGCTCCATGATCGCCACAACGCTCGTGAGCGAAGGCAGAGGAATAGCTTCATAATATCTTGGCCAGCAAGTACGTTCACATCAACCAATTTGCTTGTCTTTTGTACCCTACGTTACATATGAACGTGGAAGTAAGATCGCCCAGTTCTAGCTCGGCCAAGATACATACCCAAAACGGAAATTCTTAGGACCAACAACCTTATCGCTATCTCAACCCCACACCTCTGTTATCTCCATGTTTGCGATTCTGGAGAACATAAATACATCAAGGTGCTCGAAGTTGTGAAATTTCGAAATCACACAAGTTGCACATTGCTCACTGCCGAAAATGATCGCTGCCGCCCAAGTTCTCAAGGCCTGGGAGGCTTGTGACAAGACAGACTCAGCATTCATCCTCGTCTGCAGTGTCTTCTGCTGGCCAATCATTCCCGCCGTTGGTCTTGGATATTCGGGTTACTCAACAAGGCGTAGTGGACTGGCTTCTTTTATGCCAGCTCTGCTAGCTGTAGCTGTCTGCACGATACAATGGTGGCTCTTCGGCTACTCATTGGCTTACGGAGAAGGCAATGGCTTCATCGGCGACCTCAAGCATTTCATGCACCTTGATGTCTTGGCTGAGCCTGTAGGGACGATTCCTGCTATACTGTTCAGCGAGTTTCAACTGATCTTCTGCGCCACTGTTTGTGCTATCGCTGTTGGTGGAGCTTGCGAAAGAGGCAGGCTTTTACCTCTCATCCCGTTCATCTTCGTGAGAATTGAATGCGCAGAAAGCCAGTGTAGAAGAATACTGACAGTGATCACAGNNCTTTGGGCCACCTTCGTCTACTGTCCGCTAGCACACATGGTCTGGGGCGGTGGCTTCCTCGGAGAACTCGGTGTCCTTGACTTCGCAGGTGGCACTCCTGTCCACATCTGTTCAGGAGCCACCGCAACAGCCCTCAGCATCTACCTCTCATATCCGCTCTTCCGCTCGCGCAAATCGGCAGAAAGAACACCAACTCATCTGGTCCTACACAAACCACACAACACATTGAGTCAACTGCTTGCTCTCGTCACTATATGGGGCTCCTGGCTTGCGTTTGACGCTGGCACTACACTTGCTTTCAACTTCAAGTCTGTGATGGCCATGTGTGTGACCAACTTGTGTGCTGCTTCTGGTGCAATTACTTGGGCTTGCATGACCTACTACGAGACCGGCAAGTGGTCACTGGATTCGACGTTCTTGGGCGCCATCAGTGGATTGGTCATGATAACACCATCGGCTGGCTTTATCGACATGGCCACGGCGTTCTTCTTTGGCATTGTTGGAGCTGTTGTTTCGAGACAGGCTTTGCGTATAAAGTTCACCGATCTGGCAAGACGGTGGAAGTGGGTTGACAACGGAGATACCTTTGCCACCCACTGTATTGGCGGATTTGTGGGCACCATCGCGACTGGATTGTTTGCTCAGAAGGAGGTCGCTGCTCTCGACGGAGTGACCGAGGTAGTCGGCGGTGTCTTCTTCGACGGCAACGCAAGACAACTGGGTGTTCAGATTGTGGAAGCCCTAATTGGATTTACCTGGGCGTTCAGTGTCTCGTACATTCTCATCGCTCTGATCGATTGTGTCCCAGGCTGGGAAGTATTGGCGACCGACAAGTGAGTCATGTCCATCATCGTGCTGCAACTAAATCTGACAAGAGTGTTACAGANNGATGTCATGATTGGTATGGATGCATCTCAGATGGGCGAGTCTCTGTACGAAGATCAGTGGAAGGGAGAGGAGGATTACCAGCCATTCGCTGCAACCATTCAGCTAGAGTAAGCGGCGTCGACCAGCTGGTCTTATCGCCGTTGTACACTTCTTTGTCTTATAGGATTAACCACGCGTTTGGAGCCATGTGCATCCCAGATCTTGTGCCGATTGTATGCGTGAGGAGAAGACGTGGAGGAAGGAAGGTGGTCAAGATAACGTCCATTTTGAGCCTAGTTTGCCGAGGCGCAATTGCGGGGCTGGTGATCAATTGGCTGAAGCGTGTTGATTGGCGTCCGCCAACTGGACTTCTTCCCTCTTCTTGTACTGGTTCACAATGAGAACAATGGGACACGAAGATCCATACAAAAGACTTACTTGATACCATCGCATCATAAAATCGGTATTGGCCTCTCCTAGCATGTCGATAAGCCTTTCTGAACGGTTCGGCATGTTCACGAATAGCTGCCACTGCATCCAGCTGGGCATGCAACTTCGTGTTCTGGATCCCGTGGATGCCTTCGCACCGAAACACTGATCACATCTCTCTTTAAGTACATCATGTCTGCATCGCCAAGCACCTGGATTCGCAGATAACGAACACACCGACCTCCATCATGCCTGCTAAAAGAATCAGAGTATCAGAAGGATCATGCTGGCGATGCAAGGATCGTCGGGTCTTGTGCGATACAAGGAAGCCATTATGCACGCGTTGCGAAGTTGCTGGTGTCAAATGCGAGTATGGCAGACGCCTGAAATGGGCAAATGGAGTGGCAGCTCGAGGACGTTTTGCAGGCCAACTGCTACCTGTCGAATCATCTCCTTCTCCATCTCCACCACGAATCCAGTCACCATCCACGCCTGATGACTGGCAGGTGCTATACTTCTCTCGAGAAATCCTTCCAAGATTTAGTCTGATGGACGGTGGACCCAGAATTGACCCAGCATGGCTTGTGGCTGATTCTTCGATTCACCAAGCAGTCATTGCTGTCGCAAACGCACATCGTCTGTTCAAGAACCATGCCGTCCAGGAGGAGACTTTATCACATATTAAGCAAGCACGGTTGACAGCTATACGATCGCTACGCACACGACTTCAGGACTCTTTCACCCTATCTCACGCCATCACATTCCCGTCCAGCGTGTTACTATGCATGCTAGATGGTATCATAGAACCGCAAGATGACGGTCTCGCAGCAGCGTTTCATCTTCGCGGGNGTCGCGCTATTCTGCAATACGGAAACCACATGACGGAGGTCTCCTCAATCAAGTCTGGACCGATGTCTCTACTGCTTTCAGTCTACGCCACCATGGATCTCACATATGCAATCATGGGTGGCGAAGCACCACACCTTGGCCCAGATATTTGGCTTCAACTTGCTGATAGCGAGGCATGGTGGACAGGCATCAGTGACGATCACGCCTTCGTCGATATTATGGCATTACTCGCGCAATTAGCACAACTCGGTCATGATGCGCGCATGACTGGCATTTCAGTCCCGATTCGAGAACTGCTAGAAATTCAGCTTACACTTGGAAGGACAGAATCTCGTCTTAAGAACCTGACAATGCCATCTTTACCAAGTGATGGCTGCCAGTCTATCGATGCCCTCACCGTCTTCTGCTCAGCATATCGAGCTAGCGCTCGAATATACATGTATCGCGCCCTCTGCAATCTCGAAATCTCCGATGTGCTAGTCCAAGAAAGTGTACAAGAGGGCATAGATGCACTCCAACAGGGACCGGAAATTGGCAAACTTGCACATTGCTTGCTGTTTCCATGTCTGATGATCGGTACCCACTGTATTGATTCTGAGGCTCAGCAGACTGTCCTCAGCTCCTTGGAGATTGCTGGCGAGTATCTTTCTTTCGGATCTGTCAAGGTCATGGAACGATTCTTGAAGGATATCTGGTTGGCTGGCGATCTCAGTACGGACTTTTGGACGATGATGCAACCAGTGTCTGGCAAGGCGTTCATGTTTTGAGCGGCTATGGGGTATGGATTTGGTTGATATGAACAATATCATCCAAGTGTGGACCAACATCCACTCATCAACAGCTGTTTTTTGATGGACGATGCCCCTGGTCGTAGGGCGCTAATGGATGACTCGTGTTTGTCATTGTGATGGTTATGTATGCCAACCGATGTGGCTTATGTATGCGGCATACTGATCGCTCTCTCCACCAGTAGTCATCATTCCGCTCAATGTATTCCTAGTCTGTACCAAAGCTTCGGAAGTAAGTATCTGGATGATGATATGCTTAGGTGACGGAGCGTTCTGTACTTATCCTGCGAGGGTTTGTCTTGTCATTCTAACATATTCAATCTCTCGCATTTACCGTGCCAGTGAAGACCCATGTTTTGGTATGTAGGTTGTTGGATATATAATGTGACTAGATGCTTGGATCTAGTAGAGCGGGGTCAGACAGACGAAGAAGGCGAATGTGGCGGTCGTGGTTGCCTAGCATCACATCCGCCTCGCCCAATGATTTGACGTGGCGAAATGAAGCAAAATTACTCAGGATGCTGGAGCCTAGAAAGATCGCAAGATATATGAGAGCATTCGCACCATATCGTTCTACAAACTATAACTTCTTCTATATCGTCAACGTGTAGTATACTCTCCTATCTATCCTTCCACTCTTTACGACCCAACGCCCTCATCATGACAACCCCGACCAAAGACAGCTCACCAAAAACAGAAAATCCTGACGATCAAAACCAATGCAAATCCATCTTTCGCAACAACGCCGATGCCGCCGCGCGAGGCCCCCTGGCGCAGCGATCCAAATGGAGTCTCCCACCTCGGCCCAGACGGAGTACTACGCTCACTAAACGCCGACCACACCGCCGTACTGGACTTCCGTCGCCTGTCGCCCGAGGAACTCAAGGAGTTGGCGGCGCCTATGGGCCAGGCAACTCTTGATGCGTTGGTTGGTGTCGATGGCCGCGATGTTATTGATGAAGCACAGTTGTGGGCTGTTCCCGCACAAGAAAAGTGGTTGAGTAACACGACTGCCAGATAGATGGGCGCCGCCTTTTGAAACCGAGCTTACTGGCTTCCTTTTCGTGGTTCTTTTGGAGATCAAGAACCTTGAACGTCATCCCCTTGATTCTGACAAACAACAAGAGCTTGGATCCAAGAATTCATATATTCCAAACCAAATGATATCCCTAAATCCTGATCACAATCTCTCCATCTGCATCAATCCACTGACTTTCCACGCGCTTCAGTCTGGCCTGACTGGCAACATAGCAAAGCAACCAAATATGTCCCACGACTTCTCCCCAGCAGAAGACCTTGACGGTACCCAATTCGGCTCCTGCATCTTCATCCTCGTCTGTAGGAGTGTTCTCACGCAAACACCAGATACCCCATCCACTAACCCCGCTTCCAATGTTCGACTGCAAAAAGACCCAGAACTTGATCTGTACCTTTGGACTCCAAGACTTCGTGTCAAATTGCCAATATCCTCTTTCACTTTGTCTGAGGTCTCGATGGGGAAAAGGCTTGTATTTTCCTTGCAATTCTTCACTGTCCCAAAATTGACTTTTGAGTTGCGGCGTAACGTGTGTGATGAAGGTCTCCGAGCCAGTAGGTGGAGGTGGTGGGTGGATCTGCAAGGGCAAAGACTCGAAGATTTCTCTTTCTTGGGTGCTTGGTTTTGACTTTGGAGTGGCCAAAGAGGCGAATTTGCGTCGCTTGGCCGCAATTACTGATTCTGAAACGTGTGCTGAGGGCAGAGACCGCTTGTCGATACGAGCATCGTGCATAGGAGTCGATATCTCATTTGCGGTCTCAGATTGTGCCCGCTCGAAGACAGCAGAATTTACTTCAGAGGCTGAAGACACAGGTTGCCACGGGCTCGATCCTGTAGGAGCTGTACCACTTTGGAGGGCATCTGAACTACGTCGAACAGTCTGCCCTACTGCTGAGGATTCGAATTGCGCTGCTTTTGACGGAAGCAGTCTTGTCCGCGGTTGAAACAAATCTATCTTTGAGCTTGGCGACGACGATTCTTCGGTAGGCTTCTCATCGGGACTCTCCTTCTCCACAAACGGCGTGCCGTGAGCTTCCGGGCTGGACGAAAAGCGAGACTCGAAAGACGTAGGCAAAAGATGGTCGACACTATGTTGTCGAAGCGCTTGGGGATGACCGTGNTCATTTGTGCTAGTAGATTGTGTTCCCTGAGCTTCAGGGCTCGAAGAGAATCTAGTGTCAAAGGATGTCGGCATCAGTTGATTCAGAGACTGTTGCCTTAACATTTTGGAACAGCCGAATCATCCACATCACTCGACTGGGTTCCTTGTGCTTGTGCTGCAGAAGAAAAGCCCGACTCGAAAGACGACAGCGCACGCCGAGTGGTTNGCATCTTCTTCTCTGACTAAAGCCGAAGCAAGTTCATCTGCACCATCGTCTGATTGGAGCCCTCGAGCTTGCGAGGCCGAGGAAAATCGTAGTTCGGAGGAAGAAGTAAATTCCTGTCGTATGGATTCTGCTTGCTGCTGTTGCTTTGGGACCACTGCACGATCTAGAGAAGCAGAAGAGATATCATCTTGCCCAGTCGCAACAGAAGATCGAATCGGCTTGATGTGAACAGACATGTTTGCTCTGGGAGACTCGAGCGACTGCGTCTGTTTTAGAGGCGACGACCCTTGAGCACGTCGTTTTCCAAGCGACCTGACACCCTTCAGAGGTGATTCTTCCTCGATGATACCATTCCAGGGGTGAGGCGCACTACCTCGAGGCAGGCTTCCCCAAGCGGAACTTGTTGGCGCATCGTTCTGATCACTATGTATGGGATCAGAGTTTATGTCGCTGATCGAGTATGTGCTCGGAAGTTGCGACGGGATGTCATCGCTTGGAGACGAAAAGTTGTCCTGCGGCAAAGGCTGGTTCGAAGTCCGAAGCAACGACACCCGCCGAACGGGTGTCTCGGCAGGATAGATTGTTGAGAGGTCATCAAGATAGCTCGGTGTTCCGTGTTCGGTGGCTTGCAACGGTCTCGACGGTGTCAGGATGTGTTGACTCGGTCTTAGTCCGCGATTTGCGTGAGAAGAGAGAGATCTTGACTTTGGAGCCGGCATGAGTGAAGTGTCTAAGAGCGCTGACTCATCCGGAGGCAATGCGTTGTATGTCACGCGAGGCGGCAGTGATGAGCCAATTGGTAATGGAAGGACATTCTTGTCAACGTCTTCCTCGCTTTCTGGGACACTTTCTTCGTCCGATGGCTGTGAGGGTGGAAATAGCTGGGAGTCCAAGGCAGTCCAAGCATCCTGGGTATTGTCTAGAAATACTGGAGTCTCCTCATATTGTTCTGGTGCCGCTGAAGAAGTCATGGCGCCGGGAACTCCAGGATTTATAGCATCCTGAACTTGATGGATAGAAACTACGCTTGAAGATTCAAAGGACAAATAGGCCTTTGCCTGGCGCTTGAATCTCTCATCATCCTTTCGAGAACTGGGTGCAGAAGCATGCGCGAGCAGCTCCATCAACACTGCTGACTTGTGAGGCGACAACGTCAAGGTCCATGCTCCAGGATGGTATATCCAAGGATTAGGGCAGCAGTCGTCTCTTTCAAAAGTTGGTGCTGCTAGTTGATAGGAGTGACTGTCTGGAGGAGTGTTGTCGATGAGAGCACGTGAAAGGCAACACAAAGAAAGCCTCCGAGCCGCGGGGGTGACGCTAACCGAAAAGGGAAGGCTTGAGAATGATGTCAAGGCCATTTTGGAGGCGGCGCAAACACTTAAATAACCCTTCCTCTCACCTAAGCATATCCACGATTCTGCTACCAAACCCGAAACACACAATGCGCGCGACACTATCAACACTCAGCCGCAACAGCGCGTCCCTCAGCCTGCGAACACCTCTACGCGCCTCGACACCACTCTCCTTCCGAACCCTCACACCTACCATCGTCCGCAAAATCTCAACGACGACTCCCCACCGCGAAAGTCCCAATGTCACATCTCGCGAGACCCTTCTACCTCAAACTCACTACGATTTCTTCCCCTCGCTAGGTCCAGATGCTCTCCCACCAAAAGGTCCCTTTGCCCTCGACCTCTCCCTCCTGCGCAAAGAGTTCCTCCAACTACAAGCAAAAGCTCACCCAGACCTCGCACCACAAGAGAAGAAACGCCAGGCCGAAGCCTTGAGTTCGCGCATCAATGAGGCATACAAGACTCTCCAGAATCCATTGTTACGGGCACAATATCTATTGGAGATGAGAGGGATCGATGTAGCTGGTGACGAGACAGCAAAAGTTGAGGATCCAGAACTCTTGATGGAGGTTTTGGAAACGAGGGAGATTATCGAGGAGGCTGCTACTGAGGAAGAGTTGCAGCCGTTGAAGGAGATGAACGAGAGGAGGATTGCCGCTAGTGTTGGCGTGCTCGAAGAGGCATTCCAGAAGGATGACATGGACGCTGCAAAAGAGGAGGCTGTCAAGCTGAGATACTGGGTCAACATTAGGGAGAGTGTTGATGCTTTTGAGCCTGGCAAGCCTGTTGTGTTGATTCATTAGACAGTCAAGCAAGACAGAAGCAAGAAGTCGCCATATAGAATAGTTGATACCCCTCTCACTTCACTGCGAGCAAGAATGTACAGATATCCAATATAGTTATTGTTCAAAAACTTAGACTTGTTATAATGCTATGCTTTCCCCAAAGTGATGCAACCAAGAGCCGATACGAGAAGGCCATCCCAGATGTTGTGTATTCCCTAACGATCATTGCTGAGTCCGACAGCATGCAATCCTCAAGTCACTCAATGCATAGGCAAACTCTCCGGTCCAAAGCTCATGGGCAACAACTGCTCCAATGTAAGGACTGTCGACTTGCCATCCTTGTCATACATCAAAATGGGCATCGAGGGNCTATGTTCATGTCAGCGAAGTTCCCCTTTCTCTCCCCTGAACCATCCGTTTGCACTTACCTCGCAGAACTCTCGGATGTACTGTCTGCACATGCCACAAGGACTGGCTGGGGGTGAGATGTCTGTAGCAACAGCCAGAGCACGAATGTCTCCTCGTCGTGCGCCTTCAACTACTGCTGTGCCGAGTGCTGTGCGTTCGGCGCAAGTACCGACAGGATAGGCAGCGTTCTCGACATTTGCGCCACGGATCACTTGGCCTGACTTCAAGAGCAGGGAAGCGCCGACTCTAAATTTGGAGTAGGGGCCTAGAAGACATAGATCAGTACGGGTATGATTTTTGTGCATCTTGTGTCGTTCCGAATTATGTTTTCTCTGTGGTAGACATAGGAATATTCTAGTGAAAGTTGAGGATACTAAATCTTCCATATTTCTTGATTTGAAGGTGTTTGGTAGACATGAAAGAGAAGGTCGTTGATGTTCTCTCAACTTACAATAAGCTCTCTCCTTGGCTTCAATACAAGCCTCGGACAAGGCCTGGACCTCCGAGGTCGAAAGACCGTGGATCAGCGCAGTATCATGGCGCGAGTGTTGAGGCTTGCTAGGAACAGATGGAGCAGACATCTCGAAAAAGGGAAGGGGAAAGGGGAAGAAGGGAGGAGGAGCGGAAATCGATTCGGTCAAGGCAAAGCGGGCAAGCCAAAGCAGCTATCGGTGAACTCCGCTTTGGGACAATGCTTTGTCTTGGCGGTGTAGCATTTCACGACCGCCTCTCTTTGAGACCCTCTCGAAGTCACTCAGGTCATTGCAAGTAGCACGAAATATTGAAATTAATTTTACTCGCTTCAAGAAGATGAAGTCATGTTGGGGACTACTTAACAATTTTCGAACTCAGGTTAAGATCGTCGTGGAGTGATCTCAGAGTCGTCACTCTCAGCGTTCTCGGGCTCAGGCTGAGAACGTGGAGTGTTCCCAAAGTCGTAACTCCCAGAACACTCGGGTTGAGGCTGAGATTGACGCGGAATGTTCTGAGTGTCCTCGACTAGTTCTTGAGACTGTTCGGCGTGAGTTGGGAGGAGGTCGGCTTGAGTTTGAGACTCTTCGACGTGAGTTGGAAATTGACGCAGAATGTTCTGAGAGTCCTTGACTGGTTCTTGAGACTCTTCAGCGTAAGTTGGAGGGAGGTCGGCTTGGTTTTGAGGCTCCTCGGTTGTGTGTTGAGGCGGTCGGAGGTCTATTGCGTTTACAAGGGCTTGTATGAGAGGATTTGGGGCAGAAGGAGCAGCAGACGCAGCCGTCTGAAAGTCTCGCAAAGCTTGTAAAAGGCGACCAGGGCCCGCGTCCCGCCTGGTAGCGATAGTGAGTTCACTGTTGTATGTCAGGAAGTGGAATGATCACTCTTGGTGCCATGAACTCACCGAGCAGCGATCAGAGCTGGGCGCACAGCTCTTGCCAGTCTTTGAACTTGACCAGCCGTGCCAGTGAAGCCGAGACGAAGGATCTCCTCTGCCACATCAGACCACGAGGCCAACTAATTGTCCGACAAGTGGTGCTCGTGGCTCTCAAGCCATTCGTTTTTGAGAGCTTCATCCTGTCCATAAGTACCTGCAGCAGAGGCGCGCGCAATACTCTGCGCATCGAAAGGATTGTTCATAAGTTGCAGAAAACATGCAAAGCAAGGAAGTTTGGGTGAGTGGCGTGAGATGGAAGCGAGAGAGAGAGAGAAATGTAAGTTAGAGAAAATCACAACTTTGTAAGTAAGGTGTAGAAGTAATGAGCAAAAGGGAAGACATGAAAACGCGTCAAGCTTCTGCGGAACAGTGAACTTCTGATAGTTTGCAACTCCCACCTAGAGCGTGATAGGTTGACCGTAGCAGATCTGTCAATCCTCTTCTCTCTGCACTTCCCAGTACCACATTACCACCTAGGTGGGATGCAATGGACTTGCAGTGGCTCGCAACGCCTAGCTAGAGATTAATATTCTGACCGTAGAGCATTCACTCAATTCTTTCCTTTTCATTGATGAACTCGGGCAAATGAAACCAATGCACATGAAGCTTGTAGTTACAAGTATCATAAAGCCGGCATCATCAAAGAGCGTACATCTGATACTGGCAAGAGAATACTCTCAGTGTACCTTGCAACGTGACTGAATGAACGTGTGGAAGTAGAGTATGCAGGAGTTGTGGTCAATTTCAGAATTCCGGGTCGGCGTCGGAACCCAAGCGGAAGCTGCGTTTAGGCCTCGCACCTTCCCAAACTTTCTTAAAAATTTACCCTCCCCTACCAACACCTATAACAAGTCTCGATATGTATCAGATATGATCAGGAAAACAGCAAAACAATGATTCCGCCCGGGTTCGAACCGGGGACCGCCTGTGTGTTAGACAGAAGTGATAACCAACTACACCACAGAACCAGTTGATGCAAGATACCCCGGTAATATACCATATATTTTTAAATCGTTTGTTTTTCCTCGCTAGTAGGACATCGATAGCTGACATGTTGCCTGCAAGATGATTCGAGCAAGAGCGGCGCTGTCATAATCACATATAGCGGCTTGAGCTAACTGACGCTCGCTGAAATCTGGCAAGCCGAATAGAATCCAGCACTAGCCTCCGGTGTAATAATCTTGCAGAAGGCAATGAGAGCTGGAAAGGGGTTTAGATCATATCTGACAAGGAATACATTGTGCTGAAGCACAATGATTTTACGGCTCTTGGAAAGGAAGTGATGGGCAGGAGCATCGGTATTCAAGAACCAACAGCCTCGATCAATCCATCGCTCTTTGCTGAGCGGCCTCTGGCACGGGCCGTAAGCAGGCCGCCCAGACCATCGTAGAGTTCTTCTGGTTGTAGAATTGAAAAGATAGGATTCTCAACATACACTGCAGATAATTGGAAAGAAAAGGACTAGAAGCGATTGTGTCAGTAAACTGCAGAACCTCCACAACAAGACGATGAACAAGAAGAGAAACATCCCATATTGACAGTGAACCAAAAACGAACGCCAGATCTCCAACCAGGCTCAAAATGAATGAGCGACCCATATCCCGTGTGTATGCCCTTGACCAAAAAAAGAATGCCCAGAACACCTCATTATTCAATTTCGTGTCATCTCTTAGTGCGCTGATATTTCCAGATGGCTTCGTTGTAGCGCTCTTACCAGCTCCTCTTCGGTAAACGGTGTGTGGTCGTGAGCAAATGCAGCTCTTGCCTGCGCTTCTTGCAATGGCGTTGATGTAGGTGCTTCCGTCGTTTGTGCGAGTGGTGAAGCCTTGGCTGGAGCCCTTGATCTGTATTCAGCGGTTTGGCGACGAGAGTATACAGGACGATGTGGTTTGTCTTCTCTCGACTGTACTCGCGAGAGACCAACTNNGGTTGCTAACGTTAGCCAGAGCCTCGAGGTGGGTGTTGGATTAGCAAACATACCATTGGTCACATCATCATCGCCATCGGCTTCTATCTCCGTCGATAGTGCAGGCGCAAGGGCAGCGTGCCCTTGTCGCGGAACATCCAAACTCTCCCGGCCACTCTTCGCTGCTCCTGAAACACTATTTCTCCTGCTCATGTTCATGCTGTTCCTCTTGCTGCTTCTGCCTCCAAAACTCTTTCTGCTGATCAGACTCGCTCGTCGACTCGGCATCCTTGTGCCCATGGGACTGTATTCACTCATGAAACTCTTTCTCCTCCAGGCAGACGCAAAACTGAACGACTCAAGTTTTTCCTTGTGTTCCTTCTTGACCGGGGCACGGTATTTCGGTCGAGGCATTGGTTCGCCAGGCTTATACACATTCGAGGGCCATCGTTCTCGACCCTTAGTCGAATCCGTTGTAGATGATTTGTGAAGTGACGAGTTCGGAGAGGCCTTTCGTAGAGCCTTCTTGATACGCTCGCGGAACGCCATGGTAGGGTCTTTTGGTATGTTGCAGAGGAGGCCGGCTCGAGGATCGCCGTGTGGGTGGTGGGATGATCAACGTGCCACTCGCGTGGTGACAATGTGAAAGACCAGTCTCCTCGTGCTAGGAACGTGGAAATCGGGACCTTTGTCTGTTATGAAAGGCGCAAAGTCCGCAAGTAACGGTCGGTTTGGCGCGGCTAATTTATGATTATGACGTGCGGCCCGTTGGATCGGCTTTGTCGTTGATGAACAATGAAATGGAAGCAGAGACTTGTTGCAGGGGATTGATTGGCCGAGTATGAGGTGGCATGTATCTAGGATGGAAGAAAGAGAGTGAAGAAGGCAATTGACAATGGGAGGAACAAGAAAAGCACCGTCTCAGGTTACGGGTGTGGATGTAGAGGACTGCCTCTCCCCACTCCTTGACCACGGCGCACGGTTCTCAAAAAGCCCTGGCCGAGAACTACCGCCCGATGCTGGCTTCGGCGGTATTCGGTCTAACTCGTGTCTGAGAGAAAAGTGCGGAGAGGTATGGAGAAGGGGCTTGGATGACAGGAGGCTCAAGGATCATGGCTTCGTGGTCGTGAGACTTGAAGTCCATGCCAAAGACGATCGGCCTTGACGATTGACACGCCGGCGACGATGGCGACGATCGAAATGCAAAGAAGCATTTTCGAAGCCCATGCGTCTGGGGCTGTCTCAGTGTGAGGCCTGAGGCCTAGCGGACATGCATGCCATTCCTTTGCGTCCTCGGGGTACAAAGTAGAAGAAACGTACAAAGAGAGGACATCGGTTCTGACTGACCTTGGTTGTTTGCATCGACTCACCCTCGAGGACTGACATGGTGTGCGGATGAGTGTGTCCTCACTTACCGGTACTCAAGTAGATGCCCCAGCGTCTACACAAGAGGCATCCCAACAGACAATAGGATGCAGTTGGTGAGGATGCTGCAGCGGAGAGGATGGACTTTCGAGACGGCGTTCTCGCCTGCATTGATGGCTGACCCAGCGTCTGGAATGCACCGGAATGTGAATGCGACCGCGAGGGTTGGCAACATGAAGGAAACAGACATGCGAAGCCACAGACATGCATGTCAAGCCACCAACGCCTCAGTACCCCGCTGTCGACGCAGCTGACGATCGCCACGTCACTGGATCCTTGTTTCGCTCCCGCATCTTCATCGACGAAAGAGTGAGAGAGGACAGAAAGTGGCAGGAAATGGCGCTCGCTTGAGCCACAGACACGGGATATCACGATCAAGCTTCTCGTGTGATGCGGATTGGTCGTAGAACAGGTCGTGCAGGGCTCCAGCAGCCGTTTTCCTGCATCAAAGTGCCTCGAACCGCTGTGATGCAGCAGATCCAGAGCTCCAAGTGGAAGCTTCATCGACGTCATGGTAGATGCGCATGCCTCGATTTCCTGTTTAAAGCAAGACCTTTGGCCTTTTGACCTGCCACCTTCCCAATCTTGCACCATTCACACTCGCAACCCATTCTCACTGTAATCTTGACGACCAACGACACACGAAACAACACATCCCCAGTAACGACCCAGATCTAACGAACACAAACATGGAGAAGATTAAGAAGATTTTGTAAGTATTATCACGCAGCAACATCATACATGGCATTCTCCTAACATCTCTCAATAGCTCTCCTGGCCACGAGAAGGATGAAGACGTCATGTATAACGACTCCAACACGAGCCGCGCTTCTACTACCAGAGACAGTGCTACGCCCACTCAACACGCTGTCGGCTCGAGTAACAGGGACACAAACCTCAGACAGAATGTTTTGGATCCTCAGAGCAACCTAAACTCTAGACCTAATCCCACTACTACCGTCTCGTCAGCCTCAACGATCCCTGACAATGTCAGCACGGCAAGCATCAGATCAGGCGTTGTTGGCGCCGGCCAAGAGCCTCGTGACGTCGAGGGCACTGGCTTCACAGACTACGCTGCAACAGGTAGTGGTCTGTCAGCACCCCAACAAAAGCTCCCTGTAAGAAGTGCCAGTCCTGTTGGACAGTCTCGTCCCAGGCCTACGCAGATGGAGACCATGGACCCAAGTGGCTTCGTGAACAGCTCACATGCACACAAGGGCCTTGGACACAACTACAATGGTGACCCATGCCCTGAGGGTCAAGAGACACCTGTTCCTGGCTACCTTCACCACCAGCACGGTCCCCATGGTACAGACATCGCCAACAAGCTCGACCCTCATGTGCCTGGCGAGTTCCCCTCCGACGACGGCCTTGACACACACCAGCGTAGAAGAGACGGTGACCTGACATCAGGCTCCTCGAGCCTCGGTTCTGATGCCTACACGACTGAACAGCGCGCCGCTACATTGCCAGGCCAGGGATTGAACACAACAGAGCCCACCAGCAGCCACCACTACGGTAGAGATGCTGCCCTTGGTGCCGGCGCCGGAGCTGCTGGAGTCGGTGCTTACGAGTACGCTCAGCATCAGAACAACTATACTGCCAAAGTCGCGGACCCCAACTACGATCCACTGCTTGAACAACAAAGACGGGAACGTCAAAGTGCCCTCGACGCTGCTATGGCCGGTGATCAGAGATCCCAGCCGGACGCATACAACACCAGCTCGACTGTTGGATCCACATCGACCACTGATCGCTCCTTCCCACTAAGCAGCCACCCTACTACTGCCACCAACTCAAGAGATCTCTCATCAGAGACATCCAGAGATCATCATTTGGGTAGAGATGCCGCTCTCGTTGGAGGCGGACTTGGTGCTGCTGGTTTGGGTGCGCACGAGGCCGGATCTCATAGACGCTCACACGAGATTGAGGGCTACGAAGATCAGCGCTTCGATCCCTCTGCTGCTTCTGGGGACAAGCCCACACGCATCCCCAATCTAATGTACGGCTCCTCGAACAAGTCGAGCCACGAGGGACAGCGCACTGGTGCACTTCCAGGCCACAGTGTAAGCGCCGCAGAAACTGCCAGTGGTCTTGGGGCAGGAGCTGGTGCATACGAGTCTAACCGTTTGCCTGGCCAAGGTGTGAGTGCAGCAGAGACTGCCAGTGGTCATCACTACGGTAGAGATGCTGCTCTGGCTGGCGGTGCCGGTGTTGCTGGTTCTGAGTTGCAGGGCTACAACCATGGCGGCCGCACTGAGACCGACCCTGCTTCCAAGACTATTGGTCCCCACAAGAGCAACCTTATGAACGTCATTGACCCTCGCGTTCAGCCTGAACCAGAGAAGATGAAGGACAGAACCACCGCTGGTCCTCATCAGAGCGACATGATGAACCGCGCTGACCCTCGCGTTGATTCCGACCTATCTAAGCAGAACGAGCACCACTATGGTAGAGATGCAGCTCTGGCTGGAGGAGCCGGTGCTGCCGGCATTGGAGCTTATGAGTATGGCAAGCAGCACGGCCAACCCACCGAGAACATTGGCACCTCCGCTTTCGACCCTCGCTCAACCAACACCACTAACGTCGTGGACCCAAACCACGACCCAATTCTTGAGCAGCAGAGACTGGAACGCCAACGCGCATATGAAGCTTCCCTGGCTGGTGCTGGTGGTGTAGGAGCCGGAGGCGTAGGTGCTTATGAGCATGGCAACACTCATGGTACCGCTGCTCAGAACACTCTCGAACACTCCCCGTTCGCCTCTCGCTCTGCTAACACCGATCCCGCTCTGACACAACAGCCTGGACACCACTACGGCCGTGATGCTGCTCTCGCAGGCGGTGCCGCTGGTATTGGAGCAGGCGCATACGAGCATGGCAGACAGCATGATGATCCTATCGGTTCCACCGTGGGAACTTCGACCTTCGACCCTCGCTCGACCAACACCAGCAATGTCATCGACCCTAGTACTGATCCTACTCTCGCACAGCAACAGCAAGGTCATCACTATGGTCGCGACGCTGCCCTTGTTGGAGGTGCTGGAGCTGCAGGTGCTGGTGCTTATGAATACGGTAAGCACCACGGCACTGATAGCAACCTCGGAACTTCCGCCGTCGACCCTCGTTCCACTAACAGGGTCCCCGTCGTAGATCCCAACAACGACCCAATGCTCGCACATCAGAGAGAAGAACGTCAGCACTTCACTCGTGACGCCGCTGTCGCTGGTGGCGCCGGAGCAGCTGGCTACGGTGCTTACGAGGCGCTCGATCCCAAGGAGCAAGAAAAGCTGGCCAAGCACCAGGCTCATGAGGCTGAGAAGGCACACAAGGCTCAGGTCCACGAGGCTGAGAAGGCACAAAAGGCCCAGCAACACCAGATGGACAAGGATTTGAAGCATCAGCAGAAGGAGCGTGAGCACGAGGCTGAAAAAGGCACAAAAGGCTCAGCAACACCAGATGGACAAGGATTTGAAGCATCAGCAGAAGGAGCGTGAGCACGAGATTGCCAAGCAAGAAAAGAAGGCCGAAAAGCAACGTGAGAAGGAAGCCGACAAGTCCGAGAAGGAAGCTGAAAGGGCTACCAAGGAGAATGAGCACCCTNNGAGAAGAAGAAGCACGGCCTTCTTGGCTTCCTACACCGCGACAAGAAGAACGAGCCCGAAGATGATTTGCGCCAACAGGGACGTCTCCAGGAAGCCGACATTGCTGCACATGAGCGCCATCAACGCGAACTCGAGGCTCGTGCTGCTGATGGCTCAATCCCTGCTGCGGGAGCCAGGTTTGAGCCTTCGCTTGAGGAACAGGGAGCAAACCCCAATGCCTCATCCCCGTATGCTGATATCGAAGAGAGAGGACACCAGACTGTTTCCACCGATACTGCAGGTCGTCACCGTCTGCACAAGGAGCCTCCTGCCAGTGTGCTTAAGCAGCACGGCTTGGAGACTGATCACCCTTATGGTGACAGTCATGGTGCAAACGTTCGTATTGCTTAAGCAGTAATTAAGAGGAGGAGTTGCATGGATTACTTTTTCTTTCCGGAGGGTAATTACGATCGATAATGATTTAGTCCCTCTCTAGCAGTTAATTGTCAATTGCAGTAGTGCGAAAGGAATAGCGAAGCCTTAAGAGTCATTAGTTGTTGCAAGTGACGAATCCGCAAATTCCAAAGCAGCACGCTTAACATCATAAGCTCTCCAAACCGTCATCGCATGCTCGTTATTCCATTTCTCGCACAAAGGCAATGTTTCCGTTACCACCTCCCCAGCTTCGGAGTTGACGTGACTATGAGCAGATTGGAGTGGTTCAGCCTGCACAAACAGAATGCCACTTTCTTTCACAAAGTCATGTTTGTCGATCAAAGCGAAGAGTCTGGTGTGGCTCGTTTGTGCGTCAGAGATCTCGAGTGCGTGAATTGCTTTTAAGACATGCATCGATACGTAGTTCAGAAGGGTGAATCAGAAGGTCGAACGCCGTGTCGGGAGGTAAGAATGGAGAGAGAGAGTCCAAAAGTGAGTTTCTCAGTTTTGCGTTATCAAGCTCTGCGGACTCGAGGTGAAAGACGTGGTATACAGACTTTGTCTCCTTCGGAGCGGCTTCATCTTTTCTGAGCTTCACGCAAACGATGTTGTTATCCCGTCTCTCCACGGTGCCTTTGATATCGTCCTGATCGACTTTTAAGATAGTCGTGATCCTTGGCTCTTCGGGTGGTTTTGGATTTGAATGCTGTTCGCTTGCTTCCAATCTCCATGCTTCACGCTGTGCATCCAAAATCCATTCCTGGATAACTTGATACATGGCGTTATCGCCATCGACGTTGTCCACTGCGCGGATACTTGAGTCCAGCTCGTAAGGACATTATTCGGGTACCCTGTCTCTGGCAGCAAAACTCGCTAGAATGATGGCTTTCTCGTTCCAATCAGGTGGATCCAGAACAACAATTCTCGCTCTATTGACTCCTTTACCATAGAGATGGGTCGGACGACCTCCGAAATCAGATGGAGTTGTGTTGCTTCGATGAGCAATTTCTTTCTTGTGGTGAGCGATGCAAGCGTATACATCATGCAGAGGTCGTTTGTACACATCGATGCGCCATGAAATTTCCGCATCGCGTGGCTCCCACTCTCCAGTTCGGAAAGATCTTTGACCATGTCTTATGATCGGGGAAGCTTGTTGTCATGGTGGCAGTGTTCTTGATACGGGTTAAGCGACATTTCTGAGGAGTGATTACAATTATCGCGATGTGCACAATAACAGTGAAGTTTAACATTTTTTCGTTTCATTACTTTCTGCACGGTTGAAGATCTAGATGACGATCAAGACCGCTATAGTTTTCTTGTTTTCGTGAGACGAGGTGGTGTTGGCGGGTATCCTCAGTTGTTGGACAGGGTGGCACGCTCGATGAGAAAATTTTGGCCGAAAAGCAGAAGAGCTCTTGGCACATGTCCTGTCGCTCGATTTCGTTGCGCAATCGTATCGCCCATCACTTGTATGGTGGCCTAGAAAACCCGGGCGGAGGTTGACTTTGAAGCCTCGTATGCCACCCAGCTTGCCTTGTCTTCTGTCACTCTTGTTGCGCGATGCTCTTTTCTTTTTATCCTGTTCGGTCATGGCTAGCTCAGATAGCTGCAGCGCCTTCTTCCTCAGCTTGCACGAAAGGGTTTGCGATTTCCTCGCTGCCGTCGAGAGGGAGATGAGGACGAGGAGGGATTCCGCGAGCGACTAGGAGACCGAGGGGTCTTGATGAGGTGTTGCCTTCGTCATCTGATTTGGTTGCTTGTCAGCTTTATTTCGAGGCGTAGAGAGGATGTAAGTGGAACGAAGATGGGATGTAAAGGATATGAGAGAGACTTGGGGAATGCGAGGTGCTGAGAAAGCCTTACCTCTTGTAATTTCCTTGACGTCGTCGAGGACGAGATTCATAAGTTGATCGTAACCTTTGAGTGTTCCAGTGACTGTTATACTCTGTCAGTACTTTGTGCCTCTCTCTTTTGTATATCGCAATTCTCCCAAGCTCTTTTGTCTGCTTGTCATGCTTTCTTCCATTGGATGTGTTCCGGGGAGGGCAAGAACTCACCCTCTCTACCTCCACTAAACTTGACCTGAATCTCCTTGTCCATGTACTTGTTCAAATCGAGAATGTTCTCCTTCTTAGGGCGCGGTGTCTCTGCATCGTTGTTGTTGTGCGATTGGTTGTTGTTGTTGGCGCCACCGCGACCACCTCCTCTTCCACCGCGATTTCCTCCTCGGTTTCCGCCTCTGTTGCCGCCTCTGAATTGACCGCGTTCTGACATTGTGTGGGTGAAGTGTGTTGTATGGAAAGATGCAGGCTGAATCTGACGTAGAGCTGTGACGGCGGAGTTGAGCACGGCGGAGAAGCGCGCGGCGGAGAGGAGCGTGAGGAGAGGAGTGTGAGGAGAGGAAGGCGCGGTGGGGGTCGGTGCGTTCGTGCCTTCCGCCCTCCGCGATGCAGCCTGGTCGTTTTGGACTTGCGGCTTTTTGTGCTCTCGTTGCCGTGATAGCCTGAATTGTCTATCTGGAGGCGTCAAAGTTGGAGAGAGTTGTCACTGTAAACCTGCCGTCTGCAAAACAGGCTTTCTCAGCTCGGTCTGTCCTATAGAGAAGAGATTAAGTTCGCAGATGAGTTGTTGGTTATCAGACTTGTTATTCCCGTAGAGGAGCACCTTCCGGTTATGGTTCACGTTTCTCGTTTCCACACCGCTCCGCCAGCGTGCAAGGGCGGCAGGAGGATACGCGGCCGGTGACGAGTACAGGAGTAGGAGCCGGGCCAGACTGAAGGCGCCTGTTCAGACTGCCGAGCTGAGTGGCCGACCATTGCTGCCAAGGCCCAGTCAGAGGCTTTGGAATAGACAGGCGTGATGGGTATTGGCAACATTGGCGGCAGCAGCACACAGCGACGCTCTCGACGAAGCTGTGCACCTCCATCAAACACGCGCTTCACGTCGAGTTGTGTGAGCAGATATAGCTTTCTGCCAGCGTCCTCCGCTACCTGCCTCCCACCGCACACCACCCACCGCCGTCCGCGCTGACAATGTCCGAAGCCGCTCCGCCCACCGACTCCCGCGNNGCCCAAGTATGTTCGTGTCGTGATATCTTTCTATACAATACTAATCGCCATGCAGCCAACCCTGGTGCAAAGCGCAAGAGGAGTCCCTCGTTGGCTCCATACCAAGGAGGAATCGTGCCTCAGAACAAGGCGCCCAAGACCGGCAACGTGAGCAGTCAGCTGCAGATCAACTACATCGCGCGACAATGCATCGACGACCTTCCCTTCATCTCAAAGGAGGACACGCTCCCGGGCATGCTGGAGACACTCTCGTCGTACACTCAAGTCCTGGATCGTCATGAGTCGCTGGCTAGCAACCTCGGTGCTCGTCCTCTCGGTCCAATCCTGATCAAGCGCTTTGAACGCTGCTTCGATGCGCCGCCGCGGGTCATCGCCTCACACTCGCACGCGAGAGAGGTAGACCTCCCTCAGGTGACCTGGCTCGACGTCGTCCACTTTGCCCAGGCACATCCCGGTCAATTCACCCTGTCGACTTTTAGCGAGGGCCGTCGCGTGTGCCAGTTCTACTATGCGCAGAAGCAGGTGCGCGTCCAGATCTCTGAGGAAGACTTCCTGTTCATCAACAGCGGAAGATGCCAGGACCTGATTCCACCACTTCCCATCTGGGAGGATGAGGAGAAAGAGGTGGCTACGTGCGAGCTTGTCGAGAAGGCTTTGAGGGATCTGACTGCGGCTGCCGATTCGGTTGCTGCTCGTACTCGCCAACTGGCCCATCGACTTAAGGGAAGAAGGATGGCCATCCTTGAGCGCAGATCTGCCGAAGAGTCGCACAACCACCAGGTGCAGCAGCAAGCTCTACAGCCGTCCTTCGTTTCCGTCAACAACAACACCATCCAACAGCCAGTTGTGCACCAGCCTCAACCGCAACCTCCACGGTCACCCGAGAAGGTCGATCCCGCTCTGCACATCCGGAACGATCTTCTCAAACACTTCCAGTCACTCCCTAAACAAGTGCCTCCGCAACCCGACAACCGTCGCGTCTCGTCCGTCCAGCAACAACCACAATCACCATCTTTCCAGACCCCACAAAACTTCACTCATCACCCTCGACCAACTCTCGAATCGACATCCACCTCGGTCTCTCCCGTGCCCACTAACGTCGCCGCCATTGCTGCCGCCGCAGCAGCCCAAGCATCCCACTACGCCCGCGATGAATCACCACAATCTCAACCACGCCATAACTTCTCAAAGCCTCTACCGCCATCGCAAGAAGTCTCGCAACCCTACCGCACAATCTGTCAAGCCCACATGGAAAGTCTACCGCGTGGTTCTCGCGTCGTGCCTCCCTGCGACCGTTGCAGACGTTTGAAGATGGACTGTCTCAAGAACTTGTCTTCATGCGGTGGTTGCACCAAGAAGCACGCAAGATGCCATTGGAAAGAGGTTTCTCGTGATGAAGTCCAAGGATTGGAAGGCTTTGAAGATGCCGAAAGAGTGGCCAATGAGTTTGCCAATGGTACTAGGAGGTTCAGTGCCGAGTACGCTGCTAGCGACACGAGTATGGATGTGGATGCCAGAAGTCCTATTGATTACCCTAGCCACACTGCTGCGTCTACCCCTGCTGGATTGGGTGTTCAAGGCTTCGCTCGTCCACAAACAGCAGGATATCCAGACGTGCAGCAGCAAAACAACTACCCTCCACCACAACCCCAGCAACAGAGACCAGACTATGAAGACCCAAGCAACATCAACTACCGAGGTGCAGGAGCCAATATTCAGCGCCAACCATTCCCAGAAGACTTGACGCAGCAGCAAGCTCCACCACAGCAACAACAAGACCGCACAATGGACCTCCTCCGCGTTCTCGGAAACCACAACAATGGCATCTCTTCACCTGTTCCTACCAACCCTGCTCCTGTTACCGACAACAACCAAAACAGGAACAACGGAGCATTCAGATCTTCGTTCACGCCTGCTAACGAAACACCTGCTGTGGCTACTCCTGGCCATGTGGGTGGTGCAACAAACGGACAAAACACCACCCCGACAACCGAGGTTCCTGGTGTGGCTAGCGAAGGCCAAAGAGTGTAGAATCCTCGACCTGTGGATGAGGCATATATCGAACGTCATCGTCGCCGCACGAGGAGAGCATCGCGTCAGTTTCCATCTTCTCCTGAGCTGGGCGGAGGGTACAGCAGCAAAAAGCCTTGGTCCATCTGAAATTGTAGACTTGAGAGAAAGAGAAGGACGGGAGCAACAAGGCAATATGAGCAATCTAGGATTGCGATCCCTTTATGTTTGTTCTGGGAGCGCGTATTGTTAGCAGGGTTTGTTGACGTGTTATTGGATAGCGACGTATGGACATGGAGAACGTTATCATATTGCTAATTCGTTTCTTCGTTGCACCATCCCAAGCGCAATCCCATTGTGTAAGACTACATGTCGAATTGAAATCTCGCTTCTTTCTTTCAACAAGTCCATCGTAGCTATGAAAAGCCGCTTTGAGAACAGTTGGCAACACAGATTCTACCACGGTTCTCGTTACGATCAACATGTCATTTCTTTAAACCAAGAATTCGAAGCCATGGATCAGACCTCTCGGATGTGAATGGCTTGCTTGTAGCAAAACGAGCTCTTGCTTGACAGCCTGAGCCTTTCGAATGACATGTTGACCGTAGGAAGTATCTTGCATTTTCCTTGAGGCAGACAATTCTTCCCCAAGGGCGAGGGCTCTTATCACTATACCAAGCGTTTTGCATCCTTTGCACTACCGTGATTCAAGAGCTTGTCACCGCCGATTGCAGAAGATGTGTGATTGAGAGTCTTGTTTTTCTCATCTCCCTGTTCATCGGACTCGAAATTTGATCTTACTCATCTTCTGGAGGCTTTGGATCTACTATCCATGATTCGAGATTTGTTGGATGTAAGTCATGTGTAAGGCGAGTTGAAGAATCTCTAAGGTCTGTAGACGAGTTGCAAGAGCGTACGATTTCTGAAAAAACAATTGGAGTATTACGAAAGGGTTTGATCAGTCTAAAGGGCGTGTATAACTTGACTTGTGCAGTTACTCTAGTCAAATACCATACTCTCCTCGTCCTCGTCCTCGTTCTCTCCGAGCAACCTGCCACTTCTATGACCTTCGAGATCGAACGTCTTCCACTTCCTTCTTCCTTCCTCGACAACAACACAGTTTCTCCTTCCCTTTTTGCCGTTTGCAACCATCCATTTCGGCACCCATCCTTCTTCGAACTTGTTCGCTACAAACCCTCCTTCCATCAGCTCTTCCATACTCCGCCACTGATTCCTCACATCTTTGCCATCCAATGAAGAAGAAGCAGAGCGATAAGGCAAACAAAGCAAATAATGTTCGTCCTCATGACAAAACAAACACAAGAAAGTTTCATCGTCGAGGAATTTTAGTGCCGAAGTTATGGATGGGGTAGACGAAGATGGAAGAATAATCTGTCGCCATCCATTGCCCTGTCCACCATCCGCTTGCATGATTTGGTCCCAGAGTGCCAATTCGCAGACCTCAGTGTTGATCTGATGAGTAGGTTGTGCAGGGGCACCAATGACGAATGTCTCGAACACGCCAGCAGAGGTCTCCAGCATACGTATATCGAGGTAAGGAAGTACAGAAGCGGTAGCAGTGGTTCTGCACTCGATATCCAAAGTTTGTGGTGTAGAGCTTTGGTGCCAGAGAGANATGTGTTGGTGCGCGGACTTGCAGACAGCGCTGAGGTGTGCACTCCAGAGGTGGAGAGAAAGCAGGTTTTGGGTTTCGGCGACTTGCGAGCTGCTTCTAGAGCTGTGGATGCAAGTGATGAGGTCTTTTGTTGTTGGTTGATGTGAACTTTCGATCTCAGGCGTGGCGAACACTATGGATTTTAGTCGACTTTTCGTCAAACCGCCCTCCAGGTATGCAAGCGTGTTCGGAAGGTCGAGCTGTGGAGTCTCTCGCTCGGCCATATCTTTTGCACTCAGTGAGTCTGGATCTGCGGCTGCGAGATCGATTTGGTGCCTTAGCCATCTCGAGAATGCTCGGAACTGGCGCTGCTCGGCGCCTAGTATCTGCACTGCTTCGTGAACAAGGAGCTGGAGAGATGACAAAGTTGAGAGAATGGAAGTGAAGGCCTCTGGCGGTACGTTGAAGTGCGGTGTGTCCGAATAGTAGCGAGCCAGACCTCGGAGATTCGTCGCGACGACAGCGCTGCGTTCGAGAACAGGAAGTAGGTTCGTGTGTAGGATCTTCGAGAGCTCTGTGTAAAGTGTTGTCATTGCGTGATCCCATCTCTTGTGGCCACGCTCTGCTAGTTCGTCGCGTAGCCATTCCAGAATTGTTGGCGTGAAATTCCCAGTCATGGCGAGGTGATACAGATTATCTTCCAGCACACCCTCACCCTTCTCCTCCAATGTCTCGTTGACATTCTCCATAAATCTAGAGGGAAGATTGGTATGGGTAGTCCAATCGCTTTTGGCTGACACGATGCTGCATGATATGTAACCACACAAGTCACGAAGCTGTGCTGTCCGTGAGACGATGAGATGCAGATGTGAACCTCCAGATGACATTAGTGGTATGTCGAACAGGCTGATATGGAGGTTCTTCAGGCCCTGATTAGTATTGTCCGATGCTTCTTCATCACGCTCTGCTCGTAAAAGAGCGTGGTGTCTCGAGCGAGGATGTGATGTGTACTTGAGAGGTATAAGTGAGTGTGGCGTCTCATCGTCATCCTCCATGGGCCACATGATATCCGAGCCTGGGAAACTCGGAATATATTTGATCTCAAGAATATCGTCAACGGTGACTCGGTTTCTGCCACCAGCATGACCAACAAACATTACATCGGCTGCCAATCGATCTTTTCTCTGCATTGAGTCGAAGTAATCGTCTAGGGCTGCTTGTGTAGCAAACATGTCGTATCGTCCACTTGCAGTATGTCGAGTTGGGATTGGGCTGAGACGAGGCAATATAGATTCAACGTCGAGGAAAGCTAATTGACGAGGCAGGTCTTTCAATAGAGCTTCTTGTCCTTGAGTCTCCAGATCCTCGTCGTCGTCAGCCTGTGGCTCATCACCAGGCGTCAATCCAAGACGACTCCAAAGGTCATCGAGCATCGACGGATCCAGTGCAGGTCTCGTAGGTTTCTTTGACTCGTTGGTTTCTCGTGTTAATACAGTACCCCAACCTAGACAAGTTATTTCACCCCGGTCGACCTTGGATTTTGAATTTGCAGCATCAATGCTGAATGGATCATCACCGCCATGTCGAACAACCTTTCCAGTTTCTCCAGAGACAATATCCACAAAACCAGTGTTGAGAGCTACAGCCAGGCATTTACCTATGATCGTGTCAGTCGCTGTACAGGCACGATAATAACACAAAGACAAACCATCACGTATCCATTCGAGACCAACGATAGTCGTCGATGGAGTCTTTCGCTTGATAATGAAAGCGCGCTGGCCGCCGATGCGGTAGACTTCGATCACTTCATCTTGTGTGACAACTGCAAGCAGATCCGTCCGGGGACAATAGGCGAGAAGATGAGGATTGATGGTATACGACAGGGCCTTTTCTGACTGCAGCGGAAGGCGGTACTCTTCAACCATTATAATCGCTAGCTGTGATCCACAAAACCATCAGAACTTCAGTTGGTTGAAATTGTGAGATGCGATATGCTGATGGTTGTCGAAAATGAATGGTTCCATGTTTACGTGCAGAGTGCCATGTCTTGGCGCCTTTGAAGTGGCAGTCGCGATGCACAGAAAACAGACGAGAAAGGAGATCACGCATGTTCGAATTCATAGGAAGGGTCAAGATAGGAAAGATGTAGATCTTCTGGGGTAATAGCCAATACTCGTTCGCTTTTTGTGATACAATCTAATTACGCCTATTTCGACCATAAACCTTTACACCACCTGGTATCCGTCCGCCACCGACTTGATGTCCTTTGAGAAAGAGATGTCCTGGCCCATGTTCAACAAAGTTACGGATGAGACCTGAAGAACTGTTAGTAAGATAAGATGCAAAACAGATAGGGTAGAACTTACGTCGACTTCAACGTATGGTCTGGTCTTTGCGAAAGTAACGCTCATGGGGAAGAACTCGGCTTCGCTCTCTGCCTGAGCCTCAAACTCGAAGCTGCCGTTGGCATTAGTGTCATCCACATCCCCAATAGTCCAGTCAATGCTGTCGCCAGACACTTCATACACAGCATCGAAGCTAGAAACAGAAGGCTCGCTAGTTTGGTAGGGTATCGAGACAGTAACATCGTTGAGCGCATCTCCACCAGTGAGTTCGTACTCGAGGGTGATGTTGTATGTGCCAGATCCAGTCTCGTTTACCCAAGCAGTGAAAGTGATTGGGGGNTCGCTAATATCTTCAGCCTTTGCAGCCAGTCTCCAGCGCATAACACCAATAGAGTTGTTTGCAGGGAATCCTTTTGAAGTGTCGGTGAGTTGAATGATCTTGTCGTTCTTGAAAACAGCCTTGTCAACCTTGGGATGCGAGTTGAGTTGTGCGCCGCGGGTGTCACCCAATGCGAGAGCGAGTTGGACTTGTGTGAGGGAAGGATCGGTGATGCGGAGTTGGAGATCACCCTTGACTTCGAACGACTCGAGAGAGCCCTCTCGGCTGAGCTTGGCTGAGATGGTCTCGGCAACTGTGATGTGAAGACCCTCGCGGTCTGAAGAAACGGCAGGAGCGGCGGCTTGGACGGGGGCGCTGACAGCGGGAGCTGAAGGGACGAGNGGAGCCTCTGCCTCGGGACCGAGATCGCCACGGACTTGCTCGAACATGGACGTCGTCTTTGTCTTCTTTCCGAGCTGCATGCCCTTGCTTCGGGCAGGAAGAGACTTTTGGAAGGACTTGTTCTTCTCGGCATTGTAGGAGTCGTAGGTATCGGTGACGGCGGGTTGAGTAGGCGGCGGGGTGTAGGTTGGATATGAGGGCGCGCTGGGTATGTTGCGACCAGAACGAGTGGCTTCCTTGCGCTGCATCTCGAGTTGCTTGGCCTTTCTCTTGCGCTCCTCGGTGGCTTCGAGTTCCTTGTTCNNTAGATGGTGTGTGAGCATGTGGTGTTTTAGATAGGCACATGATGGGCGTACCCTTGAGATGATGTCCTGAATACGCTCTTCGTGCGACTCCATGTCGAGGAAAGTCTTGATCTGGCTCAGGGTAAGGTTCTCACGGTAGCCTAAAGTAACCAGCTCATCAAAGGCGCTCAGAAGCTCGAAAGCATTGCGCAGAATCTCGCGCTCGTCCAGACTTCTGCAGATGCTGGTGACAACCTGGGCGAAGAGGTGTAGCGAGTCAATGTCCTGGAGTATGTTGGATTGGCGATTGGTGATGAGGACCATGTATAGCTCGTCAAGGGGCTGGTAGACGAAGCGGACATTGTCTTGCTCGACGGTTGTGTGCTGAGTACCGCTGTCGGCGAGCTTGGGGAAGGATGCAAGAAGGCCTTCGATTCTCGATCGCTGCATCTCGCGGAACTGGCGAGAGAGGACGGCCTTGCCGCCGCGCGTGCAGATGGATGCTGCCAGAACAACCTATACGGTTGCATTAGTTGTCGGTGTGCTTATACCATGAGACAAGAGATGTTGGTCACCATTGTGTCGGCAGGAGTGTGGATCAGACGAAGAAAAAGAGGCCCGTGACAGAGAAGTGGCAGAGGATGGTATAGCTCGTTGTTATTCGGACCTTAGTTGTCCTCTCCTAAACTTCCCCACGCTCCGTGTCTCCTGCCTGGCTGGCCATTCGTCGTCTCGCTGCCAAGGCAAGAGCCAGCCAAGCCTCTCCGCGGCCACTTCCGCCCGCCGCTCCCACTCGCCCTGGCAATTGCAGCCTGCCCGTTTTCGTCCTTTCGACCTCTTTCTTCTTTCCACCAACATCGCCCAACGCGACTATCGGCAGTCACCCGTAAACTCGTACATCTGCACACGTCGACAATACCATTGATACCTGCCACTCCGTACTGCCTCGCAAGTGTTCAAAGAGTCTGACACATTTTCACGTTCTACGACGCTCTGCATGTGCATCAGTGTGGCAAGCCGCTAGCCCACGTTCGACCGCCCTCACATCTCCGGCATTCCTTTGTTCCCTGCGCACAACACCTAGCCCCCTTGCCGATCTTTAGTTTCACCAACACCGTCCTCCAGCCGTCATGGCTACCACTCTCCAACCTTCCTTTGGCCTACAACAGCCTGAAGATTCTATGGAGATCTCATCTGAGTACGGCAACATGGACGCCGACATCGATATTGATCTCGACGCCCCCGACGCTCCCGACACCAACATGCAGTCTTTCCAAGTAGACGACCACCAAATGCAGGAAGACCCCAGATCCGACCGCCCCGACGACGATCTCATGATTGATGACTCTAATCTCGACGACACCGACCGCATGATGCAAGATGATGCTCCACCTCCTCAAGAGCAAGATGAGGAGTTACTAGACTTCAGTGAAGACGAAGAAGATGTTCCTATGAATCCTGTCGAGCCCAGCCAGGTCGAGATCAACTTCGGCGCCGCAACTGGAGCGCCTGCACAGCAACCTATAACCACCGAAGAACCTATTGAACTTGTTCAATCTGAAGCTGCATCTGAGCTCCTGACTGAAGGTGTTCAGCCCATCAACACCGTAGTCCAACCATCAGAACAGGTTTCCGAGCAGCCTCAGATCGAACCTGTCGCGACACAGGAACCTGTGTCTGAACAGAACGTGACCAACAATAAGCCCGAAGATGTCGCCCAAGAATCTCTTGACCAAGTCGCCAAAACAGAGGTCCAGTCTGCGCCTCGCGAAGAGACACAGGCCTCACACCATGCAGACTCAAGTGAAAAGCTTGAGACACATGCCCAAGAGTCTGTTGTTGAGTCTACTGAGGTCCCCAACGCAACCAACGAAGTTTCGCAAGAGAGCGCACAAGTTGCTCACCAACAACCAACAAATGACCAAGACCCAGAACAAGGTAATGATGATGTCCAAGTCGAAGTTGGTCAGGAAGGCGATGAGCAGCCCGCTAAACGCACCCTAACCCGGCAAGAGACTGATCTCTCGAACTATACCGTTCCTGATGATTACTCACGTGAGAGGCAAGTCAACTCGCCTACTGTGACTGGCTTGCACCCCACCATAGTTGAGTACCAGGAGAACGAGGTCTACCTCTTCCCTTCGAGAGACCCTGCTGTGCCTGAGCAGTATCTACTGCAGAACGAAAATCTTGTGACCACTAGTCTCGGCGATTTGCTCCAAGCTTGCCGCACTGCTCTTGGTGATGGTATCAGTGAAGATGAAGAGCTGGTTTTGGGTGTGGAGGAGCTGGACCTTTATGTGAGCGAAGTAAGTTTTGACATATCATCTGCTACCTTGTTTACAATGGCTAACAACTCCTTCAGGNACTCGACACCCGCATTCTCTACCAGCTTTTCAGAGCTGCTTGACATGTACCTGCAGCTGCACAAGCTTGATGGCAACGACAGCCCTCCGCCATTCCGTGTGTCCTTGACTACCAAAACTAGATTCAGTAACCGCTTGGCTTCGATCACTCAAGCCATCTCCGAAGGCAAAGGCTTCTCGTCGCTTTCCTTCTTGCAGTATTACGAATATGATGAACCCACCGAATTGCCCGATGAGGACTTTGACGATGACTTTGACGAGCTTGTCAAGCCTGATGAACCGCAGCAACTGATCGAAGAGGGTGTTCCCACTGTTGAGAGCGCACAAACTGTCGCCGAGGATGAACACACCACTGAGAATACCTCTGCTTTACAAGCTGAGCAGCAACAAAATGAGCAGACCGACCCTGCTCAAGAGGGTGAGTATGAAGGCGAAACATCGGCTGAGCACGACGTCCATACCGATGCTGCCGACCAGTCCGAGTACAACCAGGACGATACTCAGTACTTTGACGCCCAAGGAGGCGAGTCTGAGTTGTTAGGCGAGAGCCACGTCGAGGAAGAAGACGATGGTACTCCCGCTGAAGTTCAGCCTACCACTGGCGATCTAGAGGCTGTAGCCGGTGATGAAACCCATCACGATGACCAGCATGCCGACGGAACTGTTCAAGATGAACATGCTTCTGAACATGACGAGCAAGAAGAGCAATATGAAGAGCATGCTGGAGAACAGCAAGAGTATGAGACACAAGGCGAAGAGCACGTGTTCGGTCAAGGCGAGTTCTTCGACGAGAACTACGAGTACCAAGACGGTGAGATACACGAAGAGGATGCTCATGCCGCTGAGGAAGAAGCGATCAACGATGAAAGCCACTACCAGGAAGAGCAAGAAGCCGAGGTTTCTGCCGCTGGAGAACAAGATGACAGTGCTGTACCTCCACCTGCAGAGGCCCCTCACGCCGATGAAGACGGCCATGAAAATGAACAAGATGCGCAACACGACTACAGCAATGCTGACCAGTCTGTCGACGACGGCGTTGCAGATGTCGAACATGACAACGGTGTAGCTGATGGTGCCGTCAAGAAAGACAGCGTTAAGCGCCAGTCACTCGCAGTCGAGGACGATGACTACGATGAGATCAACTTCGACGACGAAGACAGCTACGATGATGATGGCGCCGGACTTGCGCCGGTACTTACAAACACGTCAAGCAAGGCATCTCCCGGCGCAAAGCGTTCATTCTCAGAGCTTGACCAAGTGGACGACGAGCAAGACAGCAAGAAGGCTCGTGCCTCATGAGCGATTCCTATCTCAACATGGGACGCCATATTATACATACTACACCACTATGAACACTCCTGGTTAGGACGTGCTGACCGCGATCCGATAAACAATTCCTGGACACCTGGATACCATCAACGGTCACAAGGCAAGCCGCAAAGACAACTTCGCCTGGTTTCTATTACCCTCCACCCCTTTCGCCTCTGTTTTCTCAGCGTTGCAACGAAAGGGCTCTCTGCTAACCAATAGTACCGGAACGGAGTACTAACCATGTCAATGCAGGTCTATATCAGGTAAGGAGCGAGGCATATCCCCGGCTCGACCCGTCCGTGTTCATGGATGTCATGACGCATATGCGAAGGAGAAGACAACAAAAGCATGGGCGTTCCTGGGAGTTGTGATTATGGGTTGAGGGAGTTCTGACAGGTGCATCGTTCTGATGTTTCTGGCGTGCTTTCATGTGCGATTCGCGAAAAACGATACCCCTGCTGCTGTTTTCTGCTTTTGTCATTCACCTTTTCCCTTTCCATTCCACAGTCACACTAGTTTGCAGTTCAGAGTAGAGAAAATGCATCGTTTCTTTTTCCGACACATGTGTCAGACAAATGCTTGTAATTTTGTGATGGAGTAGAGTCTAATCCTCCTTTCTCTTCTCGTCACCCTCGCCGACACCATCCAAAAAGTCCCTGCACGTCTGGACAATGATCTGGTGATCTTGCTGCTGCTTCAGTCCACTGACTACAATAACAGCCACCACACCCTCCACTCCCTTGACCCTGACAGGAAAGCCACCACCATGGATAGCAAACTCCTTTGCCTTGTCCAACAAACAGTACTTCTCGGCAAAAGCCTTTTCGTCACCAGCAAACTTGTTGTGCATGTACCAAGTACTGGCTCCAAATCTGAGCACGGTAGCACTCTTTCTAGCCACCCAAGCACTGTTGTCGGGGGTGACTCCACTCTTTACGGCGGTATAGAAGAGGGGAGTGTTGTTTGCGAGGGTGATTGAGATGACGGTTGGAGATGCGAAAGTAGAGAGGCGAGAGCGCAGCAGGCAACCCAAAGTCCAGGCGTCGGCGGCTGTGAAGGTGGAGAATAGGATTGAAGAGTCAATTTGGGAGATTGCTGAGAGGTCGGTGGGGGGGTTTGTGAGGGGTAGGGTGCTGAGTCTGCCATTGTTGGTGAGGTTGTTGTGGAGGTTGGTTGGTACGTTGTGTATTGAGACTGAAGAGGTCGTGTCCTTGTTATGTAGTATGGAGAAGATAGAAGCAGGTCGGTGTGGGCACGAGATGTCGAGCAGCAAGTCGCGAGTGACCGCATGCGGGCATGTGCCAAGGCCATGCGGCGCTACGTTCACCGCCTGCGGCTTGCGGGGCAGAATCTCTTACCTCCGAGGATTTCTTGCAGAGCATCGAGGGTCTGCTTACACAGCACGACTTGCATAAGTTTTGCAGCGGAAGTTGCATAAGATATGAGCAGTGCGTTCTCTAGCACTTCCGCCCAAAGCTCCAGTCCATGGATTTTTCTAGCAGTCAGTCCGACCGTCATTTTTCTATACACACCCGACATTTGCGCCTTTTCACATAACACTCGCAAAAATGGCTCCCATGGACGACGATTTCGTCCTTACCCTGTCCGACAATGAAGACGGCTTTGCCGACGAGCTAGCAGAAGTCGAAGCAGAACCTGCGCCCGTCTCAAACAAGAAGCGCAAGCGCGATTCCGACGTCGCCAACCTCAGCAAAAAGGACAAGAAGAGCAAGAAGCAAAAGAAGAAGCAACAACAACAAGCCGAGTCAGATGACGAAGAAGAACAACAAGCCATCGACGAGGACCTAGACCCGGAGTTTGAGTTCCAACTTGGCGATGGCACGACGGCGAATATGGAAGACTTTGACGGCTGGACTGCTCACAATGCGCAAAAGAATGCTGGCAAGAGGATGGTTGATATTGATGATATCATTGCAAAGAGGAGGCAGGAGAAGAAGACGGATGGCGATGCAGAAGCTGGAGACGAGGAAGAGGAGGAAGAGTTTGCTGGCTTGAGTGACGGTGAAGACGAAACTCTTGCTGAAGATGCCTTCGGTATGGGTGCTGCTCCTGGAGTCGAGAAGGACTCTGAAGATGAAGAGGAAGACGAGGATGAGGACAAGGGAAGCGACGCCGAGGATGGCAGCGAGGCAGGAGATGAGTCTGATGACGAGTCTGTTGCTGAGCATGTGCCTCACCCTGATGACGAAGAATCGGACGCTTCAGATGTCGAGGAAAAGGAGGACGCCGAAGAGGCAGAGAAGCGTGCTGCCTTCTTCGCTCCCGAGTCAAACATGGACGGCGACAAGGACCCTGCAGCAAAGGCCGTGGGCTCTTTCCAGGAGCTGAATCTGTCGCGTCCCATCATCAAGGGTTTGTCGTCCGTTGGCTTCGCTGCTCCTACACCCATCCAACACAAGGCCATTCCCGTCGCTCTTCTGGGCAAGGATGTTGTCGGAGGTGCCGTCACTGGTTCCGGTAAAACTGCCGCCTTCATCATCCCCATCCTCGAACGCCTCCTCTACCGTCCCAAGAAGGTCGCCACCACCCGCGTCGCCATTCTCATGCCTACCCGTGAACTGGCTCTCCAATGTTACAACGTCGCCGTCAAGCTGGCAAGTTTCACAGACATCACCTTTGGTCAAGCCATTGGTGGTATGAGTTCGCGCGAGCAGGAAGCTGCACTGAAGCAACGCCCCGACGTTGTCATTGCCACACCCGGTCGTTTCATCGATTTCATGCGCAACTCGTCCGCCTTCCAAGTCGACACCATTGAGATTCTCGTCCTCGATGAAGCCGATAGAATGCTCGAAGACGGTTTCGCAGACGAGTTGAACGAGATTCTGACAACCATCCCCAAATCCAGACAAACCATGCTGTTCTCCGCCACCATGACTTCCAGTATCGACAACCTGATTCGCGTGGGTCTTAACCGTCCTGTTCGTCTTATGGTCGACAGCAAACGCCAAACCGTCGCGGGTTTGACCCAGGAGTTTGTTCGTCTACGTCCAGGCAGAGAAGAAAAGCGCATCGGTTACCTCCTGCACCTCGTCCACGAATCCTTCAGCACAAAAACCATCATCTTCTTCCGCCAAAAGAAGGAAGCCCACCGCGTCCGCGTCATCTTCGGTCTTCTGGGTTTGAAAGCTGCCGAACTGCACGGAAACATGTCGCAAGAACAACGTATCAACGCCATTGAAGCTTTCAGATCTGGCGCTGCCCACTTCCTCCTCGCCACCGATGTCGCCTCCCGTGGTCTGGATATCAAGAACGTGGACGCCGTCATCAACTACGAAGCACCCCAAACCCAAGAAATCTACTTGCACAGAGTCGGTCGAACAGCCAGAGCAGGACGTCAAGGTAAATCGTGCACACTGGCCGCAGAACCCGACCGTAAAGTCGTAAAAGCCTGTGTCAAGACCGCCCGCACCCAAGGCGCCATCATCAAATCGCGCATCATCGACCCCAAAACCGCAGACGAATGGTCCCGCAAAGTTGACCTGTTGGCCGTAGAAATCGAAGACGTGCTACGGGAAGAAAAGGAAGAAAAGGTGCTCGCGACAACGGAAATGCAAATGCGCCGTACTGAAAACATCATGACGCACGAAGACGAAATCCTCTCTCGCCCCAAGAAGACTTGGTTCGAGAGCGAAAAGGACAAACGTGCTGCCAAGATTAGAGGAAAGGAAGAGTTGAATGGAGCAATGACGCCAGGAGCCAAACTCAAGGGTGATAGAAAGAAGTTGTCCAACAAGCAAAAGAAGAAACTCGAAGACAAGGACGAGAGAATGGAAGGTGGAGGTTGGAAAAAGGGAAAGGCAGAGAGAGATGGCAAGGGTGTGCTCGAAAAGGAAAAGAAGGGCAAGGGAGGCAAGAGGCCGCAAAAGCCCAAGGGACCTAGGAAGTCGATGTAGAGATGAACGTAAGGCAAGACAAGAGATTTTTCGTATGTACAAGCATATCCACTCAGAAGTTATTCGTGGACGAACTCTCAGCGGAGGCTACTCCTTTCTGTTGACTATTGTGTAATTCTATACCCGTACTAAAAGGGTCACTGTCACACGGAGAGACTGCAAATGAGCATCCAACCCCTGAAGACTGTAAACATGAGACCCCTCCCTGTATCTCCCGTAGCAACATGCAGTATTGTAGTATGCTATAAAAATACACATTTACTTTCTGAAAAGAGATGTGGCCATGGAGATGTCGGTGAGCATTCGTAGGGGGCTGTCTACAAGTCGATAGTATCCTCAATCTGTTTAGAGATGTCGCTAAGCTCCTCTGCCACAGGACATTGCTACATGCAAATGCCTGCTTTGAGAAGGTCTGCATCGTAGAAGCCCATTGTGCATTTGAAAGGACGCAGATACTCTCCCCGATGGTAAGGAAAGTTGGTATGGTGGTCGAACATTAGATGATCGATGACCATCTCTCGTGTAGTCTCTAAGCGAAGATCTTGAACGCAGCAGCGCTCTAGACATCTCCATACCTCCCCTTTTGGTGCGACTGCATCCATCTCGGATACAGCAGTCATAGCAACGTTTGACCTAGGCAGTAGTGAAAGCCTAGTTGGTGACTGACTAGCTTCTAAGCTTTACGTTCTGAAACGAAGATTAGAGGATCGAAGTCTTCGAGAGGAAACCACGTCTACCACTTGACTTACTTCCAGGCCATCCCAAGGTAACAGAAAAGATCTTGCCATGATCCTATATTGGTGAGGAGCAGAGATGGGGTCCAGTGAATGCTCCTTGCGTTTGTTCATATGAGCCGACTAGTGTTTCACTGTTCTACGAAACGCAGTCTTGCCGACATCGTTAATAGTCATTGGAAGTCTTGAATCTTGCGGCTGATGATGGAAATATTACTCTGGAGTTTTTTTCTAAGAACTCATTGTTTGCATATCAAGGGCGTAACACGTCCGCTATGCTACGGATGTTGGGATATGGCAAAGGGCCGATGGGATAATGCTGATGTCCAAGGCGAGGCCCGAGATTGGTGGGAGCAGACATACCTTCGAAGATGCCGAGTCGAGAAAGCGTAGGCAAGTGCGCTTCAGAGAGAGCATAAGAGATTGTAACGATAGAGGAACCGGCAAGACTGGAAGGAGTAGCGGCTTGGAGAGCAGAGGAACTAGCATCAACAGAAGGAGTTGCGGCTCGAAGAGCAAAGCGAGCGGCTTGAATAGCAGAGGAGCCGGCGCGATTAGAAGGAGTTTTAGCTTAGGAAGCAGGGCGAGCGGCTTGTATGGCAGAGAAACCGGCGTAACTAGAAGGAGTAGTAGCTTATAAAGTAGAGAGACTGGCATGAACTAAAGGAGTATCGGCTTAAAGAGCAGATGACCCGGCTTGACTAGAAGGAGTAGCGGCTTAGGAAGCAGAGGAAGTGGCATGAACAGAAGGTGCAGGTCGTAGAATGAGGCATGGTGAGAAGACTGCCTAAGCAGCTTCGACAGCAACATCTAGTGTTATCTTGATTAGTTACGATATGCTATAAAAATGCACAATTGATATCTGCACAGAGGCGTGACCATGGAGATGCCTAGCTGTGGCTTCAAGACCGCGCTCGATCAAAAAGGTAGGAGCGACCAGCTCTCAAAACACTGGGAAGGAACGAAATTTTCTTCAGACGGCTGTACACCAATTCTTCCCCTTCGATGTATCGATATTCAGACAAAAGTTAAAGCAAAAGGAAGGTCGTACCCGGGATCGAACTGGGATTACCGGAATCAGAATCCGATGTGCTAACCATTACACTATACAACCAATTGTTGGTTGCGAGACCGGGCGGGCCAAAATATATGGACATTCACATTGGCGCGCTCGGGCGCACGCCAAGTCATCACCGAAGCCGCGTCAATCGCGCCCTTGTGATCCTCGATAACAAGATCTTGGTTAGGACAAGGACAGCATAAGACATTCAAATGCAAAAATATTGGAATTGATAAGAGACGATCCTATTCTACACCGCGAAAACTTCTCATCATACATGTCAAAACAGCCCTTCACATTCGTCTATACCTCCTCGTCGCTCTCATCACCAAGCAGCTCGCCCTCGTCAGCATCAACATGAGAGTAATCGCCTCTACCTCTTGAGAAGCTGCTACGACTGGTGTACGGTCTTGAGTAGCCTCCACCAGAGCCGCCACGTCCGAATCGCTGGCTGGCCATGCGGAAAAGTCCTCCGACGACCATAGGAATAGCGGCGAGGACGGCTACAACAGCAGAAAGAGCGGCAACAGGGTACTTGATCCAAGGCTGTTCCGAGTCAAAGGCTCCATTGCCATTGCCCATCATTCCGGTGTCGCCAAGTTGGATGCGACCAAACTGGCCATCATAGTTGCGGTAGACCCAGTATCCTACACCCGCAGCGGCAGCGATAGGAATGAAAATGGCGAAGAAGATACCAGCTCCACTAATTCCATGTTTCTTCTCAAATTGCTTGTCGTGGCCAGGACAAGGGTAAGGCTCGGAGATCTTGTCGAATTCTTTGCCGCCGGCACAGGTAGTGAGTGGAATACGGCGGTATCCGCTAGGTGCGTAGTACTCATCCAGATCAGGATTTGCAGCGCAGTACTCCAGAGGATTGATGGGCTCAAGACCAGGGACAAGAGCACATGAACCATCGTTTTGACGTTCGTAGTTGTAGTCGCATTCAAAGTCTTGACGAGTGCAAGTGCAGTTTTGAGAAATGCCGTGGAGACGCTGGATGGCGGGACCATTGTAACATTCGTTGTCAGGAATCTTGCGATGGTACTGCGCAATATGACCGAAGAGGCAGTTCGAGTCAGAAAGAGGGTGCTTGGGCTCCCAGAGGTAGTAGTCGCTTTCTTCTGAATCCGGTGTGTCTTCGTCGAGTTTGCATAGACGATCTGTAAGGCCAGAGAAATCGAGATTGACTGTGACAAGACCGCCTGAGGAGCCTCCATCTTTACCCCAAAGGATGAAGTTGCGGGATGTATCAGTGGGAACAGTGGAGATCTTCTCAACGAGGACTTTTGAGTCGCTGAACTGGTATGCGGTCCACTTCTTGCCCTCGTTGGTAGTGTAGTAGACAGTGTCGACGGGCGTTGCCTCTTGGACTATGACAATGATGGAACCTTGGTCGCCGTATTCCCACATGTAAGTTCCCTTGAAGACTTCGTACCACTCAACACCACCGTCACGGGTGATGAAAGTATTACCCTCCTTGTAAGGACCAAGGCTGGGTCCGACATTACCTACAGCCATCATCAAGCCAACGGCAGATGGCGAGGAATAAGTGTCGCGAGGATCCTTGCGCTCGGTGTAACCATGGAGATGAAGAGAGCATTTCTCCAAGTCACCACTACAATCGAAGTCTTTGTTGTCAGAGTCCTTCTTGGGAGGAGAGACGAGGCCCCATTCTGCACCATCGTTATGAGTGATCATGGTCTTGAGCTTCTTGGAAGCGCCGCCATCGACTTCCCCAACGTTGGAAACAACATTGACGACAATGACACCCTCAAGTCCTTGCATCTTCTCAAAGTCGACATATCCAGGGGTGTTGCGGTTGACTGCTCCAATGCTCATAACATATGAGGTACCATTACTGTTGGACTTGACGATAGATCCATATTCCTGACCTTCTCTGTTGTTAACGGTAACGTGGAGGAAAATGGCATGGGTTGAGCTGTCAAGAACAGTGTAAGCCTGCTGATGAGGAACCTTGAAGTTCTTGGGGAACTGGGCGTTAGCGAAGGTTCTGCCGTCAATGCTGGTGTCCACACGTAGGTCCTTTCCATCCTTGTCTCTGAGGGCGACAACCATAAACTCGGACATGGTGGCAAAGCTGATAACATCTTCGAAATGAACCTCCTTGTGCTCGAACCAGTCATCACTGGAGATCAGTTGCAGGGGCTTAGACGGGTCTTCGTCCTGATACTGCTCGCAGAAGACCATGCTGTCGCTACCATTGCGATCTTCCCTGGCAACAAACTGACATTTGCGAACAAAGCGGAGTAATGCATCCCAGTCCTCACCATTTTTCTTGGTGACATGGGCAACAGAGTGACAATCGGTGCCGAAGCCCTTNGTATCCTTGCCACCCGTCCAGATGAGCCAGTCCTTCTGGGTCGGGTGGAAGCTCAAAATCTGAACACGGTCCTGATTGGGTTCCTCTGGGGCATTGAAATGGTGAATGTTCTTGCCACGGTTCTTCGAGTAGAAGACCTTCTTGGATGGAGTGATCATATAGACAGTGTCCTGGTTGTACTGGTGAGGGTAGACAGACACGATCTCTTCATCGGGTAGTGCCTGATCCCATTTCTTACCACCATCGTGAGAGATGAACACCTCGCGTCTATCGGTACGCATGATGATTGTTTCGTCATCTCCAGAAGCAGAAGCAGCTCTCTCGAGATAATAGTATTCGGCAAATTTGGCGCCCTTGAACTTGTTGATCTCGTGAGAGATCTTCCCGGATGCTGGAGGCTTAGTGGTATCCTTGCAAGGTCGCTTGACAGGCTTGTCTTTCTCGACACCGTCTTCCTTGTCGCAGGTGTTGCCTGGAATCAAGCGATAGCCTGAGCTACCCTCGTACTCTTCTTCGCCATCCTTGCAGGCGCCTTCAGGAGCTTTGAGAACTCCAGCAGGTACACATTCCTTGCCATCTTCAGATCTCTCAAAGTTGTAGTCGCACTCGTAGTCAGCATCAGAGCACTTGCAATTTTCGTACTTAGGCTGAGGATCCTTGAACTCGACATCAACAAAACAATCGGCGTCGGCCTTGCGTCTGCGGAAGAATTGCTTGTGACCCATCAAACAGCTTGGCTTGCCGTCTTCGTCAACTCGTGCGGCCCACTTCTCGAAGTCGGAGTCCTTGCACTTGTCCTCGTGAAGCTCGTTGAAGTCCAGAGAATATGTGAAATGCTCCAGCTTGCCACCACTGCCCTTGGAGGCTACGAGGATAAACTTGAGGCTTGTGGAATCGGGAACTGTCAGGAGGACGATTGGTCTGATCTTGTCCTTCAGTTCGAAAGACTCCCACTTCTTTCCGTGATCGATGCTCCACCTGATCTTTCTTGTGTCGGTATCTTCGACTGCAACAAGGATTGCACCCTGATCGCCCATTTCGTAGAGGTGAGGACCCTCCAGAGCGAGACGCCATGTGAGACCGGCATCGTCCGAGACAAAAGTGTCGCCTTCTTCATAAGTCTTGAGGTGTTTGCCAGTGTTTCCGACGCCCATGACAATACCGGGAGCAGGACTGGTGAAAACGCGTCCAATGTTGCGTTGATCGGTGACTGAGTGGAGGTGAAGGTCGTCCTTGTTGACCTTCATGTCATGCCAAACTCTTCCATCGTCAAAACTGATCTTTGACTTAATTTTCTTGTCGGCCATGAAATCCTTTTCCAACTCTTCCCAGTTATCAACAACGTTGACAAGAACGATGCCCTGGATGCTTTGAATCTTTTCGAAGTCGACATATCCTTGCATGTTGCGGTTCGTGTGCTCGATGTTCTTGGTGAAATAGGTACCGTTGGAGTTGCTGGTGAAGAGAGCGCCCATGGGTGAAGATATACTGGACGTCATGAGATCGACCTGAATGCTGTAGTTTGTCGACTCCAACAGCGTGTATGCGTTTTCCTCAAGCTTGTGGCTGCCGAACTCTGCGCGGTGCCATGTCTTTGCGTCGTCGGTAACATACATGGCAAGTTCAGTGGTTCCTTCAGATTTTGCGGCAACAGCAATGTAACCCTTGACAGCAGCAACATTGACGACGCCAGGGACGGTGCGACCTTCAGACATGGTAGGCTCGAATTCGGACTTGTCGAAGAAATCGTTGGACATCAGGAGGCGATTGTCCTTTTGCCATGTCGAGTATTTGCCCTCAACAACACAGAGAACCTGGTCTTTGTCGAGCTTGTCGTCGCTGGTGGTGAAGAGGTCGTTGGATTTGGCCCAGAGACACGAGACAGCCTTGTCGTGGAGCAGTTCGATGTCTTTGAAGCCGTTGAGCGTGTAGTAAGCCNNTGTGACTGCATTAGAAGGGTACTAGAGACAGTACTGTAAGAGTGGCGTTACCTTGGGAGTGCAGTCGCCCCAGACGGAGCCATGGCAGTCGAGGGTGCTGATGATGATGCGGTCCGGGTCGTCTGCATGGAAGCTCAGAGCGCGCCCATTGGCAACTTCATACTTGGTCTTGAACTCGGACCAGGAGTCACCCCTGTCCTTTGTGATCCAGTGCGTCTTGTCTTGACCAATAGCAATGGCTGCCTTGGAGTCGTATGGATGCGGAAAGACTTGTCCAATCTTGCCCTCGGTGATATCCTTGATGGCTTTCCAGCTTACACCAGCGTCGGTGGAGCGGTAAACAATGCCAGGCTTGATGTCAGTGACCAGCACAGTGTCGCTATCGTCGAAGTAGAAGATGTTGGCGGGAAGCGATTTGAAGGCGGTTTCCTCGATGGCAGGCGCGTCCTTTTTGGCAGCAACTGCCGTTAGTGACAGGGCCAGGCTCAGTAGCCTTGTCCATGTCGCTAACCTCGTCCTCATGGTGCTTGTTGTCTTCAGAAACTCCTGAGGAAAGTGCAAGCTGCACCAAGAATGCGGATAGCTGTCTCCCGCATGACGACGCCTCGAACCCCCGTCTTGGCAGCCACCTCCGTCCCCGCCGTCTCCGAGCTTACCACCGTTGCGTCGACGTGTCCATCTTGCAACCACAACTGCTGCTATTCTCCGCGTCTCCTTTGATGTTCCCATACTGTCACGGACACAAGCTCTGTTCTTTATGTTTTGACACTCTGTCACATCCAATTGAAGCGCCTGGAGACAACACGGGCATAACAGCTATCGAGCATCACGCGAGCTAGGAGTATTCTTGAACGACAGTCCGACTTCAATCCAGCAATGCTCTCATTCTTCTGACCATTAATCATCTTCTCGTACAAGATGTCAACTTGGATCGCTGGCATACCTCCAATCTTCTAGGATGCTTCAACATGCTTTCGAATCATGTCAATTCACAGCAAGGTAATTCTGTTCGCAGCAAGCATACGGAGCATATCCTCGATATAGTATGATGTGCTTGGGATCCATACTCTTGGACTGTTCGTCTTTCTCTCAGCCGACTTGGCTGTCGACGTCTCGGCTCGGCACTATAACCACGAGTACCTGAGCTCATCAATTGAGTTATCTACAGTCGTGTTATTAGTATCGACTCGTCGATCAAGCTTCACACCGTCGTTTCTCGGACTGACTACACTTATCACCGACAACATACCGGGGACTACAACGACGGATACACCCACACCACTCCAAGGCTCGCCCGAGCTTCGCATATATACGCTGGCCTCGTATGAGCAGGTTGATATACCGTCTGGGCTACCCCTTCATCATGTCAGCAGCCAGTTGTGACACACAACTTGATCTTCAGACCTGCCGGGGTAGCTCAATCGGTAGAGCGTGTGGCTCTTATCATCAGATAAAGTACAACCTCAAGGTCGCGGGTTCGAGCCCCGCCTTCGGCTATTCCTACACAAATGCTGGCAAATTCTTTTTGTGCATCGTCTAGTGTTGCTGGGAAAAGCAAACGGATGAATTGAGCGAAGATTTGGTTTTTTTTTTGGTGACGAAGCCTGGCTTGGCGGACAGGGTCAGGCTTCAACTTGAAGAATCTAGGGAACAGCCCTCCACTTATAAGTATAATTTCTATTTGGTGTTTAGCCTTGTCTCAATTCTTCTATAGTTATAAAGAATAACAAGGAAAGGTAAGCTGATCCAGACCCCCAATCAACATGCAAGGAGATCTCGGTTTGGACTGCTACTACATTCGACGGCGGGGCTTGGACCCGTGGGCACACGGTTTGGCATAAAACCGCACCTCCAGTTGTTAGACCCAAGACGCGGTCGAACATGGCGTGAGTATTAGGAAACATACTCTTTAACAACAAGGAAAGACATTGCTTTGAGACAAAGTCGATATACAAAGATAGTATTGACTTGGCTTGTCGAAACATTCGAAGTGCGAGTATTGCATTAGCGATCGTCAGGTCGTGCTTATAACATAGAAAACAGCCATACGTTCCACCGATCGACTCACCCCGGCAGGTCTGAATATCAACTTGTGTGGCTTCGGGATGGCTTAAAGCCGCGCCTTTGGCATGCGACCAGGTCGCTCGGTTCTTTAAGTATTGTTTGATACACAATGTCTTGTGTTTTTGATGTTCCTGCCTTGCACCATCTCTCTTCCTCTTTCTGTTTCTTCTTAGAACAGTCCATGTTTTGAGTTCCCTGATTCTCTAGCCACAGGCATGTTATCTTCATAACATACTGCTCTTTTCTGTCATCATACACAGCCCGGACTGCATATCACGGTTTATATGATACACAGCAGCTCAGAAAACTTAGCAGAAGGTATGATTATTCTTGCTAATATGCTAACCAACATGAGCACCCAAAGAGTGTAGCGATCCAGCAATCAAAGATAGAGTAACATCAATAGATCAGGGAAGATGGTAAGTCGGTCAAGAAACACGCAGGCAACTAACACAAAAGAGGAGGAAATCTCAGGCTTGAGAAGCAGCGATACCACCACCACAAAGAACCACTTCAAGCAGCATTGGGATCTACCCAGATACTTCCGAGATCACCAACCTTGCCGTAACCTCCCTGAGAATGAGTGCCATCGCTAGAACGTGTGGCAGTATCGGTCATGATCTTTTTCATCCAAGTCTTGCACTCGTCCTCGTCAATGGTCCATCCGGTGCGAATTGCATCATTCGTATAATGAGCTNNATACGTATTCATTAGCCATCCAAACCTCACTTTTCCCTTTTCTGATTTGAAAAAAGATGTGTATTTACCGGCAAGCACGCCAGGACCTCCATTGTGTAGGGTTAGTCCACTGATTTGCGAGTTTAGTGATTTTCCTCGTGGAACCACTTGTCCGTTCNNATGCCTGTTGGGGATCTCATTAGGACATGCTCCAGGCTTGTAGGTTGATACTTTGAGATGCTTACTTGAACACCAAGTATCGATGCCCTTTTCCATTTGATCCTTGTTCATCCATTCGCCACTGCCGAAGGCAATGACGGTGCCCATATCGACTCGTTTCTCAAGAATGTTTTTGTCGTTGCTGATTATGGGGTCGACAATATCGTTGATGGTCACAGGGCCCAGCGAAGTGTTCGGAGAAGTGGTGGGGGCAGCTGCGGACAGTCCTGCAACAGCGAGGATGAGGGGAATTGAGAAATGCATATTGGTAGGATGAGACGTTGGGTTGCTTGTACTCTTGGATGAATCTGGTTGATGATATCTCAAACCTCAGCGAAAGGGAGCATATTTATATCCGTCTGACACTGGCATCCTTTCTTTACACTCAAGCATCTCTTTACCAAATCCAAAGATGGTCTATGGCTGTATGCACGTACCACGCTCGTCACAAGCCTTCATCAACAACGACTACGCAAGTCGAAACATTCCAACAACCTGGTTATGCAAGTGATCACCAGGGCTGTGATTCCATCAACCAACACCCTGGCTGTGCAGGTCAACCCAGCAAGAACCAACAATCTTGGACAAAGCCACCGCCTCAACCATCATCGCATTGCAGGTCAAATATACCACAACCTATAGCACAGTCGATAATCTGCTATTCTGAGCCTTTCAGCCACTTCAGCCTTCCTCAGTATCCGGATCCTCCGAAGCAGAAGTTATTCTCGACCGGGCGGCAGTGCAAGCAATGCATGGTGCTGATTCTGCAGATCGAGAAGAGAAACGGTCGTGCATGAGGTTTCAGGCTTATGCATGCACGGCGGTATACTTGGCAAGCCTTCTTTCGCACCACCAAACTTGTGCTGTGGGAAGCTGCGTGCGTTTCTTCTCCAGAACTTAAATATACAGCCCCTAAATCAAGATACACAACCATCTGAAAGAAGAAAAGTACCAGAACGTCAACTGAGAATTAGATATCTCGCACGTAGCGTAAACAGCTGACTGCGAGAATGGCCATTCTAGGCGCCATAAAGTCAAAAGTGGTCAGAGTCAATATGAAGTGTTGGATATAGCAGCCTGATTGGTCTGTGTGGTTCTTGCCTTGTTCGAATGCAATGCAGGTTGACGATATCGATCTCGAAACTACCAACACAGTGACTTGATGCGACAATCCAGAACACTCCATGCAAACAGCAAATGTATCAGAACCAATTAATCCCCCGGCTCCACCATGGTAGGATACAGATACAAAAGAAGCAAAAAGAATGCGAGCAGCCCCTGAATCGATCCTGTAAGCTTCAGCGCAAACAAAGGCAAAAACGAAACCCTGTTACGACATCCACTGGGCCAGCCGCACGTCTCTTTCGTATACTCCAGAGGGCAACCGAGGGGTGAATGTGATTGGTTTCATGAGGGAGGAGCAACCTAGCCAACTTAAGATCCTTGACCAAAAGACGTGTCAGGGGTGAATTTACTGTGTGATGACGAGATCACGGGAAGATAGGAAAGGCTATTCACTTGGATGGATTAGTTCTCTTCACATTTTGGTACCGTTGTGTCAGTTGATGTCTCCTAATCATCAACTCTCAGTGACATATGCTGATTAACAAAGCGGAGAATATTGTTCTCGCTCGATCACTTCAAAGGGTGAAATTTATAAATCAAGTTCGACGATGATACTGATTCCCAGACCTCTTCAATCCATGCTAAGGGCTGTCTATCATGTATCTGACTTCGACTCGACACGAAACTGACCGATATGCGACTCTGTAGAACCGCACAAGTCTTGTGCTCATCCTTCGATGACAACAAACAAACACGATTGCTGAAGACTGCCTGATCAGGCAATATGTCAACTCTGATCGAGACTGCCGCTAGTTTGAGCGTGATGATAATACAATCTAGAAGCTATGGTTGTCGTCTTAAGTCTGTAACATTGACTATACACTCTAACAGACTCTGCTGCAAGCTTGAAAGGGTAGCAGATGAGTCAAAGGCGAATTCTTGCTCAAAACCAACCAGTATTAGGCAACAGCCTCAATTACGACTGGAACCTGAAGTTATGAGTCAAGAGTGTTGAACAGTCATCCAATCCATATAGAAAAAAGCGGTTTCAATCCTGCATCCTGCTTTCTACTTCCCTCAGACAATCTCTGAATCTTTAATACATCGCCCATCATGGATGAAATTACTCGGAGAAACCCTGATCGATCAACGAGAGACTTCGTCGAAAGTTTACAACCCTATCCAAAGCCAGTAAGGAATAAGAAACGAAAGCCTTCCCCTCTCTTCAAACTTCCTCTGGAGCTACGTATCATGGTGTACAACCATGCAATCACGAATCAAGAGCTCAACGTCACCCTACCTGGTCTGCTCAAGCGTCGGACTGCCGGGACTGGAATTTTGTATACGGACCTTCAGATGACTCGCGAGATCTATCAATTTTGTCCTATAACCGCCGTTGTCGATGTCACCTTCTCAAGTGACGGATTGCAAGGATTGCTTGGAAGGTTTAGTAACCGCATTTGTTACGATTACTACAGTGCCAAACTTACAAGCAGGATGAAGACTGCCAACGACAAGGTGGAAAAGTTTCGAAGTGTCGAGCGCAAGAAGCAAATCATCATGAAAGTAAGGCTTAAATGCATGAAGTGTGGGGAGGAGTGTAAATGACTGAGTGGAACTGAGGTTTGCTACGAGTATGAACTGTTCGTGAGGTCTGAGTGGTGGAACTCTGGAGCCTGGAAAAACCAGCAGTTACTAACCGAGAACCGGTTATTTGACTTTTGTTGAGCTACGAGAACTCATCTGAAGAGATGGATTGCCGTATCGGATGTGCTTCTCCCTCGGTACTACTACAAAGCACCCAGTCGATCAAACACAGAGAGCGAGGCGAACATGACAGCAGACTCGAATTCAACGATGGATACCTACACTATCGGTTTTTGTGGATGTCTGCAATAGTCGTTCCAAGTGCAGACAGCCAATTGATATGGAGACAGTCAAGGCTTGGTGATCATGTTATCGATGGCTGTGCACTATTCACGTATATCAGACCAGCCAATTGCGGTGCGCTTGCTCCAAATGTTCAACTGTTGCCCATATCCATGATAGATGCCATCTTGCTTGCGAATAGTTCTGGACGAGGAGAGCATGACTGCCAAGCGAAAGGATTCACCCCTTGCAGCTTCCCGCCAACCTGCATATCGCATGCTCAGTCAGCAGATAGCCGCCGGGACGATCATGTTTCAAACTCTTGTTACGTTTCCCTTCCCGTCTCCTCCATCCACGACCATATCAAAATGATCACATTAGTCGCCTTTGACCTTGACGGCACACTTGCCGAGAGCAAACAGCCTATCAAGCCCGATATGGGCGAAGCCCTCTCCGACCTGCTATCTGTCTCAAACGTCGCAATCATCTCCGGCGGTGACTGGCCACAATTCCACAAACAAGTCGCCAGCCGTCTGCCATCTTCTGCGGAGCTCTCCAAACTGTGGCTGATGCCAACAACCGGCACCAAGTTGTACACTTATCGTGACGATGCATGGCAAGTCGTGTACGCAGAACTCTTCTCCGAGCAAGAAAGAGCACACATCATCAAGGCATTTGAACTTTCATTGGCTGCCACAGGCTTTACACCTGAGCAAACCTGGGGAGAAAGAATCGAAGACCGTGGAAGTCAAATCACTTTTTCCGCACTTGGACAGCAAGCACCAGTTCGCGAAAAAGAACATTGGGATCCTAACTTTGCCAAACGAAAGGTCATTCAAGCAGATCTGCGTACACGTCTTCCAGGCTTGTCTATCAATATGGGCGGAGCAACTTCCATTGACATCACCAGAGAAGGTGTGGACAAGGGATATGGCTTGAAGAAACTTCGTGATGCCAGTGGTATTCCCTTGGAGCAAATGATGTTCATCGGGGATGCGATATTCCCTGGTGGTAATGATTATCCTGCAAAGGAGATTGGCTTGGAGACTGTGAGGGTCAAGGATCCGGATGGTACGCTTGCTGCTATTGCTGGTATTGTGGCATGCCTCAGATAAAGCTGGACATGCAGATGGCAGGTCTTTGTGTTGTAGCGTATATTCTACGGATGTATCGTTCTATAGGATATGTTTATTGAAGCCATAGAGTTGGGGCACAGAAATTGCTTTACGGTACTCTCATCCAATGTGGAGGATGGTATCACGACGGAATAAACAAGAATCAATATCGTTTCAACAAAACATGGTCATCAATACTGATAAGTTGTTCACATTTCGCTCCACAGCTTCCCTGATACAAACTCACTGATCCAAATGTAACTTCTAACTTGTACTGTCAGATCTATGTGCATTCAAGATGAACAATCATTCATTGAAGACTCCAGAGTCGCCGGTCAAGACACCGACTGCTGGCTCTAAACACTGGAGGTACGAGTTCGCAGATGCCCTTTCCAGGGCGATTGATAATGGGATATCGGAGCCAGATCCCATGAAGCAGATGAGGTGAGAGCTGAAGGCTGAGGAGTAGACTCGGTAACAGGAGAGTTCGCTGCAGATCCGTCGCCGAAGATGAAATCAAGCACAGTCGCGAGCTTATGAATCAACTTGTCACAAATACTGACCCAGAATGAGTGGATGTTGTGTAAGACAAGTGTTGGAGTGCGCGTGACAGATTTCGTGAAAGAGGTGTAGACAGTATAAGTCATGAGGTGTTTGTGGGTCAGAATCATGATTTTGTTGATGAGACGGCTGAGAACCTTGGAGGTTGCGAACAACAAGGAGATCAGACCGATGATTGTGTGCAAGATGAGAGCACAGACGTAGTATGCATCATCTGGAAAGCTTCTGTCTGCTCGAGAAACACGAATGTAGTTGACGGCAGCATCGAAAACGATCGAGAAGAGGGTGTGAGTGATTGCGAACATACGCTTGACACGGCCAGCAATGAGACGGATAGTATCGATATGTTCGAGCATTTTTCTGTGGACATCGAGTAAAGGCGTCTGGATCTTGCGAGTGATATCGAGGTGTTGAATCGTAGAAGCAACCGTCTTTGCAACGATTCCGGTAACCTTGAGACGACTCGCTTGGATCTTAGAAGAGATCACCTTCGCACAACCAGAATCCAGCATCATGTTGACGCCAGCTGATAAGTCCATGATGAGCAGTAGAGGAAGAACAATGATGTTGCGCACAGCACGGCCGATTGCCGCAACGGTAGATTCAGACTGGGATAGTACGGTCAAGATAGAGAGAAGCAGAAGGACCATGAGGACTTTGACAAAGCTGTCAGTCGATGGAGGAGTTTCGGTGGAGTCTGGCATGGTTGGAGTTGTTGGTTTGATGTAAATTGATAATTCAGAACATGTGGTGAACGAAGATGTTATGACTTTTACATCTCACCATGTGTTGCAAGGAGCCAGGCGCCTTCGTTGTAAGAGTGGACTGACAATTGACTTAGACATCGGCGGCGTGTTGAGACATGATGAGACGTGTTGGGCTGTCTCACATCGTCAATTCGACAATATTACTTGCAGAGAAGCATATGATGGAACATTTCCAGGGGTCTCTGATGAAAACGAATGGCTTGGGACAAAGAGATCGAAACTTGTCATTTTCGGTGAGGTTTTGCAAAAAGAGGCATGCTCACAAACTTTCTGGAAGTGGGAGCCCGAACAAATGTTCCAGCGGAATCGATACACGACGGGCATGTTACTCCATCCAACAATCAACGCCAATAAGTTTCCAAAAAGGCAAGATGCAAACATTCCCTCTCTGCTACTACAAAACTCAACGGAGGGCAGTATCACCTTTCAGAGATGCAAAAAGAATCACTGATCAGGGGAATCGAACAAAAGATTAGAGGCTCAGCAGTTTCTGCGGTTTGGCATGCCGCCCAGGATAGAGGCCTCGGGAAGAGCTGTCACTACACCACAGAACCTGCTGGTTCTCCTTGAAGGAAACCTGAGCCATGGTCATATATAAAGGTTGAGAGAAATTGTTGTCTTGTTTTCGATGTTTTTGTCGTTTCTCCAGTCTGTTTGTTTTTTTGTTTACATGTATGGCGGTCTTCACTTTGCAATGCTTGATATTTCTTGAGAACATAGTAATCAGAGCCTTGTGGTTCATTGTGTGATGTTAACTCCTGCCCTACTTGATCCACAATTACAGTCCTTGAAACTTGACTTCCCCTTTCCTCAAGCGCGTCTTAACATCGACTTTTCATTCTCTCATCCTCTCGGCACACCACCCTCAGCATCGCCCATGCGTTCTCCGGCCTCTTTGATCCTCTCCTTCAACTGTTTCACACCCTCTCTCTGTTCCTTGGCTTCTTCACTCAGAACCTCGAACTTCTTGTCCACTTCTTCGATCTCCTTGCGCTGGGCTTCGGCTTTCTTGTTCAGATCGGCGACTTGAGTTTTGGGGTTAGCTTTGACTTCTTAGTGAAAGAGATTAACAGTACTCAGAGCGGTATAGCGGTTGACGTGACCAGATGAAGAGGTGCCTGATTTGGATTCATGAGGTGGAGACATGGCTGGTTGCTATGAGAAGTGAGTCATTCGGCGGAGCAGAGTGATGATAGAGTTTGCTGTGATATACTTTGATGATTGAGCTCGGTATATTCTTGGTCTATCTGCTTGATGGGCGTTGGCTCCGGATATCTTGCTCAAGGAGAGCTTGAGTTCTGACGAAAGGTGTGGATGATCACCGAACAGAGAAGGTAAAGTTGATGTATTCGCAGATAAAACTCCAGAAGAGAAGACTATGGGGTGTTGAGTGAAGGAAGGAAGTAAACGCGACCTTTGAGAAGTGTTGCGCAAGGGAAAGTGCCAGACATCGAAAGCCGAAGCTGCAAACGAGGAGACCAACAACGCTACCAACAGATGGGAAGGTTTGACTGCCAAACAAACAAGCATCTCAGGAGACAAGACACTGGCACTGGCCTCATGAGAAAGGAGTAACTTCCATGTTTGTGTGTTTGCGCTTTTCTGATCTCCTCCAAAATTCCCTGGTTTGTTCTCACCAACCTAGGATTCCGAACGAAAGTGATTACTTCGCCAATTTCACAAACCTCACCTACCCACTATAAATAAACTAGACAGTCCATAACCTTCCTGCTACCGTTCCTATCAACGCAGAAGGAGCCTCACAACCGCTCGGCTGGACCGAGCTAGAGCTCACACCAGAGCACTAAGCAAGTCAACGCAGCCTTCGCTGACCAGGTCGTCGTCGCTCTATCCAAGGCTGTTTGCTTCGTCAAAGGCAAGTTTTCATTTACCACTTGTCGATCTGCACGAAGCATCTTCGACTTGTGACAATGCGAGAGTGCCGAGAACAGAGCAACGACACCCAAGTTAGTAAGAGATGTGTACCGAGGTTTAAAGCGGACCGCGTCTCTCGCTAACCGGGTCGTTGTCGCTGTATCAACGGATGCTTGCTTCGTCAAGAGATAGGCCATATCTGTCGGACAGCACGGAGCATTTATGCATTTGTGATTTGGGACAAAGCGAAATTGCTGAGGACAGAGCAACGATGCCAAGGTCAACAAAAGGCGTGCACAGAGGGATCGTAAGACGAAGCTTACACAGAAATAGACGAGGATGGTGGATAGTAGTTTGTCGGCTTGCAGGATAGTATGGTGCGTTTCAAATGAAGCGAGCGTAATCTAACAAGGCGATGACGACCTGGTGATCGAAAGGTGGGTATGGGGATACCAGAGAGGAGGGCAAGAAGAAAGCATTGGATCAATGAAACAAAAGGACATGATGATGAAAAATACTCGCGATGTACCCATTCCAACCGCCGTTCGCGACCCGAACCTTTTTCAACCCTAAACGCCGAAGTAACTTCCCTGCAACATCACCAGAAAGCAACGCATATCCTCCATCATTCTTGTCTCATGCCCACTCACATCAACCCAAGCACTCTACTCCTCGTCACTAGATGTGCCATCCAGAACAAACTCGTCGTAAATGTCTATAACTCGCAAAACCAAAGTACTGAGATCGACCCCAACCGCCTGGACTTTGGTATGATCCTCCATGCTCAGTGTTCCCTGAGACAGAAGATGCATGATTTTGTCTTGAATCTGTAGACTCTGACGCAAGAGGTCACTAGTAAAGCCATAATGTGAGATTTTGTCGCGAAGGTGCAAGATGAGAAGCTCGTCAGAGTTGGGCAGCGCTTCGCTGAGGTGCTGAAGAATATCGCTGTCCGAGACAGCAGACAAAGGCTCCTCCAAGTCCTCAACCATGGTCAAGGGTCTCCAGTGAATTCCAGTCACATCATGGGCGCGATCCGGGATATACTCAGGAACGAGAGATGGGTGGGCGGACAGCCATTCCACAGCTTCACAGAGAGTCTCCATCAGACAATCTAGGCCCAGAAGGGACATTAAGTATATCTCGAATACATCGCTGAGCTGCTCCTGAGACAAATGACCAAAGAATGAGAAGCAGAGATACAGCGACAACACGACAAACACTGTAGTTGAGATGATAACGACCCCACGCATCTTTTTCTCATCCTGCTCCAGTTCAGCTTCAGCTCATGTAGACGGTCTCCGATGGCGTTAGAGAATTCGATGAGATAGTTGGAAGCAGAGTTGTAGAGATTGATGATGTTGTTGACAGCAGGAAGAATGATGGGATGGAAGTTGTTTTCGCTAAAGATAGCTTTGAGATGGTTCGCATGATGGCCAGCAACGAAGAGATCAACGTCCAGAGCAGCAAAGAAGCTGGCGATGAAAGCAACCAGAGTGGAACCACACCAATCGACGCCCTTGTGGAAAGCGCGACTGGCCATGACGTGAACCCTCTCAGTCTGGAGAGCATAGATAAAGAGGAGGATGATGGAGATGGAGAAGCAAATGACGAATGTGGTGGACAAAACCAAAACATGGTGGACATTGTTGGAAGCTCCAGAGGTCCTGGTGCGCTTCCACGAGATATGGTCGGAGAGGTTGACCATCGTTGCTTTTTTGTGTTGTGTTTTCCTTGAGCAGATGGTGAATAAGAAGGTGTATGATGAGAAGCATAAGATGGGTGGGTACTGTGACTTTTGTACTTTGCAGAAGACTGTTACACGTGGTCTGGCAGGTCTCGCTGATGCAGTCTTAGATAGCAGTCTGCCAGACACTCTTCTCTCTTTCCTGGTGGTGTTTCGTACTGATTTCCAAGACTGTGTTGCAGACACCACATAGACAAAGAAATCATGCCTCCTAAGACATGGGTCAAAGCTAGGTTGTGTCTCCTAGGCCAAGGAATTGAGACAACTCGACACATAACACCGAGTTGTTAGACAACACGACGAGTTGCAGTGTATGCGGGTCTCTAAACAAGCACAGATTGACGAGCGCCATCCGTAGCCACGGGAAACATTTGAGCAAAAGTCGTTGCTGAAAACGACACAGATCCCTCACGCAAACAACTCTGAGGATTTTTGCTCCTTGATCGAACCACGCATCCACACCCAGCAATCCAAGCCCCCAACTTATCATCAGCAAAAATGCCTTTCGTCTTCACCTCGTACTTCGACCGCTTCCCTGGATTCGATCACCATCCTCGTCGCAGTGTGCGCGATGAATTCAACCGTCTCGCGAAGACCCAGAAGTGGGACAAGGAAGACACCGCCCGCCAGAGAGCCGCCTGCTACAATGAGGAGCTTGAAGGCCACTTCGCTGGTCTCGGCATCACCGACCAGCTCGGGCGTCTCCAGCACCTCTGCGTTGAGCTCGGCATCGAGCCCCTGGACACTATCAACAAGTGCAAGAAGGTAACGATTTGCTGGTGATTCGATGAGTATGAATCGTCGTTTGCTGACGATGGTGATTTTCAGGTTCTCAAGAAGACTCACGTCAACCTCGTCGACTTGATGAACGCCCACCGCACTGGCAAGAAGGTCGGAAAGTTCGACACCTACAAGCAGCTGAGAACTTACACCCTTGAGTCTGGCAAGATCTACCCCAAGAAGTATGCCAAGGGCGATGTTGTCAAAGTCCTCCTCAGACAGATCTTCTACGAGTGAGGGATTGGTAAATTAGGTGGTACGGTCAAGCGAAGATGGCCCTCATCACGATTGGACAACTAAGTGAACAGTCTTGGATAAATCGCAAGTCGATCCTGAAATCAGTAACCTGTTCCGGTGTGCATAACTTTCCCGTGTGTTTCAACGCGCAACGTGCTTAGATACGAGCCATGAGGAGTCATAAACTGTACGACATTCCGTGCCATGCCCACTGAGAGCCACTGCTCGAAGCTCATCTCTGGCCACGACTGCCATCGTGGAAAACATTATGGGTTTTTATAAGCAGTCGAAATGGTGCCTGTCCAGGCAGAGAACACGACCTCGGGTTCCTTGGTAGCGTACGAAGTTGCCTCATATACGAGTCATGGACATCGTAGAGCTGGAAAACAGATTGGCAGATGTGGATGAACAATTTATTGGATCCAGGCACTTGTGCTCAAAGTTCATCAAGCAACCTATCCCACTTGGCAGCTTCTTTAGCTTGCATCTTTTCTTGTCTAGGGTCGACGAGATGTATACCAGGAGCAGTCTTGTTTCTCTCCAGACCCAGTGCTTCTTTCCACTCGGACGGCTTTTCAGTCACGGAAGCAAGAGAACCCTTCCTCCACAGTACGATGGCGAGAATGAGGATGATGAATACAGTCAAGGCAGTAAAGGCCAGAGCCCAGGTGCGGTTGTTTCGTTTGTTCTTCTCTTGCTCTTTCTTTTCCCACTTCTCCAAACGCAAGCGACAAGACTCTAGTCGGGACTCGCAAGTCTCTGCTCGTTCCTTGGCCTTGTGAAGGCGCTTGACTAGTTGATCGATGGACTCGTCTTGCTGTGACATGTTCTGCAAGGCATCGATTTGGCCAGTGATGTCCTTGACCAGGGAATCCGATCTTGTGGCAAAGTCTTTTGTGGTGTCGTCGAGACAGGAGTGTAGATCTTGGAAGGAAGCAATGGTGGCCTTGAGCAGACCGACTTTTTGGAGTAGAGCATAGTAGGTGTCGTCCAGCTTGCGGGTGGCAGTGTGGGCGTCACGCGAAAGAGCGTTCAGAGCGGTAGAGACGTGTTCCTGGCGCTTCTGGCGTAGTCGACGTTCATGAGCGACCGTGTCGGGAGTAACGAGACGCTGTGGAGGGTGGTCGACGGCATATTCTACTTCGGGCGACCACTGTGGNCTTCGGGGGTTCTTGTTCCTGTTCTTCTTCGGCATTCTGCTGGGCCTTCTCTGGCGACGGGTCACGACGGGATCTGTGGTGATGGTGCTGCTGGGCTCGNNTCGCAGAGGATTGTAGTTGTCGAACGAGAAGGGATGCTGTAGCTGGATTGCCGACTGGATCGTGTCGCGCGCATGGTGGTGACGGTGCGGGCGATGATAGCCCGAGTGCTTCTTCTCTTTCTTTTCCTTCTTGTCCATGTTTGCGTGCCATGGTAAACAATCGTGTTTGGGTCACGAAGTTGCCGTCATGGTCGCGGTTGCGCAATCTCCGAAGGCTGGGCCTAAACTCCTTCCTCGACGTCACATACTACAATTCTCAAAAAGCGGAAGGAACATTTCTCGAAAAGTAAAATGGTAGATGCATTTGCTGTCCTCTTCCAGATCCTGTCCACGCCAAAAACGCCATGAATATGCAGCCAGGGTATCTTTCAATGCTTGTGTGCCTTGCCCTCTTCACGCCTTCTCCGTCCTCCACTTGAAGTTTCTCTACGACTTGAGAAGCTTGTTTCTCTTCTCTCTGCGCTTCAGTCTGTCGACTCTCTTCTGGTGCATCTTGGCAGCCATTTTCTCGTAGCGCTCCTTCTCTTCCTTTGCCTCGCGCTTCTCCTTGAGTGCCGTGATGCGTCTCTGTCCTTATGTTAGTTGCAGCTTCTAAACATGTCCTCTGGCAGTGTCTAACCTGACGCTCGGCCTCCTTCTCTTCCTTCATCTCCTTCTCTTGTGCTTTTACAACGGCGAGTGCTTGGTCCTTGGCCTGGCGCTTTGCGTACGATGTCTGGCCTGCTGTAGGGCGGAAGGCCTTCTTGTTTTCGTGCCATTGCTTGCCTGGGAGATTGTCAGTCATGGCGTACGAGACATGGCTATGTTCGCAGATGGGCCGCGCAAAAGAACAAGAAAACAAAAGACGCAAGCGCGATATCGACAAGCAGAAAAAGACTCACCATTCTTGCGCATACCCGTCACCTGCGGGATTTTGGCAACAGGAGCTTCGGACGTGACAGTAGACATATTTGTGGTGTTTGGGATGATGTTCTGCAGAGAATACTTTTTGGGCACGCAAATGTTCAAAGGCGCAAGGAACCCCACAAGTCTTGGCTCTCAACTCTCGACTGAGTCGGCGGAAGGAGCGGAGCACGGCCATCACAAACTAGAGACATGAAACTGTCACCTTCATCACAATCATCATTCGCTGTTAGGCCTCTGTCTCCTGTCTCCCGACGCGGGTCGCGGCTGCTCCACGACGCGCGCGGACCACCAACGCTAGGCACATGAAAGTTGCACGAGAGACGCAATCGTACACACAAAAGTCGACCCCTCCAATCGCCAACCTTTTCCTGTGCGCGCTTTTTTCTCCCTCTTCCTCGCTCACATCCCACCGCAAGACTCATCTCTGTGCACCTTGTTGTATCACTCATACCATGCTCCCACGATAGCATCGACAAAAACGTTACTCTACATTTTCTCAATTCCCTCTCTCGCTTCCTTGGAGAAAGCACGCTCTGCTGATGGACGTCCGCGATGCACACCATGTCCTTCCCGCCGACTCGCTGGCTAAACATATAGAGCCTTCTCAGGCCCAGCAACAAGCCATCACTGCCCTCAAAGATGTCGTCTTTGGTTCCTTTGCCGGCATGGCTGGCAAGTACATCGAGTATCCCTTCGACACTGTCAAAGTTCGCCTACAGTCTCAGCCCGACAACATGCCCCTCCGATACACCGGTCCTGTCGACTGCTTCCGCCAGTCCTTCCGCCGCGACGGTCTAGCAGGCCTCTACCGCGGCATTAGCGCTCCTCTGTTTGGAGCTGCCGTCGAAACCAGCAGTCTGTTCTTCAGCTACCAAGTCGCCCAAGACACCCTTCAGGCCACCGTCTACAAAAACACCGACCCTCTCCCGCTACACGCTCTGATCGGTTGCGGTGCCTTCTCTGGCGCCTTCGCTTCGCTGCTTCTCACCCCGATCGAGCTCATCAAGTGCAAGATGCAAGTCCCTGTCGAGACCTCTCCAGGCGTTTTTGCTCGTCCAAAGCCCCTCAGCCTGATTTCCTCGGTCTACCGCCACTACGGCATCGCTGGCTTCTGGCATGGACAAATGGGAACCCTCATCCGCGAGATGGGTGGTTCGGCTGCTTGGTTCGGCGCATACGAGTCCGTCACTCTGGCCTTCAAGAACCTGCAGAAAGAGAACAAGACACTTGCAGACACCTCCCTGCCTCTATACCAGCAAATGATTGCTGGCGCTGCTGCTGGCATGAGCTACAACTTCCTCTTCTATCCCGCCGACACCATCAAGTCGCGTATGCAGACAGAAGCCGTTGGCGCTCTCCTCCCCGGTCAGAAGCAGAAGACTTTCGGCTCAGTCGCTCGCGCAGTCTGGAGACAGCATGGCCTCAAGGGCATGTACCGTGGTTGCGGTATCACCGTCGCTCGCTCTGCACCCAGTTCTGCCATCATCTTTTCCATTTACGAATATCTCAAGAAGTCGTTTGCATAATTTTAGCTTTGCTTTTCAGCTCGGCGTACTGGTGTCTTTTCGTGATGGATTATGGGGAAGATGGAGTTCCTCTACAAGAAGAGGCAGATACAATAGAGGCATACATCGAAGTCGATTTCTCTTTCATGTCTCCAATCTCATGGTTATTCTATATCCTCCTTTCACTGTCCTCGCATTTCAAATTTGAAAGAGGGCCTGCGATATCCTCCTATCCCTCAACAGAAAGAAGCTTAGTCCACTCCAAGCCCCGACACTAACCGCTCGGTGACATCCTTCTCGAATTAGGGCTCCACAATCAATGTAACCTGCAGCCCAATTTTTCACGCAGCCCAGAAGAAGAGCGGTCAGTCATACTTGAAGCATCTCCATCCACCATGGCTCACAATCCTACAAAGAAGCAGGATGCAAGTAAGCCCAAAAGCGAGAAAATATACAAGAACTAAGTACGAGGATTAACGACCACCTCGATGGCTAAAGCGCACCGACCTTGGGCACAGACGGGTTGGCCAAGGATTGATCCGATCTGATTGATAAGGGCGCGAAAAAATTTGCATCTGATAAAATTAGCCCCAATCGGTGCCCTATCCTGCTGCAGATCAATCCTTGTTGGCAACCATCATGATCGTGCTGTCACATTCGAATTGGATCCTCTTCTGTACTCTAGTAAAGTGAGGTATCTGTTGTACAGAGAACTCATTGCTTTACAATCATAACCATCTATTCACAGCTTCCAACAGGCGAAGACACGTTTGCTCTTCGTGGGTCTTGGTTCTCGCTTCTTCTATACGATATAACCATCTTCCCCATCTGCCACCAGAAGTTCGTCAATTCTTTGACTTGTAGATGGAGAGATGGCGGCCTAACTGTGGAATTGATCTATAGGTGAATAAATCTAAGCTCCAAGCACATACGGCCACAGTCAGCTGAAAACTGGGCATCCCGTCCGCTCTGCCATACATAAGCAGTTGAACGGCAGATTAGTACTACGGTGGGTGACCACGTGGGAATCCCTGCTGCTGTATGTTTTGTCTTTGTTTTGCATCTCTGCTTTGCTTGACTTATCCTTATGGATTNGCTCTTTCCTTTACTCGTTAAGAACGGCGATGGCTCATCTTTGGCTGCCGAAACCTTGGGTGCCGGTTTTGTCTATTGCTTTGCTTAAAAGCTCCTCCTTCGAAAGGCAAGGAGAGCACGAATCACTTGGTTTTGGTCTTTAGGCATTGCACGTTGAAGTAAGAGGATAAGATTCAGGGAACCTGGACTGAACAATCTGGATGTGTGAACGATACCCGCAAAGAGCCAAATTCAAGAACTTGGACTTTGACCCATATATATGACTGCAGAAAACGTACTTTGAATGGTTCAAATCTCTTCCTTGCAAAAGAAGGAATACAAAAAGCGCAATAACACCTTCATCAGCGCCAGAAAGAAAAGTTTGACCCAGCATGATGTCTCCTACTCTTCTACTTCTCTTCATCTCTTAACCAACAATCCTCATACCAGCCTCTTGCATCCCAAATTTCGTCTTTTCATCCAACTTCAAGTCTTCGTAATCTTGTTTTCGTTGCTGCTTTTGCTCTTCAGTCTCTTCACTGCTTTTTCTCCTGAGTGCAGTCTTGGTCTTTGACCATAGCGATGATGAAGACGAAGACGAAGACGAAGAAGAAGAATCCTTGCGCGAAGAAGGGGAAGGTTGACGATAAGGTTGGTGCTCATCATTCATAGACATCGAAAGATATCCAGCAGTTTGGTATTCAAAGACATCGAATGGCTTTTTTGCTGCTCTTGCTTTGGCGCGATAGTGGTTGCAGAGCTAGACACCGAAGACGAGGTTGCTGTTGTTGCAGTGCTGGAAACAGAGATTCTGCGGTCCTTTTCTGAATAGACGGGAGAGGGGCCGCCGAAGTCTTTGGTGATGCGGCAAGCGTATGGGATTGTGTTGGTTGAAGGAGCAAAAGGTGGAGGAGGTGGTGGAGCTTGGGATTGCTGAGTAGGCTTTGGCGAGCTAGACTTTGATGGTGTGGGTTTGTTGAACATGGTGGGTTTTTGTTGACGTGACTTGTTGATTCTGGATGATAGTAGAGGATTGAACATATAGAATGATTGCTTTTCTGTCTTGCGATTGTTTGTAGAGATGAGACAATTGATGTATTGTGCTTTGAGGAGATGTGATGGATGTGTGACAGAGAACGGAAAGGTAGAGGTGAAACCACAATACTTATACTTCTGGCCTACTATACCTCTCTTTTATTCAGCAGCCTCACAAGGCCGTAACATAAACACGCAAACGCAGGGGTTTGGGTGTCCGAGAACCACTCACCTACGCAAGACACTCCAGCCCGCATCCTTCAACACCTTTCCGCACCATTCCAGGACACCGCAACTCCCAAAACCAGCTAGCCACCATCGCGTGCAAAAACGACTCTGTGACTCCGTCAGTCACTTGCGAATCAAAAGTGATTGCGTATACTGTACCGATGACTCCAAGGCAGAAACAATTGGTTTTCAGGCTTCGGAATTGTGAAGTGACTCAGGCATCAGAAATCCCCACAGTGTGATTCGTCAATGAGGAGGGCTTGATGAATGGCGGAGTTGACGGCATACCCACTGTGGCTTGCATTCATGCAAGTTCACACCAGGCACCGGGATTCTTTTTTCTCTGTCATCTTGATTGTGGCTTTTTAGTCTTCGTCTTCGCAAGGCATCCAAATTCGAGAACGAGTATCGCTCGAATGCACGGCTCGAAGGCAGCAGTAAAATCTGGCCTCTACATTCTTCCGTGATTCGTATGAAATCAGCTGTCGGAATAGAACTACATGTCGGAATGAAAGTACATGGAAGTACTCGAGTAGATATCGGTGTAGAATTCGGGGTAAACCAGCGAGGACTATTCAGACTGGAAAGATGATGAAAAGAGACGGGGTTCAGCAAGCTTAGGTATATGCGAGTTCGATCTGACTGCAACAATACCAGTCGTGAGAATGGTCAGTTAACCTGATTGTGAGAGAAAAGAAGGCATCATAGGGAAGGAAGGTGCTATGGAGTTTCGAAGCTCTACGAGAAGGTGTCGCGAGATCGGTTTGGCGCCATACTTCTTACCGTCTAGACTCTGTTACGTTGACTCGATTTGGATCAAGTATCTGGGATCATGCCTTTGCCAGCTTTTTGAACATCCAAGACGGGCTCTGGATGCAACAAATTGCGGAAACCCGAGCATGCCTGCCCAGAGAAACACATACACCATTCGTCTTGTAGTGTGAAGGTTGGAAATGGTTTTTGTACAATTCGAGCTTTTTCGCTGACACAGATGTGATTGGTCTCTTTCTCTTCCTGACCGTAAAAAGTCCCAGTCCCAAGATGAACTCCATGAAACGCCTCTTTTGTGATCCCAATGCTCTTTCTCGATGCCTCCAAATCCACAGATTTGTATTTGTACAAGCTCTTGCCTCCGCTCTCGGTGTCGGACATATTGTAAGGTAAAACGATTCATGCGACGCGAAACGTCTACCTCTTCTTCTTGCCGAACTTCTTGGATTCTGTATGGTGCAAAACATATCAGCAAAAGTGTCTCCAAAGCGTGTCCTCTTGTTTCTCTCTCCCTGGTCGTTCTTTCCCTTCTCAAAACCAATCCATGTTTCCACCTCTTCCTCTTTCGGGTGTTCCATCTCTCCATCCTTCTGTGACAAGACTTACCAGCAGCCGTCCTCTTCTTCTTGGGAGCACCCTTTCCTCTCGATTTCGCAATGGCGACACTCTCGACACGGTCTTCTTCAAAGTCGTCATAGGTCTCGAATCCAGGGTATGCCTTTTGAAGGTCGGCGAATCTGGCCACGCGGCGAGGGTAGTAGGCGGCCATCGAGGGACCGCGCAGGCGTTGGCGTAACACACTGTTACCAGTGCGGAAGGCCGAGGGATTGTAGGTTGTGTTGAAGATGGCGCATTGGGTCNNTAGAAATGTTAGAAACGCCGAGATTCATGGTCGTGAAGCGATGGATGGTGAAAAGAGGATGGACAGGGAGATATGTACCTCCATGAGCCTCAGGGCTAGCGTTCTTGTAACTGCCATAGTGGACGAGCAGTGTATGCGAATGCGTCCTTTGGTATAGTATGGACGATGATGTTCTTGATGGGTTGCGGCGGCGCTCGCGCTCGGGAGACGGCAGTTGCCGCTCTGGACAGCGACGATAAATATTTTCGCGCTTGCTGCTTGCGACACCCAACTTTGCATCAACAAGTGAACATTACAGACGATGCTGTGATCTATTTATCGTCACATCGTTGCATACGCTGTCTCAACTCTATCAACAACATCTCCGGGAGACTGGTCTCTCATATCGCAAGAAGACCACGTCTTTCGCCAAAACAGTAGGGTAAGCAAGCCTCTTCTCTCTCAACCACGCTCATCCTCCCTCGAATGATTATACGCTTTACACATGCATGGCTTTCTTACGCACCTTGACCGGTGCATTCATGGTGAAACGGCACCAGATATATGACAACAACACTTGAAATGCTTCTTCTCATCACATTTACTTCTCTCGGATACAACATTTGCTTACTTTTGAGCTTGCAGTCCCATACACAGACATCACAATTCAAGTGACTTTTGTTCATGGAGCAGAGCTAGAATAAGTTATGCTTTTGGGAGATGGTGTCCAGATAGATTTGGTCGAGAATATAAATCTTTGCCTTGAACAAATCACAACTATGCTTCTTGTGACAACGATAAAGGAAGAGGTGACTTGAATTGTCCTTGCCAACATACTCAAAATCATCATGGTCTATCATTGTCTCCCTCAGCACCGATTTCAGCACGCCAACATGCTAGCAGCGGCCTCTTTCCCGCGCACCAAAAGCCTCTCCACCAACATCTCTCCAACGTCGCTACAGTCCGACCATTGCATCTTGCATACAGCACTGACACGTCCTTGCTCGGGCTGGAATCCCAAATCCACCACTGCCGAAAAAGCTGCTATTCTTGATTTCTGCAAGATGCGTCTGAAAAGGCATAAGCAACAAAACGTCTTTGCAGAAGATGCATATGCAGAACAAGCATTGATACTGCAGAGAAGAACCTGGTTATCGGGTTCACCACATGCTCTGCAAGAGTATCTCTCAAGGTCAACTACACGTGGTATCAGAATAATGCCTTACATATTACTCCGGTACAGCAAGCCATGCGAGGCCGTTCTCGTTGTCGTATCCACCAGATCCATGAGAAAAAGGCCCTACGAACCCCCGGGGTAGCGATTAAGATTATCGCACAAGGCATATCAGAAGCCATGTGCAAGGACGATACGAACAGTTACACGATCGCAAATACGGGGGATAAACACCAGCAGCCATCACGGCACACGGCACAAGGTGTGGTGGAGAGTGGGATAATGGGCCGGTATAGGAGATTTGAAGTGTCAAGCACCATGTGGTCTGCTGACGTGCAACCCAAAACGGTTTGCAGGCGAAAAGACCAAGAAAAAAACACAAATTCTGGACTGTTGTTGTTGCGTATGTGTGTGTGGTGGCTTTGCTCTAATATTGATTGACGCAAGACGTTGTGCAGGTCGTTCAGCTGAGCCCAAACGGCTTTTCTCAAGGAGGAGATTTGCCAAAAACAATGACGATAACGTAGCAAGAGTCAAGCGACGAGACTACAGTCACGATAAAACAGAATTGGAAATGATTTGTTGTAAGAATATCGTTCTTGAAAGAGATACTAAGAGAAAATCGTAGATACAGAAGAATTAAAAAAGTGAGATCCTTCAAAAGAAATTAAAACGCCGCTTTCATGAGAAGTTCCCTGTCCTGTATAAGGCACCCTTTTGCCTTTGGGAATGGTTTGAAACATAAGAAATGTGAGAAAAGAAACGAAAAGAAAAGAGACCAGAAAAGGAAATTGGTCGGTCGACTCGCGAGCGAGTGTCGATTAGATGTTTTGGATGTGTCGAAAGGCTGGAGTCCAGCAGTAACCCTTCGCGCCGTGAGATGTGCCAGTCTATAATGCTCCCGAGATGTGATAATGATAAAGAAATCTTTAGTGATGCAAGAAAGACAAAGACATGATGATGGTCTTAGCATGCCAATTCGGCAACAGAGACTGCGACATCATTCTTGGTAGGGTTGAGCTCAGGACTGGCTTTTGCTGAGTCGACTTGGCCTTCGACTGGGTCTTCCATGATGGTGTCGGCGGGTGAGCGAGGGACAGATGCAACGGAGAAGGTATCACCGCGAGGAGAGATGAGGCTAGCAGAGTCGTCAATGTCGCAGGCACCCTCCATGCTGTGGAGACCGTGGGCGGCAGGAGTAGTGAAGAGAAGAGGAGCAGGCTTGTTGGCTCTGGGGGCAGAAACAGATCTGGCCTTCATGGAGATGTTGGAAGCAGGGAGCTGCTCGGCAACACTTGCCCTGCGGCAGACTTCAGCCTTCTCATCGGCGCTGAGAGGAGTAGTGGTCTTGAGGAAGGAAGAAGCAGCGTTGCGAGGAACATAGCTGGGACGGCGAGAAGCAGCGGGNGAAGCCGTGGGAGAAAGACCATCAACCGACTCGTTGTCGGGGTTGTGGCTGCCGAAGAGGGAGAAGGTCGAGTATTTGCGGTCGATGGCAGGGACAGCAGGAACATCAGCATCAGTCTCAGGGTTGGCACTTCTGAACCAGCTTCTGATGCTGTTCTTGGAAGAGCGGCGGCTAGAAATGCTGAACGCGCGGTTCTTGGAGGGCGAGCCTTCAGAGCAGCTGCGAGAGTCCTTGCCTATCTGAGAGACGGTCGATGCCTTGCGGTTGTAAGTGGCGCTCTTCTGCTCAACTCCGGTAGAGACCGAGGCCATTCTCATCTTCTGCATGGGCACGGAAGGGCTAAGCATGCCAGAGTCCTCCATGGGCACAACCTCGTTGCCCAACTTGTAGTTGCCAAACATCTTTCCCCACATGGAAGACTTTCTGCGGACAGGGGGAAGGGCAGGGGTAGGGGCAAGAACAGTGACGCTCATTGTGATGGTGTTGTGAGGGATGTTGTTCGGGATTAGATATTAATGGTCGTTTGGGGATGAGACCGGTTGTTGGAATGCTCGTCTGTTTTGGTTGAAATGCAAGTCGTAAGAGAGTCGATGATTGAATATGAAGATGGTAAAACGAGCGCTTCTGATCGAGATATTGAGCCGGGATATGTGCTCTTACTTATATCAAAGCACAACGTGCAAAAACCGCCCGTATCATCTGCCTTGCCGGTTTCCTGGACGTTGAAATCCAGCAAGCCCGTGAAGAGCATCTCGAAGCATATGCGGAAACGTTCGGTGTGGAACATGTCTATCAGACATAGATCGTTGTACTATTAGGGATTCCCACAAACGGCCAAATAACGATTGGACATCGCTCAAGTTCTCCCAGTCGACCCGACCCTGAATGCCTAGAATTGAGATACACTCACGTCAACGACCATTTCCGGAAGCGTGCGCGAGAAGATCTGCGCTGTCTACTTCGTGTACAGACCATGGCGCTATTCCTAGCCTTCTTGCAATCATGAATGACCACGTATGAGTCGAAACATACTCACGCGGCTCTCTCTGGCAACACATCAGGAGTCAGTGACGACGTGGCCCAGTCTTCCGTAGGTATACGATTCGCCAACGGCCAACTATCGAGCGAACAAATGAAAGCCGTTGCCAAATCCCAAATCCCAAATCCCCGAACAAGACGAGGAGGGTGTGAAGGAAACCGTTGCAGGCGAGCTTTCCACGAAAGGGCAGGCTTGCAGCAGCCAGTCATTTTGGCCACATCGCATGGATCTGATCGAAGGGTTTTGGCAACGAATTTGCAGCCGTTTCCCCATTTTCGACCACCCCTTTGGCTCCTTCCCCAGACATTTGTTCCAACTGCCGTTCCATTTGCTGTTACAGAGGATATCGCGGTACAGGAGTGGACGTTGCAGTACACCCTCAGGCTCAGCCCGCCTCCCTTCACATACACCTGGGCCGCTGCACAATCCTTGTTATGCGTTCTAGGACAGAGGTACTTATTCACCAGCGTGCATCGGAGTCCGCGACGCTCTGTTGGCGAGCTGAAAGTCCTCGAGAAACCGCTACTCTATCAGTCACGTGTAGTTCCAGGCCCTACGAGCTACACCCGCGTAGCCTATCAACTGCGATCTACAGTACAAGAGTACGTGTTCAGCGCATCCCATGACTAGTCTGCGCTGTTGTTGTTCCTGTCGCCCTACGGTATGCAAGTCCTTGGTCGGTCTCGGTAGCCTGCATGACTTTGAGCGTGCGTTCCAAAGAGATGCCTCCTGATTCAGATCAACGCTAACATCTCTTCCTTCGTTGATGACCCTTGCTCTCTCAGCCTGATCTTTGATGCCGTGTTTCCCTGCCGTTTGCAGTTTTGTATTCCTCCTTTGATTCATGCTTCTGTGAGCCGTTGTGAGGGCTCTATCTTTTGCCTACGGTTATGGATGGGGCTCTCAGACATTCGCAATATCTCATCGTCATAAGTCTCAAATCCTTCTCTATTCGAGGCTCCAGGGTAAAGGGCTTTTGTACAAGAGCAGCCACTGAACTCCACTTGCGGAGGGGCCGTTGCAACGGCTCTTATCGAGTCTCTATTTTCTCTATCAGGCAACGGATGAGGTCGGCCATCTTTCGCACAGACGTTGACAAGCTGAAGATCGCAGCAAGACAGAAGTTTGTCCAGACAAGATCTGAGGTCCACGTGTACGGCCGCAGTGTGACACGGCGACAGGACAGCCACCATCTAGAGCTACCAGTGTCTTCCTAGTTTATGTCGGGAGTTGGCGGTCTGCCATTGATGGGGGGGGAGACGGGGGACGAGTGAACCTGAAGACCAATACGCATTGGCCTCGAAAGTACAGAAATCCCTCATAGCATTCTTTGCGGTCTCCTACGTCGTCGATATGTCAACGGGTGTTGTGGCTGGAGTTTTCTCGACAACGAAGTATAAGGTCCGAGGCAATTTGAACTTAGCACAGGAAGCATCTCCGATAGCCACTTCGAAACTCGTCCTCGAGACCGAGTCTCGAAACTCTTGTCTAGACCATTGCAATCATGTTCACGAGCAAGACATTTTCTCCCAAGGCTGTAGGGATAGACAAGAACGTACAAAATAATGGTCTAGAGTATCTTGAGGTTTTTCGCTACACCACAAAGACGCTACTGATTTTAAGCAGCTGCGGGCCGAAATGGTAGGCGCCCGTTAGGCTCCGCTTGTAGTGAAGGTTATCTGTCCATAGAAAATATATCGTGGCTCTGAGACAGCAATGTTGAGATACTTCCAAAAGCGAACATGATCTTGATACTTTGGTAGAGGTGTTGATTTTCTCGTTTATCTTTTGCAGCTCTACGTTTCTCACAAATGCAATCCCAGAACGTTGAGCTGAAGATTGTTGGTTTGCTCTCAGCAAAACCTGAGGCTGCACTCAAAGTAGACAGGACAGCCACACGGTCATTGTATACAGCCACCAACCATAGTATCGAAGCAGGACAGCCACTGAGCAACAATGAGGCACCGCCAAGCTATAGCTGCTTCTCGTCTAATTGTACCAACTGGATTTCTTGTCCTTTGCATCTGGTAAGTTTGCTATCTTGACTGTCATCGGCACGTGTGCGACCAAACTTTTGTCGCGTGGAAAATTTGTACTCGTTACATCAACCCCTTTCTAGCATGTCCAAGCAACCTAGCTTCAACATACTTTGTGATTTGACATCGCGAAGCGCTTGACCAACCATCGCAGTCGGTCCGCGACGGAAGATGGTTCTGCCAGGATTGCTGTCTTCCCTTAGTCTCGTCGAACCCCCACCATCCTTTGACATGTGTTCAGGTAACCAGAAAGCAGCATGAGCAGTTTCTCGCTGCGAGTCTGGACAGCCAGGTGGAAACTTGCCCAGCAAGATGTATGACGCGCTATTCAAGCTGTCACGCAGCATTCCTTGCAAAGAATCTTGATGGTCGCAAGCAGGTCCAGAGTGCAGAGGTCGACCATCCTTTACAGCAAGAGATGCTATGATACGTCCTCTTCCTCCACCGAACAGGCATCACTCTCCAATCACGTAGGTACAGCCCTCAGGACCAATCCATACTTCATGGCGCTTGTTGGCGTCGACGTCGAATCTATCACCAACGTTGCACTGCTCTTTCTTTGGATTCGGATCGTCAGGATAGCTGAGAGTAAGGCATCCTTTCAATACTAGATGTGTAGTAACGCCGGCATGGGTATGAGGCGGGTAGTGAGCGTTNGCTTGCAACTGGTCAGTCGTCGTGCTGCGCACACGAGGTCGCAGAGAGGCTTACGGTCCGTCGCTCCAGGTGAAGACATGGTTGAAGCCCCATCCTCTGACCTCGGCTTCTGCTTCCTTCCTCGATTTTGGTGCCATGGTCAAATTGATCTCCCTTGGTCGAGGAGCAGAGTTGAAGGAGGCGTTTCCTTGTCGACGATGACTGATTCCCGATGACGCAGCGTTCTCCAGCTTCTTGGCAGTCGAGACCCTGACCGCCTCGGCATCAGCAGCTTTGACCATGCGGTGAGGTGTCCAACTTGTTTCAAGACGAGTTGAAACAGGATTGATGTGGAAGGAAGCACCAAGCACCGTGAACACGACATGACAGTCTTGATGGCTTTCTCCACATCATGACCTGAGTCGTCCGGCAAATCTTCCACCTGGTCTTTCGACCCTTCGTGCAACCATCGTCCTTACCTATCCATACATCGTTCCCTATCACACCCCGCCCAGCTTCGCAACTACCCCTGAGTTTCATCCCCAACTTCCGACATGGACATCACCGACCCTCAAGCCTGGTCACCAGCCATTCTGAATTATGTCAAAGAGTTCACTGCCGAGTTTGCTCAGTTGGATAACATCGAGGGCAACAATGCCGGCGTTCCTGGCTCTGCAAATGATGGCCAGGCATCCAATCGTCTCTTGACATATCTCGGCTCCGAAGAGGCCAATGCCATGGCACCTGTGATTTTGGATGCCACACATCCTCTTTCAGATTACTTTATCTCCAGTAGTCACAACACCTATCTGTGGGGCAATCAACTCTATGGTAAGGCTAGTACCAAGGCTTATCAGAAAGTCCTGGAAAGAGGCTGCCGCTGTGTTGAGATCGATGTTTGGGATGGAGACGACTCGGACTCTGATACTTCCGACTCGTCGGCCGATAGTGACAGTGACGTCGAAAATGAACGTGGAATCAAGAAGTTGAGCAAACGTTTCAAGGACAAGATGGGTCTGTCCAAGTCCAAGCCTGAGTCCAAGCCGAAAGACAAGCCAGCAGCTGCCTCCGCTTCGCCCGAGCATGAAGTTGTGGGATCAGCAGGCCTTCGCAGGACTGTGTCCAAGACTGAGCCACGCGTTCTCCATGGATACACGGCAACCAAGGAGATATCTTTCAGAGCCGTCTGCGCCACTATCCGAGACTACGCCTTCACCGCAAGGTATCTCGAGACGCATTGTATGTGTGAGTGATCATCTGCTGACTATTTAATANGCGACCTTCCTTTGATCGTCAGTCTCGAAGTTCACGCAGGTCCTGCTCAGCAAGAGATTATGGTCGACATCATAAGAGATATGTGGGCACCATACCTGGTCGACTTCAATGCAGTGACTGGCCATGAGATTTCTCTGCCGACTCTGGATTCCTTGCGTAAAAAGATACTCATTAAGGGTACGTCACCAGATATCAACATTGCAAGCAAACAAAGGCCAGAGCACTGAAGCCAAGCTTTTTATTCAGTTAAGTACACTCCACCAGATAAGGCGAAGAGCGAGCCAGTCGTTGTGTCAAGCAACTCAACCCTCGAATCAGGCTCAGAGGATGAGTCTCAGGAGATACCGGCGAAGAAGAGTCACATCATTACAGCGCTCGCTTCTATGGGCGTCTACACCCGCGGTTGTCACTTCAAAGACTTTGATCAGCCGGAGGCCAAGCTTCCAAACCACATATTCTCCCTGTCTGAGTCCAAGATCATCGAAGTACACAAGCGTGACCACTCGGCATTATTCAGACACAACAAGGTACGTCGCCCCAACATTGGATATTCCAGCGCTAATCTTTGACATGTCAGCNGCTTCATGATGAGAATCTATCCTAAAGGCATTCGTGTATCCTCAAGCAATCTGGACCCTGCACCTTTCTGGCGGATGGGTGCGCAGATTGTCGCCCTCAACTGGCAATATATCAACGCGGCAACCATGCTCAACCAAGCGATGTTTCACGCGACGGGCGGTTGGGTGCTCAAGCCTGAAGGCTACCGCAGTTTCCACAGAGCCCAATCTCAGATTGCGGCGCTCGACCGAGGTAAACTTGACTTGACGATCGAGTTGCTGGCTGGTCAGGATATTGGTCCGGCTGACAAGAAGCTTCGTCTCTACGTTCGTTCTGAGTTGCATATCGAGGATATGGAAGAGATTAATGGTGGATCTCTGCCTGAGGAGGGCTCTACCAAGGAGGGACAGATCAAGGCAGTCACTGAACTTGGAACGGCTGGCAGGTCTCCGGATTTTCGGCGCCAATTGCTTCAGTTCAAGGTCGATGGCGTCGCCGAAGAGCTAACTTTCGTGAGGTACGTGAACTTCCGCACATTTTGTCTGAAAAGGACATGTCCTACACTCAAGCACTGCCTGTACCCGTCTCGTTTATATGGCTTTGTTCACCGCTACTTCACTTCCTGTGGTAGCCACGGATCAAGGTTGCTGTATCTTGTGGCAAGGATGTGCGGCATTGCCAAAATCGCCCAGTCGCTTCGCTCTGCGAGGACTGCACGTGCTCTATGGTTATATGCATGCTCACTTCGCTACTCGTGGTGGCATATCCGGACAGTTGGGTTCACCAGCTGCGTGGTACCAGACGCCACACTAGACTCACGAACCCGTCAGCCAGGTTCTTTGATGCATACCCTCGGTGTCATTCTTACCTGATTTGGTTACCCTGATGTTTATCGCTCCTTCGGCTCATTCGCTGACACGTTCGTTATAACAGGTTCAAAGTCATGGATGACGACACCTTCAGCCGCGACAACCTAGTGGCATGGGCATGCTTCAGATTATCCAGACTACAGACAGGTATAAGGAAGATACGTCTGTATGACTGCGAGGGTCAGCAGACCAACGGGATGCTGCTTGTGCGCATAAGCAAGAGACTCGATATTGAGTAAAGTCCACAGTGGATTCACAACCTCTGACTCCTGGTTGAGATGCGAGTCGGGCATATATTCATACGGCTTGACTGTAGCATTCCGATACGAAATGAAGGTTCGCCTGTGCCAATTCGATATTTCATCAATGCTAAATGCTATTGTCCGTAGGGTTTGTGCATCGAGCGTACGAAGAAGATAAATCATACATGAGTAGAATTCCGTCTCCGCGTCATCTCGTATACCGCATACTTCCTGTCAATCAGGAACACTCAATCCATGGAGTTTTCGACTCCACTTAAGATGAAAAGTTGACGGCGCCGTTCTTGTGCTTCTGCGTGCACGTATGGCATGTTTCTTAGCGCAGGATATCACATGCGAACGCGATGACAGATCGCAAAGACCTGATCTGGCGCATCTCCCAATCTAGATTACCGAGTATGCGGTACCGATGGAACCGGGGACGTCAGGAGCACAATCGAAAAAGGCACGCACATATGACGAACAAACAACGGAACAAAGTAACAGCATACGACAGTCTTTTACACAAACGTGTGCGTTTCTCTGCTCACATGCCACAAGCAAGAAAACATTCGATGCAGGCTTCCAGAGGCGCTTCTTTCGCATAAATTGGTTTCGACATTGAACATCAGAGTCAGATCTAGATGACCGATCTGTCTGCGCCGCCGTTTGTTCGTGCGTTTTTGCTCGAGGGGCTCGAGCAACTGAAGGGAAAACAAGGTCAGAATATTGGGAGTAGATAGCTCAGTTTTTTGATATCTTGCACATTGAAGTCGGTGAAGCCATGCCATGACACATGAGCAACTTAGAACAGCAAGGAGTTATACCATTGCTAGTGCCCACGACTCGAGACCTCGAGAAATTGTCAGAAGCCGGGTTATCATGAAAAATGACGAACCAGACTTTTGGGAATACATGCAGCGCATTGATCTCTTTTCCAATTTATCAATGCTCTTAGATACGATGATTCGGCGATTGGCATATTGTTAGCCACTAGAACTGGTCACTTTTTTCTCCTTGGCCTTCATACATTTTCTGCATCTCTTGCTGAGGAAACACTTTGGGGAGAAGGAGATAATACTCCGATTGTGGCAGGTGAAGGAAGGGACGGGACGGGCGCCATCACGGGCGTACCACCGTGTCGGTAACTCGATGCAATCCGTTCCTAGATGATGGCTTGACCAAAACCAGGATTTGAGAAAAGGCACGTACTCGAGGGCTTTCGGAAGGTGCAGTCCGCAACACACACGAACTGGTGGAGAGATGTTGTCTTGGTGGTAGNNCCTTGCCCTTGCTGCTCGGCTTAGAATATCAAGGTGCATGTGTGAGAGTTCATGACCTGCCTGTCAATGTATGTGGCTAGCGTGGGCTACACCNGATCGCGGTTCCGTGTGGGCATATCTTGCATCGTCGCACGTTCGAGGGTTGCGCAGGTGGATAGCTGTGGGGGTNATAATCTGTTTCTCTCCCTCGAAGCGCCGCTTTTTACATAGTCTTGCAATCTAAAAAAAAATTGTTACTCGTCCTCTCTGTACCAAAGACCCGATGGCACCAGTATCGCACTTGAGCAAGAAGCCGTAAGACCCGCTCTGCACATCTTTTGAGATTGCTCAGATGGAAGTGTTCTTGCAAGTGCGAAACGATGCAGGGTTACGCTATGCGAGGTGCTTTATCAGTCGAAAAAAAGTCTATCACAAAGGTCAGGTCATTCGAGGTATGCACTCGAGAATATATAAGGAGGGTGTTTGTCCTTTGTTAAACATACTTCTCATACATCAGCATCGCAAGCAATTCGATCTTCCTGTTACACAGTCAATCTACCTTTTCTCATTCCTCTACCACCTTTTTCCAGACATCTCCTCCTTCAGCAACCATGCCTAGCAACACCAGCCACATCCAGAAGCGCGCCCAGCTCCAACAGCACGACGACCTTGTCGTCAACCCTTCTGAGCACAATGAATGGCAAGATGCCCAGATGGATCTTGGTCTGTCCCCAAACATCCGCACAAGAGCCCCACCAGTAAGAGAATGCGCTGTCAGTCATCCCATTGCCCAGTTTCGANGATCTGACAGGCTAAACAAGGTCCAGACTCGTCAGTGCAGTTGTGGTCATTATGTGATTGCTGGAAAAAGATGCCCGTCGTGTGGTAAACAGAACNTAGCAACCCAAGCGAGGTATGTCCTTCTCATCGACAGCACAAGAACTGTTACTGATATCAACTGGAACAGAGCGTCGTCAAAGGTCCTCGGACTCATTGGAGCAGCAGCAAAGGCAACCCAAGCATCAAAAACTCGAAATGCAGCAGAAAATCGACATTGAGCATCTCCGGCAACGGTTCGTAAAGCTCAAGACCTCGACAACCACAACCACAACCAAAACCGAGATGGCGCCTCGCGGTATTGTAGTCGAGAACACGCTGCCACGGCTTCGCCCTGAGCGTGTCTACTATTCTGGATGCCGACCCTATCTCGAAGGCTAGCTCAGATTTCTGGGTTACGGCCATCTTTTCCTTGTCTCCTTTTGCACTCGTTTGATTTCTGTTGTTTCCTTTGAGCGCAATGCATCATTGCTGGCGTTCGTCTTTCCCAGGTGTAGGTGGAGAAAACACCGAAAATTGTTGACAAAAAAGAAGGGAGTCCAAAGAAAAACAGGAGAAAAAAACTTTCCTTTCTCTTGATCACAGCATTTTTTTTTTCTTACAGCAATATTGGTGTTATTGGATATTGACCGAAGGAGTTTGGAGAGAGAGAAACAGCATCAAAGAGACCACAGAATCTTCTTACCTACTGTATATGCAGTTCGCACACATATGTATCAGAATTGCACTTAAGTTCTCTTCACACACTGCTTACCTATTTCTTTCACGCTTTGGGCATGTCAATGATGATTTGAACTGGAGAAAATTCAGAAAAGAGGTGAGGGTTGCAGAAAAATAGGTGAGATCGCGATTGACAAACCCTTGGCTCGATCACGAGAGGCTCTTCAGCGTCACCACTCTTCAATTTTCTGGGGAAAACGTCCATCGTGTCTTCTCGACAACGTCATGTTGAAATCGCATACCCGTATAATGGGTCCGACTCCCTTGTAGGTGAAAGTTGTAGAAAGAGAAGTTACATAAGTCGTCGCTGCCATATCGGAAATTCTTTCACAAACAACATATAAGATCCCTCGCCGTTTCTCTCATCATGTCTTTCCAACCCATCAAGAACTCCTTCCGTTTCATCAACACTACTTCAAGACCTTCAAGTCTTTTCGCTCGTCAATTCCACGCAAGAACTACAATGGCTGCTCAGGCCCCTTCTTCTCACGACATCTCGGCCGTCGCCAAGGACGAGAACGGTCCTGTCAAGGGCTCCGAGTCTGCTCAGATGCAGAGCCAGGTTGGCAAGGTCCAGGTATGTCCTAGCCTCGTTACAAGCACACAACAGTTCTAACCACTGCCTANNCAGAACTTTGAGAGCGCCGCCCAAGACGTCCTCAGCAAGATGCAGCAGGATCCCAGCTCCATCACCGCCGACGACGCCAACTACCTCAAGTCTCGCGAGGCCCGCGCCACCGGTCAGGCCCAGCCTCCCAAGGACAGCGTCTCTGCCGATGCTCAGCGCCTCGCGTCTGCCAACGAGCGTGATGCCACACCCAAGACTGGCCCCTTGAACCCTACCGAGCAGTCTCACCTCACCAAGGAGCGCAACCTCGAACAGGCCGTCAACCAGGTCGGCTCCAAGGACCCTTCGCAGGTGACCCAGGATGATGCCAACCTCCTCCACAGCCGTGAGCAGCGCGCCCACGGTCACACCGAGAAGGGTGGTGTTGCCTCTCAGGCTCAATCCATCGCCACCGAGAACTCTCGCTCGTAAAGCATGAGCATTAACGACCACGACTCTGTTTCTTACTGCATATACGACATTGCATGAGCATCGCAGCCTGGTTTGCTGCAGGATTCCCATCGGAGGGAAATGTTACGACCACCCAAAAGTATAATATGTACAATAGCATGATATGACCGCACAACCCAGATGGCTCTGGAGCCTTACTTCCCCTCTTCCCCCTTCCTGCGTCTGTTTGTCTGTGTCAAATCCTTCATTGCCGTGTCCAATCGTAACATGTGGACTTATCAAAGATCAACATATTTTGAGATCCTCCAAGTGCGGGGAAAGCTGTATGCATGATGGTTATGACATCGTCAAGTCGACCACTCTAATAAATAGAAGCTCCCTCGAGCATCTCGAAACTAGTCGCTGTCCGACTACAAATTGCAAGATGCTGTTCAACATGCTGGTTCGGTACTTCATGCTCTGCGTGCTCGCGGAGCGTGTAGTCAGCTTCGTTATTCCACACCAGGAGATCCTCATCTCGTCGCCAGCAGAAAAAGACCCCAATGTCATCCTTTCAGCGTAAGATGACCCAAGCTATCTGGTTCTTGAAACTTCACTGATGGTATCCCAGTNNCTTCGCGCTGCAGAAGTCATCCCAGATGTCCTGGACACGTTCTCGCCTCTAATCTCCTTGACAGCAAACTGGTCCTCTGTCGCAATGACACGCCTCGGCAACACTATTCCACCCTCCCACCTATCCCATCGCCCAGATATCCTCGCCTATCCAATCCCCTCCGCCTATCTGCCCTATGAAAGTGAATTCGTGCTCGCCCTCACCGACCCAGATGCCCCTTCCCGCGAGGACCCCAAATGGAGTCAAGTATGCCACTGGCTGGGCAGCTTTAAAGGAACCAAAGCCAAAGAGTTGGTGGAGTATAAGGCTCCTGCGCCACCGGAGAAAACCGGCAAGCACAGATATGTGGTTGTGCTTATGGTGCCGAAGAACGGGACGACTGAGGAGTTGGACTTGGAGCTGCCTGAGGATAGAAGACATTGGGGATACAAGGGGGAGAGATCAGGAGTTAAGGAGTTTGCGAAAGTCAATGGGCTGAAGGTCATTGGTGAGTCTTGTCCTTTTCTTTTGCGTCACGGGGTCTGGGTGGATGGTTTGGAGTGCCTGTCGAGCGAGTGGCTGAAGAAAGCTATGTCAAATGACGAGCGTGAGAGTATGGCTGGCTGACTGATATTTCACAGCGGCAAACTTCATCTACTCGCAGAACGACAAGCAGTAGGTGTCGCAAGGCGAGAACGAATGTCATGCCGCAGCGGACGAGCTTTCCAATTTCCGACAACTTTTCTCTCCTTCCATACGCTTTTCCCACTCGGCGCACATTACGAGAGCTCTGATGACTGATAGCTACCACTATCAAGTGATATTTCAACGTGATGCTCCTTCTCTATTCTTGATGTCTCATGAAGTGAGACAGGGTTGTACCCACAACGATGCTTTCCTGGTGTCATATGGCGATATCTCGACACCTATTGATTCTCATGTTACTAGGCTCATGTGCAAGGTGCTTTGAGATCTTTTCGTTGTTGTGTATTGGTCTCAGTTCATTTGATGCAATGTTGTGGTTCTAACTTGCCTTTTGTGATTACAGATGTCGTAAAGCTGCAAGCTATCATAAACCTCACCCTCTCGATAGTGACACTTGAGCACGGTAATAACACATCTATAATTCGTGTTAGACTTTTAGTATGTCCTGTGGTGTAAAGACCAGAGTACAAGTAAGAGAAGTCTAGGAACAGTCTTATGACGGTCCAAGATCTTCAAGTCATTATAAAGAGAACCAAAGTTCTGGGGCGACATATCCAACAATGAGCGATTTCACGGTAAAATGAAGGTGTTTGTAGTCGAAGCCTGAAGGACTTGCTTTCAAACAGGATGATATCAGAAGTTCTCATACTGGCTCCACCTCAAAGCAAGGGATGGAGGCGAGCTGCACCAGAACATAAAACATGCCATGTACAAGCATCACGAGCACGAGATGCACAGAATGGAACAAATGACCGACACGCTTGAACCTCTCGCCAACACCGAGTTCCGTAACCAGGATCTTCAGGCTGTTATTCGCAACATTGTCGACGGCCTCTTCGCTGATGAAGCCACAGGATCTAGAGGAAGACCTGAACTTGAGCAGGATAGGATCAAGATACATTGGATTTTGCTCTCAGAACGAAAAGGTTGTAGGATAGCATGGCTGCCAAACGGCCAAGCTTCTGTCAGTGAACTTGAGACGTTGATCGAGCATTGGGAGGATGTTTGCTACAATACCCAAACTTCGAAAAGCCTCTAGAGAAACAAAGCAGATTAGGAGGATGCAACCGTACTTACCGCATGCTTTGTGATAGCCAACTGGACATCGAATGAAGCGCATATATGATTTCGAGAAGAACCAACTAAACGATGATAGGAAAGGGACATGTGTATCGACAAATCAGTTCAAAAGAAGGAAAGCAGGAAAGAAAGAAGGGATCAAAACAAGATATGATCAGGATGAAGAAAAGTAAGGCGCATCTAGAGAGGTATGGAAAGAGCGACTGGGTAGGACTTGTCAGAATCGTGCTCTGTCAAATGGCATAGCTCGCCCTAAACATGCAAGATGTGATCCGTCGATGGGTGACGACTGCCTGAATACTTACCATACAAGAGTTGATCTGACGAGTACGGCAGCTAGCAAAATTCCATCGCGTTCAACACTGGTTGATCTTATTTGAAAGCCTCTTTGTGATGAGTCAACGACACCAAAGCGCAGTACGATGAGTCGGCGACGAGGTAGGAAAGCTGTCGTACCTCAGCAGCTACCTGAATCACCCCACGCACTTCTATCGGGCGGTAAGAATATCAGGCAGCGATACTTAAGTGTCAACATGAAAATGATCTATACCGTCTCTCATGAGCTGTCGCTCCTCAAGGAAAGTCGTTGACCGGGGAAGCGGACGCTTTACCACTTGGTCTCTAACCTCTGGGACGTACAATGCGACTGTCATTCACCATCTTGAGATGGCGAGTTTTGAGGTGTGTAGCGGTCACTTTCTAGCTGGTCTCTTCACGGTTGATTATCGACAAGATGGTGTTTGACTTGTGACTGGGACAAATTCTTGCTTTCGGCCGAGAAAAGCCATGTCCCGTCATCGACTGATGCAGTACTCGAGTAGGCTGCGGTCGAAGGATGATTTGATGCTTGGGCGGTGGCCACGCATGGCCACCATTGGGCGGCCATACGTTGAGGCGACGCAGCCAAGAAAACTGCATTCTGCTGGTGAGAAAGCCATGGCTGAGTATTGGCTCGCCTCAAGGCTCGCGCAAGGATGCGACAGGACTTTGCTCCTATTCAGCTTGCGCCTTGTAGAGGGTTACAGCGGTACAAGACGGCTTGCGACTTCGCTTGCATGTATCTTTTTAAAACAACCTTTGGGAGGTGTGCAAAGAGGAGTTGCCGTAGCACACCTCTCCAGCTTGTTTCCGGAAACGTCTCCGCTTCCGCAGAGTTTTGCCCACCCTCTGCTCTTGTCCGTGGGGGCTCTGGGGTACAAGTGAACCTACTCTCTTGGCGTGAATTCTGAAGAAAAGGTACGTGTAAGCCGGAATCTTGATATGGGATTTCGGTTCTTGCAGAGCAGCCTCAAGATTGGGCGTGTAGCACATTGCCCCTCTGAGGGACAGCTGTGGACGTGTAACGTCAGCAGTGTATAAAGCTTGACAGGATTGTCCCTATGATCTGACAGACGCTTTACCTACGTCCGTATTCGATTTCAGCTCTCTTCGACAGCACATTCAGAAGATAATTCTTGCCGCTTTGTTCGCATTGTTGCGCTGGAAACCTTCTGACAAGTCATATGTGTGATACTTGCCTGCTTTCTTGTTTGCCAGCAGGGTCCGAAAAAGTCTCACACTGACCGACCACACTCGCCGCGACGAAGCGCTGACATTTGTCGCCAGGATGGCCAAACGCTGTCGCGAAGAGAAGTACACACTTCTGTCTGGTCAGTGAGAATAGATGGAGATGTGACAACCTGAGCGGGGTCCTATTCGGTGGGGCTGTTGGATGTGACCAGCATACAAGTGCAATGTAGAGCGTCACAGTTTTCTGCAATGTACTTATGCACCAATACAAGGGTAGAAGTCGCATTCTGATCTTCATCAAAGACAAGATGGCATTCTTCCAAAGTATTGGTATTCAGGCAAAAGTGGTCATCTTGATGTAATATGGAGAGGAAACATCGCATGCTTCCTTTAGACAATTCCTGAAGCTCGAATCTTCACATTTTGTCGATGCCGATGGATCTGCTGCATATCAAGCCCTATGCGGGCAGTGTATCATTGTTGTAGAGCCTCAGCCAAGCTGTCGAGGTTGAGCGGGATGGTAGCTTCGGAAGTTGATAAGGTACCTAGCGGCTGTGCCTTGACACAGCAGTGACGAGGATCAACATGGGTGGCAGGTGTGTTGAGCCAACTTCTGCGTCACATAACGGTGTGATGAGTTGAAGATGAGTTGATTCGTATGCCCATCACTTGATGTCGTTGTGTCTCGAAGACCCTGTAGCCTTATTGTTCTGAACTTGAGTCTGTTCAAGCGATAGGAAACGCGACTCCAATAGTTCAATCGGAAGACGAGGCGGAAATGACAGCTCCACCCGCAACGTGGTGGTATTGTATGTTTAGCATTGCAGTTTCCGAAGATGGTAGATGCAAACTTCGCAACTCGTAACGATGCCGTAGAAGTGACGTTACGCGACTTTAAGTGGGCCGGCTCGACAGTCACTGATCCTAATCGATCAAACTGCACCCGATCAGTCGATAGTAAAGCTTCTTGGGCCTACTTTGCATGGTCGAATTGGTAAAAGAGCTTGAGTCGGTCTGCATATTGGATATCCTGGATATTGTAAGCGAGGCCTTATCTAGATAACTCACGGCTGGAATGACTCGAGCGACGTCCATCCCTTCCTAGACTCAATACATGAATGATGTAACATGCTCGTTGATCAAGACGTTATCAGAAGACTTGCGACGAAGATACACACGACTCCATACAGCAAGTAATAAAAGTCCGCCCAAGATTAGTGTTCATACCTTCTGCCCAAGGTGCTCCGAAGTTGCACGCCCAAGCGACTCAAGTAGAGGAACAAGCGGCTGGCACAGCTTCTTGCTGGTACCGAGTAGGTTTGACTCCATGGATATCAGCTCTACTTAGCACACCAAGCACGAGTCGCGTTGTCAATTGCTACGTGACTTCTGTTATGCGGTAAAGCAAGGTTGTAGCTACTCACAACATTGACCACTAGGTTAAGGTCAGAGAGCAGTCAGGGCAGGCTATCTGTATAGCCAGCGATAGTCGACATGCTCTGAACAACAAGAGGAGGGGCGTCCGGTAAAGCAACACCGGCAGGATGATATGGGGAGGATTCCTTGGGATTAAAGTTAATGCTGTGCCCGCAGATGCGGAAAGCCGTGTCGAATGGAAGTGTGAGCTTATTCCTCAGACGTGGATGATGGATCGTTAGATCTTGGAGAGTCACACGGAGTACGACTGACTCCAAGGGATTCCAGGAAACAATTCCAAGCGATTGGAGGAGCAAGCCACTGATGCCATCTCGCGACACGGGAAGTTATGACTTGTCGCGTGGCATGCTTCGATTTCATGCAGCCGTCCACCATTGGAGCGTCGCCGTCTGCAATTGATGATTGACGTTTCACATCGATCGAGAAAAGCAGGTGAGTGAAGAGTTTGTGCTGTGGAACAATTTACGAAAAGTCCGAACGGGAAATGAGGTTGGACTGGTGCGTACGATGTAGGCCAAGTCGTCAGCTTCTTTTGTGGATACCTTGATGAGGCTCTGGCAGGTGGAGCCCACCTGCACCCCAGTTCTGCCAGACGTGTCTTCGGAAGCAGAGGGTGTGGGTATAAGACAAGGTGATGGATCAAGAAACGGGACACTTATCGGGACTATCCATCGTCGATGTTTCGACCGCGACCCGCCAGCACTCTTCTGCCATTCGCTGCTGAAATTCTCATCGCGCATGCGCGCTCGCAAACGACGATGGCAATGTCTGTTTGCGACGGAATGCGATCGGGAGCAGAATTAGCGCCCCCTGGCAGCAGTGGTACTCAACCGCGGAAACCGCAAAACGCACCTCGTCCTGCGCAGCACGCACCCGGAACAGCGGTAGCACGTAGGCGGACACCTTCTAGCCGCGACGAGCTAGGGAGCTGGTCGCTCGTTGAGTCGTTGCTGAGGGCTGCCCCTGCCCTCGCTCGCCTGTGTNGTCTGTTTCGGTAGGGCCGGNACGCGGGAGAGTCGCTCTTGCAGATCGGTCACCCTGACATCATCCCCCACCCAAGCGTTCCCCGCCAGATACGGGCTTCAGCTAACTTCTGCCGCTAACATCTCGATCGACTCAACTGCAGCCATNCCTCTGTATCGACGCCAGCCAGCTATGCGGCTCGTCGTGTGTGTTGCCCGTGTTTGGTGGTTTCCTGGTACCCACCAACCTTCGTCATGCGCCTGTCCATCCCACGTTTTTGGCGCTNNGTATAAACTCCCAAATCCGATAGCCAGGTCTTTACTTGTACCTTTGCTCCCGCCCAGGTCCTTGACTGCACCCATTACGTTAGAAGTCTCCCATGTCTGTTTCATTCTAACTGTTATACCAACCTATTTCTTCTTTTTTCCTACTCTCCACATCCACATCCCATCCACGTTCTTCTAGTTGATCCAGAAGAAAGCTTCTTTCAGCCACGCAGTCTAATCACACTGCATATCCAACAACCCTCCAGCTCTTTCCTATCCTCATCACAATCATACCAACCGCACAATGGCAGCTGTACTTCCTCGACCGACTGCTGGCAGTTTACTGGGTCGTCGCCGTATTAGCAATCCCCAATACAGCCCCAGCATGGTACCGTACATGCCAACCTACGACATGAATCTCAAGAACCCAATGGCACAGCAACAACAAGGCCAACTTCCAATGTCCAACTCTCATTTCATTCCTATCCAAACAGGCTCAGAGATGGATGCAATGATGGACATCAACGCATACTCACAACCCAGCATGGTCCCCAACGCCATGACATATCACAACACAATGCCTATGGACCAGTCATACACGAATTACCACATGGCCAACACTTTCAATGCAGGCATGCCGGTCATGCCTCTCGAGCCAATGCCCCAATGGCAGACCTATGACCACATGTCGATGCAGCAGCCTCCTCTCCTATCCCACATGAGAAGCGAGAGCCAGTCGAGTATTGAAAGCTGTCCTCCTCTGATCAAGTCTGAGGACGAGCAATCGCCCATCCTCCCCAGCCAAGTCTTCTTCAGCATTCCCACATATTCGTCCATGCAAGCCGATAACTCCAGCTTGGCTGGATCAGACGACATTCCCACCGTAGCCTCTTCCACCGACATTGACGCATTGATGAAGGCTATTCAATCGAAAGTCACCAACGGATCAGAGCAAGCATCGCAACCAATCCCTCGCGAGCAGCAGGTAGAAGCTTCAAGCCCGTCCAAACCTAGAAAGAGATATCAATGTTCGATGCCGGACTGCAACAAATCATTCTACCAAAAGACACATCTTGAGATTCACACACGGGCACACACTGGTGTCAAACCCTTCGTTTGCAAAGAGCCCAGTTGTGGTCAGCGTTTCTCACAACTCGGAAACCTCAAAACACATGAGCGTCGTCACACTGGCGAGCGTCCGTATAGCTGCGAGCTCTGCGGCAAGACGTTCGCTCAGCGCGGCAATGTCAGAGCACACAAGATTGTCCACACAGCAGCAAAGCCTTTCACATGCCGTCTTGACGAGTGCAACAAGCAGTTCACTCAACTCGGCAACTTGAAGAGTCATCAGAACAAGTTCCACCAAGAAACCATTCGCAGACTTCGTCAAATCTTCGAGAACTTGCACGAGGGTGACCATGTCAGCTCGTGGGAGAAGGTCATGTGGGAATACTTTACCAGTCTCTACAAGAACTGCAACAAGGGTATCAAAGGCAGAGGCAAGGACCGCCGCATCAGCACCACCGGCCTCGGTCTCAAGTACGAGAATGAAGACCTCGACAACAGACGCAACAGTTACGCCAGCGTCAGCTCTGTATCAAGCGGATACAGCATGGCAAACGGCATGGAGCACCTGAACATGGGTGTCCCATCGTCAATGCCCGAGCAACCAACATTCAGCTCGCCCGTCTACATGGTTCCGCAGGAGCACCGCGCATCCTTCTGAGCTGCGCGTGAGCCGCAAGCAAACGGCGCGAGACAATGATAATCCTTCCAATTCTACCCAACACCCAGCACGACGTTTACGAGTATCGATTTCTGTTCCCTATCTAGCGGTTTTGTTTCATCACGATTGCACCCTCCAGATCGGGGTTTCTGTTTTTTCTGCAACGGCGTAACGAGGTGCTATAGATCTCTTGTCCCTTTTTGGTCTTTTTTCTTGGAAGCGCTTATAGGGCGGGAGTTTGTAGATGGACCTGTTCTGTCCTTGTTGCCATCGGTTTTGAGCGAGTTGAGTTTCTGTTTTCTTTCTTGTACACATGTAGATATCCTGACGATCCTCCCCATGGAGAGACGAATTTGTATGACTAGTTATTCTCAAAGCATCTTGATCCTTCTCAAAGGTTACTGCCACACTTCTTTTCCACACCTCTTATTCCCTGAATCTGTTTGTTTGTTTGTTGAGAGTCTCTGCATTTATCTTCCGTCATGTCATCATTGCAGATGTAGCCACTCTACATGCAACAACTCGAAATCTCTTCCCACGGCTTACCTCATTCTGCTGTCCCATTTCTGCTGCGATGCATGTAGCAAAATGCGTGTTTCGAGCGATTCCGATGGGTGCAGTAGCGCTGATTCCGAAAGAGCTTCGACTTCTGCCAGGCTTCTGCAAGCCAGTCGATGCAGTGACGTTGCGACTATTTTAGGGCTGGTGTGCTGTAGCGTGCTTGGGAGCTTGCCTCTAATGGTACATGTACCGGACACTTTTTCTGGGCGAAGAAAAAGGTACATGGATACATATTTCTTCACTGCTCGATTCAGCTATGGTGTTTCTGGCTTTGCTGAGAGATTTGGTGGATGCGAGACTGAGTCGTTGGACTTGACTTGACTCGATGAGAGGTGAAAGGCAGTGGTTGGTTGTGGGGGTGGCTTGGAAGCATCGACGGAGCGGACCCCGAAAGTGCATCGAGACCGGCCATCGCGATGATCTCTCTTCGTCGCGGTACGTCCGGTCGCAAGGAGCAATTGAGATGTGCGGTTTTGCGTGTGCGCGTGCGTGTTCGACCTGGCGATGAACAAACCGCGGTTTCAAGACGTCCAAACTCACCTTCCTATTCCCGTCATGTTCTGCTGTTTGATAAACACGAGAGATGGAGAATTAATGCGTGCCTTGGTTTGCGCGAGGTGGTGTTGATTGTTTGTTGCTCCATGCTCCATCGCATGCTGTCATCAGCGATGAGAATGATGTAAGTGGTCCTTGAGGATATTACAATCTGCCCCAAAACCAAGGCTCCTCCCAAAACTCCAATAGATTGGAAGCAAACCCGGCCGAGAAAGGACCTACCTACCTGGTCGGCAGTGGGTACGGATGAAATAGCTAGGCTCGCGAATAACAGTGAGGGGAATGAAGGTAGAGCAATTGACTTTCTCACCTCTCTCACCTCTTTCTTGGCTCTTCGAAATTCAAATGTCAGAAGACAGAAAAGAGAGTTTGCTTGTACATGTCGAATCGCAGATGGGCAGGATCTGATATCGCAGTCTTGTTGCCCTTTGCAGCTGGTTATCTAACCTTCGTGATTCGAGGGGATGTCTTTGCATGACTCAACATGAAGGTGTGTTACCGTGTGTGTGTTCCAGGACAGAAGATCTGCGTCCATCATTTCAAGATAAAGAAGTGTGCAGACACAGCCGGGTGCCGCGTAACTTGGCTCTGGTTCGTGAATTTAGTGGGTGGGCCTAGGGACCGGGCCCGCCGTCTCCGTAGATCAGGGACCATCGGCACGAGCTGAAAGGGGAGAGGAGGGAAGCCGGGAGAGCAAGCAGAGAGCACGACTCGAGTTGAGAGAGAACCGCTGGTTTCTCGCGGAGCCGGTGTGTCGAGCAAGATGGAAGACGGCTGAGCTCGGGACTGATATACGTCACTGGTATGGAAATGCGAGGTTGCTAAGAAGCAGAGTGCAGAGACGGCTCGCGTCGGGCTGCTGTGCTCGACTTGATTCAAGACCCCGCAGAGAGGAGCGCTGCACTGTTTGCCTCGGACTGGTAAGGCTGCATTGATATCGGCAAGGCGGTTGAATGAAGAAGCGGTGGTCTGCAACGCAAGCATCCTCCTGTCGCTGCGTTGAACGTGTGGAATCTTCTGCATACAAGTTGCAGTCTCTCCCAACCAACTGCTCTATTGCATGGGATCGCAGATTCAACACTTGCAATCCTTGTCGACATGTACATGTCAAGATTGCGTGTTCCCGCATGGTTGGAATCTTCGATCAAGAAGAATCGAACTTCATTATCTATGAGACAAGAGATGGCCTGATGGATATGTCGGTCATAAAGTCGTCAGCTTATCCTTCTCGCGACCCTCACGTACAGAAGTGTTTTTCTCCACCTCCGAACTTCTGCGCACGTATCAAACGGTCTTGAGAGTCTCGCTCGCCCGTGTACAACGGTCGAAGATCGCAGGAGACCTCTAGATTTCGCTCAAGATGGGGCATGGCGCAATCGTAAACGGTACGACGGAAGCTGTGGGCTCCCCTCTACCGTGTCAACGGTATGCAGCAGTCGAATGCAATGGAGTCGAGACATGTCTTGACGGGAAGAGGTGTGGAGAGCATCTCTTGCTGATCCTACGCGAACGGTCGTGGATCAGATCACCCGTGATCTTTGTCTGCTTTGTTGAAAGGAAGCCTGCGCTGCACAGCACATCCTCCGTTTCAAGATACAGATTAGCAGCGTGATAGGATCTGTTCTATGCGGTGTGCCTGAGGTTTAGACTTTGGAGTTTCCACGTGTTTGAGATGCATGACAGAAGCCTTTCTTTCATATGGGTCTGCTGAGCGAGGGGCTCTCTACCAAATTTCTTGTTCCAAATAGTCAAGTGGATCTCACAAGATTCAGTTCACGATGTCGAATGGCGATATCAGGCCGTACGGAAGCGAAGAATCGATCAAGATCAGGGAGATAGGGCATATGGACTCGTATCTCTTTTAAGTTTGGATGATTCGGAGGAAACTCCATCTCTATCGCGTCGAGTGAAAGCTTCCAAAGGACGATCTCGTACCTTCAACAGCGATGGGCGGCACGAATCGATATGGACGTCTTCGTGTTTGAGCGACTGGGCGGCACGAAGTCTTGAAGAAATCGCCGAGTCTGGTCTGGATATATCGGCATTTTGGGAATTGTTATGGGAATAAATCAGCGATTGGATGCAAAGAGAGCAAAGTGAGGACGGCCCGGGAACTTGGTAGATCGAAGGAGCCAAGCGAGGTTGGGAGCGCCATCAGGGTATGGTATGCGACGGGTCGACCTCAGGCTGTGAGTTTTGCCAAAGTGGAATTTGACAACAGTAATCAATCCCTGAGACATATCCCTTGCAAAACTCTATATAGATTGAATATCGAAAAGTTCAAGACTTCCAGGGATCCGAGAAATTGATGCGACAAGGATGTCCGCAAGCCTGGTTCTTGGAAATAGCAGAACGACGCGCTCAAGGTCTCCTGGTTGATAGCGCTGCGAAGGAGAAAGGACAGGGTTGCCTATATCAGCTCTGGTTTGAATAAGAGCTCTCACGGACGGTTCTGGCGGGAGTAACAGGAGGTTAATAACGACAGTGGAGTTCATGTTATCTTGGTTTCCGCTCTTCTTTCCTTGACTTTCTTGACTCTCTCGACTCTCGAGAGTGACGACCTGCACTTGGTAAGGGGGTTGAGTTGTGAACTGTTCACTGGAAGTTGCGACTTGAGAAGACTGAACAATACAGTAACTGCAACACTGTCGACTGAACAACCATAGAGCAACACTCTAGATCAGCCTATGCTTGCTCCAGAGTGATAGAGGCGTGGCATGGCATGTCAACCCAGGGCATGAAGAGTCACTGACGTGTGTACGAGGGTGACAGCAAGCGGTTGCTTCAGCAACGCAAAGCAGTTTTGTGAGGGGAAAAGATGTCATGTCTTTTCGCAGCGCAACCCGCAAAACGCACCTCGAACATCGTCTTCTCGACTCTACACACAACCCTTTTCATCCACCGCATCATAGCCAAATAGCAGTAACCAGCTCTACACATCAATCGCCTTCTATTCGACGAACTACGCAACAAGCATCGAGCATTGATTCCTTCTCCGACTCTCCGAACCACACACAGCACAACCTTCAACAATGGCCTCCAACCCTTTCAACTCTGCCGAGAACACCAACCCGGGCGCAAAGCAAGAGAAGATGAATGTGCACCGTCAGATGATGGAGAACAAGTTGCGCGAGAACGAGGGGTAAGTCGCCTTCACCCTTGTCCTGGCCTGTCCTCGACTACGAGATACACAATACGAAGAGCAGCGCTGACACAAGCTCCCTAACAGCAACCCTACAAACGCATACGTATCGCCCTCGGACGCCATCATGAGCCCCGCCAGCCAAAAACTCTCGGGCTTCAAGCAAAGACAGATGAACAAGTCGTGAGTTGCCCGCCGTACCTTACAAAAGCAATACCCAGCAAAGATGCTAACACAACTCCAACGCAGAAACCCCGTCAAGCCACGCACACTGTTCGCAAAGACCGCCGCCTCGAAACCCGAAGAGGAGGCTGCCGAGACTAAGACCGAAGATGCTTGAACACCTACTGCATTCGTAGTGCTGTTCTAGCGTTTCATCCCTTTGCCCCTGCATACCAACGAGGCAAGAAAGGACACTTCCTCTTTTTTTCGTATCTTCTTGGCCTGTGGATGCCTTAGCATCCAGGCACACACCATTTTCTTATGTCGCAAACGTTTTTTCTTTGGGGGAATACCAGAATGATGGGAACACAATACATGAAACATTGAGGCCTAGTCGAAACATGACTGGTTTGCGAGTTTCCTTTGACAGAGGCGTTTTACTTATTGGCTCGGGTTCTGGCTGGAAAGGAATCTTTGCTCCTTCTTCTCTTTTTCTACACTTTTTGTTTTATCCTGCTGTCTCTGTCCTGCGTGGATGGAGGGGCAAATATCATGATACACCAACTTCACTCATATTAGACTTCCTCTGCGTTGCATAGTGTATGTGCCTTTTGCTTCTCGATAGTATTGTATCTACGTCTGTCGAGCCAATCTTCGCGAGTCATCTTGTTTGTCACAGATAAAAACGAGAAGAAAGTTTGTGGTACAAGCTGTTTGACAGCCTACTCTTTGCCATTCCCAGGGAAGGGGTATCGAAATCTCTCTCTTATACAACATGTCTCTACCATAGTACGCCATTTTTGTAGTCCCAATTGCACAACGCCATGCATGCTTGAAAAGTATTGTCCTTTCTCCTTCTTGCCAGATTGCCTTCCACTTCTTATCCACATTCTTATGCGAACAACATCTTCTCATCCAGCTCATCAACCTCCTTAGTCTTTCCACCAGAGGTAGTAAGACCCAAGTCTCCCTTCTTGGCCTTGCGCTCAATAACAGCTTCGGCGCGGTTGTTGTATTTGGCGCTGCGAGCGACACGGACCTCACGTCTGACCTGGTTAGGCGAGACGAACTCCTTGTTTTCATAAATGATGGGGCCACCGAAACTGCCTTCTTGGATGATGATGGGTGTGAGCACGAAGCGGGGGCCAATCTCGACCAAGTTGAGTTTGGTCTCTGCGTCCTTCTTGCCCTTTGAGCTGGTGACTTCGGTGGCAGAAGGCATGGGGAGACCTTGCTCGGGGATGGCAGAGGTCTTGCCGGCTTCAGTCTCGTTGATTTGGTAGACGCGAGTCCAGACTTTGTTGTCTGCGACTGTGAAGGCCATTACGTGGTCCACAAAGGGCTTTGTCTTTCTGGCTCCCTTGGGTACACCGAATGTTTGTGTCAAGAGCTCCTTGATGAGTTTGAGATGCGGTGCCGACTCAAAGGTAGCGTCGAAACTCAAGACTGGTCTTGATCCCTTGAGGCAGTTTCCGGTAAAGTGGAGTTCTTCCATTGTGTGCAGGTTTTGAAGGTGGAACTTTACGGTAGGACCGTTCGGGGGTTTGCTCATCCAGATGTAGAGATCCTTGCCTTTGCGGGCTTCGAAGAAAAAGACATTGTTGCAGTTGTAGAGGTCGGCTAGCTCGTTGAGTTGGTAGAGTTTTGTCTTTGTGTCTAGTTTTGCGTCTTTGCGGCTGTGAGGGAGGAGGGAGTAAAGGTCGTTGAGGAGGTGGCGGTGGCTATTGTGGAGCGATCAGTTTGGTTTGTCTCTTCTCATCTATTCGCAATGCGCATACCGGTAAGTGATGCCGCGCGACGACAAAATCAGCACTCTTTGGCGATTCTTGGGGCCGGTGGACAGCGCATCCTCCTTGGAAGCGGGAGCATCTGACTTCGACAGCGATTTGTATACAGATGCCATTTTGGTGGTGTGGTATGTTGATGTGTGTTTGTGAGAAGGCGCTACCTGCCTGCCTACTACTTTTTCCTTGACCAAAGTTTTTGCCAGGGAATTCGAGATGGCTGTTATCTTATCTGATTTTTTGGAAGGAAGCTTGGACAGTTCACTCTCCGCATTCCTTGCCCGGAGAAACTGTTTGTGCTCACGTCAAAAGACTTCTTTCTTACGAATCGAATAACGAAGCATGGACTACAAGGTGATGGAAACACGCTGCGAGCTGTTCAAGGTGTTTCTGGTCGAGATCGCTGAGATTCAGAGAGGCACAACCCGGCAGAAGGAGCGAAGAGCAAAGGGGTCCAGATGGTGACGCCAAGTCTTGATAGCGACTTCCGTTTTGACGCGGAATCGCGCTTCGCTTTGAGCCTGTCGGGCTGGGAAGATGTGGATGCGAGGCCACACCAAAGACTTGCAATCCGCCTGCCATGGGTGAATCGTTCCTTTAACTCAAGTAAGAAAAGGTCAACAATATAATATACGCCTACTCACGTATATACACTCCTCTCACTAGTATAAAACATGTATATAGCAGTCTTGGCACAACCTGAACCCAGCTGCAAGTAGAAGCAGAGGTCGTCTCCACGCAACCTGACCCAGGGACTTATTTCAAAGCCTGTGTCAAGCGATGAAGCAGCAGAACAGGCCCAACAAGCCAAGCGAGGCTTCCGCTGGCCGATGAAGGCGTGACACTGACACATCCACATCTTCCTTCTGCCCCTCTGTATAATCCATCCATCCTCATCGCAGCTCCACATCTCACACGTCGCTGTCTTGTACCGAGCTACCGCAGACCCGGTACACCACGACGCGAATTCGCCCTTCGGATCCAACCACCATCTCTTGCCGCCAATTAGCATCGTCTCACCCTACTCCCCAACGTGGTCGCCAATCCACCTACATTAATTCATGCTGTCGCGCGATTCAAAATCCACGTCGTAACAAAGTGCTGCCGGCCGGTCTCGCTCGAGCTTCAGTCGTAGCGACAAAATGCAGGACTATCCGCAAGGCTCAGGCAGGCCGCCATACTCTCCTCAGCACCAACGCAGCCATCCCCCTTCACCATCCATACATCGGAATCCTAGTCCTACAGCCCAGCGATCTGGCTACTACGATCCCTTGTCTGATTCCATACCCGTTTGTCTACATCAACATCATCTTGCTGATGGACTCTGCTGACAACAAGACAGGNCTCGGAACCATGCCGTAGACGCTGCCGACAGACATCGCGAGAGTAACGGCTACCACTACGACACACCTGGACGTCCACGAGGCACAAGCCAGTCTTCACATCCTGGCCCTCAACTCCCTCCTTTGACTCCGATGCATCACCCACTCCCTCCTTCATCACCAAACTATCACTCGCGCCCTAGCGCCGCACCTGCAGAGACACCCAACGTCAGTACACAACCATACACCAACTCCGCGATACGCGCTGACACAGAACAGCCTCCTGCTCGCTCCGCCAACCCCATGTCGATGTCCAACCTTTTATCCGACAGTGGCCCTTCAGAACCTCCGCCGCCTCCAGCCCCTGTAGCAGCACCTCCCGCACGCCGTTCACCAGAGGTCCCGCGCGAGCCCGTCAAGCCGTACCTTGCTCCTCATCCTGCGCCTGTCCCTGACGCTTACACAACGCCTGTCGCTCCGGCTGCCGCTCCTGCTATAGACAACAACAACATCAAGCGTGAACGCAATGGGGATGTTCCTCCAATCGCGCCGCCCGTCTCGGCGCCTACCTACCCTACAGGCCCGCCAGGCCTCACCATCGAAGCCACCGAAGCGGCCTATGCTGAAATCGAAGCAGCTGAGATGAGCGAAGTTGAACAAGCTGGATTCGAAGGGCCTAAAGTCGCATGGGCAACGAGATCCGCAAAGCGCATGATCGAGATAGAACAGAGAGAGCTGGGGAAGCGAAAGGTTTGATGACCCATCTTTGGCATTAACAGGTAGCGCTAACAGACGATATAGAAACGCCGTCAAGCCTCGACTAGAATGTACCTCGAACTGTTCGACGCAAACGCGAACCTCGCCAAGGATCACTTCGTCGCCACGCACGAGAAGCAAGCCGAGGAGGAAGTTCGCGTAAAGGACGCCGAAGAAGAAAAGGAGCGCAAGAAGGACATGCAGCGAAAGCGCAGACGAGAAAGGACGTTACTTAACGAGACGGCTAAGCGCGATGAAGCTATCGAAAAGCTCAAAGACCTCGAGGATGAAGACGAAAAATCGCGCCTGCTCAAGGACGTCCAGAAATATGGTAAGAAGATACGGAATACCGAAGACCTCCTACATGGCCGCCTTCCCAGCAAAGCTCTCCTTGGAGACTCGCCCGGGCCTCCCAACCTGGAAGGGGGCTTTATGTCGTCTTTCCAAGCTAATGACGACCTCACCACAGATGCGAAAGCGAAGAAAGGCGCCAAGGGATACCGTCCACGCAAGAGCAAGGCCCAGAAGCAAGCCGAGAAGGACAGCGCCGCCCAAGCACAAGCCCTCATGGACCGCGGTGAAGACATGCCCCCAATCACCCCGAGAGAAGAATTGCGACTCCGAAGCCTGCGCGGCACCTCCAGCGACGGCATGGAGGGAACACCTATGGAAGACGTTGAACCTGGCGAGAAGACATACGACCAGATCTATCGCGAAGTTTGGAAGGACATCTCGGTCAGCGCCTCAAAGATTGCTCGCACCAGACTTCAGGCATTGGAAGTCAAGCAAGGCAACATGCGCAAGACAGCTCAATTGGCGTCCAAGGAGGCACGCCGCTGGCAGCTACGTACCAACAAGAGCACCAAGGATGTCCAGGCTCGCGCAAAGCGTGCTATGCGTGAAATGCTGTCGTTCTGGAAGCGCAATGAGCGTGATGAACGCGACCAGCGCAAGATGGCCGAGAAGCAAGAATTGGAGAACGCCAAACGTGCCGAAGCTGAACGCGAAGCAAACCGACAGAAGAGAAAGTTGAACTTCTTGATCTCCCAGACAGAACTGTACTCGCATTTCATTGGCAAGAAGGTCAAGACAGACGAAGTCGAAAACTCTACCAACGATGTCTCTGTTTCTGACCAAACCACAAGGCCTGCTCCATCCAGTGCCAACACTATCGACCTGCCCGACAGCGTTGCTAATCTCAGCACGAAGGTCACGAACTTTGAGGATCTCGACTTTGATGCAGAAGACGAGACTGCCTTGCGCCAGGCTGCTATGGCGAATGCTCAAAATGCCGTTCAAGAGGCACAGGACAGGGCACGCGCTTTCAATCAGGATCCCAATGGAGGAAACAAGATGTCACAGTTCGACGATGGCGAGATGAACTTCCAAAACCCCACCAGTCTGCAGACCATGGACGTCTCGCAGCCGAACATGCTCACTTGTCAGCTCAAGGAATACCAACTCAAGGGTCTCAACTGGTTGGTTAACTTGTATGAGCAAGGTATCAATGGTATCCTCGCCGACGAGATGGGACTGGGAAAAACTGTTCAGTCCATCTCAGTCATGGCATATCTGGCTGAAGTCCACAATATCTGGGGACCCTTCCTCGTAATTGCTCCAGCTTCGACACTTCACAACTGGCAACAGGAAATCGCCAAGTTCGTTCCAACACTCAAAGTGCTGCCGTACTGGGGTAATGCAAAGGACCGTAAGGTCTTGCGCAAGTTCTGGGACCGCAAGCACATCACCTACAACCGAGAATCGTCCTTCCACGTCCTGGTAACATCGTACCAACTTGTGGTGCAAGATACGCCATACTTCCAAAAGATCCGCTGGCAGTACATGATTCTCGATGAAGCGCAAGCCATCAAGTCTTCTCAAAGTTCGAGATGGAAGGCTTTGCTGGGCTTCCACTGTCGTAACCGTCTCCTTCTGACTGGTACACCAATTCAGAACAACATGCAAGAGTTGTGGGCTTTGCTCCATTTCATCATGCCTAGTTTGTTCGATTCACACGACGAGTTCAGTGACTGGTTCTCCAAAGATATTGAGAGCCACGCTCAGAGTAACACGAAACTCAACGAAGATCAGCTCAAAAGATTGCACATGATCCTCAAGCCCTTCATGTTGCGTCGTGTCAAGAAGCATGTCCAGAAGGAACTCGGCGACAAGGTGGAGAAGGATGTATACTGCGACCTCACATACCGCCAGCGAGCTCTATACGCAAATCTACGAAACAAGATCAGCATTCTGGACCTGATCGAGAAGGCAGCTGTTGGAGATGATCAGGACACCGCAACCTTGATGAACCTGGTCATGCAGTTCCGCAAAGTCTGTAACCACCCTGATCTGTTCGAGCGTGCAGACACGACTTCTCCACTTGCTTTGTCGTACTGGGCAGAGACTGCTTCCTTTAGCAGAGAGGGCAATTTTGTCAATCTTGCGTACTCGGTCCGCAGTCTGATCGAGTACTGGCTACCTAAACAGCTCGGCTCTGATGGTGGTCGATTGGACTTGGCTGGACCTGACAACGCGCGTGCTGGCTGGAGAAACAAATGGCTGAAGCACATGATGAGCATTTGGAATCCTGAACACATCAAGCAAAACACCAAGAATGCAGGAGCTTTCTCATGGTTGCGCTTTATCGATCAGTCGGCCAGTGAAGTCTCAAGAGCAGCACACAGTGGTATCTTTGATCGTGCAGTTGAGCTTGAAAGACAGTCAAAGCGTCGAACGTTCTTCCAGCAAGGCGATTACCTTGAGGTCAAGGAGCGTTACGTGCCTGCGCACTCCATGCTCAATGTTATTCAGCACTCGAAGCCAAGTCTCATCGCAGATGTGTCCGGTGAAGGCTACCTGAGCAACCTGATGAACGTCTCTCGATTGGCGGTAGAGCAGACTGGTTACAGTGACATTGAGCCTTGCTCTCTTCCTACGGCTGCTGCTCCTCCGATCGAATTGGTCTGCCCCAGTCAACACTCCATCGTTGAGAAGGAAACTACATTCTTCAACTCTCCAATCCGAAGCACGCTGAACCCTATAACCTTGGAAACTGAGCAAGCACTCTTGTCAAGCAAGGTCGCACCAGCAGATTACCCGATCGCGAACATGTTGCCTGAGCCTATCAATAAGAAGCAAGGCTACACCACGATAGAAGTCCCAAGTATGCGCCGCTTTGTTACTGACTCCGGTAAATTGGCTCAGCTGGACAAGCTTCTCCGAGAACTCAAGGAGGGTGGCCACCGAGTCTTGCTATACTTCCAGATGACACGTATGATCGACTTGATGGAGGAGTACCTCACATACCGCAACTACAAGTACTGCCGTCTTGACGGTTCGACAAAACTCGAAGACCGTAGAGATACTGTTGCGGCTTTCCAGTCAACACCTGAGATCTTCGTCTTCCTTCTCAGTACGCGTGCCGGTGGTCTTGGTATCAACCTTACATCTGCCGACACTGTCATCTTCTACGACAGTGATTGGAACCCTACCATCGATTCACAAGCTATGGATCGTGCGCATCGTCTTGGTCAAACAAGACAGGTCACAGTCTACCGTCTCATCACACGTGGAACCATCGAAGAGCGTATCCGCAAGCGTGCTCTACAGAAGGAAGAAGTCCAACGCGTGGTCATCACTGGTGGCGCTGGTGCCACAAGTGGCGACAAAGGTGTCGATTTCAACGGACGCACGACCAGAGAGAACCGCACCAAGGACATCGCTCTGTGGTTGGCCGATGATGATCAGGCCGCCGAGATTGAGCGCAAGGAAGCTGAGTTTGCCGAGCAAGAGGCTAAAGAACCGAACAAGGCAAAGAAGAGGAAGGCTCCAACGAAGAAGAAGGAGATTAGTATGGACGACATGTACCACGAAGGTGAGAACATCTTCATCCTAATTACCCCAACACATATGCTAACAAGATTATGACAGNGTGAAGGAAAGTTCGACGACGACCACAGTAACAAACCTTCTGGCGCAGCAACGCCAGTACCTGGCGCTTCCGAAGGCCTGCCATCGAAAAAGAAGAAGACCACTGGCAAGAAAGCAAAGACGCTCAAGCAGCGACTTGCGATAGCCGACGGTGATGTTGATGGCGGCATGGCTTCGTAAAGCACGACTATCTATTATTTTTATCAAGCAACACGCTGCGATTCTTGGGACTTTCTCTATTAACTATTTCTTCTTTGTTGCTATCATTGCTGAAATTACTGTCAGACAATATCATTTGTTTGGCGCTCTGGGATGAGCGAAAGCAGTGGACGGCAGCATGAGAAGCCATAAATGCCTGCCAGTTCTCACTTGTGTTATGATGAAAAGAGAGAGCCGAAGAGAAGACTCGTGTATACTTAGATGAATCAGCTATTTTGACAGTTCTCGTTCATAATCTTGTCTCTGTCTACTTTGCTCTCTAATATATGGTGACCAAATATCAACATACCAGTGAGGCGCAGCACAGCAGATGAGTATGCTATTGGAAAAAGTAGTTCCTCAACGATGTCATGCGGATTGATTTGCAGAGCCAACGAAAAGCGAGGACTTGGCATGCGTAGAGCCTCCCCGCGGATGACCACACAAGCGGGAAACATCATTGACAGGCAAGGGCCATGACTTCTCTTGCAACTTGACAATTTCGATCTTGTTGAATCTCTTTTGAAGACAATCGCATCGAAGGGAACAAATCCCTCTCCACCTCTCATCTAGCAACATTCCAAGGCTCTTTTATTGAGCGGGATTATCATCAGCATCCTTCGCGTTCTCGGCATCCTTGGAACCATTTCTCTGCATCGCAATCAGATGAGCGAGATGTCGAGCACTAAATCGTCGCGACCAACAAGCACTTCTAGCAGTTTGATGCAGGAAGTGGTCAACTCACTGCCTGGTGGATATCCCGAGTCGATACAACCCNCTACGTCCAACCAACAGTCACTTTCGCAAGCGGTGTACGGCAGGAGATCAGAATACACGCGACCAAAAAATATCAAGATCAAGGTTTGTCTTTTGCTTCCACCACCTCCTTTGAAGCTTTTGTGATGGGTTGCGATTGACTTTCTGGTAATCTAGGTCGGCACTTGGAATGCTGCTGCGTACAAGGGTGCTGAGAAAGACATTGCTTGGTTTGTTGACGGCAAGGGCATTGCAGAGGGGTTGACGGATCTCACTGTATCGGACAATTCTGAGTTGCAAGATGATACGATAGCGGAACACAGGAGCTCACTGGATGATCGCGAAGGTGTAGAGGATCAAGAAGCACGCTACGAGAGGAAGAAACCGACACTGCCACATGATGACCCCAGTCTACTACCTGGTGGTCGCGATATTGGACTCTATCTCCTAGGACTCCAGGAGATTGTGGATGTCAACTCTGCTGCTGAAGCCCTCAGGCCGTATACGGATCCCTCGGTGGCGGCGAAATGGAAAAGCGAGATGGAAGCTCACTTGCCCAGAGGCTACAAGTTCATTGCTGAGCAACAGCTTATAGGCATGTTGTTGCTCATCTATGCCTCCGAGGAGGTGGCTGCGGACATCAAGTCTGTGAGCACGACCAGTGTTGGCACAGGCCTCATGGGGTATATGGGCAACAAGGGTGCCGTCACAGCTCGGATCGTCCTCGGAGAAACTACGCGCCTTGTTTTCGTCAATGCTCATCTTGCTGCTGGAACGGACAAAGGTGCTGTTGAACGCAGAAACTGGGACTATGGACAGGTCATGAGTCGCACCAAGTTTGAGCCTATCCAGGATTCTATGGGCCTCTCGCAAAACGTTGGTGAAGGAATCGATGATGCCGACTTTGCGTTCTTTGTTGGCGATCTCAATTACAGACTTGAGGGCATCCCTGGCGAAGACGTTCGCCGCCTGTTGATGCTTCATACCCGCAACGAATATGACTTGTCGAAAAAGCAGGGCAAACACGTCGACAAAGAGATTGCACGCAACCGAGCTTCTATTGAGAGAAGGAGAGAAAGCAGGATGTCCACAGATTCTGGAGTATCTCAAGTCTCTACCGTCAGGTCTCGTGATGATGAAGACGCGAAAGAGGAGGAAGAGTTTGATCAGGAGGACGTGCTTGATCCGGCTAGTGACCCGGCTTCATTACACACCACACTGTCATCTCTACTACCTCACGACGAATTGCATCAGCAGCAAAAGGCAAGAAAGACATTCCAAGGCTGGCAAGAAGGACCAATCACATTCTTACCGACTTACAAGTACGATGCTGGAAGTGTCGGAGTCTTTGATTCTAGCGAGAAAAGACGTGCACCCAGTTGGTGTGATCGGATCTTGTGGCGAACGAGACGCGATATGCTTGCTTACGAGAGCACGATTGCCGAGGAAGAAGATGCCCGAAAAAAGGATGAAGAGATGAGGACCAATGGTTTCGACGAAGCAGGCAAGGACGAGGAAATGTTATACGACTACGATCCAGACGAAGATGCTGACGAAGCTGGTTCATACGACGACGCATATGAAGACGCCCCAGAGGGGACGATCATCACCAAAGAAGGTTTTGCTGACGAAATCAGTCTGGAGTCCTATGTGGCGCATCAACGAGTTTTATCTTCCGACCACAAGCCATTGGATGCTGTCTTCTCATTCAAGTACGATGCTGTGGTACCAGAACTGAAAACAAAGATCCACCAGGAAGTCGCACGAGAACTGGATAGAGCAGAGAACGAAGGTCGACCAAACGTCACAGGTTTGTGAAGAAGACCCATTCATTGGAATAACGCAATGCTGATGTGATTTGCGACCTCTANNGTCGTGGCCGACCGTCCTCACTCTACCGAAGAAGGTATCTCGGACGACGATCCAACAAAATTTGAAGGTGTATGGTTTGGCCAAGTCAGATATGCCATGCACAAGCGCCGAAGCCTCACCATAGCAAACACAGGCCAAGTCCCCGCGACTGTCTACTTCATCGACCGCCCTGTAGGTCCTGGCCAGCACCCCGGTCTTTATCCCAGCTGGGTGTCACTCAAGATCGACGACGGTACTGGCAAACTATCCTCTGACATGGGTAAACGTACCCTCGAACCTGGTCAAGCCTTTAACGTTGAACTGGAGATGCGCATCCTGGACGTCAGTCTAGCACGAGCTTTCAACGAAGGCATCAAATCGCTCGAAGATATACTCGTATTGCGCGTCGAGAATGGTCGTGACCATTTCATTCCTCTACGCGGAACATGGCTGGAATCCTCACTTGGTCACTCGATCTCCAAACTCATCCGTATACCTGAAGGTGGCATCCGCAAACTGCAGCGACAACGACCTGATAGTGGCAAGCAAAAAAGCGGCAGCATGTCTTCTGGCTCTGTTCTTGACGACGACGACGAGGCAATACCCGTAAGATGGTCTGCACCGCGTGAGCTGTTCAGGCTGACGGAGGTGATAGAGGAACTGATCGTTCGCGTTACCGCTGAGTGGGGTATGTTGAACGACCCTGCCACCCAACCCCCTTGGGAGAAGTCTGCGGGATGGCCTTTTACTGCTGCGTCTTGGACTCTGGAAGATAAAGCGCTGAGGGCGGATGGCCTTGCTGATGTTGCAGAAGCATTGGATACCGACTCGCCCTTTGACTCCGTTTACTCACCTACACTCACGCATCTACAGAAGCTAGAGTGTCTTGCCGAGTTTCTGCTGCTGTTCCTGCAAGCCATACAAGAAGGAGTCGTCACACCAGCACTCTGGCACAAACTCGACGACGGTCTAAGAAAACAGGAAAAGCTGAAGCAATCGCAACAGGCAAAAGACGAAGACCTGTGCACTTGGGCGCAAGAGATTCTGTCTTCGTCACCCGCTCACTCGATTTCCTTCATTCTGGTGACGAGTATGTTGGATAGAACTGCTTCGGAGGTGATGACGACTATTCAGCATAACCATCCAGAGATTCTCAACAAAGCTCCCCAGGGGATGTTTTGGGATAAGCTACCAGGGCACTTGAGGAAANAGAATTTGCCCAAGGATGGTAGAGACGCTTGGAGATTGGGTGTGCAGAGAGGTGTTGCGAGTGTTCTAGGACCTGTAGTTGTGAGGAGCGACGAAGGTGGCGAGAAGGAAAAGGAGAAGCAAGGGATCGAGGAAAGAAAAGTCAGGTTCTTGGAACTGTTTATTGGATGAGAGGAAAGAGCTTGTGTGACTGACTTTGGAGATACATGAAGAACGAGAGCGAGAGAAAGCATGAGAAAAGACATTTGGCTACCGTTCATTTTGCTTAGGCGAAAAGTACACCAAACCGCGGCTTCAGACATGAAAATCATATGCATTGTTCCTGCCCAATTGATTGACTAATAAATTGATTACTCAAAGATTTCATAAGGATGTAGGAGAAACCCGTGCTGGAGAACAATCTGGTAAATATCCTTCGCGACCAAGTAGCGCGAAGAATGAAAAGCAAGAACCACAACCTCTTGCTCTCTTGAACATTAAGAAAAACATACATCTCAACAAATCATGACACCTATCAACTTCTGGGAGAAGAAAGTGCAAAAGAAAACATACAAGCAGCAGTACTTTTTCTTTCCATCCATGGTCACAATGATAAACCGGAAACGTAGCAAGAGCCACCCAAGTATCGAATCACCCTCCTATGCTTAAAGCTCATAATCGTCCCTTCCCAGCCTTTGATGCCTTGATGGTGCCTTTCTTTGAGTAGAATAGGATGCAGGAGTAGGAACTCAACACACTAAATACATGCAGCAGCAGGTATTTTACCGCAGTACACAGACTGTAGTCACCAATACTGCCAGTTTCGACACTACTATATATGGCGGAGAGAGCGGAAAGTAATGTTCAGGTTTGTGCCAGCTGAGTTATGGTGATGTACTCAGTACTTAACCATCTATCTCATCTCATGTATTTCTTGGGAGGCTTTTGAAATTGTCCGAGTGAGAATGTCGACGCCTTCGATAGACTCTCTCTTGTCATGTCCGAGATGATCGTGCCAAGGAGCGATTGAGTTCTTTGCTTGTGAGAAAAGCATGTCTGAATATCTGCGGGCACTCAAGGACAACATGGTCAAGTAGACACGATACCAAAGACGACAAGCCAAGATATGAAAAAATTGTACATTCATCTGTCGATAAGACTCAACACAAAGGAGTGTTATATGAGAGGGAGAAAAAGAAAAAGAAAAAAGGTGAAAAAACTCCAAAGGAATGATCGAGTTTCCTCCATCTCATGCAAAAAGGCAATTGATCGCTAAATATCGCAATAGCAAGAAAGTAAAAAAATCCCAATCCTCTAATCTAATTCTATATCTGTTGTTTTCTTTTCACTCAGTGAAACCTCTTCATCTCAAAATCTTCAACGGAAGGATCGCCAGGATGCAATTGTGGTGGGCCATCAAGACCGATAGAGTGTCCTGTTGTATCGGCAGTGTGTCCTGTTCTGGGTCTTTCTTGGCTTTTGCGTACGACATTGGATTCATTCGTTCGCGTTCTCCATGCTGCTCCCGAGACGAGTCCGCTGCGTGGGTCGATGGCGCCGGTTGCGCCGCCGGGAGAATCTTCAGGGATGTCGGCCATGCCCTTTTCCATCATCGCTTGATCGTCCATTGTGTTACCACGGGCGCGGCCAAAGAAGCGGTTACGGTGGTGCGGACGCGAAGTCGTGGATGTATCTGTGGATCTGCGCGCGAGGCGGCCAGGCCCAACATCGCGGGAGGTGGAGCGGCCGGTGTCGGTAGATCTGTGCGTTTCGTTGGACTTTCTGTTGCGGTTGTCTGGGGATGGCGAGGTGATGTTGATGGGGAGGCGCGGCTTGCGCGTGTCTTCAAAGACGTCGCCGGAGTAGTTGTTTGCTGCCTCTGCGCTCATGCCGAGGGAAAAGTCGACACGTTTGCCCATCTGTGCGAGGGTTTCGTGGCGAGCTCGAGCGGTGGAGCCTTGACGGAGGATGGAACCGCTACGCCCGCGGCCGCCGATAGGGCCTTCAGAGGGAGCGACGAATGGTGGATCTTGGCCATCACCCTCTTGCCAGCCGGTTGGGTTGTCAGGGTGGCCATTGCGGCCCATGCCAGGAGTAGCCTGGTGAGGAATGTTTTGCATGTATACAGGGAAGGACTCCTTTTGACCAGGGAAACGCATGCGAGGACCTTCGATACCAACTTCTTGCATGGTGACCATGAGGGCGCAGATGAATTTGTTTCTGCGTGCAAGGCGAAGACCTTCGTTTTGCCAGTTGGACTTGTAGAAGAAGATGACGTTGAGGGTAAGAGAGTGCACTTCGGTGACGGAGCGGAGCTCGGTGAGGATGTTGCCCTGGTACTCGCGCTTTTCTTGCTTGACAAAGTCGAGAAGGCGGTTACGCAAAGTCTCAATCTGGTCAAGAGTGGTACCGAACTTGATGACGACTGGTACTGCTTCAGCGAGACCGCCAGAACGACGCTGGTTGAGAATGAAAAGGGTGTTGAGATAGCTGTTGGGTGCCTGCACCACATGACCTTCCATTTTCTTGAACTCAGTATAGAGAAGCGCAATCTCCTTGACGAAGTAGTCATCACCAGTCATAGTGGCACCAGTACTTCCGTAAATGGTAACACGATCTCCAACATCGAAAGGATGCTTGACAAAGACGAAGATGATGGACTGCAGAATTTCTGTTGCGGTTGCCGAGAAGAGCCATGAAAGACCGAGAACGGTAGAGCCAGCTGAAGTAAGGACACCAGCAGCGGAAGTCGAAATCAGCGAGATAAAGACCAGGATGGTGATGACGGCAACCAGGAACATGAACATATCGTCGAGCTTGCCAACAACCGAATCCAGATCCTTCAACGAGGCGGTGATAGACTTGCGCTCGCGACCAATCTCAACGCAAACAGCTTCCAGTTCCTCCATTGAAATATCACCGTTCATATCCTTGTCGAACATGGAGAAGGCTGCCTCAGCTTCTTCGTCGTTTTCAAAGGCGTTTTTGAGGTCATCGTTGTACACAGTCTCGGTCTCGGGTCTGGCAAAAGTACGGTAAAGACGACGTGCAAGAACTTGACTACCGTTGGTAGATCCCAAAAGTGTCAAGACAACTTGGTGAGGGTGAGTGCTCTTTGCGACAGATTTTCCAGTAAAGTCGCCTGCCATCTTGCCAGCAACATCACCGACCTTGTTGAAGATTTCTTTTGTCTGTTTTTGGGCTTCCTGGAGGTAACGACCAGGGGTGCGAGTACCAGAATCCATACCAGAAGGCTGTTCGAACTCCGAGTCTTCCATGGCAATCTTTGCCTTGGAAAAAGTGTAGAGCTTGACCAAACTGCCGATCTGGAACTTGTTCAACTCGATACGGTCGGCGTATGTGCGCAAGTGGAAGCTGATGGCGATGAGTTGAATGATAATCTTCTCGACAAAATTGAGAATCATGCCGACGAAGATGGCTACCAGGACCTTGTTCATGGTGCCCATCCAGGGTTGTGTTGTATGGCTTCCGTTGGCCTGGTGGTTCTTCATGGTCGGCAAGAACGAGACCTCAACACCAAGCCACCAGAAAAACAGAGTAGCAGGAAGTTCGAGTTGCTTGCCCATATCACGCCATTTCTTGCTGTTGTTGGTGAAAATGGTAGAGAAAAGTCCAATCGGGTAGGGAAGGCATTTTGCGAGAATTCTACCAGCCCATAGTGTGAGCCAGACAATCTCCAGCCAAATCATGAACCACATGAGTTCAACACCTCCGACCACAGCCTTTGTGGCGGGACTAACGAACGCGCCGATCATCAGCGGGATGAGAAGAATCAGAACCACGGGTAAAATGTAAGTGATGTAGCGGATCAGAAAACTCGAATGATGGATCTTCTTGACCAGCTTGGAGAACTTGCCAACAGGGTCCTGAGGAGGCTTATACATGGCTGTTTGCTCGTGGATTGGGTTTGTAGCCACATCGAATTCATCAATCAGGTCGTCTCGTCTAGAAGCCTGACGACCAAAGTGTGAGGCACCATCTCTTGTTGCATTGTCGGCATCGTGTGACACTTGTCTTTCGATCTTGAGCAACTCCAGGTCGTCATCAAGTCGATTGGCCATTTCTCGGTTTTGGGAAGGCGATGTCATGTCATGCAGGCGAGGGTGGTAGTGAGGATCGTTGGCCGTGTCGACCGTAAGATGGCTGCCCATACGGTGCACGCGAGGATCGATAGGTGCATCATATTCTTCTTCGTGGTATTGGGGTTCTCTCTGGTTGCTGTGGTTGCTGTTGTCTCTGTGATCTCCGACGATCGTTCCTTCTTCGTCCGAGGATCGTTCGCCATGGTGGGGGTTGCCAGTGTGGGGGTTGACATTGTATGCGGGTAGATGATATGAAGGCTGGTATGTAGGCTCCGGCCTCTCATCGCTCGGCGTCGACATGGTGTATACCTCTCCTTGGGCAAAAAGTTCAAACAATGGTGATAGAGCCGCGCCAGGCAGTTAAAAGTTCGCTCATTCAATGACGTGGGTGGTTGTCGGACACTTTTAGCTTTGGTTCGAAACGTGCGTCTACCACGAAAGCGCTCGGCCGGATCACGGTAGGCCCGACCTCAGTTTACACGTTATGGTAACGACTGGAGGGTAGCTCTAACAGCGAGTGTAGGGCTTGTCCGAGTAGGGGATGTATGGTGTATGAAGGATGAAAAGAAGAGAAAGAATAGAAAAAGCGAGTAAGCAGAGTCAGAGTCGTTGGACTAATTAATCAGATCAGCATCAGGATCCAGGAACAAGGAACACCAGGGAATTGATAATCAAAAAGATGTGCGAGATGCAGACATGAGACTGGCCCCGACCAATCCATCGCCAGCTGTGCTCACTGCCTTTGCTGGAAGGGTGTGCTGAAAAGCATTGGGACTGCCAAGTCTTCGACTTGCATCATCTTCAACCGCCAGGTGGAACCTCTCATCCCCTGGTGCGCGTTCTCTTGCTCTGTTGTTGTCGTGTATGATCTTTTTCTATTTACGGTGCTTTCTGCGAATGGGGAAGGGCAACAAGATTGAGACTCCGGCAAGAGTTCCGCTTCAAAAGCAATAGAACACTTGCTGCGCCTTCTGCTTGCAATCTCGCAGAATAAAAGCACTTTTTTCACTGTTAAGTAGCCTCACTAGCAATTCTCTTTTCTCGTACCTTGCATATTCACATGCTTGGTGTGAAGAGCCTCGTGCTCAACGGAAAATACACCGAGTGCACCTCTCTGCATGCCGCAAAACAGTCTGAAACGTGTTTGGCTGTTGTGCTTTGCGGTGTGCCTGTCGCGCGACTCGGTGGCGTTCTTCTGTGCTCCACTCCCCTGCAGTTGAGAAGTTGCTTCGGCTGCACAGGGATCCGTCGGCGTTCAGGGTGCCGACGATCATACTGTCAAGGCCCACAGGCGCGCGCGGCACTGGCTGTGGAGCGAAAGAGATGGCGACAGCGGCGTCGCGAATCAATTAGGTTGATGGAGTCGCGGATCAGATGGCAGAGCTGTTGCGAGCTATGCAAGTGTATACACGACTTATCCCGTCGTTTTCTTCCCGATGCTTACCTGCGCTCTAGACATGTTGACTCCGGGCCGAGATATGCCTGCCTTATCTCGCTGACTGTGTTATGCATGCTTATGTCCCTCTAAACGTTTTGTATCCTCAAACCTCAACACGAAACGCGCAACCTCCGAGGAAATAAGTTTCAATGGTCCAGAAGATTCGATAACACAGGGCAGGCAGCAAAGACCTCAAGGACTCGATGTTGGCCTGAGTTTACTCCCCACTGCTGCCTTGACTCTCAAAAAGCCTTGTCTTGTCCGTGTCTTGCGACTTGGCTTTCTGATAAATTGGATAGATTGTGTTGTATCAAAGAGAGCGATCATCGCGTGGCTTGTGTCTCTCGAGATATGACTCATGTCCTTCGCCTGGCGGTCTCGAATGACAAGAGATTAATCGATCAGGAAGATCCCCCATGGTGTAGTCTCGTATCGATATTGATGTTTTGCTTTCGAAAGACCGATGCTCCAGTAAGCGAACCTGGCTGCAAAGTGTCGAGTGTCACATGCAAACATATGCATCGAAGGAAAAAGAGTGATTGGTTGAAGTGAACAGAGTGACCTGCATCCTGTTCCTGCATTTTCTGTCTGATCTGTTGTGTGTGTGATGTTGCTGTGGAAAAGCAAGAGAAGCTAAAAAGAAAACAAAACATCTAGGGTATCTCGTGATACGTGAGCACATCATGGGTCTAAAACAAAAGAGACCCCCTGCTGAGTAGTGCTTCCCATGATAAAAACGCCGTTGCTGATGATAGTGGTGGTTTTCCTCTCCCTGCCGCCGCCGCCCAGAAAAAGAAGTCGAAAATGCTTCCGTGAGCAGCGAAGCCATACCCATCATTGCGATAAAGAGAAGAGCAAAGGAAATTGTCGTGAGCAAAAGACAAACATGCTGACCATGCATTCACTTCAAAGGACCGAACACGAGCTCAGAGTCCAGGAAGGCCTGGCTGTCTGTAACGAAGCCCATGTTAGTTGCGATATTGTAATCACACACTGCCTGTGCGTTGAGTCCAGTCATGGTGGCTGCACAGTCGCCAATGAGGATGCAGTCCNNCTGTTGCGATTCGCGTTAGCTGACTTGCACATGTTGTTCTGAAATTTGGCTGCTGACGTACCATCCCCAGTTGTATGCGTCGGTGACAGTGCCCAGCAAGCACTGGTCGGTGTTGACACCAGCGAACAGCAACGTCTTTTTTNNTCCGCTCTCGCGAAGCCACTTGTTCATGGGCAAGTCCGGGTTCCACATGCCGCTCATACGGGCCTTGTCGAAGCGGACGTCCTCTGGCGTCATGACCTCCTTGAGGGGGTCGTAGATGTCGGCGTTCCAGGTGCCGCTGAACAAGCAGCGCTCAGTGTTGCCCTTGTCATCTTTGACGTTGGCGCCCAAGCCAACGTGCCAGCCGTGGCCTTTGTCCTGAGCCAAGTTTCTGTTGAAACCTCTGGTGACAGCTGCGGGCATAACCTTGAGGTCGTAATCGGAGATTCCCCAGTTCAGCCAGCAGCGCTGGATTCCGAGGCCCTTGCACTTGTCGATGACCTTCAGGAGAGGGTCGATGGTAGCGATACCACTGCTGTGGTCGTGGTACATGGGGTGGACGAAGAAGTTCTGCATGTCGATTATGACAAGGACAGTCGAGGATGGGTCGATTGCACAGCCCCTGNNGAAGAGAAGCGAGTTAGCGGTGTTGTCCGAGAGGGGTGGCGGGATGGAGGACTCTAGGGCGGTGCGTCAATACCGGTGGTTGCGGATTCCATCGTCGGCGTCGATGATGAGCTTGCGCTTGGAGCCACGAGAGAGGTCGAAGCGCTTAGAGGGGATGTGGTAGAACCATTGGTCATCTCCGCCAAAAGCGACGTGTTCCTCGAGGTTGTGTTCGACGGGCGGGTCGTTGATCGTGTGAGCAAGCTCGTTGATTTCTTCGACTTCGATTGCGCTTGGTGCCATGTAGTCGGCCGAGTGTGGGCCGTCGGTGGAGTGTAGGAAGGGAATTTTGAAGGTTGTTGTTGTTGTTGTTGTTGTTGTTGTTGTGGGTGTGTGAGTGTGAGTTGTTGAGTGGTGAGTGGTGGGAGATTCGAAGTTGCGGCAAGGGAGCGTGGGTTGTGAGGTGTGAGTGAAGGTGAAAGATAACAGTGAAAAGCAACGAGTGATAAGAGACAAAAGTGAAGGGCCAAAGCGTCGTCCTTAACGTCCAGACTGTCCCGCTGAAAAGTCAAGAGAAAGCCAAGCGGTCGTCGGAAATGATCAAAGGCAAACTCGGGAAGAATAGATCTGGTTCGCAGTGGAGAAAGGAGGGAATTGAAGTGTGAAGGAGAATCATTATTCAGGACACCGCGCGCACGGCAGCTCTTCTATGCTATCCTACTCACTGGACACCCTGAATCCTGCCTCTCTTGTCTGCCTAACAGCGCAAGACATGAAGGGTGTTTGCTGCTTTATCAACTTATGACGCTGTCTCAATCCGTCTCCCGCCTTGTTTTGTGCGCAAGGCAAAAAGGAAACAGGTGGCAAGAGCATGCAGAGAAGCTCAGAGAAACAAAGATCAATGAGACGTCGTCGCTCGCCACCTTGTCACTGCCCTGGAGGGGTCCTGTCACACGTTGCCATGTCCAAAAATGTGGGGAAGCTCTTTTTTTCTCGTTCAAGTCAACAAGGGTCTTGAACCTTGGGTTTGCCTGGTCGTTCCGATGCTCCGAAGAGGCAAGGACTGTAGAAAGGCTACAAGGCAGATATATCTACTCTCCTCAATAGAAACAAAAGCATCGTATGTGCTGTACCATGCTTGTACAAGTATTTAATGTTGCACAAAAAACCAAGCAGGGTCACCCTCACTACCATAAAGCGTCGAACCCCTTTTCTACATCTAGAGTTACAATGAACAACAGGCCACGAAGATAAGGAAAGGAAGGATCAACAAACAAGAGAAAGAAAGAGAAAGAAAAAGTAAGGAATTGAGTGGACGAAAAGACAGGACATGCCCATCTTCAAGAAAGTCTTGATAAAGAAGAAACCAAACATACGTCCTCTCGTGGTGAATCCTTCGTCAATTTTTATTGTACATCTCCCATTCTTACAAAACCTCCCCGATAATCTTGGCAGCCTCCTTGTAGGTCGAAAGCAGCTTCTCGCACTTTTCGCGCTCGCTCTTGATGGCGTCGTCTTCGTACAAGAGTTCTCCAAACAGTTCCTCCTTGTACAGTTCGCTGACCAGTCTGTTTTGAACCACGTCCTTGGAATGGTTGACGAGCAGGTGCATGACGGCTTTGGGAACTTGGTCGGCAATGGTCTCTCGTACGATGTTGAAGTATGATGATATCAGACGGCGAATCAGTTCGGTCTCGAGAGCTTCCCGCTCGGTGAGCGCTGGGCCTTCATCTGCTAGCGGCTGTATACAAATGTTAGTCGTGCGCTAAAAAGTGAGGAAGGATGAACTTACATAGCCGTTGTCAGCTTCTTCTGACTCGTACTCGCCAGGGATGGGAATGTGCGATGACAGAGGTCGCTCGGGGAGTCTGGTATCGCCTCTGCGGATGCTACCTGCGAAACTGGGTTCGATGTTCGCGCTAACATGTCTGCTGCCAGAAGGAAGGGTTGAAGATGACATGTGGTTTCCAGGGAAACCATTTGATGGCGGTAGGCCACCGTCCTTGCCGAAGAAGTAGTTGAGGAAGCTGTCCTTAGCAGTGCCTGAAGCTCCTCCGAACCTTGGCGGTGAGCCTGATCTTGCGCCGTTTGTGCCAGTCATACCAGCGCGGCCGACAGCAGGCGACATACTACGACTGGCCTTGCTGAGGTGGCTGCGGATGGGGAGGGTCGCCGCCTTGCCGCCAGCAGCGGCCTCATTTTCTTGATCGTCATCGAGCTCGCCAGCACCATTAGCGCCATTGAGAGCCTTCATACGCTTCTCCTCCTTCTTTCGTTTCTCTTCTGCGGCTACCAGAGCCTTCTCCTTCTCTTGCTTATCGTTAATGACAGAGTTCATGGCAGCTGCTGCGCCCAGGAAGTTGGGATGGTTAGTGTTGATATATGCGCGCTGGATGGAGATGAGCGACTCGACATAGTGTGAGCAAGGACCGAGTCTTTCTCTGAGCAGATCCGAAACAACTTCGATCAGCTTGGCTTGTAGGCGAGGATATCTCGACAACTCGTATGAGCCACAGCTGTGACAGATCTTGATCAACTCCTCGTAAACCAATTCAACACAGCGCTGACTAGGAATCTCGAGCAGCTTGATCTGAGGCTTCACCAGGAGGTCGAAGGCGAGTTCGGGGACGAAAAGGCTGGGACGAGGACCGGTCGAGTTACGGATGGCAGTACGAATGTCGAGGACAGAGAGGTTGGTCGTCGGGTCGATGGTTTCCAAGGAGTTGCCGAAAACAGAGTTGAAGATGTAGTAGATCCTGGCGCCACCGCAAAGCTCCTTGGTCGAGATCTCAGAAGATGTACCGTCGATGGAGGAGGTGAAGGAAGTAGCGAAGCGAGTCATGAGCTGCAAGACCAGCGAGCCGCGGTGTTCCTTGCCAGCAAAGGCGGCATCTCCGTAGCTGGCCAATTCTTGTTGAGTCTGGCCCATCAGAGTGTTCAAGCGAGCCTTGATGTCGGGCAAGCGCTCGCGGATGTGACCCATCAAGGTAGTGTTGAGGCTCTTTGCGAGGTATTGGGTACCACAACGAGTGGCCATGTTGCGGTAGGCGGGATGTGTGCGGAAGAAGTCTCTCTCGGCAGAGAGGGCATCGGCAAGCGACTTGTTGCCCTGAATATCTTGCTGCGAGCGGTTGACGACTCCGATGAAGCCCAGCTTCAGAGGATATACGCGACCAGAAAGAATGTCCATGGCGTTTGTTCCGTGATCCATCAAGTCGATCTTTGTCAGGACACCGATAGTACGTCTTCCCATGGGGTCAACATGGCGGGCCAGCTTGAGGGCCTCGGAGTTGACCAGATCCACGTTTGCGGGAGAAACAGCGAGAATGATGCTGTTGGGCTTTGCGATGTACTCTGTAATCAGGTTGCGTGTCTGTCTCTCGATATCGCCAGGTTGGTCGCCGATTGGAACCTATACTCGAAATCAGCGTAAACCTCCAAACAGAGGCGCAACATGACGGACCTTTGTGAGACCGGGCAGATCAACCAAGGTCAGACTAAGAACATGGGGCGAGTAGATCTTGAGGTTGATGGGCTGACGGTTGATGCCCTTGTTGTTTCCGGCAATTCTGGCCGTCTCGTTCTCAATCTCCCTCTTGACCTCACCAAAATCGTAGAAGCGACGGCTGGGGATATGGTTGAACTCCCCNCATTCGTCTTGACCAGCAACAGAGGCCGGGGTGTGTGGCACATGGATCTCATCGCCTTCAGGTCTGTCGGCATTGCTGGGGACGTTGATGAGTTGGAGGATAAGAGGTCGACGAGTGACGATGCCACTTCCTCTGGGGAGAAAGTCGCGACCGACGATGTTTTCCAGTACCGACGACTTTCCTGAGGATTGCGAACCTACAACAACNCTGTGGCTGTCAGCTTGGCGCACCGAGGTTTGGCGCAGCGTGCATACAATCTGGGGCAAGTCCAGCGAGTCATTTCCGATCGTGTTGAAGACGAGGTCCTGGAGGCGGTTCACAATCCCGAGCAGGTTCTCACCGAGTGATGCCATGATGGGTGTGTTGGTCTATGTTGTCTTGGACGAGGTGGCCTTCGGGGTGGAGAGAAAGCTTCAAGGTTGTTTGTGCAGCCAGCCGAGTCGTATGGTGGATGCCGCCCTGCAAGACTTGTTCGACAGCCGGGGCTAAGATACAGACAGCAGATATCCAGCTGGGGGATGTATAGATGATCGAAATGTTTAGGAAAGCGACAGTTTCCGAGTCGAGGGGCTGATGCGTAGCTGTTTTGCGACTCTGGCCGTTGTTCAGAAGCCAAACCAACTTTCCACCCGACCAAACCCTTCGTCACTGTTCTTGGCGTCCTTGTAGGAGCAACCTGAGCCGACTTCTTCTTCCTCCCTCGACTGCCAAATTCCATGAACGTTGATGATCGAATTTTGTCATTCATAAGTGCTGCATTCTATACAAGTCAATAATTGCTCCCAGCCCGACTACCCCTGAGTACACTGCTTGCTATAAGCCCCTTGGGCCAAACAGATCTTGGTCTGATAGAACTAGTCTACAGCGATGGGACATAAGCTTGACGCTCCCGCACTGCATGATCCCCTGAAAAGAGCCTACCCATTTCCTTGAAGGATGTTACCGTCTTGTCTAATTCCTCGACGAAGAACCGCCTCTGATGCTGTTATTAGACCCCAGCGTACTCACGAGAGAACCAGCTGCGCCGGTCCTGCCAAAGTGCCAGTTGTTGTAAGCTCGTGGTAGGTCAAGTCCCCATGTGAAGCAGTCAGTGCAGCATACACGACTCCACCAAGCCCTTCCGGTAGTTCCGCTGTGCCGTGGCCTTGTCCTGTCCTTTGCACTCGCTGGTACATCGGATCGCTGACGTTGGCGTGAACGATGGCGAGGTAGACATCCTGACCGGCGATACCTGCAGGTGCCGAGAAGTTGTTGGCATTGGGGTTCCAGTTGAAATCGAGAGTGTGACCCGACATCCCGTTGAAGGTAAATGGAGGTAGAAGATTAATAGGTAGTTGCTGAGGGCAGGAGGTAATATACTTCTGTGCCAAATTGAAGGCCCAGACCGAGCTCAAAGGCACATCGGTATTGGTGGGGAATGGAGATGCACCCATTCCGTTCCTGACAATGGCATCGTGACGTGCTTCAACTGACAGGATCGAAGCAGCCACCGTTTGAAGCTCTGGAGAGAAGTCGTTCAAGCTTCCTAAATAGTACCCGAGACTGATGGACGTGATCTGGTTTGCGAGGAGAACGAAGTCTTCGGGTGTGTCGTATGGAAGGGCATAGTTACATGGTTGAGGAGCAGATATGCCGTTGGATTCGAGTGTCGACGAGATGTAGCCTGTCTGGTTCTGTTGTTGCNNTAGAGTGCCATGTCAGACATGAAGTAACGCACTCTGCTGGTGCAAACTCACTTCTGCAATAGCACAGATGTCTTGCTGGAAGGTGGATGGGAAACCAGCGGCAAGCCATTGCGCATCGTTGATATGCTCACAGCCATCAGTATACAGACTAAGCTCCATGTTCTCGAGGTAGCTCGCGAGTTGCAAGCCGATGATGTCGTTTTGGGAAAGTGCCCGTCTCAGGATGGGACTCGAGGCGGTGTAGCTGATAGTCAGAGCCAGCTGCAGGAGGATAGAAGACAACATGCCGAAGCTGAGATGGAGTGTGGGATGTGATGCAAGTGTGTTGATGGATTGGGAGCAAGAAGATTGGTAAATGTGCTTGGATTTGTATGTATGTACGGTTGATGAAGTTGAATGGAATGGACTGGCCGAGAAGAAGGAGAGACGAGGGGTCCTTGCATGTGCTCTTTCCTTGAATGATGGAAAGCGCCTTCATCAGAACTAAATGACGGTTTGGCGCCCTTCTCACATACTGGCATATAGTGTTATAACATGCTATAAAAATACACAATCACTTGTGAAGATAGAGGTGCGGCCATTGAGATGTCCAAGGATAATTTCCTCTCCGTGAACCTCGCTCTTTTATAACAAGTACTGTGCATTTCCATAGTTACACTGTGACTGTCTTTAGCACACGGAGAGGAAATGTCAAGGTGGAGAAACAAAACTTTCGTCTATACCCGCTAAGAAAGCCGCAGGCAGCAAAAGCGCAGCCTATTTTTACAGAGTAGATACACTTTGGGAGGAACAAGGAGTACGAAGACAAGATATAGAGGTCATTGGTGTGATGGTTCGACACGAATGACCAAGAACCCGGCATTGACGAGACGGAGGAGATTGCGCGACTGGAAATGGGCTGTTTCTTCTTTCTGACGTGGGTCGTGTATCGATGAATCGGACGGCACGTGGGGAGGTAATCATGTCGAATCGGGGCATAAGTGAGATCGCATTTTGGGTGTCGAATTAAAAACAGGCATCCTCCTCGTGTGCTCGTGGATGGGAGATATGGCCGGGTCTATAGGAGAGAATATAGCGGGTGAATTGTCTATTGGACCGACTTGAGCCAAGATTCCAGGTCGAACTTGGGGTCGCTAGGGTCGGTGACGGCTGTATCGGAGCGTGAGCGGGTGGACAGAGAATGGAGGAGGGCAGACGGCGACATACCACCAGACTTGGACGCGGGAGCAGTCTTTCTCTGGTACTCTTGACGGGCCTGGTTGATGAGAGCCTGCTTGCGCTCGTACTCCTTCTGGTTCTCGCGGAGCTTGTCGGCAGCGTTGATGGTCTGTTGGTGATAGAAACCGTATGCGACACCGAGGCCAAGGGCTGACCAGCGGAGGACCTGCGAGACTATGCATCAGCATCTGGAGCACGGAGAGAAAGAAGTTGGGACGCGGGCGCGCGTACGTTGACACCGGACGAGGACATTGTGCGGGACTGATGTGAGATGAACGAGATCGAGAGGATGCTGCTAGAGACCGGGACGGCGAGTGTGACAGGTAGAGCACGGGCAATTGGAGTCTTTCGCGTCGACGCTGTCGCTGCTGCTCACGAAAGCTGCCCTGGCCGACGTTCGCTCATGCCGGCCAGCCAAGCGGTTTCTTCCGTCCCCCGATCCATACCAAGTCAGTCCCGCCCAGGACAACAATCACAAACATCCGTCATTGAGTTGGACTCGCGCTCGCTTCTTGTTCCTCTTCTGCTCCCTGGACTCCTTGTGCCAGGCTTCAGCTGTCCTGCGCTCAGCTGGTCTGTTGCATCTTCCTGTCAACTCCGAAACAGCTCCTGGACACACATAAACAATTCACCGCCTAATCACTCCCAACCATGTCTTCTTCTTCGTCCACGTCCCTGGAGGCTCGCAAGCAGGAAATCTTGGCCAAGCGCGCCAAACTCGCTGAGCTCAAGAGGCAGCGTGCTCTGCGCCAAAAGGAGTTCACGTCAGCCCGTGAGAGTGGAGACGCAGCAGAGGTACNNGTTGAAGACGGGCACATCAAGGTACGTCCACCACTGACCAGACTAGCTCATCTCTCCTCGCCCTCGCGTGCTAACAGCCGCGCAGACCTGGACCAGCTCATCTCCACTCTTGTCGACCGCCCTGGCCGTTCCACCCCTCGCGATCAGGACTCTCCTACCACCTCTGCCAACGTTGGCGCAAGCCGTCCCAACTCCATCTCGCTCGATAGTCCATCCGCTGCTTCGACGCCCGCTCCTCTTTCCGTCTCCAATCAGACTCTCTCCTTTACCACCGTCTCAACAGTCCTCAATCAGCCTTCGGATCCCAAACCAGATGTCATCACATACAGCAAGGGTGTACAAACCAGCGAGCCCTGGTCACCCCAGCACAACCGCCAGCCTTCAGATGACGAGTCGAGTTACTCTCCTTCGAGGACGAGGAAACGCTTGAGCAGAAGAGAGCGTGAAAGAGACGAGGAGCTGAGGCAGAACATTCGCAAGGAGATCGAGGACGAATTGCAGGCTCTTAAGCTGTCGGAAAATGCTGCATCCACAAACGCCAAGCAGAACTTCCCTGCACGCACATTGACCCACGAAGAGCTGGGCGCTGTCACTGCTTCCGACGATTTTCTGGACTTCATCGACCGCTCCACCAAGGTCATTGAGCGAGCACTGGACGAAGAGTATGATGTTCTCGCCGACTATGCTATGCGTGGTGCGAATGGCTTGGATCACGACGAAGAGGATGGTCAAACACGCACCACCAGAGGCCGTCGTGTGCGCGAGTTGATGCAATTTCAAGACGACCGCTGGACAAAACGCCGTATGATCAGTGACCTCGACTACTCTGTCAAGTACCCTGAACTATTGCTGGCATCATATACAAAAGCTTCCAACTCTTCACAAAGTGCTCCTGGCTTGGCTCTGGTCTGGAATGCACATATGCCATCTCAACCAGAATACATCTTTACCGCGACGAGCGATATTCTAACTGCTCGCTTTTCACCCTACCATCCTAGCCTCGTATTAGGTGGTACATACTCTGGCCAAGTCTGTCTTTGGGATATTCGCCAGCGCTCACATGACGGAGCACCGGTGCAACGCACACCCCTGGCTGGCGAAAAAGGAGGCCATGCCCACCCTATCTACAGTGTCGCAGTGGTCGGCACACAGAATGCCAGCAGCATTGTCAGTGTCAGTACAGACGGCACGACATGTGCCTGGTCATTTGACATGCTATCAAAGCCTCAAGAATATCTCGAGCTTGTCTCGCCTACAGGCCGCAACCGTACAGAGGACATTGCTCCTTCATGTATTAGTTTCCCCAAAGCAGACCCTACATATTTCCTGGCCGGCACTGAAGATGGAGCTATCGTGCCAGTCCACAGATACGATCGTGCAGGCGCAAAGGCTGGAGTGGATCCACGCGTATACTACACTGGCCACGCCGCACCCGTGACTGGACTTGACTTCCATCCTAGCAAAGGGAAGGTCGATCTTGGTGATCTGGCTATCAGTTCTTCTTTGGATTGGAGTGTCAAGATCTGGCGTGTGAAGCCTCCGAGCACAGCTGTCACCACTGCCGGAGTAGGCGCAGCTCCCGGAGCGCCTGAGAGACCTCTGCTAGACATTATGCGTGAAGATGTCATTTACGATGTCAAGTGGTCACCTACGAAGCCTGGTGTATTTGGTTGTGTTGACGGTGCAGGAAGGCTAGAAGTTTTTGATATCAATGTTGATGTCGAAGTGCCTGTCGCACGCGCCCAGCCGAGCCACACCCAAGGCGATGTATTTGGTGTAAAGAGCTTGAATAGGCTTGCTTGGGAGCACAACGAAGGCAAGCGGGTCGCTGTGGGTGGTCTTGATGGCATCGCAACTGTCTTCGAAGTAGGCAATGATCTTGGTGGACTCGAGGGAAACAACAAGGGTGAAGATTGGTTCGGGGTCAAGCGACTCATCTCGAGACTTGACAGATCACGAGAAGGAATCGATGGTCGATGATCTTGTACCCCATCTCGTATTTCGACGTGCAGGAAATTTATTGAGAGCCACTTGTCTCCTACCCATGTGAGCAACATGACAGGCTGAACAACCGAGCTTGGCTGCATCTCTCTTCTTCTTTGCAATCTCCGCATCCTCTCAAACCCTGCAGCCTTTCCCGTACGCGACACTGTTAGTTGAAACATGAAACTGTACGACTTGATGTTGCTTCTTTCGAAGAGGTGGCTTCTGTTTGCAGAGTTGTTTCTACGCACTGTCAAGCCATGGCGCAGGTCAAAACCATCCTTGCTGCAATGTATGCAGTTTCTTCTCGAGATCGCGTGATTATATGCAGGGTGGTTGGCAAATCGATAGTGCAGCTCGTGAAGTGATAGGTTCGTTGCTTGGTCGATCGCAAGGTGTTTATAAGGATGAGTGCTGCCTGTAAACGTCGCAACGAAGTCTATATAACAGGCAAGTGCTTCCACTGCTCCTTTCCTGAAATTCAGACCCCCACCCAGAAACTTCTCTTGACGCGTGTGTCTACTGCTTCATCGCACCTCAAGCCCACGCCTTTTCAGATCGCCTGCGTATTCTCTATTGTTCACTGTCTAAACCTTGATCCTATTCATCTTATCAGAAACAGCCCACAGCCATCATGCACTTCCTCGAGTCTGCCGTTATTGGTGCCTTTGCACTGGCGAGCCTTGTCGTTGCTCAGGCTCCACGCCTGGCATTCACCAAAACACCTACCCAAGTTATTGCAGGCCAGCCAGTTACCATCCAGTACACAGCGCAAAACCTGAACCAGGTGAGCAAGGTGCCATGTGATGATCGTTAGAGCGTATGCTGATGAGAACAAGCCTGCAACTATTGTGCTGAGAAAAGGTGACCCTTCCAATCTGGCCGATGTCTCTACCCTGACCAGTAAGTTTCCAAGCGATGGTGTAAAACTTACCACTCGTACTGACGTCCTGTAGACAACGCTCTGAATGGTAGCTACACTTGGATCCCCGACAGGTCTCTCGACAACGCAAGCAACTACGCTCTCCAGATTTCCCAAGGCTATGAGATCAACTACTCTGGATTGATCACCCTCACTGGTGGTAACGCCGCCGCTGTGTCTTCCGCAAAGTCGGCAAGCTCGTCATCCCAAGTCGCCGCATCGTCGTTGACCGCCTCTGCTGTCTCGAGCATCCAGTCCGTCATTGCGAGCTACAACTCTTCGCTGACCAACCTGACTGCTGTTGTGTCCATTCAGACCTCGCCTCCTACACCCCCTGCTAACACTACTGCTTTCGTTGTCGCACCTAGTGTCGGAACTGGCTCGCCCGTCGTTCGTAACACGACAATTGTCTCGCCAACTCTGACTTCTTCCTCTTCGAGCGGATCGAGAAGTACCGTCACTTCAGTCGTAACTTCGAGCTCAGAAACATCAGCTCGTAGCTCATCGGTCTCGACTGCAGCAAGCGCTTCCAGTAGCGGCGCAGCGGCACCTATGGCCCAGGCCAGCACTCCTGTCCTCGCACTGTTCGGTGTTGCTGCAGTCTTCTTTTTCCAGTGAATACACTCAGGAGTTCCTTGTTTCTGGAGTTCTGATGACAGAAATATAGGATCGGGGTGAAGGAAAGCGCCTTAAGTACGAATGTCTAATGCCTACCATTCTTTGAAAACATCTTGTGTGTGTCAACTTTCCCCACCATCTTTCTCCCTCCCCTGTTTGCACTCACAACCGTACGAACGACTCCTTAGCCCTCTCTCACACGAACTACTGCGTTATGATAAGCTATAAAAATACACAGTATCTTTCTAGAAAGAGGAGCCATCATGGAGATGCCTAAACAAAGTCTTCTCTCTGTGGCGGTACCTCTGTTGTAGAGAGGACTATGCATTTCCACAGCTACACTGTGACGGTCTTTCGCACATGAGGAGGCTGCAACAGCTACAAGATCGACAGTGTTTGACTCGATAGTCGACACACAACCGTGGCCGTCCTTATGAATTAACCAGTCAAGTCCATCAAACCACTTCCACTGATCACTGACAATATCTAATGCAGGGATAACCAATCTCAGGATCATACCGTTGACCTGGACTCATCAGACAACCCTACCCACAACTCGGTGAACTCTGTCAAGGTCCTCTTGACTATCGCACTACTCACTGGAGCAGTTGCCGCGACTTTGATCGACGAACTAGTTTTTAACACCATGGCCGGCAAAGATATAGGTATCGTTTGCTGGACGAATCCTTAGTGGCCAATCTGTCCAGCTATGGACAAGAACATCCGGACCAATCTTGACTTGAGAAAACCCGCACGCGTCCTTCAGTTTGACAAGAACGTTCATGAGGCCGTCAGAGTCTTCGGCGGCAACCCAGAACTATTCACGTCACATAACGTCCGGCGTGGTGGCGCAAAGGACGCCAGTGAGCTTCAGAACTAAGATGACACCAGACTACCCGCGCATGACCACACAGCGGATCTTACGTCTCGTGATACTCTCAAGGGATTGCTGCTAGGGCTGCTGCAAAGGCCCAGCTCGTCCTGCCACCGCTAGATTTCATGAACGTGTTCTCACAGATCAATACCAACAATCTTCAAGTCAACACCCTTGCAAAGCAGAAGCACCTTGAAGTCCTGTCAGGTGGCTCCAAGGATAAACCAACGTCCTTTGTCTACAAATGCTTCAAGACACCTGGCTGCACGTATGAGCATGACTCAAGAGCTTCTGTGGAGCTCCACGAGGTCTCCTGCTCTCCTACGACCGTGAATACCGGCCATTGGAAACCTCACAAGAGCTTTTCGCGGGATCCTGTGGGCACACTGAGGCCACCCAAAAAGATGCAACATAACTTCAATGCCAGAAAGTGTGCCGTCAAAGGCTGTACGGATCAGACACTGTTCACAGATGTCAAGGCGTGGAAGAAGCATGAAAGATTACACCAAGGCCAACTCCCGTGTCCTCTAGACAATCGCCCCAGCAGCAAGAGAGTTTACTCTCGCCCAGAAATCCTAAGGACTCATCTTACCTCTATCCACGAGGTTCCTCAAAGGACCTGAGTTGGCAGTACTGGTCAAGAAGAGTGATGCTCTGTAGGCAGCCAACGTCGGCTCTTGAGCAGCCAGTTCCATGCTGATGTTACTCCCCACATTGAATCCTCCTGACATGGCTCGAACTTGCTCGTGATGGACAAGACAAAGGTCATGAAGACGAAGGTCATGCATATTCGCACGAAGCAAATGTATCTCAAAAAGTGGCAATAGCACAACCAGCAATCGAGATTCAGTATCAAATGCGTCGAAGGATTCAGACCTGCATCAAGTGCTGCACGTGAACACTTCTTCGTCCCGCGCTTGTGCGAACGAGCAGAAGTAAGATTGCCCCCAGCATTCTATTTTCAGCGTTGTTCCTGCAGCAGCCGGGCCGAAGGTCAATGCGTCTCTCTTCTTGGCCCAGACGCAACCCCATGAATCAGTTCGGCCTTTCCTTCCTGCCTTTAGCCGATGGGTTTGTCTGCGCTTATTGATTGTGTGGAGCTGCTCGAGCTGAAGTACATGCAGCATCAAGAATAAATCGCAGCTGATGGAGAGGTGTTACGCAGTGGAAGGGAAGTTTTGTTTGCGGCTCGATGTCATGCTAAGCAACCAGGGGTCTTTTTTTATCGTTTGTCCTTGTCCCAAACACGCTTGCAACGTTTTCGACTCGAGCGGCGACTGGCGATCGTTTTGTTTTCCCCAGAGAGCCTGCACGGAAAGTCATCGAATATCGGATCAATTGCACAATCTCGTGTCTGGCCTCGGCTGGGCGAAATCTCGCTTGCCTCTCTCTCTGTTTGCTGGCCTGTCGCGACTTTTACGCTCTACGAGCAACGAGAGAGGCACATCCATGTTGATCAGGCGTGGCGAGGCAAGTCAAAAGGGTATTGAATTTTGACAACCGCCGTGGCAACGCGACCATGTGGGTTAGAAAAGGGAAAAAGGGACAAACGACAACTACAAAGAGGTAAGCCTGGGCAAGCTCGACTAGCGCGGGTGGTATGGTAATAAGGAGGCTTTTTGGGAGCCTCCGCGCGCTATCGTTGTATCAAACGGCGCCATGTTTAGCTGGTGTGGGTTGTTCGCCTGCCTCTGCCCTGCTGCCTCCCTATTAGCTTCTGGACTCCATGAGATGGCGGACCACCGTCATTTCAAATAGAAATAAGGGCTGGCTCTACCGTACCTTGGTCTCTTTTCCTCCTCTTCCAACTCCTTCTTGCAACAATTCCATCTTCTTCTGTTTGCATACCATTCTTTCGAAACATCACTCTTTCAAAGACCACATACATCACACATCAAGATGCGCTTCTCTACCCAGACCCTCATTGCCCTTTTGGCCTCTCCTCTGTTGGCTCTTGCCGCCGACAATGGCTTCACCATCTCTGACTACACCGGTATTACTGCTGGAAAGACTTTCGACCTCAAGTGGACCCCTACCACTGGTGGCACCGTCTCCATCATCCTCCGCTCTGGCGCCAACAACAACCTGACCCCTGGAGTCTACGTTGCTCGTAAGTATCCTCCGTCTCAGAACAGGCAACCAAGGAGCAAAAGCTAACGTACAATCTGCAGAGGGCATCTCCAACTCTGGTACCTACAGCTGGTCCGTCCCCAGCGACATCACCCGCGGCTCCGACTACGCCCTCGAGATTGTCGACGACCAGGACACCTCCAAGGTCAACTACACACCCCAGTTTGTCATTGACAGCACAAACACCGTCGCCTCGTCGACCTCATACATCAGCCAATCGGCCTCTGCCTCGTCGGCTGCCTCGTCCGGCATCTCGAGCGCCAACTCGTCTGCCTCCAAGGCCAGCAGCTCGGCCTCTGCCTCTGCTTCGTCGTCTGCCTCTAGCGCTTCCAAGTCTGCCTCGTCGGCTTCGGGCTCGGCTTCGTCGTCTGCTTCGTCTGCTTCTTCTGCTGCCAGCAGTGCTTCCAAGTCTGCCTCTAGCAGTGCTTCCAAGGCTAGCAGCTCGAGCTCTGCTGCTGCTACCTCTACGGGTGGTGCCATGGCTTCTGCTATCCCCTACGGTCTTTTGGCTCTCGGTGCCCTTGCTCTGTAGAGAGTTTGATGGCATTATGTGCTTTTAAAGAAACAAAAACGTCTTGTTTAATATTCTAATGATACCTTGTAAATTTTCCTGTTGTACGAAAGTCATGTGTTTTCAGGGGGTGGTGGTTTCTTGTTTATAGGCCTGTAAAGAGAAATTTAGTGGTTTATACCTCATCTTCCTACCTCGGTTCGTTCATAACTGCTTGCGTGCGTCCAGATGATCTAATCTGTAGGTTGAGTAGTAGGTAGTAGACATTTAGCATAAAGGCAAGCGGTTATGAAGACTTGCACTGCCATAAGGTCTCCACAGAGAAGAGATATACTCTTACCTCTGTTTGGCCATGACTCTGCTTCCGAATTCAACTGTGACTTTTTATAATGAGTATGTTGCTCTGTATCCTTGCAAAAGAGGGCGGGATTGGTCTTAAAAACACATCTATCGAGATAGCGGAATCTGTTCTAGGTATCGTGAGAGCAGGGCATCTGAGCAGCTCTCAAAAGGGATGCACGCCTGACTCTCAAACCCACTCTGCATTTGCATAGTCCTTGGATGTTGTTCAAGTCTTTGGTAGGGTTATCCTCTGTGATCCCTTGTTTCTGCTCCCTGAGGCATCTTGAATGGAAACCATCTTGGTACTCGACTGCGATTGAGCCCATCTCTGCTCACAAGGGTGTAGAAAGTGGTATACATCTTCGCTTGGCTATCTTTACCTTCTTCCTTGTATAAAGGATTTTGAGAAGAGTGTAAGATGGCAAAGTATATATTGCGTATCATGCTGCTTGGTCAACAAGAGCCAGATATAGAATAATCGTCATCAGTAACGATACCTTCCCTCTGACTTGTGGCGAATGTGATGGGGCTCAAGGTAAGAACTTCATGACCGGTGAGTTTTTGTGTCGAAGGGCCAGGCATCCAGACGATATTGGAGATATGCTGGCCTGGGATGAGAAACAACAAGGAAGCTGCATGCTAAGCTAGAGAGTCATCAGTCTTGCTTTATACAGAGTCTGGTCTGGCCGCTGCTTCTGAGCCATACAGAAGAGTTGTCTCGTACAACTCTAGTCTTTCCGATTCTGCTTCTGTGCATCAACGAAAATAGAAACAATCATCACGATCTTTGACCGGGCTGTCGTGGAAGATGCATATACCGATAGCAATAGTGAAAGAGATGAATTTGAACAAGAAAAAAATTGCTTCCATGGTATTTGAGATGGTTGGGTTCAAAGAAAAAAGAGAACGATGAGGAAAGTACTTGAAAGGCAGCCAATCCTCACCTCCTGCATATGCATCATCCCGCCCTTTTACTCCTCCTTCTCTCTGCCTAATAAATTACACACTCCGCTACTCCCCAGAACCTCAGTCTACAGGACGCTTAGTTCTTCTCGTAGTAAAAGTTCTCCTCGGGGATACGGCCGCGAAGGTACTCGGGCTCGGAGCCGCGGACGTAAATGTCCTCGAACAGAATCTTGGGGGTGGCGTCGGGGGCGGGCATGGCCTCGGCCTCCTTGACCTCGGCGTCGACGCTCTCGCGGGCTTGCTTGTCGATGCTCTTGAGCTCCGACTCGGATGCGACCTCCCAGTCGAGGATCTTTTGCTTGAGGCCGGCGATGGGGTCCTGGGTGCTGCGCATGCGCTGAATCTCCTCGCGGGTNCTGTTTGGTGGAAAATGTTAGTATTGAGGAAAACAAGGTTGAGAAAGGAAAGGGAGAAAACGTACTCTGTAGGTGGTACCGGGGTCGGACATGGAGTGACCTCCGTATCTGTAGGTGACGAATTCGTAGACGAGAGGACCGTTGCCCTCGGCGGCCCACTGCTTGCCGAACGCGACGGCTTGCTTGCAGGCAAGGACGTCCATACCGTTGATCTTGAGACCGGGGATGTACTGACCACGCTTGTAGTACTCGGTGATGGCAGACGAGCGGTTGGCGGCGGTACCCATACCGTACTTGTTGTCTNNTGGAGATGTTAGTGATGTGTAATGGAGGGATGGGTGTCAATGAGGAAACTCACTCTCGCAAGCAAAGATGACGGGGAGGTTCCACAGCTTGGCCATGTTGTAGGCCTCAAAGACCTGACCCTGGTTGGAGGCACCGTCACCGTAGAGGGAGATGGAGACGTTCTTCTTGCCCTGGTACTGGTCGGCAAAGGCGAGACCGGCACCGACGGGGACCTGAGCACCGACGATACCGTTACCGCCGTAGAAGCCCTTGGTGAACATGTGCATGGAACCACCCTTTCCGTAGGCGATACCCTCTCTTCTGCCGAGCAGCTCGCCAATGATGGACTTGACCGAGGCGCCGCGCATCATGGCGAAACCGTGGCAGCGGTAGGCGGTGATGACCGAGTCCTCCTTGGTGATACCGTGCTCGATACCGACGGCGACGGCCTCCTGACCGGTCGACAAGTGGCAGAAACCGCGGATCTTCTTCTCCTTGTACAGTCTGTCGGCGGCCATCTCCATGCGGCGCATGGCGACCATGTCGTAGTACATTTGCTTCAGCTCCTTCTTGGTTGTCTTGAGGGTGAATGAGGGNGGNTCGAGCTCGTAGGTCTCGAAGCTCTCGTCGGAGAGCTTGACCTCGAAGGCCTTGTCGTCCTCNCTGCATGAAGGGTTAGTCCTCTGGCCAATTCCTTCTGCAGACTCGCGGATAGCTCATACGCTGGGGACATCATCCTTCTCGGCGTGGGCGCTGGCGGCGTCGGTGGTGACGGTTCTCAGCACTTGAGGAGCGACACGGATGGGCTGGAAGGCAGCGCGTCTGACCGACGAGGCAAGAGGCCTCGGCGCAAATCTGGACAGCATGACTAGAGGGTTGTGAGGAGAGGAGGGTCGGGAGGGAGAATGAGCGGACAACTTCTGGTCAAGTCGTCTGTTGGGACTTGAGCTGCAACAATCCACGAAGTTTCTACGGACTCCGATTTCTTGCCGCCGAGACTTGCTGGGGAACGGAAGCTATTTCGTCTGACCAGCGTCTGCCAAGCTCTCACTTGTTGCTGTTCCTTTCTCGTACACCACATCTCTCAGCACTCGCAATCACACCATTTCTATCATGCCACAGATTTGATCATCTTTCCTATACATCTCGTCTCCTCTCTGTGTCTGTTCCGTTCTGTGGGATCGCAAGCATGTGCATCTCATCTCGGAGACATGCCAGCGCTCCATAAGAGGCCCGGAACGTTTTGTATCAAAACTCCTGCACTCGGCCCGGACCCTGGAGCCAAGCTTCAATCCCGATAAACATTCTATTGCTCACCCCTTCTCATACGATTCAATCTCATTCTGAGCAGACGCGTATTGTACCTCGACCAATTCATCATTCTATAATGCTAGAATACTGTAACAACGCCAGTGGTGTCTCTAGCATTGGATCGATCTACCAAGGCTGTGTGCACCTCGTTTCACTGTTTGCCGTCTCGTCTTTGCATCTTCATCTACCTTCCGTGATCATGTCTCCTTCCATTGCTTCCTATCCCAGCCTCAGTGCACACTCTGCTATCAACTCGCGAACCTTGGTATCTCTCGGCAAATACAAGACCGCAACCTTCAACAGCCTCCTCGCCTCATACTTGTCATCCATCTCCTTGTACGCCAACGCAGTGCGATAGTAAATCTTTCCCATCTCAGGCCCAGCAATCCACCCATTAGAAGCCTCCTCATCAGGCTCTAGATTATCCCTTCCTCCTCTCATCATATTAATCGTCCTCATCCCGATATGCACTGCTGTATCCCACTCGTGGAGATTTAGATATGCAAGTAATGTGTTTGCCACAAGCCGCACCCGCAACACAATAGCCACCATACTGCCATGTTGGCCCTCGAATGGCGGCTCCGTGAGGATCTCTTCAAAGTAGCCTTCGCCGTGGGTTTTGCGGTGGCGGCCTTTGACGACAATGAAAAGGGCTTTCCAGGCTTTGCGGTAGTGTTCTAGTGCTGAGAGTGTTTGACCTGCTTTCAAGGCCACGTTCCCTGCGTCTTTGTGTGAGGTGGCGAGGATGAGGCGTTGGGCAGGTGATTCTAGTGGTATGGCCATCAATCTCTCCATCTCGGCAATGACTGTATCGTCAGGCAGAGGAACACCAGTAACCTCCACCCTCAGTAGATTCTTGATGCGTCCAAAAGGATGAAGTAACCTTTCCTGCAATGTCCTCAACACCTTTTTCTCTACAGCTGTACTCTCATCCAAAGCTGTTGCAGCCAAAGGTTCCTCCAATATAAGTTGCAGCGCCAAATGTGGATTCAACTCTTTCACTTCCACCGCAGAGTACATCCAACTATCGCAAAACGTGCCCAAGTCATCGATATGTATAACAAACGTATCTTCCACCGTCTCCACCTCTGCCGAGGGCAATGTAATCACCACACCCAATCTATGCAGACTAAACCCCTCTGCAGCCTCGGCAACAATAGGCACGCCATCTGAAGCAACCTGTACCCTTGACTGCGGAAAAGGCGTGGTGATTTTTACAAATGTGTTTTGTTCGAGGAAGATGCGGCGGGCTTCGTGGTAGAGTTGGCGGTTTGTGAGGAAAAGGTTGAAGTGGGTATAGTTGTAGGTTGTGGTGGTGCCGTCATTGGTGGTGTGTTTGTTGGCTGATGGTGCGGAGAGGTAGGTGTATATGTCGTCGCGGATCTCGCGTGGGAGATCTAGTAGGTTCATGTTGGGTGTAAGGGCGCAGTCTTTGGGGAGAGATGGTGTGAGGTGGAGGGGAATTGTTCAAGTTGGTCGATCTTTTGGATTGCTCGGTGGTCTTTGTAGATCTCCCATGTGCCGAGGTGTGTTTCATAAATCACGGACATGCAGGGCAACCCTGCTTGAACATTTTCTTTCCATCATCACTCGACCCAGAAGATTTGCATACCATCAGTTGCCGCCAGAATGAAGATGAGTTAGTAAACATGTCACAGAAACTAGTCTAGCGCTGGTATAGGAAAGTTCGGCATGGCTATGAAAGTAGAGGGAATTGACTTGTAAATCACCATTATTTTGTCGTACCGTTTCCCGAATTCCACGCAGGACTGATCGAAGGGCCCATAACAAGAATCTCATTCGAAGCAAAAGATGAATATCAGAGAAATACAAGGAGCCGTGAAACTGAAAGACGTAATCGCGTTGTGAATTCTTTTGTCTTGATTTGTACAATAGGTACTCTTACCATGCTTTCTTCAGCTATCTTTACCATTTACCACCTTTACCCTTCTTCTTTCCCTTCTTGGCCGCATTCTTGCCTTCGACGACTTGAGTTGCGGGAGTCGAAGCTCCTGAACCGGCGCCAGAGTCTTCGGCCACAGCACCTCCTTGCATGAACATAGCTTGTCTAGCTTTACCCTTCTTTCCTTTGGGCCTGTATGAAGATCTATCCTTGATGGGCAGCCAGCGCTCTGGATCCATCTTCTTGGTTGGGTCAAAGTCCTTTGGTGTTTTGCTCTTCTTGAGTTTCTTCGCTTTGGGTTTTGTGGCGGGGACAGAGTCGGAGGGTGCAGAGCGCTTTGTTGATGTGGTAGCGATGGTAGGTGTAGATTTTGCTACTCCAGCATTTTCAAGTGCGGAGACATCGATGCCGCTGACGAGACGATCTACCGATGTCAAGGCGGACAACTTCTCATCATCAATGGCTGAAGGGTTTGCGCGTGCGAGAGCAGCGACAAGACCAGCCGATGCATAGCGGTCTGAAGTATCCTTCTCATGCAAGAAAGTAAAGAGTTCGGAGGCGAGTTGCTGGTCAGCAGGTACAGAGCTCTCCAGCAATGCAGCGCCGGCGGACTTATACAAGTGTCCGAGTGCTCGTGAAGAGATGGGTGGGTTGGAATGTTGACGCCAGTACTTTGCTGCTTTTGCGAGCTCGGAGCGGGCGTGACTGTGTTGACCGCGCGAGGTGTAGAGAGAGACCAGCACACCGATCAAACCAGGCGCAAAACGAACATCTTGTGCTGAAGCATCCGAAGACGAAGAGAGTCGCGTAAAGAAGTTCTCGAGGAGCGAGATTGCGGCGGCGGGGTTGGAGGCGTGGATGTAGAGTTGCATGCAAACAAGAAGCAGCCCAATGTCATTGGGTCTGCGTTCCAGCACGGGCAACACAGACTTCAGAGCTTCCTTTCCAGCTTGGTTATGTGCGTGGGCAGCGGCGCCAAAGGCAGATAGAGAGATTGTGGCAGAGTCAAGAGTGGGTGTTTGGGCAAGGTTTGTGGTAGATCTGATAATGCCATCATACTTGTGGGCGAGCAGGTCGAGTGTGTAGTTGTTTCGTTGAATGGCAGCGCTTTGGTAGGCAAAAGGCTTGTCGGGCAGGATGGTTGAAGGAGTCTTGTACAGGGAGCGGTGAGTGAGGTAAGGGTTGCTGCTTTCTGTCGAAGTGGCTGCTGTGTTTGTCTGGGCGACGAATTGGGTCGACGAGTCGTGGAAGGCGTGGACACTGCAGAATGAGTTAGTCGCATGGCCATAGTCTTGTAAAGCAGAGGGTACACACTCTTTGGAATCGATGGTTGCAGCAAGAGCCTGTGCGTCCTCCATCCTACCCTGACGGATCAAGACGTAGAGTTGCTGAATGGAAATGGGCACAATCTCGGCATCCTTCTCCTCATGGTCCATCTCAGAGGCTTCGCACAGCTCTTTTGCTCTTCTCAACAGAACCTCGGCCTGACCCAGCTCATCACGCGCAATGCTCTGACAAGCAGCGTTATAGGCGGTCTCGAAAGCCTCCATGTCTTCTCTTGCAGGCTTCTGCGGCGCGTCTGCAGATGCGCGACCAGCCCATTCGAGTTGGGCGTATGTGGCGCCCGTGTTGATGCGCAAATCCATATCTTCGTTGTCGACTGCTCCTCTTTGTGCCGAAAGCTTGCGGTATAGCTCGGCGGCCCGTTCAAAGTCCTGGTGTCTGTAACTCTACGTGTGTGTTAGTTACGCCTTCTTCTTCCAGCATTTCTCTTCCATGTGACATACTGCCTGTGCTTCAACATGTCTCAATCCCCTGTCCGACTCGTTGCCGTCTTGACTGGCGACCTCTGCAGCCTTTCCAGGCTGTCCATTCTTGTACAGCGCATAGGCGTATTCCAATCGTGCTCTCTGCTTAATGTCCTCCCCACCAGCCTCAACCGCAGCAATGGCGTCTTGAAAGCGGTCCAAGTTCAGTAGCGCGACAATCTTGACTTGGAGGGCTTGGAGGTCGTTCTTTGTTTTGGAGAGGGTGGCTTCGCAGGCGCTAAGCACTTGATCGTGATCGGTGATGGACGCTTGGCCCAGCAGCGAGGCTAGTGTTGCTGCCATTGTGTTGAATGTGTGAGATAGTTGTCCAAATGACTGTCGCATGAGGGTTCGCGAGAGTCCCGCCATTGGTCAAAGCTCGTTGCATTTCCCCACATTTCGACCTTTCGCTTCTCCAGCACCGTGACTTCCTTTTCTGCAACTATAAAATGCACGATACTTTTTGAGAACAAAGCAACTTCCACTGAGAGGCATTCATCTCGATGGCTTTCTCTGGACACATCTGCAGTCTCAAACAAGATCGTATGTTTTCATAGTTATCGATCGTGTCATCGTTCGCCGTGAGAGAAATTGAACCTGAACCCAGGCTACCTCATCCTGTGTTGAACTCAACCTCCTCTCATGACGAATTGTAGCAACAATTCGCACCATAGCATCGCACGAAATTTCAAGTCTCGAGAAGACCCCAGAGAGAGCTACCTCAAGCATGGCTTCTCACTGGACATAATCGAATACTTACAAAGTGTTGTGCATTTCTATAGCGTCAAAACATATCGGTTCTTACTATGAGAGATATTGGACCGACACTAAGGCTATCTCACCCTGCATTGAACTCAAACCTCTCTCACGGCACATAATAGCAGAAAATCGACCTATAAAAATGCAGGGTTGTTTTCACATCAGAGATACATCCACAGAGAGCCATCCAAACCAAGGGGTCTCACTGGGCATTACTTGGATTCAGAATGTATTGTGCATCTCTATAGCTCGTAGTACTACCATATTTTGCTCTCAGGGAGATTGAAACTGGAACCCTATTCGGAGTCTCACGGCGAAATATAACAGGAATAGTGTTATAAAATGCACAAATGTTATAGGACGTTAGATGCGTCCAGAGAGAGTCATCTCAGGTAAGGGTTTCAATGGAACTGTTTTGGATGTAGAGAGTATTGTGCATTGTTATAGTCACGATATGACAGACGTCTGCACGCGGAGATGTATATAGTATGGTCTATAGATGCCTATAAGGTCACAATACTTAGCAGATACGACTTATGGTGATCTAGTGGATATATAGTAGGGGTGGAGAGAAGTTATCATTGTTCAGGTAGCTATAAGCCTAATGCCCGATGTTAGGCGAGGCGAGACGATAGCTGTTAGCCTCTAGCCATAGCATCGTAGGCTTGGTTGCGTGCTGGTAGTGTGTATGGTTAGCTATAGTTCTCCTCGTCGAATGAAAACGATTGAACATACCTTCTCTAGACGCTCAACTGCCAAAATGGCTTACTGCCTGCAGCCGGAACACGCACTCTGCACTTGACGCAAGCGCAGGTGGCCAGACTGCGCTGCGTAATGGCACAGAAATGGACGAATGCCTTAGGGGCAGAGTCGAATTGACCATTAGGGTGGCCGAAGAGCAGGTAATCTCTATCTCTATTGGTATTGGTTGGGCGTGTCTTNTTAAAGAGTCGGTAGCCTCTAGGGAGGGCAACGATCTCGACCATAGGTGCTCCTATGTAAACTATTAGCCAATAGATCAACGCTATAGCTATGGCTATGTTGAGGAGTAGTGATTGTGGNTTACCGGGGGCGCGATTCTCGTTCTCAGCAGCGCTCAAGCTTCTTAGAAAGCGGCTCTCATCTGCTATGGCGTAAGGAGCGCCTGAAGGCCAGTTGAGGAAGCTGCCGTCGCTAGGCATGCGATTTAGGTCGATTCGCAAAGTGGCTGCCATGATGTGGTTTTCTGTCCTGAGATGCTGCAAGGTGGTGGTGTGCGAAGTGACATGCAGATGTAGAATTGCGAGAAGCTAGGACCGTCTGGCGCCTCCGTGTCCTTGGTTACTGAAGGCTACTCGTGATGGTGTCAAGGACCCGCGGTAAGAAGAGAGCCTCGCACCATCTTCACAAGACCAAACAATATCAACCACCTCCCACGAACAGCCACGCCACTCATGCAGACACGCTGATGCGGTCCAAGAAGACCGTCGAGAGGCTGCAAATCGTCTTGCTCTCACGCATAGGGCGTACTGTCCGGTCATCGACCTGACGCGATTGGCGCATGGTGAGTGAGCTCTGCAAGGAACCTGGACCTCTCGATGCTGGGTGTACTTCTGTCTCTACCGACGCTGACGTGTATCAAAATCTCAAGCGCAACCGCAACCGCAGCCCTTTTGGTTTGTACCTGTTTTTAGACGCACGACAGGGACCTTCATGCTTGACCAGGTACATGGGTCTCGACATTCATACCCATCCACTGACCGGAAAGCGCTTTCTCCAGCCAAAGAACTTCGACAGGATCTACATTCTCCCGTACGTATGTCAAGAGAGGCGCAGCACCCGGCGCATCTTCAAAGACACCAATTACACCAGCTCGAGGGAGGCCCATTGCCGTGGCGATCGTACGTTCACATGAAGGGTTCAAGAGAACCAGACGAGTGTGCTGTGCCTTGTCCTTCTTTGTGGCTGAGGATGTATAACACAACAAAGGCAAATGCGCATACACCAGGTTGTCCTTTGGCTTTGGGAGAAACACGACAGCCAGACTTTTTCTGGTCGTTTGCTCTGCTAGTTTGATCTCCTTGTCTGTGGTAGGCATTGCTCCAAGTTTCGACAAAGCAGCCTCGGTTTCCAGATGGCGGCTCGTCATGTTCAGACCCACAGTCAGATATTTCAGGATGTCCGGCTCCATCGGGCGACGTTCAACAGCTGGGCTGGGACTCTGCTCAGACATCCTCTTGCGCTTCTTTGACTTTTTGCTCGAGGATTTTGCAGTATGTGCAACTCGATGTCTCCCAACCGGTTCCAAAAGACTGNNCCTGGTGTGAGCAAGACTGGATAGAAATGGAGTTTCCTACATGTCTTACTTGCTCAGGAGACCGATGATGATCTCGCTCTTGTCTTTGCTCAGCTCAGGNTCTATTGTGCATCAGCTTGCTTGTCATGTACATGACGAACAAAGGACTGCGAACATTGATGGACTTTTGAAAGATGTATCAGCCTTGATTACGGGCCTTCCAGGCTTGCCCTTGGTGCTGGCCATGTTGCGGAATATTTTGGTTGATGGATGAAGACGATGACTGCGATGGATGTTTGGAAGAGCAAGCGAGTTTCTTCTCTTGATTGCAAGAACAGCCGATTGAGTGCGGACTTCGCTTATACCTGCCGTGTTGCGGTCCAATGAGGTAATATCCAAGCTTTGCGACTTCCACTTTGCGAAAGTCGCGTCTGCTGGACAAGTGCAGACTGAGGTTGAATACGAAATCAAGGACAAACCCAGACGCATCTGTCTTGATCACTACAGAAAGACTGTCTGACAAGCTCAGTCAAGTGCTGTCTACTCACAAAACTCTTCGTCCCACCATCTGAGGCACAGTGAGCTTATTTCCACGCGTCTTTCCAGACTGCGTTTTGGCGTTTGCTGCTTGGAGCCTTCTTCAGCCCGGGTGTCACAACGTCGCCCACGTCGACCTAATACTCACTCGCTATCGCAAAGCTTGGTTCACGCTGCTCTGAATGTCTCGCAGCCACCAAGCAATCGGAACAGATTTATACCTTTGATCCATGACGCCGTGTGGTCAGTATTCATAACTCGGCGATTATGGACCCTTCACCCACCTCACCGGCGCATTCCATCGGCCAGAGGCTTTCACCTTCAGCACTTCCTGGCAGAGACCACGTCGCCGATGCAGACACTTCACACTNNTCACGCAAGCGACCTCGTCTGAGCGACGAGCCCGACTCTCCACCTCACACCAACGCTGATTCTGACACTCAAAACACATCGGCCACTGGAAGCCCAACTGTCCTCGAAGTCGCTCAAGAACAGTCAACCGAGCCATCAGATATTTCCATCATCATGACTGGCGTTGAGACAACTGTCGATGTACATCTCAACAGCTTCCCATTCCTGTTCGATAAGAATGATACTCCCGAGGGTGCTGCCGCCAAGCTCGCAGAGCACTGTTACAAGAAGAATGGTATGTCTCCGCAATCGCTTGACCTCTGTCCCATGCTCACATTATGCAAAGGTCCTGCCGTGGAAGAAATAATCTGCTTGATCAACTGGCTTGGTGATCATCTGCGCGACACCAACGAAGCCTTCGATGCTGCGCTGAAACACAACACCCCATCGTCAACCGTCTCCGATCTCTACTCAGATAACCCGGAATTCTGGAACCATATCTTGTCTTGCTTTCGTGGACTGATTGGACGCTGGTAAGTGACAGTATTCTTTTCCTGTTCCCACGCTACCTAACTAACTCATCTTAGCTCAATCAGCTCTGACAAAGAGCTCGTTGGAAGCATTGCTTGGAACTTCTTCCATGCCATACTCGACAATCTGCTAGGCCTGGGCGAGAGGCTTCTATACACCGAGGTAGCCATTCTGAAGCAGCGTGAAGCTCGCAGAGATTCGACAAGCTCTCCCACATCCAGCAATTCGCCAAAGCACTCACTACTGTTCCCCCTGTGGGCCGGTACTTTTATGGACATGGCCGCCCGCCCGAAGGAGTTTCTGGAACCAATGTCAGCGGCTTATCACTTCAACTTCAAGTCTGTACAAAAGCGATCTATCGGGCGTTTCCAGGGTCGTGCTATGGATGCTGTCGTCACACTCATGGAACACGTCACCTCTAGATCGGAAAACATCAAATCGCCGTTCTTCACAGCATTCGGTTACGTGAATCTCTGTCACTATGTCCTATATGTGGATCGGGACAACGTTGGCAACTGGCTCATGCCTTATCTCAACAAGTCGACCAAGCTATTCGACCTTATCTATACTATGACGATTCATACTTTGCCCAGGCAGTACCTCGACGAGAGCTCGCAACTCGTCATCGAGAACTTCCGTGTGTTTCTGGTCGATATGCTAAGTACTTTGTACCTCACAAAGCACCTTTCTGCAGAGACTGTATTTGAAATGACTATGGAGGATGTTGCAAACCATCAGACCATCCAAGGAGAACTCCTTGTGCCTCCAGAAGAGAACAACAACAACCCTGCCCTAGTTGACGCCGCGATCGACGACGGCATTGCATTCGCTGCGGTCAAAGATGATGTGCTGGAGGTAGCCTCTGTTGCATGCTCCTTGAAGTTTCTCAACGCCCTCCTTCGGAGCAGCAGTGTAGAATTGCGTAATCGTGCAGCGGAACAGATGGGAACCACAGCCTGGGATGTTCGTATGAACAAGCGAAAGCTCGAAGCAGGCTATCACCGGCTCATGGAAAATTACACAGCCAAGTTCTTCCTCGCCAACGATATTACGGGTTATCTTCTAGGACCTCAATCGCACGCCACGCTGATTGGCAGGACTACAGCCATCCTTGCGTTCATGGCCGTCACAGGCAAGCTTACCAAACGCGATGCTGATACGATCTGGAGTGTGTCCTTCAATTCTCAGCAACCCGATGATGCACAAAGCGCCATGAACGTGCTCCGAACTCTTCCAGCCTATATGTCACCTTTCGCCAATGAGTATTTCTGCAACAAATTTCGAGCCCTCCCGCTGTCGAAGTTCTCAAAAGACGCAGAACGACTTCTTCAGAACATCGTAACAGAATTTCTGCGAACCTCGACTGATGGCGAATACCAAACGATTTACACCTGTATCCAACTGCTGGGCAAGATCGAGGACTCAGACATTCCACCTGCTAGGCAAAACCAACTGTTGCTCAGCTTTGCAAATCTGCTTCTGCAAGTCCATTCTCCTCGCAACACCCAAGAAAGTCATCGCCTTCTCGAGCTTTGCGCTGCCCCTATCGCATCGCTGGCTAACAACACGACTGGTTATGTACAGGCATTGTCGAGTATCGTCAAACAAACCGGGTTTTCCGTTAAAGCAGACGAAGTTTATGGGCGAGTGCCATTCCATCGATGCGTCGCAGAGTTGCTTCAATTTCTTGGAAGAGCGAAGACTGATGCCAAATCTCCGGTTTCCTATGCATTGTGGTGTCGCCTTGACCTCATCACCTATGTGCTCTCAGTCTCAAGTCCAGGCGACAACACAGCGGCTGTCGAGAAAGCCCTCTGGCAGAATGTCTTAGGCGAGCATGCCTTGACGCCGCAGCTACGAGACATGGGATGGCGCTTTTTCATCCACTCTTATCAATCGGGGCAGCCAGGCCTCGAAGCTTTCTACAATCGGTTCATCAACCAATATCTCCCTGACATCCCTCCCGAGTTTGCGACAACCGGAACCATCAACCTCTTCAAGGTTCAATACGCAAGACAGGAGTCTGATATGACCGAGTTGTTGCCTATTGGCGAGGAGCTAATCAGGTTTGCGCTTGCGGTCCCGTCAGAAGAAATTGCGAATGACTTCAAGGTGCTGCTTTTGGAAAGCCTGTTCAAGGGCAAGGCAATCAATTATCCTGGCCTCGCCATTGACGGCCAGATCTCAGTTATACGGCAGCTTGTTGCACAAGTGTCCCAGCGAGGGGTCCCTGCAACGAGAGCCTCAGAGATATTGCTGAACATTCTGATCGAGTCAAACCGGTACCAAGCACTCCTTCAACGTCCAGACAAATTCACTCCCGGCGAAATTTCACGCCCAAAGTCAGACCTTCCTCAAGACAGCATTCAGATTCCGATTCGTATCCACAAAGGTAATGCACAGCCACAAAGCAAATTGGTAACAATCAACAAATCAGCGAGTTGTTCAGAGCTAGAGGCTGCTATCGCCTCAGAGACTGGATTTGCAAGTTACACTGTTGTCACTGCAGGACAAAAGATCAACTTCGCCAAGGAGCCAGAACAGTCAATCACAGAGCTTGGTCTGCGAGAAGGAAATGTCCTCCTTGTACAGAAGCGAAACACATTCGAGAGTATTCAAGAAGAGGTCAACAAGAGCACAGAAAAGTCTATTGTTGAAGGCGAGATTGCTTCTCATCTGGATGTCTTGTACAATATCCTTGATGGTACGGACGGGAAGGCACAGTACGTACTGCAAATCCTCACGTTGCTCAAGTTTCCTGGTCCAATAAGAGCCATGGTCGCTGCTCCCGAAACGCCTTTCGAACAGATCTTCCCGTCAGGAGCATCCTTGCGATTGCGCGCCTCCGTTGATGTCATTTCTATTCAGCTGAAGGAACAAGTCGCCCTCGGTGTCGCCGACGAAAAGTTCTTGCTCAGGGGAGTTCATTTGCTCGTAGATTTGCTGGGTCGTACCGATATGCTCCAAGAGGTCACAGACATCTGGAGAACAGCAGAAACCTTACTTGCATTGCTCAGAGAGCGACCTGTCAAGAACCTGACCGGACAGTACTTTAGAGACGCTGCCAAATTCACGCATCAGATTCTTCGCTACATTGAACATTTCTCAGACGAGACTACTACTGTCAGTCGTGATGGTACCAAGCAAATGGCATTGCGAGCGCTATATCAATGCTTGTTGCAAGGTGTCCTTGTGAGCCAGTCCGTGTGTTCGGCCTTTATTGCTGAAGGTAACACCATACCAATCCATCTCGCGCTTCTTCTCACTAGAAGCGACCATCTTCGAGCTACTATTCCCAAATCTATCATCAATGCTATTCAGGATGAGAGGGCTTCTCCTGAGCTCAAGGAATTCTTTTCCAAGCTCTCACTAGAGCATCTCATACCTACGGCTTTGGAACAACCAGTCATCTGCGACAAGGCATTCTTGGTCAGTATTGAAGCGTTATCCGCGGACCGTCGCTTGAATACCGATGAAGAACTCTTGAGGACCTTGATCGATGATTTTGCGAAGACTCTACTCAACATGAGCCACCTGGAACGCTATGGAGATTGCTTCATCGACAAGAGAGTATCCGGCTTGGCTTCGTTGCTGCGTTGCTGTATTCAAGCTCTCGTGGTACAAAACAAGCCTTTGAACCTAGGAAATCTTCCTTCGCAGGTGTTCAAGACCTTCCTCTTTCCTGTTCTTATCATTGACAAGAAAGTTCAGCCTGTTGTTGCCTCAGAAACTCGCAACAGTATATACGATCTCCTTCAGGTGACGTGCGACAACATTCAGACATTGGAAAGTCTCGCTACGAATTGCGAAGATGTCGCAGGTTATTGCACCGGTGATCAAAGCTTCACATTCCCGGGCCCTGACAGATACATTCGACAAGAAGGCAACTACGCGGGCTTAGCCAATCTTGGGCAAACTTGCTATTTCAACTCTCTGCTCCAGCAACTCTTTATGAATGTTCAGTTCCGGAAGTTCATATTTTATACGTCAGTGATTGACCCCAAGAAGCAAGCAGTTCTTGTTGAACTCAAGTTAGCTTTTGCCTCAATGCAGGACAGTCACGACATCTTCTATCAGCCCGACGAACTGGTCAAAGCTTTGCATGTTGATCATACGGTGCAAGACGATGCTCACATCTTCTTTATGACGCTGGTCGGACAGCTCGAGGAGAGTATGCCCGATGAACAAGCGAAGAATGCCCTGAAAGCATTCTTCCGTGGTGTCAACAAGTCACAAACCATCGGTAGCTGCAAGCATGTTTCCGAAAGCACAGATGAATACTTCAACCTCTCTCTGGTCGTCAAGGACAAAGCATCACTTGAAGAAAGCTTGGAAGAGTACACCAAAGGAGCCATTCTCGAGGGAAGTGATAAGTTCAGGTGTACTACCTGTGGCTCAGGTGAGGGTGTGTCAGTCGACGCTGTCCAAAGGACTGCCCTCGAACACATTCCTGACAACTTGGTCTTCGGCTTGAGAAGATTTCGCTACGAAACATACGATGGAGGCCAGAAGGTCAACGATCGATTCGATTTCCCGGAACATATCGATATGAGCAAGTACAAGCTCAACCGTCTTGCGGGCGTTGAAGGACCGAGTGAGTCCGATCTTTTCCAACTCGTGGGCGTGGTCGTTCATCAGGGAATCTTGACGTTTGGCCATTACTGGTCGTACGCCGCCGAGCGTGGACGCAGTGATGCGGAACCTTTACGCTGGTACCGTCTCGAAGACAAGAACGTCAGACTTTCCAGTATCGAGGAAGTTCTTTCCGAGACTCACGGCGGACGAGTTCCCTCTCTGGCGACATCTACCCGAGGCGATCAATCTCCAAGTCTCCGATCAGACAACGCATATGTTTTGTTCTACCAGCGCGTCTCGTCCATTTCTGAGTCTGCAAAGTGTCTTGCGACAAGTTCGTCCGTGCTTCCTTATTCTGTCCAAGCTAAGGTCTGCTTGCCCCAGGACTTGGAGACAAAGATGAGCAAAAAGAATGAGGAGAAGTTGTTCATCCTTAATCTCTTCTCCTTGAGTCACCTCGAATTTGTCCACGGTCTAGCCAGCAAATTGCCAACAATTAAGAATGCTGACCCCTCCCTGAGTAGCAGGACAACGTACAAGCTTATGTCAATGCTCTTGTGGTACTACATCCGCGTCGTAGCGAACTTCGAAAGCGGGTTTTCTTCACAGTCTATTGATTATACCTCGTTGCTACTTCAGAAACTGGCATGTGGCGGCAAGGACTTCGCGCGATGGATGCTGATAGCCATACTTTCTTGGAGTAGCCACAAGGACAAGTCCAAATGCCTTGTCGTGCACTACAAGCGAGCTGTGCGCCACGCTACGAACCGCTTGGTTGTGGCTTGTCTGAAATACCTCCGGGAACACGACCCCAGGTACCTCGACACTGGAGATGAAGTTGATTCTGAAGACCAACTCAACATCATGACGGCTACAGTCCATAGCCTGATTGATCTTCGCTCTCATATTCTTGAGCGTGGGCCTGCCATCTGGGGAGAGTATTTCGAGCTTCTTCGTGACGTTGCAGAACTCGGCCCTGATGAAACTTGTGTGCTGCTTGAACAGAACGTTCTTGAATGGTGTCTCGAAGTTCTGCTCATCAATGGCGACGCAAAGTTGCAGAGAAAGTACCCGGAAGTCATGGAACACATTGCCGCTTATCCTCGCAAGCTGAATTATGTCTCGATCATCAATTGCATATACGGCCTACTGTGCAACTTCGTCGACCTCCGTGGACCTACTGCGCTTCGCACCAGCAATCGATGGACCGACTCACAGACGCTGTTACTGACTGCTGATGAGCACGACTACCTCGTTGAACGTTCCAATTCACACAGCAACAACCTGGTAGAGCTTTGCATGCAAGGGTTCGGATCTATCAAAGAAAGTGAGTACTCAACAGCGTCGTACTTGTTGCATTCGTAGGCTGACTGTATGTATAGCAACTCATCTGATTGTCCTCCAACTCTACTCATTGGTCTCCTTACCAACGTTGACAGAGTGTCTCCTGAGCTTTATGACGACGCAGTCCGCGCACTGATCATCAATTTGAGATGTGCCACAGACTGGGATATGATCGCCGAGTCCGTTCTCCACTGCCTGCTCGAGCGCAAGATGAAGTCGACGACCGAGCAAGACATCTTCCGAGAGATGATCAAAGTTCTCTCTTCTCGTGAGGTCAGCCAACAGAACCAGCCCACTGCGTGGAAAATGTTCTGGATCATGATGGGAGTTTACAAGGTCCATCCGCAGATGATAATACAATACCTAGCCATCATCACTCGTTTGGTCTTGGTATGCGACAGACGCATCGTCGAAAGAGATGCCAGAGACTGGTTGAGAAACAGTGTTCTGGTTCAAAATGTGCTTCCAAAGCCCTACGTTCTGGATCAAATTCAACTTCTCAATCACAAATTATGGGCCATAAAGGAGCTGCTCGCTGGGCTTGCTGTTGAGTTGAACACTGGCATGGGCAGAAACTCTGAATGCAGCATATACGAATACTCGATCGACGCATATCAGGACTGTGGTAAATACTTGAGCCAGGTGTCTCCTAGCCTCGAAACCGAGCTGGAAGAATGGTTGAAGAGCGAGGCTCCCGAGACCGAAGCGGACACCGAGCTTGAGACTGCTGTGCAGGAGTTGTTCGACGAGGTCAGCAATATCGACAGGCTGTTGAACGATCACGAGGATTGTCGCAACAGTATCCGTTATTGGCAGGATGAACAATCAGTCTCGGACGCGCCTTCTAACTCCAACGTTGTTGAGATTGGCAATTGTGAGTCATGCTTTTATGAATTTAGTCTGCAGAACACCATATACTAACGAGCANATACAGATTCAGACAACGAGTTTATGGAATCCGATGACTCCCTGAGCGATGCTGCAGATTTCGGAGACAACGATTAGGGTCCGCTCACGAAACAGTTGCTGAACCGCCACGGAGACGACTGCAGAACGCAGTGACCAGAAAGATCGCGAAACGCAATCTCACGAACGGGACACCAGAATGGAAAAAAGATACACAAAAGAACGGCGTTATGGGAGCTCTCTTTTCATGGGTTCGGGAAGAAGGGAGTTTGCTACATGCATAGCGAGGATACAGGAGGGCAATGCAAATATGGGAAAGCATCTCCAAGGCGTTTTCTTTGCATTTTTCCTGAACGAAGAATATGAGCCGGCGAAGAGAATACATCATGGAAAAGGCGTTTCTGGTACAATGGAAGAAGGAATGAACGTTCACAGGAAAGAGTTTCGCTTTCACTGTACTTTTAGATGGAAGGGAAATCATACGAGAGAAGATGCAGTTCGTGGAGTCTTTGTCGTGTTCACTGATGTTGTCCTTGTGCTTGAAGTCGTGATGAATATGAGAAATGCCCGTGTCATCTTCTGCATCCTGGTGTATATTGTTGGATCTAGGAGCCGATAGCTTGCCCTCGAGAAGTGAACATCTCGCTTTGGTAGGTAGAGCGAGACGAGTTGATGAGCGCTGATGGACGAGGTACTATGCTGTTTTGATACGGGAAATACACTCGTTCTCGATAGTGATACTCTATGGCTCGTGAGATGAGTCTCTAGCAGAAATTGGTTTCACAGTCGAATTGTCTTCTATTTGAAGCCACTCATCGACCTTCTGGTATTTTGGCAAGGCGACAGCAACAAGTAATCGCAGTAAACTTTGTGATGTTGTTGTGTGGCAGAAGAAGACAATCTTGGTCGAACACCGGGACAAAAACACGTCCTGAAGTTCACCCTAGGCTCGGACTCGAGGACAGTCGTCAAATCGACCTCACGCATCATCACTCGTCGCTATGTACCGGTGATACCTTCATTTCCGGTGATACCTTCTTCCATCTCTGGTAATACCTTCATTTTGAGTGACCTTCTACCCCAGGTTCTCGTGTGCACAGCCACCGCGTTTGGCTCGCGCGTTTGGCCCGCCCAGCACACCACGTGCGTAGTCAGTTTCCTTTGGTATGACGTTTGGGTGGACTCGACAGCTTGATGGCTGCCGTCTACCAGATGCACACATTTTGTCGCTTCAAATAAAAAGAGTGACGAGATCCCATCGAAGCGTTCCAGCAATACCAACACGAATTCACTGTCCTCCTACATATACATACAAGATATCTCTTCTGTCGTCGACAGTCGACGAGCACAATCAAAGACAAATCCATTTCAGGGCCTTCTCTGCCATCCGGACTTATACCGTACTCGATCGAACTATCAATCATGGACCCCGAATTGGTTCTCGGCACTGTCCAAACCATCTTTTCCATACTCGCTGTGGGCATCGCCGCCGTTCAGCTTCTTCAACAAAGGCCTCGTCACCCTATCGATGTAGGTATTCTCTTTAAGCAGTGTTGGCATACCATGATAACTGACAGAGACTGGTGTAGCATCACCATGAGGCCCGGGCCGTGGCCCGGTGAACCTCGATCTGCGCTTTACCCGTAGAATCTGGGGTTAGACAACCGACCAACCACATTCCTTTCCAAACTCGGCCAACCTTTTTGTCCGGTGCTGTTGTGTTCTATTTATGTGGTACGGAGTAAACGAAGTGATGAGCGATTTGGCATGAGTGTTTTGGAGTCTTGCAATGGGTTCTTGGTTGTATCATGTTATGGCTTTGGTTTTGTTTGGTTGCTCATCTCTTATTGTATTGGAGAACTTTATCTTGGTGTCGCAAGCCTTTGACAGATCTCTGTGCCCTCCCAAACTTTTTGAGTCGGAGCATCGATGCTGGATGCCGGTACCAGCGACCTGCTAAGCACGTGGTTGATTACGTGGAAGGTGAACGAGCAACAGGAAAAGGTAACACAAAGATGTTCTTTTCTATAACCAACGAATTCAAGACCACAGAAACGGCAGATCGATAGAAGAAGAATAATAATCTAAGCACTAGGAAAAACAAATGAGATACCAAAAGGAATCAAACAACAGTATGAAACTCGAGGGTCGATGTGCCGAGGTCAGATGCACGATGAAATTTATGGCACCTGAATCCAGCGTTGTCGTGTCGATTCGATGCTTATGGTTATGCATATTTCCAAGCAAACTGCTATGCTCGGTCATGGAACATATAAAGTTCCTCGGCCATCTATAGTATGAACGGTCAACGTACATGATGTCAACAAGCAAATGATACCGCATACCTGGGCTCTGTGTTGTGGTCGGTTCCAATACAGCTGGATGATCGCAATGGCCAAGGCGAAGGATGCAACACCAAAGCTAAAGGGGTCAAATTGAATGTTCATGCTGGGCGGTATTGGGATATCTTGTGAGAAACGCTGGTGTGGTGAGATGTTATATGCGTAATGAGATAGGAGACAATTGGAGTGTTAAGTAGGTTTGATGTGTTACGTGAACCGTTCCTCAATCTCGCGAGGAGCGCGAATTTGATGTGGCTGAAAAGATTTGGGAAGATATGCGGGGCTGTGATCGACTCTTGTCTGTACAATGTGTATTGATTGAGATGATGGCCCTTAGACAGAGGGAGTGAAATGATGCTGATGTGTGGTGTGCTGTGTTGTGCTGCCTAAGGGCTCAGTTTTATATCAGGGTAGACTGGGACCACTGGGTCCAGTAGCCCTCAGCGTACCTATTGGACCCAGACGATCTGATTGGGTGCGTAGCTATTGGACCCAGAGGTCTGATTGGGTGCGTTACGTACTGCCCCAAGCAACACAGCTCCGGAGGACCAAGCTAGACGACAGAAGTGCATGCACGGGACTACTCTGGCTCGCGACTGCTCCTCGGATAGACTATGGCGATGCGGCTGTGTACAATGCGTTCTAGTCGTTCTTTGGGGAGAAGAACACTACGAGAGAGCTGCGGTAATCCGTTTCATCTGCCATCACGGCGACTGATACAGTGCTTTCATGATGATGCTATATCATGATCGACTTGGAAGTGTTGGATGGAAGTGCATTCCGAAACCTTCCTAGATCTCTAAAGATCAGGTTATTATAATATCGTGAAGACAGAAGCTGATATTCTCGTATGCAGAATTCGTGGCAATTTGCCACCCCCAGTTTCGATCTTGTTCCTCTGATCCTCTGATTTCTCGCTATTTACACGTTATATATCAATTTTATCGCTATATACACCTCGTGCTGCTCTAGTTGTTGTTAATATAGCTCAAGGTGACCGTCCTTCTGATGTTGCTAGTCTTTTAGCGATATTAGAGTTCTATCTAACGCGCGAGATAGCTCTCAATTTAAGTAATAAAATGCCGCTTAACGAGCATAATAAGGACCTTATCGAGGCCATGTTTCGCGACAACTGCGACGTCAATACCGTCTGCAAAGTCATTCCCTATGCAGCTCGTAGGACGGTGTATCGTATGTATGAGAACATATAGCACTTTAGCTAGGTTAGGAAGCCTTCCTTAGCACTAAAGAAGCGTGGCGCCCCGAAGAAGATAACACCAGTTATACGCGAATACCTTATAGAACTGCTCTCCGCGAGGAACGATCTCTGGCAGGAGGAATTGGTGTTCGAATTATGGTGCGAATTCGACATAGCTGTTAACTAGTCGACCATTAGTCGCCTGCTAGCTGAAGAGGAGCTATTAAACAAGGTTAATACACGTATCGCAAGTCGCTAGTCTGTTGCGCAATAGGGAGTTTATCTTAAAGAATTGGCTGATCTAATGTCTCGAGGCCTTACGGCTGGTCTTAACCCTATAGATATGCTGGTTTATCTTGATGAATCTGTATGCAGCGAGAAGGTGATGTTCCGCCGCCGCTCTTAGAGTTAGATAGGTCTGCCGGCCTATATAAGGTCAGACCTAGTCAACAAAGTTCGTTGCTCGGTATTACCAGCTCTAGATGTCCATAGGTATCTATATGGCTCTACCCTCGTTGTCGAAGGCGCGGTTACCTAAGCCATATATGAACACTAGCTAGAGACAGTAGTGCTACCACAATGCGAGCCATTTCTAGGTAGAAGGTCGATTGTAATTATGGACAATTGCTCGACCTACCACTCTGATCGAGTATGTGCAAAATTTGCGTATAAATGGCAGGGCCTAACATTGTCTAGATCACCGAGCTAGGTCGGCAGTTTGGCGTATATTTGCTGTACCTGCCGCTATACTCGCCACATCTAAATCCTATAGAACAGACCTTCCACCTCTTAAAACAATGGCTTCGTCGTTGGAGGGATCTGGCGCTAACTCTAGAGGGCATAGAACTCGCAGATTACAAAGCGGCGTAGATTAAGCACCTCGAGGGCGTAGTAACTTAGGCACTGAACGACGTTAATATTAGGAACCTGTTCGGTCGTAGTCAGGTACCTTCGATTAACATGATTAGAGCTAGAGTCTGATTGCGTCGGTGAGCTCGAGCTATCTAAGGAGATAGTATAGGCATCGATGTTAGTAGCATAAGAAGGACCTTGATCTACGCGTGGAGAGGAGTGTTGCTGTCGCTGCTGGCGCTTGTATATATCCACGAACTTAGACAATTCTTTATGAATAGTCACGCGGAGACCAGTCTGCTTAACTACCCTTAAGAGTTTCTTGTCGGAAGAGGTTAATAGCATCTTCAAATTCTAGTAGTCCTCCTCGAGCGTAGCCTTTGCTCTATCAAAGCCTAAAGACTAGTCCGGGTAGGCTAATTTCACAGCCTCCTAGAACGCTTCCTATGAGGCAGCATTGTTAAGCTTAGTCGGCAAGGGTGAGACCTGTCGAGGAGTAGGAACAGTCGACAAGAAGGAGGGAGCAGTAGGAACTGTCTGCTCTTAAGGTTGCTAAGGTCCTTGGTTAACATAGATGTGGTTAACAGTACTAGGTGATGCCGCTCCATTCGAGGCCTGATTCTAAGGCCTCCGGCGCTTCTTAAGCTCTGCCTCATGTGCCTAGTGCTAACGCTGGATCAGCTTGCGTATCTCGCGCGAGGGTATCTCGAGGGTGCCCTAGCTAGCTCTAACAGCGTCTCGCCACCTAGCTGATATGGACAAGAACACCTCATAATAGCGTCCGCGGTAGACAAAACAGGCAAGACCTCTACGTGCCTTGATCTCACATCGCGCTAGTGTAGGACATTAATAGAAGTTTATAATACTATCCTAAAACACTGCTCGTTCGCCCATGTAATTAGCGGTCTGTTTAACTGAGCGCTAAGTTCGAGCGGCAAGGCGAGGAGCTTAAGCAGAGCTTGCTGTTGTAGATGCCTTGTACGTAGGAGGAGGCTCTAGCGCTAGCTCCTTGCCATCGGTTGTCTAGATAGACTCGATTATAATAGACAAATCTCTTAGGCCGGTGGAAGCGTTAAAGCGAACGAGGTCTATAGCCTTCTTCTACTACTCGTCACCATGCTTAAGTCTATAAAGAGTAACTGCTTTAGTTAAGCGTACACCTCGGGAGCCTGTCGAAGTTATTAGAGCTCTAATCCTCTAAGGGTAATACTTAGCGATTTCCTGATCTCTAAGATGAGGTACAATTGACCGATCTAGCTCCTGACGGGCTGTTACCTATGTCTTCTTAGTGTTAGCAAGGTCGGTATCGCCACTAGAAATCTTTTAGTAGCCCTAACGACTGTCATATTACAACTTAAATGGTATTAGGGCAGGTAGTGTCGCAGCGGTAGTACTATTGGTGATCGCGGTCGAATTTGATGATACTTTCTTCGCATAGAGGGTCCCCTTACCCTTCTAAGTGACCTTAGAAGGTTTGGTGACCTTATTCGTAGAGTTGGTTAAGCGACGGATAGATGTGGCTAGGTTGTTACATAGCTTCGTAGGTCGCGTTTAGGGCGCTAGAGCCTGTATCTTGGTCTTTTTGAAGTTTTTGATCCCCGCTTTTTCCTAACGTGTTCATAGCATTGGAAAGTGGCTTCCTTAAAGGGGGTACCTGTTTTAGAAGTGGTTGTGGTTGTTAGGTAGAGGTATCGCGTTTTGTTGTTGCCCGGCGAGGTGTAGATTCGGGAGGTGTTTGTTAGTTAATAAGCCGAATAGGAGCCTTGCCGCGCGTAGATCTTAGCGTGCTTATGATGGTCCCTTCTCTAATGTCTTCCTCTTCTTCCTCGAAGTGTACACGTCGTCTTGAGCCTATATAGGTAGGTGGTTAAGCTAGCGAGGGTGGTGGCTCTAAGAGGCTAGATTCGCGATTTCGGCTCTGCGAGCGTGTGCGCACGCCGGTTTAAGAGGCTACCACCTCGAGCAGAGCATTAGCAGCACTGGATTGATCCATATCGACGCGTATAACAGGTAATAGTACTATAGTTATATAGGAATCTAGCTAATAGTCATCATACTAGCAGTTGAGAGCAACAAGTTCGAGACCGGGGATGGCAAATTGCCACGAATTCTGCATACGAGAATATCACGTGATGATAGACAGTCGCAGTGGTTTAGTGGTAAAATTCGTGCTTGCCATGCACGAGCCCCGTGTTCGATTCACGGCTGCGACAACTTTTGTTTTTGTCTTCCGTCCCACCACTCCTCTTCTGAGCTTGAGAAGTATTTAGGCCAGCACTGCAGATTAACGGAGCATAGAAGAAGTATACTCTTTTGATTCTGGTGATCTGGTTCGTCCCTAAACTCCTTTCTTCTCCCTTCGACCAACCAGAACACCACGGAGGCCAAACGAGACCAGCTCGCAAAACACCTCAAACAAACCCACCCCCATAATGAACACCAGCACTCCTTGCCCCAATACTCCCATCTCCATCTCTGCTTGCTTCTGCCCAGTCCACACCCACACCCCCAGACGCAACAACAGCTTCCCCAATCCCTCTTCCCCACCCACTCATCCTTCTCGCACCTTCAGTCACAGCCCTACCACCAGCTTCCCACCCCTGCTGCAAACTTCTTGCCCCAGAAAGTCTGCGAACGCGTTCTTTGACGCTGACTTGATTTGCTTTTATGGCGCCGGTGGAGATTGCAGTGTTGAGTTTTGCGTTTAGGGTGGAGTGGAAGGCAGAGATCGAAGAGGCGGAAGAGAGTGTTGTGTAGTTTTTCGGTGCTGGAGGGTTGGTTAAGGAGGGAGGCGTGTGTGAGTATTCGATTTTTTTGACTTTGGGTTTGTCGGGTTTACTGGTTCTGGGTACGCTAGTGGGGTTGAGGGGTTTNGATGGGTGAGATGCTGGGATGTGAGAGGAGACAGAGCGTCTTGTTTCCAGGGTCGTTTGATGGCGTTTTCTTCCTACTGCTGGGGCTGGAGAGAGATGTGGCTCTATGGCACTGCGACGGCGGTACGAAGGTAAGCCTAGATGTATACCTTCGACGCTTGACTCAGATGAGGACGAGAACCAAGAAGTAAGTTGGGGTCGAGATTGATTGCGAGCTCCTGGGACTTCTCTGACAGGTCTTGAGATGGAAGTCCACTGATCAGTGGAATCCAGAGAGTTCTCGTAATTGGAAGTGATTGTGTGCAACTGTAACGAACTGTGCGGAGGAGCTGCAGTCCCCGAATGCCTGATCAATGGTCTAGCATCCAATCTCACTCCATCGACCGTCCTCACTACTGACACTTCCCTTTCTCTTTCTCTGCCCTCTGGCTCTTCCTCTTTCTTTGCCTCGGTTCCTTTCATTAGCACAGTATCCCTCACGACCTCATCCAAAGAAGCATACGTGCTCCGCGCAAGACTCTGCTCTTGTGTCTGCGGCTCAGTCTGAATCTGCGTTGTCCACTCTTGCTGCAAGTTTGCTCTCGCAACAGTCCTCTGCAAAGGCACTCCAACCTCAAAATCCAGCGTCGAGCCCGAATTATCCGAATGCAGCAAGTTTGTCAACGAACTCGCATCTGCAGCTCTAGTATCCATACTGCCAGTAGGACTAATCTGTTTCTCCTCAGCTTTCTTCCCATGACCATGGCGCTGTCGATGGGAAAGAGGAAAGTAGCGAGAGAAATCCTCAACTTCAGTAGCTTCTTCAGCATTAAAGTCTGCAAGAGCGGAAAGGAGTCGTTTATCCTCGTCAGGGCTTGTATCGCTATCCTCTGCTCCAAGTTCAAAACCGGTGCTAAAGGAGCAATCTTCGAAGTTAAAGTCGGGTAACTTGCTATCGCAGCCTCTGGAGGTGCTTTCTGTTTTGTTGTCATCTTCATCTTTGGTCTGTTCTGTGACTCCATCTCCATGGCTGTTATTTCCAGACTTGGCGGTCAAAGGTACACCTTCAGAGTCAGAGGAAGAATAAGAGCTTTCTTCTTCATCGTTGGAGGTCCCAGAGTCCAGCTTGGGTGGAGAGAGGAGACTGTCAATTCTCGTTTTGCGACACTTGTTACGAAAATGGTCAAAAGCTGCCGAAAGCGAGGAGCGGCGTCTGTCCTTTGGAGAGGTCATTTTCGGTTGTTTAGATGAGATCTCAAGAGAAAACAAAGTATGCTTGCCGGAGTAACAACGAAAGACAACAAGTTGATCGTTGGGTGAGTGCTTTGTGGAAATTTGGTCAACGGATGTAGCCACTGGGCAAATGATGCCAGGCGCATGAGAAGAGGAACGTTCGTCTCATCTGCTCAGCTCGTCCTGTTATATGGTATGTTCATGGCCAGGTCGTGTGCGATAGTTGGTGAACGCTATCAGCACGTCAGTTTGAGTTGGCAGAATCAAAACCTGATCACATCATCGTTCTCTTATCAGTAGCCCTGCACGCTCATCTATGCTTGGCCATCTCTTTGCTCGCGACTACACATGTCTAAATATCAAGAAGAAGAGAGCTGATAGGCTCGACCTTGACGTGCCAAGGAGCATAACTCTATCAGACGATATCAGAGGTGAAACAACGTACTCACACGCATGTTGAACGTGCACTTGGCGTTGGAAGAGCAGCGATGTATCAGGTGAGAGTATTTGGATTGGTCTATATACCTCCGCAGTGGAGCATAAGAAAAGAAGTCAATTTGGGTGGAGAGCGTGAACGGCGAACCTTGAGTGCTGTCTCAGAATGTGACAACCTTCTTTCGCGCCGTGAAACCATGATCCATCCAACGCCGTGATAACGTAAAGAGAAAACGAGCAGAGCGCGTAGCAGAAGCAGCCTCCTCTTTTTGTCTTCTCTTTTCTTCAGTGTGAACCTCCTTTTTGCCCCTCTTAGGGACCATCCATCCAAATTATTATGTGTCTTCGTAACCGTCATGAAAGCACAACCGCGTGCAGTTATATGAAAAGAAAGAAAAAGAACTCGACACGACGGAAGCGTGGAGTAGGGATGATCATAGAAAGCAGAAATGTCGAAATGGTGTATGTCGATGATGTAGAAAGCGTTCTTTACTGGAGCTCGGGGAAGAGCTTCGCGTAAGGGTTCTCCTTGATCTTTGTGGCGGCGTTGATGCTGCTAGAAGGAAACAACGATTGCTCGTCGAACTGAGCGCCGAGACCATAGTCGTTGTTTGTGGGGAATAGAGAGTCGGTGTTGTTGTAGTCTGAAGGCAGGTACTTGGACATGTCGAAGTCGTCGTTGGCCATTTGCATATCCATGGAAGCATCACCACCAAATACCTGGTTTGTCAGAGGTTGAGTTGGAGCAGTGAGCATAGGATCAGAGCCGTTGACCAAGAACTGAGGTGGCGAAAACAACAGGCTCTGATCACTGATGTAGTTACTCGGGCCTGCCTGGAAGCCTTGTTCCATCTTGAAGCCGTTGTTGGTAACGAATTGTGGGCTATCCTCAGGCGTGGGAGGGTTGAAAGCATCATCGAAGGATGTCTCACCTTGAAGCAGCGCTGAGTTAGGTGCAGTGTTGACAGCCGACGAGTCATGAGACAAACGACGGTCGTCAACAAGCGAAGGAGTGTAGAGAGGGTTGTTCACAGCTGGAGTAAATGCACTAGCCCAATCAAAGTTGAAGTGATCAACAAACTCTGGCTGGAAGTCCATAGCCATGTTGAACTCGGGACTCTCGAAGGGAGTCATGTTACCTTGGCCCATCGAGGGGACCGAGAACTCTTGGGGAGAAGTCAGGGTGGTCGACAGGTTACTCACTGGAGGGTACTGCTCTGTGTGCATGTACGGAGTCGTAGATGTAGATGCAGAGACCGATGAACTTGATGGAGTGGACGCGCTTGCAGCGACACCTCCGATCAACTTGATGGGTTGTTGCACAGGCTCCTTTTGATCAGGCTTCACCTTGGTCTTTCCGTTCTTGACGGTTGTCTTTGAACGAACGTATACCCAGCCGTGGGCTTTCTCCATGTGTGACTTGCAGTTACTCAGTCTCTTCGACTGATAGGGGCAGTTGTTCACTGTGGACCAGTAACAAGCATACATGATCGGGGACTCGGCATGCTTGTCGTTGACGTGGCGTTCGCACTCTTTCTCGGTGGGCCAGCCCTCTTCGTGATACTTGCAGTCAGTGTGAGGACACTTCCAGGGACGCTCGTGACTCTTCATGTGCTTCGTACGGTCGCAAGGACGGCGGAAGATTTTGTCGCATCCGTCAAAGCCACAGTCGTACGTCTTGATGGGCTCGCCCTTTCTACGACGGGCCATGGACCTCTCCACGTCATCATTGAAAGAGTCAGCCATCATGGGACGCTTCGATGAAGACATGGAGTGGTCTGGACGAGAAGAAAGAACGGAGCCATCGAGCAGTGAAATATCCTTGCCAGCTTGGTGGCGGACGAGTTGGAGAGGCGTGTTGTGAGTCACATCGTCGGCATCACTTGCACCTCCCCGGAGGCGGCCGGTGAAGCCTCCCGCAGTTGCAGGCGTTCGTCGCTGAGTCATCTGTTAGCGCAGAGTCTAAATTTGGGATATCGGCTAAACTTACGAGGTAACATCCATCTCGTCGAGTTCTTCTGCTCGTTCTCTCTTTGCGCGAGTCGATGCCACGATCTGAGCGTATCTGCGGATTTGACCGACCAAGTCGATGAAGTAGTTGCTGGTGTAGGGGCGATCTGAGGGTGAGCAGTGGTCTGATTCGTGGACGATGTCGACAGTAGCGTGAAGACAGTCGATGTAGGTTTCGCAGAAGTTGAGATAATCAGAAGGAGTACGAGAGTAATCCTGAGAAATAGAACGAAAATAAGCAATCGAGCGGGCAGAAAGGCCGCAGCGAATACTTACAGGAGCCAAGAAGACCAACGTCTTTTCGAGGTCACGAAGGGTGGTGATCTGTCGAGAGGCGATGCGTCGAGGAACTCCTCTGACAAGGGGNTGGAAGTCCTTGAGAGCCTTTTGTTGAAGAATAGGCTTGACAATATAGTTGTGGATCTGCTCGCAAGCGAACTCGCTGAGATGTTCGTCGGCGTACGAGCTAGAGGTTGAAGAAGTAGACCTCTTCAGATCGGAGCCTGACGATAAACAATAATTAGCGCTGCCTAAATCGTCGACAATAGGAGACGAGTAAACGGTACCTTTGGTCGATGCCTTGGTTTTCTTGTTATCGAATTCGTCTGAATCGGCGATGCTAGAACCCAGACCACTGTCATAAGCATTGTTGGGACTATCACGACGTTCTTCGGCGATGGCTTCTAGACCAGAGTTGTCGAGAACACAGCGAGGGTGGGGCAAGGCTTCAGGCTCGGAAAGAAGCTTTCCAAGAGCAGCGGCGGAGTTGTTGTCGGCGATAACTTGGTCCACTTTGAGGAGGAAATCCACGGCTCTTCTTTCACCGGCGCCGATGAGCAAATCTTCAAGAGCTTTGGGGCTTGTGACGGAGCGAGTAGTCATAGACCGGGCGATGGCGTCGAGAGGGTTGAAGAGTTCTGACTTGTTGGATGATGGAGAGTGGAAGGTGGTTCCCTTTTGAATAGACAGGCCGGCGAACGAGTCGATCAGGGCAGCAGTGGTTGAGGGACTGCCCTGACGACGGCGGGGGTGGGATGANGTTTTGGATGGCATGTTGGAAGGATGCTGTCGGTGCAGCTAGGTGGTCTGAGAGTGTGCGTTGGTCGAATCAAACAGGCCCGAGATGGAGTTGATTGGTCGCAAGACACGGCCAGTGCGGGTGAGTCACGTCCGGACAGCAGCGACAGCTGTGAATGGTGGACCCAGTTGGGCGCAGATCAAGAACGGACAGCAATGCGACGTATGGTGTGGGTAGCAAGAGCTTGACCGGTGATGGCGGCGGTGTCGAGATGCGGGATAGCGGGCGAAGTATAAGGGTCGAGATTCGAGAATGGAGTAAAACAGACGTCGCAAAGTTGAGCGCGGAGAAGGGATAGATGAATAGTTGCGAGGCCAAGCAAGGATTACGATGCTGAAGAAGCGAAGGCCACGTTGACAAGGGCGAAGAAAGTCGTTCGTTCGACTCTTCCTTCGGTCGTCGCAGGCTTGTTGGAGTTGTTAGGCAGCAGCCATTCGTACTCCGCCTCAGCCTTCCTTCCTCGGATCAGTCATCACGCGTCCACGTGCACACTTTACCAATCAGTTTTCTGTTGCTGGTTCATGTTGTCGCAGCGATTGTTTCTCTTTTTCGAAGAACATTCAGGTCCCTCAATCCTTATACTAGTCACATACCACCTTGCTCTTCGTGCTCACCTTCGTCAGTAGTTCTACTCATCATCAGGGTCCGTGGTCCCTCCAGACCGTTGGAGCGAAGTCGGATGTCGGCCCAAATGCAACGCCGACGGGCTGTTTTCCAAACCTCACCTCGTCAGTTCCAGGAAAATGGTCTCTTCCATTCGAGTCGTCTTGCTTCTTTCGCGGGAAGGATCAGAAATCGAGTTTCATGAGTCGCCCGTGGTCTTGCCGGCTCATTGGAAGGATCAAATGACTCTTTGCCTTGCAGTAGACTTGTATCGCGAGTCGGCAGTGTCAAAGTAGCACTATCGGGTCTCTGCCGCGAGCCGTGTGGCTTCACCGGATGGTAAGGCTGAAATCACATGATGTCTTGGCCGAGATGGAGATTGCACAAGCTGTGCTGCATGGATAGTGCAGATGATTGATGAAGTCCAGTACACGCCAAGCAAATGAACTTCGTCCCAGATACAAATTTCTTCGGCAGCAAACTTCTCTCCTTCCACTGCATCGCCATAACCGCGAAACTCAGAGACAGTCTCGTTTGTTCAAGAGTTACACTTCAGAGGTAAGCCACACTCGCCAACCAGCACATATTCCTCCCTACCCTCGAATGATGAAGTATTTTCGGATGTAAAAACATTATTGTCTTGTCCGAGAGCGCAAAACCGTGTGGACATTTTCCGTTGCCTTCCTTCTGACTCCCACCACTATCTTACTTGCATACCAAGCTGTCTTGGCCTCGATCATTGTTAACGAGACAACAGGCTTCCAATAATCTTCTGTCGAATGTGGATTCAGTGTCGAGAGATGGAATGAGGTGGCTGGCATTGGCCGAAAATATATACTCTAGCATGGCAATACACTCCGTCTTCTATCTACTACGTATCTTCCCTGGGACTCGTGCTGCAGTAGCCTGTTCTCAAAAAATGGCGTGAACATCTCAATTGAAGCTGGACCATCTGCCTAATCTTCCGAGAAGCAATTTCCCGCGAACAGATCGACCGACTTTCTCTCTCATTTAACCCGACCTTCATTCTTGCGCATCCCACACAACACATTCACAATGGCCGCCCCAAGCAAAAGTATCGGTCGCAAGACGACATCGACCAAGAATCTGGGCCATGTGCTCATCACCGGAGGATGCGGCGGACTGGGTACACAGATCATCAACCTCCTGCTCGAGCGCAAGGCATGCACCAAGCTCTCAGCTATGGACTTGCGACCTGCCGCCGAGCCTATCCAAGGATGCGAGTATCACTTTGGAGACCTGACCAGCGAGGGTGCCATGCGCGAGCTCTTCGTCAAGATCAAGCCCGACATTGTGATCCACACTGCCAGCCCCAAGTTCAACATGGCCAACGAGATCTTGTACAAGGTCAACGTCGACGGAACCAAGACCCTCCTCCGTGTGGCGTCCGAGACTGGTGTCAAGGCCTTTGTCTACACTAGTAGTGCCAGTGTCATCAGCGACAGTGCGACCGACCTGATCAATGCCGATGAGACATACNCCCTCGTTACTGGCAAGGAGCAGCCCGACTACTACACCAACACAAAGGTACGACTCTCTGGTATATCCGTATACGGCAATCACTAATCGCTATCACAGGCTCTTGCCGAGAAGTCCGTCCTCGAATACAACCGTCCTGCTTCGAACCCTCGTTTTCTCACCTGCGCTCTTCGTCCCTCTGGTATCTTTGGTGTCAACGACCAGACTCTTCTTCCTCCTCTGCTTGCAGCATACTACAAGGGCCAGACCAAGTTCCAGCTTGGCGACAACACCAACCTCTTCGATTTCACCGAGGCTACCAATGTCGCTCACGCACACCACTTGGCAGCGGCTGCTCTCCTGACGACCTATGAGCGCGAAGAAGCAGGACAGATTGCTCCCTTGAGCCACGAGAAGGTGGACGGTGAGTCATTCTTCATCACAAACGACTCGCCCATGTACTTCTGGGACTTTACTCGCACTGCTTGGAAGGAATGTGGTGACACAACTATGCCCAGTCAGGTCTGGACAATCCCCAAGGACTTTGGACTGTTCATCGCAACCCTCTTCGAGTACATTTTCTGGATCTTCCAGCTTGAGNTGCCAAACTTGACCAGACAANAGGTCAAGTACAGCTGCATGACAAGATATTACAGCATTGAGAAGGCCAAGAGAAGATTGGGTTACAGACCAGTTGTCGGCGTTACCGAGGGACTCAAGAGAGGAGTGGCAGACGCTGTGAGAAGGGGAGCGATACCTGGCAGCCCTGAAGAGGCGCAGCGCCTGAGTGCAGAGTCCAAGAAGGCTCAGTAGATGGATATATAACGTGTTGATATTTGTATGATCTCAATATAAGGATTTCCCCACAGTGTTCGAAATGTTGGCTAAATGACCCCGATCAGGAAGGATGTTTTGCTTGGCTTCCCCTCGTTTCAACTCTGCGACAAACAGAGACGAACAAGCAAGCTCTGACCCGCCTTTTGCTTGTGCCTACTCGGTTGGTCGAGCCTTTCTCTCATCATTTGGCCTTGTTTTCCAAAGACTTTTCAGCACCTCAACAGCCCGGTCCTCCCACAGCACATTGCCTGCCATGGCTGACACATATCTTTNNTCTTTCCTGCGCTCGCCAACCGAGTCTGCGCTTGCACCTGATGCTGCCCTTCACTACATCACCACGACTACCTCGGTCCACGAGTCCGCCGCCATCATCAGACACTACCAGGCACAGGACAAGGTCGTCAAGAAGAAGTCAGAACATGTCTTGAGCTCCTTTGGCAGCTCCGACGGTGCCGTCGTCGAGACCGACACAACCTTTGAGTTCATCCGTGGAGGCGGTGCTATCCTTCCTCAGATGGATGACAACATGCTGGCCGACTCGGTCGCTTCTCTTCCCATGGTTGGTGCTGTCCTTGCACTCACAAGCTACCGGATCTAACGCATATCAGNNGTACACGTCGTCCAATACAACAACCAAGGCAAGATCAGCCAGATCAGACTCTATTGGGATCAAGCAACCATGCTCAGACAAGTCGACGCCATTGGCAAGAGCGGTCGCAACTGGCCTATCCGCGACGGCACCAACATGGTCAAGACAATCAAGAACAGCATCAACAATGCCGGCTCGACTACCGCATCGCTGCCCACTCGTCCTGTCTCGAACGATGTAAGCACATCCACACAGGCGCAAGCCGGTGGCCGCCAGAACGGTGACTTCCACGCTCGTCTGTTTGCCACTGGCGAGAGTCAGGAACCCCGTGCCCAGGCCAGCGCCAACCCTGAATATGCTGTTCGTACATCGGCCAAGCCCGCTCCTCGTCAGATGGATGAAATCTTCGCCAACGGTAGTTCTAACGAAGGTTACAAGCCCGAAGGAAAGCCTAAGGCCGGTTCTGGCAAAAACTTCCACGATAACCGCCTCTTCGACGAGAACACGCAGCCCCAACGCATTCTTTCCNCCGAAAGCAAGAAGATCGACCCCAAGAAGTTTGATCATTTCGAGTTCCCCAACGGCGAGGGTAGTGCCTCCGCTTCAGACATGTACAGAAACATGTCTACCAAGGACTCGAAACACACCAGCAACTGGGACTTCCAAGACTTTACTACTCCTGAAAAGCACAAGCCTAGACCGAACCCTGAGCAGGAGCGCCATATCGGTCCCGGTGTAGACGAGGTATGTGTCCCTCTGCTCAACTTACCCATCTACTTCTAACACAATACAGNNGATCAAATCTCGCCCGAGAAGCGCCCCATCGTTCACGCCGCTCGTCCAGACGCCAATGCTCACTTCGAGATCTCGGACGATAGCCCTGCTGGTCCCAAGGCGCCCTTCAGCAACCACACCAACGTCGACAAGTCTAGACGTGGCGATGAATACCAACCTCACTTCAACCTTGGCCAATCAGATGCCCCCAAGAAGATCTACAAGACTGCTGGAAACGGAATGGGCGGCCGTGCTGGCGCTCCTACCCTTTGGGATGAGCCTGAAGCACCCGGTCCTGAGAAAGCCATCTACAAGACTTACGGCAACGGCATGGGTGGGCGCAGAGACGGTGGTCTCTCATGGGACATCGGCGACGAGGGTGACAGCTCCAGACAGCCCGCCATCTACAAGACACGAGGCGATGGCATGGGAGGTCGTCGTGACAAGAATGCCACAACCGAGAACGACACTGTTTCTGGCGCCAAGGGATACGCTTCCTCTGCACGCGCTCAGAACTACCACTCTTCGCAAAGAGATGACGAGTACGAGTTCTAGATGACTCGACTCTTGAATCAGTTCTGCACTCAGGCGCATCGGGGTCTCGATTTCTTTATACCCTTTTCTATGTTCCAGAAAGGGGCATGTTTTTCTGTTCAGAGCAGCATCGAGTGCTGTTTTCGACCTTTTGATACGAACATAATGGATATGAGATGTATCTTTTCCAACTAGCGTTTGCTTAGCAAGTCGATGTGAAAAGTCATAACAAGGTACCATATCGTAATGTTGAGATGATAGCTCGGGCTTTTAGACGGTCAACAGTAATATCACTAAATAAGGCTCTGTCTATATAGTCACATATATGAGGTAAGCCGCCGTTCAACTGATGGTCACATCAGAAGCACAGTCATACCGAACATCGAGGCACAGGAGAAGCGATTCTGATGATCATCTCAAGGAAGAAGAGTAGAACAGACGATTGACCAGGGTCGTACCTGCGTGCGGACGAATTCCGCTTTGCGTCGTTTGCGACTGCGAATACGATGAATACGAAGTGACGCAGCTTTCACGCAAGCTACACTTCACGAAACATTGGCATTTGCGACCGACGCGATTGATGAGGTGGAAGGAGCAACTGCCAGACCTGGACGCGACCATCACAGTTTAGGAATCTGATCGGATTACAAGACACCATGCCATACCCCTTCACATTACCGACGACATCGTCAACACCACTAGACGCCTTCATCAGCAGCCCAAGCCATCCTTCTCTGCCACTTACGGCCACGACGCAACGATCAATCCTCCGAGATGCTCTGAAAAAGCACAAAAGATTACCCACCACACAACAAGCAGCTCACTTGGGCGTAGTCCAGGACGCGATCAATGGCTATCTTCCCTACACTTTGGGCATCGCGGCGGCCATATCTTCAGGCAGGATAGGAGAGGAGCCTGTGTCGGTCACGAATACAAAACAGCTACAGACGGAATGGCGTCTCACTCTTTCGGCAACATTACCAGGCCGTGAACCGCCCCGGTCGCCATTGGCAGGCATATACAACGATGTCACATTCGTCTTGCAGACTCTGGCATACATTCAAGTTCAACAAGCGCGTGCGCAACTTCAAATCCTCTACTCATCCAACATACCCTCGCCGGACCGTCGGACTGCAGCAATCGGCTCAGCCATGAAATATCTCCTCGAAGCAAACTCAATTCACAACTATGTCCTGAACCTACATACCCAAGACCCGGCTTCTGCGCCTCTAGACACGGTCAACTCGACACAAGTTGCTCTCGCAGCTTTGGCTCTTGCAGAAGCTACTCTTATCACTGTCTTGAAAGATGATCCATACACCACTGCTGTTATCCAAGCAAGGAACAAGGACGACAAGGAATGGATGATATCCGCCCCTAGCATCCCCAAAGTCCGCGCTCATCTATTTGCTCGACTCTGTCTCTGTGCCTCTGATCACGCTCAACGAGCAGCTGCCTCTTTGGCTCCTGGAATCGGCGCTTTGGACTCTTCTCTACTGAACTACGTCGATGATCTCCGTCGCACTGCTCGTGCAAAAGCTGCTAGGTTTTTGGCTTGCGATGCCGAAGCGACAGGCAAAACTGGAGAAGCAATCGCATATCTACGAGGTGCAAGACGAGAATTGGGCCTAGCACCCCTAGAACAGGATGCCAGCAAACGCAAAGGCTGGCAAGGAATAAAACAGACGTTTGCCGAGAAACGGGAAGACCGCAAGGTCGAAAAAGGTTCCGACGATTGGGGTCTCGATGCAGGAAAGCTTGAAGAGGCGAGAGTGTTGGAGTGGTTGGAGGTGAAATGGGTAAAATTGAACGATACTGTAAGTTGCTCCTGCTTATCCAGCCCCTCGCCTCATTTCTTAGAAAGTGGAAGAGACACTAATGCAAGCGAATAACAGATCAACAGTCAGCTCATTCCTTCGAGCGAACCACTCATGGCGACCATGCCTTCAGGGCGTGAGTACCATACTCCCAAGCCCTTCATCCCGCCAACGCTCGACGCATCTCTGCTGGCTCGTCTCCGAGCTCCTGTTGACCCTCATCAGAATGCTTTCAGGGGCAACGAAGCAGACAGTGGTGACGAAAGCATGGCTCGAGAACCGGCAGTCGTACCTGGCGCTTTTCCTGGTGCTGCTACAGGCGGGAACAGTGGGAATGCCTACTACTAGAAGTACTGAAGCATGCACCTGCGAAATCAGAAAGCTCACAATCACGAGAAATGTATTAACTTACGCTCTCGGCCTTCGGCCATTCAGCCATCCGTACTTTGATATCAGACTAGAGTCTAATTTGTGAGTGTAATCACATTGATGCTTGCTTTGGTTCTGCTCCTGGATGAATGTGAGTATAGTAGGACCATCAGCAGTGAAGAATCAATGCCAGAGGCTCATTCATCTACATAAACGTTCACAAGTTGCACACAACGCAACTCATGCAGCACCTGGCAAGAGAGACGAAGCCTTCGTCGCGACTACTACCCCGCATCGTTCGTGGTGGTCGATTCGTTGATAGGATAAGCTCGAGAGCAAGATAAGATGACCCACCACCACAGCTCTCGACTGCGTACGTGCCAGTTACTTATCTTGAACACCAGTGACGGAACACTTTCCGTCCGCCTATCTTGCTCCTTGAGCTTTGTAGGTCTAGCTGATTGGCTATGAAAAGTTCCATCTTCGCATGGAAATGCCTGAACCATTGTAGTGCAAGCTAAGGAACTTTAATGCCTGTTTATGCTCTTATCAGTAACATGGCGACCTCTCAATCTTCAGGCAATAAGAACGAGATATCTCTAACGAATACCCCAATCTGCAATCTCGCTCAGGCCTTTCTATCCAACTGGCTCAGCGAGACATGTCACAACGCACTCCGTCGACCCGCAAGAGCGTGGGTCAAGAACCTGTCACGTCTGTATTGCCTGAGGGCGACATACCTTTTGATCCAAAACATTCCTGGAACCAAGATGAAGAAACACTAGCTGCACTGGGTTACAAGCCAGAGTTCAAGCGCGAGTTCAATCTCTGGACTACTNTTTGCGTCAGTTTTGCTGTATTGGGTCTGTTGCCCAGCTTTGCCAGTACGTTGTACTATGGCATGGGATATGCTGGGACTGCTGGTAAGTGATCTCACTTTCGGCTCTTACTTACGAAACAGGCCGATCTTGGTGGAGGATATATACTAACGTGAACACCCANNGGCATGACATGGGGCTGGTTAGTCGCCATGATAGGCATCCAATCCGTCGCCGCCTCAATGGCAGAACTCTGCTCCTCGATGCCTACTAGCGGCGGCTTGTACTACAGCTCGGCCGTACTTGCCCCTGCTGGTTGGGGCCCTCTCGCCGCATGGATAACAGGCTGGTCCAACTGGCTAGGCCAAGTCACCGGCGCACCCTCTGTCAACTACGGCACTGCTGCCATGACTTTAGCCGCAGCCTCCATCGTCAATCCCTCGTTCACACCTCAGAACTATCAGGTGTATCTTCTGACAGTGCTGTTGATGGTCATTCATGCTTGTATGGCTAGCCTGCCCACCAAGACCATTGCTCGCGTCAACAGTTTTGGCAGTTCGTTCAATATTGTTGCGTTGATTGTTGTGTTAATACTTATTCCTGCGGGAACGAATAGGCAAGAGAAAGATTTGCCTAGGTTCGCGCCCAGTAAAGAGGTTTGGGGTGATATCTATACTGGCACGGATTTCCCTTCTGGCGTTAGCGTCTTGATGAGTTTTATTGGTGTCATTTGGATGATGAGTGGGTATGTTCTTTGATCGCTTTCTGATTAGACCTGTGGTTATGATTACTGACGATATGGCAGCTACGACTCACCCTTTCATCTAGCGGAAGAATGCAGTAATGCCGCCATTGCTTCCCCTCGCGCAATGTTCCTCACCTCAGCTGTGGGCGGCACCTTTGGCTGGTTCCTCCAACTCGTGGTCGCATATACCGTCATCTCTATCCCTGACGCCTTGTCCTCTGACCTCGGCCAACCCTTTGCCGCTTACCTCGTCCAAGTCCTCCCAGAAAGAATGGTTCTGGCTGTACTTTCCCTCACCATCATTGCCGGCTTTTTCATGGGACAAGGCTGCATGATTGCCGCGTCGAGAGTTACTTTTGCTTATGCCAGAGATGATTGTTTCCCCTTCAGCGATATCTGGAAACAAGTCAATTCGCACACCAAAACGCCGGTCAATGCAGTTTGGTTCAATACTTGTGTTGGGTGCTTGATGTTGCTGCTTATCTTTGGCGGTGCCCTTGCTGCTGGCGCCATGTTTTCCATTGGTGCCATTGCTGCTTTTGTCGCTTTCACCACTCCAATCTTCATCAGAGTCTTCTTCGTCGGAAACAGATTTCGGCCCGGCCCTTGGAATTTGGGGAAATTGTCTATTCCTGTTGGTGTGGTGGCTTCTGCGTTTGTTATTTTGATGGTGCCGATTTTGTGTTTCCCTTCTGTGGTTGGAAGCAACCTGACGGCGGAAACTATGAATTGGACGTGTGTAGTTTATGGGNGGCCAATGACTATGGTAATGATTTGGTGGGTTGTGAGTGCGAGGAAATGGTTCAAGGGGCCCAAGGTCAATGTACAGCATATGATGTTGGGCAGGGAAATTGATGGTACTGATGTATTGATTGGAGAGGATGTTGGTGGGGAAGATACTGAGAATAGTGTTGTACCGGTTGATGGTAAAGCTGCTGAAATTGTCAAGGTATAGAGGATGGACTGATGTGTGTATCAAATTTACTGTAGTTTCTGGCTCATACCCTTTCTTTGCACTAAGTATGTCTTCCTAGTTTCGATACTCTCAGTCAACAGCAACGTACACAACAGAATCTGTTATAGTGGCTAGGCAGGAAGCCCGTGTACAGAAAGATTAAAAACCTTTGCCTATCTATCCACTGATGCTAGATCAAACCAAGACTGCGAGAACAACCAAGAATGAAAGATATATGCCAGAGGAAGGAAACAATCGGATCTGTGGATCTGTCCTTTGCTTTGCAGTCTCAAAATCTATCAACAAGACTGTTTGACCATGAACAGAATTATCTAATCAAGAGACACGCACAAGTTGATCAGGGGATATGGACCTGTACGATTCTTGTCCTTTGCCTGCTCTGCGAGACATTTCAAGTCTGGCTGGCGCACTCTGGGAAAAGACACCTTGTGGTAAACAAGCTTGAGCTCAACCTTTGGAGTGGTGAGATTGTAGTAGTGCTGGACTTGCCGAACAGCAAAGGATTAGATTTATCCGAGCAGGGGTCGTTTGGCTAGATGATATCTACAAATGTCCTGAGAAATGAAGTCTTTGTCGAGAACTGGCAGCATGTGGAACAACAATGTATAGAAGGGGTCAGTTTTAGTCATTCATCTAGTGCGTTGAGGGGAATTTTGTGCAGCATGTTTGCTTCATAGATGTCTATGGATATAAGAGCCCAAGTGGTGAACAGATGCTGCAAAGAGTTGAAGTTCATAATGGACAACATCAGGAGTCGATGACTTCCAAGCGTTGATGTGCTCGAGTCCTAAAACTATCCTCAGCTCATATGAAGTCGGGGAGTCCGCGAGGTTGATACGTGTCGAGGAACGAACCAGGTCTGTGTATCTCCAGTTCCGTTTATGCGATCTCAGGTCCATGAGCTCGAGAGATTCGACTCAGAAGAGCATATGTCAATACCTCAGGGGTCATGGACCTGTCCTTTTCCTTGCCTTGGTCTCTGCACTGGGGCTAGTGCGAAGCATGTCGTGTCGTGACTTGCCCGACCAGTGTATGCCACGCGACAGATATGTTGTCGTCAACACTCTCTATTCACTCATCATGCTCTAGGCCGCAAAACCCTCAGATACGCATTGACTGTACTCGACGGCTGATACTCTCATCAAAGTCACGCTTGAAGTAGTTAGAAGCTTGATATTCGCCGAGTGTTACTAAATTGTAGTTTCTAGAAGAGAGAGATCTGGTTATGCGGTTGGACCAATTTGCCCGGATCAGTGCTCACACGAACAACAAAAGCTCAGGGAATGAAGGTTGGAAACAAAATATATACTAAGGATCCTAAGATACCAATCAATCTAATGCTAAAACTGTGCTTACTATCTAATCATGCAAGATTTGTCGTGAATGTGTTCAGTGCACCATGCTCTTGCCAATCTCCGACTCCCAGTTCTCGGCTCGCTCGAAGCCGTTGGTGTAGCCTTGGTAGTCGGCCATTGCTTTGTAAATTCCCTCTGTGCTGGTCTGAACGAATGGGCCGTATTGAATGATNCTGAACAGCCGTGTTAGTATATTTGGCGACTCTGGAGGCGTGAAGAAACTTACGGGTTGGTTCAAAGGCATACCAGCAACCAAGATGAATCTGCTCTCCTTGTCTGCGGACTCGGGGACACTAGCGACAATGCTGTCGCCCTCTTGCTCCAGAACAGCATTGTGGTATTGCGGGATCGTTCGCGAAGTCGATCCAGAAGAGAGATTGATACTGTTGCTAAGAGTGTAGATGAACGTATTCCATTTGTGCGGCAGAGGAGTGTTGAACGTGCCGCCTGGCTGTACCCTCACATCCAGCAACCAAACAGGTGTGTATGCCAACTCTTGCAACGAATCAACGCCATATGCGCGTCCAGAGATAACCTTGACAGTGACCTTGCCATCCTCGGAGTTTGCGACGGGGATCTCGGAAGCGCGCAAGTCGCGGTAACGGGGTTCGCAATCTTTGAGCTGGGCGGGGAGATCGACCCATAGTTGCATGCCGATGTTTGCGCTGCCATCGGGGTTCTGTGCGGGCATCTCGGCGTGCACGATGCCTCTTCCTGCTGTCATGAATTGTAGGTCGCCGGCGTGGATGGTGCCCTTGTTGCCGGCAAAGTCTTCGTGGTCAACAGCGCCGCTGAGGAGGTACGTAATTGTTTCTTGACCGCGGTGAGGGNNATGATCGGGGAAGCCAGCGCCAGGGGAGATGGTGAAGTGGTCNCTGTTGGATTGTGTTAGTGGTCTGCTTGCTTCGTGTAGGGGTTTGCAAGGACTTACGAGCATGAGGAAAGGTGTGAAGTTCTTCAACTCTCTTGTGCCGACTGATCTTCTGACTCTTGCGCCTGCACCCTCGGCTTGATCGATGGCCTCGAACACCTTGCGGATCTTGCGAGGAGTGGTGGAAGTGGCAGTCAGCGAGGGGTCATTGGGCGGGATGACAGGGAGGCCCTTGAAGGTCGACTGTGCAGGTGCCATTGTGGTGTTCGTCGTTGCTGCGTGGGTAGTGTTTGTAGCGGTCGTGGCGATGTTCTTTGTAGTCAAGTAGGGTAAGATAACTTGTCGTTGGTGGTATGCGACAGCTGCAATGCAGATTAAGATGGAGATGAGCAGTCTCATGAAGGCGACGCACGCTTTTTATATACAAAGAAGAAGGTAGGAAAACGACGGAGGGACATGGAATACTTGGAGATGGTAAAAGGGAAACGACTTAGTCTGCATTTGTCTTCTTTACATTGCTATGTTGCATGACAGAGGCGTGGCCAGCTCTGACAAAGCCGACGCTTCTCGCTGGCCGACTTGGTTGTTGAGGAAATCCGGCCTAATTATTATTAATTATCTGCATTTTCAGATTAAATGCCGAGGCTCAGCTGTCGCTCTCACCACCCAACTTGTTTCCGTCAACATTCGTCGCCGACACGCTGCAGAATATTGCCCTGTGGTCGCGGACTTGCGCAAACTTGATCTTTTCAGGCGGAGCTCATGATTGTCTCACGCGTCTTCAAAAATGGCAACTAGATCCTTGATCAAGGCATTTGAAGTCACTCCTTTCCCTGGACATCAATTACATCTGACAAGAACTCTTCGGCTGCTATACAATTCAACATGGAATCAAAAATTCGATTACTCAACACAACGCGCGGATGCGACATGTTCTACAGGGCTCGATAAAATTGGCAATGAACCTAAACAGTTCAAGAAGCTGATCTACGAGGATGATCCCGAACGTCGCGCTGAACGTCTGAGATATATCAGGGACTACGTAGCTCGCAAACGCGCAACCGATTCCGAACATCTCGAGTACCACAGGACCTACAACCTGAACTATCACCGGCGCCGTAGAGCTGAGGAGTCCCCACTACGTGAGAGGGCATACAAGTGGATTGTCAAACATAAGTGGTTTCGGGAAGACTTGGAGTGGTCGTCGTGTCATCCCGTCTTCTTCCACGAGGCTGTGAAACATCGGTGCCATGAGTGCGATCTGTATAACGTTTCAAGGGTATGGTGGACGCTAGATTCGCAAGACTTTACCTGCCACAGCTGCTACATGAACCATCCAAAAAGAGGTCTCCCCAAAGACTACAAAGGCTGTACAACTATCAGAGAGATTGCGGCTAGAAAGGAAGCTCTACAAAGTCAATTGCCGCCCTCCTCGACCACCCGAACGCTAACGGGTCAGTCATGGAAGCCGCTTCAGACAGCATCAACCAGCTCTCGCTCGTTCTCTACTTGTCGCTCTGCTTGGACTACACCAAAGAATGACACGAGTCACGGAGAAAGACCTTTCCACGTTCCTCGATCCCGGTTACGATCTCGGATAACGAGCGAAGTCGATGTGATCGAGGCCAAGCGTCAATTGAATCTCTCTCGACAAGCCTGGAAGCTCGCTCAAGAGTCCGAACCTCAAACCTTGGAAAAGAGCAAAGACGAGATTCATCAGGCCAAGCTTGAATATGTACGTGTGTACAAGGCCTGGAGGGCTGCCAGCGATCCGGAGTACAAAGCCAGAATGCTCGCCCAACACCACCAGTGGCGTCAGCTACCTCAAGGAAAAGAGTGTATTGCCCGTTACACCCAGCAACCTGAAAATCGTTCAAAAAATATCGAAAGGTTGCGGGCAGCAAGAGCCACTGATCCCGTTGTCAGACAAAGAAATATGGTGTACGACTGGGTCAGACAATACCCAATGNGCTAGAAGTCTGTTGAACTGGGCTCCGTACCGGCCCATAATATATCCTCAAAAGGTCGAACATTACTGTCCAGGATGTATGCTCACAGAAAATGGTGGTTTCAGGNNCTGTGGTGGAAACGGATCCCCGAACCAGATTCGAGTGACGCCGACGCTTACAGCTGCCATACCTGTTTCGTCCAGAGTGCAGACGGTGGTCTGCCGAAAGCTTACAAAGATTGCACGACTTTGAGAGAGCTGAATACAAGGGTCGAAGAACTCGAGGGCGTCAGACCAAAGTACGAACGCAAGGGTCTCGACTATGAAGCAGGGCAAGGGAGCACTAGTACGTGATTAGTGTCGAACATAGAGAACCGAAACTGGGACGACTACACTGAAAAAGCGTCACCCTGCACAAGCTCGGTACGCTTTGTCATCCACAATCTCAGCATACGAAGAACATCACCAATTCCGTGGATCTACAACCATTAAAACCAATCGTTGAAAGTCAAGGTACCAGTCTGTGATCCTTGGTCATACGAGTCTCTCCAGGTTCTGTACTCCAAGGCGCTTCTGAAAGTACCGTCCCTAGCTTCACAACGATTTCATCCTCGGGATCATCCTTGCTTATGCCAGACCTGCCAAAAAAAGAAGAATATTACAAGCAGGATGTGGTTGCCAAACCTCAGGACACGACGGTATTTCCCTCACTATGACCAGACCTGGCCACCTGAGAGTTTGACGTTCGCATTTCTTGGGATCGCCGCACGCGCAAACCGTAGCTTCTACTACGTTAGTCCTCATGCGCAGAGGCGCTCCTAATGATAGCCCAATCTGATCCTTCAACGAAGAGAAACACGATTAACAGGTTGATGGTGTGTCTTTTGTATCTGGGCTGGGATACTCGATGCCGAACTCAGTACCTACATAACGCTCAATGCCTCAATAGTAGCGCTTGTGAAGACTTCCGACCAAACTCTTGAGGGGACCGATCTGTGGTGTGAGAGCATGATAGGAGAGGTCGTTGCCGAGGAGGAAGAAGGTCAGAGATGGATAATTGCTCTGGACCTACCGTAAATATCTATTCCAGTCTAACACTAGAGCTTAGACATATAGATGAGCCGATACACGAAAGAATCATCAAAATCATAGCTTTCATCCATGCCCTACAGTTGGTGTTTGGTACAAGAATGAAGTGCGGCTTGACTTTGCAGCAGCAGACAAAACGGCAGTCGCGACCAGGCAGCATATATTTGTCCGCGGTGCAAGAGCTCAGCAGCTATTTCACTGGTTACACTTCTGATTTGATAGACAACTGTGCATTTCTATAGCATACTATGGCACCATCTGCTGATCGGGAAAAGGGGCTACTCATCGAAGCTGACCACATGTTCTCTATAATTTACCACATATTTTCCAATGGGCGCCCTTGTCGAGTCTATTATCTTATGTCTCTACCTTACTAGAATATGACAGTCACGTGGTCTTCGCAGGCTGATCGGCCTGACCAAGCAGCGGGCACCCGTGCGGACTACCGACTCTTTCTCTGGGTCCTCTCACCCTTCCCGTCGCCAGTCATCGACCAAATGATTCTTCTTACTCTGAATGAACGAGACATCTCGATTCTTTGTTTGTAGAAGCGCTGCCCAGATCAACTTATGTCGTAGTATAAAGCTTTAGGCAAAAAGGCATGTGACACCCTACTGCCAAATGGTTCGCTCTCTAAGCGCCCACGTAGCGCTGCATGTACCGGGCAAATACCCAGCCAACCACAACCAACCTGAATGCAAGAGGTATGCCGACGCCTTGGTTGTCTCTTTGCAGCATGGTGGCCATTGCCAATAGACGCTGCAAGATGCTGCAGGTCTTTGTTTCGCAAGCCAATCACACGTCTGCAAATATTGCCCAGGGTTCAGATACACTGGCCCGGCGGTCTCTTGGAACCCGGATGGAGGCATGCGACAGCGCTGCTGCTTGCTCATGCTGCATCCGAAACAATTCTTGTGGTCTCCACTGCCTCGATTAAGCGCCAAGGTAGAGTGACTTAAGCACACTGAAGGACCCATTTCCTGACCTGTTTTTCTCTCTCAGATCGTGTTTTTGCATTTTGTATTTTGTCGCTTTTTGTTGCTTTTTTCTTTACTCTACCTTAAATTTGTATCCGCTGGCCGGACTATTAACATTGCATATATTCATATCAGCAGCAACGAATATACCAGGAGTCCGAAAAGCCCGAGCAAGCATATCAGAAATCTCGACACAACAGAAAGACGATACAATACCTTAATAATGGCGAGATATGTTCTACCCACGACAGTTTACCAGCCACCTCCGCAGGTTCGGAGGGAGGCGAGAGTTACCTTGATCGAGGACGAGATTCAAGTCAACGTACCTTCATATCGTTATCCATCAAAACTCATGATTACTTCACCCATGTCCGACGACGTGCCCACACCACGCGGTTTCGCAGCCAACATCACACCAGCAACAGACGCCACCTCTGTAGTCTCTTCCATGTGGAGCCAACGCAGTTCTAAATCGAGCTTTGACAGCCTTTATGATGTTACAGATAGCGAGGGTGAGGAAGTACCGCTCAAGCTGTCTGCATCTGTCAAGAAGCATGTTGGGGAGAGGGAACGCAGCAGGTACCCCTCTCTTGTGATACCCTCGCCCTCTCAATGGCCGTCTATCCACAAGCCACAGACTTTCCAGCCTGTTGGCTTGTCGCCTGCGACGAAACTGGCTTCTCCTTCTGCTTTTTCGGTATGGCAGGCTCAGAGATTGAGGGTGCCTAGTGGTACTTCAACGCCTTCTCTGGATGGAAGTCTGACGTCTGAAGAACTCGCGCTCAGCAGTTGTCCTTCTACTCCGGATCTTGCTTCCAGGGAGGAGATTGTCGATGAGTGGGAGCCACCGTGCCAACTCCATCCAGATGCATTCGAGACGTTGCACCAGCTCAGTCCAGAAGAAGCCACGAACGAGGTCATTGAGACAGTGCTCGAGGTGCCAGAGGAGGCCGCTCATGAGATGTCAGAGATTATCAAGAGTACGCCAGTACGTCTGGACTTTGCACTCCTGTCTGTCAATCCTGAGGATCAGTATACCCAAGATCCCATTTCTGCTCTCAGTGTACCTTCGCCCGGTGGCTTCTTCTCTTCTCTTGCACCAGTGGCCGCACAAACCTGGGCTATCAGGACACCGGAGCCATCAACCAGTGTGGCCGAAAACTTCTATGGTGTTCCATGGCGAGGCGCGTCATTGTCCGGCGGACAGCAGCAACGCGTAACAACAACTATCGTCACTTCTGCGCTTTCACCGGCGTCTCGCGGACCAACCACCGCAATCAAGGACGTCTTTTCTCCTATCGATCAGTCTGTAGAGATTTGCGAAATCACCGACGTATGTTTGCCTCCCTCAGAGTACAACGAGCAGTATCAGGAGAAACTAAAACAGTCAGCGTTGGCGCACTTTGAACGCACAAAGGGCTGGTTAGAAGATCAATCGACCATGCTTCCCAACGTTGTCACCATCGACAAGGTTGCCGCGCCGTCCACGTCCGACATGGCAAACTCGCCTGCCACTGTTTCCGAGGCGACAAGCAGTCCGTCGAAGAAGTGCGTCAGGTTTACGCCTGAGGCTGCTGTGTCGCCGAGCTCGTCCAACACGACTGTTTCTGCGCTTTCTTCACCTTTTGCCGACCTTGTGGTCTCTTCCTCCAACGACAACAATACAGACTCCATCTTCCTTACCGGTTTCAGATCAATCATGGAACGCACTACTCCCAAAGACGCCTTTGTGCACCGCCAGCCGCGCCTGGAAAGCACCCACGTCCTTCGCCGCAACTTCTCCACTGCTTACCTACGCACCCTCCACAGCGATTACGAGGTTGCTGAGCCCAGCCGTCCAGTCTCTACCCGCCCCATCTCGACCATGCTTCCTGCTCCATCCCCTGAGGATGATGCAAAGAGAGAAGTCATCGCCGCTGTCGAGCGCGAACGCAGTGTGCTCGAGCAGCTCAATCCTCAGTTGTGGGAGCTGGAGGCTCTCGCCTACCTCCGTGGTGGTAACCTTCTCACAAAGGAAGTGAACGTGCACATCGCTTCCACTGCCAATGCACAAATCCTCGACTTTGGAGGCAAGCCTAATGCCGACTGGGCTTGTTGCATTGCTACCGCGTTCCCCATGGCAAAGGTCTGCACTGTTTACTTTGAACCCACCACTGAGACTCTCGAGGCTCCTTCCAACCATGTCTCTGTCGAGTGCGAGAAGCCTTTCCAGCTGCCCTTTGCAGACAACACCTTTGATCTCATCAGCACACGCACTCTGCACTCTCTACTCAAGAGTGAGCACTGGGCTTCCACCCTCTCCGAACTCCACCGCGTGCTCAAGCCCTCTGGATACCTTGACTTCAACCTCCTTGACGCCCTCCTCATCAACGTCTCCGCCGGCTCTTGGGGCCAAGTCATGAATGCCGAGTTTGGTCACAAGCTGCAGCAACGCGGCTACGAAAGAGAGCCCACCAAGCAGTTCTTGGGCAGACTTGAGACTGCAGGGTTCAAGGACATCAAGCGCATGTGGATGTTCTTGGGCATGGGCGATGTGAGACCTACTTGGACAGATGAGGGCAAGAGTCCTGCTGTTTCCAAGCCACCTACTCGTGCTCTGCCTGCTATCCCTGGTGTTGGCAATGCGCCTACCCGTGCTTTACCTGCTATCCCTGGTGCTGGAAATGGAAAGCAGACAGTCAAGTCTCCCGTGACTCCCAAAGGCAACGCTTTTGCCAAGTCGCCTGCTACACCCAAGCTCCCCGCTTCCACCGAGTCTCCAGTCGAAGGCACAGTCAAACCTACCGGTGCAATCCACTACAAAGTCCCCATCCGTGACGCCGCTGGCAACATCCTCCTCGGCCCCGATGGCAAGCCTTGCTTCTACCCTCCTGCCCTCACTGGCAGCACCTCTGCCGTTGCCCCCGTGACAGGTCTTTTGGGCGCCAGACTCTGGGAACAGTGGGTGTACAAGTTGGCCAGGGAGATGGGTGGCGAGGCAGCCGAGTTGCAGATGCTGGAGCAGGTTTGTGGTGTGCTTGAGCAGGGAGGCAAGGCTGGCAGTGGAATTGGTTGTTTGTTGGGTGTGTGCAAGAAATGAAAAAGAGGCAAAGGAGACTGGTGATGGAACATGAAGCAGATGGGAAGTGATGATGATGAGAAGTGGTGATGATGTAAAGCATGGTTGAAGTGGTTGCTTCGTTGTCTTTTTCTTCTTCTTTTGCTGTTTTTCTTTTTGTTTCTTTTACCTGTTATCGTAATATCCTCCAGTCGTTCCTTTAATTTTTTTGATGTGTTGCTCGAAGACGAACCTTTTGCATGAAAATGACTATGTGTCTTGAAACTTGCGACATAGGAGTTGATGCAACCGACATGCTGACCCAGTAGACGACTCCCATCGTGTTGAACAAACAGCCGGTGGCAGGAGCAATTGCGCCCAGCTACAAACTAGCATCTATTGAAACCGCGTCTGAACCTCAAGCCATCCACTGGAGCCCCCACGTCGTGCAATCTGATTCATACTGTCATGGCTCGCGATGCGAATGCCGCTTCGTAAGGAGTCTTTGAAGCTGTAGATGGTGCCCAGCCGCAACAGAAAAGGCGTTATTGACGATGTTCGGGAGAAGTGAAATAAGGACAAGGTTCATGCGGCTTCTGTGGTGTAGATGGCGACTAATCTTTCAACGATATCCTCAACGTTCAGTCAAAGGATTTTGGGTGCGCTCCGATGGTCCAACAGATGCCTGTAGAAAGTCTAATGTGGGATGAATAGCTTTAGGCTGCACATCGTTCAGGTGATGATTGTTGCATGCTGTGCAAAATGTCCGTTACCGTCTTCAGGCATGCCTGTCCTTGTCGTCCTCTTCGCGCTCATTCTTGGCCTCGTCTGTCGTTTGCTCGGCTTTGGGGCGTTGATTTTTACTGAGCGGAGGATATTCCGGCGAGGTGAATATCGGAATCAATTTACTAGAGTAGGCTATCGGCACCATCAGGTCCCAGTTGTTGGCGAAGCAGGCATTGCACATGTAGCGGTCCTTGTCTGGATGGGTGTCTGTGTCGTGTGCGGGATTCTTTTCTTTCCACCAGCCTTTCAGGAAGCGGTTCTTGTCACAGGCTGTACAGTGGTGGTCAACTCGGTCGTCATAAAGAGCAGGCTTGTGAGTTCTCCATATCCAATTGTCTCTTTCCCATCTTTTGGAGGCGAGAAAACCTTGCAGTGAGGTTGCACGACGAGTGGCTAGGGCTTCATGTTGCATCTGTTTGTATACAAGGCGTCTGCTTTCCCATCGCTTCTTGTCAAGCATGTTATTCCTCTCCCTGGCTTCTGGTCTCCCCCTTGACCTGCGGCCGGTCGCAAGTTTCCTCTTGCGAGCCTCGGGGTACTCGGCGAAATATTGGCGACGGCGAGCGTTACGTTCTTGTCGGTCCTCGTCCGTCTATGAAGCTCTATATCTGCGGCTGTTCTCAGCCTGCCTCTCGCGCACTTCGGAAGACTCGGCGTAATGTTTGCGAATGCGAGCGTTGCGTCGTTGTCGCTTCTCGTCCGCATCTTTCTCACGAGCAGCTTCTGTGAGAGCGATAGCACGAGTGGTGAAGAAGGCTGCACGACCGAGCCAGAGAGAGGCGGGTGCCCATCGTATCCATTGTTATGGTTGGAAGAAGCGTGAGATGGTCGAAATTAGAGAGAACATGGTGGACATGTCCAGCGCGTCTGTCGAGTAGGACGCGAAGGGCAACGCCAAAGAGACTAGTCAGGTACGGACAGGTCTCGGCCTTGGTCGGAGAACAATGGAAGGCGCATCTGATTAGATCCAGGATTGTCGGGCAGGGGCTAACCGCAAGAGGCAGTGATGCAGGCCCCTAAAAGCCCAACCCCAGGCAAAACGCCGTGCACAGCTCTAATTTCCAACAAAAACAATGCCGCTGCAAACCGAATCAAGTCAAACAACAACCGATGTGTCAGGAGAAAAATGCCTTGACGCGCTGCGAGACAACAGATCAAGTCGTCTCTCTTGACCTGCCACTCTCATCGCATCCATCTCCCACTCACTCTCATTAATATCCCACCCACAACAGAACATGGACATGCAGCACCAGACTCACAGAGAGCCGCCATCCTTCATTTTCACCAGAAGCACCCGCATATGGGAATTGCTGGCTGGAGATATCGCTGCTGCCGCTGTCTCTGCCACTTTGGTCGCTCCCACAGTGACCATCATCGACAGAGCAATCGTTGAAAAGGCCTCTTCCAACCAGCCTCTGTTGAGAAGTCTCCGTCACCAAGCCTGGTCTCTGGTCAAATCCCCGCGCCAATTCATGCTGTCACTACCTTTTGGCATCGTCTGGTCTCTTTATGCTGGAACTTATGGAGTCGCAAATGTCGCAGAAACCATCTCGGAAAGACTTACCCCAGAGCATGTTGGCACCATTGTCGGCGCATCTGCCTTCCTCGTCAACGTCCCACTCGGTGTTTGGAAGGACGTCCGCTTTGCTCAAATGTTCGCCCGCGTCCCATCCCGCGTAGCCAACACAGCAGCAGCCGCAGCAACGGCAACAGTCCCCATGCCCAAACTCCGTCCGTCGCGTTCGGCAACAACGGTCTGGCTCGTACGTGACGCGTTGACTTTATTCGGATCATTCACCTTCGCGCCTCGGCTAGCGGCGGCTATCCCGGACAACTTGGCAGTCCACCCTCAGACCATCTCTCAGCTATCCGTACCCGCTCTGACGCAGATTGTTGCGACACCGCTGCATCTGCTCGGCTTGGATCTGACGACCAGACAGCATCATATACCTTGGATGCAGAGGATCGCCGATACTACCCGGTCTGGCCTGCTTTCTACCACTATTGTGCGTTGCTTCCGTATCTTGCCTGCCTTTGGCTTTGGCTGCATTGGAAACACTGAGATGCGCAAGGCTTTGCACAAGCAACATGAGCAGTTCGATTGAGCCAAGTATCTCGACCTCTCGATCGAGACCACCCTAAGCCAACAGGGGAAGCTGGCTTTCCCTCGTCGTGGCAGAGCGGCCATCGACGGCTTAGCTCCAAGCTTCCATACGGACATCGGCCATGATGAACACTGATTTACGGTGTCCCGTACAGCTATAACATAAGTGGGGACCTCCACAGACATCCTTTCACCGAGATACGCAAGCCTCAAGACTCCAGATTCGACAGCTTGGCAGGATTGAACCGGGACCGTCCAAAACCACCGCCAGCAGCAGCTTGCATTTCCAGCTTACTAAGCCAATGACTTCGTGCGATCTCAAGCCGCAATACTCGCCGTGCAGTTCAAGAAGCCCTGCTGTCAAGCATTCATACCAGCGTTCTCCCGCCAAACCATCTCACGACTTCATGACGACCACAATATATATACATCTTTCCTTTGTTATGACAGCATATCAATACAGCCATCAATATCTTCTACAGCATCTGTTGCTCAATCTTACATTTCTTTCCTCGCAAATGAACGAAGCACTCTCATCAAGAGCACCCGAGTGTCTACCGCATCGCCATCGCTTCTCACTGACGTTGGACAGATAGTCGTTACGGTGATCTTCAACTTGAGCTTTGCCATGCCCGCGCTATCCGGCGCAGGTGATCGCTATCCGGAAATAACCATGCATATTATCAGCTTAGGTACATTATATTTGCATCGATATTGGCAACTGTCAACTAGATTCCAACCCATTGACCATACAATCGCGACAAAACTTCACCACCAGAGTCGTGTGCCTGTTCGTGAGACGTTCTTCGGTGCTTCGAGTTTGTCGAAGGATTCACCGAGTGCCCCGCCTCGCATCCATCCTCCGCTGTTTTCTCGGGACTACAACCTTAATACAGACTCATCCTTATAGAGACAACTTGTCTTTCTACGACACCCACCAAACAAAAATTCAACAAGAGACGATGCGACAGGCTCTAAGAACTCTCATTCTTGCCGCTGGCTTCGCAGCTCCGCTTTTCAAGTATCCAGTATATGCTTGCGTCGCCTTCACCCTCACCATATTCTGGAACCACCTTTTTCCAACCGTGCAACCAAACCCGGAAACCCTGCTTCTCCCGACCAAAAAGCCATATTTGGATGCTTTGCAACCACTTGAGGATCCAAAAAGTGTGGAAGGAGAACATTGCCCGACTTGTTGGGATGACTTGGACGCAACAAACGCACCCACAAAACTGGCTTGCGGCCATGTATTTTGTAACGAAGACATTTTAAAATGGATCAAATCGGGCAAAAACACATGTCCAGTATGCAAANAGGTACTTTTCCAACAAGCAATTTTCCAAGGAAATGATGCCATCGCCGAGAAAGTCCACAAGGCCAGGGTATGTTTGGTCGCAATGAGTCTGCTGGTCACCATGATCCACCAAGTCCTGGCGTTCATCGCTTGTAACCCTGCCCATTTGTCCCACATGCATTGGAGCTGGGACTACCTCAACCCACTCGTCTACCTGACTGGCTACGGATCATGGTACCAAGATGCCCGTGCCATCATGCTCACGATTTTCGACGTCATGCAACTGCTCTCCACATACTGGGGCCATAAGAAATATGGCTCAGAATGGTTCAAGATGTATCCCGGCCATTGGGCATGGTGGATTTGGGGCATCTATACCTCAGCTAGTCATGTAAGGGAGAAAATTGATGGGAGTAGACATTATGGGTGGGTTGCGTGGAGGATTTGTTTGTGGAGGTTGGAGGGCAGTCCGNGGACCTTTTTGTTCTGGGGTGCGACTGTGGTGCCTGCGATGAAGAAAGCTGTTGGGGAAGGGGCAAAAGAGTCGGTGCTTGGTGTCGTGGATGGGTTCAAGGAACATGTAGAGAGGTTTCATGCAGCTTATGATTCGCTGACGATGTGATGGGTATAGTATGGGTCTGCATTCGTCAGCGTGTCTGAATGATCAGATGATTGCGTCAAAGCGCTACACCATCAACGTGTAAACACTCAATATCCATATTCTTGCTCTTGCATCCCATATGTCTTCAAGAGACCCATAAGACACTGTGCTGAGAAGAGCGCTAGCGAAACCCGAGAGAAACCGTCCGACTACAACCCCAGCAGTATGATTTGAGACTGCGACCACGATGTTTGAAAAAGCGTACACGGCGCGACCAATGATGTATGAAGGTCGACGCTCAAGACTTTCGCTCAATGGAGGCAGAATAAGACTAGCTATAGCCTGACCGAGCAGATATCTGCAACTGCTGTGAGCTATATGATTCGCAAAAGATCAAGTCGACACCTACAAGGTTGTAAAGCAAGATATTGCTACTGTCTCCGAGTTGCACAAATCTTCAGCAGCATGATTTGCTGAGGCGGTCTGAGATAAGTAATAATCAGTATCTTGCGGGAGAGGATGGAAGTTTAACGTCTTACACCAGTATTGCCAAAGATTGTCCTGATACCAAATCAATGTGACTCAAAATCAAGAGAACAATGAGAGACGCACGCAACAAATTCGAAGAGAATCACCAAGAACGAGTCGTAAAGCTTCCGCTTGATATCCCAGTTTCTGGGATGCTGTGAATTTCCCTCTTTCCAGTGGACTAGGCCTTCCTTTGTTAGAGCAAGACCGTACTTGGAGAAGTCGGCATGAACAGCATCTGGAATTTTTGGCCCATCGTGGCAGTTTGAGTCGGAATCGTTCTTCTGTTCTTTTGATGCTTGTGTTGAATTGTCATTGTCGCATCTCAACGATTCTTGGCGGCTGAGCATAGATTCTTGCTTGTGACGTAGGCAGCCTGTTCTGTTCAATTTATGAGGCAGAATTGTGAGTCTTGTGAAGGATGAAAGAAAGTCAATTAGAACGAAAGATGTATCGCCTTTGATGACCTGCATTGACCCGTCCCTGACGATCACATATAGTCATTTTCCTTCATAGTCTACAAGAGTGACAACGATCTCATCTTGAGGTTCTGGTGCAACAGAGGCCTGAGCACGAAAAGGTGCATTTTCCCCATGAAGACAAAGCAAGGAGAACGTTGGATGGTTACACCATCACCACTTCTTTGCTTAAGTTTAGAAGCAGATCGATTTTCATTGCCCTACTTGATATAGACACTGAAACAACGTGATGCATAGATTAGTGGATTTTGGGGAACCTGATCGTAGAACTGAATGCTATTCCGTTGCCTGTAGTTCTCATTTGCAAAGAAGTCATCGCTTTAACAGGCCCGTGACCCTTGGAATTGTCTTCAGCATCTCGGTATTGAGACGACTGCTCATTGGTATCATTCAAGAGAACGTCTAGTTGTGTGTTGGAGCATTAGCACTAGGACTGGTAGTCATGGACCTACTGACTTCTTCCTCTGACCCTTGATACTCTGGAGGGCATTAAATGGATTAGATACGAAAACCTGACACATTTGGCACGAGGGAACCCTACCCGTTTCTGTCAGGTTGGAAAAGCACATCTGTTGGGTATAGCAAATGACCTGACGTGCTTGTATATGTTTGATTGTGGTATAACAACTTGATCGCCGACAACAGGAGTTAACATTCTACAACAGCTTACTCGTCTATCCTGATGGAAAATTATATACCTTTTATCGGGTGGATATCAGACTAGTCTTTTCTACCATGACAGTCATATCACTCTGGGAGCATAGCTTTCGGTAAGGTATTCAACTACCTTTCGATCAAGTTATCATCGATACATCAGCGCCCTTGGCAAGATCTTTGTTCCAGGCCAGGGAATTGGTAGCATGCAGGCGTCGTCAATAGGGTGAGGGTGACAAACTCAAGCCAAACGCATTGTCTTAAGGACTCGGCACCGATAAGAGAGTCATCAGCACCTCCTGGCAGTCTATCCGGATTCTGGAGTTATTGAGAGAATGTTCATTAGTCGCTACCACCCAGGTGTGACGAGTAACCTTAGTGGGACATCAAGCCTTGAAACCTCCAATCGCCAACTCATCGGTGGTCGATACAAGCAAGAGAGATCAGGCAGAAGCTGTGCCTGCCGCGTATAATCGATATGGCATGCCGCTCTCTTGTTGTTAACCTAGAATACTTGATCAGGTCTGTGGATATTTTCTCTTCTGTCGTTTTCTCGCAAGAAAAGGTTATCGCATTACGACAAGTATCGTTCTAGACAGGAATGTATCATGTACGGTTGGCGGAATGTTGTTATCAGTTGATAGAATCATGGACCAGTGAGTCTCCCTTGTGGCCTTTCACGATCTCACTGGCTCTGATAGATGCAAGAGTTGGAGACTCCTCCATCAGAGTCGCTAAGCACGCTGCGATACTTCGAACAACTTAGGATACGGATCATGGTTGACAAGATTGCTGTGTGTGTGGATATCAATGTAGACAGTTTGTGCTCAGGCTCGCTGTTGGATACCGCAGATATCGCAGTACTATAACCTTTCCTGCCATAACAGTAAAAAACCATCGAGCACCAGAAAGACTGGTGTCCCGGATAGAGAAACACCATTATCAAGCCGAGCGTAGCAATTCATTGAAGTTAGCAGACCCTAGGAGTACAGAGACAGAGTAAGGGAAGCAGGTTACTGACTCTCAATACGTACCCATAGTCTCTCTATCGCTGTACTGATTCTGCTGAAAGGCGGTCTGTGAGAGAGCGTGTGACTAAGTTGGTTGAGGGACCCGTGTCTCGGGTCTGATGTCTCATGGCTACGAAGTCTTTGTTCAAGTAGATTTTCAACGTATATCATGTGACGTGATTAATTCCGGGTCACCACCGAAGATCTTGACAATCTTCAATGAATCCAACCATAAAAACCATGTTCGTCGTGGTATTGATACTGAATCTGGTGCTTCTGCCAGATAGCTTCTGTTCTTGATATGCTTGCGATGAGGCAAACCTCATAGGATGGCATGAGATTGCATCTCTACTGTATCAACCAACAAGTATGAAGCCAGTAGCTCGCTGTCTGTTATTTCTATTCTCCGACCTTTGATGTATATGGAGTCTGTGTTCTCGAGAATGGGGGTTTCCACTGCCCTATCTCTAACACTTGAATACAGAATCAGATGGAACAGGCATCGGCTCATACCGGATGCCTTTGACAGAGATCCTCGCCTACAGGAAGTACCAGACGCCATAGCATCTGTCCAGAGCTCTATGCATGCCCTAGTCCCAAAGTGGGTGTCCAACTTCATGAATTCGAGTCTAGCATTTTCATACCATCTTCTCTACTTATGCGTCGATATCTCATTCGTAGAGGATCTTGACGACAGAACAAGTCTATCCTACCCAATCGAGACAACCCGAGTATCTGGCACAACGCACGCTGCCCAACGAGATACTCAGGTCAGTGAATCCCTATAAAGTTCTGTGATCTCATCTTCGCTGGCCTTGAGTGCTTTGGCACTCCTTACACGTTTCACCAGACCAAGCAGTCTGAGAGAACATAGTCTGAGTGTTGGTTCACAGACCCCTATCGTTTCCGCCGCTTCCGATATACTACTCTCGTACAACGGTGCGGAATAGTGCCGTAGAGAGCTGTCTTGACGAGAGCAGAGGTAGCGATGGAGTTGGCGACGGCAGGATATATATGAGACTATCAGGTGAGGATTGACGAGAGTTGACACGCTTTGATCAGAAGCTAGAGGGCTCGAAACTTGATAAACTCCGCAGATTCTCTCGCCTGGAGGAACAAAGAACATTGCAAAGATTGCAAAGACGGTTCGTCGACACTTGATGCATCTCGACCGCCGAATGCAGACCAAAGCATCACCGAAAGTCTCGTGGTTTTCAGGGGGATGCCATTCAGCATGGCCAAATTGATCTAGGAGTATCCAACTACAGAGACACATCAGTGGAGGTATTTTGGGAGGATACTGATGTTAATATCAGGTATCTTTTAATTTTGGTCTTGAATGCGGTTGCAAGAGCAAGAGAGAAATTTGAGTGAGTAGAATGCTGTTTGCTCAAGTGGAACAGAACAACAGAAAAATAATCACGTTTGAATTTGTAGGCTAATCCGGTCCGAACATTCCTTCGCGGGTAACTTGTTTCCATGCTGCAATCACATCTGAATGAGGCTCATTCACGTTATTATACCAAACCGCGTTGTGAGTAGATCTGCCATCCGATCTGAATCTACACTCTTATTTCGACCCTGCCTCTGCATTGCCAACATTGAGGTTGAAGACCGCCGAATTTAGCATTCTGGTCATGGCTCGCGCAAAAGCCAGATGTATTCCGTCATAAATGTCACGATTTACAGCTGTCCTGAACGATCTACGCGAGTGATGCATCTCTGCTGACCAATAAAACTCAGGTCCAGATCCTCCCAGGGCCACTTCGTGATTATATGCCCGCTCATCGTCGGGCTCGACATCGATCTGAACCCAGTCCCAACATTCAGTCAGCAGAAAGGATACGAGTGATGAGATCAATGCACACCGTTTCTAGTCGAGGCCGAGTGGTGCGGAGATTGGGAAACAGATGAGAGCCACAAAGTAGATCAATCATGCGGGCTGGATTTCAGTCTTTGCAACATAATTTCCGCAGCTTGGACTAGACAACCTCGACTTCGGAAGCGTACCCGAAATCTCTGTGCCTCAGAAACTCGGCCATCCGACATCATCAACCAGATCGGATGCCGCAGTGTCTTCGATGCCAGCGATTTGTGACTCCAATTGTCCAGATTTTTGCTCGAAGGCTTTCCCNCATTCTGCGATGACTTCAGGGTGAGGCTCATAGGCTGTAGTCGAGCAACTCCTCCAGAGGACCCTGTGGTTCTCTCGACCATTGGTAATGAATGTACACGCGCATCCTGTGCCACCTCCATCGACGCTGAATCGCAGGCTGCGGAGATTTAGCATCTTCGGCAAGGCTTGCGCAACGGCCAGATGGAGACCGTCGAAAACATCACTGTTGGGTGCTATCCGGAAGTATTGCTCTGGCCAGTTGAAGCGGGCGGGCATCTCATAGTCATATCTATCGTTGTGCAAGTCGTCGTAGTTCAGGTCTCCATCAACGTCAGGTTCTGAATCCTCGGGGTCTTGTTCAATCATCCAGACGCCGTTGGGCATGACAAAATCGAAGTTGATACGCAGGTCGCGTAATTTGGGCCACTGAGTTGATGCCGACGATATGTCAAAGAGGTCTTCGCTGACTACAGCATGGAGATGTAAGGACTCGAGTTGCTGTGAGAGCACATTGAAAGCACTGCTGAGAGAATCTTTCCCGTCGACATTAGGAATGGCTGGAGGGTCGAAAAACTGATTGGCAGGTACGACGCCAGGATAGTGCAGCTTCAGGTGCTTGACAGTCTCGGGCATTGCACTCAAACCTCGAGCAAATGCTGCGATGCGTCAGAGATCATTCTGGTTGTGGATCAAGGTCAATCACCTGCTNCGTTCACTGTTGCGTAACGTCAAGTTCTTGCTTTCCATGTCCCAAAGTTGTAACTCAACCCTTTCCACGCAAGGACAAGCTTCTACCATACGTAATGCAGCTTGTGCGGATATATATCGAGGATGGAGTTTGTGGAATTCACGCGGAGCGCCACCGTGAATGATCAAATCAGATACGGCGGGGAGCGGCGGCAACTCCTGAACTAGGTCCAGAAAGCTGGATTCGTGTCTGACCATCTCACAATCGGATTCAATCTTGTAAGCACGACGTCCTTGAATCTGATCATCCATGTGATAGTAATCGCTTTGCGAGATGGCCTGTATCTCTAGAGTAAACCGAGACCTGCCCGTCTTTGCAGAAGACGAGGAACTTAGGGCTTCCGAGGCGAGAGCCAGAAGCAAATTCCAAGAGTTGATCACCTCAAATATTGTCTTCAGAGAATCAGAGAAGATCTGGTTGTTTGTTGCTTTCTCCGACTCGGTCTCCAATCTGGTCCAGCTATCCTCTCCGTATTCAGGAAGGTGAACAGTCACATCAAGTCTGCGGAAGGCGGCTCTGCGATCCGGGGTCAGGTAGTGATCAACTTGACGCAAGCGATCGTCGGAGTCGACACGCAGATGTTGGAATGTGAGGACTTCAACAACTGATAGCCAGGAACGAGATATGGTGGCATATTGAGCTATACGTGGTTCAGGCTGACATGTTTCGTGTTGTTTTAGCTGAGTGGCGATGAGCATCAAGATGACGGTGTCCAGGTCATTGAAAGACATGGTGGGCTGCTTTCAGCGTGATAATCGTGGCTCACGTCAATGAAGTGTTCGTGTGCGAATTGGTAAAAATCAGGCGACATGTCGAGGGAAAGGGGAAGGCAGAGATACATGACTCGTTGTTTCGGGAATGGTTTCTTGAGGCATCCGCTTGATGGATATGAAGCGGGAAATGAGGATGGAAGGCACGACCTACATGTTACGCTGGGCTCAAGCGATACTCAACAAGACCGGTATACGCGCAATCGCCACAAAAGTCTACGCAGCTCAAAGCGAGGCCTACAGGAAAAGGCATTCTGGGCAGTGGCAAGTATTACGAGGATGTACTCGTAGACAGTTAGGAGCGACTGCTGGTTTTGAGGCGCAATTCGCGGCGCCAAGGAATGAGCAGCAATCACATGCGCCTTTCCGTACGGCAACCTGACAATCTACATTAATCCTACATTGCGCTCCTTCCTAACGACGGTCAAGAACTAGAGAGACACATTCAGCCATGAAGAAGCTACGATCGAGCTTCCTCAAGAGAACGCACAGTGCGCACGCCTATACCGGATCTGTCATGACGCAATGTTTACTGACCTAAATGGCCAGGCAGCGATGCTGCTTCTCACACACACACGCCGNNCCGCCCGTCGACTCTCCCGAAGCCAATGCCACCAAAGCTATTGTGAGTCCTGCCACCCTCTCGATCCAAAGTTCGACCGCTAAGACAGCATCCAGCNGCCAATTCTGCGAAGCCCCCAGCGACAACAGCGTAAGCTCTACGTCCCCGACCTGCCATACCGCCTGCCTTCGCTGAACACACTCCAGGNGAGAAGAGGTGTTGCATCTACCCGTGATTGTCGAAGCCGCCGAGTCGTCGCCACAAGCTGCCGCTGCCGCAGCCCACCAGATCCGCAAATGCCTCTCCAAAGACAACAAGTCGCGAGTCCAATACAATGCCATCATGTTGATTCGCATCCTGGCCGACAATCCGGGTCCCTCCTTCACCCGTAACTTCGACGCCAAGTTCGTCTCTACCGTCAAGGACCTGGTCAAGAATGGAAGGGATGCGAGCGTGCAGCAGATGATGAGGGAAACACTCGACTCGTTGGAGGCAGAGAAGAGCTATGACAATGGACTGTATGATTTGCTGGCCATGTGGCGCCAACTCAAGGGCCACCAAGCTCGTATCCTGCCCCAGGGCGCATACCGTCAGATTGCCCCTCCGCTGCCACAGCATCCAAACACACAACGCCAACAACCAGGTGCCCTGCCGACACAGCAAGAACTCGCGTCGCGTGTCGAAGAAGCACGGAACACTGCTAAGATCCTGCTCCAGCTGCTTCAGAGCACTCCGCCCGAACAAGTCATGAGCAATGAGTTGATCAGGGAGTTCTCGGATCGTTGTCAGGCCGCCCAGCGTAGCATGCAGGAATACATCAACTGCACATCTCCTCCGCCCGACGACGATACCCTCCAGACTCTGATCGAGACGAACGAGCAGCTAAGTCTAGCAATTAGTAGACATCAGCGCGCTGTTCTCCAAGCCCGACGAGCTCTCGGCCAATCCGTCTCTCCTGCAATCGGCCCCGACAACCCCTTTGCTTCTCCACCTCCTCAACCTCAGCCTACCCTACAGCAACCCAACTTACAGCCGACTTCTCACCTAATAGACCCCCGAAGCACATACTCGCCCGTCTCTCCCATTAAAGACTCCTTTTCAGCCCCACCAGGGCCACCACCAGGTCACCCTTCGGCGCCGACGCTAGCCCCAAGCAATCCTTTTGCTGATCCTGCCGAGTCTAGCCATAATCACGACCTGGATTACACAAATCATCCCCACGAGCCACGCAACTATGGCCCTGGTGTTGACACCAACCCACGACCGGCATATGGTGGAGTCACTGAGAGTTATATGGGCCGCCAGTATAGTGCTGCTAATGGTCTCACCATGCACGGCGGTGTTGATACCTCCCCCACCGAAGACGTTAGCCCGGTTGAGCAGATGCACACTCAGAGGGATGTCCGTTACAGGTACTGAACGTCCTGTTGCTTGTTCGAACCGGGAAGTTCTTTTCCTGTGGTATGATCTGGGTAGCGAGCGTTGTTTATCGGTTGAGACATGAGTAATACATTGCATGAACAAGCCTTTTTGACTTCTCACTCCGGCCTTGTCTAAGACGTGAGACTGCCATTGAGCTAGTAATTATGTTTCATCTTTCACGTCTCCGCAGTGCAGGAACTCGACTGCATCGACGTTTGGAATAGTTCCATTGTAATCTGCTTCCCACATCAATGAGACCACCTTGCTTAGCTCAACTTTTCTGTCCTTGCCCTAGAACTTGCAGGGTAATAATACCTCTTTCTCTTTCTTGACTTTGCTAGCAAACTCTAGTCACTCGATTGGATGCAAAAGCAATACAGTCTTGTGGATTTTGTGCTTGAACCGAGAGGTTTGCACAAATTTGTGATTTGCTCTAAAAGTCTTTTGACGGGTGCTTGGATGTGAGCGTTGGGATGTATAGATCAAGTAGGCAAAAGCACATGGCGGCTAGGGTCTTCGAGAGTTGGATTGGTGTATATGATAGTTGTGTGTGCGTGGCGAAGCGTGTTGCATGACATATTAACCTGTTCGTCATGTTATGCATACTCATACCTTAATATATCATCACTTTCTTCATCTCAAGGGCGTCACATCTTCACGTCCTAGATCAATTCTCAGCTCAAGAATGATAAAAAAGAGAAAAAACATTAATCCTCATAATCTAAATTCGTCTATAAATCTATTATGCAAAAAGAAACATGTCGTGTTGAATCGACGGCTGGGTGCAAGAAGCCCTTATAACAACCAATCCAGGAATTTCTCCCACTTGGTCACGGGCTCTTTTTCTTTGACCGCGCCTCTGGAATCGAAGCGTCCGGACCACAGATCAATCTCGCTGGCGCGTGCAATACGTGTGCGCTTCACAATCTTCCACACCACATAAGGGATAATGTAAATCGCAATGCCAATGTAGGAAGCAAAGAACGAGCCAGTATTCCAGTTTCCCTTGAGGAAAACGCTAAAGCCCGAGAAGATGGTGATGATGCCGCTGCCGATGGCGCCGACGTAAGCGGCGAGGGGTTGCAGGCGTCCTTTCATGGGTAGGGCGTTGCGGTCAATGTTTTGAGCTTTGCAGGCGTGGTGGTAGCGGATGTAGCAGATACAGAGAGTCATCCAGGCGAGGAGGCCAGCGACAGTGCTGAGGTTGAGCAGCCAGGTGAAGGCTTGGGATGCACCGCCCGAGCCCAGAGAGAGGTAGGCGAGAGGGCCAAAGGCGAAGGAGGCAAGAACAGCCCAGTAAGGTACACCTTGACGGTTGACCTTGGCGAAGAATTGCGGCATCTGGCGGTCTGCGGCCAGAGCGACGAGCATGCGCGAACCGATGTAGCAGTAACTGTTTCCGGCTGACCATGCGGAAACCAAGATACATGCGTTGACGATAGATGGCAGAACGGTGATTCCAGAGTTCTTGATGGCAATGACCCAAGGAGAAGAGTTTGCGTTACCAGTGCCAGAAACGAGGTTGGGGTCATTCGAAGGAACAATCATTCCAATGAGGAGCGTTCCCAAGACGTAGAAGAAGAGAATACGGTAGGTGACACGGTGGACTGCCTTGGGAATGGCCTTGTGGGGGTTCATGGTCTCGGCGGCTGCGACAATAACAGTCTCAACACCAATGTAGGAGAAACTGGCGTTGATAAAAGCACTAAAGAAAGCCAGGAAATGGCCAGTGTTTCCCTTGATGCCATTGTAATCAGTGAAAGGTCCCGGGTTACGCCAATACCTAAAGCCAATAGATTCGTGGTCGGGTGCGCCTCCAGAGGTGATGACAATCGACACAATGACCAAGCCCAAAAAGCACAAAATTTTGATAGAAGCGGTGATGACTTCAGCTTCACCAAAGAAACGAACATTCATCAAGTTGATGGCCAGAATTGCAGCAAGGCCGACTGTGATAACTACTGCAGGTGTGATGTCTGTCCAGTATGATACCACAACTGCTGCAGCAGAAACTTCCGAAGCAATGGCAATAGTGTAGCAGTATCCGTAAGAGATGGCCAGAGTGAATCCAAGAGCAGGGTCAACAAAGCGAGTAGCAAAATGAGGGAAAGATCCAGCGGTAGGGAACNNTATGCCATGTTAGCAATTTGCAACCTGATATCCAGATCTGTCCTCTCTCACCAGAGTAGCAATCTCGCCAACAGATTCCATGACACACCACAGAATCATACCGACAACAGAATAGGCCAACAAGAGACCGAGAGGTCCTGCAGAGGCCAAAGCACTTCCAGTACCAACGAAAAGACCCGTTCCAATACCACCACCGAATCCGATGAAAGTAACGTGTCGTGCTTTTAGTCTACGATGCGTGTGACCAACACCACCAACACCATAGACAGCATCATGGTCTCCCGATCCAGAGACAAAGACCTCCTCCGAGTTGGTCTTGTAGACCGACTTGTCATCACCACCAGAGGGACCAGCAACATCTGCCCCGTGCTCGAAAGTCATGGCGATGGGAAAATCTGGGGAGTCTGGAGTACGGCTCCAACGAATGACTCAAGCTGTTTGTGTAAGGACTGTTTGAAAGAGCAGAGAAAATTGGTAGTTGGTCATAGAATCCTCTTTAAGCAATTTGAAGAAAAATTTCTCTCGTCGTCTCTCAACGCCTGCCAGAGCACGCAATGTCATCACCAGATTTAGAGTTTCGCAAAGCGTTTCCAGAACAAATCTGTGCTCCGGGGACGAAGCTTCTTTTTCTTCGCCGAGATCGGGTCATGCTTGGGAGAGAAAAGAGTTCTTGAACTTCTCTTGTGTCGCGTGAGCTGTTGCCTTTGTTGGCTACGTTTAGAAGATGCGATATTCTTCAAATCGGCTTTCGATATGCAGGGCAAACGGATCGTCGCGACGACGAGAGGACTGTGTGAGCTCACAGGAAGCATTGTTCGAGGCCTTCAGTCCCCGGAGAGCACCGATGAAAAACTGGAGAAGGCCTCATCTCAACCGATTCTTAGGTGATTCCGAGTCTGTGCGATTCGTGGTCTGGAGGCGAGTCGTTGTCGTTATTCTCAAACATGCTGGCAGTATCGTCGTCAAGAAGTGAACCAAGGAGACAGTGGTGTCAGTCGCACTCCATAAGGTATTCGAAGGTTGAGGCCCAGAGGATGAAAAATTGAATCCGAGAGCCCTATACATAGCTTCTTTCGCGTTGCGATGCCGAAACAAGCTGGGAACCACGGCTTGATCATCTGACAGAGATTCATCTTCAGGTAACTTACCCAAACAACACGTTAACCAATCTCTGAAAAAGACCTTGAGACGAATCGAAGGGTCAAGTCGACAGGTAGATTGTGATAGGAGAGTCAGGGTCGCTGATTGTATGCTGAATCAGCGCCTGTGCACAGCCACATCATCTTCCACCTTCCTCCTCGGGGTAGAGTATACCGATAACATAGATCCTGACCGCCGACCACATCTCGACTACAAAACCCAGGAATCCGCAGAGGAAGTCTGCAGATCAGAGTATTCAGCCGTTCCCTGGACTGGACACGTCAAGGCATAGAACCTATCCACCTCCTTTACAATTTACTTTTCGAGCTTTAACCCCTGAACTCAAGAGCAACCATGTCTACAACTCAAGATATCACAATCCCACGACCTGGGGCAGAAATCTCTGGATCTATAACCTCGGTCCCAGGACCATCCGAGGACTCCTTCACCAGCACATTCGGACACCTGCTTCCTCCTGCCAACTATCTCTCAACCGCTTGCGGCAAGATTGCTTACTACACCTACACTCCCTCCAACCAACCCACAACTTTTCCTGAACGCGTCCTCTTTCTCCACGGTGTCCAAACTCCAGCATTGGGAATACAGCCCTTGGCTTCAACCCTACACACCTTATTCCCTTGCTCTACATTCGTACTCTGTGATCTCTGGGGCCATGGACTTTCCTCTACTCCTCTTGCGCCACATACGCCTTCTTTATTCCATTCTCTGATCGACTCTCTACTCAAACATCTGGATTGGGAGTCCTGTCATCTCATCGGCTACTCTTTCGGCGGCAGCACTGCAACATCGTACATTGCCTCTTCTGAGCAACGGGCAAAGAAAATAAACAGTATATCACTAATCGCACCAGCGGGTCTCTGGCGCGCCGAATCCATGGACGAGAACAAATTAAACAGCACAGACTTTGAGACTGCCAAAACACACGTCCTGGAGCTGCTGGAAGGGGGACCCTTGGTAGTTCCTGACGACTGGCAATCCCGCGTCTCCAAGGGCGAAATCGTTGCCGAAAAAGTCAGAGAGTGGCAGATGGAACATCATATCGCCCACACGGCTTCTGTGATCGCCATCGTCAGGGATGGAGGTGTTTTCGGACTCGAAGACACCTATACGGCTGCAGTGAAGACGGATGTGCCTATGATAGCAGTGCTCGGAGAAACCGACGATGTGGTTTATGAANAAGATCTACGGGCAGCAGGAATGGATAACGTGGTTGTGGTGCCAGGAGCAGGACATGCAGTGGTACGCCAAAAAGTCCCCGAGGTCGCGAGTCACATTGAGACGTTTTGGAAAACGCTGCCGTGACGGGCGAAACGGCTGTATTCAACAGTGTAGAGAGAGATAGAGTAAGCACAGTTACTCTGGAGACATGGAAATGATAGAGAAGAGTGTCATCTAGAGGGAAACAAATGTTGTGTATCTAAAGGACAAAGTTATAAATCTACATAAAACACCATCATATGCAATCATCACCATACTATGCTAACACTCAAAGCAAAAAGCAATACCACCAAGAACAGCAGCGATAGCCCCAGAAACAACACCACCCTTAGCAGCACCACCAGTGTAAGGGACGATAGTAGAACTAGGCGCCATAGTCTTGGCAGCACCAGTAGCCCCAGCAGTACCCACACTAGTGCCATTGACAGCAACCAAACTAGGCTTGCCAGAGACAATAGCAGTGGAAGTGGCATACTCATACCCAACCGAACCAATACATCTCGAGTTGAAGCAAGAGTTGTAGCTGCACTGCGAAGAATCCGTGCAAGTGGCGTTGAAAGGTCCGCAAATCATGCCAGCAGCGGCTTCTTGGTATGCAGACGAGACTGTGCATTCAGCGCCATTGGCGCATTGAGAGGTGGCATTGCAGCTCTTGCCCAAAGCAATGTTTTGGCCAGACGAAGCAGAAGAGGTGGAGCCAGTGGGGACAGGCATAACAGACATCATGCCAGAAGCGGTGGTAGAAGCAGTGTTGGCGAGGTAAGCAGAGGAAGCAAGGAACCCATTGCAGAGTCCATTGTTACAGGTGTTGGTCGCGCATTGAGAGTCATTGCTGCATGCAGCGTTGAACTTTCCGCACGACTTGATGAGCCAGGCTGTAGAGGCGAAACACTCTGCTCCACCAGCACATTGCTCGGTGTTCGCACACTCAGCGCCGAGAGGAAGAGTGCCGGGGTCTGCGACGACGGTGGAAGAAGGGGCTGGCTGAGCTCCCTGAGCATAAACGGCAGCAACTGCTGCAGCGACAGCGAAGAACGAGGAACGCATCGTGTCGGAGAGATTTAGCGATTGAGATTGTCGTGAAGCAGAGGCAGGTAGCGAAGGATGTTGCTGTAGAAGGATGCTGATGGAGAAGGGATACCAGAGCAGGAACCCCTCACCTTTATAAACTCGACTCAAACGAACATGCCACAGCTTGACCCCGCCCGCGGCCGTACAACCATGATGATGGTTCAAGAAATCGAGAGCTTGGATGGACTGAGCACCGGTAGCAAAATGGAGCACCCCGCGTCATAAGACTCTGTTTTTAGAATAACGTTGATGCCCCAAGCCACTTCCGCTCGTGTTGATCTTGGTCAAACCCTCTTGGCATCAGATTTGGCAGAGTCAGAGAACCTCGGCGGTTGCCTCGGCCGGGTGTAGCTTTGATACTACCTCGTTGATCACTTTGTAGCGTTGATAATCTATGCATGGTCGTCCGTGAATCCCGTGTTGATGCTATACCTGTGTAGTGGCATCGTACTGGGTCAAGTTGTTGCATAGAATTTCTACGTACTCGTGTCCATGCCGTTCGAAGCTTCGTGGTCGTATAGGCCCTGCATGTCGTCTCTTGCCCATAGCTTGACTGTGCGATCGTAACTTGAACTGACAATCCACTTGGCGTCGCTGGTGACATCGGTAGAAAGAACATGACCCGAGTGACCGCTCAAACTCTTGCACAGAGCCCAGTCGTCGGCCGAGAAGATCTTGACATTCCTGTCGAAACCTGCACTGACAAAGAAAGTGCCACTCTTCTTGGGAACAAAGTCTTGTGCGTCGCCGTGCTTGTCGAGCGACTTGCCGCTCAAGGGGCTGTCTGTACCCTTGAACCAGCGCAGATCAGTCACGCCGCCCTTGTGGGCACCTATTGAGGCGGTTTCCTTCATTGCACGGATATCCCAACACTTTGCGAAACCATCGCCTGAACCAGTCATGACGCGGTAACCATCGGGACTCCAGTCCAGACCATAGATTGGAGCAATGTGGCTTTCTAGATACAGAACGCGACGACCGCTGCGCAAATCCCACAAGCAAGCAATGCTGTCCAAACCAGCACTCGCGAGAAGGGAGCCGTCTGTGTTGAAAGCGACAGTATACGCCTCGTGTGAGTGACCTTCTTGGAGAAGTAGCTCTGTGGTGGTTTCGACGTCCCATAGTCTCCATGTGGTGTCGTAGGAGGCTGAAGCGAGGTACTTGCCTGAAGGGTGGAACTCGGTACGGCAGACTCTGCCAGTGTGGCCAGAAAGTGTCGAGATGGGAGTATCCTGGTTTAGCGACCAGAGGTGAATGTTGCCCTCTCCGCCGCCCGAAGCTATGTTCAAGCTGTCCTCTGACACGGTGGTGTCATCCAAAGTAGAGCCAGGAAACCAGGATATACCACTGACTTGGGCAGTGTGACCACGCAAAACAGCCTTCTCTTCCAGATTGGGCACGTCTAGTAGCTTGATGGAACCTCCCCAGTTTCCTGCGGCAATCGTCTTTCCGTTGGGGGCAAATCGAGCCATGCTGACGGGTCGCTCTCCGGCAATCTGCGAACCAAACAGTTCGAAGCCTGATAATTTGTCCTTGACGTAGTTGCGGTGGTCGACGTGTCGTTGTAAGGGAATTGCAGACTCGAGTCGTTGGAAGTGGACGCGCTGTTGTGTCCTAGGCAGAGAGAAACGAGCGATCTCCTTGCGCGCCTCGAGCAACTCATCAACACCTTCCGTATAAAACTCCTGCTCTTCCTCGTCTTCCTCGTCTTCGTCCACATCCATGGCAACGTCCTCTCCGGTAGCTTCTTGTTTGGCGTAGAGCAGTTCTCGTAGACGGTCTCGGCGATCTTCGGGACGCTCTCCAAACAGAGTGATGGGTTCGCCAATTTCTCGTAGCCTTGCGCGAACCCGAACATCATCGGTGGGGACAGCAATGGCGTTTGCTTTGCGCTTGCGGTTGAACTGGGCGATCACGTCGGCCGCCTTTTCTGAGCCTCCAGTGGCTGAGGGCATGTAGTAGTCGGTATCCAGAGGAACATTGGTGAGGTCATATGTCATTTCGGAGTCCTGAGTGATGGTCTGTGTCAGTGGAGGTCGAGAGCTGGGAAGACTTGTGAACACGCGCAGATGGCTGTCAGAAGGACGAAAACATACCTCTGGCTCCTCCTCGACGTAGGCCTGCCGTGACGGGTGTATGGACATGGTGGCGGTAGTTTGTGATGTGTTGTAGTGCTTGTCGCAAAGAGTGTTGGAGTGAGAGATGGCAAGCTGAAGCACCGCCAAAAGTTGCTGCAGCGGCAGGTTCCAGCCCCGATTCGAGTCAGTTAGAGTCAGCCGACAGAGAATACTCGAGTCAGGGCCAGGATGACGTGGGAGCCGAGGAAAGTTTTGGGAACGTCTCGACACTCGCGCCTTGTCCATGTTGTTGCCCGTTGTGTCGTGTCTTCTGCTGCTGCTTCTCCGACTGTCTCTCCGCTATCAATATGCTGTAGATGCCAAAGATATCATGTCTCTCCGCCGATCCCTCCTCCGCCCCCGACTGCCTTCGCTAGGCCGGCCCTTGTCACAAGCCTCGTCCATCAGGAGTCAATCCACCCATGCGCCCTTCACATACCGACTGGGTGCCTCATCTAGCGGCAAGGGCAGCCCCGTAGCCCCTCCGAGCGACAACAATCTGTTCCCTCAGGCTCTGCTGGACCGCGACGACCCATACTTTACCTCGATCGACAAGTTCTCTGGAGAAGATGCCTTCTTCATGGCCAAGATTGCCCGTAGTGACAGACACGTCGTCTTTGGTCTCGCCGATGGTGTAGGAGGCTGGAGAGACTCGGGCATTGACCCTGGACGATATTCGCACGGTCTGTGCAGGTACATGGCCCAAAAGACGCATCGCCCAGAGGCCGAGAGTGATCTGAAGCCTCGCAACTTGTTGCAGTACGGCTACGACCGGGTCATGAGTGATAGGAGCATCCAGGCTGGTGGCTGCACTGCCTGTATTGGTGCCATTGACCCGTCTGGTGCTCTGGAAGTCGCCAAGTGAGTTGAACTCTTCCCAGAATCTGCACCTTATACTAACTTTCAAAGTCTGGGAGACTCGGGCTTCCTCATCCTTGCGCCTGGCAAGGTCTCATTCATGTCACCTGCTCAGACACACGCATTCAACACGCCTTACCAGCTTAGCAAGCTCACACCACGCATGCAAGCCCAGAATCGCATCTTTGGCAACACCGGCCAGATCTCAGAAACCCCTCAACAATCCGATGTGACCACTCATACACTACAGCATGGTGAACTCGTCATCTTCGCAACTGATGGTGTACTGGACAACCTGTCTGGCATGGATATCCTCAACATTGTCCAGCCCATCATGGAGAAGCGTGGTTACTGGGCCGCCGCATCAAAAGAAGCCATCGTTAAAGCTGACACGCTGCGGGATCCCAAAAATGCTGACGACATGTCGACACTGCCTTCCGAGATAGCCTACTCCGTCATGCGCAATGCCAAAATTGCTGGCATCGACACCCGCAGAGATGGTCCCTTTGCAAAGGAGGTTCACAAGTACTTCCCCAACGAGGAGTACCATGGTGGAAAACCTGACGACATTGCTGTCATTGTTGCTCTTGCCATTCAGGATGGTGCGCCCAAAGCAAAGCTATAGATTTTCTTTGCTGTAATGTTGATAGTCGCATGGGCTTGGAGTTGGCGGCGTTTCCGCATTTGAGGCTGGTTTTTCTTTGGGTTGGCTGCTCGTCTATATATTTACCGTTATACTTCAATCGTCTCACGATGAGTCTTCTCGACGTTTACACTTGGCTATGGCCATCCACACTTCGATCATTTGAATTGGAAAAGACCAACAGGTAGATGATAGTGCAAAGTCCCGATCAAGAAGAAGAATATATCAATATGTTGAACGTGAGAGGTGATACCAAGCAAGACAACGAGAGAAGATGGTCAATATGATTAACACAGCGGACTGATCACAAGACATCTTTAAGCAGACTGCTTGCTAGTCTGGTAGATTCTAGTGGTATTTTCTGGATGCAAGCAGGGTTGTCCACACGACAGTGATCAATGCCAAGACTTTCGAACTTCCTCTTTGGTGCGCCAGCCAGCAGAATCAAGAGCATCAACATCACAACCCGCAACACATTCTTCGATCTCGGAGACTAGGCTTTTCTAGGAAGAACGAGTAAAAAAGCTAGATCCCAGAATTCGTAACATCGCACTGGAGCCATAGGAATACAGAGTTTTCCTCCACAAGGACTCAAACTTGGCGAACTTCCAAGGACATTACAAAGGAAAAGACAATCGCAACTACTTAGGACAGGGAAAACCAACCTCAATAGTACAGAATAAGGCTCCTCAGAAAAGGATTCACAATGCTGGACATTGGCAAAACCTCAAATCTGCCACAACCAAAATGCTACTTTAGCACGACAACCCTCTCTACCTATGATGACTCTTCCGAACTACCCACGAAGAAGTTGCCATTCAACCTCCTGCATAGTGCACCTTACTACCACTCGATGACTCTGCTTTCACCATCTTCTTCCACCCTCCACACGTCACTATCGTCGAGCCAGTCGAAATATGCGCGGCTACAGATGCCACTGTTGTCTCTTCTTACAGGAGACTTTTTCAACAAACACATCAAGACCGGAAATGTGTTACTATTCTCTTCACCATTGAAACTGGACACGACCTCTTCAGAAGCAAGCTTTACACTGATCAATGGTATGCTCAGCATAGTTTGCGATCGAGCACTCTACGAGCGGGCTGGCCTTACTGGCACTGCTATACCAGACCCTCATGCCAGGAAACACGGCACCTCAAAGTTTCGCATCGAGCTCAACTTACGGCTTCCTTCGATGCTTGCTGGAAAGAAAGGGTTCGAGCGTATTTTACGGGCTGTAGAGACGGTCTTTGTGGGAGACATCTCGTGGCTTTTCTACGATGTCTCTGCTGCGGGAGTGGCCGACAATGATGAGTCGCTAGGCAAGGAAGTACAGATCAAGGAGGTGAAACCAGAGACCGAGGACATGGAGAAAGTGCTGGTCCCCGGGTTCCGATCGAACATGACTACGAATGCAAACCAAGAGAACGATCTGGTAGAGTTGCTAGAATGGATTTCCCTGGCCGCTATCAACTCTCCAAGGATACAACAGGGAGATTTGGTTGATGAGATTATTAGTCGCTACGAAGTGCCTGAGATTTCCTCGAATGCAGTCAATGGGTCGAGTACTGGCATAACGACACAAAGTTTGACAAAAACGACAGCCACTGGATTCTTGACAGCTTCTTTTGTTGCGGACACGTTTGGGAATGCTCTTCTCCAATCGAAAGGGTCTTGGTTTGCGCTTCTGGTACAAGGATTTGCAGATGGGAAGGCGTTCGTCGTGCTCAAGAACGCAGACAATCAAGCGTTGAGTTGGGATGTCGAAGGGTGACGATGGGTATGCTAGAAGCGTGGCATTGCAGATACCACATGCAGTAATATGGAAGAATGTCAAGCTCGGGAGTGAGTAGAGGGAGTTGCGGAGAAGCAAGCTCGGATGGACCGTGCACGCGGCCATCAATGATGATTTTCGTCACTCAAAAGTTCGTCGCTCTTTCCACGTTTGTACACAAACAAAAACACACATCACACATTCACAATGGCATCAACGACGGCAACAACGACAGGCGCGCAGCCGCCCGTGACAATCGTCTGCGTGGGCATGGCAGGCAGCGGCAAGACAACCTTTATGCAGCGCATCAATTCTCACCTGCACTCGAAACAAACACCGCCATACGTCCTCAACCTCGACCCGGCAGTGCGCAAAGTCCCATTTGATTCCAACATCGACATCCGAGACAGTGTCAACTACCGCGAAGTCATGAAGCAATACAACCTCGGCCCCAACGGCGGCATCCTCACATCCCTGAATCTGTTTGCGACAAAGATCGATCAAGTCTTGGGTATCCTGGAGAAGCGCTGCTTGCCTGAGAATCAAGAGAAGGGAGAGGAGGACAAGGTGCCCAAGCACGTCTTGGTCGACACGCCAGGCCAGATCGAGGTCTTTGTCTGGAGCGCCAGTGGAAGCATCTTGCTGTCTTCGCTCGCCTCTTCCTTCCCTACCGTCCTTGCCTATGTCATCGATACACCGCGCACCACCGCCTCCACCTCGACCTTCATGTCAAACATGCTCTACGCCATCTCCATCATGTACAAGACTCGCCTGCCCATGATCCTCGTCTTCAACAAGAACGACGTCAAGTCCGAGGAAGAAGCAATAGACTGGATGCGCGACTTCGAATCCTTCCAAGAAGCCCTGCGCAGAGAAGAAGAGGAGGAAGCAGAGACCGGTACCGGAGGTTCGGGGTACATGGGTTCTTTGCTCAACAGCATGAGCTTAGTGCTTGAAGAATTCTACAACAACCTTTCCGTTGTGGGTGTGAGCAGCATGACCGGCGCAGGCATTGACGCTTTCTTCGAAGCTGTCGAGGAAAAGCGCGAAGAGTTCAACACCGACTACAAAGCCGACCTCGACCGTCGCCGCGACCAGCGCGAAAAGGAAAAGGAAGCAAACCGCGAAAAGGAAGTGCAGAGAATGATGAAGGATATGCGTGTGGGAGGAAACAAGTCAAGGACGCCCAAAGAAGAGCCCGAGACCGTTTCAGAAGCCGAAGAGGAGGATGAAGATGAAGGTGGCTTGGTAGACAGAGATGAGGATGAGGATATCAGTCAAGAAGGCTTGCAACAGAGATATCAACAAGCTTTGGCTGCCGGCAATAGCCAAATGTCGGGTGAGGACATGAGTTTTGCAAAGTATGTCCAGGCTGCGGGTATGCAGAAGAAGTAAGCGCTTTCTTTGCTTCTGCCTCTCGAGAAATCTCAATACAAAACGACGTTATGATTACCACCTGTCCCCTCGTTTCTTCGATCAAACAATACTCTCTCCTCGGTTCCAGAAAACATATTGTGGGACGGAACGCTGTAGTCATAAAGACTGCAAATCAACGTTCCTCACAAGCTCAGGAAATGGAGATCACTATTGAACCTTGAGCTCATGATTGATCCATCTACACAATAGCCAAGCTGGTCCGCCGAACCCATCGTGCGACAACTGGAAAGTGGCAGAGGCCATTGTTGATTGTCTTGTGCCAACGACCACAAGAATAGTATAGCGTCTGGCAATGGAAAGGTATGGAACGATCAGGTCACCGATACAGCAGAATCTCTGGTCATCTCGGCGGTGCTCAGACTCAGGAGAGGAGAGAGCAAATGTATTAGGGTCATGGACCTGTGACTTTCCTCTACTTGCCTTGCGTCCGCAACGCACTGATCTCACCGTGGCATATCTCGAACACTCGTTGGTTCTGTTGAGTCAATTGGCAAAGGGTTTTATATACCCATGTCTGTCTTGACCAGTATCCGAGTTTGGACTTGTGATGAATGCTCCCGTTTACGAGTCTCATACGAGGTGTTTTGGCTCTGCGCAGAGTATGTGCTCTTCTTGTCTCGTGCTATTGAAAGATGTGTCCATGCTCGCATGGATGATTTAGTCGTCTCTCAGAATCTGTCAAACCACAAATGCGTACAGAAGAACTAACACTGACGCAGTCTATTGTCTTTGCTTGCATCTGCATCTTGCGTCTGCATCTCAAGTTTATAAAATTGTAAATCTGTCTATAATGTTCTGGAGCTTTGAACATCAACTGTTCAAACAAGGGCACAGACTTGTGGGCAGGAAGGGTATACAATAGGTTCTACCGAAACATAGCTATCATTTACCTGCTGCGGGTAACACCATCTCCACAAAGCGCATTATTCAGATGAACACCTCGGAATTCGTCCACCATAACCCCAAGAACCCGATCAGAGCGAGAATGAAGCCCGTAGCTTGCGATTGCACGTCACTGGAGGATGGCTTCCACCAACTGCGCCCCGATTCACGTGCGACTGCATAAGCACCCCACAACAAATAACCTATGAATGAGAAGTATGCCACATCGAGGCAGATAAGTAGATACTCGCTACGTTGGATGTGATGAGCAATGATGATCATGTGCACTACCACGGTTAGTACAGAGATGCAAACTGTGGCTTTCGACAATGCAAGCCTGATCTTGTCGTGTTGGCTGAACAGCGGCGTGCGGCAAAGAGGACAAGCGGATCGAAGGTCCTCGCCTATGAGCTGCAAACAGTCTCTACAGGCTTTGTGCTGGCAGACAAGATTGGCCAAGAAATCTTCATCTTCCCAGCATATCATGCAGAACTCTTCTCCCGCACCACTGGAAACATTGAGATTGCTCATGAATTCCGTATGGCTGGGCAGAGTCAGAGATGCAAAGTTGCCAGGAAGAGACACCCAGACGGTGTATAGCATCGCAAAAGCCAGCGATGCTAACATATGCTTAAATTCGTAAAGCTTCACACAGATGCTCCAGCCGACCAAGTCGCGGAGTCTTGATTTCCAGGGTTTCCGAGACCACAAGGTGAGTGATAAAATTCCAAGGACGATGATCGGCAGGTGAGGTTCGAGCAGATCCATGAAATGCTCTTGACGTTGAGGTTCGTAGGGTCCGAATCTGGCTTGGTTACCGTTGATTGGTAGAATCGTAAGCATTTTGCTGCAAGCTGCTGTAGGTTGGTGTGGCCAGTCCGGACGTGTTAAGGTTTCGACTCGAGGTTTTAGATAGTCAAGATTGTATGATGTCACAATGCCTTGTTTTCAGATTGGCGCTAGCCGACGTATCCATAGCGCTATGGATTCATCTATGTCAAAAGCCTCTAGAATAACATTGTATTCACTCATGTACAATGCTAAGATGGGTCGGGCTCACGGAGCTCTTCTCTTTCTTGCTTTCTTTCTTTCCTTCATGGCTTGCCCAACGTGCGTGCAAGGAAGTTGATCGTCGTTTGAACGACTATTCGACTTGTTTCGTCCCAAGATTGAAGTTTGCAGGCAAGAAAACGTAGCATGGGAACAGGACAGATTATGTCTGGTGTTCTGTGATTGATTGGATTCAGGCCAATACATTTCAATCTCAAAGGCTAGCGGATAGTCATAGTGTTTGCAATATCAGCTGAGCTAAAGCATATCCACCACAACGAAGGCGTCGCTAATCCCTTGGATCGATCGTATGAAGCAGTACGAACTTGCGGTGCATCTCGCCGGGTCGATCATGAGATCTTTAGGAGAAAAGTCTGATGCAGAAGAAAAAGAAGTTTGAGGCTGTATTAGTAAGCTCCAAGTTATGTCCTAAGAGTACTAGTAACCAATGAAGCAGCGATCGATGGAATCATGCAGATACGATGGTAGAAGAATCTGTAATATCGATATCTGGGTGGATGACGAAGGGGTAGAGGTAGAGATGCAGAGGATAGAGGAAAAGATCAGACTCACAGGCCTCCTATCTTGTCCGCTGGCCCAATGCTATCGTTTCGCATTTCCTCTTGAGTATCTCCCCATGCTTGAGGCGGCAAGCATAACTAGCACATCTATAGGCCCATACCTGGGCGAAGCACTCCATCTTCAGTCTGACAGGCTCTCTCTCGACTGTCATTCACCGAAGTTTTGCCTACGGCCCAAAGTGCAAGCTGAGACTGCACCATTTCGAACACCGCTCGGACGAAGGTCCCCGCTCCTGCATCTTCTGCTTCGGGCTCTTCTGCAAGAACCATTGTCCCTCCTTCAAGTGATTTCTGGTCGATGATGGCGAATATGGATGAATGACGTTCTGAGTTAGTCTTTTGACGCGAGTGCTGCAATAAGACGGAACACCTGTAGACGGTTTTGTTCTCGAACGGGGCGAGCTCTGAATTTTGTTGNTAGCCCAGTTCGTCAGGATTGCTATGTGTATGTGCTAGGTCGTCAATGAAGACAAGTTCGGAACCCATAGTATCCGAGTAATCCTGGTTGAGCTGGAGGATATTATCCTTTAGCTGTAAGATAGAATTAGCCTCTGGTTTGGACAGGCCCAAGGAGTATGCGGTGCACCTTAGCACTCAGGGCCACAGCACAACAGATGGCAAACATTTTCCTGGGTTACAGATAGAGAATGTAACAGCGAGATGTTTAGAAGCAACAACGTCCCCAAGGCCGGGGCAGGCTCATCTCTTAGTCAGCAAATCGCTAGAACTCTATAGCACCAAACTCTACTTCGACAATGCGCGCTTCTCGACTCCTTGTTTCTCGAACTTCGATGAGACTAGCTTACTAGATCTTCAATATGAACCCCGATATCAGGCAATACCCGGTGATGGGTATACTTATTCTCTCGCTCGATAGTGTCTCCGCTTAAGCAAGCTCTTGCTTCCTGGAAACCGAGTTGAGGTCTCATGTTATATCTGTGACCGAATCTCTCTCATTTCCCTCAGACTCAACATGATAGAGATCACGCTCTTTTACATCACTCTTCTAGACATCTTATTTACTCTGACTCTGCTTATCATAGTTGTAGTTCCAGAGTAGAAAACAAGGGAGGGAATAGGTCAAGACAAGTAGGTCAATGACCCTAATCCCGTTACTACTTATCCTAACAACTGATGCAGAGGTACAGAGTTGCAATATTCGATAGCACATGAGGTGGTCCGATAATGGGAGAACATCTAATAAAGTCAAAGTCATGGACCTCGTAGCTCCTCCTGCTTTCTCTTCTTCTTGTTCATGGTTTGCGAGGTCGGCGAATGTCATATGACGGCGTTCTGCACGCATCTGCAGTGTACCTAAGCGTTAATGCTTAGTAGCTCTTATCCACGACTCTTATAAGTTTCTTGATACTGCATCACACGGAGCTAGCCTGTCATTTTGACCGTTGGGAAATCTTGCTACGTACAAGGACAGGACAAGAGTTCTTGAATCGAATGTGGTTTTTCTTATGGAACAAAATACATAGATACTTGGTTGTAGTATCGACATGGTCTTGCATTTCTCTTCTACTTCAGTGATCTTATTCAGTAGTAATAGTGTCAGCATAGTCGTGGATATACTACCTTACTGTACGAGTGCAATCCGCATCGACGATACGAGATCTGTTACTCCAACGCTTTGATAAGATGCAGCTGTTTCCAAAAGTATCATGACCTTTGGACATGCAATGCGATGCATTCCAAATACGTTCGTATCCAGACGACTACTGATATGGCTTGAGTCCTCGATTTCTGAAGGCCCCGAGACGAGTTGATTAAGTTAGTGACGCCTTTCCAGTCTTTCCAGTCACCTAATCGAATCGTTCTACGTAGGGTGCCAGGAATAGCGACAAAGTAGAGATATGAATAGAGCCATCTGGTTTCACGGATCTGTCTCTCCACTTTGCTGTAATTCCAGCTCTGTCTTGTTTCGTAGATCCTTGGAATCCGGCCGGACACCGAAAGTCATAGCGTCTACCTCTGTTCCACGGCATTGCGAAGATAGAAATTGTGTTGGTGTAGCCTCGAAGGCATGCTAAAAGTCCTTACGAACAATGAAATATGTCAAGGATCGACCTTGCAGCTTCTTCCTCAGGACAAACAAGAAGTCACAAGATTAGCCCTCTATCAGACTATTTCAAGAATCGTCATAGAAGATTCAATGCCAAATCACTCGCTTCTGTAAATTGTTTTCAATGCCCTCTATATCGCACAGATATAGCTGGAGATATCCTCAGAGACTGAGCTAATTCAATTGACAGGTTCCTCGTAAGCATCCAAGACTGCATACAGACTCAAGATTAGGGTTGCCCCAAGGCCAGGGCGCATGTCATCGATGGTGATGATACCAAATAAACTTGTCATAGTCTTCGAAAGCCGCGAAGTGTGAGCAGCGTCCACGGGTTGCCACTCTTTTCTGCGAATCTTGTATTCGTACTCTGAATCTCTTGATATACCATAGTCGGGGCTGACTCGGTTTCGTAGTTGTAGTAATTCGAATCTAACTGTTGATGATGTGATGATACAATATGTACATGGTCGAATATGGAGCGATCTCGGATATTCTTCAGGAGGGTGTTCAGATTCAACCGTCCTTGACAGTGGCCTTCAGACGCTCAAGGATGTATTCACCAGCGCGAATTGGTGGGTACTTTGACGGGTTCTCAGCCGAGACACAGCTGGGTAGAGTCNNTGGAGATATGATTAGCACCGCGCTTATAAAGTAACGCATCAGTGCGCTTACCTCGACTTGTTGATCATAGTTGATGGAGAAGAAGAATGGAACACTGTATCTCTCGTTGGTAGTCCTGTTGACAACGCGGTGAATGGTGCTCTTATAAACTCCATTGGTCCATCTCATCAAGAAGTCTGCGACGTTGACAATGAAAGCACCTTGCACGGCGGCTGCAGGAGTCCAGACGTTTTCGGGTGTGAGAATCTCCAGACCATGAGTTGTGGAAGAAAGCAGCAGAGTAAAGCACTCGTAATCAGTATGGGATCCAAGACCGACCTCCTTATCCGCTTCGTTGGGGTCCAATGGCTTTGGATCTTTCGAGGGNGGATAGTACAACAAGCGAGAGATACCGCCAGGATGTGTCATCATCTCATCGAAATGATGTTCAGGCAACTGCAGACTCAGAGCGAAAAGTCTAAAGAGATGACGGGCGAGCTGCAGGACTTGTCCATAATACTCGGCGATATCTTGCTTGAACCCAGGAAGAGCGGATTCAGTGGGCCAGACGTTGCCGTTCTCGGTACTGCCATCCAAGTCGCGGTATTTGCCATCGCCACCTGTAGGGTCGAGAGAACTTTCATAGCCCCAGTTGAAGCCTTCTTTGGTCTCGGGAACAGCAGCAGTAGCCCAATCATCAGGGTTCACGTATGTGTAATCTGAAGGTTCCCATCCACGCATCAGGGCATTGTGCTTGACGTGCAGTTCATCCTTGTGAGCAGGAGGCAGTTGCTTGAAGAAGCGAGAGGCTTGCTTCAGCACGCCTTGACGAACAGATTCGGGGACGTTGTGGCCAGTAATTTGGAAGAAGCCGCTGTTGGTGCAGGCATCACGGATTTGGGATGCTACAGCTTGTTTGTCTTCAAGAGTGCCATTGAAGGTCGAGGAGATGTCAATGACGGGAACATTGAAGGGCCTGGCTGGACCATCCGTCTTTGTGGTGAGGCGGTTGTTGAGGTAACTCTGAGCAGCGCGACGAGCCTCGTCTGAGGTGACGTTGTTGGAGGTCATTTTGAGGGACGTGGGAACTGATTGAACGTCGGAGCTAAAAGTGTTTGATGAGGATCAGAAGGTTATATAGATTTGATCGCTCGGAAGCAGACAACGATAGGCAAAATTCGGGACTTGGACGACTGCCGACGGGCGCGACCTATCTTCTGACTCTGTAGCGATGAGTCGCAGACAGATGTCTGTTACAAAGTTTGCAAGTGTTGATACAGTGGTCGGCGGGTTAGTCAATGGTATGATCAACAGGGCGATGCGGGGAAAGAGCTTGGGCACCCTCGTGGGCAATTTAGACCAACCCGGCGGGAGCTCTATTTCTTCAGGCATGACGGACATGATTTTCACCCTATGGCTTTCTCTCGCAGATGTGTGTATAGCGTGGGCTAGAAGTAGCTGAGAAGAGCTGAAGGCAGGAAAGGGGGTCAGGAAGGAGTCAAGATAGGGGTCCAGGACAAGTGGCCCAAGCTCGGGGAGCAATTGCGTCGTGTTTCGCAGCTTGAGGGTCGTTGCGACAGCTGGCCAGACATTTTCTCCTTCTCTATTTCATCCATCAGCCTCCATCTGCCTTGTGTGTGTGTGCAGGCGATGCTTTGTGTCTGAATTCTGACTTTCCTTGACTTTCTCATATCATCTTTATAATGTCAACAGCGGCGAGCTCCAAAAAGGGGCCCGCGGCCAGCACCAAAGNNAAGGTCGACGGTGCCGTCGACCAGACCAGCGACTACCTCGCCCAGCTGAGGAGCGAGACCAAGCAGGCCGCATCCAATGACTGGGACTACAAGCTCGCTCTTGCCGTCATCACCGTCCTCGCTTTCGCAACACGTTTCTACGCCATCACACACCCCAACCAGGTCGTCTTTGACGAGGTCCACTTTGGAAAGGTCAGACGACCGAATAAACATACTAACACAGACGATTGCTGACACGATCCAGNNTTCGCATCCTACTACCTCCAGCGCACCTACTTCTTCGACGTGCACCCTCCCTTCGGCAAGCTTCTATTCGCTTTCGCAGGCTGGCTGGTCGGCTACAATGGCGACTTTTTGTTTGAGAACATTGGCGACTCGTACATCACTAACAAGGTGCCCTATGTTGCATACCGCGCAATGCCTGCCTCAATGGGCGCCCTGACCGTCTCGGTCGTCTTCATGATCATGTGGGAGTCTGGCTACTCTCTGCCTGCCTGTGTCTTGGCTGCCGGTCTCGTCCTCTTCGACAATGCACACATTGGCCAGACCAGACTCATCCTGCTCGATGCCACCCTCATTCTCTTCATGGCCCTCTCGGTCTGGAGCTACATTCGCTTCTACAAGCTTCGTCACGCTCCCTTCAGCCGCAAGTGGTGGAAGTGGCTGCTCCTGACTGGTGTCTGCCTCAGCTGCGTCATCTCGACCAAGTACGTTGGTGCCTTCACCTTCTTCTCCATCGGTGTTCCCGTCGCCATCGACCTCTGGTCTCTTCTCGACATCAATCGCAGACAGGGCGCTCTCAGCCTTCCCGAGTTTGGCAAGCACTTGGCCGCTCGTGTCACCGGTCTGATTGTCATTCCCTTCATGCTCTACCTCTTCTGGTTCCAGGTCCACTTTGCCATTCTCAACCGTTCCGGGCCTGGTGACGACTTCATGAGCCCCGAGTTCCAGGAGACTCTCAGCGACAACATCATGACTCAGCAGTCGGTCAGCATCGACTACTTTGACGCCATCAATATCCGCCACAAGGACACAAAGGTCTACCTCCACTCTCACCCCGACAAGTACCCTCTTCGTTACGACGATGGCCGCATCTCGTCTCAGGGCCAGCAGGTCACTGGCTACCCCCACAACGACACCAACAACCTCTGGCAGATCATCCCCGGAACTGGCGCCATCCCCGAGGAGAACGGCCACCGCGTCCACGTCGGTGATGTTGTCCGTCTTCGCCATCTCGTAACCGACACTTGGCTTCTCACCCATGACGTTGCTTCTCCTTACTACCCCACCAACCAGGAGTTTACCACTGTTGGCCACGATGATGCCAATGGCGAGCGCTTCAACGACACCCTCTTCGAGATTAGAGTTGACGGCGCAAAGCCTGGTACCGACTTCAAGACCATGTCTGTCCACTTCAAGCTGGTTCACGTTCCCACCAAGGTCGCCATGTGGACCCACACCACTCCTCTGCCAGAATGGGCCTTCAAGCAAGCCGAGATCAACGGAAACAAGAACGCCCTCCAGACCAGTAACATCTGGTACGCCGAGGACATTCCCGCTCTGCCCAAGGACTCGGACCGCGCAAAGAAGGAGCCTCGCAAGGTCAAGCACGTGCCCTTCCTCAAGAAGTACTTTGAGCTGCAACGCGCCATGTTCTACCACAACAATGCTCTTACCAGCAGCCATCCTTACGCTAGTGTTCCCATCCAGTGGCCTTTCCTTCTTCGCGGTGTCAGTTTCTGGACCGAAAACGAGACTCGCCAGCAAATCTACTTCCTCGGTAACCCCGTAGGCTGGTGGTTGGCCAGCAGTCTGCTCGCTGTCTTTGCTGGTGTCCTTCTCGCCGACCAGCTCTCTCAGCGCCGCGGTGTTGATGCTCTTGACAAGCGTATGTTTAGCCCTCATGTGACCCTAGGAACAAGACTAACTCATCTCTCAGGCGCCCGCAACCGTCTCTACAACTCGACCGGTTTCTTCTTCCTCACCTGGGCTGCTCACTACGTCCCCTTCTACATCATGGGCCGTCAACTCTTCCTCCACCACTACCTTCCTGCTCACCTCGCCTCCGCCCTTGTCACTGGAGCCCTTGTCGAGTTCGTCTTCAACATCGACCCCGTCGACCTTGACGACGTCACTTCTGGCAATGCTACCNTCACCAAGAACAAGAAGACTGCTGTGCAGCAAAACAAGCCCGTGCGCGAGAGAACTGGCCAGTCCAACTTGCTCGGAATGTGGGCTGCCACTGGTGGTATTCTTGCCGTCATTGTGTGGAGCTTCCTTTACTTCGCTCCCNTGACTTATGGTCAGCCTGGTCTGAGCATTGAGCAGGTCCAGGCCAGAAAGTGGCTCAACTATGACTTGCACTTTGCCAAATAGAGCTGTGCGAGCATAAAGGAAATTTTTGTGGAAGCTAGCTAAAAGTATTGGTGGGCTTCTGAGAGTGTCCAGTTTCTCTTGTAGGATCAAGGGTCTTTCCCTTTTCTACTGTTTTTTTTCTCCTTTGCGATCATCAACCAAAAATCCAGATTTCACCATTTACACATCAGAATAAGCTTGACTCTGATCATCTCACCATTTGAAACACTCTGAAAACTGTTTCTGCGTACACTATCCAATGATTGCCAATGGCCGGCATAGAGAGACCATTGGTGGATTCGAAGTTTTGCTTGCATGACAACGATTAGCCCGCTGCCTACCATGCCACTGCGTGCTCACACGTCTGCATTCTGGAGAGGTGGAAAGGGTGAGGAAGTGGAAGGAAGGGAGAGAGGAGAAGAGGTCAGTGATACTCTGATTCACAGTCGCTTACGCAGATGAGCGGGCGAAGACAGGGTTGAGGAGCAAGGCTGGGACAGAGAGAGAGAGAAAGTGATGAATTGGTAGATTCATGGACCGGATGGTCTTCCATCCGTGCTTGTACTGCTGTCTGGCTCGATGGTCGGATGACATGAGAAGACCAGATGAGAGGAGGAGGAAGCAAGAGCCACACAGTGACAGATCCATCAGCTTGTGAACTTGGTCTGGAGTTTGTACTCGTCACCAACTTGAGAGGTTGATATGTTATAATTTTGAAGACGTGATCTCTTAGTCGAGTGGTTTGATCTTGGCTCGCATAGTATTGTGACAAGAGGTCTCATCGCTACACATCCCCAACTATGACCAATCTCAGTAGATCCCGCGAAAAACGTCATCTCTATCTTTTGTAGCAGCATCTTGATCGTCTTCAACACCCCTATGTCCCGTATGATAGACTATGATCGCTTCAGCCGCTGCACCAAACGTAGCGCGCACAGTCTCGATTTCGCAATCTGGAACCGCCACCACTAGCAGCACAGTATCATCTCTTGCTGTTCTTTTGCCCATGATGATCATATACATGTATAAAATTTCTGAGCTGGTGTCCTCACACAGCTTTATGAGCAATTGATTGCATTCAAGAGGCAATTTGTGGATAAATGGCGAGGTGGGGTTACTGGCTATGTTGACCGGGAGTTTTGATCGCTGGGTGTAATGGGTCTTGATGCTATCGATGAAGACAAAGTTGTTGTTGCAATTGTCATCATCGTTGATGCCGCTGTCTTCGAGAAAACGTGTCATGAGCTACGTTGCTGATTGACACGCGTTTTCTGTCTGTGGAAAGAGATTTACTNNGACCTCTTTACTTAGCGGAGCGGCGCATATTATCGGAAACAAGACTTCTCCCATCTTGAGCTTAGACAGTTGGGCATATACTTTAAAGTGTGTTTTTCAGATTGATAAAGGTAAAGCGGGAGGCAGAGATTAGAGTCTGGCATTCGAGGCCCGAATTGATCCTGAACTCAATTGATACGATCAATGTTACTCCATTGAAGGTCTAATTCTTGCTGGTTATCCGCCTTAGATACTCAATGTCTTGACAAGGGACATTTTCCTGCCTTGAACCATGCTTCTCGATGATCTCACTGTATGAATAGTCGTCATCGCAGGTCTTTGTAATGAGGACAACCATACTTGTCACTTGGAAAGAACAACTGAGAGTCACACCAAGCCTTGTCTTACAACAAACCTGTGATTATGTTGAAGGTTTTTCATTGCGTCTAGCTTGTGAATGGTTCTCAGCGTGTAAAATCATTCCTCTGCCTTTTCGATCTTCATCTCCTGCTCTCCAACCTTACCCATCTCTCCTGCACTTCCCTTCCACTCATCACCCCAAAGCTGCTGCAAGGAGATTCTCGACTTGCCAGGCACAAACCAAGGCATCTTTTGGAACAAAGGACCCATGTCTTCCAAGGGTCTCTTTGCAGTCTCTGGGAGCGTGGCCCAAAACCAAAGTGCGTTTGTACCCGAACACACGACGAAAAGAATGTAATATCTCCATCCTATCCTTTCCAGGGCGATGGGCGAGACTTGACCGATCATGGTGTTGAAGGCGAATGAGCACGCTGTTGCAAGGGACACACCTTTACTTCTGGTGTGGGTGTCGAAGATCTCGGCTGGGATAATCCAGGAGAGAGGGCCGCAAGCGACGGAGTATGAGAAGTTGAATAGCCAGGTCATTGCGATGAAGGCTTCTTGAGCAGACTTGTTGGTCGATGCACCAGGAGGATAAGATGCGAGTAGGGCCGTGGCGATGATGAAGGTGACCATGTTCAGCAGGTTGCCTCCAATCAGAGTCCAGCGGCGACCAACGCGGTCGATGAAGAGCATGCAGCAGAATTGAGCTGCCAGAGCGACTATAGCATTGAATCCTTGAAACATGAATGTGTCGCTGCCGTTGATGCCGATTTGTCCGTAGATATCCGGAGAGTAGTATTGGATGGCTGAAATTCCACTCATCTGAACAGAGGCTTGTAGTGATAGGGCAGTGACCAGGCGGCGGAAACTTGATCGCGTCTTGAACAGCTCGGCGTACGACTTTGCAGCATGCTCTTTCTCGTACTCCACAGCGGCGGCGATGGCGTCGTATTCTTCCTGTACAAAGGCGTCTTGGTCGTTACCGGATGCGTGTAACTTGGCAAGTACTCTTAATCCTTCCTCGCTACGACCGTGGTGAATGAGCCAGCGGGGTGATTCGGGGAAGAGGAGAATGAGCGAAGTCAAGAACAGTGCAGGCAGTAGTTGAAGACCAAGTCCGATCCTCCATTGCGCGCTATTGTCGTCATCGAAGGAGATGTATGTTCCGTAAGACACCCAGGCTGCGATGAGATTTCCTACTCCCAACATGAATTGCTGAAGTGCTGTGATCCGTCCTCTGATGCTGGGATGCGCTAGTTCGGCTTGGTACAGCGGAATGATCATGATCAGTGCTCCGACTCTGAATTGTTGTTATTAGTATTCTTTAATCATGCGCAGGGTCAAACAAATCATGAACGTACCCAAGNNGCCTGCCACAAATCTTCCACCGAACATATAGCTATAGTCTTGCGCTCCGGTTTGTACTGCACCTCCAAGAATGAAGATGGCGCCGCCAATAAAGATGGTCCATTTACGTCCTAGATAATCTCCACAAGGTCCTGCCCAGAACGCGCCGAAGAAAGCGCCAATTGTGAACAGAGACACTACTAGTCCAGTCTTTGTTGTATTGTCGCCAAAAGCCGCAAGGAAAGATGGAGCTGCAACGACCTCGGCAACGACTCCCAAGTCGTAGCCATAGAGCAACGAGCCGAGAGACGCAAAGATAGAGACCAGAAACTGGTAGACGCGGGGTGAGACCGCCATGATGAATTGAGGTTTCAAAGTGGTGTCAAAAGTGGTAGTGTGTCGTAGTCGGACGGTCTTGCAGTTGGTGGGTGCGATTATTGGATAGGAACTGTACCAGCAGTATCTTTCGCGATGAGAAATCGGAAGTCAAGGGCAGAGGTAGGGTAGTATACATATACAAGCGGACTTACCTGCTATCCGCGTTGTCGTAACTATATTGATCTTTGGACAAATGACGCAGTGGAATGTAACTTACCACAGCCAAATCGTTCGGTAGATTTCGATATGGCGACGAGAATGTCTAGGGCTTCACACACAGGCGGATAAACAACAGCTGATAGCTCTTACGCAAAGACAGCAGCGCGATGATCGAGTGGATCCTCAACAGCAGTAATGCTCACAACATTATGCCCATGGAGAAATTGTGGATCTCTTGCTCGCCTCCCCATGGGATGGAGAGATGATCAGTACGGTGATAGACGTTGATATTTTCCTATCTTGGCGTGCATCGGCGGCTTGCCTTGTCGTCAGCCACTGCCGGTCCATCCGAGGGCTCTAATTGCGGCTTGCATTCAGCCGAATTTTAGTCGGGTCCACCGACAGGAAAGAACGATCCTTTCTACATCACACGAGTGCTAACGTAACCGCGTTGGAAGGCATAACGCTCGACTTACCACATATAAGACGCCACTAGCTTAGCCAAGTTCGTTACATACCCTGCTCTCTTCCTCTAAAATCATACATATCCTATAACAGCGGTGACGGTGTCGAACTTTGCTTATATAAGAACGTCTTAGTCGTTTCCGGAAGCGTGTAATTTGGCAGATAATTACAAGCCCTTCTCGCCAAAACGCTAATAGAATAGTTATCAAGGCAATTTGGAGAAGAGGAGAATTAGCGGAGTTAAAAATAGCGCAGGCAGAAGCTAGAGTCCAAGTCCAATCCATCTACTCTACCGATTTAGTAGATACAAAGAAGTAACTGCACTACGTATTTCAGAGCACATGAGACCTGAACACCTTCACCATGGCCGACACTTAGGCCTTGATCCTGTCCATCATCCTGTCTGGCATGAAATCTGGTGTAACGGCTCTAATGTTGCCACCGAGGATGTCCCCGTTCAGCAGGGGAAGCCCTCGCCGATAGTAACCAACNTCGTATGTCCCTCTTGGAGGTACGTTGCGTGTGGCAGACGCCAACGGCACTGGTAATGCCAGAGAGTATGGCGTGACCTCTGGCGATCTCGGAGAATCGAGTGCTTCGATGACAGACTCACGCTTAGAGATGATGAGACTGAGGTCGGGCAAGGTCTGTGTAAAGCCTTGGGACTGCGAGACCTGTTCAATAGACTTGAAATACTGTAGTTACAGCGTTAGTGAAGATTCTTTGCACTTGAAGAACGTAGAGGCAAGATATGTCGCCGAGGAGCGGAGCATTAGAGTGATTCTATCATGACTTACTTTGACGGTCTTGACCTGCAGCTCGAGGGTGGCATCTTCGTCCACAACAATCATCGCATGAGGATGCATCTGTAGAGACGAAAGCGTCCACATGTGGTTCACACCNCCTTCTATGCATTTCTGAAGCGCCAGGGCTTTGTGCGGGCCGGTGATCAAGATCACAACTTCTCTGGCGTCCAGAACAGTCTTGACACCTACGGTAAGTGCCATACGTGGCACTTTGGCCAAGTCGTTGTCGAAGAATCTCGAATTAGCGACTATGGTGTCGTATGCCAATGTTTTGACGCGTGTGCGAGACAAGAGACTGGAGCCTGGTTCATTAAAAGCAATGTGACCGTCTGGGCCAATTCCACCAAGAAACAGCTCAATGCCGCCCGCTCGAAGGATCTTCTCCTCATAAGCTATACATTCAGCTTCGAGGTCCACAGCATTGCCGTCCAGAATGTTGATGTTACCGGGCCTGATGTCGACGTGGGAGAAAAANTGCTTGTACATGAAGCTGTGGTAGGACTCCGAATGTTCACGAGGGAGCCCAACGTACTCGTCNCTGTAACAAACTTAGCCAGCACTCATATGCCGTGGCCATGATGTTCGAAACCTTACCATGTTGAAAGTTACCACATCCTTGAATGAGATCTCCCCAATCTTGTAACGTTCGACCAAGTTTTTGTAGACCTCGACTGGACTGCTACCAGTTGGTAGGCCAAGTACAAAAGGTCTGTCTGTCGATGGCTTAAATGCTGTGATTCGATCTGAAAAATTTAGAATGGACCCAGCCGATTGGGTTTTGACGGAAGACATACCGACAATATAGTTGGCAACGAAGGAGGCGACTTCGTCCTTTTTNTCTCTAATAATGAGACGCCTGCCGTGAATCAGCTTAGTCTTAGTAGAATGGTGCAATCAGGTTCTAGAATGACGAACATGCTTTATGGTATTGGATTTGTATACCAAAAAGACGACATATCGATGAATCCACGAGAATTATGTATTCGAGCACGTACTCCGACCACTAGTGTAGATGCCAAATACCGGCAGCATCCCTTGCGACAGTGACAAGTCGATGTCACGAGATGCGCATGGACTCTGTTCGGTGTTACCCCAGGTGCGCATGGCGGGATGTAACGTCGGCCGAAGCCCATCTTTGACGGTGTTACACCGTTGGCCTTGTCGCAAGGGCTGGTCCCGATCATTGTGACCATGCTGCTTTCGACACACGGCGATTGAGGTGACGGCAACCGAACGTGTGACGGCCTAGGCACGCCTGAGTACGACGAGACAGCCAGTGGTCTTACCAACAGTTAGCACCGATCGATCAGCTCCCTGAAGGTTGTAGCGTAGATCATCTTATCGTTATGTTGTCACGTTCCAGACATGGTAGCCTGAGGTTTGGGCATTTTTCACAACCTACACATAATTAAGAGTATCAAGCCCGGCCACCACGAATCGCGCATTGCTAACCTGACCTCACACACTTCCGCAACCTGACCACATTCCTGAATCTTCCCACGATGTTGTCTTCGTCGGCCATGCCGGTGCACCGGTCGATGGACAAGAATATCATCACTGTGGAGACTACACCGATACCACCACCACGAAATCTTACAAAACTTCTTAGCGAAGCACGTCAAGCCTTGGAAGAGTCGCTTCATGCCACTCAACTCCACGCCATATCTGAGAAGCTGCGCAACGAATTCATCTCCGAGGCTCGATCATCCCAGATATGCATGCTTCCATCATTCCGGCAGCCCGTCCCCATTCAATGTCGTGGTGGAACTTATCTCGCGCTCGACATTGGGGGCTCAACATTTCGAATTGCGACAGTGCGCATACATGGAGAGAACCATGACGCGCTCGAGATACGAACCATGAGAAGCTTCATGATCGGCAGGCATATTCGAAGTCTGGAAGGGAAAAAATTCTTTGACTGGATTGCAGCTCGAATCGACGAAGTTTTGAGTCCAAGTTCCTCGGGATACTGCCCGTTGAACAAGACAGGTCCTTTGCTGATGGCCATGGCCTGGTCATTTCCATTCGATCAGACTTCTCATAGAACAGGCTCACTTTTGCCCATGGGCAAAGGATTTTGTGCGACATTCGGGGTGGAGGGTCAGGAGCTTTCCGAACTTGTGCTGAGGTCCTGCAGGGAGCGTGGTCTGAATCTGAGACTGGAAGCTCTAGTCAATGATGCAGCGGCTACTCTGATCCTAGGCTCGTTACGAAACCAATCAACCAGTATGTCGCTGATCCTTGGTACTGGCTTGAATTCAGCTATCTACCTACCGGGGAACACTCGCAAGTTGACTTGCGAACACCAAGACCACACTGCACACAGCGACAGTAAAATCATAGTCAACACGGAGCTTAGCATGTTTGGCAAAGACTGTTTACCAACATGCCGTTGGGATCGTCGTCTGAATGCAACACATAGGCTACCAGACTTCCAACCTCTCGAACAGAAAGTCAGTGGGCGGTATATCGGGGAAATCATGCGCTTGATTCTAGTGGAGGGCATGGAATTTTATGGTCTTTTCGGCGGTTTGATACCCGCGCGACTACATGAGCCTTACACGCTCGACACAGCTCTGGTTGCACTCTTCGAAAGCGATGACACTCCTGATCTCTCCATTGCAAGCATTGCTTTCGAGGCTGCGCATCCACTACCAAACGGAAACCATGGATCACTCGGAGATTTCCTGTTTGTTCGAGACGTCGGCCGCCTGATCTCGAACCGGGCGGCAGCGTACGTGGCCGTCGCTGTACACGCTCTTTGGTCGTTCCAGCACACGTATGGCAAACAGGATAGACATGCCGTGAGTAGCATTGCCTGTACGGGAACAATCTTGGAAAAATACCCCGGCTTTCGGCAAAGGTGTCAAGAGCATTTAGACGCATTGGTGAGGGTCGCCGGTCAGCCTGATGGCGATATACTGCTTGAGATGGCTTATGAGAGCTCTATATTAGGGGCAGTTGTGGCTGCAGCCACAAGGACAGATACAGCATAGAGATGTAAGAATGCGAGGATGTAGAGTACACGACAAAATCGCTTGAGGCATGAGGTGAACATTAGAATCTACCAAAACAAACATGAAGCACAAATTCCTGCATGCAATTTCCGAAGACTCGAATACCGCAAAGGAGCGTAGGTTTTACCTGGAGAGATCCTTAAGTCGCAAATGACCTTGAACATGATCGCGCACCGTCGGATGGATATATACTTCGATGCCCCGCAGCTGGATCTTACGACAAGATTCGCGTATTTAGGGCCGACCTCCGGGAACAACGACCTTGGAAATCACACCAACCACGATAGCTATCGGATCATGAACTTCGAGCATCATATAGACATGGACACCTTGGTAGTTTGCGATAGATTGAATATCACTTTTGTGAATCAGAACTCTGTCGACTTGTCGCCGCCCTTTACTTTCTCCAATGAATTCACTTTCAGAGACTCGGACCTGTTGGATATGTAAGGCCACCTAGCGATATGAACGAGTGAGATGCTTGCTAAGTATTCACAGCCCAGGATTCTGTGAGACGCGACTAGTCACTCCACTACCTGATAGCTACGACCACGACGAAGACACCATGTTCGATCTTGCAAGCACCAAAGAAAACGTTTCAGGAACTCCTGGAAGACAGAGCTATGAGAACCAGGACTTCGGAGACGTTCCGCTTCCTTCGGATCATGCTCTGCTGAGATTTAATCCGCTCGTCCTGAATCGATTGCTCACGAAGCCACGAACGATGCTATCACTTTCCGCGGAGATGAAAGGGCTCTGAGCAGGCGAAGCTTGCGTCGGACATCCAACGGCAACATCCAAATTATAAGTGATCTGCTATCGTCGAAACTTGTTTCAGGTCTCGGGAAGTGTCATGATAAGAAAGCCTCTAGAGTACGCTTCACCAGACCAAACCAGATCAGATCCCATCGTAAGTCAGCATCTACTTCTTTCAGCTACTGAATCAGTCGATGGGACTTCTATCAAGATTATATGTGTATCACAAAAGACGTCAGCTACTTCAGCACTGGATGAGAGAGTTGAAAGAGACCCACCACCTCTTTCACTCACAGAATTGACTTCATCGACTACAGAAGATAAAAACACGTTGTCATTCAGCTGGGGCCGTCTGCGGTTTCGTAATGCGACAGCCAACAATGGAAGACGGCGAGAACTACAACAGTATTCCATCCTGCGTGTGAGTATCGTAGCCGTGTTGTCCACGGGTACGAAGCTAATTCTTGCATCTGCAAACTCGCATCCAATACTGGTCAGAGGCAGAGTTTCACGGCACTTTCGGAGTAGAACCGATGCAAGAGTAATCGACACTGTATCGATATTGGAACCTAGATCATCTCCGACCGAGCAGCAATGGCATGGAAATAATCAAGATTCTGAATTCATTGTTTCGGGATCTGATGATCTTGTCACTTCTTCGACTAGATCTCCCCGCTCAAGGATGAGCGCTTTGTCGTACAAATCCCGCGAGGCGTTATCTTTGGAGGACGATACGACACCTAGCTTCAGTCATCAGTCAAGACAGTCGCCGAAAGACAGTGAGGCGAACACCGCCCGGTCATATCATAGCTGGGCAGTCTCAAAGCCACAACGCTCCGCTATCCAAGTACTATCTCTGAGTGATCAAGATGACGCATCGGTCGAATTAGCATACAAGCCTTTCACGAAACGACAACTTCCATCAACGGCATCGCAAGGTAGAACGACCCGCAAGAATGTGTCGAACTTCACAAGCTGCCAGCATGAGTACTTTCCTCTCAGTCTCAACGATTGGCTGCCCCCAGTGGAACCAGTCTATCGACCTCACGTAGCGCACACCCACACTTCGCTACCACACAGAACATCAGAACCGCACGGCCGTCACCTCAGAAAGAGGGTTTTCAGCTCGTACAACGGCTGACATCAGTATGCGACGCCCCTTCTGTCAGGATATGTGAATCCAGGTGCTTGCTCATATCTTGGCCAGGTGCCACATTGTTTAACATACATCGATTGATGAGAGAATTCATTTTGGTCATTTTCGGTTCTGGCCAAACTAACTACTGCATTTGAGTTCCATCTGCTGACCAGCAATCGAGTACCCACACTTCTCATAAAACTTGATATTCTCCTTGCTACAATTCAAGATGAGTTTTCCGACACCAAGATCTTTCGCTGTCGCATTCAGGGCTTGGATGAGGATCAGACCTAGTCCCTTTCCCTGCTGTGAGGCCGACACACAGACTTCTTCGACATGGGCTACCATTGTAAAGTTGTGGATACTGCACAACCCACAAGCACTTAGTCCATGCCATTTGCGTAACGAAGCAACAGAACGGCCAGAACGACCCGAATGACTTACAATNTTCCTCTCCACAATCATGGTAGCAGTGGCAACTATGCGGCTTCCGTCGTCAATGACAAGACAGTAGTACCAATCTTTTCCTGCGGTGGCCATCCAGTCAAAGCGTTCTTCGAATGCGGACTCTGTGATATCGCCAATCCATGTCAAGTCGGTGAGACATGTCAGAAACCCGCGCGAGTAATCTGATCGATGCAGCGGACGCAGTACATATCCTTGAGGCAGAGACGAAGATGCGGATGTAGGTATCAGAGAACTGGAAAATAGCGATGTTTCAGGAATATTCGATGCCATTGTTCGTAACGCGTCCTGTGGTGCGACGTTGCTGTTATTGATTCCTAATGAGTTCTGCTGGATGGATTCTTGCTCTGAACTTCGTTCGATGAAGATGCAGCAGCTCTTATCAAGCGAACAATGTTCGCGCTGCAAGCGACACGGCTTCTGAGGTTACATCGGCGATTGCCGCTCATAGCGAAGGTCAACAGACGCCTGCGGGTGCAACCGGCTTGGTAGCATTTCGACGCACAGGCAATGGCACGTGTTGCGCACATGAACCAAAACGTCTGGCGCGATATCGTGTCTAACGACTTGACCATGGGTTCAGATCCCTAGCTAAATTCAGGTTGCCAGAGCCGCTCCTCCGTCGCTACCCTTTCCACTGCAGATATATACGATGGGATGGATAGGCCGAACCAGATGAAAGAACTTTCCGCTAGATATCGTGTCTGACCAGTATCTACAGACTACGAGCAACGTTCGTTCACTATCAGCTCAAGCGGGCATCGCGGACAATATCTTTGTGCTTTTACATGACAAATCTCAGTTGTGAACGTTACATGGAATTTGTGGATAATGTTCGAGTCCATGCTGTGCCGAATTCTCTTGGCCGCAGATCTTGTTCAGTGCCAGCAGTCAACTAATTCCACTGACGTTCTTCTCTGATTGTATTAAGTTACATTAACTACAGAACAATCACGTGTAAAACCAATGTTTGACGACACGCGGGTGTGTAACGCGATTTCGACTAGTCAGTGATGCCGACATGTCCGCCTTCGCATGTAGCATCACGTGAGTATCTGACAGGAGCACCCTGTTCATCGATTTGCATGGCGGCGACAAGGGTGTCACGTACCTGATGTAATAAACACGGATAGCCTGTAATAGGCTACTATATCTTTTCATGTTAGCAAAATAGAACGTTGAACTTAGTAGGGTCGTTTCATGAATTTCATGCCATTTCTTGTCCAAGTCAACAACAACTTTGGCGAGTGTGATCGCCAAGCGGGTGACATACATCATAGTCCAAAACCAGTCTCTAAACGAAGACATTTCACAAGCGTGGTCACAACGATCCTTGATAACATGGCTCAACAAAAGCTTCATTTCTGTAACATATCATAAAGTAGCAGCAGAGAACGACAGCTAATAATTTCAGCTTCACCCCTTCCACCACTGCGTGCATACTCAATCGACCTTCTGCAATTCGTATACCTGCTGTGGTACTTCGTAGTCAGCAAATTTGCGGGCACTGATCTTGTTGTCAAAGATGATGTCCAATTCCTGGAATGTTCTTCCGAACGTTTCGGGCAGCCGGAACCAGCACCAGACGAGACAGGCCGCACTGATACCACCGAACAAGTAGCCTGCCTTTCCTTTCCAATTGCCTTCCTCGCTGCTGAGCATGTAGGGCATGCCAATAGTGAACACAATGCCGAATGTGGATTGTACTGCAGTAGCTATGGCGATTGTTCGACCACGAAGACGGGTAGATGAGACTTCGCAGATCAGGACAAAGCAAATGGGACCGACAGTCATCTGATACACGAAGGTCCAGATATCCATCAGGGTAGCCTGTGCCCAGATTGCGCCCGTGTTGTTCTTTGGAATGTCCAGGAACCCAATGATGAACAGGATGACAGTCATGACGACCATTCCATAGGTGTAGATGGTACGACGGCCAAATCTCAGCATCAACGGCCATGAGAGACATGTGCCAACAAAGCCAAGCGCCGTGTTTCCAACACCCACTTCAGAACGAATCAGCTATGTCAAAGATACGTTGGAGTCGTACATGCACTTACTATTGAAAGCGTTGGCAGAGGCCAGTCCGGCCTGTTCAAAGAAGAATGTCGCATATCCAATGAGGGGGTTACCTCCAATTACCTGGATAAGGTAGACCATGGTACATATTTCCGTTCTTCTCAAATTGGTTCCTTTGAAACAATCAAGATAAGTCGTGCTTGCGTCAATCTCGCGCTCGAGCAGATCAGTCTCTTCGATCAGAACGAGCATCGCGTCAAGGTCGGGACGATCCTTGCTGCTAGTCAATTTCTCAAGCGCATGCTTTGCATCATCTCTACGTCCCTGGCGTACCAACCAGTAAGGACTCTCAGGAGCAAAGCAGAGACCAATCAACAGGATGACAGGCCAAATCCACTGGATCGCTGGTACTTTGGTCAGCCGAAGAACAACTTGTATAAATAAGAGAGACTAACCAAAGGGAAGTCTGTATGCAAGCGCATCTGATCTACTCTCCACACCAGCAGCGGTACCTTGGGCGATGAATTGTCCAATGACAAAGGCTAGATTGACCGACGCCGTAAGCACACCTCGAAGAGCCAACGGGCAGACATCAGAGGCATAAACAGGCGCGATGACAACGTAGAAGCCGTAGCCCAAGCCAGCAAAAACTTCACCAACACAGAGAACGGTCAAATTCTCTGAGAAGAACTGCATGAAGATCCAAGCAATAGACCAGCAGCAGCATGCTGCTAAAGTGCGCTTGCGACCGAACTTTTCCAGCGGCCAACCGCAAGCAAGTGCGCCGACCAGTTGTCCGACAGCATTTCCCATGCCCAATCCTGTTTGCCACGCTGCCGAGATGGTATATTCACCCTGGTAGAGTGAACCGTACTTCTTCTGGAAAGCAGGCAGCGCGTAGAAGGATGAAACGAGTTGAGGATCGAAACCGGCCATGATGACAGCGACGCAAAAGAATGCCGACCAGAAGACAGCCTTGGGGTAGAGCTTCACACCTTTCCAGAAGCCGAGTTCGTGCTCGCTTTGGGTGACTTGATTGACGGTGTCGGTTATGGTTCCATGCTGTCCTTCGACAAGTTCGTGAGTCTGCATGTCGTGTTTGGTGATAGACATGGTAGAAGGGGGAATAGTGTCCAGATGGTTTGGGTCTTCTCTGTGCTTGTGTTTCTGATTCTGTTTCTGACTGTTGTAACCGAGGAAACTCAACCAGATAGTTATAGGTATATGATTGCTGACCTTCTGAGGGGTGAGGATAGAAGATGAATCTCATGTAACGGTCATGAATCTGGGGTAACATGAACAGGTGCCCAAGGTGCACGGTGCAGAGAATGGTAAGTCGCACCAGTCGATGGGTAGTTGACAGTTCTCGATGGTCTCGTGACAGGTCTGGGCTTGGGGAGCGACCCCAGATTCCTGTGGGGCCGAAGATAAGGGGAAAAGCTTATCAACGAATTGAGACCCTCCGCGGCTCAATGTAACCTGGCAACCGCTAGAGTTCGGCGCGACCTGGGGCTAGACCCCGTTCTAATTGACACTAGTTGCAGTTCCGAGTCCAGTTGCTCGAAGTGACCTAGGCATTGTTACATGGCCGATGGCCATCCACCCACTCTGAGTCCTCGTCCACGGTTCACGACCAGTTCATCTCGCCAACCTACCTCGCCGGTCGACCGTTGCTTCAGGGTCAACTCGCAGTCGTATTTTTCTGCTGCACAGCCGTCAGCCTGTACGACTTCACGTTGACACTGTTCGTCTGCCCTGATCCCTTCTGCAATCGCCATCTCAAGTGGAAGATTTTCCGAGACGAAGACGTGTGATTGAAATCGAGGACCATTATTTGAGTATCCTGGCCCGCATCTTTTGGTCCATACGAATATTCAACCTACGTCAGCTTCTCTGTCCTTTGATCTCTCTCACTATATTTCAATCACAGCGACCATGCCGCATCTCGACACCTCTGCAACGAACAAGAAGCTGAAGTTCCTCGTCATCGGCGCTGGACAGCGTGGTGTATCATACGCCAATCCAGTTTCTCGCATGCCGAATGCAGCAATTCATGCTGTAGCAGAACCTGTCAATTATCGACGTCGGCACTTTGGCGAATCCTACATCTGGGGAGAAGCCGGTAAACCTGCCGACGGACAGGAATTCAGTGACTGGAAGCAGTGGCTGGCTTGGGAGATTGAGCGCCGGAAATCCGAGAAGTCAGGCAAAGAAGTGCCTGCTGGTGTGGATGGAGTGTTTGTTTGCACTCTTGATGCAATGCATGTCGAAATCATGCTCGCGATCGCACCACTCAACATCCATGTGTTGTGCGAGAAACCATTGGCCACTTCTCTAGCGGATTGTATGTCGATACTTCAGGCATTCTCACGTGATCCACAAGAGAGAATTTTCTCTGTTGGACACGTTCTGAGATACAGCCCACATAACCAACTGCTTCGCAAGCTTCTGCTCAGCGACCGCGTCGTGNGCGATATCTTGTCCGTGGAACACACCGAGCCCGTGGGATGGTGGCACTTTGCCCACAGTTATACACGAGGACCATGGAGACGTGCGACTGACAACCAAGACGGCTCTCTGCTCACCAAAAGTTGCCATGACATCGATTTCTTGCTTTGGCTCCTTTCGCAAACACCAGATGGCACCGCCGACGATGTTCCAGCCCATCTGCCAAAGACGATAACATCAACCGGAGCTCTAAACCAGTTCAAGAGATCTCGGAAGCCAGCAGAGGCAGGAATTGCCACGAATTGTCTCTCTTGTCCTTACGAGCGAAAATGCCAATACAGCGCAGTCAAAATCTATGACGACGCTCGTCTGGCTGTTGGACACACGCATTGGCTCAACCACGTTGTCCACGACATCGAAGATACTTTACACGCTTGTGGAGTCGATGCGGCCAGAAAAAGTCTCCATACTCGATTGGGGCAAGACTACAGCCAGNGAGTCACTCCTGATGCCGAAATCGCGGAACGACCTTGGTACGGGCGCTGTGTCTACGAGAGCGACAACAATGTTTGCGATGATCAATTTGTCACAATTAAATGGGATGAAGATATTTCTTCGCCTTTGCACCGTCCGGGAAAAGTTGCAACACTCCATATGGTTGCCAACACCGAGAAGGAATGCGAGCGCAGAGGCATCATATATGGATCCCATGGCGAGCTTTCGTATGATGGAAAAACCATTCGATACTTCGACTTTGTTGCCCGCAAAGAAACTATCGTCACAACGCCTGATGCACCTGAGTTCGAGCAAAAGATCAAATCTCATGGTGGAGGCGATAAAGGTCTTGCTGCGGCATTCGTGTCTGCTGTTGAAGCTGTCGACCGAAATGGACTCAAGGCTGAGGATGCCCAGCGAAAGTTTGTTGGATGCACTCTCGAGGATGCTTTCAGAGCGCATGCTGTAGTCTTTGCTGCTGAGGAGGCGAGGAGGGATGAGAAGATTATCCAGTGGAAAGCGTGGTGGGAAAGCAAGAAACAGCAGTATCAGGTCGGGATGTAAACATCTGTTTGCAAATATAGGCACGAGATTATGGCGAGATTGATGGGATCTATTTTTTCGGCGCAACAGGCGCTGTCAGCAAATGTCAAGTTCTTTTGTATATCCTTCATAGTGATTGCTCATGAAGGTTTTATAATTCTCCGCAACGGAAGTCAAGTGATCAATGTTCTACAATGGCAATGTGCCAGTTTCAAACGGAATTCGGTTCCGTAGAGGCCTGAGGAAGAATAGACATCAGTGAGGCATATATGCTAAAAGCTGCCCATTGGCGACCTTTGGTGCTCTACAGACGTGAACGACCTTCGGTTTGATGATGGAAAATTAAAGCATGACATTCAATCTTCTCGTTGATGACTTATGCCGGATCCAAAACAAGCTTGCCAAACTTCCAGACCTTGTCCACCCTCAAAGTTCGCAGTCCATCCTCGTTACGTCGTTCCGATAAGACAAGTAGATCCGCATCTGCTCCAGCCTCAAGACTGCCCTTGATCTTATCCATACCGAGCATCTTCGCGGGAACGGAGGTGACTGCATTCACCGCTTCTGGAACAGAATTACCGGACCAGTTAAGAAAATTTGTGACACAGTCGAGCAGAGATGCGAATCCTCCTGCGATGCGTCCATTCTCTTCTAGAGTCAGTTCAGAGCCCTTCTTGACAATGCGACTCCCGTTTGTCCATTCGTAAGTCCCACGGCTNAGACCAGCGAGACTCAATGCATCAGTCACAAGAAACACACCCTCCAAATAAGCACTGTAGGCTATCTTGACGATAGTGGGATGTAGATGAATCCCATCGGCGATGATACCAAAGTACGGCCTACTTTTNGTTCCGGCCTGTCCCAGGATGCCAAATGGACCAGGATTACGATGATGAAGAGGTCTCATCGCGTTGAACAGATGGGTTACGACTGTGGCGCCAGCCTCGATAGCGATCATTGTTTCTTCGTAGGTGGCCTTGGTATGGCTAATGCTGAAGATGATGTTATGCTTCTTAATTCGATTGATAATGGCAGTCATATTGCCAACCTCTGGGGCAGCTGTAATAATGGTGATGGCATCCAGGTTGTCGGAACCGTAGCAATCCTCGAGATCCGAGAACGATAATGCGGATTGTAGAACTTCGACTTTATGGCAACCATTCTTCTGCGCACTAAGAAAAGGCCCTTTATGATGCACCCCTAAAGATTCTGCTCCGCACTGTCCGACTCTATCTCCACCTGACGGAGCAAGCAGAGGCAGAGCTTTCTAATACACCTCCGATTTCTAACTGGTGATGCTTGGCAAGTAAGACGTTACACTGGTCGTAAGGAGCTCCTAATTTAGGTCTCTCAGATCTTTCAGATCAACTAAAGTTTCCAGATGTGCTTAAGAGAAATCGAATCCAAAGGCGCCATTGAACTGCNNGTTAATAAAGCTAGGGCTCACGATCCTTCCTCTAAAGTCGATGACATGATCTGGTACGATAAGATGTTAATAGAAAGCCTCTTGACTACGGACGATCCGGCCTGTTTCGGTGCTAAACCAGAGATCTTCTTCGACCAGGGAAGTTCCTTCAACAAGACGACATCCGGTCAAACGAACAATGCCGCTCTGCAAGGAGGCATTAGAGGTAGCGCTGGGCATTGTGTGTGTTTTGTATGATGCTAGGTCAACAGACATAGCACGCTGTAATCTTGGGGAAGGTTGGTTCATGTATGATGTTCGGGTTTCGCATATTCATGATACATTCAGGATTCTTAGGCTTACAAAAGAGGGTAGACGCTTATCACCGGACTTGAGCCTTCCACACGGATACTACCTAGTGATGCTCGTATCAAGGTAGGGAAACTTCCAATAGATTTGATCGGGTATGCAACCCTGCGACAGGCGCATTATGCAGATTATGGGAGCGTTGCGATGACCGTATCCGCAGGTCTCTCTAGCGTATCCTGGCCATGAAAAATCGATATACTACATGGTAGAAGGCTCTTACACCACTGGACCTGACTGTCTGGTCACAGATACAGCCATCGCATAGCTTGCTTTCTACTAGGGCATACATTTTCAGCATAACTATCGTCAGAGATGAGAAGAATTGGCTGCGCTTCCTGAGTACAATCGCGTCACAAGAGAAGATAGTATTATTCACACCTATGCTGAAGCCAGTCACGCCACCGACATCATCGCATGGCTCGAACTTAAACGAAGTTGCTGCAAGCGAAGACTGTAGGGTCTTATTGAGTGGAGAGGAGGTATTCTAAGAACTTGGGAGACTGCTGTCACGACGCAGAAGCGGAAGAGTCTTGCACACCAGTTACACGGCCCACGGGGTACGGACCCAACATGAGGCACTGGTTGCAAAGGCCACGGCAGTCATCTTGGTGACTGCAGATGCTATCAGGCACCAATATCAGCACGCGTTCGCCAAGCACATATCACTGCTCTGCCAGGCCTCGAGCAGCGACAAGAATCCCATCAAGCCTATAATCGTTGTCTCTGTCAGTTCGCCGCACGACTTTGCTTCCGACACTTCGATCAGCACGTACATCTGTACCTACGACTTTACCGAGACCGCTATGACATCTTTGGTCAGAGTTCTCTATGGCGATTTTGGGCCATCGGGAAAATTACCAGGTCTTGATCAAGGACTGCACAAGCCGACCCAAACGAACCAATATTGGTTCGTCGAGGTTCTCAACGAGGACAGAGACTTTGCAGCCCTGACTGAGCTCACCAAAGCCGTTGCAGAAGATCAAGATTTCACTTTACGTGATCTTGATACAGATCTGTTTTTGCTCAAACAGCCTAGAATCTCCGAATTACACTTTCTGGTTCGTAACAGTAGCACGCGTGCTTTGTACGGTTTCTGCAGCACTTGTTTTTCCAAGGAGTCAGGGCTCGGAGCTATCGGTGCTCTCTTTGTAGAGCCTGGCCGCCGAGGACTGTCAATTGGACAGAACTTGCACAATCGAGCTGTACAGTCACTATTACGAAGGGTCGGACTCCAAAGACCTCAGCTAGGGTGCCATTTACCGGATTTCTATCTCGGTATTCCGGTAGGTCGGGACTCTGTTCAATGCGATCGGCTGCGATCATGGTTCCGCCGTCTCGGTTGTAAGTTGCAGATACTCCTTCTGAGCACCAGTGCTGACGTTGTCACTCAACAGGGCATGCCGCCGATATTGGATTTGTCTGTGGCATGGTGTTACTTGAATTACAAAAGTGGTCGCCTCCTAGGAACTTCCGACAAGACGACCTCGTATTTGACCTTGTTCGCGGCTGGACTCACTCGGCCCAGATGTTCTATTTCCTTCGGACCAGTGGTCGTCCCGAACTGGTCTCTTTATACAGTTGCGCTCTGTCCAATCCCTCTAACTGTGGCATAGTCCGTGCGAAGATATCGTATGACGACAGAATCATGGGCACGCTAATCATGTTCGCCTTGGACTCTGTGATGGCCACGTGTGCCCGTTGGTCCCCGAAAAATGTTCCTTTACTGGCGTTACATCTCCTGTCATCTTGCCTCGCTATGAGCAGCATGGCAGGATCTTACAAAGCCTCATAATACTAGCCTTGAGAGGCAAAACGACAGGGTAATCAGTCACTTGTAGTGACATGTACGAGTTACATGCCCTGATTCAGAGTTTATCTGTTGTGTCCCCTCTTTGCTGACGACGCACATAAGATTGAGAAGAACGCAACAACCGACGGTCTTACACAACTTGGCCTCAAGGTCCAAGATACCTTTGAAGTTAGCTGTAGCGCGTCGAAATTCAATGGATTCAGACAGGTGTAAGCAGAATTTCTCTGCTTGCATTGTCTTCATCGGATCGTCGTATAGTGCGTCACTGGCCTTGTACGCACACGTAAAGAGAGAAAAGACCTGGGAGAGAGGGCATGATCTTGACGATCATGCAGCTCCTGTAGTTGTATTCTGCAGACAAAACCGCCTCCAAGTCGTAGCCATAGAGAAACGACGTAGAGATGAAAACCAAAAACTTGTTGACGGGGTTTGGAACCGCCATTATGAGCTACAGTCACGAAGCAGTGTCTCGAATGTGGCAGTATGCTGCAGTCGAGTGATCCTGCAGTGAGTAGGTGAGATGATTAGGAGGACTGTACCAGCAATTTCTATCATGAAAGAGATACGGAACTTCAGCTAGAAACAGGGAAGTGTACATACACTGTGAGGCTTGCCTACTGTTGGTGTTGTCGTAATTATATCGATACTCTTGTCAAATGATGCAGGGAGATCTGGCGATAACGACGAAGGATAAACATGACGCGTCATATGAGATGACGACTGCTATGGAACAAACGGGCCATTTAGACCCAGGACAGAAGAAACCAAGTCCCCGAAAAGCGTCATATGGGAATATCCCAAACAAAAAGACCAGTATAGGAGCGTCTCGTGAACGAACAGTCATACTTAGTTGGGCTGGATGGAAACACATCAATCAATAGCCCTGAGCACCACCACCACCACCAGTACCCTCGGCGTAGGCACCATTCACATCACCGAGACATTCCGCTGCAGAACAATATTAGTGCACTACTTCCACAAAACTGATTCTGAACAACATACCGACAGTAACCATCTTTAGGTTATTCTCCTTGGCCCACTTGATCAATCTTGGGACCAGGTCTCTGACTGTGTTTGCATAAATCTCGTGCAACAGAGAAATATGTCCCTTGCCATCAGAAGTGCTAGGGCCTGCACTACGGAACTTCTGCTCGCTCGCCGAAACGGAAAGACCGTTCCAGTCTTGCGAGTCTACGCTGTCGGTGATCATCCTGTACCCAAGGTTTCTCATGGCAGTGGGCACATTGCCGCCGGTCTTGAGGTAAGGAGGTCGCATGTATGTGGGCTTGACACCGATGATGTTGACCAGTGCAGTCTCAAGCTTCTGCATCTCGTTGGTGAGTTGAGACACACTCATCGAATCGAGCGTTTGAGGATGGGTCCAGGTGTGCGAGGCGACTTGGTGGCCACTGGAGTAGGCTGCCTTGACGGCGGCTGCGCGGTTGTAGATGCAGCCGTACAAAGCGCCGGTGAAGAAGAAAGTGGCCTTTGCTCCTGCGGCGTTCAAGGTCTTGATCAGCTCCTCGGTGTATTGGCCAGGTCCATCGTCGAAAGCCAGAGCGAAAACGCCGGGCTTGCTGCATTTGGAGTAGACGACACCGGCGGCTGGGCTGCTTTGTCTAGACTTAATGAAGGGTGAGGGAATAGCTGATGCGGTGGCTATACCACTGAAGGCAAGAAAAGCAGGAATTAAGGAAGAGAAATGCATCTTGGTGGTCTGAACTGTGGTTATGTGCTCTGGAATAGCAGATCCGTATCGTGGATGCTGGATGCTATTATATATGATCGTCTTACGATGCCTAGGCTCCGCACGTCGCCTATACTCAAGACGAACGATCGGTGCCACAAACGCATGTTTAGTGTCGGATAGATACTTCTCATATCCTGTATAGGCTGATCTCAACACCAAGACCTGTTGTAGGTTTCGGACTTTGCTTGGCGTTTCAGTATTGGTATAAGCGATTGGTATAAACCACTCTAGATCGCATACCAAGACAACTCTCTTGCTTGGCGGTTTATCAAACTCTCCTTTTCTCCGCAAGAGATTTGCCTGTTCTCACTTTGGCAAACACGATGTACTTTGCCTGAAGCATTTGCCTATCCCATACTCATCTTTGTTGATATCCTCTGTGGCAGGATCCTGGGTAAAGACTTCGTGATCAACCTATATGAATGTTTGACAGTAAGTTGCGCTATCGATTGACCACGTTCCGAGCAGGGAACACTCAAGGAGAATTACACCTCAGATTTTCGCGAGGTCCGGTGTCGTCGTCCATGATTTGTCGAACCAACCACATTCTTCTGAGAAGCCTTGTGAACTATCATGATCGGAATCGTCGTTGTCTCATTTCTTGAAAATGGAACATTGCTCTATTGGATCGTTATCATCAGACTCCCCACATGACACAGAATCAAGTCGTACGCGGGAACGAGATGAACATCTGATTGAAATCATTCCTGACCGCCCAAGACTGGTTCTGCGTGTTATACGTCAAGTTCGTCATCTGGACCTGCCCTGTCTTGATATATCCACTCTCCACCTTTCCGCCAGCTACAGGACGTTGAAGCTTGTTTCCGCTATTGAGAACAGTGAAGTTAGCCAAGCTAATTTCCAAGGGGTTCCGACTGGCGACCGTCGGCATGCCATAGTACGAGGCGTGCACAGCGTCATAGCCAACCTGAAGCTCGAAGTAGCCTCTGTAGTAACCCTCGTTCCATTGCAGTTCGGCGTTGTCACGGACAAGTATGGAAGACTGGTTGTTGGCAGACCGAATGGTGCCGCCGAAACCAGAAGATGTGACTGCCGTGCCTGCAAATTCCACACCGACGGCATCCTCGCCTGTGGCAGAGTTATAAGGATGCTCGTCCAACCAGACCAGGTCTGAAACCCAGTTGGCATGAGAGTCGCCCGCGAGCATGATGTTGTTCCCAATGTCGTGGTCATAGAGAGTCTTGGAAGTTCGGTTGCGGTTCGCTTGGTAACCATCCCATTGGTCTTCGTTGTAAGGGTTTTCGAATGTGCCGAACCAGGATGTAATGTTTACTCGGCTGAAGACGATTTGATTACCAATGATACGCCAGGCCGCGCCGCGNTCCTTCTTGCTAGAGATGAGGGTCTTGTAGAACCAGTCCTCTTGCTGGGAACCCATGAGAGAGCGTTCGGCGTCATTGTGAATGTTGTAGATGTAGTCTGTGTTCCAGTCNTGCTTCTGGGTCAGTATAGTGTTTTGTGGGCGGTCGCGAGTTTCGAACTTACTGAGATCGGTGATGGAACGGTCATAGTTGCGCGTGTCGAGCATGGTCAGATCAAGAAGGGTGCCCATCTGGAAGTTTCTCCAGATTCGGAGATTGTCATCCATGTTTACCTGGCGAATGGGCAACCACTCGAAGTAGGCACGAACAGCATTTATCTTGCGCTGATCGACACTAACACCACCTGAGCGAACAAAGGAATCTTCAGTGTTGTTCATAGCACTGAATCCATCGCGGTACCCGTTGTTGGCAACCTCGTGGTCGTCCTAGGTTGCGATCCAAGCAAACTTCTAATGGGACAGCAACAAGTCGACGTCGGTTCTATACTGGGCAATGCGAGTTCTGTAGTCGTAAAGGTTAAGGAGAGCACGGCTGGGGATAGTAGCGCGAGCATCGCGGCCTTGCACGCCGACGCTAGACTCGTAGATGTAGTCTCCCAAGTGGATAACATAGTCAACGCGGTCTTTGCGAGCGGCATTGCCATAGGCGTTGGAATAGCCGTTCGGGAAGTATGAACAAGAGTGGACAGCCAGCCCGATGTTGTCAATCTTCTGGTCTGCAGATGGAGATGTCTTGGTACGACCGAGAGGAGAATGGTTGGTAGTACCGCATTGAGTGAANTGGTAGTAATAGGTGGTGAATGGACGGAGCTTCTTCGCCTCGACCTTGATGGTGAAGTCGATGTCAGACGTAGTATAAACCGTACTCTCGTCAACCACACAAGTGAGGTTCGCATCGCTAGCGATTCGCCACTGCGTGCAGACCTTGTGCTTCGAGGCTCGGATGTACTCTTCAGTCTCGTGATTGTAAAATTCAACATCCCCAGACACAGTAACATTGGATCGATCGCTGGCGAGACTGTGGGCAAGTCTGGTCCAGAGGATGACAGACTTGGGGTATGGGTCGCCAGAAGCAACGCCATGGGTGAAGTTAAGCTGCCTGTCCGAGAAGTTGGCCGTCCGCCTCGCGACAAGACCAGTACGCTTTTGGGTCTTAGCTATATCAAGGCCTAAGTCTCGGTGCTGTAGTGAGTGGCTGTTGAAGTTGATGTTGTCGTCCCAGGAAGCAGTGGCTGCAAGCGCCAAAGAGGCGACAGTAACAAGCGATAAAAACATTCCGACCAGCTCTGGGAATGTGATATGCTGTAAGTTCCATAACCATGATGGGAGAGCCGGCTTTTATGTTGAGATACCTCTCACGCCTCGCGGAGCATCAAAATGTCGTTTGAAGGCCACTCGCTGAGGAAAGCATGCAGGACGACCAAGAGCGGATCGCTGAAGGTTTATCAGCCGGGATAGAAACATCCACTTGCACTTGAGATATCAGAAGCATGCTTCGCCATGTTTTACAGACATGCAAAGCTCGTGTCAAATTCCTGAACACAATTGGATGTGAGATTGAACCTTGGATGGAAAGCGGCATGAAATATTCTCGTATGCAGAATTCGTGGCAATTTGCCACCCCAGTTTCGATCTTGTTCCTCTGATCCTCTGATTTCTCGCTATTTACACGTTGTACATCAATTTTATCGCTATATACACCTCGTGCTGCTCTAGTTGTTGTTGATATAGCTCAAGGTGACCGTCCTTCTAATGTTGCTAGTCTTTCAGCGATATCAGAGTTCTATCTGACGCGCGAGATAGCTCTCAATTCAAGTAATAAAATGCCGCTCAACGAGCATGACAAGGACCTCATCGAGGCCATGTTTCGCGACAACTGCGACGTTAATACCGTCTACAAAGTCATTCCCCATGCAGCTCGTAGGACGGTGTATCGTATGTATGAGAACATACAGCACTTTAGCTAGGTTAGGAAGCCTTCCTTAGCACTAAAGAAGCGTGGCGCCCCGAAGAAGATAACACCAGTTATGCGCGAATACCTTATAGAACTGCTCTCCGCGAGGAACGATCTCTGGCAGGAGGAATTGGTGTTCGAATTATGGTGCGAATTCGACATAGCTGTTGACCAGTCGACCATTAGTCGCCTGCTAGCTGAAGAGGAGCTATCAAACAAGGTCAATACACGTATCGCAAGTCGCCAGTCTGTTGCGCAACAGGGAGTTTATCTTAAAGAATTGGCTGATCTAATGTCTCGAGGCCTCACGGCTGGTCTTGACCCTATAGATATGCTGGTTTATCTTGATGAATCTGCATGCAGCGAGAAGGTGATGTTTCGCCGCCGCTCTTGGAGTTAGATAGGTCTGCCGGCCTATACAAGGTCAGACCTAGTCAACAAAGTTCGTTGCTCATTACCAGCTCTAGATGTCCATAGGTATCTATATGGCTCTACCCTCGTTGTCGAAGGCGCGGTTACCTAAGCCATATATGAACACTAGCTAGAGACAGTGGTGCTACCACAATGCGAGCCATTTCCAGGTAGAAGGTCGATTGTAATCATGGACAATTGCTCGACCCACCACTCTGATCGAGTATGTGCAAAATTTGCGTATAAATGGCAGGGCCTAACATTGTCTAGATCACCGAGCNTAGGTCGGCAGTTTGGCGTATATTTGCTGTACCTGCCGCCATACTCGCCACATCTGAATCCCATAGAACAGACCTTCCACCTCTTAAAACAATGGCTTCGTCGTTGGAGGGATCTGGCGCCAACTCTAGAGGGCATGGAACTCGCGGATTACAAAGCGGCGTGGATTAAGCACCTCGAGGGCGCAGTAACTTGGGCACTAAACGACGTCAATATTAGGAACCTGTTCGGTCGTAGTTAGGTACCTTCAATTGACATGATTAGAGCTAGAGTCTGAGTGCGTCGGTGAGCTCGAGCTATCTAAGGAGATAGTATGGGCATCGATGTTAGTAGCATAAGAAGGACCTTGATCTACGCGTAGAGAGGAGTGTTGCTGTCGCTGCTAGCGCTTGTATATATCCACGAACTTGGACAATTCTTCATGAATAGTTACGCGGAGACCAGTCTGCTTAACTACCCTTGAGAGTTTCTTGTCGGAAGAGGTTAATAGCATCTTTAAATTCTAGTAGTCCTCCTCGAGCGCAGCCTTTGCTCTATCAAAGCCTAAAGACCAGTCCGGGTAGGCCAATTTCACAGCCTCCTAGAACGCTTCCTATAAGGCAGCATTGTTAAGCTCAGTCGGCAAGGGTGAGACCTGTCGAGGAGTAGGAACAGTCGACAAGAAGGAGGGAGTAGTGGGAACTGTCTGCTCTTGAGGTTGCTAAGGTCCTTGGTTGACATAGATGTGGTTAACAGTACTAGGTGATGCCGCTCCATTCGAGGCCTGATTCTGAGGCCTCCGGCGCTTCTTAAGCTCTGCCTTATGTGCCTAGTGCTGACGCTGGATTAGCTTGCGTATCTCGCGCGAGGGTATCTCGAGGGTGCCCTAGCCAGCTCTAACAACGTCTCGCCACCTAGCTGATATAGACAAGAACACCTTATAATGGCGTCCGCGGTAGACAAAACAGGCAAGACCTCTACGTGCCTTGATCTCACATCGCGCTGGTGTAGGACATTAATAGAAGTTCACAATACTGTCCCAAAACACTGCTCGTTCGCCCATGTAATTAGCGGTCTGTTCAACTAAGCGCTGAGTTCGAGCGGCAAGGCGAGGAGCTTGAGCAGAGCTTGCTGTTGTAGATGCCTCGTACGCAGGAGGAGGCTCTAGCGCTAGCTCCTTGCTATCGGTTGTCTAGATAGACTCGATTATAATAGACAAATCTCTTAGGCCGGTGGAAGCGTTAAAGCGAACGAGGTCCATAGCCTTCTTCCACTGCTCGTCACCATGCTCAAGTCTATAAAGAGTAACTGCTTCAGTTGAGCGTACACCTCGGGAGCCTGTCGAAGTTATCAGAGCTCTAATCCTCCAAGGGTAATACTCAGCGATTTCCTGATCTCTAAGATGAGGTACAATTGACCGATCTAGCTCCTGACGGGCTGTTACCCATGTCTTCTCAGTGTTAGCAAGGTCGGTATCGCCACTAGAAATCTTTTGGTGGCCCTAACGACTGTTATATTGCAACTTAAATGGTATTAGGGCAGGTGGTGTCGCAGCGGCAGTACTATTGGTGATCGCGGTCGAATTTGATGATACTTTCTTCGCGTAAAGGGTCCCCTTACCCTTCTAAGTGACCTTAGAAGGTTTAGTGACCTTATTCGTAGAGTTGGTTAAGCGACGGACAGATGTGGCTAGGTTGTTACATGGCTTCGTAGGTCGCGTTTAGGGCGCTAGAGCCTGTATCTTGGTCTTTTTGAAGTTTTTGATCCCCGCTTTTTCCTAACGTGTTCACAGCATTAGAAAGTGGCTTCCTTAAAGGGGGTACCTGTTTTGGAAGTGGTTGTGGTTGTTGGGTAGAGGTATCGCGTTTTGTTGTTGCCCGGCGAGGGTGTGGATTCGGAAGGTGTTTGTTGGTTAACAAGCCGAACAGGAGCCTTGCCGCGCGTAGATCTTGGCGTGCTTATGATGGTCCCTTCTCCAATGTCTTCCTCTTCTTCCTCGAAGTGTACACGTCGTCTTGAGCCCATATAGGTAGGTGGTTAAGCTAGCGAGGGTGGTGGCTCTGAGAGGCTAGATTCGCGATTTCGGCTCTGCGAGCGTGTGCGCACGCCGGTTTAAGAGGCTACCTCGAGCAGAGCATTAGCAGCACTGGATTGATCCATATCGACGCGTATAACAGGTAATAGTACTGTGGTTGTATAGGAATCTAGCTAATAGTCATCAAACTAGCAGTTGAGAGCAACAAGTTCGAGACCGGGGATGGCAAATTGCCACGAATTCTGCATACGAGAATATATGCATGTCTGCCTTGGCGAGTTTTGGGAGTCTTGGCCACCTTTGCGGCCTTCCTCAGACGGCATAACTTCTTCAAGCATCACTTGCAGACATTCTGCAAGAGTTTTCCACGTGTGTAATTAGGCAGAAGCCAGGGTTCGAGACTGAAGAGGATCAACTCCGAGTTGTGGACCATTCTCCTATGATGTCTTCCCTCCACCAAATAGGATGCAATGATGCTGATGAACGGGTCAGGATGGAGTCATCAGGATGGAATTTTCAAAGGAGTTAGGTCAGGATGGAGTTACTGGAGCTCGTCACACCTGTCGTTTTCTGTGCGCAACCACTCATGGATCAAGGGTATGGTCCCGGCTTTGCGTCTCGACACCCTCGTGCTCAGAAGATCCCCAATCTATTCCTCGGGAATGGTCGTGACACATTCATCTCAAAATTTTCGCGTACCTCGTTCGCTCCATTCTCATCATCTCTCAGGCTGTTTGCAGCTGCGGGAATGTCATCAATGGATAACCGAAAACCAGTAATTTCGAAAGGTTCCTCAAAGTCGATGTAGACTAGAAAAAGACCATTGGAGTTCCAGTCTTGGTCGTGTACTGCTAAAAACCCAAATGGAAAATAGTCAAGCTTGTCAATCTGAGCGGTACAATATCGCATGTGCNNGGCAAGAGTATCACTCAGTCTCTGCTGTTGTGAGATAGATTCGGGAGCGTTTGGAAGATGTATTGAACCAGACCCCTTGCCAATGATATTGTTCTTGTCGATCAGATCTACAAGGCCGACAAAGATGTCAGTGGGGACGCTTGCTAGGTTATAGACGGCGAAAGGCAAGAACTCAGTGCCACGGTTTTCACTCAGCGTGGCTATTCCGGGCTCGTGGGCTGGTAGTACAAGCAATTGTGAGTTAGACATGAATTCTGAGATTCGTCTTCGTGAATCTAGAAAACGTCGTGGTGCTCCATGGGTTATTAATGCTACACGTCGTTGGATCATGACGTCGAATGGTCCACCGATCCAACAAGAAGATCATGGATCTACAAAGATCGAGCCTGATGCGCAAGGTATCAGGAAGATATTCATGCAGGATGACCGCAAGCGGCTTGGACCCTATACTTGACATGATCAATCACCACCACGACTTTCAGGTCGCACACATGTATGAACTCAATCAAACAGAGAACAAGCATTATCGATTAGTCCAACCGTAAACATATCATACATCAGAAGGAATCCAACAGGAACCCGACACCTTGCTTGCCCTTCGCTGAACACTCCGCTTTTCATCAATCGTATCATACAGTCCAGTCTCCATATTCTCACAGTCCCATCAGTCCCAATACATCACTTGGGAATCATCTTGCCAGCGTTTTCAAGGGTCTTCTCCTCATAAGCACCAACCTGGGCGCCAAGATTGGCAGCATCACTGGTGAGTTGACCATCAAGGGTGTCACCGTTGCTCTTTTCGATCTCTGCAAGGTCGTTCTGACCAGTAGCGGCGATGATGTTGGCAAGACCATTGGCAATCTTGTCTCCCTGGCGCTTGACCTTGGGGATCGCCCTGCCAATACCCTCGAGNGTGGACTCCTCAGAACTGCCGAGTTGAGCGCCGGCATTGGCGACGCCGCTGGTGAGCTCACCATCAGCGTCGTCACCGACGTTCTTCTCGACATCAGCAACTTGGCCCAGCTGGGCGGCACTGAGGACATCAGCCAAACCGTTGGCAATCTTGTCGCCTTGACGCTTGGCCTTGGGTCCCTTGGGTGCTGGTGCTGGTGCTGGTGCGGGTGCAGGTGCGGGCGCAGCAGCACCGCTTCCTGAGCCAGTGGTAGTGCTAGAAGAACTTCCTCCGATAAGGGCAGCCGTGTTGTCTTCCGCATTCTCGATTCCATAGCCAACACCGTTGTCAGTGCTGCTGAGGATAGAGTCGCAGGCAGCGCCTTCGCCAACCAATTGACGACGGCCCAATCTGCTGATGGCGGAGGCAGTGTTGTCTGTGAGTGTGGTTAGTATGTCGATTGATATCTGGACTGATAAACACTTACCCTCGGCGTTCTCGATACCGTAGTCAACACCGTTGTCGGTGCTGCTCAGANNAGAGTTGCAAGCGGAGCCTTCTCCAGCGAGCTGAGGAATGGGGGCTGCAATAGCAGTGAAGGCTTGAAGGGCGGCCAGAATGAGGATGGTCTTGTTGATGGAAGGCATCTTCGACTTCGACTCGATCAGAGATGATGGAGAGAGGTGAGACGGTGAGGATGGAGACTGTCTTGGATGGGAATGCTGTTCTTGCTGATGATGAGTTGAGTGAAGACGAGGCTTCATCTGACATTTATATTCTTCGGACTTCATACTCGACCCGGATAACCAGGCCGGCCTGAGGTATAGCATCATATCCAATCCCTCAGGATCGTTATACACAAAGTTAGTCTGCCAGTGTGATGACCCTTTGCGGGTCACAATAGTGTAGATCTGCTTACAATTTGGTTTTGGAGGCTTGTTGATACTTCTCAGGCGCTCGGCCGAGAGTCTATCTCGAATGACGAGACATCCGGAAATCCCTTCTCGTGTACTGTAGAAGGGTGCGGCTGGACTTCTTGCAAGCAACTCTCGACTGTTCAGATGAGATTGAGTCATGAGCTGTACGACCGGTGCTCGCCAGGAACTGTATCTCGGGCCCTAGACCTGAACCTCCTGAGTCCCTCCAGAACATCATGGCCATCAATGATCAGCCATCAGTCGCGTGAAAGACCCTGTGAGCGACGAACATGTGTTGCACGAATAGCCGACAGATACTGGGAGATGTTCCGTGTCTTCTTGTTCATGATAATATGATGCAACAGATCGGTTCTTTCTACGGCGAGACGTCTATGTCGAGACACGTTTCAAGTTTTTATGTGCGACCGCTTGAGTTGGAGGTTGTCTGTATCGTACACTCAACAGTAATTCCCGGTATACGGCCAAGAACTCCGTCGAGCCGCAGTTTGGATAGCAGTGGTATATTCTGCGGCTGTAGGAAGTCAGAGGCGCTGCCCTGAGATACCTGAGGAGCAGTGTCGCAGCAGCTGAACCTGCAGTCTGACGACTGTCCCGGAAACCAGGTGCGACCCCTTCGGCAGCGCGCCTAGGCAAGTGAACTTCTTGACACCATGGAGCTTAACCAAAGGTCGGACTGTCGGATTGCTCGTTCAAGCACACACAAGCAAGGGAGGACACTTGGCGTACGGCGGAGGCGCTTTGGTGGCAAGCGCCGCCAATGCCCGCGATTTGGCGGAAATAAGCTCTTCCACGGGAATCATGCTTTCTGCGGTAGGCGACATTCCCAAAGCATTCAGTGCATGTTGTGTAAAAGAGTCCTTATACGAGACGGGTCGATTATTCATTGGTTTGTTCCGCGGAAAGTGGCACATTTGCTGAGGAATGAGAATTGATAGAAAAATGAACTCCTGCAATGTAGATCCTCGGAGTCCACCCCTTCAGCACCCAACGGTGTCCCTGAGCGTCATATCAAGTCGCGTAAATGGACCTTTTGAGTCCTGCGGCTGACGAACAGGAATGACATCTTCAGGAATTGTTGGATGCGTTCCCGCATCACCCGTTCATCCCTCAAGTCTCAACGTGAGATGCCCCGGGTCATCATTCGGAATTGTATACGAAAGACATTGACACTATTGAGTTGTTGGATGTCGATGAAGATTGAATAGTGAGTTGTGTTCATCTCCGCTCGCGTTCACTTGCTACAAGATACAATGACCCCCAAAAAAAATCTGAAATGTCGGAATGTAGCCGAGGAACGTGTTCTTGTTTGACTTCACAAAGATCAACTCGATAATTCTTTCCGTCGGCAAAGAGTCCTGTTGTTACAACCCATATCTGGCTGGTCCTGCCACTTGTACGCCGGCTTGNNACCGATCTCCTTCTTTGCTTTCTCGATCGAGAGCAGAGTATCGTTGGGTCCCGAAGTAGCATTGTACTTGACACCAGGGAAGGCCTTCTTGACAAGCTCGTCATTCGATTGTCTCATGCAGGTGTCTGCAGCAGCGATCAGGTATTGATGATGACCCTTGGTCTTGCTGTCCAACGACTTGGAGACAGCCTGGCCACCATCTCTTGCGTCAATGTATCCCCAGCAGTTCCAGTAACGCTTCATCGGGTCGTCTTGCCATGATTCGAAAGTCTTGTACTCCTCTGGCAGCATGACGTTGCTGAATCTCAACGAGATGATCTTGACTTCGGGGTCCCATCTGGCGTATTGCTCGGCCAATGTCTCACCAACCAACTTGGACAATGAGTATGCCGACTCTGGCTTTCTCTCGTGCTCTTCTGTGATGGGCAGCGACTCGGGCTGATGAGGGTCGAAGGGGATACCAATGAGTGTCTCCGAAGATGCAAGGACGATGTTCTTGATCTTGAGCTTGCGGCATGCCTCCAGGACGTTGTATGTGCTCATAGTGTTGGTACGGAATTGTCTGGAGCTGTTGGTCTGACCGGGAGAGGGNATGGCGGCGAGATGAACGACTGCATCGATACCACTGTATGCCATGTCCNNTGGAGTGTGTCAGTCTTGCTGATAGCAAGAGTTCAGCAGCACAGAACTTACGGTTGTGAGGAATGTCTCCAGCACAGCTCCCATGTCCTCCAGATCGATCTCTACAAGGCGGTATGCACCACCAAGACCTGACTTGCCATCCTCGCTGATACCAGGAGGACGACGGGTGTCGACTGAGATGACCTCCCATCCCTCATCAGCAAGGTATCTGACTGTTGAGCGACCAAGCTTGCCACTGCCACCAGTGACAATGACTCTGCGCTTGTTCTCTCCTCTCTTTGCTTCGCCGAGGGCGAGCTTGTCAGTGAATGAAGCTTGGGGACTCATGATGATTTTCGTTGTCTGTAATGATCAAGCAGCGAACGGCACGAAAGTCGCAGAGGATATAAGTACTACGAAAAATGTCATCTTCGGTCAGAAGATACGGTCCTTATGTCATTGGTACTTTCTTCCACCTTCAGCCGCAGGTTGATCCCTCGAAGATGCGGTAGTTGAACTCGGGATAGCTCACAGCGAGCCAATCATGTTGTGGTGGTGGCATTCGTCGTGGAGGAGACCTCTCCACAACCCGCATCTATGACCCGCATCTCCACAAAAGTCAACTTTATCCGGTAATCGCTTGGCTGTAGCTTCTTTGACAGGTAGGCCCGAGTTCTTGGATTTATCGGAAGTATTCTTGACTTCTCTGCAATTCAAAGAGAATTTCGTGGACTAGATCGCACATTGGCATATACAACGTCCCTAACCATGAAAGATAACCTGTTGTTCTGAGTTCGTCGAATTCTTCTCGCTGCTCGCTGTGATTTGAGCTGGCCGACCTACAGGTCAATCATCGCGTCGCAACGGTAAAGCCAGTTGTTGAACCCTCCGGCGCAGTCAATTCGTTAGGCACACATATTCGTGATGGATGAAGGATGTAGTGTATGAGAAATGCGATGGAGGCTTTCGCGTAAGGAGTCGAGGAGTGACGCGACTTCGCGGGCTTGGCGCTTCAGGCAGATATTCAACACAACAAACAGCATCGAGTTTCACTCTCCATCCTGCGATGAGTTAATGTAGAAATTGAGCGAGATCTTTCCCTTGATGGAAGCTGGAAGGGCTCTATAGCTCTGATGCAGGCTTACAGGTTAATAGCATTCACAATTCGTGATGGCTTTTGGCAGAGTCCTATCCCTCGAACGTGATCCATTGAATTGCGTGTGAAGATCACTCCACCAAGTACGTTTTGCAGTGAGCGTAGAACGGCGACTCTCTCTCTCCTACGATGCTTGAGTAGAATCTGTGTTTCTGTGTAAGGGAGTTTGTGAGTTTTTGGCCCCGAGAATTGTGCGGTATATCACGTTCAAGGTTCAGTCTCGTCATCGATGATCATCCTCTTCTTTCGCCGTCGCACACAATCAACCATTCACCAACAACATAACCTTACACTTTTATCCTTCTTAGCACCAGCATACTATGTAGTATGCTTACCTTGGTATCCGTTCCTGAGCCAACCTCATATGTTTCCAGCCCATCGAAAAGGCAAGCAGGGTTGCCCTCACACCAAGATTGGTATCTCCGAAACTCAAGTCGGACGTCCTTCCTAACATGGTTCTTGCAAGAGATTGTCCCTGGAGGAAGGTTAAGAATCGAAGTCTCGAACTTTCCTCAGAGCTCGAAGATCCGGAGCGGTGCGAGATGCCATGTTTTGGAATTTAGCTGCGCAACACGCATATCTTTCCTTCTTAAGCAATGGAGTTTAACAGCTCGGCTCTGCTGCGCCGATTGCCGAGTACGCGTACGAACATCCTGTTTTGGTCAACTTTGTTCGAGTACACTTTCTCCCAACCTGGGACCACACTTCTCTAACACACATTCGCATTCTATACATGCTCAAGACCCTCAATCGTGTCTGCAGACCATCATGCTACACTCCGGTATGTGTACGTCGCACCACAGGATTTTCAACGCTGTCTGGACTCGGCATATGGCGACGTTTCTTCCGGCCGAACTTGTTCGAACCGTTGTGAACGTCCTCTAGTCTTTCACAGACGCGGTTTCACCCATGCTTTGGTCAGCAATAGAATCTGCTTCCTCCATGCAATGAAAGAAACCTAGTTGCAGTAATCATGGTCAATACTATGGACAGGCCAAGGACGATGGTGGAAACTGATTGGAATTTGTACCAGGCCAAAATCCATAAAGCGATATGATATGTCTCCCGTATTTACTCGGTATGAGCTGTCATCAAGCCAAGAGACGGTTGGAAGGCGGCTCTCCAATAGTCAGTCGCATCTCTCAATTCGTCTGTCGTGTCTCAAATCCTTCGCGACTTCTCTCTTATTGAATCGAATATTACTCTCAAAGACGAGCATGGCCTCGGCTCTTTCTGCAAGCCCTGTGTTGATTTGCGCTTCTCATCGCGTGTCCAGCCCTTCTCTCCGACTGAATTTGAAAGTTCTTCGCTTGTTATCTGTCCGCTTCACGGCAAAAACGGTATTTCACGCTTTGCTGTCGTCTGCCGTTGCCTGACATCAGCAATACCGATTGATACTCGGTTCTGAGAAGTCAGTAGACGCGAACGTGGCTCAAGCCACATACCCACCCTTGTCACCCTTGGACCAGGTTCTGGGGTCCGGTTTGTGGTCCTACCAGACACATATAGCTGGCCGAGACACCTTGAGGCGGAACCTGTCATACGACCTCTTTTCTGTCCTTTCAATCAAGACAGCAGGACTCGCACAACAATCTTTCCATCCTGACTGCAACCTTATCTTAACAACCAAGGACATACAGCTATTGATGTCTGTTACTGTCATTACCTAGCAACATGGACGGCCTGAAAGGATTCTTCCTGTCTCGCGACGTCTTGATGCATAGCAAGGAATATTTGGAACAAGACATGTCTCCAACAATACTCGGCGCGACTGGCTTCTTTNGCTTCCTCTCCATCATCATCGTAACACTTCGCCTGTATGCACGTGCTTTTATGGTACGACGCTTGGGTTGGGAGGACCTCTTGATCTTCATCACTGCTCTTTTCGTCCTCGGTTGCTGGATCTGCTTTATCGGCGAGTCCAAATCTGGAGTCCTTGGTCGGCACATGGTGACTGTCACGATACCACAATACGAGCTATTCCTGTTATGGACATTTCCGCATCAACTCTTTCTCACACTGGGCATTGGAACATTCAAATGCAGCATTGGCTTTTTCCTGGTTCGAGTCGGTCGGAGTATGANNGGGGGTCGATGGGCCTTGTATGGACTGATGGGTATGTACGAACGTGGTTGAACGGCTTGTGACTTGCAACTGACTGATGCAGGTTTCACCACCATCNTCTCCCTTGTATATGCCTCAACACTCTTCTGGAGCTGTATTCCCCTACGAGCAAATTGGCATTTCGACGAGCAGAAGAATGCAAAGATGATTTCGATCAAGGTGTGGAAGGGACTTGCGATGTGGAACAGCCTTACCAACATGGTGACGGATAGTATTCTTGCTGTCTGGCCAGNNCCCATCGTACTCAGGATGAAGGTGTCGACTTTCAAGAAGATAACGCTCATCGTCGCACTAAGCCTGGGTTGGTTGGCGGTCGTGTGTGGAGCGATCAAGACTTGGTCCANNTGGAACTACTTCGATGCCACCGACAAGTATTTCAAGGACACGTACTTTNTCTGGAGCTTCATGGAGATGAGCGTGGGGACTATCGCGGCGTCGGTGCCGTTGTTGCAACCGCTCGTGTACAGGATCCGTCGCTCTTCATCTTNNCCAAAAGGCGACAGTGGGCAGGTTGTTGCGATGCCGCTGCCAGTGGCCGTGCCAGCGACAATGCCTCAAGCACGCATTCGACGACCGGTCATCACATGGACAGGCATGGGCTTTACTGAGGACGAGGAAGCAAAGTNNGATATCCCGGCACGAAGCGGATCGAGTACGCGAATAGACATGGAACGATCGGATAGCGGAACGATATTTGTAGGATACGAGGGATCGAAAGGGTTCGAGTCTCGCGCGAGAGCGACTGTATAGATGAGTGATAGATAACGATTGAAATGACTAAAAGTGCTCCGATCAGCGCAGCGCGTGTTTCAAGCATCGACAGTGATGGCGTACGGAAGCCGGCCTCGACTGTGGATAGACCATGTCCATGACTTGAGATGGTGTGTCCTCTCTGTGATCAAGGACCACGAAGCTCTTCAACACTCCTTCTGCCCGCAAGCCGACGTTTCTCCGCGTGTCCCTCTGTGCGACAAAGTGAAGGAAGCAACACGCATCCTCGAGGTTCTCGACAGGACAGATGACCATCGAACATCCTTCAAACTCCCGATCACCTTTCGCTTCGACAAGAATCAAATCCCACGCCGAGTGACATCGAGACGTCGTACAAATGCTCGGATTACGTTGTGACCCTCGAGTCAACACACCTTGACCAACGAAGTCCCACCCAGCGCTCAAAATCATGGCGCATCGCAAAGAGAAGAACAACCTCATAGTCCATCGCTGGCATGCCTCTGACCCGTATCCTCTGCTGTCGAATGTGTCCGTCTTCAACAGGCGCGACGCGCGATTTGAACACAGACTTACGACGATACCCCGCAGGCAGATTCGATGACTTCTTCGTGGCCGGCTTCGGAGGGTCATCCGAATGTCGAGTGCTTGGGTTGATACGCGCAGCGATGGACGTCTCTGATCTTGATCACGATTCTCCTTTAGTTGAAACACGTTCTTGTGCGACGACCTTGTATAGCGTATTCAATGCATGCTCGGGCGATCTGGACGTCACTGGTAGGTGTGATAGGACAGGAACTGCGCTTGCTGCTTACCGACATCTTTACCTTCTCCCTGTCATTCTGGTCTCTTTACCGCCAACCATCGTCGGATATGACCTCGCTTATGCAATCTACTTCAGACTCTATACCGCATTGCGATATGATCATGCATGAATGAATAGTCGATCTGTAAGCCGCAGCCATTGAAGTCCGAGGTACAAGATCTTCTCTTCCTTCTCGTCGTTGCCCTCTTCCTTTGTTCTCATTGTTCCTACACCGATCGTGACGGTGATCTGGACTCTGTTCTACTCATTCGTCGTCCTTTCGCTTCTGGACTTTGTCAATGCGTGTCGCCGTGATCACAAGATTGTGGATGCTCCAGTAAACACTACAAGCGGCCTTGTCATTGCACATGCTTAGACAAAACGGTCCCAGGTCTCCGAATACCTAGGTATACCTTATACTCAACCCACACTTGGCCATCTACGGTTTGCCGCACCTCAAGTACAGTTCGACCAAAATATTCAATGCTTCCTCCTTCTCGCCAGACTGTCCTGCAAACATTGCCCCGCCTTCGACGTATCCTGGCTTGACCGCGACCGGCCGCTGCGTTTACATGAATCTTGTCGACCAGACGGGCAATCCTCAGTAAGTTGGTGAATCAACATTCGCAGCACACAGAGCTTGCACAATGTATAAAGCATGAATTCATTAAGATAGATCATTACCACGACATCTCAAGACATGAACAATTGTCGTCATCATCAAATATCATCGTCTAACCTTGCATCTCAATACCACCGGTACCGTGGATGCACTCGCCGGTGAAGTAGGAACCAAGAGGCGAGGCCAGTTGGATGTAGGCAGTGGCAATCTCAATGGGCATACCAGTTCTGTCCATTGGGGCCATGCCCTTGCCGACATTCATGCCCTCGGCAGGTACGTTGGCAGTGGCGGGTTGGAGGGGGGGTCCAGCTACGATTGTGTTAGTTGGTTGATGTGGGACCATCATGAGAACAACTTACATGATTCCTGGTGCGACGGCGTTGACTCTGATGCCTCTGGGTGCCTGCTGCTTTGCGAGTGCACGGGTGAAGGTGACAATTGCGCCCTTGGTGGAGCTGTAGTCGATCTTTGATGCGTCGCCCATGTATGCGAGAACCGAGGCCGAGTTGACAATGTTATCACCACGCTTCATGTGCTGGAGGGCGTACTTGCTCAGGGCCATCATCTGTNNAAGAATGTGGTTAGTGTGTGCTCTAGAGCGAAAGTTGGATGGGTGTCAACGACATACCTGAATGATGTTGGTCTGGAAGGTCTTGGTGACGACCGAAATGTCAATCTCNCTGTGATCCTCGCAAGACTCCTGCATGGAAGCGTTGTTGACAAGGACGTTAAGCTTGCCAAAGACCTTGATGTGCTCTTCGATGGCGGCCTTGCAGTTAGACTCTTCCTTGAGATCGTACTGCATGCCGTGGCCCTTGNNCAAGCCGGCCTTCTCAATCTGCTTGATGGTCCATTGTGCATCCTCTTCTTCCTCGGGCAGGTAAAGAATTGAGACATCGGCACCTTCTCTTGCCATGAGGATAGCGACGGAACGACCAATACCGCTGTCACCACCAGTGATGAGAACAGCCTTGTCCTGGAGAAGACCTCTGCCTTCGTACTCTTTGAGGTAAGGCTTGCCGTTGTCATCCCAGAACTCGAGCTGTGTCCAGTTGGCCTGCTCCTTCATGTCCTTGTCAAGACCGGGACCACCCTGCTGGTCTTGGGCGGAGATTTGCCATGTGTAGGCGGTGACGGGACCTTTTTGCTCAGACATTTCGATTGATGTGGGTTTTCAGAAAACTTGAAAAGTGTGTATAGGAAAAAAAAGACAGGAAAGTAGAGGAGGGATATAGGAAAAGTAGAGTGAGAGTGGATACAATGCTACTTGAACGGGTAATATATCAACAGAGTGACATCACTGTCCGAGCTCAAGCTGGTGTTGTCATGGAGGGGTCATGGTCGTCCGCGGGGCAGGGCAACTCTTCCCGGCGGCTCCGACGACAACCTTCAGGACTCTTGTTCGCAACGTCCTCTACAGCCACAGCTCATGCCACTCTCTGTCTTCGACGACATCCGTGATCTTCTGGTCAGCCATGACAATCCTGCGCGACNNGAAGGCGATCTCGACTATGAACGATGCGCTGCTCTGCACAATGCGATAGTCAAGTACGGCTGGAAAACGAGTGGTCGCTCACTCGACGAGATCCCCTGGGTCAGTTGCTGGGAAGCAGGCGCAGATGAATGGGAGTTGGATATTGGTCGCCTTCACCCGTCGATGGTTGAGTTCCTCAAACAGGCGTATAGTACTGAGCTCCCGGACANNACCGAGTCAATTCACCACAATGGCATGCCAAGAGAATACAAATTTCTCTATTTCCTCGAGGGACTTGTCGGCCCTCATGGCCATGAGTGTCCTGCCTACACATTTGAGGACTTTGAGGATTATCCCGGCCAGTATATGACACTCTACACCCCGAACGGTCGCTTGGGCTCGCATCCCTACAGACTTGTGTTTGCATCCTTCTTTCCTAGCACGGAGCAAGCTCAAAGTTTGACTAACGACTCTTGCATAGTTNACAACCAGGAGACACATGAATGTGTCATCAATTTTACAAACACCTGGTTTGAGCCAATGGATAGGGTCCTTCCATGGCAAAGACTTGAGACCATCCTCAGTGTCTACATCGACATGATCGAGTCTGGAAAGTTGTCTTGTGTCCATAACGATGTCGAGCAGCCCGGTGATGCAAAGCGTATGCTGGTGAACGACGAGGTTCTCATGACCGCCCAGATGCAATATTTGCAAATCCGGTGACTGGAATCAAGCNGGAACAAAGATGTCATGTTTGGACCTTGGATCGTTCAGCCGTATACCAAGGAGGTGCTGATCGAATGCCTCCGGACTTGGGATATTCTTATTGACACCATTGAGAAGAAGATAACTCCGGGTCCAGTTGACAACACAGAACTGCCGTCGAGAAAACGACAACGTCAGACGACCAAGGACGTAGAGTATGGGCTGATAGATGAAGAAGCGCTTGAGGCAGCCGGGATTATCGAGGAAATCCCTAAACAGTTTTCGCTACAAGCTCGAAGACCTCAGTTTACCTTTGTTGCGCCAGGACTTCAAATTTTGACAGCAGGAGCTTCTATCAATTAGCCCTTCAAAGGTCTGAGATCAACACAGACGGATACAGACATTTAGAAGAAGATGCCCAACCTAATCTTCAAAGGCAAGGGCTTTTGTCGAGCGTCCGACTGGTTCCTTCATCCATATAGTGGAGCCACGCATATACCCACCGGACTGTATTTCGAAGGTTGGACGCAAAACGACTTGTACCTTTTCACAGATGCTANNCGCTTGCTATTGCCTTTCTCGACAGGCGGCGAAGACACTTGGGCACACACAAGCAACGGCATCGCAATTGATGGCAAGCACGATGATCTCTACCAACTTGGAGAAAACCCATTCGTGACGAATCATGGTGTCTCATTGCTTGCAGTGTTTCAAAATTTCTACGCGCNNGTTCGTCAAGGAAACTGGTCCATTGATGAGAGCGGTGTTAGCGTCAGACTCTAGGCTTCCCAGCAGCTCCAGAGCACGTAGGAAGAGGCGGATAGCATCTCCTGTATCTTATTACACACCTCTTAAGCGACAAGTGTTGATGGAGAAAGCCGTCGGTGAGCCCTGGGAATCAGCAATTACAGCTTAGCGCGCTCAGATCGCTGCTCTCCGTGCAGAACTTTTAGCTTTACGCGAAGAAATGCAACAACTTCGGCATGCGCCAGTGATCGATACTAGGCTCTGAACTGGACCCTTGATGGACCCCCTCATCGAGACTGGACCTCGATCTTCACTAAGCCCAACCTCACACTGTGTATTGCCCAACTACTATGTGTCACAAAGTCAGGCCAGCACTGTCGAGAACACTGTCGAAGACTTTCCCATGTTGATGGAAGATGATGTTCCCAATCAACAGGAACAAGGAACATTGTTAGATGCGAAGTTCGACTATAACAACGAGCAGGTACGTACGCTAGGGTTACCACTAATCGATAACCACCAGACGACTTCCCTCTCCAAACCATGATCTCTAGCCATCGCATCGCCTAGTGCTGTACACGGTGTCCACGGAGAGCTGAGACAAATGCTAACTGTATACTCATAGGTTAGACTGCCTCATCTATACTCTCCGCTGCCATGGTCCCCTATTGAGGTCAACACCCCCACTGAAGTCAACACCCCGCTGAAGTCAACACCTGCACTTGTATTCCCAGCTCTCGGCATTGATACCTCGAACAATGCCAACGTGTCTTTCAAGATCGAACTTCCAGTACCGATCGTCAATCGTCACCATATATCCGTCCAACCATCTTTCTACGTGGGACCAAGCTCCGANAGGAAAGGACGCTATAAAGCTGCAGCGTATACGAGATGATGGCAACATTGCCCGACCACCTTGTTCTCGAACTTATGAACGGGCCAAGAGTGCAAAACCTCCTTACCATACAACAAGAAGCGGAACAAGCAGAAGTTTTATTCAGCTCCGAACGAGTCGCTATTACTAAGGTTGAACAGATCGTGACAAGACGCATGGACAAGTATGTTGACGAGTGTCTCGACCAAAAGATTAAGGGAGCTTTCAAGCCGCTCGTCCGCCAACGTCTTGAAAAGCTTGTCCAGAGTCAATTGCCCTTGGCCGTTGAACTTTTCTTCAATGATGCCGTCGAGGACCTTCGCGACCAGTTCTATGAGAGCCTTCGCGAAGTAGTCGACGATGGTCGCACTCAGTTGCACGACGAAATCAACGAGTGTACAACAGAGATCAAAGACATGGTACGGGATCAAATCGGCAAATTTGAGGATCAGAGCAATAAGTTCAATATATCTATTAGGGAGCAACTCGCCTGCCTTGGCTATTGGTCTGATAAATTTGCCAAGTCGAATGGAAACAAGGAGTATGCCACGAACAACACGGCAAGGTGTGAGTCTGTGTAATTTGAATCTCAAAAGGAACGAATGATATCACTTCTACGCTCCAGACTTGTTGGCCAGTAGGTTGTCGTTAGAAAGACCTCAGTTCATGCGAGGCCCTTCTAATGACAGCCAGAGCGAAACACGGATTGGCATTGTTCGTTGTGCGCTCGTTTTTCAAGAAGCGCAGGACACGTAGACTACTGTGAGAGTGGTGGAACTTTGTCACCCTTACGTAACCTACTTTGTAGAATTGAGCCTCAGGCTTGCAAAGAAGCCAACGCCTAATAGCAGTTTAGGTGGGCTGCTAGGCTTTGTCTATCGTCCTGGTATGGATTTTAGTACTAATTCCTAGCTTCTAGTCATTCAGTCTTACTTCCAAATAGCATGATCGAGTTGTCTCGTCTGAAGGAGTTCAATGATGTATTAGCACCATCTCCCCTCCCTTCCCGTTGTTGCTTTCCTGCAGAAAATCTGTGTCCTTAATTCTCACGAGCTCTGCTTCCTAATTCACCCTGCAGAAGATGGAGCAGATAGACGTTCTGGATAGGTTCTTCTCGCGATATCCATCTTGTTCTTATTATAGCGTTAGCGTCATCGCATCAAGAGTTCCATCAAATGGGCAAACAATTAGATAATCCGCTATCCACATTACCGGAGTTTCGGATGCTGATCGTGTTAGTTGCCCGTTAACCGCCTAGGTTCCGCAAGCTCGATAATCTACACTACGCATGCGCTTTGCTACCGACTCTATAGATTAAGGGAGATTAGTAGCGCTAGGGGGTTAGCGGCGCGAGCAGTGGTAGGCTATAGATAATTGTAGCTATCATCGTTAAGCCGTAGTACGGACGTCTCCTTCTCTAGAGAGCACGTTCTATTAAGGATTGCGTTAAATGATAATCTTATATCATATAGCTAGATAACGTAGAGATTAATTCGAAACACGCGCGTTTATAATAATTAACGAAACGTGGGCTAAAATTAAATAATATCTTAGCTATTAAGTTTTTAGCGTTACCTTTTATAGCGGAGTTATGCACTATTAAGGACCCGACGAGATAGAAGCACATTTTACTAAAGTAACCGACTCTATTTTTAGCATAAAGCATATATATTAACTTATCTTAAAGTTGTTTAATAGACACCCGATACGCCTCGGCCTTACGGTTCTATATATACGTCCGCGGGTATATAAAGAATTAACGTTTATAACAGCGTATATTAGACTATACATATTACCTAGAGTCGCGGTAGTACAAAATTTTCCGCCTCTATACCGTAACTATTATTACCGTAGAATTAGGCTATTATTAGTACTAAAGGGGTTTAAGGTTACCCTTAATTCTTTAAAGATTCTTACCTTAACTCTTTAGAAGCTATATACTAATATAATAACAGTCCTTTTTATTGCCCCTATAGTTGGCTATAGACTTAGAATCTTATTATAGCTACTACTCTAACTTCTATTTATTAACTAGCTATTTTAGGCGGCCGCCTAGCATTTTCTTAGTCTAATCCCGTTTCCTTAATATCGCCTTAAGGCTACCGCCCCTAGGTAACTATAGCGCTATTAATGCTATTTTGCTAATAAAGCTTATAAAGACTTAAAGATTTATACTAGCTAGTAGCGCTTTATGTTAAAGGTACTACTAGGGATTAGAACATCTAGTCTAAGTTACTATATCTCTTTATAACGCCGCGTTAAAGAAATTCTAAAGCTTAATTCTACTAAGACATTAGTAGTCTACGTTACTAGCGGCACTAATGCACTTTAGGCTATACTAAAGGGTATTTACACTACTTAAGGGCTCTATAGGCGTAACGAGGTCATTATACCTTAACTTACGGTTGCGGCGACTACTAAGGCTATACTTAATAAGGGTTTTATGCTAGTCTTTATAGATACTAATCCGATGTTATAGCATTTATCGCTAGAGGCAACTAAGCTTAGGGTTTTAGGGTTAGGGTTAGCAGCATTTCGATACGCTTCTATATAAGCTATTCTTGCTTGTCTAACTACTTTTCTATATAAAAACAAAGAAAAAGGGTACGATAAAAAGGAAGAGGAAACAAAAGAAAAAAGGAAAAAGAAAAAGAAATTTATCTAGTCTATACCATATCCTAGCCAGTTCCTAGCCCGGAGTCTTACTAGAGTGGTAGAGATATACTTATCTAGCCACTCCGAGGTGCTAGGACCAAGGGACTTTGGAATTCTTTGTAGGTTTGTGAGGTCTCCTTTCCTAGAAGGCCTCCTTAGCTAAGGATAAACGGCTTAAAAGCTCGGCCTAGGGTTTGGTATTTGAGCTTCTTAGCCCTTTCCGCGGCCGATAGGGTGCTATTAGGGTCCTTCCTAGCGGTTTCCTTACCTAGGGAAATGATGGACACATCTAGGTAGGTGGTTCCCTTAGGGTTGTCGATTCTAATGTCTGTCCGGATTCCTCGGTAGTCTCCTTGTGGCTCTAGGGTGACTTTGTTTTGTGGGTCGGTCTGTAGGGCCGTAGTTAACGCCTGGCACACCTTATTATGTTTGACAATTGTCTGTCTAGTCCTAGCACGGCAGGCGTCTTCGTAGGCGAAGGTATAGGCCCTATCACAGTGTCTACAGATGTCCTAGCCTTCTTCAGGGGATGTAAGAAGCCGAATAGAAAGTGCTGCGGCTACGTCCATGTCCGAGAGTAGAAGGGGCTGTGAGGTAGGCATTGCGGATAGCCATCTCCGGCCTAGGAAGGCTGAGTTCTCGATCCGTACGTTCTCTTGCTGTAAAGAGAGCTTCTGCTGTACTCTAGCTAGTCGAGCTCTGTTAAGCTTGTCTATTGCAGCTCGGTAGATGGTTCTAGCAGGGCCAGTACTAGTGGGGTCTAGTTGTTGGTGTTCTAGGGAAAGCTAGGCTGTTGTTGGGTGTCCTGGGCTAGGAGGTAGGATAGGCTTGGTTATGGTTGTTGGTTTGCTCTATTCCTGCTTCTACCGCGGTCCTAGGAGTGATCCTGTTCCTGTTCTTGTACCTGTTCTTGCTCCTGGCTTCCTAGAGTGGTTTGTTCGTCTAGACCTTGTGTGTCCTCTTCTGTGGCCTTGTCTATGTCCCCTTCTAGGCCGTCCTCTTGTAGGTTGCCTTCTTGGCCTTGTGTAGGCCTATAGCCAGTCTGGGGGTGGCCTTCTATACTAGTGTTGCTAGGGGCTGGCGAGGGTGCTCGGGGTAGGCGCCAGAAGAGTTTTGGCGGTAGGATCCTCTGTAGGGTGATGTCTGCTATAGCCTGTGAGTTTTGGAAGGCTAGCTCGGCCACTTCCGCGTAGAGAGGTATTCCTAGGCCTCCTAGCCTAGTAGGGAGGGCTACTAGGTCCTGGTCTAGTGGTCTTCTATCCTCTGAGCCTTGAAGGTGTTTTATGGTTTCTAGGAGTCTTGTGTCAATGTCTTGGAATCTTGCTAGGAGTCCTTGTGATCCTATGGTCCTAGGAAGGTGTCGGAGTAGTGTAGAGGTGCTAGCCCTAAGTAGGAGGAGTGCGTGTTGTTTTGGTAGGTCTTTTAGCCTATCTAGCACCGTCTGGAGTTCTTCTATCCTTGTAGCTAGGAATTCGGCCTTCCGTGGCTCTGGCCCTATAAAGGAGCCAAGTATCTTCATTCCCGTGGTCTGTATTGCCGATAGGGGGTGTGTCTTTGTCTTATCTATGTTTAGGGCGATAGGGGCGTCTTCCAGGTAGCCTTCTAGTTGTTGTAGGGTGATCTGTTGCCCTGAGATGATGTAGACGTCGTCTAGGTATGCTAGGACGATAGGAGGGGGTCTGTTATAGCCGGTTAACCTCTATAGCTGTTGTTGTAGCTGTTGGAGGGTGGTCCGAATGGCTAGGGAGAAGAAGAGGGGCCGAGGGGTCTCCTTGTCTAACCCCTTCCGAGGAGGTAATTACCGTGCCGTCATACATCACTAGGGCTGCTGGCTCGTTGTAGGCCCATCTAGCTGCCTTATAGAACTCTGGGGCATAGCTTAGGATCCCGTGGGCTACCGCTGCTCGGGAGACTGAGTTGAAGGCGTTTTTAAAGTCCATAGAGCAGACGTGGGTGTATCCTCTAAGGTTTCCATCTACCGCGTGTCCTAGTAGGTGTATGATTGGCTCTACCCCGCCGGGGCTCTGTACCCCTAGCTGGAAGGGGGCTAGTTGGTCCTTAGAGAACTGTTTTTGGAGGAGGACCTTAGCTACCAGCCTATAGATGAGCTCTCCTACTGCAATTGGCCGGACCCCGCTATCTTCCTTATCTAGGGCTACAAGCCTCGATGCGGTAAGTAGCTGGTTCCCTGGTGCTAGGCCGTTCTGTACCTGCTTGCAGAGGTGGGTAAGAAAGTCTACCACCTGTTTATGCTTACAGGCTTCCCTTAGTAAGGGGACTGACCAGCCGGATAGGCCAGGNGCTGTATCCGGGGCAAATGAGGCTAGGGCTTGTAAGATGTCTTCCGGGAGTGGCCTAGGGCCTGGTCTAGGGCTCGCGGAGGAGGCAAAGGGTAGGGCTGCCCTTCCGGGTGTTTTTCTCTTAGTTTGGCTAGTATATCCGCCGAGTTCCTAGCTAGGGTTGAGGGTCTACTAGTGCCCTTGCAGCTCTGCCTAGATAGCCCTTTTCTACCAGTCTTTGGGCTCCTAGAGCGGGGGGTATCCCGGCGGTTGTCTGGCTGGCCTAGAAATTCCTGGGCCCTATCGGTTTCTACGCGGCTTGGCGGGGTAGCATTAGGTCCGGGTAGTGCTGTAGGACGTATTGGGTGCTAAACTCCTCCGATTGGATGCCTAGGGTAAGGCCAGCCTTCGGTAGTAGTAGGAAGTCTAGCAGGTGTTTCTCGGTAGGTTGGCGTGTGTATCTAGAGGCACACCTGGCCGCGGCGGCCACAAAGCTAGCGGCTTGGCTGCCACGGAAGGTGTGGTCCTTTGCCTGTACGTGGTTGTATCCAAATAGCTGTTGTAGATACTTGTTTCGGGGCTGGTAGGTGTTATACCGGTCTTGGCCTAGGCCTATAGGTATGTCTGCAACATCTGGTGGCGGTGGT